AAAAAATGAACCCAAGAAGACATATGGGTCTAGATTGCTAAACTGCAAAAGAAAGAAAAGCTAGAAGCTTCAAGCTAATTGTTAAGCCCAAATAACATGTGATCTAAATATGTGATAAACTGATACTGCCTTGCACTTCAGACAATAATGTCAGAGTTCACTGAATATATTATATAGCTCTGTATTGTAAGGCCTTTAGATTGGCTCAAGATAAGATAGTAAAGAAATAAACTTTAGCTTGAAGCTGGAGATACTATAGTGAGAGCTACACAACTTATATACTAGTTGTCATCTATCTAAAGATATAACTACCTAATTATGCATTCTAGCACTATAGAGCATTTTGTCCAGTGTTATTAAGCTACCTACAAAAAGGTATTGTCTGTTATCAAGGAGTAACCATCATATCAAAGGACAATGACCAACTAGGTATTGTTGTGATGACTAAGCCTGTCTCATAGTCCTAAGCACTGGCTAAATGCTCTGACTAAGCAAAGATAGGAGTCAGTCCCTCAAATAAAAGATAAAAATATAAAAAAATCATAACAACTACTTGCATTGATCTTGAGATATAATAACTACAAATACATTAAGTGAACTTAAGTATGATTGTATGAATGCAATACAGTGCTTACTTACTATGTGTCATAATTCACATATCACTCAAGCCTAACAGATGATGTAATAGACTTTGCTGCTCCTGATTTACTGTTTGGTCTTCTATTTGATACATTTGGCTTCTTCATCTCTACTGCCATTCTCAATCATTTCAACTTGTCAAAGTATTCACTGATAATCTTATCACCCATATAGACCTTCTTCATTTTGTTCTTGTGGACCTCCTAGACTACTGGATCAATAAACTTGTCCTTGATTATCTGCTTGAAGATGGCTCAGGATGGATAGTGATAGTGTCCTAAAGTGATAAAGCAGAGGGTCAGCACAATCAATGTCTATTATTGTTTGGCTTTGCTCTCAAAGTATAAGATGGCAAATACTACCTTATTTATGTCTGAGCTAAAATAAATAGTATACACTTCAAAGTACTGTTTATAGTCTATAAGAAAGCAGTCAATATCATCAGAGGCATCTTTGAAAGATCAGGGGGTCTGTAAGAGGTCTAGTTTGCATTGAAGCATAGTGGCATTGTTCAGTAGAGCTCTCATGAGATTAGAGTACTTGTTAAAGAATAGTTGGTGTCAGTCAGTAGATGGCCCAGGAAGAGAGTGCAGAGAATTGTTATCAGTGACTGGACTCTCTTGAGGTCTGACTTCTTTTTATATGATTACATCATTCCTAATAGTGAATCTCAGTCAAATGATCTTGAAGTCATCTTTGGCTGGCTTCTTGCCACTCTCTCTAGCTTCATTGAGTGATAGCTGCTCACTGAGAAGTCAGCTGCTCACTGAGAAGTCAGCTGCTCATTGAGAAGTCAGCTTCTCTTTCTCATCCAGGGATTTCAGAATCTGATAGGCTGTAATGGTTTCTGAGGCTTTAGTTGAACTGGCCAATACATGGCACTTCAGTCTGAGGATTCAGATTAAGGGTAGCAGATGCTGGTGGTTCATATAAAAGATGCCATATATACAGCATGTTCAGGTGGGATCAGCAATGTATGTGGCATTGGTTGAACCTTATATTTAAAGACAGGCAATGCCTTTAATAGGTTCTCAGAATGGTCTCTGTTGTATAAATAAATAGCATAATCAGTAATGGTGTATTGTAAAATATATCATCTTTCATCATTATCTACTGTAGCATACCTTCTCTCCAGCAGAGTTGCTCACTAACTATCTTCCTACAGTAGTGTGATCACTCTCTCACAGTACAACCTTTTGAACTCCTCTGATCAGGTTTGCTGTATTTCTCTCTCCAGTGCTTCTTCATCTGTCTCCTTCCTATAGCTGGCCCATAAATTAGTGGAAAGATCTTCTTTCTCCTTGTTATCCTCTTTGCTGTCCTCACTATCCTCTTCATTCTCTTTAGTCTCCTCAGGGTAATTAGCAGGCAGATTATATATAACTGGACAGCTTAAAAGCTTTGAGAATCACTAGAGAGCTCTCTATTAGTTCTGCTTCTAGTTCTACTGGAGATTTCAGAAGCAGGCTGCCAGTGAGATCAGTAAGTCCTAACATGATGGTTTTCTGTTCATGTTCTGCTCTTCTCCACTGCTTGGCTATATCAGCAGAAGTCTGCATAGAAGTTGTTGTTGAGAAAGAGGACAGTGATACATTCATGAAGGAATTATCAGAGGGTCTGCTCAGTGACTCTAGCACCTGAGGGTATCCAAATTCTATATCTGGCAAGTATAGAGCTGGCATCTGAGAGAAGAGTACCATTGCTGCTGCTTGCAGTACTCTCCTCATAGGTCAGTAAAGAGGACTCATAGTTACTGTAGTGGTTGTCACCAAGATAGCTGTTATTGTTGTTGTCAATGTGGTGGGCCTCATCTGCTGTGAGGACCTGAGTATTGTCTCAGTGGTTGGTGAATTATAAGTCATCTTTGTCATCAGAGCCTCACTCTCAGAGCTCACTGTCTTCATCATTGGTCTCTGTATAGAGACCATAGTGGTCAGGTGAGGCTGGACTCCACTCTGCAACCTGCTGCCTCTGCTTCTATCACCTATATTGAGCTGTGTATCAGAGATAGTCATGCTCTTCTTGTTGCTCAGCCAGATGTTGCTCATAGAGCTCTTTGGCCTGTCATTTCTGCTTGAGCTGATCCAATCAGTCATGAACACTGTTGCTGTCAGAATCATACTTTGTTCTTTCATATTCTCTTCTGATGTCATCAGATACCTGCTGGATTCCATATCCAGTGAGTATAAAGCTGGTATTATAGAGGCTTGAGATAGACAGAGCAGAGCTGAAGAGTGGTGGAGAGGGGCTTTCTTGGAGAGTGGCATATCTGAAGTGTCTGTCTACTGCAGCTCTTCAAGCATCTTCAATAAAGTCTCTAGCATAATCTCTAATGCTGAGCTCATGAGAGGCAGTGAAAGAGTCAGAGAATGGTGACTCCTCAAAGAAGTCACCAGAGAGGTCCTCATTCTCATGGTTAGAGATGGAGAATGGGATCTATAGAATGCATACTAGCATCCATAGGTTTTGGAATCCTATAACACTATGATGCTCATCATTTCAGCCCACTGTTTGAGGGAATCTGGCTGGTCAGAGTTCTTCTTCTTTTTGAAAACCTCTTTCATTCATGTTACTAGGCCTGGCTTCAGGTATGGTTTCTGACACAGGCTGAAAGAAGGCTCTGGCAGAGGAAGAGATGTCTTGGAGAGAGTGATCAGAAGTGACATCATAAAGTATTTGTTGGATTTGCTAGAAGGATTAGTAGTATCTGACTACCCATGCTGAAATAGATTAATGTCTGTGGCAAAATATGATAATGGCTAATAAGCCTAAAAGTGTTTCTATGATCAAAGCTAGAAGCTTAAAGAATTTGTTAGTGAAATCAGTAGTAGTGATGTTGATAGTAAGCATTCAGTCTTCTTCACTCATAATGAGTATAAGAAAAGAGAAGCAGAAGTCTCAAACTAATTGTTAGGCCCAAGTGATATATGAACTAAGACACATGATAAATAAGTGCTGTATCACATTTGTACAATGACACTTAAATCCACTTGATGTGTTGATAGTTGTTATATCTCAAAGTCAATGCAAGTAGTTGACTCAAGATAAAGCAGTAGAATAAAGGATAGTTCAAAACTAGAGATACATAGCACTGTCTATGCTACTTATATACCACTAAGTCTGTTACTAAATATACTACTACTAATTGTAAGTGTCTGTGCTATAGTGCTCATTGTCCTGATGAGGCAGTGTTATCTACAAAAGGCTTATTATGCTATTGTTGAGATGTCACTACAAGACCAGAGACAATGGCTGATTGTGCTGACCAAGGTTGTCCCATGGTTCTAAGCACTGACATAGTCACTCTGACTAAGCATAAATAGGGGTTAATACTGCAAGAATGAGAATAAAAGTGAAAAAATCATAACAATTATATCAACTTTTCTCAAATCACTTTCACCTCTTTCTGAAGCTGAGATAGCAGAGTATGAAGAATGGCTTGCTCTTGAAGATAATGTGACAGCCTCTATAAATTGAGATAAGAAGAGGCATTAACATCACTGCTCTCACAACATCATCAATGAATCAAGTCTCATACCAATTTATCTATAAATGACTATCTGTATTTTCTAAATATAGTAGCAACCACTTATATCACTCCAGACTAAGCTGATTTTCTCATCCTGACTCTCATTCCTCCTAAAATCATATAAGGTATAGGAAGCTCATCTATTATTGCATATGGAACTGAAACCATTAAGCTTAAAGTCAGAAAAAGAGCTTCTATCACTCTTGACAATGTTTTATACATTCCTAGTGCTACTGTTCACCTCATGTCTATTTCTGCACTTGCTCAGCACTTCAATATCATGCATGCATCATTCATGGTTCCACATGGCTCTGGTGAGGTTTCTTGGTGGCCAAGGCTGAGTTTATCAGAGTTTATTGGGATTTTATAAGCATCAGCAGATCACAATTAGAGAATCATGATAAGATCATTTATATTTAACAACATTCTGCTTTACAAGTGCAGCTACAATTGGCATACCTACATATCCATCACCTCATGCCCTAACCAGTTTTTCTGCAATCCACTCATACACTTCAAACCACTACCACCCTCATCATACATCTTTTAACAGCTATTATAGCTGTTCACATGTTGCCATCAGATTGAGGGCAGCCTTAAGGCCCTTATTGTAGCCAGTTATGTCCCATTCCTTGAGCAAGCAGCAGAGGCACCCAAGGATTTTGCAATGCAGCAATTCATTTGTGGTGTGACAGCCCGGAAGGATCCGTACCGGCACTCCGGCACTGCCGAAACTGCACAGTTTTGTCATCAAGCCACCAGGTTTGTGGCTGTGCAAGCAGAGCTCAATCTCCCAGATTCGAATTCAGTGTACAGCAAGAACCAGTCGACGCCATGGCCAAGTCAAAAAAGTAAGCGCCCTTCAACCTCTCCATATTGGCCTTCTAATAATGTTTTTAGCCATACCAATCACAACCAGAACAAGAAGGCTCACCGTAATGGAATCAAGAAGCCACAGGCAGGCCGTACACGGTCGTTGAAGGGTGTGAGTCCCGCACGTTTTCTTGTCTGTGTTCCAGGCTGACCAGTAATACTTACAGGTTGACGCTAAGGTTCGCTCAAATCGCTTCATTTGAAGAGAATGGAAAGGTTAATGATTTGTAGTTCCGCCGTAATGCTCGCTTTGCTCTCGTTGGATCGGTGCGTCGCTCTGTGACACTATATGCTGTATTCCTAACTTGCATCTGCAGCGAAAAGCCCGAGCAGAACAAAAAGCTTCAGAAGCATCGTGATATTCTCATTTCGGTTTTGAACATTACCGCAAAACTATGTATGTCTGGTGGAACGACATGAGCCGTGGGTTACAGTCAAGGGCCAGTTCAATATGTTATGCGTATGCAGATATAATGCTTCTCGATGCAAAACAAGAAAAGCCGTTGAAAACATCATTGTGTGAAGTGTTACTACTGTCCAAGGCTGTTTTCGTACGACCTGAACGAACCTTGAGCTCCAACCATATCTAACTTGAACACCTAATAACGACTGCACCGCCTGAGTTTGGCGGGATGATCCTTCTGCACATGACAAGAATAGTTCTCGGGACCAACTTTTCTCCAAGTAACCTGTGCTGAAGATGAGCGGATCTTCCTCCCAAGAAAGACAAAAAAACCATTGAGTTTAACGTTGTATCGGAATATTCTTTGCGTTTCGGTCCAGTGTCGCTCTCAACCGCAGTGCCTGCAGATGAACCGTTAGTTTTTAGCCTTTCTGGTTTGGAAGTTGTGTACCGCAGCGTCCTCTGGTCTTAAAGCTCCTTTTGCCATGTTGTGTTTTCCAGAACGCAATTTGGCATTTCTAGATGTTGTCATTGTCCTGCTGGTAGAACCTTCATGGGTTGCAAGCAAGTTACGACACTCTTCGTCCGTCGCAATATGCCCGTCGAGAAGGGAGAAGAATTTATGCCGAAGGACAGCCTTGATACGTTCAAATACGTGTGTCGAATACCATCCATCGCGCTCCTGATGTTTCCCTAGTGATAAATATGCAATAGAAAGAAGATCCCAGAAATACTAACGTCGCAAGTTTCACGCAGGTCGCTGGCATCCTCAATCATTTCTTTCAACATTGGATCTTCAATATCGCACAGTTGGAAGGCGGCGGTCTCTTTCGTCAAAGTACGGCCATCAAAGATATGAGAAGTCCTGGAATACACATTACTTGCGCCAGTATGAACATGATGAATTGACCTGACCTGCGTTCGAGATCTTTGTCCACACCATGCTCCAAGAGAGTGTTGGTAGCCGAACGATCTTGACGCCTCGTAGCAACTGATGGTCTGGCGATGGGGTGATTTGCATTCCTGAAGTACAGCCGCTGGAATCTATAATATATAACGGTCAGATTGAATGCGTCCTCATCCTATGAACGAAAACGTACAATCTGGCTTCCGTATGTTTTCGAGGATCATAAGTGAACCTGACCAATGTATCGCGCCACGGTCCATCTTGGAAAACATAACATACAAGAGGCAGTAACACTTTGGAACTGAAGCGAAAGCACCATCAGATCACAATGCCAATGGGTGAGCAAAATGAATGACTTGTGGATTTCCCTGGCTTCTCCGGGTGCAAATTGGTTGAACAGTGACATCCGTGTCCATACAGGTCGGTCGTTGAAGAACTGAAATACCAATGATCAACCTTGAAGACTGCGAAGGACAAAGAATGTTCACAGCTTCAAGCATTTTTAAAATTCTTTGGTCTACTTGAGCGCGGACAGCTTCAACGTTCTGAGGTGGTTTGTCAGGAACCTGACGACTGTTAGTCGATGTTTGGTTATCGTTGTAAAGAAACTCGACAAACTGCTGTGTCTGTGAAAGATATTGTGGCAGGTCCATAACCTTTCCAGCGCATACGATTGATAAGTCTCTTCTTTTCCTCGCCAGTCTCTTCATCGACGGTTGTTGAGACAATGGAAGCAGTATTTGCCTTGAAGCTTCACGTATGTCAATAAGGGATGAGGTAAGATAAGGTGTAAATTATACTTGTATACTTGGGGAATAGTTTGTCTGCTGAAAATTGGTGGAGGAAACAGACGAAGATTGCTTCGCATGGCGGAATCAGAAACGGGTGGAGGTTTCGAGACATCCATCAGTTGCGGATCTAGATTCATCTCAAAATCTGAATCTGAGGTCGAGAAAGGTGGTGGCAGTGGTGGTGAAGATGATGAGTTGGCTGGGACCATATAATCGGCCTTTTCTTCAGGAAATCTATATGCGCGAATGGCTTCCACTGCATGGCATTTCAGTACTGAGACCATTATGGCATTTGCACAGAAGCATACCATCCATGGCGGACATAGACATGCGGAGTTTACCCATAGGATCTTCAACATCGGGCTGGTATTGATAATCAGCCAAACCTGAGAAAGAGTCAAACCGCGGCGTAAACGGAACGGGACAGTCACTGGCTTCGAAATCTTATAGTCTTGGGAATGATACCGACTGCTTCTGTCGTATATTCTCCAATAAAGACATCCTCTGGGCTTTCAGTTTGTTTCTTTTTCTTCCGTTTGACGACCTTCAAGAGGATGGCATTCGAAGCCACGACTTCGCCTGGAATGGGATGAGAGAATGGGTTGTCAGGTCTGAAGGTAAGCTCTACAAGAGACTCGGCTTTCGATGTGGCGCGTCTGAATGCGCTATCCAGGGTTGCCTGACCCCCCAGAGTACGAATAGCCTCTGGAACAGAAGTAGGTTTTACGCGACCGGGATACTCAACGGAATAGAAAGGCGTCGAAGGTAGAGGAAGGGCTGCCGCTTCACGGTACGTAGAGGTCGAGCCCGAAGTAGACGCCTGGGGTTCAGTATTGGAATCCATTCTGAAGGTAAAGGAAAAAGGTAAAGTCAAGAAAGCAAAAGGCAAATCAAGGCATCTAATCTTATCGCCGGCTCTTATTACCTCACGATCACGACCAGCACCGTCACGGTCCATGAAACGAGTACTCTCTAGAGTAACAGTACTGGCATCCTAACACTTCTTTTATAGCCTGCCAAGTATACAGCTTCACCAAAACGACCACCAAATGGCGGCAGCAACGGTCGACACGACCCTTGCTTCGGCCAACAGTCTGCTCGCCTACCATAGCTCTCTCATCGACGGCATTCGTCGTTCCCAACGTGAACATCGACGTCAGCTCCATTCTCTACCTCCTTCCATCTCACAGCCTCTCCTTTCTCTTCCTTTGATTCAGTCGCCTCCACCGTCTCCACCGCCGTCTCCAACGATACAGCCTGTCTCACAGTCGCGTCAGAACAAGTACAGAGCGGATCTACCTCCCGCGAAACGTGCCAGAGTTGCGAGATATAGGAATTATGTACCAGAGGAGGAGACTATCCGCAACGACTACTCGCAGCGCTATGTCGACGGCGGGGAATGGCCGCAGAATTGGGTGTTAGGCGCTGAACCTGAACATCGTTTCGAAGAGTGAGTGGATCCCACTTGCACTTTGCAGTCATTCTTATACGGCCTAGGTATCCCAAGCAACATCGCTTACTTGCTCTCAAAAAACTCTCTGTTCAATCCCATTCTTTACCCCCTTCCTATCTACCTTTTACTGCGCTTTCTACAATCCAACCTTGCAAGTTCGACGTTATTCTTCTTGACCCCCCTTTCTCTTCTTCATTCACTTGGAATCATCTCCAGGAGCTCCCAATACCTTCCCTTGCGGCCGATCCCAGTTTCGTCTTCCTGTGGGTTGGAAGTGGCGCTGGAGACGGATTGGAGCGAGGAAGAGAAGTGCTTGCGAAATGGGGATATCGACGCTGTGAGGACGTTGTCTGGGTCAGGACGAATAAGGTGTCAAACAAGGGACCTGGCACTGACCCACCGACGACTTCTCTACTTACGAGGACTAAACAGCATTGTTTGATCGGGATACGAGGCACCGTGAGGAGATCAACGGACAGCTGGTTTGTCCATTGTAACGTTGGTGCGTACATCAGAATCATCCTTCAATAAGTCTCCAGGTTAAATAAGATTTCTCATAGACACGGATGTGATCATATGGGAAGGCGATCCAAATGATCCGACGCGAAAACCACCCGAAATGTATACTCTCATAGAGAACTTCTGTCTTGGGACGCGACGCTTGGAAGTCTTCGGTAAAATATCGTCACTACGGCGTGGCTGGGTAACTGTACTAGGCAGTGAGACCTCCCCTGAAGGTCCTATATTTGTTGAAGGTGAAGAAGGTGGAAATGCCACCCGGTGGGAACACGAAAGCTGGGAAAACAATATCAAGGAAATCGCTGGCGGGGGCAAGTTTGTGGTCCCTATGACGTCCGATATCGATGCTCTCCGACCAAAATCGCCCGTAAGAGGCGGGAGTACGAACAATGGAAGCTCTGGAGGTGTTCCACTCTCAGGCGGCACCCCAGCGGGGATTGGGGGCGTGAATATGGTGAACGGAGCTCGATTCAACAACGGGGCCAGACAGGGTGGGTTTGGCGGGATGGAGATGGGTGTCGGAATACCCATGGGCATGGGCATCAACTCTCTTGGTATGGGGGTGGGGGTTGATGGTATGATGGCCGGTGGATGGCCTGGGATGCAGGTCATGGGAAATATGGGTATGGCTGGGATGGAGGGAATGGGCGGTATGCCTGGAATAAATGGTATGAATCCCGGCATGAATGGAATGAATGTACCCATGATGGATCACCAAGCTATGCAAGGTATGAATGGACAGGGGATGGGGATTGGTGGTATGATGATAGGTGGACAGGGTGGTGGATTTATGCCTATGTTCAACGGCATGGGTGGCTGGGGAGACGGCCAGTTTGGTATGGATGGCGGTGGCTGGGACGGTAGCGGAATGATGCCTGGTATGGGTATGGGACAATGGACTAGTTACTAGGATATGTTTCTTAGGTTATCATTCTGGTATTTATTAATGTTCATCGTGTATGTACGCATTTTGTATACTTGCCTGCACCTAAATCCATACTGGGTATCTGCACAGCATCAAATACTGTTGCATTTGAATGTTTTTACAGGTCATGAGGGCTGTCGTAAATTATGAACCTACACGGTTGAATCGTACACTACCTACAGATATACCGTCGACTGGGAAAATTACTGGGAAAATAAACAAAGATATCAATCAGTCGGAGTGCTGCTCCTTCTTATATTTGCGACGGTCCATTTCCTCCCTCGTCATGCGCGTACCCAGTATAACATCCCAGTGGATAAAGAATGGCTGGGCAAAGTTGTGCTTGATACCAACGGTCTATAACATACCGATCAGCTTTTGGCGCGATGGGATGAGATCCATGACACATACCTGGTGATGTATGTCATGATAATCTGCGTTATTTGATGTCATGAATTGAAGGGGATCCCATGGGAAACGGTAGCCGCAGTGGTCATCGCAAGTTTTAAATGTAGCAACGACGAATAATAACGTCGCTTGTCGTACCGTCATACCCGCCAATATTTCAGCGACGACAGAGCCGAGGGAGTCCAGACAGAAACCCTCGACAGGATGGTTGTACAGCGCCCCGAATGCGTACGGGACATAGAGACGGTGGTGCCAGGAGTGGAAATGCTTGTACATCCATTTATTGGTATGCATCCAGCGGTGAAGGGTGTATTGCCAGGTGTCGATAACAAACCTAGACGTCAATATCAGAAACTGAATGAAGAGACACGAAAATAACAGACATACATTCCAAAGACCAACTGTAAGAATGGTATTGCCCACCAGTACATAAAGTAAGATACTGGCCCAACTGCAGGCGTGGTCCACTCCGCCAGGATGCCTCTCGCAAGTATAGGGCGAACGAAGCGAGCAATAGAGTCGATTTTTAACGAATGATTGACAGCAGGTCCATTATCATCCCCCAATACAATCAATCCCAGTATTGTCTGAAGAATATGCTGAAAGATGACGGCCCATATTACTTGTAAGCGCGAGACCCTGTTTCGCGACGTGACTTCGGCAGATTCGTGGATGCGGTACCTCTCGAGCCACTTCCAAGTCGACATGTCGAGGTAGTGGAAGAAAAGGCAGATAGCCCAGTATGCTACCACAGGTGCAGCAAGGGCGAGGTAGTGGTCAGAAAAGCCCTCTACAAGGTCCTTGTTGCAGGAATAGTAGAAGGGTACATTCTGGCAATCGCCTAGCCGAGTATTGTTCGTCGCACCCATGGAGAGATGAGCGTCGTTGTACATGTCGACAGCCAAGAATGGTCGCGGTCGTCAGATTTTATTGGACCATGATTTCGTCATTTCTCACGGTGGCCGATCGCTCGAGACTCGCGTCCGAAAAACAGGCTCGACCTCTCACGACCCCCGTCATTCCTGCTGAACATGGCACACTGTGCACAAAAACTAAAAATACTGCTATAGTACACAGGGTTGGGGGATGTCATGTAAAAATTTCTGGGATCCTGTAAACTCAGAATTTCCTTGACAAGTGGATAATAACCGTGACGACACGCGTACCCGGATGAGGAGGCCTGTAGCCTAGATCGAGTAACCAGACCAAGTTCGACGCCAAAGAAAAGCATTCTGGATTGACAACACCAGGAAAGGAGGAACAAGCGCCCAAGAATAATAAGGTACAATATATATCCAGACTTCAGTGACCCTTCTTCTCAACCCTCCACTCCTTGAATATCCCATCCAGACTTTTGTATATCAGATGCGAAGGCAAGCAACGTATTATCTCCCCCACCCGGCCATCAACATCACTTTTTCCCGTCTCTCCGACCGCCTTCTGGGCGTATTCTGTCGCCAGGCGAAAGATAGCTAACACTGCCAGTGAAACATGTGTTTGTTGTCCGCCATGGACAGAGTCAGGCGAGAGCGCCGATAACAGAGGCCCGACGATACTAGGCGTAGATATAGTAGGCCCAGAAAGGAACGGAGTAGCTCGTTCTCCTCGCACGAGACGCAAAAGGATCTCCAACAGATTGTCCATTTCAGTCATGTGCGTCTTCACGAAACGTTCTCGTTCATTTTGTGCGCCAACAGGAGAATTTACCGCCCATCCATCGAGTACATTGCGGATGGTCGGAGGCTGGTAGAAACAAGGTCAGATCAATAAACATTTCATGCCGAAAGAGGAAGAGCGCGTACAGGATCAGGATCGACAATGGCGATCTTTTTCTCCCAGCCTTCCGCCGCATCTCCTGCTACCCAGAACATTCGTCCAAACATACTTCTCAGCCAGTCTTGTATATCTCCCGTCTTCACCCATTTCGGCTCAGAAAGAGGTCTCGTGATATCGAGGTATGCAACCAGCGTAACATTGGTAGGCAACTCGGATTTAATAAATGGAGGCAACGTTAGGTCGGACTCCACGGCTTCAACAGAGGAGAGAAGAGGCACATAAGAATGTGTAGTATCTGAAAGACCTTCAAGCTAAGAGAAGAAAAGATTAGCATCAGAGGTTGACGATAGGACTAAACGAGCTTACAATAACGCCTTTCAAATCCTTTTCACCATCCATGCTTACAGATATGCGTACCTCAATGCGCCCCTCAGCACGATAGACCTTCACCGAGTCCACGACTTCTGCATCAATGATAAGACGTCTTCCACCATTTGCATACGATATGGATAGACGATTAGCAGAGGGTGTCCTCGCAGATTTGGCTTGCATCAATTGAGTGCTAGTATCACCGTGAGCAGACGCTGTTGAAGTAGAAGCTGATTGCACATTGGACAAGGGTGAAGCAGGAGGTTCTGGCAGATGGTCCAGATGAGCATCGGTAGTCTGCATCTGCATAGGATCTCCATTTCCATCCGCCAAAGATGCTGTAGAAGAGTTCAATCCAGGTGGTTGGGAGTCAATTTCCAACAATGTTGTAGTCCTGGTCAGCGGGGCAGTTTGCGATTCTTCTTTGTCCGGGGTGGCTTGCGACGGCTCGGAGACCTGCGTTTCAGCACATCCAACATGATCAGCAGTCTGCGTCTCACTGTAAGCAAGAGGAAAAATTGGGTGAGGAAGAGATATGGAGGAGATAGCATCAGATACAGACACGTTAACAGACGAAGCAGCATCGTCTGATGATGAAAGAGAGCATAAGACAGGAGCCTCAGGCAGCGCGACAACATCAGAGGCATCGGAAGGCTTGCCCTCATCATCAGAAGGCAACACTTCAGCGCCAGTATTCTTAGTGCTCATCGACAAGCCATTCACACCATTTCGCCCATCCTCTTGCTCGACAGGAGCAGAGACGGGAGACTTGTGACCATTGAGATGCTCTGAAGCAGTACGCTCTGCTTCATCATTGGGATCGTCGTTATGACTCCCAGTCCCAGCCTCAGCATGCATCTTATCAACACCTGCCATATCAATATCAAAAATGCCTTCGAGAGTGAAATGTTAGCAGCGAGTGCTCAACCTCAAGGAAACGAGGGGTCATGCACAGCAAGCACGACGACTGAAAGATCATAACCAGACTCACCATGAGTATCGGAATTGCCAGTATCAATGACAACGTCGTCGTCGAGAAATTCAGCATTTTCGCTCACATGGAGCTGAGCGCCAACCTCTTCCTCATCTCCGTCATGTTCCGCATCCTCACCTTCAACAATGGCAGCCATAAGCCAGTCAGTTTCACTTGCCGTCTCTGCCACACTTGCAACACTTGATCTATCATCGCTCATGTGTGGAGGTGGTGGCTGCGTTCTGCCTTCCTCTAGATCTATGTCATCATCCTCCAACTTCTTCCTTTTGCCTTTCCTCGAATCGGAAGGCGCAGCATTAGTGGTAGAACTGTGGGGGATAGGCTGAGCATCTTCTGCAGTAACAGGCGTGTGGAAATAGATCCGAATTCTGGAAGGAGGTGTATCAATAGGCTCAGGAGCACGTGTATGGGTGACTGATTCGTCCTCATCTTTCACCACAGGGAGATTGGGATCGGATGTATCGTTAGAATTTTTCTCGCGATCTCCCCCCGATGTCGGTTCACCCTCAAGAGGTTTTACAGGGGCACCCTCTGCTACTGGCGCGTTTGCCTCTACGCCGACAGGATCCTCAGCCAGAAGTTCGTCCTCAATATCGGGTTTCGCTGGCTCTACTTTCGCAGCTAACGAAGAAGGCATTATACCCCAAGCCCACGACAACTCTTGAATCTCTAGGCCGATAATCCTGAAATCCGTGAGCGTCCGTTTGTTTTCATCTTTTTTACCAATACTCCCAAAACTTGAAGACATGGAACCCTCTCTGGTCCCAAAAGTGCCATCATGACGACTACCTCTGTTTGAATGCCCTTGCCCACGGCTTCTAAAGTTAGACGGCTGGTGTGAATAGTTTCCCGAGCCCAGATTGAAGGACCCGCCGCCCCTGCGGTTGTTACCACCGCCAAAATTCCCTCTTGATCCATGACCCCTCAAGGAACCCCTTCCGCTTCCGCCGCCAATATATCCACTTCCATTTCGTCCCCGCCCCCCCATTCCTCCTCGATTTCCTCCGGGTTGCCCTCTACCTCTACCAGCACTGGATCCTCCACCTCTGTTTGAGCTACCCCCGCCGCGACCCATTGTCATAGAATTGCCGCTCATGGGCCCACCACCGCGGCCTCCGATAGCAGCCTGATTGTATCCTATCGACATGCCTTGACTAGGAGCAGGTGGCGGCTGGAACTGTGGTGGAGGTGGTGGAGGTTGGGGTCGATGTTGCTGTTGCTGTTGGATTTGGCTGGGACCGTCGAAACGCTGGCGCTTGGCCGGAGGGAGATGTTGTGGAGATGGATGGTGAACGTTACGATTTTGTTGCTGGGGAATCTGCAAAGGAAACATTTGCTGTCCGGGCTGCTGGGGCTGCTGCATAGGATATGCCTGAGCCATAGGTGTAACCTGAGGAAGGTAAGGTGTGTAACCAACCGCCGGTTGATATGGGTTATATCCGGGCGGCGGAGGAGGGGGCTGGGCTACTGGGGGAGGTGGTGGATGGTGAAACTGTTGTTGCTGTTGCTGTTGCTGTTGCTGTTGATGCTGTCTTTGCCAGTGGTTTTGTTGAGGTCCGTAGCCATAATTCGCGTAAAGGGCGCTCTGCTCTGCAGGTGGACGCGGTGGTTGAGCGGCCGGCCATTGGGGGTTGTACTGAGCTGCAGCTGCCTGGCCATGTTGCTGTTGTGCTTGGGCGGAAGCAGCCGCCCAGTAGCCAGAATAGTCGGCTTGTGCTGCTGGCTGAGGTGGTGGTGGTCCGGGGGGTAACGGAGGTTGCTGGGGCGTGTACGATGGCTGTGGAATAAAAGGATTTTTGTTCATGAATATTAGAACGCGTCGAAGCGTGGACTACTGTAAATCTAGAACCAGAAAGGCCAGTGAGCTCAATGTTTCAGGGCAGAGAGGACAAATTTCGGTACCAGACGGCTGCTGGAGCCCTTTTAGAATCAGATACGGGACCTCCTACGCCAGAACTGAAGGAAACAGCCCTCAAGAGACTAAAAGTACAGGGTATACGGTCGCAGTATTCACGTATCGCGGTCTGGTCGCGGTCACCGGCGTAGCAAGACAAGTGCGTTCAATCTCCGCCTGAAAATTTTCCTGCGTCATAGCCTGATCCGCTGCTAGCCTCAGTCAGGGGCGAATTTTTGTTCAAAGCGCATGGCTCAATTCCCACCTGGAACAGCGCCAATAAAGGCAGAGTAAGCAGTTTTCCCACTTGTCAATGAAACTTTTGTATTGATGAAACTCAGATATTTACTCTCAGGCCCAGCACCAAGTTCCGCGCCGGATGACGATGCTGCTGAGGGAAGTAGAAATTGTATCGGTGGGACTTGGCGTTCGGAAGAGCCGCGTTCCAGTGGGCCATCCCGTAAAAAGATGTCCAAGGAAGAGAAAAAGGCCCAGAGAGGCCAGAACAAGGGCAGGAGGTTTGGCAAGATCAGAGACGAGTTTGATCTCTGCTGGAAGATTGCCAATGGGGCTGCATGTGAACACGGGACAGAGTGCATCGCTTATCCTTCTATCATATCGTATTCCATCTCATTCATTTTCAGATGTCGATTTAATCATGACATAGCGTCATACTTGACCACCAAACCTCGCGATATCCGTATTTCCCGGGTGACAGAAATATCAGAAAACTCGCCTTTCATTCCCGAAACACCGCCCGATGCTTTATCTGACGCGTCTATATGCCCCGTTTTTGCAGAACTTGGAGAGTGTAGATATGGTTTCAAGTGTCGTTTTTTGGGATCCCATGTCCGCACCGACCAAGTTGGTTCTCTATCACTCTTCACCGATGAAGTCAGGATGGCGAATGCCGCTGTGAGTGCCAGGGAGGTCAACTTTGTTGGCTCAGAAGCTCAAAAGATGTTACGTTCGAAAAAGGTCTGTTCGTTTCATTTCCAAATACGTTAGTGCTAATATTTGGTCGACAGTATCAGTTTCCTATCGCCGATGCATACATGAAAGAGCAGAAGTTTGCGGAAGATGCTCCTAGGAAGTCCGAAAAAGAAACTCTGATCGTTCTGGAGCCAGAACAGATGGAAATGGAAATAGAACTATCGTCTACGCCAGCTGGCAACAGCGCGTCCATCAAAGAGGAAAATGAAATCTCCGTGGAGAACTCAAAGATTCTATCCGAGAAGGTTGTGCAGCGCACGGGTGATTTGTCCTCGCAGGCAGATACTCCCGATGTTCCTGTACGCTATAGAGAAAAGAAGCGGCTCAATTGGTCAGGGAAGACTTGTATGTGCTTCTTCCTCTAGTCCTGCACCGTGAAACCGACAGCGAGCCATCAGACCTCGCGCCTCTTACTACTGTGGGTAATCTGGTATGCTGATCTCGTCAATTAATTATCATTAATCCTAATTGATTTCATCTTTAGCCGTTCCGCCGACTCTGCGTGGCATATGGCGCGGATATCACCTGTGGCGAAAGTAAGATTTTATCATCCATTTTACGATCAGTTTTCTAAGTGCATTTTATGACTACTTTAAGTGGGCTTGGCCACGTCTCTCTTATCAGGATCCAAGGAAGAGTGGTCGCTGGTAAGACGGCACCCTTCTGAATCTACATTTGGTGTGCAGGTGGCCGGGAACAAGCCAAACACGTTGGTACCCACAGCCGAAGTCCTTGCCAAAGAAATCGGAAGTAATCTCGATTTTGTTGACCTCAACTGCGGATGTCCCATAGATTTGGTGTTCAAAGCAGGAAGTGGTTCTGCCTGTGTGTTCCAGCTCACATCCTTTTGCGTTCTCTAACAATCTCAATTTTTAGTACTCGATGCTGCGGGAAAGTTAGGTCGGATAGTTGTCGGCATGAACAAGGCTCTCGGAGAAATTCCTGTCACTGTCAAGCTAAGAACAGGTGTAAAGGAAGGCCAGAATACTGTCCATAAGCTAATGCCTCGCTTGAGCACGGAGTTTGGAGCGAGCTGCCTCACGGTAGGAGTTCGAATCTACGCCCTTGCTCGTAAATTAAATCAGGGTCGGGTTTTAGCTGCACGGTCGCACCCGACAGCAGAGGTACACCAAGTTAGCCGATTGGGATTACATTAAACAATGCGTGGAGGCCGTTCGTGCAAAGGAAGCAGAGGAGGATCGTGAGTTTCATGCCACCCCTTGTCTGCTGATGCTAATATTGAGTGTCAAGTCGTTCCTGTACCGATCTTCGGAGGAGGAGACTGCTTTTCGTCACAAGACTACTGGTCGTGCGTGGAACAGAGTGGTGTTGACGGTGTCATGGTTGCACGAGGCGCGCTCATAAAGCCTTGGATTTTCACGGAAATCAAGGAGCATAGAGAATGGGACATAAGCTCCCGCGAGCGGTTAGACTTGATAGGAAAGGTATGGATGCCGATCTGACTTCATCGCTCGCTTCTGACGAGGCATATAGTATGCTGAATATGGGTTGAGGTACATGCTTCCCTCATACTTCATCCCTCGACTACGCTTCTGACATGGGTTCATAGTCATTTTGGGACTGATACAGCAGGCGTAAACGCAACGCGCCGGTATCTTTGCGAGTCACTTTCGTTCCAATACCGCTACACCCCTATCGGATTATTGGAACGATTACCTGGACGTATCAATGATCGTACACCAACATTCCGAGGTAGAGACGACCTAGGTGAACCATCTGTAAGACTAGTTTCGTAAAGTTGTGCTAACGTCAAAGGTCAGAAACGTTACTGGCTAGCGATGATAGCAGAGACTGGGTCAAAATTTCGGAGATGTTCCTTGGACCCGCGCCCGAGGCTTGGTCTTTCACGCCAAAACATAAGAGCAACTCGTATGACAGTCAGGGCTGAGCGTTAAATATACTAACAAACGGAAAACACGTAGTATGTACGCCTGTACTTATCTTTCAATACTGAAACTTGGCAGATTTAGCAGGTTTCATCAATTGAACGGGTGAAGAGTCAAATCATAATCATGCATATGAGATTGTCCGCGTAATGAAAAAGTCGTAGGTTGCTCACAAGAATATTGGATTGACAGTTTCGAGTGAGTAGTCACTGATCTTGTCATAGGGTCTTCGTTGGCCCCCTTTGCTAAGGGTAAGTAGTCGGAGTTGAAGTTCTTTCACCGGTTACACTCTTAGCCATTAATTTCGGGACTGATGGGGTATGGGCTACATTCCAGAACCCCTTCTCAGGAAACTCAGGGTATTGAATGCAATCGTGATGACTTTTATTGATTTGCGTGGCGGGTGGTCTGACCACCGCTGCATTTGTTGGGGATCTATGGCGTGGCTTACATAGAACGCTGCCGCTTCAGTTTTTGCGGGAGGCCCTCATCGGCCATCAATCTTTGAAACTGACCTTTTTTTCGTCGATGTGGCTTGAATACACGTTCAAGGTCAGAAGCGTTAATCGGGACTTGGTCCTGGCATTCCTTCATGAGTTGCACATCTAACCCGCATGTATGTCGTGTTTTGATTCCCGGACTCAGTCCACAACTAACAGGGATTCGAAATTGTCCTCGATGCATTGCCACCTAGTGATTCCAGCTCTTAACATTGTCGTGAGTTACATGTAATGTGATATGGCGCAGACGCTAGGATTTATTGCGGCTCCTAACACCCTTTTCTGTCGAATTCCAACAGGTTACCGCCGCCATTCACCTGATACGAATAGCCAAATTATCCAAATTATATCACTAACAGCGACTGTGTCTTTGATATTCTGTCAAAAGTGCATGAGGAATTTGAATGGAGGAAAGCAAGGGTAAACTTGAAAGTTTTCTTATGGTTTCATCGGCATTTTCGGACCGTACACCGGCTTTTTTTTAAGGTGAACGTTGAGTATGTAGTCGAGTCACGATTGAACTCTAGGCTTGGTGCTACTCAAAATTCGGCGTCTTGTTTTCCCGAGCGCAACGTTCTGAAAGTCATATTTATGCGTGACATCCGTCACTAGAGACTGAGGTAAAGTGCCATAATAACTGGACCCGCACCTGTTCATGAAAGATCTTTACAGCGTTATCAGAGATTATCAGGACCACGGTTACATTCCGAAAGAGGATGTTTGATTTCTATTGATTCAGCCTGTTCAAGTGGACTATATCATATTAGAGTGCTAGTCTTATGCTATCCCCAAGAGATCGCAATGATCAGAGAGATATCTCAGCGTGTGCGAAATGAAAGAAGGTTCATGTCGTACGGACTTTGAAGTCGACCAATCTCGGATGCAATCGACTGTGTCGGGATCGGACATGCCAGTGGGGCTGCGGAAATTCCAATGTTTTGCGTGTACGTTGAAGCTGATGTCACTGGAAAATCTCTTGTGGGTAAGATTACCGCGTTTTCAAATAGAACAGGCTGTTGTGCAATGTTCTCGCCCTGGACTTTACACTTTACACTTCACATAAGTAACCCATAGGCCAACGAATTCGAACTCAATTTGATCGTGGAGCGATTGGATCGTTCCCCGTGTCTTCCAGGTTTCCGCGGAATGAGGCCGATGATACTCGTGGTCCCAGACCATTGCAAACGCTGTCCTGGACTCTCGGTACGGATCTTTGGTGGCCACAACGATACGGCTTACATCTACTTTTCGTGTTCAGGCAATGGAACCGGTCCCGGCCTTTCTAGAGGATCCCAACGCTGGGGAGGACGTCTTGTGTACCACACGGAACCGAAGGGTACCTGCCTGTCATATCATTGGACAGAAAATCTCAACTTTCTGTCGCGTCTTTCTCCAGGCAGATGAACCACGTTTCCCGGCTAGCACGGCCGATTTCCCAGCTTCTATAGATTGCGACGTGGACTAATGTAAATTGAGTGCTTCAAGCTCCGTCAAACGGTGCTCCGAAGGTTTTAATATCCAATGAGATGTTCCTAATAACCACGATGCAATACATGTGTGGAGACCTCAGGTTTTTCAACCGGTGGAAAAGGTCCGATCACAGCATCCCGACTCTACTCGTTATCGACAGACACAGAATATCAGACGCATGCTTTACGGCGTACGATCGCGGACTTGTAAAATGTCCCTCATTTCTCTCGAGAAGGTCTAACTTTCGAATGCTAAGGGCATACCTTTATGTGCTGATGCGTTTGATCTTTGCTTCGAATACCAGCCTCATGAACGGCCGAATTGACTCCAGTATGGCTTTGCCTAGTAGCCCTGGCACCCAGTCGCGATACATCGACATCGGTGATGACAGGTCGGTCCGGTCATGGGCGCTTAATTTCCTCAATCAGACGTGACTGCGGATGTGTTCAATCGTCAGTCAATTGTCAGCAGTATGCTCGATTATTCACAGTTCAATGAAAAAACTCCCCATATGAGGCTAACATCTGTTTCTATGTTGGGTTTTCGGCGAACAAGGCTGGTCATCTCAACAACAATTGGTCTACTATACTAAGTATTCAGAAAGGTTTTAATCGTAAGCTTGATGTCCGGTTCTTTCAAAACAACGAGCTTCTAACCAATAATGAAAGAATGCCCAAGGCATGACATGCTACGGTATTCTCGCGACTCCAGTGGCGTCAACTAATAAATTGACTCTTGAACGCCTATTATCCAAATTGTCGGGCTCGGGCCCATCAACACACCATTTCACGGTGTTCCTGAACCATTTTGGCTTTCAAACGTGACACTCTCACCTTCAATGAATCCAGCTTATCCTACATCGAGTAATTCTTGATTGAACAGTACTTATCCTCAATGTTAAATATTTCAAGACGTACTGTGCTGAGATTAATGTAGATCATCGTTTCGTTCATATTCTAATCGGACCATCCACCAAGCTCAACAGCGAAAGCGACAGCAAGCTTGGAAAATTCTAGCATGTGAGCGAAGCTGAATTCATCCGAGATATCAATACGACTGATTGAACCCATTAGAACGATGATCATGGAGAAAGAAGAGAAGAAATGCGTACTCGTTCGTGGAATGAATGTTCTTGTTCGAATTCTCAAAAGTGCTCTCTATAAATAACCCATCAGAAGGCGTCCCTGAACATTTATCACCCCTACCGATTGTGAAAGCACTTGGGTATCCTGCCTTGCCCCAAGACGCGCTACAGAGTAGTCACAATGAAAAGTTTACAGGAAAATTTACAGCAGGCACATACTGATCACTGCAAGCGTATCCACACGCAGTCTTAAAACACGTTAGATATGATCCAGTTCTTTCAAAGGTCATCCTTACCTCCACGTAAGGGATATCTAGGTACGTTTCAACAAGTTCTTTGTTGAATTGCGTGAGCCTAGCAGAGCTTAGATCAGTGACGTATTTAAATGCCATAAAATAATGTACTCCGCGTCGACATAGTCGATGATGATTCCAACTTCTTCCCGGGTACCGCGCTGCACGCATGTCAATAAGAAGAGCGATGTACATCATCCGTACGGCTCACCTTGACCCATGCAGTCATGTCGAACTGGTTGGAGTTGAGCATTAGGACTCCGCGAAGAACGTACAGTGTCGTACCTGACTCATAGCAATAACATGCACAGATCGTGAAGCATAGTCACGCGCAACGGCCTGAGAGCCCAAAAGACCCCCTTCCTGCATATGTAAACATGATGAATACGTGGCGAAAGATCACTCGCATTTCACCTACCTCGGCAGAGTACCAGTGGAATTCAACAGTCTTCTTTGGGTGGAAATTGGCGGCGAGTAGTGCTCGATACGATTCAAGAATCGTGACGCTACCGGAGCCGTCATCTGGAACCTAAGTCAGGGTAGATCCTAGATTAGGGACCAAAGTTCATCATTACCGTCGGCACCTAGAATCAAAGTCAAAATATGATGGAATACGAAGTAGCAAAACCTTTTACCAGGAGCGGGTAGGAACGGCCACATGTTAGTGCTATCACAATTAAAATAAACCATGACGCTATTTAGAACGTCAGCGAGAACGTACCTATCCTGATGCGCGGATATGATGATGATGTCGTCGCTTTCCTCTGTGCCGGTAATACGTACAATCTTGGAGACAATCAGTGACAGCTTGAATCTAACGAAGGGCACTCAACGATGCTGTTCTGGCCCCAAGAATGGGGGAACTCTGTGAAACTGATGCGAGTCTGTAGAGATGCTGAACCCCATATGTCGGTTATCTGTGTGATGGAATTGTACATGGCAAGTAGAAGGCGCACTAAAACAGAACACACCTCGGATATCTTAGAGAGAAGCCATTGCTGGCTTTGCTTCCCGTACTACAAATGAATTGATTGAACACACGTCGAACTGCAAGGCACTAGTCCTCACGTCACTGCGGTAATCTGAGAAGGAGTAAATGAAAGGCCGGAGGGATTAGAAGAGTGGCAAACGTACATCTTGTCCGAAAGCTACTGAATTTCTCCAAATTCTCCTTTGGACCTTTAGTAGATAGGCTCCTCAAAATAGGCTTCACTTTCTCAGTGGCGTTCGGCGACGGATACGAGGCTGTAACAACCAACACATGTTTACTGGCTGGCGCCGTGACTAAGAACGGATAGGTTCACATACACTTGCGGTGGATCCGGGAGAAGGCAAAGGATTCTAAATCCTGGGAGTTGGTGCTATACATAAACTCGGTAAATCCTAGGTCTAGATAGTGATGAATGGCTCACATGTCGAAAAACTTGACGCCTTGCGCTTTCAGCTTGATCTGAAGCAAACTGAGTCGAGACAAGAGACAGGAGAAGGAAAGCGATACCTTGTCCAGTTCCGTCATCCAAACCGCGGCTTGCCCCTCCATTTGGACGAGCCTCTGGGCGCTTAGATCTAAATGAAAGCCTGGCTCAGTTACCGAGGACTGGAATGCATGCTGGTCGAGCACCACGGGTGACGCCGCAGCGAGGCAGGCGAGAGGCAAAAGGAATGAGAGAGACTTCATGGTGGTAAGAAGGGAAGGGAGGTGACTAGGAAGGAGAACGAGCGCACCGTCGCGAGGCACTTGAACTGAGTGACGTCGCCCCGTTAGATTACGTTACATGTACATTTCCCTTCCTTTTTCGTACCTTGATTCTTTTCAGTCATGGCAGCAGCTGCGAAGGACCAGCTTGTGGTAATTTCTGCATCATTACCCTACAAGTAAAGCTTTTCATAAATATTTCTTAGCGCATTCTTATCGCGGCAGGGAAAGCAGCGCCCACGCCACCAGTGGGGCCGGCACTTGGTGCTCGTGGCGTCAAATCCATGGACTTTTGCAAGGAGTTCAACGCAAAAACAGCCCATATTGCACCGGGGACGCCAACTCCAACTATAATACGCGTTCGACCAGACCGAACCTTTTCATTCGTCACAAAAACTCCTCCCACCGCCTATCTTCTCAGACAAGCTGCCGGAATTGAGCAGGGCACTGGAAAGCCCGGCCACGAATTTAATGGGACTGTCAGTCTGAAGCATATCTACGAGATTGCTAGGATAAAGTCCACAGACGAGCACATGAAGCATCTCCCTCTGGAATCTGTCGCCAGGATGGTCGTCGGCAGCGCCAAATCGCTGGGCGTTCGGGTTGTTCCTTGAGCGCGTCCCTGTAAGTAAAACTTGCATTAAATTTGTCTTCATATGTGAAAGAGTCCTCGATCTTATCTGGCTCCCAGATTGTTGCCATGTTCCGTCAGTCGATGTCGGCGTCGGTGCCTAATAACAGTAGATCATTAATAACACTATCTATAATCCAAGCCGTTCAGTTATGAAACGTGAGTTTTCGTCCTAGGTCTCTATTTGTGAGAGTCAAATTTTGGATTGAGATTCATAGCCTTTGCTGATTGATCGCCCAGCCTTTGGGCGAGAGCTTGTTGCCGTTCTTTGTATACGAATCCAGCATGAGGCACTTGCATTTCCATTTCCGACATTTAGATTTTCCGGCCTCAAATACCTCGTATGTCCTTCCAACACCGGCAGTTCATATTTTTCATTAAGAAGTCGGACTCGAGCAAGACGACCCATAAATCTATCTTATCGTCCTCAGCTTTCAGCCGGATTCAGTAATACCGTCACAATGTGGACCTCACCGTCAACATGCTGTCCTAAGCCCCGGATACAAGTTACACGTTCATGTCGTCCCTTCGAAGCCCAATCCACTATCTGGTACCAGAATTTCCTTATACAGCTGGCCCCATGGACAAGGAGGTGGTCAGTACTGAACAATCCTTCTTTCACGAGCGAACTGATACGCCGTGGATTTCCTCATGTGCCACATTGACTGTCCGTACCGCGTATACATTTAATGTCAAGTGGGGAAACTTTCGGCCCATGCCGACTACTGACAAACTGCGACGAGGCATGTCGCAAGAAATTTCAGTGCTTACTCTTAATTCGTATGGGTTTTTTTCGAATCGATCATCCTGGCTTTACTTACAATCGGAGTCTTACTCTATCGTCCAAGACTGGCCGTGATTCAGCCCTAGACTTCTCTAACACGTTCACTGCGTCACCTTTATCTTTTCGCGGTCGACACGTTCCCGATCGTTCCTTTGGGCTTTCGGTGAAAAGGCCAACATGAAAGGTTTTACCAATTTGACCTCCCTCCGAGTATAAAGTTCGGATACTCTGGTCAAAGTTCTTCAAACTCTTCCGCTGCTCCGACTTCTCTCTCCCCTCCTTCCTCTCCCAAGAAATGGCTACCCCTTCTGATGACATCTTGTCTTGGACCAACCAGGACCCCCGCGAAAGTCAGTTGTTCAACTCCTGGGGCGTCCTATATCGATTTCAGGTACGGCTAGACTTCGCAGAGAAGGAACCATAGACTGACTGTTGTATTCTTAGACTACCGTAAGTCCTAACGGACAGAGCGTAACCACGCTCTGGCGGTCCATCCGAACGAACAAGGAAGACCGCGTCGCCAAACTCGAGTGGGCCGCCAACGGTGGTCTTGGTCGAATAGTCATCGGTAAAGTTAGTTCTCTTTCCGCGCTACCTCCTCGCCGTAGAAATTCATTCTGACGTTATGTCATGTAGAACACTCTGCCGATGTCCGACCTTGTTCTGGCGGACCCACGCATATACGTGAGCACTTCACCCTTTTCAGCTGCGACGTCCGCCTGATGAAAACGACCTTTTATAGGGTTCTCGCGTTTTCAATGGTCCAGATGGTCAGCAATACCGGTGGCGCCCTAGTACTACCAGCTCGGACATCGTGGTAAGTTTTTGATTTATACGATGGTAGTGTATAGCTTACGTCGACAACGTAGCTCCAAGATGCAAATGGCGCCGTTATTGCCTTCTTCCGCTCTACACATCCAACACGGTACCAGATCGGCGATGTGTATTGTGAACTGCACTTTATACGGACGGCAGGGTCAGGAACAGTGGTAAGCCAGATGTGGTCTTGAACGCTATACATTCACTGAATCACGGAAGATGCACCCACCAATCATGGACATGGTCACTGTGACTGCTATGCTCTACCGCTTCTGCGCGATGTTCAACCTGAAGTAGCAGCCAGACATGAAATACGCAAGGAGTGTTTAGTTCCAATATCCCTTTAGGTTCATGAACAGTGTACCATATTCTATGTTCGACAGTTTTGCATAATTTATGATTTTCAGACAAATACACGTCAAAAACGAACGAGATAACCGGTCACACCTTCATCGATAGTGAATACATGCCATCAGGTCTGTGCCTCACGTGAAGGAGTGCGGGAAGAAAGAACCCAGACCGCGATGAAATCATTTGGGCACGATGCGAGCCGCGGTCTGCATCGTGGCAAAGATGTCATACGTACTGATCTCGAGTACTCTGACAAGTCTCTATGATTGGATAACAGTTTACGATCAAAACATAACAAGAACCGAGGTTTGTACAGAGTACATGTATCGAAATTCCCATCAGCCCCCAATCACAAGACCTCCCCTCGTTGTTCACAATTTCACTTTCTCGTGGAACTCGTGGCCATCTGATTTTACGCCATCCACAATCGTGTCCACGGTACGGATAACCCATTCGGTGCCCTCGTCACTGGAGAGCCACGCGTCTTCTTTGCTCTGGTTCTCCACAATGCGAGCCTTCAGCAGGCCAAAGACATGGCTGGTGAGCTGGGGAACGACGCGTTCTTCTGCGCGTAGACAAGCGATGCCTACGACGGAGCCGAGCGCACGACTAAGATTTCCCTGATCAGGATCTTTGATGCTGCTCGACTCCGCGTACCCCTTCACCCTTCCCGGAAGAGGGGAAAGCACGGCACCGTAGCACTGGATGATGAAAGCTATCGGAGCAAGTCATCAGATAATGTAAAGCTTCCATGATCATGTAGGGAAGACGTGTTTGGAAATTGAAAACGTGCCGGTATTGGGAACGGTGTGTCAATCAGCGGGAATGTGTACGCACAGATGAAATCTGGATGATAACCGCCCAATTTGTCGTGTAGTTTATCGGCATAAGGTGTATAAAGCGCATCCCAGAGAGCTTTACCCCGCACAAGGGTCGATTCAATGTTCTCGGCGGTCGCAATTCTGCAATGAATAGGATTAATGCCCAAAGGAAATAAAGATTTAAGGCCCGATGGGAAATTTGAGCTGAATGGCAGGGAAAGTACCTGCGAGAATCCTTCCTCAAGGCCGCCTTTACCTCGTCGTCAATTGCTTCATTCAATGCGGCCAGGGATAAGATGACCTGGAATTTTTGAATGTCGTAAGAAGGACGTCTTGATAAGGCCAACGCATACCCGAGGAACGCCGACGAAGATTGTGCTCTTCAGCGCAGATTCTCGCACGAGGGCAGCCTTATTGACAGCTTCCAGAACGCTGCTTTTACGACTCCCTGTGGTCTCATCGGTGTCGGTTATGAAACGATAGAAGTGAGCCAGAGTGGGAGGGCGATTAAGCGTAAGAAGTGTGCATGTCTAGTACGAAATCCATTTAAAACAGGTTGATATGCGAGTGCGTTGCATTCACCGTCAATACGAGCCAGCCGGTTTCAGCCTGGCGCGACTGTGCGTCTCTGTATGTATTCGAGAGAATCTGGCGGAGTCTGGTGGAAGTTGGACTTGGCAGAGGATTCGGATTGTGAAGGGTAAGCAAGTGTTTGATGGCAGGCGAAAGCTTGACCATACTTCTACCGCGAAACGAAGATATCTTGGTATCCTTCGCTTTAAAATTTGCTTTATAAGAAGAGTAAGAAGAATACAAGTCTGAGCTTATACTTTTCAAGAGCGTTTGATCGGTATGTGGCTCATAGTAGAGCCGGCATACAAAAGGCACCGGCCCTTAAAGCACGTTAGTGTATCATACTTTGAGGGACAGACTGTGGCTCAACTACGAGAAAATCCAATCTGGGAGGACCCGCGGATAAATGAAGACACATACTAATGCAATGTAGATAAAATGTTACTAAGAAAACAATAATTCACCGAGGGCAATAATTCATCGAGATCAACGATGCCGATAAGACCAAGTGATCAATAAACAAGGCTCGCAAGCTCGCCCGACTACCCGTACTACGGGTCTGAAAGATGTGGGAATGTAATAAGGGTATCGACCAAATCCATGTATATATGGGAGGGAAAATTGGCGCTTCCGAGTGGAAAAAAAAATAAAAGTTTAGTAACCATTGATAAACCTATACCCAAGACTGTTAGGCAAACTGTCTGAGGCCATCAGCTGGCATTCGACGTTAACATTGTACATGTCGAGCATAGCACCTAGAAGCAAAGGCGCTCAATAACCAATCAAAGTCAATGAAATCTGCTACTTACCGAACCACATGTAACTTACAATCCAGTCAGTGGAATCCATCCATGCAGTTGTAGTGGCCAAGAAACTCCAAATTTCGTCTGATGTACATTGGGGCCCATTGTTAAAGTTCTACCGCGTTTAAATCAATCACAATTCCCACCGAAGTGTCATGAAAAACCTTACTTGGCATGCGTACTCAGTAACCAAGATTGGGAGTTTGAACGTGTTATAGAAGTTGGTCTGATACGTGATGAAATCTGAGGCAGAGACATCATAGTAGTGCGTAGCGATGGCATCAATCTAAGGGAAGAAGGTGAGAACGAAGGGTGTATAACAGATTGGTATCTTTACAGTGCATCCAACACATTGAGCGAAGAACTCTTGAGTCCAGGTGAAGCCTGCGGGACTGGAAGAGACGGCGGGGGCAACGAGCTTGTGCCCATTGGCCTTCTGAGGTTCAATGTACTGCCACCACAACTGAACGGCATGCTCAGGAGTCATGTTGGACTGAGTGGGCTCATTGGGCCTAGGCGGGCACGTCAAGGAAAAGAAATAAATCGGTACATGAGCTTAACATACTCGTTGAAAGCTAGAATGTAAGTGGGGGTAGTGTAAGAGCCGATGTTCTGTTCAAATTCCGCAATATCCTTGTCACCCCAAAGTTGAGGGAGGACTTGGAACCCAACATTGGAGGCAGCAGGAAGGGGGTCACTGCCCCAAGTGTACAGGCTGTATAACGACGCGTATATAAGCGATATGCAAAAGAAAAGCTAATAAAAAACTTACTATGTCATATGGTTAGTCTTCCAGTCACCCAGTGTGCCAGTGTTGCCATTGGGCCATGCCAGACCACCTTTGGGCCCAGTCCAGACACCCGAGCTGGAAGAAGTGGTAGCAGAGGATGTGGAGGAGGCGACGTAGGTGCTCGAAGAGCTAGTTGTGGTAGGCGCTATATAGGGGGGGGCCGAAGAAGTGGAAGCGGGTGTGTACGAAGATACGGTTGAAGAAGAGACTAGCGACGAGGACTCGCGAACCTTGCAGCGCTTCGAATTCGAACGCTTTTTCTTGGAGACAAGCTCACGACGCATACCATGGTGGACACCACGGCGATGAAAATTCTGACCGTGAAAATCAGGAGAAAGAGCAGCGACTGACACTGGGCTGTAAGACAGGGCGATGACGGCGAGGGTCGCAGCTGCGAGTAAATTCAAGAAATTAGACGGGGCCATTTAAAGTGGTCGTAAAAGAGAGACGGTAAAAAGAATGGAAGGGCGACCTAGTAGTCGGTCGCTGGGAGAAAAGAGGAAGTGAGTGAGGGGAGCAAGAGTGACAACTAGACTTGGCACCCGTCTTGTTGAAACGTCCTCCTATATATTTATCCGGCAACTTCCGTCTCCAATTCAGGTCCCAGCACGACCCCATATCCCTTCAAATTTTCAGAGCTGGCAATGGCTTCAAAAACGAGCTCAACAAACGCGTCGAATTTTGTGATCTGCTTGAAGATTTGCGTCGCAGGCAAATTAAATTGCTGCGCAGCACTACTCTGCATGCGGCCACCGGCGTTGCTATGGGACTCAGTGGCTGTGACTCAATGTGTGTCCTTATTTCGACCACTCTGCCTGGCAGAACGAGCTCATCAGCTCAATAATTGGCGCATTACAACTGAAACGTCATGGCTCTACGCTTGTAAACTCGCGTATTTTTTTCAAGAGACGAGCACCAAAAATATGGCATGAAGGTTGATACCAAAGGTTCATCAGAAACCGACAAAGGAGCAGGTCAACAGAGCCAAATAAATCATAAAAGGAGCAGCGTCAGTGGAAATTCTTCAACCCTCAAGTTTTGACACAGAAAACCGGTTCATCAAGCTCCTCCAGCTTCCCGCTCTCGAAACATCGTCTCACCGCCACCTTATAATGTCTGAAGCCCAAGTCGCCCAAGTCGCTCAGGACGGCGCGCCTCCGGTTACGCAAGACAAGGAAGAGACTGGCTTCAAGGTTCGCGCTTCCTCTTTTTTTTCTCCTTTTTCTCCTTCGTAATTTCACTTTCAGGTCTTTGCCGGCAATCTTGCGTATGCTACCACGGATGAAGGGCTGAAGGCGTTCTTTGCGCCTGTCCAGAACGATGTGTACGTGAACACAGCCCCGCGCCACTTGTTCTTTCTCACCCTTTCTGCAGACTTTCCGCCCAAGTGATCCTGCGTGGTACCCGTTCTGCAGGCTATGGTTTCGTTGCTTTGGCTACCCAAGAGGCTGCCAACAAGGCAGTCGAAGCTCTTGATAGGACAGAGCTCGATGGTCGTCAAGTAATCATCGAAATTGCCAAACCTTCTGAGCAAAAGGACAAGGAAAGGAAAGAGAGAAAGGCCAAGAGGAGACCCGGCAGGCGTGGCAGCAAGGCCGTTCCCGGGGAAGTCACAGAGGCCGAGGCTAATGGTGAGATCGCTGTTGCCGTGGAACCTGCCGCCGCCGCAGTGGTCACCGATGAAGCTGCCAAACCCAAGAAGAAGAAAAACGCGGTCAGTTTCATCTAAGTCACCTTTCAATTGTTTTCTATAACGTGTCTTCTGACTTTTTATTATGTATTAGCGCAAGAACAAAGCAAAAGCTGCAGTCGAGGGTGACGTCGACGCTCCAGCCCCGGCTGTGGAGGGAGAGTCGGCTACGGAAGCTGTTCCCAAGAAGAAGGCCCGTAAACCCAGGACCCTTCGCACTCCCCGTCCTGCAGGCGAAGACCCCGTCGGCGAACCATCCGAAAACATGTTATTTGTTGCCAACCTCGGTTTCAACATCGATGACGATGGTCTCAAGGGTCTTTTCACCGAGGCCGGCATCAATGCCATTAGTGCGCGCATTGTTCGTCGCCAATGGGGTTGGCCAAGGCGCAGCAAGGGTTACGGCTTTGTGGACGTCGGTGGCGAGGAAGAGCAAAAGAAGGCTATTGCTGCTTTGGAAGGAAAAGAGGTCGGTGGCAGAAACATTGCTGTTAAGGTTGCTGTCAACACTGCCCACGACGATGACGTGCATGAGGGTGGCGCCGCGGAAGACGCTGTTGCTCCTGCCATCATCGCCGACGCTCCTGCTGCGACGGTCTCTGAAGCTTGAAGTCTCGCCTGCTTAACGGATTACGATAACAGCGGCCTTGATCACTGCTGACTTTGTTCATCATTCCATGCTATGCCCCTCATTCATGCTGCTACTCGCTTTCACGAGCCGCGAATTGCACTTGTTGATACTTAAATTTGTCCCCACTTCGTATCGTTAGCTACTATTTTCTCTCAAGTAGTCAAGGCCATTCGCGGTCCTGGTGCTGTTATTTACTTTACTGTAAACCTCATATGTGCCGTTTTCCTGTCCAATAACGACACCGTTCATGATTTTTTCTTCTTTTTATTAGCTCAATAAAAGGGTTGTGGATTTGGACTCAATTTTTTTTTGATGACATCATAATGCCATTCAATCACCTTAATCATGTCCGATGACGAGGACGACTATCTTTCCGACAAATTTCTCGCAGAAAGCACCTCGTCGACACGCCCTCAGACGTACAGAAGCCTGCGCAAGGAAGCCCAGAAGAAATCTCTGCTGAAGAATGAACAACATCGTCAGAAAAGTCGTTATCAGCGTGAGGTCGATGCCCGTGAAGAAGGCCTGAGGAAGAGTCTCTTCACTCGGGCAAAGGAGGAGCAAGAAGCAGGCATCGCTACCGACAGCAAGGCCATATCTATAATGATGAAAATGGGCTTCAAGCCGGGACAGTCTCTGGGCAAAACAGATGATGAGCCAGCGGAGGCCGCGCCTAGCATCGACATTGCCAGTTCACCCAAGAAATCCGGGGGTCATAAGGTGGAACCGCTTCCACTGAACGAGTGGGAAGGTGAGCTGTTTTTCCGTCGCAGTTGCCGATATCTTTGCTGATAGCCGTGTCTCCCAGGAAGAAAAGGCATCGGCACTCGCAAGCGTGCACCTTCTCCCACGTCTGCGGAGCGTATCGCCAAGATGGCCAAGATGGTCGAAACAGTTAAACAGTCTAATTTCCGCGACCGAGCAATGCAGGAATACGCGGAACGTCGTGCAGAGGGCAGGCTGTGTATGTCGCACTTTCTAGATTTCATCAGTTATCCTGATATCCGACGTCTCTCCGTTTCTTATGCAGTATCGGCGCAACGCACATGCTCTAATCTGGATGAGAAGACTGCAATCGAGGTTAGTACACGTACTACGCTGATATTGTTTCCATCATACTGAATATACACGGTGTTTCTAGTTCAATGTGCTATGGTTAAACCCTAACAACCTGGAGTCTTTTCCCAATGGTCTGATGGAGGCTCTTGAGCAACACACTACCCTATCTCTTCCCGTGGCTCGCCAGCACCATAACACCTCCTTCGAGACACGACTTCGCCAACAAATGCAATCAGATGCTCTTCAACCCCTCGACGACGTCACTGATCAAGACCAGAAGGCAGTTGCTGCAGATCCCGAATTCTCACCGGAAACATTAGAGGAAAGCGCACAGTTCCTTCGTCTCCAGGTCCGTTCTGCCCTATTCATTTGTTTCCATGCACTGCTTACCGAAATGTATTAACAGGCACAAGACCGTTTGGAATTGGTATTATCGTACCTGCGGGACCAATACTGGTATTGCTTTTGGTGCGGGACGCAGTACCACAGCCATGACGAAATGTCCAACGATTGTCCGGGACCTGAAGAGGATGATCATTGACCGATAAGTATTGTTTCATCCTTCTTTCGTTTGTGAATATCTCAAACGGAAAGCCGTTGTCATGTCCTCCCTGTTCGTGTGACGCATTCCTTGATATTGGTCGTCATCCACTCCTCTTAACTTAGCTCAGTCCCCATTTCTAAATGGTAATTTGTGTTATAACTATATCGTACACATCAACGAACAGTGGCAGTACACAATTGTTGTACCTGTCGAACTAGCTAACAATCCCCAAAAGAACGCTATTACCAAGGCTAACTACCTAAAGAACCTAGTAACCAAGAAGAAAACGAAAGGAAAAGTCCAAGGGATGGTGGGTAGGTAAAAAGCCCTATCGGTAACAGTTGCTATACGCAAACGGAAGTAATGTTACAATATGTCCAGTCTGTCCAATGAATACGTACGGCTGAATTATTTACAACGTTATCTCCTGACTGAAGCTCTCGAGGTAAACAGTATACGGCCTTGGATGTCTTTCGCCATCGGCGGAGCGAGGTGGCGTAGAAATCCGAGTACCAGTGTGACAGCGAAAGCGACCGAAAACATGGCCTTCTAGCAAGTCGGGGATTGCCTTGGCCTTAATAACAGGAGAAGGAGAGGGCGAATTGGCATTGCGATCAGACAAAGGACGCTTTTCATCCGAGTCTGGTGTTATAGGGAAGTGGTCGGAATTGGGGGATAAAGGAAAGAGGGACGGAAGAGTAGGTAGGGTGAGCAGATGTGGTGATGTATCACGAGAATCCGGAAGGAAGATGGAGGTTATAGGGGAGGCACCGGGTGTCTTCCGACGAACATAGATTGATATTGGTGTGGTGGCGGAAAGGTCTGTAGACGAGCCAAAAACATTGACTGTCAGCTTGTTGTCCTTCCGTTTACGAATACGAGGTGAGCCTGGATGATTCTGGGGATCCTTCTGAATATCGTATCGGAGTAAATGAACGATGTGCTTACGGGCAAGACACGCCGCTCAAGATCAGGAGAAGATGAAGATGTTGATGTTGATGAAGAGGATACACTCCCACGTCTAGAAGAAAGCTGCGGAAACGAGGAGTTACTTCGATGACAGGGGGAAGAGGGAAGACTACACACTGTTGGAGAATATGGTGAGTAGCGAGCTTGGGAAGTATGACGGGCACTCCGATCTCGCGAACTTGTGGGCGAATACAGTAAGTGTGGCGAGGCAGAACGAGAACGAGGCGAAGATGTCGGGTGATCCAGCGCCTTAGAGGCTGAATCAACACCCAGTGTAGATATCAGTTCAACGAATGAAGGGAGCGTGGTCATTGTGATTATCGGGAAACAGGCCCTAGCAGAGCTGGCGGTGAAAACCTAGCTGAGAGGTATCGTGGGGAAGTACCTGGCGACCTGAATACGTCCAAGTAACCAAGATTATAAAGGCACAGACATCGAGACGCCTTAGAAACAACCCCACGGTCATGTTGTCAGGCCATGTTACAATTACCGCGAAGACCCACAGGCCATTTGCCGGCTATAAACCTTGAAAAAGTAAGACATCAAGACCGGTCGGCAAGGAGACCCTTGTTGAAGGTTGCTGATTTAGCTCGCGGCTTATCCACAGGCGCTCCGGATTTATAATATTTCCAGATATCGATCAGATGTCGACCGGAAGGGTCTCTCCCCAAGCGTGTAGCTGGGCGCTGGTTCCCATCCTGTGGATACACAGGTCAGAAAAGGTGGAAACGGAACAGGCTCAGGTAAACTGGCCTCATGTTGCAGCTGACAACCCATATCTCTACGCAACTAAGTCCTCCATCACAGCTGTAGGATGCTGCGTGTCAAACTTTGGACGTTCAACGTTCAACACTTCGGTCGTCATACAAACTACAGCTCCGTCGAATGCAATGCGATGCACAGCACAGCCTCGGCTAAAGCATAAAATGCACAGTGGCGACACACCCTGTATGTCATCGGCTGTTGATTCGTGATTGACGGGAATTGGATAGTTGATGCCGACTTGGAAGGCTCCCGCAGAAAAATCCCGTCCTTCCGGTAAATAGCACCGTGCACCCCGGTCGCCACGGCGGGTGAATCAACAGAGCTAAGGAATCCCTATTCTGGCGATGCTGGATACAAGGCTAACCAGTATATGAATTCAAGCTGGCAATTGCTTCGTAGTCGTCCTCTTTTCCAAGTTGGTTACCATTTTCAAACCGTAGTTAATGATGAAACTTTCTCGAGCCGATACCTTGTCGGGGAGTGCGGCCACAGCTGCGCACTCCAAACTTTGAGCTGATGTCATGACTCTGTTCAGCAGAAATGTATGGTTAGAAGGTCAGCGACCACCATCAATTGTTGAGGGACCAAAAGCCCATGAGATCATATGCTCGTTCATACCAAAAATGCTATTCGTATCAGAAAGTGGTAACTGCCCCGAGGACCGCTCGCTCTGCCATCACCAGTCTCCAAGATGTCGCACCCAGAGATTCAAAAAACAGGTCACTACGACCCGGTCCAGAATGCTTTCCACGCGGGTTGCTACGCGTAGGGTAAGGTCTTCCTGCAACCAAGTAGCAATTGTTTTACCCCGTGAGTCGACACACTAAGAGCGGTTAGGATACGCTCGGGCGAGAAGAGCGACATCAGCTTACGAAAAGATCCATATTATTGTCTGCAATTTTCCACTTGTACTCCGAACCACCTACTTTGAAGCGACGCGATCTATGAAACGCATCAGCGCCAAGTATTCGTGGATGTAAGATAACACTCACTGGCTGTTAGACTTCTTCGGTTTTCTGAGTTCGCGGATATGATACTGAAGATTCAATCGATACGGAGGTGAGTCAATGATATGATAGACGCTCCCTCACCTGATTTATCCCAAACTGGATCGTGGCGTTGGAGTTTGAAAGCCATTCGATCTGGCCCGCCGTCTCAAAGATATGAGTAATGAGGTTTTGTCGATGGAATGTAGTCAGTCCTGCTACCAGGCCAGTTATTGGATGGTAGAACTGTTGAGATGGCAATGTCAGAAATTAACAGTAGATCAGAACTGTAAGCATAACTACTCACGCGATAGAGCTCGATAATACCTGAGGACGCAGAGTCCGGCAACCGATACACCTTAAACGTCCTCATGTCAGAGTTAGACGAGGCGGAGAACTCAAAGCGAAGACAGATATCAGAGGCGGAAGACATGACGGTGTAAACGCTCGGGTTCCAGGCCTGGTTTTATTACAGAGGAACGGGTGCAGTTTCGTCGATTAACGGGACCTTAGATCTATATGTCGTCAAAGCAGGATCCACAAGTTGTGCCGAGCTGAAAAGCAAGGACTCGTCGAAAAAGGCTTAGGACGGATATGAATTTACCATCATTCCGGGCCCGGAACATAGGCTATGAGTGTCACTAGGCAGGAGAAAGAAGGGTAAGCCTAGGACACGAGGAGCCAAGTAAACGTGGTCTCGGAGTTGATAGAGCAATATTTCATCGATTCTGAAATTCTGCAGTCATCGGACGATCGGCATATTGGATGAGGAAAGCAGTCAGGACCCAGATAAATGGAATGCATGCATGTTCAAACGTTCAAGGCCCAAGTTTTGATGTACCATTATTAGAAGATAACGGTGGCGGTTTAATACAAGAGACCAGCCCCAAGTGGATCAGAGGACTCGTCCACGCGCTCGGTATAGTTAGACCACCTGTAATCGGTGGAGCGGCTGTGGGCCTTATTGGTTTCGGTTGAATACAGACCCGCCAAAGTAGTATGATTTTGAGGTCTGCGTATCGCTGAGCTAGTAGTGGCACAAGCACAACGCAAGCAGAAAAACCCTGTCTGGTACACGGAGATACAGTCAACTCGGTGTGGTCAGAGCCTCGGCCGACTACAGGGGAAGAAGAGGACATATACCACTAGAACGTCGAAGTTTACAGACGTTCTGTGAACTCGGAAGAAATACGCAGCAGACTAGAAGCTGTGGCGGGCACAGGCAGATAGGAAAAAGTATCAAGGAAGTTGCACAAGACATTATTCCCTGTGATTTGTCCGTCAGATTGCGCAAATTACCCTGGACAACTGTGGCAGCTGGCTGCCGCGAGGTTGAAGCGGACTGGTCACATGATGGCATCTGTTGTGGTTTGTTTCCCAGCGGGCTTCCGGTTTTGAGCTTTGCCGGCATGGTTCGTAATACTTCTCACCTCACTCCATGCCTGAGTCTGCAGATCGTAGTGTTTCTCGAGAAGTGGAGGTCTGTTTTATTCCTTACGGATGCAGTCCTGTTTTTGAATGATTCCCTAGGATTCCGAAAACGAATCTCTAGCGGGCTCTACAGCCCCTGGTAAGCCTGGCCGAAAGAAAAATCCAAAGTGTGTAATCTTTTCATAGTCATGATTCCAATTTTGCTTACGCGTCCGGTTCCACAAATAAGCTCACAAGCAGCTAGACGCGACCAGAACCGTATTGCCCAACGAGAGTTCCGTCTGCGAAAGCAACAGAGGGTAACTCGTTCTGTGTATTCGTTGCCATCCATGCTTATTCATGACGCCAGATAAGGGATCTTGAGGCGCGAGTGGAGATACTTTCTGGAGGCAAAGATGAAGTCCTTGGTGAAATGCGAAATATTCTTAAGGGTGAGCACTTATGACTATATCAAGGTCCAGTTCTAATGTATTTGTAGACTTGATGACAGAGAACCAGACACTTCGTGGTCTGCTGCGAAGCCTTTCGGGATTCATCGGCGAGGGTGCTGGAGGGCTTCTTCCAAAGCTAGGATGGGAGATGTCAGATTTCAACAACTTTATCAATAGGACCGAGACCGATACCGCCTGGGAAGGCTACCAGCGACGCAAGAAGAGTAACGCAGAAGTGGCGCAGTCGTCAACAGGTGCGCAGAAGCGTGCCGCCGAAGACGAACTCAGCGCACATTCCAAAAAGCCGAGAGGCGAAGATAACATTCCAAGCCCTTACATGATGATGTCGATGAACCAACCCCCGATGAATCCTGGATCCGTGTTCCCGGCTTCCAGACCTTCTCCGCAAGGGGGTGATCTCTTTACAGACATGATGCGCCACAACAATGAATCTTCTCTGCTAATGCAGCCAACGAGCGCTAACGCCAATACGCCTCCCCAGTACAATGGCGGTCCTGGATCGAACGTCTATCAACCTTATGTTCCAAACGTTCACATGAATATTGACTCTGCGCTGACGTCTATGCCTTTCACCCCTCCTTCAACTGCTTCTGCTGCAATGACGCCCGTAACGCAATCGAAACAGCCTACTCATATTTCAAACGACCCTGTCGACGATGAAGATGATCCTAACAAAAATGAAGCCTATAAGCTTATTCAGTCAGCATTGCTATTCTCTCTTTAAAAGAGTATCTCATGAACATTCTACCAGTTATCACTTGGATAACTACAAGAGAAATAGCGCCTACTGTCTACCATCCTCCTTGAGACCGACCTTGGTGCAAAGGCAAGTAACAAGTCTTTTGTTCCTTTTCTGTCCCCTTGACGACTCTTATTCAGGACCGTTCCCCATGGTACGAGACTAAACCCATCTGGCGTCGCTAGTGAATGCTGATACTGTATCAGAGAGCGTTATTGACCGAATTCTGCATCCTGAGTTACGCGACCGCATGATTTTGTTACGAGGTCAGCTTGATTGTTCCTTTCGATGGATCTACGTTGTCTCACATCATTCCAGGACGCTTCGATCTTGTGGACTGTCTCCTTGAATACCGAAATGCGGTTACTATCCATGGTGACGATGTCTTAGCCCACAGCAACTGGGAAATCAATGAGAAGTGGCTTAGGCAATATGGGTATGTACAGTTCCACAACATCTATCATTTTATACTAACTGAGCATGACAGGTTCCTAGTTGAACAAGCCACTCTCAACATTATGAACCGCTGGAGAAGGGAAAGAGGGGAGCCGGATTTACGTCTTTCCGATATCGCGAGTTCAGAGAATACTCCTGCGTCCACATGAAGTCGCTATTTGTTTGTATCTTATTTAAGTTAGAATCTTTTCTAGATTATCATCATGTGCAGCTCTGTACCATTTAATTAGCGTTCGCCCTACCGATTGTTTTAGTAGTCGATAAGCAGTAAAAATTGTATCCATTACCTGGGTGTTGTCGACGGAGACGAATCTACCATGACGCTTTCTTCACACCATTGAGATTTCCCGCAAGCGCTTGCTGACGAAATTGAAACTTTTCATGCATGTCAGAACATGAGGGGCTCCCTGTAGCCAAAATGCTTGCTCACCCTGCACAATGCAAATTCACTCATAATGCCTCGCCCCCGCCCCGTCTCGTAGCAGCGATTTTTGACCGTCGAAGGACGCGTGTATTTCCCAAAGGTGTTGAGCTGTAACTGGGCTTGGTGGCGAACCTGAGCAGGCAGAGACTGGTTCCGAGAGACGTAGAGGTAGGCTCTGCGAGCAAGTTCGTTAACTCGAACACCATTTCGTGCCTTCATGTCACGGATTACCCTCGCATTGCTGTAGGCGGGCATGGTGGATGATGGTGAAGAGCGGACGGAAGGCTTTAACAAACACGACCAATAATAGACGCAAATATGCCTCGGCCAGTACCGGATCAGAGAGACATTTTCCTATCGACGACGAGCAATCAGCGTCGAGGCATTTGCTGTTGAGACTCGAAATACGACTCTCACTGGGACTTTGTGCCTTGAGTATGGGTGAGTTGCTCAATCTCTTGTTTACGCTTTGCTGATTTTTCTGTAGGATGCCAGCTTTATATAGGGCACTGAGATTCACCCAACGCCGTACTTTCCTCTCCTCGATTTTTGGTGTCACGGCGGCTGCCGCAGTCCTCACCGTGTCGGCGTCGAATCTTCTTCCTTGCCCTGCTCGACCCGATAAAAGCCGTTTTGCGGACAGCGGAGTGGATACAGTACAATTGACGGGCAAAGTGGTGATTGCTAAACGACCAAGGAGGTGGATTGAAGAGAAGGACCCGACGTGCCAGAGTCATTGAGCAACACAACCTTTTGAGGAAAAGGAGAGAGTCCAATAAACCTCATCCTACCTATCTCAATGTAAACCATCACTTTCTGTTAGCCATTGACCAGATAATCTTAGTGCACACGTGTCAAAGATTTCAGCATTGTTATATTTTTGTGGAGTTACTGCATTTAAATAATACAATATTGCTTCGTGAACTATTCAGCTATCCAATGTTTCACAATTGCTTTGGTTTCTGTAATGCTGTTCCTGTTCTTCAGTGGTTCCACTAGTGGAAGACAGTCAGCCACCGCGACGGAATGTAGTCATAGTACACACGGTAGATGATTTTCTTGTATTGGAAGGCATGCTAGGAACGCGATAAAGTTCCAAGCGGCTTGACAGATAAACACGACGCGTAAGGCGTCTGCGTAAGAACGGACTGCGGCATCAATAAACCGGGGTTCAAGGGTCGGTATAATGGCCGTAGAATGACTGGGACCTGACTGAATACTCTCCTTCAAAACGCAATTAGACGCGACGTACCGGATCTCGTAAATGATCTAAGGTAAGGGAAAGGTTTCATGAGTACACAAGGCGCTTTATCAAATTCTGGGATTTACTGACCTCCGCCGAGCCAGGGTCTTGAATACGCACCCGTAGTTGATGGAGAAGAATTGCCTGCAATATTGCCCCACTTAGGCTGACGCCTAGAACCTGTCCAGTGGTCCGAAATAGATAAGTTACTGTGGGGAGGAGGTCAGCGATAGCAGGTAAAATGAATGAGCAAGACTCGCTTCCTGTCGCGACAGCCATGTCCTCCTTGAAAACGCCTGCGATCATGGCCTATAAAAAGAAGTAGATTTAATCTTTGCATTAAGTCGGGAGGGCTGGACGAACAATGAGTGTGCTAGTGATAAGACTCGCCATGCCGAATCCATGCGGGACGATGTCCAACCATAGGTGGAAAGTAGAAGATGAGTCGTTCCAGAAGATAACTAGCACACTAGCCAGTACTGTCAATGCAGATGATGCAAGGGTCAATGTGTACAATTTGCCAGTTCTACGCATCACCCTGAGACGCCGTCAGGAAGGAGCTAGTTACGACAGTGGGACATCACACACCATCCTGCGAATAAGCTTCCCGTCGGGATAGCTAACTATGATGCGAGTGTGAGGCCATTGATACCGCCGGGGATATCCATATACTCACAGAGTGGGGGAGAAGATGTAGCCCTGAAGGCAAAATGAAAAGCAGCGTCAGCGGAGCATTCCTTGCAGATGCATTTGGGAAGAAATGAGGCACGAACCAGATTCTGTGGCGGAATAGAGCCGAACTGCTGAGAAATACTGTGCAGTAGTGTTCTTCCTTGAGGCTCGGAGTGATTATGTGAGGAGAGGATGCGTACCAACGGGATGTTGTAGAGCTTTGATATTCATGCGGGTCAGTTGATGACTCGATATGACGAAAGGTAGATTACCATCGAAAATGCGGCCATGCTGCCAAATAGATTGGCGATCGATACTGCAAGCGGGGTTCTTTGTGTTATCAAATGTAGAGGCATGACAGGATATGGTGCCCAATACGTTTCCACGATAATAAACAAGACTCCAAAAATCGCGCTGGCAATGAAGAGGCCGTAGATGATTGGATGAGACCACGGCATTTCCTCCGTGGTCTTCAGACTGAATCCAAGAAGCAAACAGCCCACGGTACCGACGAGAGTCAAAGAACCCATGCCATCGATGCGGCGGAATTTCTCATATAGAGTCTGGTTCTGTACCTCGAACGGCAGCTGGATGTTTACTTTCACCGACACCAGAATGAAGCTAAATAGAAGGAGCGGTGTCTAATCCAGTAGTCAGGCAGGCCACTACTAAGGTGCGTTTCAACTTACTTGGAAGTAAAAAGCAGCTTCCCTGTGGCAACGATCAAGTCAGAGATGCAAAGAACGGAAGAAGAGACAAGAAGCTACCATCCAAACGCGTCGTTGATCCACCCACCGAGAGGCCCACCGATCCCTGCGCCAAGGCCGAAAAGGCTTCCACGACATCAAGGAGGGATCTTTCACCGTTCATGGACAGACTTACATATTCGCCATTCCCTGGTAAAGGCCTCGTTGTTTCCTTCATTACAATATCAGATCATGAGCAGTTCAATGAACGGAAAGACTTGCAATGGGATCAGATCTGTGACTACTATGCTAGAAACTGAACGAAGATGAGACTCTGGAACGGTGAAGAGCAGTCATTATATTCACCGGTCATCACACTGAATAGCGAAAGCGATGATGTCAGCGGAACGATGTTCCGATCCTACAACGGATGCGACTCACCCTCCCCCTCCCATTCCCGCAACAGCGCGCGCGGCTATCAGTGCTTCCATAGAAGGAGCCATTCCACAGAAAATAGTTCCTGAACCTAGAGGGGAAATCGTAAAGATCTGGGAGACATGACAACATAAATTAAGCGTAACACACCAAACAATGATAGGGCCAACAACATGGCTCCCTTGCGGCCCAAGATATCAGAGAGTCGACCTATTTAGGGTTCGCAGGACGTCTGAATACGCAGGGGACCACACGAACCATACAGCGGCGTAAAGCAACAGACGGACAACAGGTATGCAGTTCCAATGTAGGAGGATTGGTTGGATTTATTGAAGTGACTCCCAATGGGGGACAGTAAAGTCGCAACAACGGTCCCTAATTCAGCGACGCGTCAGGTACGGCTATTCATAGTAAGGACATCAACTGAACCGTCTAAAGCGCCCAAGAAGACGGCACTCCATAGTCCAGCAAGAATCCAGACGGTATCTGCTCGCGAAAACTTGTTTAGGGCGGGCGCGGGAACAAGTTCGCAGGCGGAATCGGACGCGAGCGAAACGACGTCATCAGAGTCACGATGTGTGATGCTTGAATAGGAATGTGGGGATTCGTCGAGCAATGGTCTCGTATCAGAGGGCAAAAATCGGGTCATTGACGTCGTACTGTATCCGGATATTATCGCGTATCAGTGGATAGAAAGGGGGGGGCGAAAAAAAGAGGCGGGACAGGCGGCCGAACACAGAGGAAGGGGTGCCTCCCTATATCCCAGGTTGTGATAACTTTTGCCTTTAAATACTGGGCGGCGTAAGTGCATGAATCGAGCAATTAGATTTCGAAAAACCCGTGCACATAGTAGTCGCTGAGATGAACCTGGACAATTTTTTGTCATTTCCGTATTCATCGGTTTGTTACCGGCACCCTGCCGTCCGGGCATCCGCTCCGATTCGCATTACATCTTCCGCTGTATGTTTTCGGATATTATCAAGGAAACCTACTTCCTCTTTACCTCTCAGTACCATTGCCCTGAACAGTCGTTCTTTCCGTCCTTGAAAGCGCCCGTTGGCAGCACTTTTGTGTGTATCACTGACAATTCCCGTTCCCGCCGCCTGTGTTACCCAAGCATGCGCCGTCATCTTTCTGATGGCGAAATAAATCAGACCAGCTATCTAGGCACTCAGCTCCGTACAAAGCCACCACCTCGCGTCTTTATTCCCCCATGCCATCATGCATCAAGGTCGGGAACCGTAACCCTTGCGGTAAAGCCTACTAATTTCATGCAAAGCCTTTGCTTACTCACTTCCGTCCATTTCTTTACCGTCTATATATTACAGCACGACGCGTTTATCGCGTTTTCAGTACGGAATGCGTTGGCTTGTAGACGCTCTGGAGGTGTCTCTCGAAGCCAAGTAAGGCTTAGAATTAGTAGCGAGACCCACTCCACTGCCTTTATCTCCTATGTGTAAAGACAATCTTTGAGATACTGGCCGAGCGCGCGAGCGCCTCACCGTCGCCTTTGTTATGTCTCACCCCCCCTGACTCGGGATTTTTCGACTCTACTTGTCATCGTCCGTGTCCTTCGAGTCGGACGGCCGACTACGATGCTACATCTCGCAGCCGGACTTACCGAACGCCTTTAGGTACATTCCACTGTTCGTCGCAATATTTCCGGGTTTCACGTCATTTCATTTAGCTTGCCGACTTTCCAACTCTTGGTTGCCGCAAAGCTGGAGATGAACACGGAGGATTAGATCCTTGTCACTTCCCTGCGTTGTGGGTCCAAATTACATTTTCCAAGTAAGCGCTCTTGATCAGATGCGTCAAAGCTTCAACTCGGATGGACGATCAACTGAATCTTCAAATGTCCGGCCGACGAATTTCTTTACCGGCACTGACTGTCAGCGCAGTGTTCCGTTTAGTGAACAAGTCGTACGCGTGCATCGCATCGTGTCCTTCGAATTTGATAGACAGGATCTTGCGTGGGTAATATTGGGGTCGATATGCCTAGGAGTAAGTGCTGTCACTCTGAATACGATGACGGCAGCCGCTTAGATGCTTAGTGTTTCCCATGATAGCAACGCAAGTTAAAGCCTCCATGAGATATTGCCGCAGAATCCGAATATACCTCTAACTGATGGTCATGGGTCGCTGGACACCTCTGCCTCTTGCTGTCTTCTTTGCACGCAGGGTCGCTACTGTTCCATTCCGACAACCTCTCAGTCGACTATAGCTCATGTCCAAAAAGTCGGCCATGGCGCCTTATCATCGTGTCCTAGCCTTCGGCCTCCTTGTACTTACTCTTCTTCCATATGCGTAAAATGAACCAACGGCAGTCGTGTTCTAGGCTCGGGCGAATATTCACCGTGGTCTCTTGGAGTTACACGAGTACCCACGAGTCTTTGGGCATCCGGCTTCCTCGTCCCTTTCCTTGTACCTCCTCAGCCGGGATGTCGTATGCATCGTCGAGACGGAAGATTCTTCGCCATGCCTCTCACTTTGTACCCCGTCGTTACAAAAATGGAAATAATATACGAGGTAAGTATATCTATCCTGGGTAGTGGCGTCGTTTGCTTAAGCCGTAAACGCCGATGCATGACCGTGACTGTTACGGCTCTACTCTCCTCCGGGTTAGAGGTGCCTCTGGATCTTCCCGCAACTGCTGACGTCACCGTGGCCGCCCAGTCCTTGCGACAGTTGTGATGCGACCTCTTCACGGGTCTGCTTCTCTGCTCCCTCACACCACCCTACGCCCACATTTACGGAAGCGTAAGTGTCAGAAGAAATTCTCCCGTTCATATCGACTTCACAAATGCGGTGAAGCGTACATAGGCATACACAGACCTGGTCTTCTCGTTCCTTGAGGCTTATTTAAATGATTCATTCCCTTTGAAAGGCTTAAGAATCAGTATTTACAGGTGTGTATGCCCTGAGAGGAATATCGTGTCTGCTGATAATCAGTTCTTAGTTTGAGCCGTTTTTAGACTACTTGCCCACTTTTACACGGTCTTCATCAAGTCCGTTTGTCCTGGAGCAGCCCTTCGCGGCGTCTTTTGTTTCGCCGTTAGGTATGAACTTGATAGGCGGTCAATACTGTATCCATTTTAGAATGACGTGGCATAGGACCAGCGAAGGCGAAGGTCGGAGAGGCTAACACAATGCAGTATCTTGGCTGCGGCATCCCATTGCGCCACTGAAGATCTCAGTTCTGTGGCTTGACCCGGACCGGTGATTTACAGTACAGACCCGAAGCAAAACGGTTTCGGTCATGTACTTATGTTGGTGCTGATGGTACATACTGTTTGCACCAAATTCAAATGTCAACGATGATACAATGTCCCCAGCCCTGTGCGCGTCAACAGGAAGATTAGGGCGAGCTTCATTCGAGGTCTCTTCAGTCTTGTTTCCTTCTGAGGCATTTATGGTAACAGCTGACGCGTGTCATGATGCGCCCCTTCTTTTATGGGTACAAGTCACGATAGACAGAGAAGAGCCTCTTTCCCTCAGAATTGGGTACAAATTATACGCAGTAGCGAAAATCAGCGCACTAGAGGGGATATAGAGAAATTTAGCACTTGTTGGGAACAATAGCACACCTGTGTGCCGTGTCCAAGCCTGAAACTACAACGTTTCACTCGCCACAATCCGTGCGTAAATCATTCTGGGGCATTGATCGACTCGTCATGATATTATATGCCCCGTTCAGTCAAAGTGCGCCTTCTTTTTCGCACAAGCAGCACTGTTGTACCGCAGGTCATAGAGTGGACGAACGGAGACTTCGCACTCAAAGGGCTATGATCAGCCTCGTGCACCGTCGAGCCTGCAGTAGCTCCAATTGTTTATTGCAAAGAAACCGGAACTCTCCATCGTTGACAGAAGGCCGCCTCGTGCCGTTCCGACGATAGGAGAGAACATACAGACCGTTTGGGCTACGATGACCATGATTAGATGAAGAAGAATAGTACCGTTGTCAAATTTCGGGTGGCTCGGTTCGTGGGTGTATAGTGGTGTTGATCGTACTCATGTCAGAAAGCTGAGAGAACCATAACAAGTATATGCAGTGGGAAACTTCAAAGAGTCAGTTGTTATTTCCATGAAGGATGTGCTTCTCGACGTAGAGAAATAGAGACATAGTCCGATGGAGAAGATGTTGTCCTCTTTAAGGCCAGTCATCAAGCCAGTCAAGGAAGGCATGAGAGATTCAGACGGGAGAAACGAAGCGGATAATTGATGTCAAGGATAGGACCCAAAGAACTTCAACATAGACATTAAGAAGAGCAAGAATGGAGATCTTCCTAGTCAGATCAACGATCATGTTCGTTGAACTGCATTTCAAGCTGATTTTCAACATATTCAATCGTCAAAATATGAATTCAAAATAAACGTCGCAAATACCGATCTACGAAGCGCTGGCTAGACATGGACAGCGTATTCATCAGTACTTTAGTGGCAAGCGCCGCGAATAAAATTGATAGGATTGAATATCTAGGCTGTTTTATTGAGGTTGGAGTACTCTGTCGAAATACTTACCTCAAGGTACGCCACTGTACGGTGTACGTGTACATGTTAGTCAACACGTCCAGGGAGGCGACTGAATAGATGGCGGGTCGATTATCGTATTTTTCACCATTTACAGGGTCTGGAGCATCAAGATCAAGTGCAGACAGTCGAGGAGGAAGAGTTGCCATAGAAATCGGTTTACGTATGTGTATCACGTGACAGTATTATACCCATTTTTCAACAAGCTACCGCTTGTTCACTCACCCTTGGACCAACAAATCTCGAGAGTCCGTTTTCTGTCGATTCCGGGCTGCAAAATAACAAAATCCGAATCCGGCCATAATTCGAGTTCCCCGGCATCATCTGTCGTACGATGACTTTTACGCCACACCCCAATCTTCGACTTGAATACGTAAGTAAATCATGTCAAGGACATTCTCCCGTACATCTCCCTTGATTAATGTTGGCCGCTTTTCGACTATTGACTTCGTATTTCGATCCCATATTTCCCGGCAACTCACTGTAACATCGCCTTTTCCTAGTTCGAGTCTCCGTCTCTAAATTCTTCTGTGTACAATCTGCCTGGACCGCTTTATGCGTGGTAAAGGTGCCTTCTCTCATGTTATTAATGGCTTTGCTCGCTGCTAGTGCGTACTGGATCCTTGTGCTACCTTGTTTCTTGTATCACCACACTGACAGCCTTTTAAGCCCGCTTCATATATCTATCAAACAGTCCGGCTTCGTTATCTATTATTGTCATCCAGAGAGCTTTCCTGACTCCATACTGGGTGACTTTCAGGACTCTGCTGGTGCTCGCCTCGGGCTCATCCGTTACTTCGCACATTGTATACCCTTCTTCTCCATCATTCTATCAGTTTCCGTCATAACGACTGGACGACACTTACCCTATAATTTACAGCAGTTCAGCCAATTTGGTCTCTGATCTTACGCTAGGTTTACGACCGCAAGGCCTTGAACCTCGTTGTTCAGCCTCTTTGCATATCACCATTCGTCCCTGGATAACAAACTTGTGCCGGAACCGATGGAAGTTTTTTCTCTTCTTTCGGACGGCTCTCTATTTAACTGCAATATTCAACGATCGTTCTCAGGCTGTTGATGACGCGTAAAAGTCCTCACGATGTGTCAAAGTGAACGTTCCTGGGCCTAAGGCTTTGAATCTAACATTTATCCGAACATTTTGCTAGTCGGCCTTCTGTATTTGGACAGGTCCGGCGCTACCTAATTTTCGATTGAAACCCTTTGAAACCCTGGCTCGACTGACGTCTTTCGTCGGAAGTTGATGGCTCGTACTCTATTTACTATCGGTAATATAACCCTGCTCAATTCTGAAGCTTGCGCTGCAGCCTATTCTTCGGACATTCCACTCCACAACCCGATTTGTTTATCTTTATGCAACTTACGCTCTCCTGGTGTCGTCATTTCTATGGAAGTCAGTTGTCTTCCCAACCAGGAGTATAACGTCCGAGCCAACTGCTGCGACGATAGGAAAAACTAGCAGGATAAATCAACTCCTATGTCAGAACTACCAGTAGTACTGCACTCGTTCGTTATTAATTATCAACACACAGCATTTTTCACGCGCTGACTGGTAACCGAGACGACATCTGAGCAGCACGATTGTCGATCTGGAGCGTGTTCTGGGACCTGCCGACTCCTTGTGTCATCCGAGGGACCTTACAGTTGTTGCTCCATATGGCTAACCAGTCCGTACTATAGCATGCGCAAAATGTGATAGTCGAGTCTGGTGAAATTCTGATTAGTCCCGTGAGGCCTCTGGTTTACCAAGACAACACTATTTCTCAGGATGTTGAATTGCCTACTCCGATCATGATACCTTGTTTTTGTTCTTAATCAGCTCTGCAGTTTCCGAAGAGCATGCGCACCCTCAGGGCCTTTTGCAGCCACTGCAACGGGGACGCAGTAATGAGTCTAGTCCGTGCCAGGAGATCAGCAGCTTCCGCTAACCCAGGTTCTGAAAACGCCCAAAACTATGGCACTGTGACAAGCGTCTTGCTAGTAGTAATGCATGGTATCATGGGTCCAATCAGTCCTTGACCATTTGAGATGTTGAGTTTGAACAGCCTGAGACCCTGAGCTACGGGTTGAAGCATCCTATTCCCCACGGCAAATTAGCGTCAGTTAGACCTTAAATTGTCCTAACTTATGAATCCACTAGACGTTGTTTCAAGTGAAATCCGCACGATCAACACTGTCTTACGTGTTTTGAACGGACATTTTCTGTCCAGTCAGTGAAGGATAGACAGTAGTAACACTTGCTCGTAGCATTAATGATCGGGGGTCTATATTCTGCCCGGGAGTGCGTCAGGTAGCTGCCTTCCAGTTCTTTCGGACCGGTCAGTATATACAGTTTATCAGCGCCAGCTATACCCACTGAATAACTACCATACAAGTTTGTTGTCACGGTGCCGATCTATGCTGACGTAATAAGAGACTTAATTTGTGCGGTCAGGGCGCCTGAGAGCTCACCCTGTTCGCAGTGGTCAACGATGCCTCCAACGATAGACTCGTCGTGGAAATCCGTTTTTCGCTTCAACAGCTCATCGAAAAAACTGGCCGTTAATGCGTCAGTCGCGACGATGAGCTCGACGGTCAACACGGCAGCAACTTCAGTTTCTGCGCGTTCATCATATAATTCGTCCAACACCCATTCCAGCGATTCGATACCCCAGTCGTCGTCCAACACCTCGAGACCACGTACTAAATCGGAAAAGCGACAGCGACCACCATACCCTAATACATTTAATCGTGCACCACCTCTTCCACAACCTCCCAACTCGTCTACCTTGCCCTCGCCCTCGTCGACAACTGCAACGAGCTCACGACCCTTGCTTTCCCCAAAATCCATGTCTCGCTTCATACGGCGAGTGGCCTCGGCTCCCAATGCAAAGGGCCTCTTCCGATCTTCTGCACCGTCTCCATCAACACCCACAACAAGAAACGGTCTATTAGCACCCTTCGACAATCCTCCGCCATTGCCTCTCGCTACAAGTTCTATGGAAAACGGGACCGACTCGCTGGAAACGATATCATCCGTGTCCTCGAGGGGCCAGGTCTCTGCTGTGTCATCGTCTAAGCTACCTTCACCTCCGTTTGGCAAGACTCGTTTGAGCACAAGTAACCTGCATGAGGTTGGACCCAGTAAGGCTGCCTTCAGGCGAACGTATTCGAGTAATTCTATTAAGGTTCGTCAGGTGTGTATCATATGCTATATCAGTGCTTGTTACACGCCACTGATAGCCTCACAAGGTTGAAGTTGGCCCCTCAAGTTTCGTCAAAGTCAAACTCCTGGGTAAAGGTGATGTCGGCAAGGTGTACTTGGTCCGAGAGAAGAAGTCGGGGAAGCTGTTTGCAATGAAGGGTAACGTTAATGTCCATGATGCTAACACACACTCCTACTAACCATCTATATTTCCTTCGCATTCTTCTTCTAGTTCTTTCTAAAAAAGAAATGATCGAACGCAAAAAGATCAAGCGAGCTCTCACAGAACAAGAGATTCTTGCGACTGCTAACCATCCCTTTGTCGTCACCCTTCATCATTCATTCCAATCCCCTCTATATCTGTATTTTTGTATGGAATACTGCATGGGGGGAGAATTCTTTCGTGCGCTACAGACACGTCCGGGCAAGTGCTTACCCGAAGAGTCAGCCCGGTTCTATGCAGCTGAAGTAACCGCCGCATTGGAGTACCTTCATCTCATGGGTTTTATATATCGAGATCTGAAACCGGAGAGTTAGTGCATTTCCCCCTCCATTGACGCGCCGTTTGATTGACTGGTATGCAGACATATTATTACATCAATCTGGCCATATTATGCTCTCGGATTTTGACCTTGCGAAGCAATCGAACGATGTCGGCGCTATGCCTGCCATGGTCCATTCCGAGACAAATGGGGTGAGTCCACGTAGTTATGGTCTGTTCCTGGCTCCGAGAGGTTGATTGAAAATGTCGGAAGGTTCCATTAATCAACACAATGTCATGTACAGCGAATTTTCGAACAAATTCCTTTGTTGGTACAGAAGGTGCGCATCAATCCGCCAATGTCCATGCACCATTAAATGACGTGTGTACAGAGTACATTGCACCTGAAGTAATACTGGCTCAAGGTCATACAGCGGCTGTGGATTGGTGGACGTTGGGGATACTCATTTACGAGATGATAGTGAGTCTGGAATGCAGGATTTAGTGTATAAAGACCTAACGTGCACGTACACAGTACGCAACAACACCATTCAAGGGGCAAGAGCGTTCAGATACATTTAACAACATCCGGCTGATACCAGTTCATTTTCGGGAATCTCCCAAGGTGTCAGGGTGAGTTAAGAGAGTCCTTGCAGATTCCCTTTACATTTTTGGAGTGCGCTGCTTGAGATTCGGATAATTGATGCCCGTTCCGAATTACGTGCTCAACGAATATCTTTTTGCCTAGTGCTGGGAAAGACTGCATCACGCGACTTTTGGACAAGAACGAGCGGACGCGATTGGGCAGTCGGAGTGGTGCTAGTGAGGTGAAGCAGCATAAATGGTTTGCAAAGATAAACTGGGGACTGTTGAGGAATACTCGACCTCCGGTGAGTGGACAGCACGGATTCGTTTTTTTGTTTACTTTGGTGTGGGAGTCGAATTGATAATTCACACATGGGTTGACGATGGAGTTCACGCGTTCAATCAGATTGTCTGGTTTTGATCTAGGCTGTCAACGGTGCTAACGGACTATTGAATAGATTGTCCCGTCGTCGTCGAATGGAGTAGATGCAGTTAATTTCCGCCATCTGAAGGAGTCTCAGTCACTGCACCTGGAAGGAGCACCTGGGACGAATGATGGGATGGGGGCATCGGACGAAGACTTATTTGGCGCGTTTTCAAGTGTTACCTTGCATTATGATGGAGAGTAGAGTGTTTTGTTTTGCTCAATATACTAATGGGATCAAGAAAGACAAAGGTACAAAGAGTGAAACATACGGTATGGTATGTGCTAGTATCTACGCACTGGCTACGCTAATACGGTGATACGCTGGTATGGTTTGCTTTGGATGGCTGGTATTGCGTTTGGTGCTTTGGCTACGCTGGCAAACGTTCTGTATCGAAGAGCTGATGGCAGGAATGGCAGTGGCAGCGACCAGCGTGATACCTCGGCGCCGAGGGAGCAGAGTTTGGGTGTATGTTACGGCATCAAGAGCCGGATCTGAGATGATCGATCTCATCTAGATTACCTAATCATTACGTCCTCGATCCTAACGGGTTAACGTGCTTTCTCCACCGCATTTTGTAAAATAATAATTAATGATATCGGATAATAAGGATTAAATGGATTCAAAGTTATAACCGTTATAACGGGATAACGGGATGCGACCTGCTCTCCTCGCCCTCCTCCATATTTAGCCCTTTCCTCCATGGCTGACCTCTATCCCCCAAGGCACTACTCCCAGCCTAACACTATGCTATACCCTTCACAGCTCATCGACGACCATGACGACCACGACCTCCCTGACCCTGCCGCCAGTGGCGACCAAAAGTCCCAGCACCAGACACCCAAAAATGAGTCCAAGCCCCAGGCCACCTTTCTCACAAAACTCTACGCGTATGTCCGCCCAACTTGGTCGCGAGCGCCGTGCTGACCACTGTCCAGCCTCTTAGAGCGTCCGGAGAACCAGCATATGATACGCTGGGACCCACAAGGCGAACACATTATCGTCGAGCGACCTGAACAGCTTGCTCTCCATGTCCTTCCCAGCATATATCGCCAATCACGATTCGCTTCGTTCTCCCGCCAACTAAATGTAATTTCACATCCTGTCTACGTCTCGAGCGATGCACCAATCTATCTCCCTTCTAGATCTACGGCTTCATGCGAAAGGTCAACCTGAGGAACGTCGACCCTGCAATCGACGATCCGGATGCAAGCACTTGGTGTATGGTTCTTCTCCTCGTTTTATTGCTGTTGTGCTCAATCTTGCCTAGCTCACCCAACCTTGAATCGCCATTCTCCTCCTGAAGTAGTCGCAAACTTCAAGCGCCGTGTCCCGCCTCGCCTCCCGAAACCTCGCAAACGTGATACCCAGGAATCTCTTAGTATACCCCCGCCTCGCTCAGCCATTGGCATGGGCCCCGTTCCTTTGTCCGTACCGCAATCCCACAAAGCTGGTCTCATGGGCCGTGCTCGTGGCTTTTCCGCACCAGGTTCTTATACACCTCTCTCGCAAAACGGTGCAGCCCCCGCTCCCAGCGGCTGGAACAGTCAAAACAACTACCGGTCTGCCCTGCCGCCTCTCACTGTTCCTCCAGACCCGCCGACTCATATTTCGCAAAGTGGCATGTATAACCACGCTCCTTCGCACCACCCTGGCCACCACTCTCTCAGTCCGGCCGCCGACGAGCCCCCGTTTGCCTACGGAAATACCAATCCATACCCGTCTTCGTATCAGGAACCGCAAAACGGCAACTGGTTCCCCCCTGTCAACAATGGGAGTTCATCTCACAACGGCAGCCTGTCATCACTGCTTAACCCAAGTAGCAATGGAGGTTACTCCCGTCCGACGCCAACGATTAACACCTCGTATTCGTCACCTTTCTCTTCTATGCCGATGCAAACAGAGCACTCTGCTTCGTCCCTTTCTCCGGATAGTCACAGCCGTCCCACGACCGGATACTCAATGTCTTCAGTTTCTTCAATGCCTTACCAAGATGAATACCATTCCAATTCTCGTCCCAGCTCAAGCCACCATCACAACCGACCAATGACTCCTCCTCGTCCTACTTCCTCCTCAAAATCTCCCTATGGACCTTCCAACTCCCTTAGCATCCGCCGAGCCCGACGTCATAGCCAGGCGTTGAGTCCATACCCGAGTCCCATGTACGATCACCCATCGGAGCACCAGCGTCCGTCGACGTCCCCACAACCGAGCAACGACCACCACCCCCACCATTCCCACTCACATCACAGTCCTGCCGGCGGCAACGTCCCCCGTGTCCGGAGCATGATCCAACTTCCGTCGGTTCTTCCATCGGTTGACCATTATTCCTTCAGTCCCCAGTCAGAGTTTGCCTACTCGAGTCCGATGAATGACTATAGACCGTCCACATCTGGGGGACGTCCCTCGACAAGCACGTCCTCCATCTCGGCTGCTTCTCACACGTCGAGTTCCCAGGCAAACACGCCTCCTGTCACGGATGGATTCGGGAGTGAGACAGATATCAACCGATGTAAGTCGTTTAGCTTGTCAAGCCCATCCATGTCACACCTTTGTTGATGAATTTCCGAAATACTCAGACTCACCGGATTTTGGATTCGTACAGATGAATGAACACTTGACCGGGCCTGGTGCTGGTGCTTTTACCAAGGAGATCTAGACGCGTCTTCCACCTCCTAGACGTTGGGAGTGATGCTACTTTTTTTTTTTTACGACTGATTCTGCCCAGACGAAATTTCTATTATTACTGATCACGACTCCCATCTCATACAGTTTGTCGTCCCCCACTTGTCTTGTTGTTTTTGCTTTGCTGTCGTGGACTTTTATTTTTAAAGATCGTCCTTCACTCTGTGTGCGTGTTGTGTGTTGTATCTCGTTCTCATGTGTAGTACCCTTCATATTTTTGACCTTGTCACTGTATATCTTGACTCGGGTGGATATACCCTAGCATACGTATTTTCATTGCGGAAATGAACTGTTTCAATACAATGCATTGCACGGAGGTTTTGGGAATGAGGGGTGGTCCGAGAGAGCCTTATTGAGCGATCCCCTTCCTCGGGGCCATCACACTGCAGGGAAGACTCCGAAAGCTATTCATAGCGTGGTGACTGGACCCAAGATGGACTTTGCAGAGTTACAGCAGGGCAGGTGCCCCAGGATATGAAGGTTCCGCATACGCAGCGATCACGGGCAAAGATTCCCAAGCTGTTTTGACATGGGATATGTTACCAGCTGTTGGAAGCAATTGCGGCTGATTGCATGATTGATGGTGTCATATGTAGGGTAGGGGGTGGGGGGGTGGTTATAGGTATCTTTGCAGATTGGATAACGGACTCTCGGCCAGTAAGGAATCTGATGCAATGGATTTATTTTTGAAGGGTAGTCTCCGAATCGTTCCCGCAATGTCCGAAGTGTTCATCATATGGACGTGTTTGCTCATGTCGATCTGGCAGGCAGTTGCGCGAAATTTTTTTAGCCCCCTTCATGTTTGCGATCTCCTTAGCGTGCTCTCTCTCTCTCTCCTTAATATCGCTATATGATCAATCTTAGACTTGAATGTTCAACCTCAAGCCGCGAAACGAGAAATATCAGATTATCCATATATGATCCTCCCCAATCGATCAGAAGCTAAGGATTTTCGAAATTTGTTATTCCTAAATGCTCTCCGATTCCCCGCATGTTCGCATCCGTGAACCGTATGTGTTTAGGGAAAGTGTTCAAGGGAGGATAGTTGTTTCGGACGTTGTAGGGGGGGAGGGATAATACTGTTTGACGTGAATTTGTTGTGCTGTTACAATCTGGCGATGGGGGGGATCAATTAACGTTGATTCGATGCGATTGGCTCCCCCCAATAGTAGGTTTAGGGTGGGAACTAAAGATACAAAGAGGTACTAGTTACTCAAGGACCAGAATCAGAGCAAAACATTGTTGTTGATCAGCTACCTGCGCAAGGGGAAGAGCACGAAGAAGGACGATTAGAGGGTGCTATCTTCTTCGCGACCCTGTTCCCACCTACGAGTCGATCAACGTCCGAATGGCTTGGCACGAAATCTGCCGCTCGTGTCATCATCGCGTTCTGTGTGGCCACAGATATCTAGGTTTTTTTTTTCTTTTTTTTTTTTCGTTTTCTTTTTTTGTGTTTGGGACTATGTACTTTGTTGATATGTTCAATTGAAATTGTATTTCTGTCGTTTGTACGCCGGAACGTCAGCTTCCCGGCTACGGTTATCAGCCCGAGAGAGAGCAACGGCCTGGGTGAAATACTTGCCAAGGTTGAAATTGCAAGCCAGAGGCCGTTCATGAATAAATATATCACTACCAGTCCCCGTTGCGATCATCGAGCCCGGCTATCTTTGCCACTTAAGTCGTTATCCAAATCGGGACATAAAGAAACAAATAAATACGAATTTGAAAACCCTGATGCGCGATCTTCTGCGGGAATCTTCTGATCGGCTCTCGTGGTGTTAACCCCGGATGGACAGCTGGTCCGTTGTTTTGGTTCGGCTTCGGGGCGGCGAGAGTGTGGCCTGCTGTGGTGAAGGCTAACGGGGACGCATTGGAGAGCGAGACTGTAATGGGGGAGGGTGGGCCCCACAATTACGGGTATTCAAGTTGCTCGGAATTGAGAAGGCGGCGTCGAGGCCCAGGGATTGATGCACCTCGCTTATGGATCCGGGGCCTGCGATTGCGATTACATTTACAAACGATCGTCGTAGAAGCGAGGGAAGCCACACCGGCGTACAACCAGCCCCTTGCCTGTCCACCTACGTACAACCTTATTTTAACCCAACTTTATTTAAGCACTTTTACAGTAACCTGCCATTTACGATTACTGTGTAGCTATCCATACGTATTCCTGTTAATGAACGGATCCAGACCACGTCCTATCTGCGGTGAATACCCGCCCCGTCCAGCCCAGCCCACACCGTCGTCAGCTCAACAAGATTGCTTTTTTAATTTTATTCCGTAGATCCATCCCTATATAATAATAATAACCATAGCGATTGAAAAACAAAGCCAAGGTCAACCGCAACACGGCGTAACACCATCAGAACATACATAGAACATGAAATGCTCTAAACAAAGATATTAACGAGTGTAGTATGCATGTCCAAGTGATGACAGAGTACATAGGAGAAAACAGAAACGTTGAATGTACAAGTGTCCATTTAATCGTTCAAGTAACTAATACCTGTTGCATCCATCCTAAACGGCGACTCTGCCATCTCATCAGCATCAACGTCGTCACTCCTCAGTCCGCCTTCCACATCGCCTCTTGGAGATAGGAAAGCAACTCGCTCCTCCGAATCCGCTTGCCGAATCGCCGGAATGTCATCTTCCAGCTCTTCGTCAACTGCTCTGCGAGCAACATACGACAAATACACCAAAATCGCCACACAGAGTCCGATACCGAGATACGTCCACATGTGTGCTACCGTATCCGAACTGGTGGTGTCCTTCTCTGCACCCTGATCAGCATATGATGATGGCGTCACATGATACTCCTTAAACGAATGTATCGACGCGCCAACACTAGTGTGGATGATCACTTTAAATAGCGACAGAGCAGTGCAGATGGTGTAGGTACGAAGCGAGAGCGTGGGTGCGGCGGCAAGAAGGCAGTTCATCACATTGTAAGGGTATGGTGCTAGCCGAATAAGGAACAGGAGCTTGGGTCGCTTGTCTATCGCGCGAACGACGCGCTTCATTGTGCAAGCAGAGTCCAGCCAACGTGTGATCGTATCGTGGAGGAGAGAGCGAGAGACTGTGAATACAACCAGCGCACCTGCCAGGGCAGAAAAGTACGATATCACTGCGCCTGTCCAAAGTCCAAACGTATACCCGGAAAGAATGATAAGAGTGGAATACAACGGGATCGGAGCTGCGCGTATTATCAGATGCCGGTGAATTTCCGGTAAACGCACAACACAGGCTTACGGATTGTGGTTAAAAATATCAAAACGAAAAGGACGGCATGGCCATAATGTTCGTCAGCTTGTAGCCACCGCGATAATTCATCCAGTGCTATTTTTTTTGTTTTTTTGTTTTTTGGTGCTTGAGTGACATGGAAGAGAGATCCAAGGCGAACGACTGACCTGAAAACACTTGTGTTTTATAGAGTGAGATAGCAAAGACGAAAGCAAGGCTCGTTATGCCATATAAAATGATTGGAACCCAAGGCTTCAGTAGATTTGCTATCCGGAGACCCCGGGGGCGAGTGTAATTGTTTGAATGGTGCATTGGCCTTGGACGCGTTGAGATAAGCGGGGGCGCTGGCTGTCGGCGAAAAGGCGAAGGAAGATTAGAAGCAGGAACGGCAGACTGCGGAGAGCTGTGGTCAGGAGAAGACGGCCGCTTCTCGTTGAGCTCTGACTGACCGTCCTGGGCGAAATGAAGATATCGAATGGGCGACTGGGACTGGCGATGGACAGGAGACGGGTCGGCAGATACTGGGTAAGCAAGGGAAGAGGTGGTAAGAAAAAGATTGGGGGCAGGTTGACGATGGGTATTATCCATGGAGACCAGTCCGTGGTAAGCAAGCCAGGTCAAGGGAGCTCTGGCAATATATACGTAGGCTAGCTGGCAGCTGTGTGTCGGGGTGGAGGGAAACCTAAAGAATTTGCAGTGCTTTAGTGCCAGGCAACAGTCACGCGGAACATCACGCAATATTTCACCCCCTTTGGGTCGCTCCCGTCTATCAGCTGTCACTCGTCCTACTCGCCCCTCGACAGTACCAGTACGTTTAGCGGTGAGCCGACGCAAGGACTAATTATTCTTCTTTGAGGGGAGGTAAGCCTTCTCTCTTTCTCTCTGTCTCTCTCTCTTTCTCTCTATTTTTCTGAAATTACCAATGGTGAAATGATGTTCCGGTCCTGCACGTTCGTCGACTCCACCTCAATGGCACCTGACTCATTCACTCTTTCCAGTCATGACTCTGAGGTCTCTCTTTGCTCGCAGGCCCCTCGCTGTCCGTCAGTACAGCACCCAGCGATCCCCCCATGCTCAGTGGTATGCAGACTTTGTCCCTGCAATGATCCCAATTGCTCTTCTAGGCTCAGCAGTATATCTCGTAAGTCCTTATCAGAGGCGCGAGTCCTATTTGTAGTCATCCCTTAATTCAGGGCCTCCAACTCGTCCAGACCTCCCTTTCGCACGAAAAATTTCTCGACGATGCGAACCGACGCGTAAAGGAACTCGAGGCAGAGGTCGAGTCCCTTCACGCCGCTCGCCAACAATCCCAACAAGCATCTGTGTCTGAAACGCCATCTCAAGCGCCAACGCGCTGGCGTTTCTGGTAGCCATCAGACCCCCCAGCTCATGTGATAGTCACACAAAACATAATATCTAATTAGAACACATACCAGGAATATACGCAAGGGAAACAAAAATAGATACCGCAGCATAGACGGGACCCTATAGTGTCACCGACAACGTCTTCGCTAGTGAATTCTTGTGCCGATCAAATAGCTTTGCAGAGCTGCGGATAGGCAGTCAAGACATGGATGATATTCATTGCTGAGACAAACACCTACCTCAGGATCGCCGCCATGAGACCCGTAAATGTCTTCACTGGCTCTCGCCCACGTTTGAAATTGAATAAATCATATGCTACATAGGAATGAATGGTCAATGTCCACCACCAAATGCTCACCCTCTACTCACAGACGAAGATCAAATCCATTGCCAACTTGGCTCTCGTAATCTGCAGCCAATAATCCTGCTTCTGCAACCTCTCCAGCTCCTTCTCATCAATCTTCGATATTTTGGGTTTTGATTTCGCAGTAGCACCTGACATGGATTCCTTGTATAGACGCGACTCCACTACACTTATAATATCAGTGTTGTGAAACACGACAAGGGAGTAAAAAGCACCGACCTTCAGACTGCAATCCCCCAATCATCTGACGCTCCACCCCATTCTCGACCAGCCCCACCAACGTGGAAAGGAGCCAACACCAATCGGCAAATTTTCCAGCACGTTCCCCTGTGCGTTTGCCTAGAAGACCTACAAGGGAAAGCGCATACATGTCGTCGGCGAACGCGTTCACAAGTTCAAGTAGTACTGGAGGCGGCGCATGCAGGACGGCATGCAGGAGTGGTCGGGAAGACTTTGCATTCGAAGATGAAGCAGAGAAGGGAACAGGAGCTGAATTTTGGGTCATTATCGCCGTCAGCGGGGACAACCAGTTGAAGAGAAGGAGCATCTTTCTATGGCATAAGTCAGTTGTGATATTTAGGAAGTAGACACACGCCGTACATACCTTGAGAAAGAAAAGCCGGATACTGTGGACTCTAGGCGCTTGACAAGACCTTGTTCCCATGGTGAGCGCGTCCTATTCCTCATTAATCTTCCTGTGAAAGATCTATGGAAATAGAGATACATCCGGATTGAGTACTGGATTAATTTCTGAAGGGACACAGTTAGGGAAGGCAATACAACCAAGCAGCGAATACCGTACAAATGCTTTGTCCCGACCATTGCTCGTTAGTACCATCTCCCTCCATATATCTTCCCGCAAAATCCTCTTCTCGGCCTCCTTCATCTTGTCGCTGTCGTCGTCCACGTAGTCCATGTCCACCTCGGGCTTTCCGTCCTCTTGTTGTTTCTCCTCGGTCTTCTCAGTGTATATACTGTTTCCGTATATGTGGTGCGATGACGATGACACAGCGGACGTCCGTGGGGTGCGTGGTGGGTGGGAGGAGAGCGGATTCATGGTGAACGATGCACTGGTATCATAGACGGACGAATAAAACTGGCCGTCGTCGTCGGTATCGTGTGAAGGTGAAGGTGAAGGGAAGGATATTGAAGACATGTTGATTGGATATGGATCGCTACCTCAGGCTTTGCAGCGGACGTCGACAGAGGGTAGCTTGAACGGCCAGTGACTACGTTGCGCGTGGTGGCGCCAGACCATGAAACTCGGGAATGGCACGTGCTGGCCAAATAGGAAACAACTCGAAACTGTAGCGCCTTGCGTCCCGTCGACAGAATAAAAATAAGGAAAACTGGCGAGCTGCAAGACGATTTCCACAAATATAACAAGCAACAATTTCGCCCTTGGAGCCCAGAAAGAAAATAAAAGCTGCCCTCGGTGGCAGAGGATGCTGCCAAATACCAACCAAACAAACGCGTCACACTTTCTTGTCGAGTCCACGATTATGGTGAACCCGGCTGGTCTGCGCTCTCCTCCAATGCCACGTTCCGAGGTATCCTCACCTCGACCAAAGTTCGACGCGGAGCTCTTGAAGGCTTACATGAAGAAATTAATGTCAACAACCCTCCATGCTGCTGTCTGGCCGGAGCCGCGGGAACGGGACCGGGTCAAAGCCTGGATGAAGGAAATAGGAGAGCGCGTAAAGGAACGCATGGTCGAAATACAGAAAACAGGATTGTGAGCGACTCTCACGCGCGACACATGTGGTACCCAATAACGCAACGCGTTTCCAGCAAGTATATCGTGTTAACACAGATCAATGAAAATCTGGGCCAGGGTGGTCGGTGAGGCTCTCCATCCGTGGATATTGAGCCTGGCACTGATTCAGTTTGACAATAGAGCGGACATGGTATGCCACTGGGAAGATTCGGACGTTGTCGCACAAGAGGTATTTTCGAATGTACGTCCGCCTTATCGCGATCGACCGCTGCAATATTTCGTACGACTCATCGGATGCCCTTATCAGGATTCAGTCATTTGTATCTGTATAGCGTTCGCAGTACGCACCGTCTGATTTCTCCGTGTATGGTCTTTGGTTTTCCCGTTTCCTTCATCATACCCATTCACCGACTCAATGTCATTGTTTTCCGATGATACCCCCCCCCCCCCCCCCCCCCGGCCTATTCAATGTACCGCATATATGGTAGGCCGGAACCAACAACGCGACTCACGTTAACTGTATCTTTCGAAACCTTTTCTCACCACCAGTATTTTGCCATCATCATCAAAACATCTTCACCGCTAAATCTTTCATCTTCTCCCGCAAATTGCCCTACAATACATTGTCGCCGTTCTTTCGAAGATCAGAAGTCACCGCGATCTTTCCGATGAAATGAGTTATTTGTGTCGTCTCTGAACCCACGAATGACAGCTTCAGTTCACACCAGGATCAAACCAATCAGGATGCCTATTGACATCTGATCCTCATCCTGCGACATCATCCAAGCTCGTACGGGCATGCGCTACTGTTGCGAATACTCCCGATCGGCCGATTTTTCTTTGCCTGCCATGAAATGCCTGAAAGGCGCTCTCACGATCGTTGTGTCGTTCATTTAGGTTCACAATTCTTGGTTATCGACCGCGGTTGTTTTACGTGTTCCATCTCGTGTTGATTGGCCCGGCAAAGGAGATACTCCTCCATCTTCAATGGTCTTGAACCCTGAGCTGCTCGTTTGACACCTTGCATCTCTAGTTGTTCAGGGGTCTCGTGGTGCTGCTGTGATGATTCCCCTTCTTTTTCTCACTCACTCTTGTGCTGTGATAAACAAAGAAGCCCATACTAATCGTCTGATTTCACAAAAGAGGCAAAAACGCCTTTATCGGAAGAGTTCCAGATGGAAAGTCCCTCCTGGATTCCTGTCGTTGGGCTCTTGTGATGCAGTGAATGCGAACAGGACAGATTTCAATCACTACATTGAATGGCGGAATCAGAATTATTATGCATAGTTCTCGTTGAAGGAATATAGGTTATTCTAGGATTCGGCGTTCATATTGCTCGTGCCCGCACACTATCATACGTGAGTAAATCGTCTGTCATCACATGTCGTCTCTGCTAAGTACTGTCGTTATACTAGCGTTGAACTAGCGCGGATAAGAAGCACAGCCACTGAGGCTTCATTTTAACAAGGTTCCGGTCGTAACTCCCGAGTCTTGGGTTCTTTTTGGTGCTCTAGATTGAGGTAGGGTTTCGAAGTGGGATTTGGAGGATCACCATGATCAGATCAGATACGCAAAACCCGCAGAGACGAGGACGTCCCCATACAGATCGGGTAACGCAATTACTCGGCCCTCGCGAGGTGGAAAACATAATCATTTTGAGAATTGCTAAGTCTTTCCGTAACCCCGAAACGATGTAGATCCGGACGCGAACCAAGCAAGTCCCACGTACGACTCGATCCCATCATGTTAACTTTGTTGAACATATTTTCGTTTCATCGTTTCACTTATCGCAATTAACGAACCGGCGGTTGCTGTTTTCATCATCTCGATTCGATATGACAGCGCATCGTAAATCCAAGCAATTTCGGAATGGCTGTGGACCGTTACGTGACAGTGTGGCCGAGCATGTATAGCCTGTATGGCGGTATCATCATCACAGCAGGTGCTTTTAGAGTTGCGACTGCTGGCGGTGGCAATTGGCAAATTTCGAGCTGTAGCAAATGATTCGTAGACTGCACATGATCCCATCCCGCATGGAATCGACCGAGGTCATGCGTATACGTATCCCTCCTAATTTCATCAGAAGGATATGTCACCTCGTCTGAGTGCGCATGCATTGTCATCCCTTGCGGAGGTATCACTTATGTATCGGCCATCGGGGAACACTGATGTGACTTGGGTCAAGTTGATTTATTTCAAATGTAGAGTATTCACAATGTCAGATTCTGAATGGTCATAGTAAACTGTTATGGGTTTAACGTTGAAATGAATGGAACGAAACAAGCATTCAGTTGAGTCGAGATCATCATGTTAAATGGTGAAGCATTATTCCGGAAGTTGACATCTCATTTATATGTTCCGTGAAGACACTCGCATTCATCCATCTAGTCACCAGGTTGAACGAGTCGGGGCGGAGTATGAGATTCTGTGCTCGTGATGATGATTGCGTTGGCCATCACCCGAAGACTTGTCCGTCAGGCAGAACGATAGGCAATGTTGAGAATTTGTTGAATTGCTGCCCTATTGCCGCCGCAGAGGACGCAGACCAAGTGCGAGGAGATAAGGTATCTAGGTGAATTCGATGGAGCGAAAATCGGTTGACTCGGAAGTGAGCAAAACTTTTCTGAATATTTTGGTACGTGGGGCCCACCGTTATGGAAGGAAGGATATCAACCCTTGGCTTAGTGCATCTTTTCACATATGCTCGAGCTGGTTTCGGACTCAGAAAGGTACGCCAAATGGACTCAACGGGCTACGTGCGTATACTTACTGCTGCCAGGTAATGAATTAATAATGAATTTCCGTAGTGAGATTCTGATGTTACAAGTGCTGCGCTTTCCTTGGTGCGCTTCCGGCCCTGCTGGGGGGCCAAGATTTCGTGAAAGATTCAAGGAAGACAGCTGGGAAGCAATCATTTGGAAGGCGGTGGCTGTACAGACTGTTTATCCCTCATAAGGTTGCCGGGCCGATGAGAGCTCTGGACTTCTTGTCTTCCGTCCCCTCTTCCAGGTACGGCTTCGCGAACGATCTGCGAACCGCCTTCGCCGTTCTTCGTTGTTGTAAATTATGATTTGAACGCCGGAAGACGCGCAGCAACGCGTCCAATCAGTGGAGAAATTCAAGTCTCTCCTCGTCGAAATCGATTAGCATCGATATCCAACCTTGAAAACATTTTACGTCTTGGAAAAGATCTCATAGTCCTAATGAGAAACTAGGATAGTCGGCTGTGGTGGAGTCAGTAACCGGTTATTGACGATCTAAGGCCTGAAAGATTGTGTCAGGTCAGCACCGACCTATGTACGCTGAACGGCTGCAAGGTCTAAAGTAACAATTTCAGGGTTTCGATACTTGAATAATTTCTGCACAACCCTTGTCGAAATTGGATATGCTCGACCAACATGAAATATTTGGCATGTTCGCAAATATATCCCGACGGACCACTCTGAGTTACCTCTGTTTGACAGGCGCACAGGAGCATCAGTACTTCAGGCAGCACAGATCGGTGGAGGTATATTAGTGACAACAATTTCCAACTGGCATTATGCCATTGGTTCTGATGAGGGCCAAATGGAATGCAGCGTTACATAAATGCAACATAACCCACCATCCCGCGAACCTCAGAGTGTTTCCATATCAATTATCGCGAGAAATCTATTCCACCGAGCGAATTCCCAGACTTCCATCTTTCTAGAGGCTTACTGAAGATGCGAACACATATGCAGAACAATTTTGCTCATCTACAACCCCACGTCGACCGTGATAAATTACTAAGGTCCCCGATCTTCTGACATGCATCTAGACCAGCAAGAGGCTTTTTCCTTGAACAATTCAATGGAACCTGATTACCATCAGAGTTCCCCCATTGCCTCATCACAACCCTGAACTCTGGTCAATTTGAGATGGCGCATTCTTACCAATCCTCGTGTCCCTAGGGTCTTGCTCGAATCGGCTGCCGTGCGAGAATGAAATCCCCAGCAGTGTGCCAAAAATGCAGGGATCATAATCCTATTGTCACTTTATCTTGAAATCAGCATTTCAAGGGAGTGTGCAAGAGGTCCGAGCCTTTTCAGGCGCAGTCTACCGAAAGGAATGCGACTCGGACGTGAACATGTATATCCCGGCGCTCATGTTCCATCGGAAGCTAATGTTCTATACTTGTAATAAGACATCCTTGGATGTCGGATAGGCGTATTTTTATAGATGAAGACTGGGCGTTCTAGTCGTGAATTATGAATGACCAGGGTACGTTTTCAGCAAATCGACACTGTACAGAGGCAGCCAGTCGGCTGGTACCAACAGTTGCCGCTGCCTTTTGCCAGGTAAGTGACTGCACGCTGTACTTGGACTACGCGGCTAAAGATGTCAGCGTATCCAGAAGTAGGCGTGTATTAATGGTAGCATCTACCTCCGGATGAAGTGCCGGTATCAGAAATGCTTACTACTACCTGCTGGCAAAAGGGTCGCTTCTCAGGGTTTTCTCTGCCACCACTAGCTTGTCTTAAAATTGCTTGCCTCCTCTCCGACTTTTGAATATCCGTTTTGAGTTTTTCAAGTCGACTTTGGATGATACCGCATTTTTAATAATTTCGGCCAGGATTCATTTTGTCGATTCTGTAAGCTTATCTTCGCTTAATCAACTGCGGAATTTCAGGCCCAGACGCATAAATTATCAGCCTCTTCGGGGTCATATTGATTCAGACGTGGCGATACTACAAAGACTATGGCAAAGATCGATGGTATATGCGCATATTTATAGGTTTTGATGCTGCCATGAACCGCGTGTAACGGATTAATTCTCAACGTAGATCGCGGTTTTATTGTAAGCATTATCTCATCTCCACGGCATGGGATCTAAAATAGAGGTAGCTTATTGAGCTGCACACCACAGCGTTGCATATCGCAGTTGCTCGATCACTTCTTGCATATTTCTTTATGCTCTAGTCTTCTTCCTGGGCTTATAGCAAATCTCATTAGTTTCTGTTAGCTGATTTCGAAGAAACAGTGGATTTCTTGGATGTATATTCAGCGTGAATGGGGGGGTATTGATCAGCCCAAGACTTACGGCAATCCACCAGCTTCATGGTCGCAGACAATGTCATCATTTGCATTGTTCTATTCTTGTTAGTGCTGGTTGCTGCCTGATTGAGCTTCGATATTCTAGGACACAGCTGTTCCTTCTGTAGAGAATCTACTTCCGTGAGTTTCAATATAAGCAGGGAAGGTTTTTGACGATACAAATTTAACAGTTCGTCCGAATGGACATTGGATACTGGGAGCCTTGGTTAGTACCGCTTTCCAATCTGCCAATCCCTTTCTAACATCATCTCAGGCTTTATGTTCAACTGGCACATTTGGTGAATAGGACGTTACAGTTTATTTTCATTACACACTAATCAGTTGATTTGTATAACCGACTGGAATTGGTAAGTAGATAGAAGGTCAACATAGTGGCGTGTGTCGCCAATCCGCCCTCAAAGCAGATAGTATGATCACTTTCAGCCCTTGAGTTCAGTAACTAACAAGTTTATAGATATCTGGGGCTGTACTGTATGGGTTGGCCATATTTTCTGATACGGTGACACCGCATATTACTGGTGGATATTTTCCCTGTCGAGGTCTGACTTTCGACAGTAAGAACCAATTTAAAGAGTATATGGCGTCGACCGTTGACTGAAAATTTGACGTTTAGGACGAAGAATGTACTGAAACGCCTACGAATGTATACCGCTGCTCGAGGTTTGTTGGTTACTATAGCGGAGACGATCTGCTTTATACTTCATGTCGTACAACCCGGTCAGCTACGATGGTGAAGTTTTGGATCGGATATATAGTGAATGCCGCTTCTAACGGCGGTTCAAGGGTGTTGATACATTGGAATATAGCAGGAATCTGCGTGGTTACAACCAGTTGGTGTTTCTGTCATTTGCTGCATGTACTACCTCTAACTAATATTTTCTATTTGCTACAGTTGCCCTGTGAGCTGACTACTGTAACAAATTAATAGAGAAAAACTGATTGAGTTGCCCAGGCTGAACGCGAGAGGGCCACTGAGGGAGAAAATGAATGAAGAGATATCAGATGTGGCGTCGCAGTTGGAGCTCTCTTGCTGATTCATAGTGTAGTATGGGCCTAAAATGACGTCTGAATGATGACATCAGTCTGCCACCGAATGTCCTCATCGGGAAATACAGTCATCACCTTCCTCTCCTTCACCACCATGCCCTCATCTGCGACTGGCGTCGTCGACGCCTTCAAGAGTAGGACTCTTTCTTGCTTCTCTTGATGTACTGCATGACGAACGACATTCTAGACCTCATCCGACATGGAAAGCATCACCACCACCAGCAAGCTCGAAACGACGAAACTCCAGCCCCAGTATCACAACGCGCTCCTTCCCAGAACGAACAGCAACATAAAGCGCCCGAGAAGCGCCACGTAGAAAAGGAGAACGCTGGAGTAGCGCACCGTGAGGCAGCCCAGATCATTGTCCAAGAAGAACGAGAGGCGAAGGCCCAAATACCGACGTACAAGGGTCTTGAGAACTTCCAGCTCATCGAGAAGATGGGAGAGTGCGTCTGAATTTCCGTTGACCCATCTTGTATTCTCATGTACTCCGCAGTGGTGCCTTTTCAAATGTCTACAAGGCCATCGACCTGACGACTCAGAAGAGCGTAGCCGGTATGTGTATTGTGTCCGATTAGCTCAAGTTGCCGACGGAATTCCACAGTGAAGGTGGTTAGAAAGTATGAGCTTACCGCGTCTCAGGTTAGTGCATGCTTTCTGCTTTTCGTCTCTCTTGTGTCCCCCATCTTTCTTCCCAACTGACTTTTATCTACTACGCGTGGGTTTACTCCATCGATTAGAATGGAGATAAACACCTCAACCCGAAATTCAAGAAGAAGCCTCGCGTAACAGAGGTGCCGTTGTTCAAACTCTTCTGTGTTCGTCTCTTATATTCCTAAATCCTGACCCTTTTTCTACCAGCGTGCGAACATCTTGAAGGGTACGTGTCTAACCATCAGGAGCGGATAGTACTCATCGAAATCGAAGAGGTCCAAATTATGCGTCAAACACATCATCCTGCCATAGTCAAGCTACTGTCTTTTTCCGAATCGCCTGAACACTATTTTCTTGTCCTTGAACGTAAGACATGTTCTCAGCTGAATTGAATTTTTGATACAAGCAGAAATTAGTGATGGAGGGTGGCGAGCTTTTCCATCAAATCGTCAAATTAACCTACTTTTCCGAAAATTTGTCGCGGCACATCATCTTGCAGGTTGCTCAGGGCATTCGATATCTGCACGAAGAGCGCGGAGTTGTCCATCGTGACATTAAGCCAGAAAATTTGCTATTCGAACGAATCCCGATACTACCCTCCAAGCAGTCAGTTCACCGGCCTTACGATGAGGAGAAAGAGGACGAGGGTGAATTTATACCTGGAGTAGGCGGAGGTGGAATTGGACGGGTCAAAATTGCCGACTTTGGTCTAAGCAAAGTTGTCTGGAACGAAGAGACGATGACGCCTTGCGGCACAGTCGGCTATACTGCGCCGGAGATCGTCAAAGATGAAAGATACAGCAAAAGTGTCGATATGTGGGCTCTGGGTTGCGTTTTGTACACGCTGCTGTGCGGATTTCCGCCCTTCTATGATGAGAGCATCAGTGTCTTGACGGAGAAGGTGGCGAGAGGTTATTACACATTTTTGAGCCCGTGGTGGGATGACATTAGCGGTAGTGGTCAGTCTTCCGGTACTTCATCAGAGCATATCCTCATGGCCTTCTCATAGCCAAAGATCTTATTCAACACCTTCTCTGCGTTGATCCCGCTCAACGTTATACGATTGACGAATTCCTTGCTCATCCTTGGTGTAATGCTGCTCCAGCTCCACCACCACCTCCTACGCCGTTCATCTACAACAATCCTCCTTTATTGGCGCCGCTCGACTCTCCGTTACTGTCTGCTGCTCGTGGAGGCCGTGTAGAAGGTCGCAGTCCCGGCTTAGCCACTCTTAAAGAGGCTTTCGACATCACTTACGCTGTTCATCGCATGGAAGAGGAAGGAGCACATCGGCGGAAATACAAGGGTCGAGGCGGAGCAGGGGCACGCGGATTCTTGCAGGGGCTCAACGAAGACGATGAAGAAGAAGAAGAAGAAGAATACGAAGAGGATATTGGTACTGGTTGGCACATCAGAGCTTCACCTACTATAGCGACCGGCAGCGCACAACGGACCGGCAACGTTTCCGCTGCTGTACCATTATCTACCAGCTCGAAAGCACGACGGGCAGGGCCTAGAATGTTTGAGCTTGATATGGATAGCGCGACATTGTTAGGACGAAGACACAAACGGGGTGCTGTCCCGGGTAGTCCGTTGGCTGGCGAGCTCTTCAACAACGGTTCGTTACGGCAAGAAGCAATCGTGGATCCTGGAAGCCCCATGCAGATTTGATACCTTTATTCGCTATCAATGCCCCCACCGATTCATCCTTTCATGATCTCGGTGAATGGATACTGCCATTCGTAGGTCGTAACTGGTGGTACCGTTATACCCGATATTACTCCCTGATCCATCGCTTGTTTCGAGTCCTCATACGACCCCCTTGCATTTTTCTTTCAAGGACATCATCCCCCGCACATCACGCATATATAAGTTTGTAAACACCCACATATAGCATGTATGTATGTATTGTGACTTTTGCACATAGGTAGGATATTGTATTCCAATAATGCATATACACACGTACAATTGTGGTCTGTCACCGCTCTCGGATATTTATAATGTCATGCAAGCAATACACTACGAATTCTGATTCATTTTTACAATACATCTCACTTGAATACGGAGGAAGACGGAGACGTGATCTGACTTTAAACATGAAGGAAACGGGAGATTTGCGTTGATAGGCTGATGAAGGTGCCTACATTCCTTCTTCACGAAATCACTCCGGTCCTACTTCACTTCGAGCCATTGGACTATTGAGTTTACGGTTGCACACTACTCGGTGGAATTAAAGACTCCGCTCCCATACCTTGTCTAATAACCATGAAACCCATAAAATGGGGAAGAAGAGACAATTCCTATTTCGCAATCGTTGGAGTAGGAGGAATAGGATCTCTGCTGCGAAGGAAAGAATAATATTAATATTGTCATGGGGCCATACGGTGAGACGCAGAAGGTGAGAATAAAGGAGGAGGAATCATTACATGGCGGCACGTAATCTGAACATTGTACAACCCGAAGGCACTTGGTCGGCAGGCAAACAATGCGCCTTTGCTCCATGAACGCCAAACTGACGCCGTCCTGTTCTTTGGATGGGGAATTGCCCTTCGATTGTCGATCAGACTTGTTCCAAAGAAAGGGCGAATGTGTAATGTACTTTACTGGTCCCGACGCGAAGTTAAGGCGGAGGAAAGAATCGCATTCTTCCGAGGTGTTTGTTTAACCTTTGGGATAAACCTGGCAGGTTTGCCGTGGGGTCGGCCGGATGTGCTTGCATGTGTGATTGGTGCAGTTTCGGGGTGCTTCACAAATAGCACCTTATCGTCCATACTTAGCACTTGTGGTCCAGTTTCATTCGAGGCCAGAGCTGCGGGGGATTGTTCATGCGTAGTGTGGCATAATGCACCGACTCTGGCGGTTCTAACGGTGAGGTGAGGTTCCCGTAGTCACAAGCTTGGTGCCTGCATCGCGAGCGGTTCTAGCCGCTTGCCGTCGATCGAGAAGAAGACGATCGTACGAATCACCGTCGAGTCTGCATAGGAATTACTACTACTTATCCATCACGAACGTGCCGGTTATACATTGCTCCTCGCCCTAATGGAGTGAGAAAAACAGTGATATAAATGAGTTGATGTCCAGACATACTCACAGCATATGTACCAATGGAGCGGATTAAAATACCTTTTCGTAGCAGCCAGGATCCAGAGTTAGCAGCTGTATCGTTAAGGCTCGAGAGGGTGATCCGCGGGACACCAGTCCAAAGAGGTAAAAACGCGTATGTACTTACCCTTCACCCGGCCGTTAAAGCACGGAAAGAACATGAATCCAAGTAGACTTAACTGTGATCTCGGGGCCAGCAACGACAAATTTATGGAGATGACTTGAGAGAGCGCCGCGGAGTTGGATCGACGCCCCGCAGTTGTACGGAGGATTGCCAAGGTCGCATCGTGTGACCGTACGCGGGTTTTCATTCCTTTTCAATTAATAATGCGATTGACCCTGAATTGCTGAGTACCAAAATGAGGAAAACCATTATAATGAGCCCCCTCCCCCCCACCCCTAAACTCATAAATCCAAGGGATCAGAACCAGTCATAACGAACGTTGAGATAGCCTGAAGAAAGAAAACCTCTGTGTGTTCCCTGTCCATTCAGGCGGGGAGATTCCACCCAAGTCATCCAATAGTCGTCCGGGAAGTGCAAGTACACATTCCGTAACGCGGGATATTTTTCCGTCAGCGTGTCTATGACTTCGCGGCCTTCAATAGAATCAGACCCTATCATAGAAATGATGACGAGATGCTGAAGGCCTGGAGACAGGAGCATGTTCAGGAGCGCACGACAAAACGGCTATGCGGAGACGTGAACACGAAATGGCCAAGACAGATCACTGAACGGACTTACTTCTTTAGTCAATGCATACATTGGCTCCTGAGCCTGGGTTTGCAGGGGAAGTATGAAAGATAGGGAGCGAAGCCGGGGAAACAATGATGCAATGGATCCACACAATGCCTTGGTAGGGAAGGCGCGAAGCTGCATCGACTGGAGATCCGGAGCGCAGGTTTGCAGCATAGGCAGATCTTGCTGCAGGTCGAACATATCGCATGTTCCACCCCATCTATCACCCATTACCCTAATGTGCCGCAGTTGTCGCTGTTCCTTCAAGATGGGCTTAAGCAGGTAGTGCGGCCCGTCGTACGCTAAAAGGGGAACGGATTCTGGTGGAGGAAGAATGGTGAGCGCATGAGGTCCTCGAGAAGAGGGCAGAATGCGCAACTCCATCAAACTTGGACACTTTGAGAGTGCAAGGGGGAGAAGCTCGGATTTGACCACCTGCTCATCGCCTTGGAGGGTGATGGACTTCAACGCCGTTAATTCCTGAATCTTGGTGATCTCCTCTAAAGCGTCAAGGGAAGACCATTTGGAGTCTAGATGGAGGGTAGATAGAGTGTTGATATTTATTATAGATAGCCAGTGTTGTGGGGGGCGCAAACGGGGATCCTCGACACAACGGACGTGTAAGCTCTGTGTGGACCACTTGCGCTGCAGATCACTGGTTGCAAGTTTGACAGTCACGCAAGCTGTAAGAGACAGACACTTCAGACGACGGCACTGCGCGATGTCGCGGGCATGTTGAGGGGTGATAACAACATTTGCGAGAGACAGTTCCTCGAGCTCGGAGAAATCCGTAAGATGGGCGCAGAGGCTGTCAAACACGGGCTCAAAATCATGATCTGGCCAAGTCACAAACTCGATTTTGCATGTCTGAACAAATGATGCGATGCGCGGCGAAGTGTAGAAATCGTAACGCTGAATCGTGTCGACCAGACCAATACGTTGGCCTGTCTTGAGAAAATGAAGCATGGCATCTCGGTCATTATTGGCGATGAGGGTAAATGATTGGAAGAGATAGGGCTGGGCCATCCATCTGAACGAGCGTGATGCTAATGCTGCATTTCTGAGTCCATCTAACGGAAGATGGCGAAAGATGATTTCGCAAACTTCCACGGGTAGGTCGCTGCTATCCACCATCTTTGCCGTCGGGTGCATCTAAGTGGATGTTAGATTATAGACAACAACAGAATCAGTGAGTACTACCTGCATAGAAGTGACAGAGCTCCACGAAGGACAAAAATGTTCTCGAGTGCCCGTGCACACAGCAACCGACAGAGAATGTACAGGCTGTGTGCCCCAGGCTAAGCCTGGTGGAAGAGGTTGAGTAGTTCAGATTTCTGTTTACATGCACTGATCGATCAGCACGGCAATTCCCAGCTCGGCAACTTTGCAAACAACCATGAGTGGTCTCGCCGACGAACTGCTCGCCGACCTCGATGGTCTATCAGATGTTGAAGAAGAATACGAAGAGAAAGAGCTTGGAAAGTCAGCTTCAACTATCAATCCTCTGAAGAGAAAGGCAGATGACACCGGTTCCGATGCTGAAATGGACGATGCTGAAGAGGAGGCCGGTGAAGGCCAGCAAGCAGTGGGCAGCCTGGTCCTTGCTGGAGGCGTAAAACCAGCAGAAGAGCTTGATGCTGAAGACGTCCAGCAGATGGAACTGGGCAGCGTCGAGGACGTGACCAATATTGCTAAACTTGATGGCAGTAAGAGGATGACCGACCTTTTGAAGGTGCGTTCCTTGATGTCAGCCGTCGTATCTTTGCTCACTCAATGTTCAGGAAATCGAAAAATACCAGGCAAATCCAAGCACACCTGAGGCCATGGCGCTCCCCGCCCATATGAATCCTGAATACACGCTCATCGTCCAAGCCAATAACCTTTCTGTTGATGTTGAAAACGACATTATGGTCGTTCATAAGGCAGGCCGCCCTTTTTGTTTATTGAGCTGCAATATTTTTAACATCTTCTAGTTCATTCGAGATCATTACGCTCCAAAGTTCCCTGAACTTGAACAACTGGTGACCGACCCGGGGATGTACATTCGTTCCGTGCGCGTTCTCGCGAACAACGAGGTAAGTATGTTCAACATTGATCCCTCATTTGAAGCTTATTCAGCGGTATAGGACCCTACGAAAGTCGAATTGGCCGGCGTTCTGCCCCCGGCTGTAATCATGAGTGTCGTCGTCACTGCCACAACAACGTCAGGCAAACAATTATCCAACGCCCAGTGGGAGGCTGTCCAACGCGCCTGTGATCTTGCGGACCGTTTGGAAGAGGCTCGGAAAGTGGTACGCACTTCACTGTCATCTCTGCATCATCAAGATTAAAGATGCCCTCAGATTTTCATGTACGTCAGTTCTAGAATGAACGTTTTGGCACCCAATCTTTCAGCAATTGTTGGCACCACTACAGCTGCGAAACTCTTAGGTGTTGCGGGCGGCCTCGGTGCGTTGGCAAAGATGCCGGCTTGCAATGTTCATGTACGTTTATTTCTCACTTACAGCAGCGGCATTATGTCTGATCGACATGTCGTTTCAGCTTCTTGGAGCTCAAAGGAAAATAGCAGCCGGCTTTTCAACAGCTACGCAAAAACGGCATACGGGTTTCATATTCCAGTCTGAACTTGTGATACAAACTCCACCAGAATATCAGCTCAAAATACAACGCACAATTGGAGCAAAGTCCGTTTTAGCAGCTCGCATGGACCTGGAACGGCAGCGCCGAGATGGTCAGTGTCGTCAGCTCTCCTTCGGACCATTTTAATGAATAAGGACAGGAAGCTATGGTGAATCATTACGCGACAAAATTGAAAAACACATCGATCGTCTCGCCGCTCCTCCTCCCTCCAAGGTGACGAAAGCTCTACCAGTTCCAGGCGATGGTCCAAAAAAACGAAGAGGCGGAAAACGGTAAGCGCCTTGGTGACGCAAATTCATTCATTAACGTCAATTCTTTCCAGGGCACGAAAGGCTAAAGAAGCCTATGCTCAGACAGAATTACGGAAGCTGCAGAATCGCATGGCTTTCGGAGAGGCGGAACAGGAAGTGGGTGCCTTTGATCAGACCAAGGGGATGGGTTTGATCGGTGCCGGTACTGGTAAAGTCCGAGCAGGCATGGGAGAAGCTAACAGTAGAGGCGAGTTTTTGCCCTGGAAATGATGAAAGTAGTTTGCTGATCTTTCCGTGTAGCCAAATTGTCGAAGGCCAATAGATTGCGAACGTCAGCATTGACTCGTGCCGCCCAATCTTCCGGTTCAGGAACTGCGACCTCATTGAGTGTTACACCAGCACAAGGTACGCATTTGAAATGCAGTGGGCGTATTTCATGGATCCGCTGACTTTATACAAGGATTTGAGCTTACGAATCGGGCAACTGCAGCGCAGCGTGTAAAGGAAGCTAATGAGAGATGGTTTGCAGCCGGGAGCTTCTCGTTCGTAGGTCAGAAGGGTACCTGACCATCTATGTATACGCCCAAGCTTATATTATCATTGTTATCAATCTCTATCAACTCTCCAGGAATATAGGGTTGAACGTGACTTTTGAAAATGCGGATAATGATACAAATGCTACACAGAAAAATACTACCTACTGTTTAAGTAAGGTGGTCAGGGACTTCCAAAAATGCAAGGCATGATAACAATAGAGGAATCGCAGGTATTAGGAGGAGTGTTTATGCTTGGCCAGGGTGAGCCGTAGCGACAGTTTCACCAGTAGCAGAACTCTGCGTCACATCGATAAAACCTTTTTGCTTAGGATTGGGTAGCGACTCCCGCTTGGACCGATAATCTCGAATGGCTGATCGGATGGCATCTTCGGCCAACACTATAAGGATGCATTGAGCTATGCTTGAACTGAAAACTAAATGAAATCTTACTGGAACAATGAAGTTTGACAGGAGGCAAACAAAGCTCTTTGGCAATCTCGGTATTTTTTATTTTGCCGGCATCTTCAAGAGAAAGGCCCTTGACGCGCTCGGTCATATATGAGCTTGATGCAATGGCACTACCGCAACCAAAGGTTTTGAACTTGACATCGGAAATAATGCCGTTCTCGTCGACGCGGATTTGGAGCTTCATCACATCACCGCAGCTAATGTCAAGACATGTGTGAGACAGCGGGCACACAACGCCAGATGAAAGCAATGACTCACGCAGGAGCTCCTACGAGTCCAGTGCCAACATCTATGTCATTCTTAGGGAGGGAGCCCACCTACAATGAAAGAAATTATCAGATAAGGCGGTCCAGACCGGGTACAGGAGGTCCACCAACGTTTCTAGGCCTTTCGTAGTGCGAGATCACTTTCTCATGATAACCCCGCGCAAGAACAGGTCTGAGGGCGACCCGTGATGCTACAGGACGAGCAGAACTGAGGACAGTGCGAGCAATGGCAAGACGGAACATGAAGGACAAAGGAAGGTTACGATGACGGCAAACGAAAGGCTGGGAACTGAGTTTCAATTGAAGGCACGTGAGAGGCACTCCACAGCTGACATATTCCAATCGTTCGGCCGATTGTCCGACTCAGATTTGGCGCTCTGCTCCATCATGTCCTCTGCGCGGACTGTTGATAATCTACCACCAACTGCGAGAGCTATTGCTCTGTTACTTTCCTCAACGCCTGGTGTTCAAGACGCTCAACCCGGTGTGCTGCATCAGCTGCTTGAATTTGCCAACCGATATACCCAACACGTTCTCACTGATGCTCGTGTCTATGCAGAGCATGCAGGACGACAGGATAAAGTCGAGTACGATGATGTTGTCCTTGCGGTCCAAGCGCGCGTAGGCTGGGAGTTTGGTGGACGCGTACCAAAGGAGGTAGGGTAAAAAGCAGCAGCGGTGATAATCATTTCTTATTGACGCGTGCATTTTCATGCAGTATATCATGACATTAGCCTCGCAGACAAATGCTATACCTCTTCCTGCAGTACCCGAAGTCTTTGGTGTCCGTCTGCCACAAGCATCGGAATGCCTCACATCCATCGACTTTGACCTCGTTCCTAATAAGCCTCCACCAGGAGTGAAGTTATATGACGAAGAGGTGGAAGAAATTGAAGAGTCCGAGTCGGAGGATGAGGATGAGGATGAGGACATGGAGCCTGCCGCTATACCTTCGTACCCTGAGCAAGGCGACGCCGCGTCGTCTGTGGCCATGTCGCAGGAGCCTTATGTGGAGGAGGCACCGTTCCCGATTAGCGCCATTCAAACTGCAGCAGACATAAGCACGCCTGCTGGGGAAAATCCAGAGGAGGGAAGTGAGATAGAGGACCACGAAGAGCTGTTTGCGGGCGACGATGAAGAGGGCAGTGACGCGATGGAGGAAGTTCAAACTGCGCTGGTAGATGAGCCTGCTACAAATGGCGTCAAGCGAAAATTGGTGGAAGAAGACGATTACGATTAGTAGCTTGCTGTAATTTATTTTCTGTTGCTGTAAGAATATTTTGTCACATTGACGGAAACGGCAGTCGGACCGCGGTAACACCACACCACGTAAAGACGTGTTCTCTCAGCTTTGACTTTTCACAATGCGCGCCCGCCACACGGCCCACAATTTCCTGGCATTTCCAGTCTATTCTTCTGCCTTCATCTCAGACAACGAGCTCGTTCTAGGCGGTGGTGGAGGTACTTCGCGCAGCGGTATCAAAAACAAACTGGCACGTACCATACGCGTTATGTGAAACCAGATATCCTGACCGTACGCTCAGAGACTGTACCATGTCGGAGAGGACCGCTCTGTTGACATACTCGACGAGTTCGAGCTCGAGGCAGGAGAGGATGCCCCAATGAGCATGGCCGCCAATGTTCAGGTTCGTATGGCCAACACGTTTCTAGTCTCGGTTGCTCATTCTTGTTGGGAAACAGTCAAATACTCTCGTATGCGGAGCAAATAGTACTGAAGAGCTCGTAGCTAAAGGACAGAATGAAAATTGTCGCGCTTTCGCTATCAAGAACCACAAGTGTGTGATCGTGTCATCTGGCCCAAGTTATGTTGAATCATCGTTAGGTTGAACTTTCTCCGAAAGAAAGGGACTCTGGACTCGGAAAGTATTGAGGAATTCCAGGTAAGTTTTCATTGGGTCTTCCTTTCGTAGGATTGACGCTGTGGCCAACATAGAAAGTCACAGTTTTATCAGAAGACGGATCCTTCGTTGCGGCTGCAGGTCCTAACATTGTTCGCCTTCTCTCTGTAGTCTGTGTCTCTGAGGGTTGATGTTATCATACTAGCTGCATCTCATGTCTCTTCCTTCGCTAACATTGCGTACGACGCCGATCTCCACAACGAAAGAAATATATGACGTTGCTTTTTTCGGGGACACGGTGCGTCCATCCTTGCTCTTAATGCCAGATATTGACTTCAGATAGATGATTGTTGTTACCACCGCCGAATTACTTGTCTACTCGATTCCGTCAAAACAGCAAAGGTCGTCACCTTCCAAGAGCAAGAAGAAGGGCAAGCTAAAAGCGACGGCAATACCTGAAATGAAACTCCAAAGAACTGTAGAATTCCCCAAGTCATTGAACGGTACCTCAGGAGGTACGTTCCGAAGTGGACGGTATGTACCATTTCTTCGCACATTCCAAGCGATCTTCCATGGCGCCGAATATAGATATCATCCGAAAGATAGCAGCGTTTTCTATACGGCGGTCAATACGACGCCTGTACGCTCACGGAAGAGCAGGTCGATGCCGCGGCAGTCCTTTGTGTGCAAATGGAATACGGATACGTGGACCGTTGACAAGTCCCGAAAGATTGGAGACCGCGCGTTGACCTGCTTTGATGTCAGGTATGTCTTCTTACCCTGTTATTGTTTGAGATTGTGATTGATTGTTGTGTGCAGTCCTGATGGGCAATATCTGGGCTTTGGCTCATCAGACTTGACTATTGGGCTATTGGATGCCAATACGTTGGCTGTAAGGTTTTGTTTCCTTCCCCATACTTTTATTCATGCTCTATGAAAGCCTGCTGTGTCTATCCTGAAAGCTCACGAGTTCCCTCCGACCACAATATCATTCAGCCCCGATTCACACCTTTTCGTTTCAGGGAGTGCAGATAATTCTGTCAGGGTCGTAACTGTTCCGGAATCTTCCTCATCATCTTTCTGTGAGTCTTCCAACGCACATCAACGCACGCGTATTATTCACACATTGTCATATACAGCATGGGCTATCATTTTCCTAATTCTCACCGTACTCATGGTGTTGCTAGCGGCTGCAGTTCAGAAACTGCATTGAGCGCCGTCTTGTATATATGTTATGCGAACACTTTAGGGTGTTTATAAATGTTTCTCCTGCATGAGAAGACACCTGGCCGTCCAAATTATTATTTTGAAGATCGATGCAGCTGGCAGTGTCTACAAATAAGGCGTATTGGTTTTCCGTCAATGTCGAAGCATGCTTTTATCGTGCTGGTCCACATGAGATGCAGAGCAAGATGACAACATACGCCGCAGCTTTATTCGACTACATACACCTCAAACATCCCATTGGACAAGGACGTGCTCCTCTCTCCATGCCTCTCGAGCGTCTTGCCCATTTTCCATACAACAATCCTTTTCACAAGAGAACACCATACAAGTTCCCCAGTCCATGCCACGATTACCGTCACTGCCTTTTAGCGCCTTTTGGACAGCTTTCCGGCGTTCCTCATCAGACATGTTCTTCGTCGAGTCTGTCGAGCCATCACGGAGGACGTTGATAGTATTGGGCATTAGCTGACATTCGAATACACGTTTGGATTGGCAGTTGGGACAGGGAGAGAGCGACGAAGGATTGTACGTCCGTTTGGCTGTGGGAACGACCATGAAGTCGGCCTTCATCACGGCTCGTGGGAGAGTGGTAGGGGCTGGGAATAATAGGTCGAATACTTTGTCTGTTGAGAAGGGCAGAGGTACGCCGTTGAGATCGTAGCTAGAAAAGAGAGCTGGATGAGAGTGAACAAGAAGGTGAGATGTGGTATTTACCGTATACATTGCTCAGCTTCATGTTTTACCCGATTTGAGAATCGCTCAAAGACGAGGTCAACGTCTAGAGAATTCTCGTATTTTTCGGACCATCCTGTGTTCTTACCCCCTTTTGAGTCATCGTTGTCCTCGATTATTTGAGCACTCATAGGAATTTTGGGTTTCGGTTCGGGAGCTATGTATTCGGAAATTGTTTTGAGGTATAGAGGCCGGTATGAAAGTGTCTGTTTCCACGGCGAATCCTCCAGGGTAGCAGAGGTCATGGCGGTGAGCAGAGATTGCTCAGAGGATGAGGACTCATTGTCTGACTCACCACCCTCATCAACAGCGTCATCGTCAACTTCAGATGAAGCCATCGGCTTGATAGATGTAGCGTCACTAAAAATATGGGATCCAAGGCCAAATGGATTTGACGCTGTTGAAGCGCCACTCATCTGGATGACAATTAACAATGGCTGGTGTCGAAGGGAAAGATACTTTACGGAAAATGGGTTACTGATGGGCCCTTTCTGTGCCTTCTGTTTATCCGCTTCAGCTCGGGCCTTCTGTTTCTCTCGCTTCTTCTCCAGTTTTGCGGCATATTCAGCATTGTATCGCAAAGCTCTCCAAGCACGTATACTGGTGCACGAGGTGAGGATATGCTTGTTGAGGAGCTATAACAATACACACCGAAACTCACCTCCCTTCCTTTTTCTGGCATTGCGCCCTTGCGCAGCCCCAGATGTACAGCGCCCGATCCATAGGACTGTCTTCAAAAGGACACCACATCTGGGTCAAAAGTTCCATCGCATTGCTGCATACTTTGCACTGCGATGAAGTATAGGAAGGTTCACGTGAAGTAAGAAATGCCTTTAAACACATTGAGATTCTATCGACGGTACGCGTATAGAGCTAACCTACAGGGAGACCACCCAAGCGCGATACAGCACCATCGGAAAGATCTGTTTGTGAAATGATCTGACCATCTGGTACACCCAAGGTCACAGAGGTCTCGATCTCATCGAGGGCATCATCGTCAGAATCTGACCAATCGTCTCCTACGGGAGAAGGCATGTTAAGGTAAGGCTGGAAAGAGATACAGTTAGTCATCTGTGCTGTACAATCGACAAGAAAGCTGAAAATTCAGGAAAGCATGAATGGTAAAATTTTGGGTATCGTCTTGTTCAACAGAAACCAAGAAACTTGGAACCGATGGCTCAGACTCGTCATCTAAAGAGCTCATCATGGAAGGCAAAGATAGAAATGGTACTCACCAAAGAGAATAGAAGATGGAGCTGTAGGCTTGGGCAGACGGTGATAGTCGAGGTACAAAAGAACCGAAAAAAGTTTTCGCTTGAAATGCATGAACAAACAGCGTCGGCCCGGGTCCCGGACGCCGCGGATACGCCGCGACGAACGTTGGACGCAGACCGTCACCTGCACAAAGGCCAACAGTGAGACGGGTTCGCCCCTGGAAGCCGAGGCATCCTCTCTTCCTTTTCTTATCCGCTCTCCTACTGGCAATATCATGGATCCTGGTCGACTCCACATCAATACGCCAACCGTGATTGGTATCTCAGTCGCGATAGCTGGAAATATCCTCATTTCATTAGCTCTGAATATACAGAAGCTCGCGCACAAGCGATTAGACGTCGATAAATTGTCATCTCTGAACGCTTTAGGGAGAAACGGTGCCGCAAAACCTCGAGATGACGACGATAGTACTGGTCCAAGCCTCAACGAAAGGGATGAAGATCAGGAGGCAACAGTGGTGGGAGTAGCACAGTCAGATAACGAGTCGGATATCTTTGGATATCCAGAGGCAGTACCCTTGATGTCGTCGAATGGCCAGACAAACTATGGATCCTCGCCTTCACCCAGAAAGCCACACAAACGAAGCATTTCTGAGTTCTTGTCACTACCTCAGTTTGTGAGGAGACAGAAGGTGTCTATAGTATCAATTCCAGGCGATGTAATGGTGGAGGAGAGCGCGTCGCCTCAACAAAACAAGTTCGGTCGTGCTGAGGAGCTTGAACAGAATGAAGGTGACTACCTGAAATCCAAGCTTTGGTGAGATTCTTTTACTCTTTTGAAAAAGGACTTATGATCTGTTGTTCTCTTAGGTGGTCTGGTTTTCTCCTCATGAATATTGGTGAAATAGGTAACTTACTGTCCATAGATCGAAATTATTTTCACTCTAACGACCCTTTAGGCAACTTCATATCGTATGCCTGGGCGCCTGCTTCGGTTGTTGCTCCTCTCGGAACTGTAAGCAAGCTAACATGCAATATGTTCTTGAGCTCACGACTGCCAAAGTTTGCTCTCATTGCCAACTGTTTCTTTGCCCCCCTTTTACTCCGAGAACGGTTTCGCAAGGTGAATATATTTACTCTACTTTGATAAGAACAAGACGCGCTGACCCTAATAAAGCGTGATATACTGGGCGTATTACTTGCTATGATTGGGGCTGTAACAGTGGTGTTAGCATCCAGTTCTGCTGAAACGCGTCTTGATCCCGACGGGCTGGTGAAAGCTATATCTCAAACTCCGTTCATCGTCTATTCATGCATTTATGTTGCTGGATCAATAATTCTTTCTATTTTATCTGAAGGATCTCTGGGTCGGCGATGGGTAACCGTCGACGTAGGCTTATGTGCCCTTTTTGGTGAGCCGATAGGTCGTACCACGTTTGATAAAATTTACCATGAGAACAGGGGGCTTTACTGTTCTTTCTACAAAAGCTATATCCACCCTGCTGACGATGCAATGGATAGAAATGTTCGCAAGCCCTATCACATATCCAGTCATCCTTGTGAGTAAACGTGACCGGCACCTGGAGGATATTCGACTTATGCTTGACAAGGTTCTTGCAGTTACAGGTATAGGACAAATCAGATACCTAAATCGCGCCTTAATGAGATTCGACAGCAAGGTTATTTGTCTCTGAAATTTTTTTCACTCGACACTAATTCATGACCGCAGATTGTTATACCCACTCAGTTTGTTTTGTTTAACCTTTCAGCTATCGTGGGATCTGCGATACTGTATGGTGACTTTCAAAAGGCATCTTTCCACCAAATCGTAACTTTTCTGTATGGCTGTTCAGCCACCTTTGTGGGTGTATACATCATCGCACGGTCACCCCAAGATAACGGTGCTTCCGATCGGTTAGAGGAACAAGCCGAGGTTGAAGATGCTCAAAACAGGAACACTCTCGAAGACGCTCGGTCCCCGCGTTCGCGGGCAACAGTTGTACAACCATCTCCTAGAGACACCCCGGGTCTAAACCTGAGGCGTAGACGCAGTACTGTCAATCTAATAGGCTTAACGTCGGCTCAGGTTGGTAACGAGAAGCTACTTGTGTTTTCTGTCTCTGAAATGTTGTCATTCTTAGCATCTTTTGTTAGTGCATACGCCTCCCCGTGAATCGCTTGCTCGGGAGCGGGATTTCGAACGGGGAACCCCCGTTCCAACGCCAGACCATTACCAACCACATCGAGCCCAAAGTTGGAGAAGTGATGATTCATTTGACGTTATTCCCAGTGATAGTAGCGTTTCTCGCCGACCACAAGAGGGTACCCAGCGCTCGAGAAGCGGAGGCGAAACACCTCGGTGACCCTGCCTGTGGCGTCTAGCTTTGTCTATTTATGTTTTGCCGGAATTATCCTTATGAGAAGCCGCGGTACGTGTTTTACCATTTCATTCTTCATCATGATCTAACAAATGTCTTCATCTTAGGTTTACTCTAATTTTCCCAAGTTCTAATTCAGAGGTTTTGCAATAGCATCAATCATTAATGCGTCCTTCGTGGGCATGCATGGTTAACCCCGTAGGGCGTTTTACTGTTTCAGCTTGAGCGGTACAGATTCGAGTCGCTCCGAAGCGCACAATCAGCGCAGTGCACCCGCCTATCCCCTAGATCATCAAACGGATGATGGTGTACACATAAAAGACTTGATACTCGGCGTTTCTCGAGATGATTGTATACTAGTAGCATATTATGGGATCGGTTCAATCTCGTTTGTCTACTGTGAGCTTTCGTTGACCGTTCCTGTCTGGGCTGTAGGTAGCCCGACCAAAAACAGCTCGGGGCCTCATCAACATCATTTTAAATATGGTACTTGGATGTGAAGGATCCTTTTCTGTTGATGATCCGGCGAAGCAAGTCAGCCGTTCGTTCCCATAGATTTTCCAGAAGATAAGGGCCTCTTGGACCAGTCTACGCATGGTGTTTGCTGGTCTGGGAGAGTTGCGTTAGGCCGTCCACGCCGTTTATGGGTGATCCTTTGTTCCCGGGGGAGGTTGAAGTGTTTGGTACAAGTTGATTTCTGTCCAAGCGAGTTTGATCTGACGTCTTTTTGTGAACAGATACACGTACTTGACCTACTGTGAATGCGGTCCTCGCAAGAGACGCCAGACGCCACCAAGGTTTCTCAATGATTCGGTCTTATGAGACGACGTGGTTTTGGCCTCTCCTTTTACCACAAAGCCACCCGGCTACATGTATTTAACTTTCTCGGCCCCAGTGCTCGGGATCGCTGCATCTTCGTCTTCAAAGGTACTTCCGTGGCCAAGTTGAGATTCCTGTTACAGATCGTCTCGTCCTGGACTTGGTTTAAATTCTAATTACAATTTTATTCAGTCGGTGCGGGAATTCCCTAAGACATCCACATGATATGGTACAAAACTATCTAGCATCGCCTCCGAGTTCACTCCCTGCGAGTCATTTGTATGTGTGCAGCGCTATTAAGCTGCGCTCAGTACCACAGCTGCCAGCACTTCCAGTCAGAATGCCTGCGATAGCTGATATTTCTGGGATAAACGTCGATTGCGCAGAAGTAACATGCACGGCTGTATATACACTAATGTCAAGCGTAGTAGATTTGTTGGTGCCGTAGCTGGTATGTTCACGTAGCTTTAGGCGTGGATTGCCAATTTTAGACAGCGCCTAGATGAAGCACGCGATAACATTTGCAGTGTTGGAACACTGCCACACCCATATAAAGCCGTTCGTCTCAACCACCACCTCATCACTACTTGAAAGTATATTCTAGCAATGGTATGGCTTTGTGAATTCATACTGTCGATAATAATGACTCTTTACAGTCCTCTGGAATCGGTGTCAACTCCGAGTGCCTCGAAAAGTACCAGGAACTCAAGCTTGGCAAGAAAACCAAGTACATCATCTTCGCACTCAGCAAGGAGAAGACGGAAATTATCGTGGAGAAGACTTCAGAGTCCACATCCTACGACGAGTTCGTTAGTGATCTCCCGGAGGCGGAGTGCAGGTGGGCCATATATGACTTTGAGTTCGAGAAAGAAGGCGCGGGCAAACGAAACAAGATTTGCTTCTTCTCCTGGTGAGTTTCATTGTACCCTTATCGTCTGACATCGCGTCGTTTCGTGCTGTCATTGTGATTAGCAGCAAGGAGACTGGATGCGCAATCCTCGATTCGGCACTGATCTCTTTTGATAAGGTCTCCCGATGATGCGAAGATCAAAGACAAGATGTTATTTGCCTCGTCCAAGGATGCGTTGCGACGTTCTTTTGTCGGTATTGCGGTAGAGATCCAAGGAACTGATTTTAGCGAAGTCGCGTATGAGAGTGGTACGTGTTCCGCTTGTTGACTGGCTGTACTGCGCTCATTTTACCTTCTTTTACCAGTGATGGACAAAGCCTCTCGTGGCGCCTAACTTGCTTATCTCTGCTACCCCTGTTTTCTCGCTATCCATTTATACGCTGTAGTCCATCAATTTATCACCAACCAAGAAGTGCAGGGGAAATGTAGATAACCATATCAAGTGGGACACCATTCGTTTTTCGTAGGATATCAAGAAACAGATATATTCGAAGGATGGTCAATCATTCAGCCTCTCGTGTATGACAAGCCAATGTTATTTTTCATCGCAAAAAGGGCCGATGTCCCGGGTCTCTGACGCTGTGGCCGTCGGAACGAACTGTCAACCAATGTCGGCTGCTGTTCACTTTGAAGGATGTGTTACCTCTGCGTTCTTAGTCCAAATCACTCCTTCAAGACGTTCCTTTACCCGCTTCGTGTTATGTGATGGCCTATTTTCTAGTAGTATTTATCTGCTACCCTAGGCTAGCACAATGAATTGTTGAAATCTCAAGTTCTGAAAGTTGGCACAGGCAAGAATACTGCAAGAACCTCCGAAACAAACAACGCGAAAGCACATGCGGCGCCTGCTATTATTACAGCCACCATGTCCATCAAGGCTCGAAAGATCTCTTTCAAGCTACCCCCGACAACGATAACAGATAAGCTGCACTCGCAGCAGGTTCGGAGGTCTAAAGTGCGTCTATTCATTATGGAAGACAGCTGGCTAACTAATTACCCTGTAGGCTTTGGAGGAGCAGAAACGAGTATGCAGAAATTCTCAATTTCTCTATCTGGATTTACCTCGTAACATTATTCTATGACTAGCGGCGTGCTGAAAAGATAGATGCGTCAAGACAACTTGACATCTTTGCTGATCTTAGTCTCGGCTTGGATGATGAGGACGATGAAGACGATGGAGACCAAATAGAGGTTGTTCGTGAAGGGGTAGGAGCTTTTGCGGCAATGCTTGGGTCAGAGCTGCAACCAATTACTGCTCCGAGTGTAGCGTCGTCCCCAACATCAGAGCAACCGAAGAAGAAGAATAAACGCAAACGAAAGACAAGATTGAAAAACCAGGATCAACAACAACAACAAACGAAAAAACATGATGAACCAAACGAATGGGCAGATAAGTGTATGTATGCGGAGCTGCTAGAGATGAATTCGGACGATCCTTGGACAACTACGGACGGCCTACCGGATGATCTCGAGACTGGATGGGTGGCCGTCGCGCCTGTTCCTGTCGGCAAGCGTTGTCTTGCCATATCACATAATAGCAATGGTACAGGTCCGTTTGATAGGTTCTTGAGTACGACCATGTTGATGCTAACCATCCTACTAGCTCCAAACACAATGCTGCGGTCCAGAGCGCTAGGAAAGCCACTTATGGCGCGTTTCCCATCGTCACTACCACCGAATACTGTTGTGGACTGTATCCTGGACTGTAATTGGCGAGATAACGGCATCTTGCATGTCCTCGATGTTGTCAAGTGGAAGGGCCAAGATATCGGTGACTGCGAGACAGCTTTCAGGTGCGAAAGTCTTCGTTATCATCCATAAACGTATACTTAAGAGCAACTTTGGTGCAGATTTTGGTGGAGAGATACTCGGCTCGCTGAACTCCCCATCTCACCGCCTCCTGCACTGACCTCTCCGCGGCATCAGTCAGATCATGCTCCATCTAGATATCGTTTCAGCTATCCAACAACACTACTTCCGATACCATACTATCAAAACACGTCGCTCGATAGTCTGAGTGCTGTTGTTCTTCCTCTTGCTAGATCTTCGCGCTCAGTCACGGTCGACGTTCCCGTACTCGCACCCGCTGACATTTCAATGGACATCGACGGGGCTGCTGAAGGACCATCGATCGACCATCTTCCTATAAATGTCTATCCTGATGGGATGTTGCTCTATGTGTCAGAAGCTAGTTATGACTCAGGCACTAGCCCTTTGAGTAGCTGGGTGCCCATTAAACCTTTTACTCCTGTGCCATCATTGAATGCAGAAGCTCCCCTCGATAAGTTCCAGAGGTGAGGGAGGCATTTTGATCGAGAACACATCTGACAAGTGCACATAGATTAGTGCACCAGCGCATGGAGCGCAAGACGGCTGCAGTGTCCATAGAGGTGGAGATGTCATGAAGCTCTTTCACCGTTTCCTGCGCGTATCTAGAATATGATCGCTGATTTTTTACGGAGTGGCGCAATGAAGGACGTCGATAAACTCAAGCAACTACCATGCAAGACCTGTATGAATATCTAACGTCCAACTTTCAAATTGGAAGCGCTGTCGGCCACATCAAGGTTGCGTGGCGCAATAATTTGATGGCGACCATTGATTGTGTATCTTCAACTTGAACTTCGACGTTGTTCAAGGCCGGGACAATCTCAACATCGCTCTCTACGTTTTTTGTTTTTACATTCTATAGCTTTGCACATTACTCATCAGAATATGTTCTCAGTTACAGGTATAAGCCTCTAGAGGTCTTTATGCTCTCCCTAACAGCGTCGTCATGCCCAACAGCTCTCAGTCCGCCAGCGCGGTCTTACAATACCCACTGTTGTTTCCGTTGCAATCAACGACACTTCCCAATACCCCTGCATTACTGATAGCAGTGCCCATGCATGATCCATTATGAATGAGCACAGAAATATTATCTGGGATGACATTCTCCATCTACGTTCAGTATCTCCGGATGCGTTTCGGATTCCTTCCTTCCTACTTCGTCAACTAGACACAAATCGCTCGTCTACAAACTACTGGACACCTTCAACCACACGGGCGGTGGACACTATTCCCTATCTTCCCTATCGACCCATACATAGGAACGAACGAGAATAGCGTCTTCAAACGGCTTGAAACAATTGCCGGCGCGGATACTGTCGAAGAGGCGAAACCCTTGCTGGATCGCAATCCGAATGTGGTAATGCAGACCCAGCCAACGCAAACCTCGCTTTCTGAAGGTCGCGACGGACAGTTCATATCTGAATTCCACTAGGCGTTGTGTGAGTCTAGGAGCCCAAGTCATAAACCACGAGTTTTCCGCCTGGTACGGAAAATCGTACCCATGTGAAAATAATCACAAGGTAAGGCGATATTTCATCCCTATGTAGCTCGATGATTTGTTATTTGCGTCACTATACAGACCGCATTAGCATGCCACCGTGCTGGGATTGAAGAATAAGTGATTCATGTAAGACGTAAAACGTCGACCAAACTCTTCTGCGACATCCAGACATCTGTTTACTCGAATACTGCGAACCCCGTAGGAGGCACTTCAGCTGGTCCAAGTCGGCTGCATGGTCCACAGCGTCTGTATGTATACTGGACGACACACTATCGCGTGTCTCTGATGTTGATGTCCTCTAGACAAGGTTTCCAGAATCAGAAAATACTCCTCGATGGGCTCCTTCACGCTTTCAGAGGTACAAATATTTTCTATCTGTCTGTTTCTGTCTTCTAAAGTCTATCAAGGTGGAGATATCTATACAACGCTTCATATGTTCACAGAGACATATGTTCAAGGAACATCTTACTTTGTGCAGGCAACAGGAGAAATATATCGAACTTGGAATATGCCACAGCCTTTCTATCCGAAGGTTCAGAAGTGATCCCAAAACAGTACGACCCCGAGTCGCACATGCTTTCGTATTTAACTTCAATTTTCCTATTGCAAGGAAAATCCACTTTCATGCCACAGAAGTTCAACATAAACGATATCACTTCAAAACAAAGCAAGCAGACGACTATGATATCTCGGACTCAGAATTTGACTTGTTATTCCCGCCCCAACAGGACATCGTGCACCGCGTCTCACGCCGTTTCTTATCACAACGCAGAATCGACTTTGGTAGACCGACGTGCACTCGCTGTCTACCACAGAGGCTCCGACGACTGATGTGGATTAATCCACCCAACAATTACAGGAGGAACACTTCAATGCCCTAAGCATTCCTATATGACACCGAAGGATCTCAGGCACACTTGGACTTTCTCAGATATACACTAGATGAATATGCTACCATCGTACTATGTCCTCCAACGAATTTCAGGACGCAACAGTGGCACTCAGCGTCGTTCGCAAAGTCCTCGACGTTGCACACACATTTGAGGCTCAGGAAAAATTTCCTCAATACGATCACTTTGCAAATCTGTTCAAACAACGGTATTTCGAAGAAGCTCTAAACGAGGCAGCCATGGATACTGTCGTGGACGCTCTTGACTGTTCGAGCAGACTACAATACAACATTCCGTAACCTAGCTGCATTATTTGCCTTCGTTACAGCTGTGGGGGTTCCTCTGGAACCGGATACCTTCATCTCCATTGGAAGCCGCTTATGTGGTTCTTGGACAAAGCGACGAGCTACGATATTGCGGTGAATTACAATGGGAATCGAAATTTTACATTAATGGAACTTTATCATGAAGCAAGAAAGTATTGCTGTCCCTTCTTCCTCTTCTTTATGCTCTGATCGCTGACGACCAAGGACTGTCGTGGTCGACAGCGTAGACCAGCGATCTCTCATACTACGACATGTCAGGGCGCTCCTGATTCGAGCTCTCAGCCGTTGGCCTCGTCTACAATCTTCATAACTACTTGGAGGGGCACATTCACGGGAATCGTCTTCACGGGGCTCATAGTTGGCATAGTTCTCCTCATTCAGACCTTCGGGAGCCCAGTCAATCATCTTCATCCCCTTCACCGTGACGTGTGGGCCGCTGGGGAGGATAAGCCAAGGCTTTGGGACTCTGATTGTCGCGACGGGATGTTTTCGTTGTCCTTGCACTTCGAAACCATCCTTCAGGCGGTAGCGCACCTCCAATTCCTTGGATAGACTCCACAGTATGGAGAGATTCGAGTGTCTCTTGACTGAAATAGGCGGCTAGGTATGCTTATTGAGCTAAAACAAATAAGGAAGCATGAAACAAGCGGCTCACTGAGGTGCCACTTCCGTGTAATGCCTTTGGATCGATCTATGGGGAGGGTGACGTGAACGCTGTACGTTTGCTTGATGAGATTTCTGGTTTCAGGCAAGGTTCGGAATGTTGATGATACAGAATATCCTGGAAAATGGGATGACTCTTCATTTCTTCTGTAAGTGCATTAGTTCAGATTTTGGAGCCAAGTATATATCGGTCGAACCTCGTTAATCGTGCCCATGGCGGAGACTGAGTAATGGGCACGCAATCGTCATCCGGATTCTTCTGGTGATAGAACAAGAATTCCTGCAAGGCAAGCGTCAACTGGGCACAGGCGATGAAATGGGGCCAAGAATTACATCACGAATGCCTATACAGCGCCACAGTTTTTCAATGCAAGGTAATGGCGAACAGATCTGACACATACGACTTGGTCCCCATGCCATCCCATCCGTCCTTAGAGACAATGTAATCATCTGCTCTGAACGAAACAGGTAACCGGCATACCATCGTTCCAGGCCTAGCCCAACCGTCTCCGTATTGACGCCACGCTCCTCCCAGACATACACGTTGCCGGCCACAACCGCCCTCCATTCCTCGATGTTGAGCCGACGCGTGATGAGGGGGAGGATATTCAGTGCTACCCCATGGAATACCACTAGAGCATCACGGGGAGTCCGGATCCGTACATTCTCGAGAGTAGGGCGCTGTATGAGGGTGTTATCCATTGAGGAACGAAATTAAAACCCTGTCACGTAGTACAAGTGTGGCCTTTATACGTACCATGATGTAGCATGAAATATTCAGGGAACATACACAGGGTGCATATGACCACCAAGATGGTCATTATTTTAAGGTTTAAATTGAGTTGAAACGGGTGGAATGTCAGGGAAGCATTCGCGAGAGAACCTTAGAATACCCGTTCTTGGGAAGTTCTCACGATAGCAATCCAAAAAATTGTGACATGAAGTGGTCAGACGGGGAAAAGGCAGATCAGTGAAGTATATAGATCTCGTGATGCATGGCTGTTTGATTCATTTGTGTCGAAACACCGGAGAAACTCGGATGTGGTACTATGGATGCAATTCTCTTCTTTGTGTAGGAGTGGTTGACACTCTACGTGGATCGCTCGACTTCTGACCATAGGATTCGCAAGCCCCAAGAGATGGTTGATTACCATGCCCCCACCCTCCCCCCCCTCCTCCCCAAGGATGGATGCCGGGGGAATGTCACAACACCTTAGCATCAATGTTGTTGGAGTATCAGAAAGTGTTCATCGTACCTGAATTTGGGGATACGCTTAGGAGTGGGAGTTTCTACCTGGCTCCGACTCTACCGACCGTTCATTCGAACTCGGCCCTCATCCTCTCTCTGTTCTTCGTCGACAAATAATCACCTGTTCGCTTCTGCTTGGAGACCTTGAAGCTCTCATTAATGAAACGTAAAAACACCTTTCTTCAAACGAGAATACGAGGTATACTTCCATTGTAGATCCTTATCCTTATCCACACATGTACAAGATTAAACGCAAATACATCAACTAGACACCCTTATCCACCATAGTCCTATGCTTGGTCCCTAGTATAGCATTCCACAGGACGATAAGGGCAGCAGTGACTTCCCTTCTCCTCACACCACTCTTTTTCCACATGATCCTCACAAAAGCAAGGACACATAACAGGAAAGACGCGTCCAAACACAGACGTCGTATAATTATCGTAGAGGGGGATCTATGCTCGTTCTTAGAGAAGAACTTTGTAAACTCGCGGAGCTGCTCAATCCCTCTGGACATAGGATTCAACACCAAAGACCACATCCCCAAATCATCAAAGTCCCATTCTGGGCCTGTGCCTAGACTGCCCCGAGGCCCCGCCCAGCTGGGGCTGAGCCTACGTCCGCCGAGAGATGAATGAGATCGAGAATTCGGCAGGTAGATAGATTCAATTGACTCAATGCGTTCACCCATGGCAGCCAGCTGGGCCTGCACGTTTTCGACAGCACGTTCAAGCGTAGGCCGCGTTGCAGGTCTCACTGGCACATAAGGTCCAAACTGGGACATGAGAATTGGTTGGGATTGCCCGCGGTATTGAGGATGGGAAGGGTATATATGTGGCGAGCCGGTCATTTCGTTCTGAGATGATTGGGAAAATTGGCTGGTGGGATATACAGACGACGGCGCTGGGGTTGGGGAGTCGCCGAAAGCGGATGGGGTTTCAAATCCAGGTAATGGTTGAGCTACAGGGACACCACCGTGAGCAGGAGGAGGAGATATGGCAAGAGATCCAGTCATGGGTGTTCTGTATCGATGAGAAGAGAGGGAAGATTGGGGTCGGTTCGGTTGAGGCATCTCTATTTGCTCTGGGGTAAGATTCGGAAGCTCGCCAGCTTCATCTGCGCTGTCGTCTACTTCAGAACCAGAATCTGTTTCGTCTCGCTGTTGGCTATGGACAGAATGTGATTGAATTTGATGGATGTATGGTGATGCATGAACTTCATCTGAAGCAGTAGAACTTGACGATGAGGATGCTCTGGATCTTGACATGGTTCCTACATGAAAAAGAATAAATGTCTTGGAAACTGAATCAGTGAGGATTGTTACCGCTCATCACAAGATTGAAAGGGTCGCCTCCATACGCCTCCAGTTCCTCGACGAGACTCTTGGCAACTGTTTTGTCGGAATATTTGCGCAAAACCTACAGCAGTCAGGAGAGTACATGACTGCAAAATTTCTAATAAGGCATACCTTGAGAAGGGCGTCTACGTACAGCCACTTTGCCTCATACGAATCTAAATCCTTGTGTTTAGCCCAAGCATCCCTACGTTCTCCAGCCGATAAGAAATAGATCGCAATGGGAGTACAGCGACACCGACCATTTTGCACGCCCCAACATGTCCCACATTGCGGGCCGCGGTGACTTTACATTTCCAACCGTTGCTGTAGGAACGAGTCAGGGAGAACGAATGCATCACAAGAGAACGAGCACCTTGCTTGTACAAGCTAAGAAAACGGGTGTCAGAAGCACGGTGAAATAATAGACTACGAATTGTTTACCTGTACATCGTCAGTTTCTCCTCATAGTCCGTCTGGATAGGGCCAGTCTTGGGCAAACCCTGGACAATCTCAACTGCGCGGTCGAACTGGGCATCAATGAGGTCGTTGGATGACATGTCGTTGCCTGCTCTCAGGCTCGTTTTCTGGGTAGTGGTAAGGTCGTAGTACAGCGAATGCCGGACCCACGTGAAAGCAAGTACTTGGTACAACAGGGACACACTCTCTGCACAGCTTCTACCGCATCGCCCATGCATCACGGCTCCGATTCCAGTGACAGCGAGGACGATGCTCCCTGCTCGTCGGGGGCCGAAGACGATGTTGAAGCCATTCCTCTGGCGCCCAAATCTAGGAAAAGAAAAGCACAGGATGACGAAGGACGGGGCCAGCCCATCATCGTACAGACTTCCTTCGACGCGTACTTTACCCACACCAGCTCGCGACCCCAGACCTCTGCCAACGTTTTTTCTTCCCTTATACCACCGCTGTCATCAACGGAATATACAGAGGCCATTGCCACTCTCCCCGACCAGCAACTTAAATCGATACTCTTGACAGATCCCGAAGCACGAAACGCCTTGTTCACCAGGATTTTACGCGAGCTGAAAGAAGGTTTTAATGTGCTCTGCTACGGGTACGGCTCCAAGCGTAATCTATTGAACCAGTTCGCGGTAGAGCGATGTTCCAAAGTGGGACATGTCGTCGTAGCCAACGGATTTCAGCCTAATTTCAGCATCAAGGACTTACTCAATTTTATCGAGGCCATTCCTGGTGTCCTCTCCCTTCCTGCGTCTTCTGCCGCTATTGAGAGCCAGGCGCGGCGGATAGCCACGTTCTTCTCCCAGCCATCACAAAAACAACCGCTCTACATCATCATTCATAACATCGATTCTCCCAGCCTTCGCACCACCAAGTCCAAGGCTTGTCTCGTCCTTCTGGCCTCTAATCCTCGTATTCATATCGTGGCATCCGTAGATCATATCAACGCGCCACTTATATGGTCTTCTAGCGAGGCATCTTCTCGAGGAGATGGGGGCTTTACGTGGCTCTGGCACGACATGACCACCCTTGCTCCATATGATTTTGAGCTAACATACGCCGACCGCTCGTCAATATCTGGAGCACATGGGGGCGGGCCTCGTAAGCAGCGTGATGCAGGAAGTTTGGGCATCCCGAACGCCACGAACATGTCGGAGACCGCTGCAGCCCATGTCTTAGCGTCTGTCACGCAGAAAGCCAAGAAGCTGTTTGTGCTTATGGCTCAGAAGCAGCTTGATGCGGTAGAGGAAGCTGGCGGCCCGCCGGCGAATGATATGCAACCGTTCGCGATGGGATACGGGATGTTGTTCAACGCCGCCCGTGATGAGTTCATTGCGACAAATGATACGGCCTTGCGATCGTTACTTGGAGAGTTCAGGGACCATAATCTGATTCTAGGTGAGCAAAGCACATCGGGTACGGAGATGCTGTGGATACCACTGCGGAAAGAGAGGTTGGCCAATGTCCTTCGCTCAATACAGGTGGAATGAAGTAGGCTTTCCCTCTCTTGAAAGTACGTCGAAATTTGTTGTATACAATTGCATTCGGCAATTCATAATACTAATACATTTACGTCGCAAATCTTTATTGTGTATCTCAAGACATGTCAACGACGCAACGGATGCATTCGCCACCCTAAAGACATAAATGAAGATGGGGACTGGATGAAATGATAGTGACCTCACATGCATATCATGGAACCCTTCGTTAATTTCAGCAAACTTCCTATAGTGAGTAACATACTCGTCAATCTTGACTTTTCCTTGTAGATAATCTTTTTTTTGAATAGAGGTCAGTCGATAGAAGCACCGAACAACATTACTGAATCACCTTCAACAAGACCAGGAATCTCAGTCCTTCCTTTGACACCACCGAACGCGCTCCCCCGCCAGGTACGGCCAGTTACCAATTGGAAACTAAGATCACTAGCGTTAGATAAAGTTGTTTGCCGCGGCAACAGGCAACTCACGGTCGTGTAGAGATCTCTTGACCGGCAGCAGCAACACCAATGATAGTCGAGACACCCCATCCTTTGTGACAAGCCTCAAGAGCAGATCTCATAACATGCACCTGATTTTGATCAATAAATGGTTTCATCCTCAAGACGCAACTCACATTCCCAGTACAATCAAACGTGTAATCGAGGCCGCCGTCGGTGATTTCGACGAGATGATCCTGAATACGAGTGCCCTCAGGAAGCTGGAGTGGGTTGATGAAATCGGTCGCTCCAAACTTCCTTGCCCAAGCCTCTTTGCCGGGATTGGTGTCGATGGCAATGATACGGCTGGCGCCTACCATGGCCGACGTGTTGACAACTCCAAGACCTATGGCGCCGCAGCCGAAGACTGCCACGGACGAATCCTCTACGAAAGAGATATCAGAAGACCGTACATAGACATACAAAGGAGACCATACTGATTCCGGGCTGCTTTACAACAGAGCCCCATGCGGTGGTTATACCACATCCGAGTAGACAAACCTTCTCCAAAGGTGCTTTTTTGTCTACGGCAACGACCGACACGTCGGCGACAACGGTGTATTGCGAAAAGGTAGATGTGCCCATCTGGACTTGTTAGAGCAGTTCGCGGCTCAAATGCGAAGGCACATACAAAGTGATGGATAGGTTGGCCCTTACAGGTAAAGCGGCTCGTATTGTCGGGCATAAGACCTTTGCCTTGGGTGGCGCGAACTAGAGGCAGGGATGAGGCCATGACGGCTACTCGATACGAAATGGTATACCTTTCCCACAAAGGTTGGTTTTGCCGCTTTTGCAGAATTTGCACTCCCGACACTCTGTTCGTTATTAGAAACACATAATTAGATGAGGAGGCGCGCGTCTCACCGGCGGTATAGAGCGGGATGACATGGTCACCGACTGCAACATTGGTTACACCTTGTCCGACTGATTCGACCTTATCAAAAAAGATCAAAAATTATCGGCGGTGACGGAAGGGCACTCTTACGACCCCTCCGCCCTCGTGACCCAGGATAACGGGGAAAAGACCCTGAATTGAGCTGGGATAAGGCATATCAATCTCATGGAATGCCGCCTAAGACAGACCTCGGGATCTTTGCCACTGCGAGTGTACTCATCGGTATGGCAGATTCCTGGAAAGCCGATAAATGGTATTGCTATTGCCCGCACGCCGACATGCACTTTACCAGTGTGAAGGATATGAATCCTGACTTCATGGGCCTGGGGAGGCGCGACTTCGATATTCTCGATCTTGAGAGGCTCGCCAGCACCCCAGCAGACGGCGGCCTTGCACTTAATTACTTTGCCGCCAGTGTCAGACATGATGGTGGTTGGAGAGAAGAAGATGTGGGTAAGTCAGCGAAATTTGAATACTTTGTATGTCGACAATCGGACCGGCTATTTCTTTTTGGGTACGATTGGATCCGGTTGCTCCTGTATATACATAGTTTCTTGTGCTAGCCTTTTCGCAGGAATATCTCATACCTTGAACGTAATTTTACGCGTCGTTTTGAAAGAGACGGGGATGATTCCTTTTTTTTGCTATTGAAAAGATGAATGACCGGGTCATCTTGCGCGCGACGGTGTGCTCTTATGACGCATCACCAGGACGCTTCTTGCCTAAATAGGATTCGGGTATCACAGTATCCTTGCCTTCACATCATCATGTCCTTTACAAATCTGTACTACAAAAGGGTACGTTATCTTTGCCATTCTCTGTCAACAGCTGTATACATAGCTGACCATAGACCACAGGGACACCCAAGGCTTGCTATGTCTGCTACAAACCGACTACAGCCTGTCTAGCCACCATCAACGCTGTTGACTTTCTTTACACGTGTCAAACCCATCTTACCGACAGAGGCTTTGTTTCAGCTGTGCAAGAAGAACCTGCTAAACCGGCTCTAAGTGAGGATGAGATTGCTAAGGTGAAAGAAGAATGGGAGGAGAAGCAGAAAAGGAAGGCAGAGCGTGAGAGGGAGAAGGAGAAGGAGAAGAAAAAGGTGGATAAGGAGAAAGATAAAGAGAAAGACGAGGATGACGACAAGGGCAAGAAGGACAAGAAATCCATGTCACCGAAGTCATCGCCTTCTCCAGCTTCTCCTTCGACGCCTAAACCGTCTGTAGCTCATCAGCGTTTTACCCTACACCGTGACATCTTTACCAGTACGTGCCATTGCTGAATTGGACACTGTGGTTATTGACTTGAATCGTCAAAGTGCGACAAACTGAACATCGTAGGCGTAGACAAGCCGCGCAGGCAAAGGATTTAGCGCCTCGTTTACCTGGGGCGCCTCGGGGAGAATTAGCATAGCCTATAATACCTTTCAGCATCCCATTTTGGACGTTCATAATATGATGTACTTGTACTAAACAGTATTTAACTTGCTTGAATATGTTACGCGGCAAACGAATCCTTGATTATATTTGTATTCATTCGACCAGCAATGACAAAGCTACAGTTGTGTGTACAGAGAAGGATAATACCTTGAAAACAAGACGTAGGGTCGATTGGTCCTGAAATATATCGATGCGAGGGAAGTATTTCCTGCGGAGAAGCACTTCCCCGCAAGTTACCCAGAACCGAAAATGACAAGGACCATTAGAAGATATATCCGCAAGATCAAGGCATGATGGTATTCTAGCAATCGCCTTCAGGCCCGCAAGTTGCAAGAGATGATTACCCGTGTCAGCAAAGATAGATTCTACGATTTGGCACAATAGTTGTTCTCGCTGTGCTCTCGAGATCTGGATGCAATGCAGTGCGAAGCTGAGTGAACAGGAAGATCTGTACCATGAATAACAAAACAACTTACATGATTTCGATACTATGACGCGTAAGTTCCCCTGGCTCAGGTTGCTACGTCATCCCCTACACGAAATGCAGACCCCTCGGGGGCTCATTTATCTTGGGTATGTGCAAATATGAATTAATACTGGTCGTCTACAATAGCCTGAGAATGAGTCCAATGAGTCAGATGTAAAAAAATGGGTGAGTCCGATCGTATATACGTGGTCTATCGTCCAAGAAAATACTGGTTTAAAGCGGCAAAACGGTGCCAAAGACATGATCCCAGAACTTGCCTACAACAACCTGTCATAAAGGTGTCTCGGTCTACAGAAAATAGACGTACTAGTTACACCAAAGGCAAGCTCGTAGTTTTTGTAGTGATGGGCAAGGTGGTATCGTTTTTGTTCTTTCAGGTATGCTGGAAGGTCGGTATGATGAAGCCTGCAAGTTCAGGTTAGCGGTCAACTGGGTCAAGGGGATATATTATCACTTACGCATAATGCATAGTATCATAGATAACATCTACAAAGATTGATATCAGCATTTAGAAGTCCGATGATAAGTCAATACTCGCAAAAAGCGAACGCTCCCGCTATAATTCCATTTGCCACCGGAGTGGGGAAGAGTTTGTATGCCAGCTGGGTGAAGGGAAACTGAAGCGCTGTAAACAAGACCGGCGGCATGACAAGCCTCAGTCTAAATATTGTACACTAACGTCATTAACGTTATTCACCAACGAAATGGCACTCAGGGTTACGTACCGATCCATAGGAAGATAATGGTGCACGCCGTGTAAGAGGAAGTGTAGAGTAAGAAATGGACCTTTGTCGGGAAGATTCTCATCGAGATGGAACAAGAACCGATGCATGCCGTATTCCAATATCGTCCAGATGACGTTTCCAATGAAGAAGCAGATCGCAAATTTCGTATAGGACTCTTGGGGGACTTGGGAAAGGAATTGCAGAGGGAGTATGGGGTTCACAAAGACCGAAGGCAGCGGCATGCTGAACTGCAAGATTGAACGTAGGGCAAGGTACATCGTGATTGGAATCCAGACGAGTGGCACCGCATACCACACGCATTTTGTGAACACCTATGAGAGCTGTGAGTACCGTCCAACAGAATTTTTGAGGACCAAATATACCTCAAGATAGGCTGGCCCGAACAGCCGAGCCGAATACGACAGATGCCGGGGTTGATGGATTTGCTGGAGGTAAAAGTTTTTGCTGCGGGATGGTTGAGCCGAAGAACAGAAAGCGTACGGAGACATACCTGAAGTTAGCATACCATACCTGAGGCAGCAGAGGCTTGCTCAAATCCAAGAACCCATTCTTCGCAAAATCCGCTTTGAGGTCGGTGTCTTCTGGATGGAAATCCTCGTCGGCGACCCAGTCTAAGGAGCTAACGTTAGAAGCTATTGCAAGAGACTAATGACATTACGCACCCTGAGAGCAGGTATGCTCCTCGTTGCCCACTCTTCCAATGAGAAACTCTTCTAGCATGTCGTATGCAGCCTCCGAATGCTCATGCTCGTTCTTGTCATTCATGACGTCCTCAATTGGTTGGCCTGCACGACGAAGAAGGACATCTTGGCCGCCAGGGTGGTCAGCTAAGAATCCTGTAATGTCGTACACCTTTCCTCGGTAGGAGACCCAACAGCTAGAGGCCGCGACATGTCCTTTGAGGTCCTCGGGAGAGTAGATTCTGACCCTTTTTGACATGGTGTGCGCAGAAGAGAAACAAGGCCCCTTTCAGCAGCCTTCCTCTTTTAGTGATGCCTGCCGGCGGTACTGGATTTATACTTGGACATTTCCTACATACAGTAGAGCTGAATGATCGTTCATACGGTGCATATCAGTGTTGATTCTTTCGAAATATTTCCAAAGATTCTGATGGGCTTGCCAGCTCATCTGACGAGAACCATCACAGCGACGTCTCGTGAACCCTAACCATATGCAAGCATTGGGTTCTTTCTATATAACATGGACCGAACCATGGACATCCGGCACACACTTACTTTCAGATTGTTACGCTCCATGAGATTTTCTTGGTCGAATGCATTGTTAGCGACGACGTCCCTCCAGGACGCCTTTGCGCGATGCCCCGATTATACCACGTATGCACAGGCCAGTCGCAATCTTGACTAGAAAACACATAATTCGGATACTAACGGCATTTCCGTGTGCAGAGCTCGCAGGGAAACCCATCTATCGGTCCTTTGGCTTTACCGTACATGCGCCCTGATCCAGCCTGTCGCACGTTCAACAGTACCGCTGTCGAGGTAAGTCTCGTTCCTCTGAGCTTGAGATAGAAAATAACCACCTTTTTTCCTGCTAGAAAGTCATTGAAGATATGAAATCGCGTTTGAAAGATCCTGATCTCGCGAGACTGTTCGAAAACACTTTCCCTAACACTTTAGGTCTGTCTGTGTATCCTATGCTCTTTTTCCAGCGCGCTTATCTTCATAAAGACACGACAGTTAGGTATTACAATGGAGTGAGCTTACATGTTCATCTTTCCCTCTGTGTCCGAATGATCTAATTTCGAAGACAGAGAATTTGGCTTTCATCATAACTGGGGTTCGAATTTCTGACAGCAAGCATAACTTTTGGCACTCATTCTCACGTTTTTAGGATATAACGTTTGTGCACGGCTCTTAACACGTGTCATTATAGCTTACTCCCTCTTTCAGGGCTCAGTGGCTACGTGATACCACTAACCAGGTAGTATCTGCATCTTACATGCTAAACCACCATCCACTCAATTTCCGGCAGTTTGCTCATTATGGATCCTTGCTTTCTATCGACCCTGATCTGGCCGCTCTCGTCAAGGCTGTCATCAACAACGAGGCGCGATACGTCGCCGAATATCCATATTGTAAGTCCTTCTCTGAAGTTTGGTCTTTATTCTGATCTGTATGGTTGGGTAGGTGGCGCATTTCAGCCGCCCCCAGAAAGTGGCCTTGCCCCTTCTCATAACGACTATGCGGACGGTGTCACTGTAAATCCGTGAGCACTGTTGATGTTTCTTTATCAGCACTTCACTGAGGCAGAACTGAAGACCTGTGAACAATCAGACAGTTTTCGAATGCAAGGTTAGCATGAATCGTTTGTAAAAGTTCGATACTTTTGTTGATAACAACTTCATAGTATGAGATCGACTCCTTATGCGGATTCTTGAAGCTTTCCAGGATCTTTTATAATGCTACGAAGGATGAGTCATTTATGAATGACAACTGTCAGTTTACTGGCGTACTTCTTGAATGCAAAGTTGATGATTCACTTTCCAAGGGTTTTATGCTGTCGACCAGATCTTTCGTGTTATTAACGAGCAGTCTCAGCCGACATTCGATAAGGACTTTAATTTCATCTCATACTACAACTGGACCGGCGGAAACGGGGCGCTATCTCCTAGCGTTCCCAATGGCGGTAACGGTGAACCAAAGGCGTATACAGGTATGGTGAGTTTATGATAAATTCTACCTCTATTTGTCTATTTAGTGGCACCAGGTTGGCACCCATCATCGTCCTTCAGATGACCTCAGCGTATTTGGTGAGTTCTTGAGTAATTCTCGAGAAAACTACCTGAACCTGAGTCTCTGGAAGCATTTCTTACGCCAGCGAATGCTATGCTCAGCGTGGAGTTAGATCACCTCGCTACTATACTGGATACTACCGGCCAAGGACAGAACATAAGTGCATTGGCTAAAGAATGGAGCTCGCGTATCCGTGACTCGGTCTGGGAAAATACTGTTGTTGACAGTGTTTTTGCGTACGAAACGAACGGTGAGTGTGTTGTGGCAAATTCTGGATATGCTCTAAGCGCCTCCTCTTGTTAAGGTTTAGGTGCTCGGTACGTGATGGACGACGCGAATGTACCCGTAAGTCACTTCCAGGTGACTCTTTAATTGCGTCCAGGTCACGATGTTATCTTGTGTAGTCCTTGCTATCTCTTCCGTATCTCGGATTCTTGCAAAAAGATGATCCGATGTACGTAGCTACTCGGCAGCTTCTGCTTTCATCGAAGAATCCATACTATGCTGCGGGGAGGACGTTTAATGGCATTGGGTAAGCGTCTCGAAAATTTTCCTTCTTCCTTTGGTTAACAGTTGGATGCTGTGTCTTAGCGGACCACATGTTGATGCGTGGCACCCATGGTGCGTATTTCCTGCTGTCAAAATGATGATCATTCAAGGGGTTCTATTAGGCCAATGTCCCAGATATCTGCAATATTTGGTACGGATAATGATGAGGAAATACTTGAATCCTTATACGTAATCGCTAATGTGGGTATAACGCGCATTGTTGAGCCTTTGTACTTATTGTCAATCAGAACACGAATGGACTTGGTTTGATCCATGAATCCCAGTCAATATACAACTCTTCAGACTATACGCGACCTTGGTTCGCATGGGCAAACAGCTACTTCGCAGAGTAAGCAAACGGACTATTTTCTCTTTTCATGGGCTGATCGTAAGGAAATGTGTGCAGGATGCTCTTGGATCTGGCGGATCGAAAGCCTGGCTTGATTTTCTCCAAGGATGTAAGTTACAAGCCAGGCCAATGAATTCCACCACCTAGGAACAACATGCTTATATCAATAATTCATGAAATTTTGATCCTTATGTAGCTGTTGAACGTGCAAAATACTTGTCTTTGTACTGGCTGTGTCAAATGTAAATCAAACCACAAAATGCCGTGACGTGACGTTACGTACCCAAACTCCATTCGCGGATTCAATCCTTTATATATCTAACTCATGCTCATGTTCTCAACGTAGACCAGATTTTTTCTCTTTCCTTGGTGTTCTGTTCTTCTCCACTGTCATGTCTTTCACACCCCGCGAAATTGGTACACTCATTGTCGTTATTGTCAAAGCCGTGCGTTCTCTACTCCTGTATTGCCACCTGTCGGCTAACAGGACGCTTCCAGAATCATCTCACCAACAAGAGGCACATAGGAAAGCAAGATCCTTATTGCTCTGTCGAGTTTGAAGGAAGAAAAGGACGCACAAAGACAATTAAACGCGGCGGCCAGCATCCAGAGTGGGACGAAGAGCTTCGGTTTGCCGTGTTTGAGGATGTTGAAGACGAATTAGCTCGCACAGCTAACCGCACTCCTTCACCTCCCGCAAAGAATGGGTCCCCACTAAGACAGTCGACAACAAAGTCCAAGACGAAAAAAGTGATGAAACTCGCGGTTTACGCGGATGATGCCAGAGAGCCTGAGCTTGTAGGAGAGGCAATGGTGGACCTGACAACGGTACTGACCAAGGGAGAACAGGACGGTGAGTAAATCTCACGTTCTTTCTTTGACTTACCTTCATTAATGAGTGTATAGAATGTTATACCCTGATGTATAAGGAACGATTTGCCGGTCAAGTCTACTTAGAGTTGACGTTTTATTCCAATGTATGTCGCTTCCTGCAATAGTACCACGTCCAATTTCACCTGATTACTGGTTACAGGAAGCTCCTCCTGTGAAGAAGACGAAACCCAAGCCCAAGGACAAGAACTACGCCGGCCCGGGAGAGTTCGTAGGCGAATCATCGGCACCTAATGGTCAAGGCGGGGCCCCTGGCAGAATTGTCTCCATGAGCGTGTTGCCCAATCATCATCGACGACAGTCAGAGTCGATATCTTCAATGCCTTCTTTGAGACCGTCGAGCTCATCGGCGCAACTCGATCTTTATAACCCTCCTTATGAAAGACAGCGAAGACTGACATCCATGAGCAGTGTAGTGAATGATTTTGGGCACCTCAACGTGTCTGATTCTAGGAGACGTGAGAGCTTTCCAGTTAGTGAATAGGCTGTTGTTCTGTCTATTGGCTCTAACCGTGTTTTCAGCCTGTAGTTTCCGCGCCTGATCTGTACGGATCTCGTGGTTCTCTCCCCGCACATTCCTCGTCTCTCCCTCCCGAATTAGGGTATGGATACGACCCAAGTATGTCAGATTCCGCGTCAACTTACGGCTCAATACCTCCCAATACTCTTCCACCGCCTGGTTTGCCGTACCCAGCGCATGCCCCATATCAACAACCTTATGAAATCGCTCCCACACCAAGCTTTGCCAAATCGACGATGCGACCACGTTATAGTGTTCCTACTTCATCCTCGGGGTTCATGCCACTGTCATCTCATTCTCGTGTCCTTCCATCTCATCCTTCCGAGCCTTCAAGTTTCGCGCCTCCCTTGGCTCATACACCAGGTCCGACTCTTTATAACGGAAACCATTTTCCTCCTCAGCCAAGTTTTACGCCTATGCCATCTCAGACTCCGGCTTTGATGCCTTTGCCTACTTCATCTTCCAGCATCTTAGATGGCCCATTACCATATCCGGGCACAACACAGTACTCATATCCATATGTGCCAGCACCGCCAGCACCCCTTGCGCAGCCATATATGCCTCATTTGTTGCCCCAAACGTCGCATCCTCCTTTGCGGCAGTCATATACTGGTTATCCTACTCCGTCTCAGGAACCAATTCCCGCGAGTTCTTCGCTGTCCACAAGCCAAGGACCTGGATCAAGACCTCTGCCACAGCCGCAGCAGCCTCCTCAAGTGCTTCCGCCCCCCCCTCCAGTAAATCAACCACAGTATGGTACGTATAATCCGTCACAAGCGAACAGTGTGATGTTTCCGCCTACCAACGGTTATCAGCCGGCACCACCTCCGCCACCTCCGCTTCTCCAAAATGATTCGCCTCCTCGTTCTCCTCACCCTTATATGGAAGCACCTCAACCTGTTCCTCCGCCACCTCCGCCTCCTGTATCTCAGTATGAGCTTCACGCTCCTCGACGTCGCGCTAGCCTACCTACGCCACCTGGACAGGGTCATCAACGTGGAGCTCTCCCTATCCCTCCCCCTCCCCCTCCGCCTGGAGATTATCACCAGAATGCTCACCCCCTTCCCATTCCCCCGCCGCCACCATCAAATTTGGGGCCTCCGGCTCAACCATACGTACCGGGACCTCCTCCTAGACCTCCTCAGCTGGATGACGAGGGCCATTGGGTGCCTCCAGGTATGTCTGTACAACAATCATACCCGCCGCAAGGATGGGTGTGATACTGCATGGCCCATCATGGTTTTTGTTTTGTAATTGACTTGCCATCATATTCCATCGGACTTAGCGCTGCACGCATCAATCATCAAGTAATATGCATATTTGGGACATCGATACATATCCCAGCATTCTGTTATCGTCGAAAACTAATAGGAACGTATTGACATATGAGAATTCAATGGCATTTGCTGCCGATGTCATGAACTACTCTCCCGTATCTTCCTTTGCTAACCTCCACTTGTTGATTTCGGTTTCTGTCGGGACGATTCCACGTCTAGTAAGTTCTAATCGGGCTTGTCTGCGGACGGCGTTTTCTTGCACGCGACGTTCCGCCTCGTATTCAAGGAGTGCATGTTCAGCCCCGAATACCAAACCAAAGACACCAGAAGTTGTGACAAGGAAGCCTTTAAAGGACATTGGTTGTCGTCTTCTGATGGTCAGTTGGACGACCTGACGAAATGATAAAGACGGGTACCTATACCAAGGCCATGCATAGTGTGCAATGATAGAAAGTCCGAGACCAATAGCAGTCGCTCGCGCAGCTACCTAAAGATACGTTGGACTTGTACAAACGATGCTCAACGGAATGAAACAGACTCGTATTCCAGCCTCCGTCTGAAGATCCTCTGCATGTCGTACGTCCTCTTCACGGCGAACGCGAGCTGTGGACATGGATAAGAAGGGAGTAAGGAGATGGTGGCAGTTCGTTTCGTCAATTGCATCATCTATTTGAAGTCGCCGATTCTGTCAAATTTTCTCAAAACGTTGCCTGCCGCCGGCCTTGACGCGCTCGAGATTCTTCTGTACTGCCACGACGATGCAGCGAATACTGGGCACCACCGTTCGTATTGCACGGCCTTTCCACTACCGTGCTCTCTACATTCCACACCCCTTCTCGACGAGTGTTCGCCGTCTCGCTACACCCTCATCCGAGTCACCGGAAGACCTCGCAAAATTTGAAAAGTTCCAGAACACAACGGTATTCAAGGCGTTGCGGGACAACCCCGATGCATACCGCGCTTTAAGTGATTTCATCGTCTTCATTAAAAAACAAGGTGTGTATTGTACTCTGTTGAGTATCCTGGGCTTACAGATACTAGGGCTTGACTACAGAACACCACCGTCCAAGGTGGCAATGATCAAGCTTGCCATGAATCCAGAATTTAGGGCTGCCTTTCAAAAGGTCAATGAGGAGTGCATGAAGGTTGGCGTTGACTTTTCGTCCAAGGTGACAAGCGGTGTTGTTTCAATAGTGGGGGCATTACAAACCTTTGTTTAGGAAGTTCAACAAGAAATCATGGACGTCTTCGGAAAACCGCCCACAAGCGACGACTGAAGGGTACTACATTGTTGGCCTGACCGTTGAGCACGCACTTCAGTCGGCTGCATCGAGCTTCGCGGAGAGAATTCAAGTACCCCCCCCCCCCCACATAAAATACATGACAACAATCCTCCTCCGAATACTGTATTTTCTGTGACGTCTGCTGCACGATCACTCAATAACATGCAGATGCTTAAAAGAATCAGTTTCCAACGATCCTAAGTCCTGTGCGATAACACTGAGAAGACTAGGACTATTTCCCCGGAAAAGGACGCCGCAAATTGGCCGTTACTACGTGACTGGATGTGCCCTTCAAATTCGACAGTGTACAACACTTGGACTTTAATAAAGGCTCTTGACGAAAGGCAGTATCCCTCCACCCCCAAGAACATCGGCCATCAATAATCCAATACGGAGATCTGGCCATTCTCAGAACAGGCCAGCAGCTTTGAGTCAGCGCACGGAACCACCTGAACTATTTTTTGGCCACGGGAACAAGGTATCTAGAATAAAATATTAGACATGTACGAGAGGAATACAGGCTGTACGCGCCTCGTTTATCACTTTGTTCGAACGGCGGAGGTCCCATAACCGCACAGTTCCATCCCTGTCTCCGCAGGCAAATAGTCCCTCTGACGGTAAAGATGCACCTAGATAAAAATCTGAGCATTGGAGCGCATGCATTAAAACTTGAAGCAAACCTCGAACGTAACGACCACTGACTTGTGTGCAGGCATGGCCAAATCGTTGAACTGGGATCTCTGGTACAAGTCTATGATCTCGTATTTCGAACTGGAGGTCTCGATGTGATACCTTGAGTAGAGTTAGTTTCCCGCATGTTAAGAGAAACAAAGATACACCTCTGTTATAGTGCAAAAGGGCGAAATCGTCGTATGAGAGTTGTAGATTATATTCGAGGTCTTCAAGGTGTTCACAACACGCTCAGAAGCCAGGTCATAAAGGTTGATGGTGCAATCTGCTCCTCCTGACATGAGTTTATGACTGGTGTCGCAGATTGGAAGCAGTGATTGTACAACAGAATTGTGCTTCATCGCCAGTGCCTTTGGAGATGCCGCAGAAAAATTAGCTTTCACCTCCCAGAGGTGAATGATGTGGTCATATCCACCAGTCGCGAACATGAGGGGTTGCTTCATAGTAGTCACGGAGCTAACACCGCCTCGTTTAGCCTTATCCCAAGGCCTAGTAAATGTCAAAGGTGGCTAGGGTCATTTTAGCTTCTGACAAAGTAAGTTTGCATGATGCGCTCACAGCTGGGAGGCCAATGTGGACTGCAGATAATTGGTGTTCCTCTTGTGGTCTGCTGAGAATTACCACACTTTGGACGCCGTTGGATAGAACACAGGCATCATCAACAGGTTCTCGTATGCCGGTGGGTATATGCCCCAAAGGTCGATGTCTACGACACTAGTAAGTACATAGGCGCCGCAACACACTGAAGGGACCACTATACCTCAGGCTAGGCGTCATCTCGAATTCTTCTAGAGTGCCGTACATCGAGACTGTCAGATACGTCGAAAATTGAGGATGCTTCAGAAGACGCCGCGCTTTGTCGTACTGTTCGCGAAGCGGAAGCCGCAGAGTGTCGCACACAAGTTGGTATGGCGCTGACTGTGCACTAGAGTCGACTAAAACCTTCGTAACTTCCTTATTTGCTTCGACTAGAGGAAGGAGCGGCTCAGATATGATGATGTCGTCGTCGTAACATATGTTAATATCTTTGGATTCTGGGGGCAATCGGTAGTAAGGACCCCGCAAAGGGTTAGGCTCGGAGTCAGGCGTCATTGGGCCTGCAGATGGATGCTGAAATGAGAGAGTACCTGAAACAAAACCTCGGAAAGGGGGCTTCGATGCGTCATCATTGGTAGATGGGTGAAGAATCAATGAATTCTCGCGAGGTAGAATAGACAAGGAGCCAGATGAGAAGGAAAAGACGGTTTCGGATATACCAGACGCAAATATTGGCACTTCGGAGCTTGAGCCATTCGAAAGTCCATGGTAAGAATGATTAGGGTCTGATTGAGCCATTAAATTGATTGACAATCTACTAGATATGTGGTTAATGAACCGAAGTTCTTACAAGGGTTGTGATGGGAATACTATACCATCAAGGTAGATGCTCATCTTCATTAAAGTCTAACAATAAAAAGGCCAATGAGGTATAGAACTCTTCGGCAAGCAGCCTAACAGTAAATGCTCGAGGCAAGGCAAGGGATGGTAAGGAGGAAAAACTAGAGTCGGCCCGAAAGTACCGAAATCTACAGGTCCTTTACGTCAGCATCTTCTTTACTACTTACCTTCACTCACCGCCCATCCAATAATGGCCTCGACGACTCGACCCGTTGTTTTCATGGATATCAACATCGGTGAGACCCCGGCAGGGAGACTCAAGATGGAGCTATTTAACGACATTGTACCGAAGTGGGCATATTCAGTGACTAAACCTTCCTCTTTTGCTCAGATTTATGCTGCGAAGGACGGCTGAAAACTTCAGGCAACTCTGCACCGGTGAATACAGGTGCATATACTGCGCTCTTCCTGATTTACCTTCTCTGACACGTCTGCCAGAGTCAACTCACGACCTCAAGGATACAAGAACGCTACATTTCACAGGCAAGCAGAGATTCTAACATGATTATTATTTGCCGTTGTTCATTTCATATCTAGAGTGTAGGACCCCCCACCCGCTCTTCAGAGGGTAGATCTAATAATGCATGCAGAGTGCCGAATTTCATGTGTCAAGGTACCTACATGTCAACACCCAAACCCTAAAATATTGATCAACGATCAGGAGGTGACTTTTTGAAGGGTGACGGTACTGGGTCGTTCTCGATTTATGGAGATAAGTTCCCAGTGAGTGTTTCGGAGCACTTCTGTGGCGTACTTCTATCTCATAACATATCACTTAGGACGAGAACTTCCAAGAAAAGCATACTGTACCTGGTCTCCTCTCGATGGTGCGCCTTCATGCGACTCAGTCAAAATCAAACACTGACGAGATCTGGTAGGCGAATTCTGGTCCTAATACCAACGGATGTCAGGTAAGCAAGCAAGGACATTACTATGATAGCTAATCCAGACGTCTATAGTTTTTCATTACCACGGCGAAATGCGATTTCCTGGATGGAAAGCATGTCGTATTTGGAAGAGTCATAGATGGTATGTTGACGTTGAGAAAGATCGAAAACGTAGCCACAGGTCCCAACAACAGGCCTAAGCTCCTTGTAAAGATCACAGGTGAGCGATGCCATGAGTGTATCAGTATTTGTGTTGAAGACCACATAGAATGCGGAGAGATGTAGTCGGAAGTCGAGACTTTCCTGTCCTTAGAGTAAGAGAACCGTTAAGAATCTAATGCAAACACCTGTATCTTGGTGAGCATTGCATAGCATGAAATATGCCGAGCTCTATCGAAAGCCGGAGGTCAGTGACAGTTGTTGAAGTTAATTCGGTGAACCGAAATAAGTGGTAGCGAGTATTAAGCAGCAGGCGCCTACCGTACTGTAATGCTAGTTCGATGCTGTGATTGATTTCTGAAGCAAGCCCACGGTAGAATAGTGAAAACACTACCACGCTATTGACATTCATTCGCGTTTTCCCGTCATGCAAAAAGCGCAACTCTTCGCGTTATAGGGAAGCAACCTCGTTAACAAGTATCTTAAAGGTGTTAATGCTTGTCAATTGGTAAAACATGGTCAAGGCTGATCTACTTGTACTCGAAGTTGTTGTATGAATAGGCGGTGAGGAGGGTTTTGAGAAAGGACATCAAGATGCCTCGGTGAACGCTACCTAACGCAGTCAAGATTCACTCCAAAAAAAAGTTTGCGATATTTGGTTGTACTTATGCTGGATCACCTTCTGAAAGACCTGAAGGAAGTATATTTACGCTCAAGTTCGTCGTGCGTTCTTTCCAATATGCTGGAAATGTCAGAAGCAAGTCTTCCCGCTAATCCTCACTCGCACGATTTTATGTGTTTCAGAAATGAAAGCACCATCAATTAGACCCAAACACCGACTCGACAAACCGTGTATTTCCATTTCTACTGTTACAAGCACAAACTACGTAATCTTACAGGCGTTTAAAAATGAAACGGGTTACTTAGATTTCTACACCAGAGCCTTCAATCTAGCCTGCTGGGTCATAGGAACACCTTTCGGGAGAGGCGCGTGTGGTACAGGCGCATGCGGCGTCTTGATCTTAAAACCTATGAAACATCAATCGTCAGTGAGCGAAGATATGACTTTGCGGACAAGCGATCCGCACCCATATCTTCCGCCAAGAGATCAGCGCCCTTCTCTCCAACTAAGAGAGCAGAGGAATAGGTGTTCGTGCCCAAGTTGTCTGGGCAGATACTCAAATCCACACATTTCAGGTTTTGAGTTCCTGCGCCAGGAATTAAAACAGTTACGGTTCCAGGACAGTGCACGCACCATAGACATTGAGACGACTGTCAACAACCCCGCCTTCTTCTCTGGGTTTCATGGCTGGGATCGTAAATCCGAGGAAGCTGAGATGAATGATGTATAGGCCTACCGCACGTCCCAAGACTGTGCCAGGTTGTCTCAACATGGTCCGCAATCCAGTCGTCGATTGCTTTGTCGTCATCCTTGTTGTACTTGATGTCTTCATGGGCCTTGTTCGCGTCGTAAGTCTCGCCCGGCCTATATATTAGCATTGTCAACACTTTTTGGTTAGACCGGTCGTCATGCTGCTTACTTATGCCAAGTTCCCATATGAATTCCAACAGTAAATCCGTTCGGGAGGAGCTCCTTTGCCGTCCTGATGTCAATGTCCCTGGCAGCAGCAGGCGACGCTGGATGGAAGTGAGGATGATGGGAAGTAAGTTCACCTCGGAAGGCTATTCGGGCTCATAAGTTTCTAGGTAATGCTAATATTGTATCAGTTCACCCACCATCCATCCTACGAGCAACCTCGCGGGTTTTCTTGTAACTCCAACGAATCGGGGCAAAATCGGCTTTGTTGTTCATAAAGCCACTATCGAAGAACGGCTCCTGGTACGGATTCTGTGATTTGATGTGGATCTATTGGGACCGTGTTAACGTCGATGAGTAATGTTACCAGAACGTCAGATCAGGTCACCTTTCCACGACTAGCGGGGTATTCCTAAGATACGGAATCAGTAACACGAAAGTTGAGGCCAGTTGATACAGACAAGATATTGGAACCTATTTGAAAGTCAAAAACACACAAAAGACAACTTGAAAAACCATGGGGCCCACATAGTAATATAGTTGCCGGGAGGCAGAAGACTATGATCCGCATAAGCTTTTAGGAAATCATGAGCTTCAAGATTTTTGACAATGTTGAAAATCTGTACCTCCTGAGACAATTGAACCGAACCTGAAGGAGTGGTTAGTAGATAAAAGCGGCACAGCAGATCACATACATAACCGGTTTGTCGGGCTTGTCCTTGAAGTATCTATTCCATAACTCATTAAATTCCGGGCCCATTTCCTTGAGCTCTTCCTCGGTCGGGCGAATCTAACCCAATATACAATCTAAAAGAGGAGAAAAGCAGCAGCAAGAAAAGCAATACCTTAAAACCTGCATCGATAGCGTTAGACGACAATCTCGCCTTCTCGGGACTCGTCTCCCATTCTGCAAACAGTTCCTTCTGGACTTCTTTGTTTCCTCTCAAAAAATCATCCAGAGTGAAGCTCTCGTTTGAAACGCGGTACACTACCATTATATAAGAATTGTGTTAACGAGTAGTGATCTTCGGAGAACTTACGTGTAAGAGTCGTATAATGATCCTGATACTGCTCTCTGAAATTCGCAGGACTTTAACGATACGTGCATAAGGAAAAAAATGGATACATACCCAACACCGGGAAGATCGCTTACTACCTTCAAATCCAACTTCTTGAGCAATTTGGCGTCACCGACACCAGACCGTTCCAGTATTTGCGGTGTTCCGAGAGTCCCACCGCTCAAGACAACATACCTGCGTGCCTTCACAACAGTCTCGCGAAGCCTACCTCCGTCGGCCCTGTTGCGAGCAGGCACATACACCACTCCAACAGCTTTGTTCCCCTCAAAGATGACGCGGGAAACGCGGGAGTTCGTGCGCAGGTACAGGTTGTTCTGAACGTCCATGACGCTGTGAACATAAGCTACACATCATTCTTAATCTACTGATTGTAAAGATGGATAAGCTGCCGACTTACCGGTGGCGGCATCGCTGCGTCGACCAGTGTGTCTGTTAATGTATTTGGCCCAGATCTCCGAGGCATGGGATGTATCGAGGTCTGCGGCAGCACCTTAGTAGCATACAAAAAGTATGTTCGTTATACCGAACCTTGGATGTCATCTATGAAAGTAGTCAGATCCGGAACTCTGGAGCAAGGAATTTCCACATACCGCTGAATGGGATGCCCATAGCATCGGATGCTCTCAAAAAGTCCTGCGCCAGTGGGGTGATAGAACCTCCATTGCTAATGGCGACGGGCCCGTCATATCCATGCGTGTCATTGTTGACAGGCTTTTGGTAGTTCTCCAGCTATCAAGATGTGAGTGAGGACTACGGGGAATAGAGGAGACAACTGACTCGCTTCATCAAAGGCAAGAGATCTATATTTCTCCTCGTTAACATTTTGCGGACAATAAGAAATTGCTCCACATGCCTTTAGCCGTCCATCCCTCAGTTTTGAAATCATCTATCAAAGAACCGTAAGTCAATATGTATGCCCCATTGTACAAGGGTAAACCGACCCCAGTCAGATGCGGACGCCTTGTGAATGTGAGTGTGGTTAGCCAAATGTGCAGACATAAATACGCCTTACCCTGGTGTACATCTGGAAATTGATACTGTTGGAACCTTAGCGATTAACTATGCACAGACGCTATCAACGTACCTGCTTCCACCACCTGTAACATGTGTCATAATTGAGCGGCTTATAGAGTTAATGCACACGACGTACCGAGGACATTGGCGCATCTAAGGCACAGTGGGTTAGTGACATCTCACTTTACAGAGTATAACTTACGGAACGATGCTTTGTCGGCCTCGCAAGAAGGGGGATTCCTGCGTGTCTGTGTAAAAGGTCGCCTTATCGTTACTGCAAGGGCTTCAGTGACACTGGAATCTTCGAGAGCGATTGTAACTTGCATCCCGTCCCGCTGCATATTCTTGACGTAGATTCCTGGTCTGGAGAACTGTAGCTTAGTCTACGACAGAAGCGAATAGTCATGGAACTTACCTGTATACCCAAGGATCATCTCGGTTGTTGGCTCCTCCTGGACAGACACAGAGAGAATGCCACAGAATGTACAGGCAGATGGAGTATTACACATACCTTCGATGAGCATGACTTTCAAGGTGGGATCGGCGTAGGCCAACCTGCCAGCAACGACACATCCTATAGACAAGGGTGTCACCCATCTGACGAAGAAAGCGAACCAAAAGACAGACCTGCTGGACCGCCTCCTGCTACAATAACATCGACTTCTTCAGGATGACCCATAGAGATTCAGAGGAAAGAGAACGAGTGTTGGGATGGAAATAATCAAGCCCTCTCAGTATTTATACATCTTGCATTCCAAACCCCGAGAAGGAGACACTGATTGACGGCTGATTGACGGTAGGATTAGTAGGCTGAGATCTGCCGCATGCTAGGCAGTATGTACCGGTATTACTGTTACTGGAGGACGGAGACCGGGCAGCTTTTTGTCGTCAGATGATGGCTTATGAAAAGATAACCACAGAACGAAGGCCGTCATGGGTAAAACGCAGGAGGCACAGTTCAGGGTATCTCTAGCATCGTGACTCGGTATCTCTGGGACGACATGCACCCATCGTCAACTGACTTGTAGCAAAAGTGGTTTGGAAAGGCTGACGTGTGAAGATTATCCGACGCAAGATCATGAGAAGACGGCTCGAGAGCGACAAGATGATGCCCGGGCTTCGAAAGTGGGGAAGTGTGGGGAAGATATTTGATTATCCTCATGTAAGCGATACTGACATGGTTAGCTTGTGCGCAAGAAAAGAAAGTATTCAATATACCCATGACTTGACCAACTAGTCAATATATCTCCACATACAACAGTGGCGCATCATTAGTCGCATCCCATGTCTCTGAGAGCCGGACAGAAAGTAGCCAGCGTCATCAGCTGATTCATAGGAAAGATTGATGGCTGAAAGTTCATCCTGGTTGACGGAGAATTCGAGTCCGCGATTGAATGTATCAGTCTCGTGGGCGCGAAGGTGGAGATACTCACTACCGAAGTTGGATTGTGTACGCACACAGAATTGTCGTCCCGTGGTACTTCCCTGCAGCATCGCGTCCTAAGGCCTATCAATTGAATCATACTAAGAAAAAGCGATAAGCGACGAATAATGTATTAATGGGTAGGTGAATGGGCACACGTAACCACTACAAGGTTGCCGCTTTAGCTTTGCATTCAATCGTAACGATACTCACCTACAAAATATAATCCAATGTTATTCAAGGGTGCTTATTGGGTCCTTTACGACGGGTGACGGGATGGCAGTGGTCGCGAAGAAAGCTTGTCAATGTCACGTGTCCGATTCTTCTTTGCGGTCGACAGCCACGATGGAACTTGAAGCTAAACAGCCCATCGACGACGACAAGGTGGACGTCTCAGAGAGTTTCCTGTCGCAGATTCTCACGCCGGGCTCATCGTTGCACCCGACATTTCTTCTTACTCTCGACCTCTCCTTTGCTGCCCTCCTCCTGGTGCTCGTGCTCCTCTTGTTTCTTACATCGAGCAACGTGCATTTCATTGGATTGATTGGGATAGAGCTGGCACTCTGGGCGAGTGTGAAATGGTGCGTAGTTGTAATCAGAATAAATGTATACAATCTCTCAACGCACAACAGGTTCGTCAATGAACTACAAAATGTGTCACCAGTAGAAGGAGATGAAGCCAAGAAAGATATATAACATCATCACCGCCGGCCCTTATCGTAATCTTCATACCACTTCTTTGTTCTCTTCGCACTTTCTTGGGCCAGTACAAATACTGCGCACAAGTCAGCAGACAACAGCCGAGAAGAAGAATCATCTCTCACGTTCGCGTTCTGTTGCATCCAACCCTTCGCGAAATGCTTGCGCAGTATCTCCCGTAGAGCCTCCACCTCCGCCAGCGGGCCCCAGGGCTGCGAAATGCTGTGCTTGATCTATAACCTCCACCAGCCGCTCACGGAATGTCTATCAATGTAGTAATAGCTTTCAGTCCGTCATAGTATCTAAGAATACGTACCTTTGTTAACATCTGGGACATTTCATTGGCCTGTTCGTCGCTGAGCCTGGAAGCAAATGTATCAGAACGGAGACAGACGAGAGTAAAAGGGAACGTGCATGTCCATTATTGTCTTTCCAAATCCATACCATAGCCCTCCAGCGCCTACCAGACTCGATAGGCGTACGCTGCGAGGTTCAGCATTGAGCGCATTGCGAACACGATTCCCAAAGGGCGTCGGTATATTGAATTCAGCCCAGTCGCTGTCGAGGCCATCAGAGCCATCAAGGGTACAGAACGGATCAATGAGACCGACGAGTATATCACGATATACGCCATCCACATCGGTATCTGGTACTTGCCCTGCGCTGCAATCTGCACCCATGACGCGTCAGAACGGTCGTTGACGCGCCGCAAGTCGCACAAGACCCACGTCGCGCTCGGACCCTCCCCAGAGGTGGCCAAGGTCCGGTATCTCCTTGTTGAAGATGCATTGTATTTTCTGTTGCGGAAATAAGAACAATAAGAAACTACACAAAGAAGAGAGCTGACCTGGTTGTCGGCCAATATCGAGTCAATAGAAAAGTAATCGTCCTCCATGGTAAAAGGGCCGTCTGTCACTCGTCACACTGGGATCATCCCTTCCTTGTTTTCCTCCCACTATAAAGCCTAAGAAGATCATCACAGCATGGGCGCCTATCACTCTTTCGTTCCTCGCAATGCTCAAAATAATATTCAGAGACAGTGAGGATAAGTTCCTTTCATGTACTGCTCAGTGGCTCATCGACGTCCTTCGAGCAGGCCTCACCGTCAAACCCAAACCTACAGCCTACAAGGATCCTTACGTCGGTGATCACAACTTGGGGTCCCTCGAACGCGAGTATCAAGGCAGAGAGGCCATCCAACACGTCTTGTATCTCCTCAATCCTGTATCTGAGCTGAACAGGCTCACCGTAGACGCCCTGTGCAATTTACAGCAAATGCTCTGGACAAAATCAAGTATGTCTTCCTGCAAAGCCACTGCATCAACGCTGATGTCTCTATGTAGGAGCATTGCAAAAGAAGTACAAGATAGAAACATATGAAACGCTTCGAACAAGACTTGACAAGGACCAGGATTTCCGGGATGCCTACAACCTTGCGATGTTGAGAATGAACGAGCAGGGGCACAAGTTTACTGGTGATGTACGTCTGCTTGGTTCCGCTGGATCTTCATTGCTCGCTGACCATTCCACAGGCTGCAGATGAATTTGTGCTTCTGTGCGTGAAGCTGTTCAGGATCAACACTGCCAGGACAATACCATCAGACTCAAATCAGTCCATTCCACTACTTGATAATAATCGATCAAATTCACAATAACACAGCCGAAGTCAGTCCATTGTTGTGAAGGGACTGGCTTGGGTGCGATACCATCTTTTAAGAAGTGGTTGGACGATCTCGGTACAGGAACGAGTAGAAAATTGGTCAAAAACGTAATAAATATGGCGCTAGTCTACAGTAAAGATGCGACTGGGAAAATAATGTGTGAGCTAAGGTTTAACACGAGCAATGAGAACATGCTTTACCATACATTAACAAAAAAAAACCTTCAGAAATATTCCTTCACTTCGCCACATCTACTGTGTGCGGACCAAGTCCTTTCACAGACACTGGCGCAACTTCAGAAACTTGAACCTCCGTGTCAACAACATCGGCTGTCTTATCTTTCTCATTCTCCTGCTTGGGCGTCATTGCCACTGGCTCCCGATTCACAGACGCGGCAGCCTTGACTTCTTCAGCTGTAGTTGCCTCAGCCGCCTGCAGGACTACCTGTCCCGCTGATACCATAGACGGCGATGGCGAAAGAGAAGCCTCGATAATGTTTTTCGGTGTGGGTTCCGACGTATTACTGGTAACTGAAGGAGACGCGATATATGCAGCATCCACGTCCACACCTGTTGTGAATAGTGTCGCGTCCGTCGACTGCATCACTGATTTTTCAACTTCAGTATCCGCCTCCTCTGACTTTTCATATTCGATATCTGCACTGAACGCTCCCGTTCTGACACTATTGGCCGTCCACAGACTTCTGTCTCTCACCAAGGAGGGCGTTCCAACGTGTATCCTAGCACTCCACTTGCTTACTTCGCTCTCCCAACTGCCGCGCCTGGAACTCCTCGGCCTGAGGGCCCTAACACTGGCATCGACATCCCGTTCGTCAACATCGTCGCCCAACACGAATTCACTCCTGCTCTCCACATCAATACTGCCATAATGTGACACGGAATCTCCGAGCGCCGACGGTGGTGACCGTAGAAAACCGGTGTTTGCATATGCGGATGACGCGAGGGTCAGCACTGACGCGTTGTCTAGAGGCGGTGAAGAAGGCCGAGGGTTATTTCGAGGGTGATGAGTAGTGTGGAGCGGCGCTTGAACTGATGAAATGGAAACATTTGTCTGAGTAGATGAATTTCGCAACGAGGGTGATGAAGGCGGAAGGGCCGAGAAGGTGATCGATCCTGCACTGGTGAGCAGCGTGGGATTGGTAGCAGTGGATGAATTCCGGGCATGGTGCCGGTAAGACGTCGGCGTCACTGGAGCCTGGGCGATGTGAGCCATACCGTTGCCGTGTAAATCGATGCTAAGTAACGTCGTAGGCTTCGTGCTGGCGGCGATACTTCTGAACGTGCGAGGATTTGAGAGGTAGGATGATGACGACCGTGAAGGCGACGGCGACGGCGGTGAACTAGGTGGCAACGGGCGCAGCGACGCATCCTCGTCCGCCTCTAATGCACTGGCTGGCGACCACATCGAGTCGCGCCCTGAATCACGTCTTGAGACTGACGACTGGTCGCTTGTTGAATCCAGATCCTCGTTGGACTGTGACGCTACGTCAACTGAGTCCTCGATCAGCGACATTGTCTGTCTATTGGTGCCGATGTTATCTATTCCCCCGCAGTTTGCTGCCGTCGAGGGCAAAGGGCTCGAAACGACCCGATTGCTCACGCCTCGTAGAGGAATAGCATTTCTCGCCTTGGGCCCGTCCCTCTTCGACCTGACAGTCCCCGCAAGCTTTCGCTGGAGCCAGTTAATGATAGGCTTGCTCGACCGTCGAGAAACTTTCTTCTGGGTGGACGGTGAAACAGCAGCAATAGGAGATAACTGTGGCTTCTTGGCAGGTGGCGTCTTTCGCTGAGCTTTGGCATCGTAACAAGCAGTCGCAGGGGTATTGGTCGTCGTCGGTGACATGATAAGATGGAAAGAAATTGACGAGATAGCGAAATCGTGGTGGTGGTGGAGAGCGATGAAGAGAGTCAAGGCATGTGCAAGGACACCTTGTGGTGGGTGCTCGATTTGGCTTCCAGATCACGATCAGGGGATGACTCATATTTTCCACGTAAAATACGCAACCTAAATTCCTTCTACTTGCCCCTCACCATTTTGGTGACGAACACACAAATACGAGGGGCCTGGCCGAATGCAACATGTTCAGTCAACACGGAATATTTTCACTCGCAACGCGCCGTAGAAGAAAAGAAATAATGTATCGTTGTTACACTCTAGAACTACAATCACCAGTCCATTTTTTTTGCGTTCTTCGTAGCAGCAACAGAAATTTTGCCCGTTTTATATCCAAATCCATCCAACCATGGCCACACAGCGCTCCTTCTCTGCTCAAACTCCTCAATAGCCGAGCCCCTCTGCAACGTCAGCGCAATATCATCAAGTCCGTTCAACAAGCAATGTCTCCTAAACGGATCCGTCTTGAAGGGTATCGCAGCCTTGCCATTCGGTCTGCGGATTTCCTCCTTTTCCAGATCCACCTCGAGCTCCAATCCAGCTTCTGCATCTTCCGCAAGCGCCCGACAATCCTCCTGCGAGATTGACACAGGCAACATACCATTTTGCATCGAGTTGTTACGGAAGATGTCGGCAAAACTTGGCGCTATGATGCATCGGATGCCAAAGTCATTCCTGTGAAATAGAAAGAATGATCAGCACAGGGGACCCTTCCACAACGATAAGGCGCCACTTACAGACTCCATGGAGCGTGTTCGCGAGAGCTTCCGCAGCCAAAGTTCTTCCCTGTGCAGACTAGAATCTTGGAGCGTATATAGGGTTCACGGTTCAGTATGAAATCCTTATCTTTACCAGTGTGTGGGTCCTTCCGCAGGGTGAAAAACAACCCGTTCGCAAGACCGGTACGTTTCAGCGTCTTCAGGAATTGTTTTGGGATAATCATGTCGGTGTCGACGTTTTCAATGTGTAGGGGTGCTGCGACACCCTTGACGACAATAAATTTTTGAACAGTCGAAGGAGCTTCAGAAGGAGGAAGATCGGATGCCGTCGAAGAAGTGACCGAAGGAGCCTGAGGAGCCGGCGATGGCAGGATGGCATCATCCATGAACTCGGACGCCTTGGCCAGCTTCAATTTGGGACCCGCAGCTACGTTCGAATCGGCAGTAGCACCCATAAATTTACGAACGTCCGTCAACTTGCCAGTGATAGCTGCTGCGGCAGCCATCGCAGGACTAACCAGGTGCGTTCGACCACCGGAACCTTGGCGACCTTCAAAGTTGCGGTTGCTGGTACTCGCACAACGTTCGCCTGGAGCAAGTTGATCTGGATTCATGCCCAAGCACATGGAACACCCAGCCTCACGCCAGTCGAAGCCCGCACGTTTGAAGACTGCGTCCAAGCCCTCAGCTTCGGCGTGTTTCTTGATCAAACCTGAACCCGGAACGATCATCGCATGCACCCCCGGAGCAACCTTGGTATCGGGACCTGCGGCCAAGACTACCCGTGCTGCTGAACGCAAGTCCTCAATGCGACTGTTCGTGCATGAGCCGATGAAGATCCTGTCAACCTTGATGTCCTCCATAGGCGTATTGGGCGTCAGACCCATATACGCCAGAGATCGCTCTGCGGACGCGCGCTTGACGGGATCTGTCATTGTGGAAGGGTCGGGAACAGCACCAGTGATGGGAACAACATCCTGTGGAGACGTTCCCCATGTGATGGTGGGGATGATATCTGCAGCATTGATTTTGACCTCGATGTCGAACCTGGCACCTTCGTCTGACTTCAGTGTGCGCCAGTATGCTTCGGCACGGTCCCATTCTTCACCCTTGGGGGAAAGGGGACGTCCACGGAGGTAGTTGAATGTGACTTCGTCCGGCGCCACCATTCCAGCACGCGCGCCAGCCTCAATACTCATGTTACACACGCTCATACGCGCCTCCATACTGAAGCCACGGAACACCGAGCCGGCGTACTCGATAACACTTCCGGTTCCGCCGGCCGTTCCAATGACACCAATAATATGCAAGATAACGTCTTTAGACGTTACTCCTTCATGCAAGTCACCGTCAACTGTGATGCGCATGTTTTGTCCCTTCTTCTGCAGCAGAGTTTGGGTAGCGAGGACATGTTCGACTTCAGATGTACCAATACCGAATGCGAGGGACCCGAATGCACCATGAGCTTGAGAAGAGAATCAATAGCCTGTGAAATCCAAAGAGTCTTCTCCTTACTCGAAGTGTGAGAATCACCGCAGACGCAAGTGATACCAGGAAGAGTAAAACCTTGTTCAGGACCTATGACGTGTACGATTCCTACAAGACATTGAGTTGCTGAAGGGTGTCAATCACATAAGCCGTACCTTGACGCTTATCCTTCAAGCCAAAATAGGTCAAGCCAAACTCCTTTACGTTGTCTTCCAAAGCCATGCATTGTGCTCGCGAATCAGGCTCTTCAACGAAAGACTCGATGGTAGTCAAATTTTTCCGAGAAATTGTTCTGTAAAGCGATGTTTTAGCGACGTCCACGTTTCCTTCGAGCCTTACTCACGGAATGTTGTGATCAACCGTTGCCAAAGTGCAGTCAGGTCGTCGAACAGGCCGTCCTGCAGACCGTCTAGGATCTGATAAGGCGGTGAACACAACTCCTGGTTTGAGTGGACTTACAGGCCTTCAAACGCTTGAGGACTTGTTACTTCGTGTACTAGATGACTGGAATGGCGTCGGAATGACCGGAAATCATCCGGCACAGACTGCTGCTTACCGGTCTATGTATATCAGAGCCAGGCCATCGTCCTGTACATCGCTATAATCGCAAATCAGTGAGAACGAAATTTATTTCGATATTGCGATCCGGCGCACACGACATGGTCATCCCAAATTTTGTCGTAGAGAGTACGGGGGGCAGAAACGGCAGTAGGCATGACAGACGGAGGTTAAGATGTGAGAATGGAAATCGTAACGAGAGCTGAGAGGAGCATCGGTTCTGGGAACAAATTATATATGGTTCTTCCAAGGGAGAATGAATCGTTCGGCCGAAGCCCATCGGACTTCGGGTTTTGCTTGCAGCCAATCACATTTGGACCGAATGTAAAGCCGAAAAAAACTTGCCAAAAGCAGATCAACTTGTACCAGCTAATAACCAGTTCCGTAAAATTAATCTCCTTCAATGATGGAGGTTTTATTTTTACCGTCATTATAGCTGCCTTTCGAGCCCAGCCACTTCTTCCAACTTTTGGCTGATCATCCGACTGTAATACATTTCTTCGGACTAACACGACTTTTCGTCAATTGAGAACTAAAGACTATATACTGCCGCAGATAGCTTAAATAACAACAATTCTAAGGTGATCTTTGTAGAAGACCTCGCAGATGAGAGTAAAATTAGCTGCCAAATCAACAAACAGCACCTCGCAACACAGCTAGTAGTCGTGTTCAAAAATGGTGCCCAAACTGCTACTTTTTTCATTCCAAGACCAAGAGGTCACCGAATCGTCTTGTCCAGCTCTGTATAAGCTCAAACGCTTTCGGTCTGGATCAGATTCTGGGCGCTCGGAGTTGTCGCTGTCTGACTGGAAGGATAAGCATAGCAGATGGTTATTCTTTACACCACTAACCTTGTGCAAAGGTGCCTATGGTCTGGAAATATCTCTGCATCAGAGGACCCACAGCCTCAGGGCGCGGACGATTTGGGCCTTCATTGCTGTAGTGGTAATCTTGTTTCACGACAGGAAGCTTCAGCCGATGTAGTTGGGAATCGAACAGCACTACCGAAGTGCGACTGCAAAGACAAACTGAGGATAGACATCGACCACTTTGTGAGGCTGTTCATACCCCGAGGATTCAGAAGATATAAACGTCGCAAAAGACAGTGCCCTAATCACTAGCGACATATAGGACGAGACAGTCCAAGGGTGCCTTCATAAAAGAATGAGTTGGACGATATTGGGTTATAGAGTTCACGTACGACATGGGGTTTGATTCTACATCAGAAAGAAAGTATGCTGAGAGCTCGTGCAGGACAATGAGGTCCGGAAACGCGTCGAGAGTAGTTGTCGGATGGAGGATATGGGCTGACCCTTGCCGCGGAACCTCAAGGGAAGCCAAAAGAAAGGCCAAATGTGTTGGTGTCGGTGGATAACTGAGAACAGCTGTCCTTGATTCATTCAGAGTATAAAGATAAATGTATAGGAAACAAACAGCATTTTGATGCGAGACGACATCTCTGATACACGGCCGTGGCCTGATTGGGCAAGCCACGAATCGTTGTGTTCCTTCAGTGCCACGGTGACCAGCTGACGCGACGGAGATAAGAATATTGCACTAGAGCCATTTGCTTGACTCGTGTGGGATAAAGCAAGATGGATTGGTGCCGAGGCATGGTAAGGTCCTTGGATCAAGAGAGACGTGAATGGCGGCAACTGCGGCCCAAATCCTGGGAACAGAGAGAGCATCGGCAAGCAGAATGCCGACGACGTTGAAGAGCTTCAAGAGACAAAAGAGTAGCAGTGGTTAGAATGAAAGCCGCATATAGCCAATCAGCGCCTGTTTGAAGTTTGCAGGGTCGCCTCGTACGGTATCCATCATCGTCCACAGCATGATTTGCTCTACTTATTACTTGGTTCTCCCATCTTTTTGTTCCCCATTCCCTTCTCTTTGCAGCATCGTCGCGCTTATAAAATGGGATATCGTACTGACCTCCTCATGTCTCTTGGCAAGACCGTGGCACAGATCACTGCCGATTTCGCACCAATACCTGCTCTGTGTCCCGCTGTCGATCTGCTGTGCGGCCTTATTCAATTATGCGAGAACATCAGCTTGAATCGGTACGCGAACACGGCGTAAACCTGCGATTTCCAGTTCTGAGCGGTATCCTATAGAAATGCTGCCCGGCAGCTTGGTGATCGATGCCATGAAATGCTCATCGCTTTCGGAGAGGATATGAAAAATGCTCCGGGGAGCATGAACGAAGCAATACATATTGTTGAGGAGTATTCTTTTTGCTACTCGTTTTCTATCCATCGATTTCCTCAGATCTTCAATATAGCACTTTGACTGATATCCAGACACGGATGGAAAGCTGTGTCTTGCTTTCCGGGACACATGCCTTCCTGCATCAAAGAGAGGTTAGTCGTGAAATCGAGAAATGCCATGGCATCATCTCAGATTGCATGACTAGATTTCAAGTTCGTTCCTTATTGCCCTTTTGAGTCACCCCGCTTACTATGAACTAAAGCTGTCGTCCCACGTTGGTATACATCGCTGGCAAGAAGACTTTGACAGGAGCAGGAAGGCTGATCAACGTGAACTGGTTGAGTATCTTGCCGAAATCAAGAATACCCAAGAAATGACGAATGTCGCGATGACTGAGAATACAGAGGCCATTAAAAACCTCATGCTCATGTTCCAGACCGTAATTGTTTATCTGTCTTCACTTCTAGTTTCTTCGCTCACTCGGGCGTTACAGATGATGGGCGAAAATAAGACCACCGCCGACCGTGTCCATAATGGCCTTTCGAGTAATCTGTGGCAGCTCCAACAGAATTCTGGACAACTTCTTCCTAGCTTCCACCTCAAATCTGGCGAAGTTACTCGCATCGGACAGTTTCCAGTGAGCGGTACGGCCGCCATGGACATATATGAAGGTCTGTACCTCCAACGAGAGAAAGTGGCCATCAAGGTCATGCGGTCCATCAATGCCAATGACAAAAGTCTACGGGTAAGAAGCCGTTGATAGAGCTAATATTCTGCCTGATTCATTGTGTTCCAGCGTTTTATGAGAGAAGTTAGCATTTGGAGTGATATTTGGAGTGTCGATAAAGGGAGATACATTTTACCTTTCTACGGTTTTTGCCAGGAAGATGGTCCGTTCCCGTAAGATGCATTTCCTACCCTTAATAATAATCCTGGTCTTGCCTCATTAACATCGACAGATACATGGTCAGCCCCTGGCAGGACAATGGGACCGCCCTGCAGTACGTGAAAATTAAGGATTTGGAAGCAAAGAGCTATCAACGACTGGTCAGTGCCACAATACCCAATTATACAAGGTTGATGCATATTTTTGTAGATCAAAGGAATTGCTCTCGGAATACAGGTTCTTCACACTATGAGCCCCCCCGTTATCCATGGTGATATCAAAGCGGTTAGTAACTTTGAATCAGGGTAGTTCTAGACTCACTGCGTTCTGATCCTAGGCCAATATCTCCATCAACTCTCGTGGAGAACCTCTCCTTGCTGATTTTTGTCTCTCTCAGGTGGGTACTGTGCCTAGATTCTGTCGCTATTCTAAACAAACTCATTTTCTATCAATCTAGATCGTTGAAGACATCACAGGAATCCCCTTTACTCAAAGCCGTGGGGTAGCAGACTCATACAGGTGGTTTGCACCGGAAGTATGCGTGGGACAGGGCGTCTTATCCCCTTATTCGGACATCTATGCATATGGAATGGTTGTCCTCGAGGTAGCGGCATTTTCCTTCATGTCATTTCAACCAAGTTTGACCGTGAATGGCAGCTTCTGACCCATCAGCAACCTTACAGAGAGATCAAGCACACAACAGAAGTGGTTATCAAGTCGTCTGGCGGCACACACCCCATCCGACCAATGGAACAGGAGATTGTCGCGAGGGGTCTTGATGATATACTCTGGAGATTGTTAATTTCTTGTTGGACCAGGACACCGACAGATAGACCGTCTATCCAATCAATTCTTGGATGTTTAGTATGATGCTTGTGCACTTATTTTGTACCCACCAGGCAATCTTAATTGTCCTTGAGTCTAACCTGGGCCGGAAAGAAAATGCAGGTCAAATTACGTGAAGATATCAATTGAAGGGAAGACAGTTCCTTGAAAAGATCAGCTTTTCGATGTGATGATACGTGTGCGATACTAGCTCTGGTTGGCAAAGGAACCGTTGTGTTTGATGCCACTGGAGCTTGACGATGCTTGTCTGATATTCCGCGTAGACTCCCGATGGGTCACCGTAGAGCGACCGACAAATGGCATTCCGTCTGGTTCCTGCATTCGGAGGGCAGACTCGAAGAGTTAAGACTGGGAATGAGACATTCTTCGGTCAGTGCATTAAGAGTGGTCGTATTATACTCACATGGCGAGGAATGCGCATGGGCAGACTGCGTAATAGGTGTGATGAGGAGAGCGAATACCAATGGTAAAACTTCACTCACGGTACCATGACAATATATACGGCAGCATCAATGAGGACGTCCGGTGCAACTATCCACTGGCCGCAAGAATTAAGGTCACGGTGAGCCTCAGGTTTGCTTTCATTCCTAAGGTTGCACTTACTGACAATGCTCGCAACTGCCATTGCATTGCTTTGAAGCGTGATAATACTGAGTTCACTGACGTAGTCAACCCCTTGACTCGAATGCTGGGAAAACCTTCTGGAAACAGTTCGAAACATCCCCGGAGTTTGGGCGAACACAATGTCATTCTTTGGAGGCCCACGTTCTTGTACTGGATTTTGGTTCTCCATCATCGAGTAAGACTGTTCAATGCAGCTTAAGATGCTACATACTGACCATACTGACGGTGGTTTCAGGATGAAATCCGCTCTTTTCAGCGTCGTTCGTGCTTTCCAACTCGAGCTGGCTGCTCCTGTTGACTGTATTACGAAGCGCAGCCTATGGTGAAGACCAATCCGGAAAGTTGACTCTTTTCATACGACCTTACATATCTCAGTAGGGCGCAACTTCGACATTTTCTGTTGAATTTCTTCAAACCTGCTCATTGGAAGAAGATAAACATAATTAAATGGCATCCATGCTCATGCTGGATCAGATATGCCACCCTGATAGAGAATAATAACCCGAAGCAGTCTTTGTGGGATCTACGAATTTTAAGCGAAGCACCTTATCCTGACGCAAAATATGACAGTTCCAATCCGATGGCTTTTATGGGCCTTGATCGATTTGAGAGATCTGAAACGACGCCCAAGCTGACCAGCATATTGCGGACCCGTCCTTCCCACATAATGGAGACGTCCTAATAGAATGAATATCAGTATGCTGACAGGCGTTAGATATGCTTTTACATTATTTGTCGATGCACGAGCTTTCACTACGCCTTGAACTTGACCTGGCTCGACATTCGGCTTCGCCTCAGAAGGTAGAATGGGTAGAGAGTTATCATCCTCGTCGTCATTGGATTCCAATGGGGGTCGTCGTAACCACCATTCCGCACCCATCGTCCATTCGCTCTCATAGCTGTAGACATTGAAGTCGAAGCGTGATGACAAGGCTACATCCCGCGAAATACGCGCAGAGTAAGCGCCAGAGAGATGTCCAAGCATGGGATTGAACAGTGCGGTAATTGTGGTTGGAGGTGATGGCAGATTTTTCGTAGATGGTCCGGGAAAGGGCGAGGATATTGAAGACGGTAGTTGAAAGGAGGGAGGCGTTGCATCCGGAAGGGTAGAAAACCTGATTCCAGTCGAGACTGACACGGTTTGAGCATCTGAGGAAAGTTACTGCAGTTTGCGCTCACCTCCGGCACTCTTCTCTTTGGCACTGAAATAGATTTCGGCACCGGCGGACAGCCGTCCTTTCAGCCCACCTTCCACTGCGTCCTCTTCGTCGATACGCTTGACTCCGATGCTGGCGCCCTTGTCACTGTCGTCCGATGCAGAGCTGTCGCTAGCGAGACGGCCAAAATTATGAAGCACCTTGACACCCAGCATACCGTCTTCTGCGCTCCAGGTATACTCAGAACACCATTTTCCTACATCATGCTGGAGGTATAACATGATATTGCTTGGATCAGCGCCTCGTTGAGCTCGCGTCGTAGCTGACGGCGGTGTAGAAATAGCAGCAACGATAGCTTGCAGTGTTGGTGTCAACCTTGTAGAATAGAGCGCATCCAGGCGTCCCGTTGGTAAGTAATACCGTCCATACAGAAGGTAATCTGGACAAGATTATTCGACCATCACCGCGGCATAGTGAAAGAGACACACGTACCGCGAGTATCCACACGTTGACCAGCCAGCCACTCATCCTCCTTCCCTTCTGGTCTGCGTGGCTGATCATACACTCTGAAGCGCTCAATCATGTCTTTGAACCGGATGTCTCCCGACCCCTTGACATTGAGGTCGCAGGACGTGAAGATGTACCCAACCGAGCCATTCAGCGAAGGCATAGCATTCATCGAGTAGGTTGTCTTGAACAGTGCATTAGGCGATTTTGAGATGGACAAATGGAGGCCCTTGGGTACAGTAAAGTCGAGGATAGCTGCAAGGAAAGTCACTCACTGGCCCAGACCCATACAACGACGACACCTACCGTCGGATGACCGAGTCAGGTTGGTGAACAAATTATCTTCGTTCCATCCTGTTGCCTTGTAGTAACTTCGTAGGACATATGAAGCAAATGGGTGCATGGAGACATGCAGTCACCAGACGAAGAGGGAAACAGACGAAAGCGGAAATCATCTCCAAATTGAACTTGGGAGAAAAGAGTACGTTTAAATAATCAATCGTTTTCACAGTTGCATGCGTAGCTTTACAGACTTTTTTACGTCCTGTTCAGACCAAGCCATCCATCTATCAAATTCCATACCGTTTCTTGCTCCTCTGTCCACTCAACTTTCTTGTCCTTGACGCAAGAAGTACAAAGGCCTTCTTTCCCCCAGTCTATGAGCTTTATTCGCTCAAGTGATTCTAAAGGTTTATAAACCCCATCATCTTCCAACGCTGGCTGAATGACCAACGGCATCCACTTATCTGCAAAAACATCTGTGCAAGCCATATGTGATGTAGCAGGAGGAGTGAAGAGAATAGGCGTAAAATGGTTGATTAGGTCGGCCATGAGTTCTTCACAGCGCCGGCTGTTTTCCGTGGATATTATGATATTAATGGGTGTGCCGTTTGAATGGGCATCGGGCTCGTTCACCTATTGAACCAAATATATAAGACAGAAATGCATCATACTATGAATGCTACCTCGTGAAATTGTGCTGTGGTTACCACAGTGTAGAACAATCGCTTGAAGAGCTATTGAAATACTGGTGAGTTTATATCCCTTGAAATGAAGAAAATCTGACAGGTTCCAACTGATACTTTGTCGCTAGGTCCAAAGCCTCCCCCGAATGATCAGAGTGAAAGTATGGAATTGGACCCTCCGGAAAGAGTGTCCTGAGTGTATGTCGAGCCAATTCATGAATCATAGGGAAGTCAAGCTGCTCTTTGCTCGTGATGCGTAAGAGAGAGGCAATACGAGAAAAATCGGTAGATGATGCCAACGGTCTGAGTGAGTTTAGCAAGGAGGATTATATACAGATGGGGCGCTCACACGTCGTGGTACAGATGCTCCAGCAACGAAACTAGATCGACAACCGACACTTGTCGAGAGTCCAAGTCTAGGAAGGTACATCCACCCAAACCAGCACTCGAGTCTTCCTGTTTACCAACAGCCGACGCGTCCTCAAAGATACCCAAGAAATAAGGGGAATGCCGACAAAGCACTGTTGTATGTACGCGGAACAGATGATCCTCAAGGCCCAAGATCGTCAATCCATCAGGAAACCAAAAGACAGGATGTCTCCTCTTCCCAGAGGTATCGAACAAATCTGCAGGTCGAGACATACCGGATGCAGGATTGGGAGTTCCAGATAAGCAAATTGTTTGAAAGACGACCTTCGTTAGAAATCTGATTTGTAAAAACGATAAAAGGTTCGCTACTGTACGGCCATTCCTTCTACTTACCCGCTCTTCTTGTACTTTGAAAAGAAAGAAATAAAATCTGCTTTGAAAAAAAGGATTGAAAAAAAGGACTATTATGTTATCGGCTCCATACCAAACAATATGAAATTACATCGCCACTTTTCGAACAGCATTTTTTTTTTCCTCTTTCGAACCATATCATCACCGCCAACCAGCATACAAAATCCTCAAACATGGATGACGGTACGTCTTCCTCATCAGCAACGGCAACGACAAGCAGCACTTCCGTTTGCTTCGATTTCTACGGCGGTATTTTCTTCATGCCGACCATTGTATCTGTCAATACTGAGGGACGACGAACGTGGTCCAGCAGCACTGTATTCACTTTGCAGCAACGTACCGCCTTTTCATTCTTATATTTCCTCATGAAGGGGAGATATACGATCTCCTTGCACCGACTTCGACTGTGATTTTTGACGTCGTCTCGTCGTTTCGTTTTTCGGCCTTTTTCGCTGTCATGTCGCCATTTCGGTCTACCTGTGCATATTCAACCTGACCTGTTACCTTTTCTATTCCCTCGGCGTATTTATATACAGCCTGGCAATCCGATATGGCACCGACCAACACAGGCATATCTATTCCTTCTCAAGACCCTGCATTGAGTGCAGCCGATGATGGTGGGTACCGCGAACAGAGGAGGTCAAGTAGGAGCCGGAGCCCAGGCGCTAAGGGCGGCGACAGAGGGTACGGGAGCGAACCTTCTCCACCTTTTCCTGTAATCTGACTTTTTTAGCCGCTCTGGTGGAGGTCATAACCCGGGAAACAATCTCCACGTCTCGGGATTGAGCCGTAAGGTAGATGCTCGTGATCTCGAAGCGGCTTTTGCAAAAATTGGCAGAGTGAGTATCCGACACCTTACCTAGCATGCTTTCGCTTATTGTTGCGTCCAGGTCCAAAAGGCTTCTGTGATGCTGGACCCGCATACCCGTGATTCTCGTGGATTTGGGTTTGTCACAATGGAGACTGCTGAAGAGGCTGACGCTGCCATCACCGCATTGAATGGAACTGATTTTATGGGGAAGAACCTCGTCATTGAAAAGGTGTGTTGATAAAGTATGCCTTTACATCGAGTGCTAAACGCAGTCCAGGCTCGCCGTGGTCGTGCTAGGACCCCGACACCTGGAAAATACTATGGTCCACCTAAGCGTGGTGGGGGCTGTGAGTTTGTAGAACGTTCGTCACCCTTGCCGTGAAACCTATTTCTTTTTCGTTTTCAGCTGGATATGAACGCCCATACGATCCCAGGCCCTACGACAGTCGCTATGCTCGCGACCATGACGATCGTAGAGGTGGACCTCGTGGAGGTCGTGACCACGACCGTGGATATCGTGACCGAGACTATGACCGTGGCAGAGACTATGACCGTGGTGGACGGGACTCTGACCGTGGTGGTGCCGACCGCGGTGGTGATCGTGTAAGGTATGACGACCGGAGGTACTGATATTTTCCTGCTTGTCCTATTATGTATATTGCATCTATAGGCTCTTCTGTATATGTATTCTTGGGATAACCACTACTTATTGCGCATAAAAACACAAGTGGATTCGGCACTTGCCGAGTAATGTTGGCCGACGACGTTCACGACAACAGCTTGCCGCAGGAGCTCGTCGACCTAATCGTCGATTTCCTTGCAGATGAGCCGCCTTCGCTTCGAGCCTGTGCTCTAGCTGGTCGCTGTTTTCTGCAACGATGCAGCATGCATCTCTTTCGCACAGTGCAATTTGCGGACGATACTTCACCCGGGCGTTTCCTTCCCTTGCTTCTGTCGTCCCATATTCCGCCTCTGGTGCGAGAAATACTTGTCATCGGTTCCGGTACGACTTCAGAATACCAGTGGATAACCTCAGATGATGCACTGTCACCCGTGCTTGACTCCTTCGTAAACGTTGAGGAGGTCAGTATCCTGGGTTGCCGTTTCGACTCAATCGCTATCACTCAGAAATTACGCACTCTGTCATCCAAGACGGTCAACATGCTTCGGTTTGACATGCTCCAATTTGAGTGCAAAGGGGATTTCTATTCGTTGCTCCAATGCTTCCCTTCCTTGCGGCATCTCTACTTAGGGTCCGTTTATGTCCGGTCCAATGAGCACCATCTTAGCTCTCACTCGCAGCCTGTACTGCTCGAGACTCTTGAGATCCCATTCAACCTGTCACTGACTCCCGTTCCCACTGTGGGTTTGCTTCTCCATCCCCAATCACCCATCATTTTGAGCCATCTCAAATCTCTACGAATCGCACGTCTAAGTCTCAAGATCTGCCAATAATCATATCTTTAGTGGAAGCATCACGCAGCACACTCGTGCACCTACTCCTTGGGCCAATTCGAATGGTTTCTGCTTTTGACTTCGGTATGACTTGAACCAGGTCACTTTCCCTCAGTGTGTTTACTTTTATCTAGATTTGACAAGTCACCCAATGATACTCCCACTGTATCACCTGCGATGCTTGCAGATCCAAATATCTGACGGTGTCCTACATCGCCGGCTATTCAAGTGGTGGATTAATGTTTTCCAGATGAGCGAACAGGATTGGCGTCTGGAAGATGTCACCATTAGATTGCGGCGCGATGGCAACACGCGTACGTTCCATGATAACCGTCAATGGTCCTTACTAGATGCTGCCTTCACCCGATCGCGAATGAAAGAACTACACACTGTCAAAATCAACATATCATTTCCACCTCGGTCTCTTGCCTCAGGGGCTATCGTATCTGAAATTCAAGAGCTGCCTGGCCTCATAAGACTCTCGTGCCCTTCCATGGTAGCCAAGGCTATCTTGCATGTAGAACTAAGTGGTATGTCATAGTTTCCTTCACATATATATGTACCGATCTGAAAGTTCTTCAAAGACTGGTAGCAGATAACGGCATATTTTGTACGGTTTTTGGGTCCCCGCCGTTCCCTCTATCAATCATTCTCGCTTGTTTGATTAGGTAGAATATGGGAGACGGCCTGTGAGAGTAGAGGCTTTAGCTGACAGTGTTATAACGCAAGGCTGATATCAGAGAACGTATCGCAATTCTACCAGTTGAATTTCCTCCTATGGCCTACACCACCTGACGAGACGGTACTTCCAAACCACTCCCAACTCCGGTACCGAACACTTTCGGCTTCTATGTTGAATACCCCCTCACGTATTTCTGCGGTCCCGGACAAACATAATATAAACTGTCTGAAAAACTTCACAAGTGGCGCACTCCACACAATGCAAGCAGTCTATTGCTGACCCTATTTTATTTTTTTCTCTTCACAAGCAATACAACTTTCTCTTGGCAGTTGTGAGTATAAAAGAGCCACAATCCTTCAACATTATCCTCAAGTCGAAAGCTCTCAGTTGTACAGTCTTACTCACTTCACAATGTTCTCTCGTATCTCTTCCTTCACTCTTCTTGCCTTGGCTGCATTCACGGCTGCCCAGGAGACGAACACCACCGTCACCGGTGGGAAGTGCAACTCTGGTTCCCTCCAGTGCTGTAAGTCTGTCCAGGACGTGAGGCATTTTCTCCCAATGAGACGAAGTCGACTCGAGCTAATTAACGTCCCCTCTTTATAGCCCACGTCTTCTGCTGTCCAAGAAGCATTGGGTCTCGTTGGTATTCCCATTGGTGATGTCACCGCTGATGTGTAGGTCTTCGGATATGATTTATCTGACTCTTCTGATAAATTCTGCAGTGGTTTGACTTGCAACCCCATCACCGTTATTGGGCTGGGAACTACCCAGTGTGTTAACCAGCCCGCTTGCTGCGAGAAGGATAACTTCGTGAGTGGTATTCTTCGTGGGTATGGCGAGAATTGACGCGGTCGGTTTGAAAGAATGGTGTTGTTGCTCTCGGATGCACCCCCATCAACTTGGGACTCTAAGTTCACTCAAGGAACTCTCGTGTCGATCTTCTGGTTTTTTTTTTTTCAAGGAGGGATTGGCCTAATATTAGACAGTTCTTTTTACAAGTGTCATTTATGCTACACATTTTAGACTTATGATTCGCTTAACACGTATATCTTTTTGCCCATATCTAAGCGAGAGTACTGAAGACGACGATGAAGGACGCCTGGCTTTGATGTCTTTAATTTAGACCTTTAATTCAGCCGACCTCCAGGTGGGTGGTTAGCGTGTACGCATACATTAATGAGTCAGTATGCATAACCATACGCTACCTGCAACCAGAAAAAGTGAGATAAGAAGCGTCGAAATGTCTTGAGTTTCCAAGTTCCTTACTAATTTTTGTACCCACTTATCCCCCATAGTCCTTCTCTTTGTACGAGATGCGACCGCCTTTGATCAAGAAATTTCGTCATGTAACTGAACGTGATATTCTTATCCATTATTCCAGTCCCTACCTACTACCGATATGTAGCGGATGAGTATACACTGTCTATCGTACAAACCCAATAAAACTCGTAGCAAAAAAAGGTATGTTACAAAACAACCAACACCGATTGCATAGAAGGAAGAGGGTATCAAAGCAAGCAAGCACATTCCACAAAGAATATAAATAAGACCTAGGAATGGATATCAAAATTATTCGTAGGAAGCCAAAAAGCAAAATCCAGATGGGAGTGTGTGACGAAGATATCAAGTACAGATAGAAGTAAGAAGAGAATTATTCCTTGGATGCGGCAACGACCGTGCTTCTGGGCGAAGTCCCACCTATCGTCTTGACGAGCGTGGAAATGGCAGCGCCCGTGAGAACAGGTCGAGAAGTATGGTGCGGCCGATGATTATCCACCGTGGGAGGAGAAGAATGAGTTCGTGCGTGGTAGCCATCCTGCACGAAGCCTCGTCGCGGTGTCGACGCACCCGAACGCGAGTACCGGGTATTGAAGAGCATAGGAGAAGGGTGCTGGATGGGAGGCTGGCGACCGACGGTGTAATTGCGGTTGTGAGTTGGGTTGAATGCATGCGGTCCGTTGCGTGAGGCGGCGTAGGTGGTGATGTTGCTGGGAGCCGATATTGGTTCGCCTGGCTTGGGCGCATGTATAGAAGCTTCGAGACCGGGTTTTGTGGGATCAGTGACTGAGAGGGGCTTGGGCTGTGGTGGTGCTTGATGAGGGTCTGACGTATTGTTATCCGTGGTAATGGAAGTTTCTGTAGCATTAGGCTGTTCAGTAGGCTTGAACTGCTCGATTGGCTTCGGCTGTTCTACAAGTTTAGATGAAATTCCATTTTTGTTGTTTTTGGGTGGCGTAGGATTGCGCATAGGTGTAGCGACTGGTCTCGAGTTGACTGACACGACGGGAGAGGCAGGTTTTGGGGGCAGGGAAGGGTGAAGGGGTGCTCTGGGTGTATCAGGGACCGGAATGCTAGGTTTGGATTGAAGGGACTCTGTTTCAGAGACGACAGGAACATCATGAGAAGGAGGCACGCTCACGGCGGCTGCGTCGGCTTCCTTGGATGATACACCTTCCTCTTTCTTCGGTTCTTCAAAGAATGCACTGGCCATCTGTCGTGGACTGCCTGAGCTGGGCGGGTATATTGACGCCATGGACGGCGACAATCCATCGTGCTCGGCAAACGTGGGTTTGGAGACTAGATCGGGCAGAGGAGTCAGTCCCTCGACGATGATGGGAGATATTGTTGAGCCCTGGGTTTCCGAAGGGACTTTGGGCTTGACGCCCCAATCGTCTAGATCAGGCAGTGTGTCGTCCTCATCTCCGGCCCAGTCAATGTGACTACCTGGAGTCGTGGGTCGAGCCTCAGCCATTGCAGAAGCTCGAACACGCTCCACGAGTGCATCAATATCATGGCGAACATCTAAGTAATTGGTGTTGGTTGGAGACGGTGAAGCGGCTTTTAAGGGCGCGTTGGGCGGAGCGGGACGAGTCCGTTGTCTTGATGATCGTTCACCAGCTGCCGGTGGTGCATTGATTTTCGGTACATCTTTCGGAGCTTTCGGACGCTGACGGCGGTTTGAAGGGCGGGAAGCTGTGGTCGGGGTTGAAGGAACGTCTGTTGAAGGCGTAGGTGGGTTGGCGGTCGGACTGTTTCGCGAGGAACGCCTTGAAGAACTTTTTGCTTTAGCCGACGTCGGTGTCACAGGCGATGTTGTTGAAGGCTGCTTCTGCGCCGGAGTAAGTTTCGGTAACGTTGGTTTCGTCGGTTCAGTTAATGGCGTCGGCGCACTAGGGTCTGCTGGGGTAGCCGTTGGCCGGAATTCTCCTCCTCTGCCTGTTCGCCCTCGCCCACGTCCTCCGCCTCTCCCGCCTCTCCCGCCCCTTCCGCCGCTGCCTCTCCGCCCTCGTCCAATCCCAGAAAATGCTGAACCAGGCTCGCTGGTTCGGGACCAGTCCCGTGGCCGTGACGTGGAAGGTCCTCCAGAGACTGGTCCGTCGGCAACTGGACGTGGAGGAGCAGGAGTAGCCATGCCCTATAATAGGTAGGACCCAAGTATGCAAAATCAAAACTGGAAAACGGGAGGGGTTTGTGAGTTCTGAATTTTTTTTGAGAGCCAGTGGACGGCTTCACCGTAATAGACGATGTGCAGCACGCCAAACGGGTACACAAGAAGGAATACAGACCGGAAAGATGATAGGAGCGAGTGCGACAAGTGCCCTTTTGTGGGGCACAGGTTGGTGTCAAACACGCGTCAACAACATCTACTCCTTTAGCAGCAACTATCATGTCCAAGGCAAGCCAACCAGAGCTGAAAAAGGTATCTTGGTCTAGTTTATATCCCTTGCTGAACTCATTTTGTTATAGTTTATGGACAAAAAATTGTTCGTGCATCTCCAAGGCGGCCGTAATGTTAGCGGAACGTTACGAGGATACGATCTTTTCTTGAACCTGGTCATCGACGATGCGTTGGAGGAATCGAATCCTGGTCAAAAGCACCCCATTGGCACTGTTGTACGCCTACTTTGGTCCTCTGATTGCATGATATACTCATTAAATCGTCGAAAAGGTCATCCGTGGAAACAGTGTCACATCGATGGAAATTTTGGAGATGATAAGGTAGCAGCAGAAGAGGCGTCTGCGATAGTTTGAAAGGGAGAGGTATGCTGTTGTAAAACCATCCTTGTTTGTGAATTCATTACTTTCAAGTTCGTTTGCCGCGAGTCAGAATACGGACAACTTGCAAGTAGCAGCCACGGGCCATCCACTCGTCTAGTGTATTACTTTCTTTTGGCTTCAACTAGTGTAGTCACTTTGAGGAGAATGTGAAGCGATAATTGTAAATTTCGTCGTACGCGTTGTTTGGCTGCAGCTCTCAAACATAATTTTAACCCAAAATTACGACTTAAGCCGACTTGTCACGACGGGACGGTCGCTGAAATGCGCAGATGCCTTTCAGCTGGCTCCTCCATTCTTTCCTCTTATTGCGGTCATGGTGCAGCCAATTCTTCCCGTCGACAATACGTAGCGGTCGCTGCCGGCGATGTCCACGACCAAGGCCCAGCGATATCCTTCCACGAGAAAGACAAGCTGGACAGGCTCTGGCTCAATCTTGAACACAACAAAAATCCGACTCGTACTTGGGAGACGTATCTGCGTGCCGTCAACCAACTAGGAACCACCGACATCCCTCTCCGTTTCCACCAGAAAGCCTTGCGCGCCTGTACAGTGCCCACGGAGAAGCTTCGCAGCGCAGCGGACCGTCGGAATGCCACCAAGCACCCACCAGCGTCGCACACCTATGAGAGTCGATTTCAGCTCATCCTGGGAAATATTCGTACACTTGGACAGAACCCAGATTTGGAGGATTACAACTTTGTTTTGGAGCAGTTTGCCGCAGCTGCACATCCTGTCGCGGCGTTGAACGCGTTGAAGGAGATGATTTTCTTTGGTGTTACTCCCCGGTCAAAGACATATGGTCTGTGTCTCCAGGCCGTCGCGCACCGGCTGAGTCTCCCTGTCCGGAAGGACGACCTTGACGTGCGAAACGATGTGTCTCATGCCCAGATGAAGGAAATATTGGATGTTATGCGGGTCATGGGAAAGTCGCTCACAGCCGTCAATTTTGGCTTGACCCTTCGCATCATGATGAAGACGACGTCCGTGGACACAGTCAACTGGTATGTTCAGTGGGGGTACGGAATAGATCTCTGCTTCCCGGACCGACCTGCTCTCGCGTACCAAGGCTTGGCTGGGTCTCCCCCTGCATTACCTCAACCTGTCAATTTCACAACTTCTGCCCTCAACAATATCGTCGACATGCTTGGCCAAACGGGAAATGTGTCCAAGCTCGTCCAAGCTTTTGAGGTGCTTACCGTACCAATACCGAAGAGCACCCAGTTTATGACATCTAGTTTCGATGACGATGATGACTGGGGTGTTTCAACACCGTCACCAGAGTCTTCATACCGTTACCCCCACGCGTCCCCAAACACCACCACTTACAACCTCCTCATACGACACGTCTCCAAGGCAGGACATGCCATTCTTGCTCGCCACTATCTCCTCCAGGCAATCCACTTAGAGCGACAAGTCGCCTATCAGACACGTATAGAGGTCCTGACCAAACCATTAGAGCAAGCGCGCGCTCCCCATTTTGCTATCAACAAGGGAACTATCCTCCCCGTGTTCGGCCTAAGCAACCGCGATAAAAATGTTGGGCTCATGCGGTGGGTCCACTCAAAGATGCACAATCTTCTCAAACGAAAACGCGCTGAGCTCGTCTTCTTCGACAACTTCCGACGGGGCAAGATCACCAAAAATCAGTGGCCGACAATCACTACTGATACTCCCCGGGATTCATCATCCAACCTCTTCACCCGCGTCAAGTCAGCGCTGGGCTTTGACCCCGTATTCGACGTGGATCTCGACAACGAATCACCCGCCATTCAGCCAGCGCCCATCAAATATATCGACCTCGATCTGTATATCCGGATTTTGCAACGTGACATCAAAGAGATCGACGAGCTCCGCGCGCACATTGAGATCATCTTGGCACGGACGATACAGCGGATCAAGGAACGCCTAGGTCGGCGTGTGTGGAAGGGGAAGAATATCTACACGTTGACCGGGTGGGGGAGGAACAACGTGACGAGGGAAGAGTGGCGGGGTATAGCGAACTTCAAGCCAAAGGTGGAGGATGACGAGCGGTATGTTCCTGGGAGGCTGAATATGAGGAGGATGAAGGAGATTACGTGGAATAGGAGGACGCTCAGGAAGTTTGTTGAGAATCGGCGAAGGCGGGGGAAGTACGTTCCACTGAAGGGCCAGGTGAAGCAGCGTGTGTATCGAGAAAACATGAGGTTCTATGTTCAGCAGGGTGTCTAGTCGTTGATGCCCTTTCTGTGTACGTGTTTTATTTATCTGCATGGCTTGGCTGATGCTTGATTCTAGATAACCCTCTGGATGTCCCGCCGAGATGGCGGAGGTACTGCTATAGTGGCTCGAGCGTCCGTCGTTCAGCCGGCATTTGCTCTTAAGACTATGACGGTCCTCATTCATACGCCTCATAGCAGCAAGCAGTGGACCGGAGGAGGTAAAGCTGTAGGACTTGACACCGGGGGCTGTGGCGTACAAAGACTCCATTGTCATCTGTCGCGCAAGGAGTGATATCAGAATGTCTTTGCAATATGTACTACGAGAGAAACATTTATGTTAATTATCGTTTCTCAACGCCGAGGATTGTATGGAAACAACTAAAACCCCGATGTTTAAAGGCGGAGGTCTGTCGGTATACATACTGATCAAGAAAGAAAAGTCGACACGGTGGTTCAACTTCCAAAATAAGCAACTTATCTCTATGTATAACTGACTCTTCCTGTTCCTTACTACACTAATAATACAGAATAGAAAAACCCTTTAAGCACTGATATCGAAGGCAGTGCTACGCCATCCCTTCGTCTTCTTCTCCTTTTCGGTCTTTTCCTCAACTCTTTCCATGAAAGACTGCAGCTGCCTCCTCCCTTCCATGGCCATTGCCTCCATATCTCGCCTCAAAGCCCTCACCTCCTCCCGCACAACTTCCCTCACGGCCTGAGCATCCTCAGGACCGACCTCTCCAACCAACTGTTCTCTCAGACTCGCAGATGCTATACCCAATGGCCCCTTCTTGTCTCCAGAAAGGATTTGCGGCTCCGCACCCATCGCAAGCGCTTTGTCTTTCCCCCCCTCGACAACCACCCCAGTGCCTGTCCCTATGGCCTGCCAACTAGACATCTTTCTCAGCCTGCCCAGCTCGGACCACACCGCGGCAGATAGGGCGCTTCCAATCCCCATCCCCCCATCAGTGAACACCTCTGCCCGCTTCGAAATGTCCCATGCAATCCCGTCCGCCCATGCGATGACGTCCCTGATATGCTCCGCCAGCGCGCGCTCGAGGGCCTGACGGAAACGTAAAGAGACCAAGGGCTTGAAGACGCTCAATAGCATCGGGTGGTTAGACTCGGTGATCGACAAGCCAACGTCATGTGTAATATCCACCCGTACTTTCTCGATGACGTGGAAGGCCTGTTGAAGTTCGCGTGCTTTGATACGTGTACCACGTTTAACTTCCGTCTCTTCAGTGGCAGGGATGAGGCGGAACTTTAGGTCGATATCGACGCCTTTTGGGGGAAGCGTGAAGGAGACAAAGCCAGAATAGTCCCTTGGGACAACAGAAGCTTGTTTATCTCGATAGAAGAATGAGACCTTATCCAGAGCAAGCTGTATGGCTTGAGCATGGATATGTGTAAGTGTGCCGATGGCAGTACGCGTGGCAGCATTAGGGGAAACTGTGTTGATATCGATATCGGTAATATTTCGAATATAAATGTGAGATGGTTGAACGTTGAAAGACGAAATATCAAGGTTTTCAAGCACAAGCTCCGACTCCTTGTCGACATATTCCACTCTGAACGGTTGTTACAGAAGCACCGATATCATGATAAATAAACGCACCTCGGAATCGGAAATCCCTTCAAGTATGTCAATGCACGGGGTATGTAAACTTGGAAGATATCACGCCAGAACCATGATGCTCGTTCCATGGCTGCCTCCAAGCCTGACTTGACCTCCGATCCTGCTTCGACAAGTCTATCCTCAATCGTCTTTGCCAACTGAGCGTGCGCGTCACGAAAGCGCTTCGTATCTTTGTCCTGGTTCAACACTTCTTCGAAAGCGTTGATCTCGTGTTTTAAGGCTTCATAATGTGTCTTCCATTTCGACTCCTCGACGAAGAACTTCTTCCATCGCGTCCACAGACCCTTCTTGGCTTGTTCATACTCTTCGCTATACATATACCCAGCCTCGTTGATCGTCTTTCGGGTAACTTGGAAGAACTCCTGGAACCATTTGTGGAGATCCTTGTCGTCGTGTACATAGATGGCGCATTGCCTGGCCTTGGCGAACAAGTTATCGAGAGACCGGTTGTTGGCGAAACGCTCGAAAAGAGTCTGCATTTGCTTCAAAGCTTTTGAAACATGCTTCTCGGGTGTCGTGTCGTTTATGAATGAATCGAGGTCGGCGGTAATTATGCCTTGAGTTTTGGAGAGCCACTTTTCCACTGTATCGAGGAGTGTATTGACAGCTGAACGGTATTCTTCATCCTTCTGCGCCTGCTCGCAGACCTAGGACCAAGTCAGAAAATTGTTGTGAAGCACAGGCAGTAGTACATACCCTTTTGAAAGCACGTTTGAACCTATCGCCCGTTCTGTCCACCAACTCTTCCGCTTTAGCCTTTGCGTCCTGCCCAGGGCTGATCACTGTCGCACCGGTATCCTTCAAGGAGTCCATCGTGTGCTCGAACTGAACATTGACATCTTTCTCTTCTTCCTCCATTCTCTCCTTGTCTCGACCAAGGGCATCGCGTTTGCCATCCTGCACTTCTTGCTCGACGTCTCTCAGACTATACTTGACATGGGCAGCTTGATCCTCCACCATTTCAGCGGCATCGGCAAGAGAAGATCGGGCGAATGACTCAAAGCCTCGAACAACGAAGGAACCTTCCGTAGAGATGCTGGACCACGCAATTTGCAGAAGTTTTCGCAAGGCCTTGCGAATTCTCTCAATGTCCTCTGCTGCTTCGTCGGTGTCCACGGCGTCTGAAGGAGCAGATATATCGCTCTCTGAGAGGTTCCAGATTACTTCTTGAAGTAAATCATCGCCTACGACGACGTTAGAACTGCAATTTATTTAATAATGTAAAGGATGTGTACTGTTTTTGTTCGACCCTATAGTCTTGTAAGCATCCAAGACGCCACCTAAATGTCTCACCATGACTCTTCCTTGGGGGCTGAGATATCCAGGGTCCATTTGAGCCAGCGCATTGGTCTTTATCCAGTCGATGAAGGCGTCAAGTTGTACTTGAGAAGGTAATTTGCCTGCATTGAGTGCAGCAAGAACACTTGTAAGATGATCCATTTTCGGGCAGGAAAGGAGTAAGCCATATTTGAAGGTTTTATAGGAATATATATAGCGATCCAAGTTGGTGGTATGTCATTAACGAGTAATGTGGTGTCGGATGACGGCGTCAAATGGGGTATCGGAAAACCGGGCCGCAGATGCACGTGCCTTGTTCTGTTACCCTCAGTCCTGTCACGGTGTCCTTGAATTCTCTCCCTCTCAGAAATATCATCAAGCACAAAGTGGCAAGTGCACATCACTCATTGATACCGTGCAGAACAGTCATTGAAAGTAATGTTATCTCACCGTAAACATGCGTGACTGCGGAGAAATGCTGCAGCAGTCTTTCACCAGTTCACCCAGTTCTCCGCCTCTTGTCACCAGTGCCTTCTCCACGCTGCGCCTCACTCTCGTCGCTTCCTAGATACGTAATCATCCGATTCGGGCACGTTCTCGAAGCCCTGTTTTCATCGCAAACTGCGCGGATCCGAGCTTAAACAAGCCGCTTTTCTTTCTGTCTGTAACCACCATCTACTACCCCTACTCCAACTTTTATCGTCCTTTCACCAGCTTTTCTCATGTCCGAATACCCAGAGCGGCTGGAAAGCCAACGTCGTATCCGTCCACTGGACCCTGCAGCAGTCAGAAGACGTTCACATGTTTCCCAATCTTGGCATGATTACGGTGACGGTAGTGTCAGCGCCAGTACCCGCTCCTGGGTTCAGTCGAATCAGCGCGATCCACCTCCTCCGCCAGAACAACTGCCTCTTCCGTCACCTGCATTAGGTCTGCGCGCTGTCAATCCAGACGAGAATGAGCCAGAGGAATTGTCTGAATACATGACCATTCGCCAGGAGGATTTTAACGGTTTACCTGATTATCCATCTTGGCCCACTCCTGGCGGAGATCACCAACTTCATGTCGTCAACGTCCAGCCGCTCAAAACAAAAAAGCGTTTCGTGGGCGGTTTCGTCACAGGCTTGAAACGTATCCCGAAGGCAATGTTTGGAGCCAGCGGATCCAAGGTGAAGGAGGTGAAGAGACAAAGACAGAGGTCGACAGAGACGGGAACGCACCTGACCGAGAATACCCTTCCACAGTACAGAACCAACCCTCCAACCCCAGTAGCCTTACAGGTGCCGCGAACACATGCTTCCTTGGCAGAGGGTTCTATTCCACCTGCTCTGGCCTCGGGAGAACTTCAACGGCGCATGAACAATCCCACTTTCAGGCTGGAGGTACCTATAGAGGTATTCGAGCCTAGCGCGGCCTCACCGACAGAAGTGCCTATTGACCAGACAAGAGATTCTATCCACCCAGAGTCCAGGCGGACGAGCCTTCACCTAACAATGCCGGAACCCTCGATAGCACTACCCCCTTCACATCCACCGTCGCGTCGTCAATCACATGTTTCGCCGCGTCCACCGCAGCGGGAACCGTCTACATTGCCCCCACCTTCTATTCCCGCCCATCCAGCCCCTTCAGAGGACTATCGCCGCATGTCAAAGGCTGACTCGCAGGGTCACGGCCCGACAAGCGCAACAAGCTCGTCGGTCGGAGCTGAGCCGTCTTTTTCGAGTGACCTGAACCCGGTGCTGAGATTCATCACCGGGCTTTACGAGATGCCTTGGGTCTCACCGGAGCGCATCACGGTGGACTATCGTCCTGGGATAGACCGTGGGGCATGGGTGTGGAAATGGACTCATGCGAAGAACGGTAGCGGTAGTGGGAGAGGCCGAAAGGTGATGGTACTGAAACCAATTCCCAAGGTGACAGCCTCTTGGTACACTGTGAGAGACGGTACGGAAAAGAAAATTCCAGTGAAGGAACGCGCTCGTTCGCCAAACAACGCTGCAGTTGATCTGTTGAGCTCTGGAGCGTCTGGTACCCGGTCGTCAATGGCGACCAGCGGAGCTACTTCGAGACGTGGCAGACGGCGGGTACCTATACGATCCTCGGTCTTCCTTCCAGACCCCAGTACGCTACCACGCTCCGTCAGACGGTCGAAACCTCCGTCGCGACCTGGTACCAGCTCGCACAGCGGACGGTACCGTGACCCTGATCGGCGGCGACGGCGCCCTACATCACCTTTGTTCCCCCATGGGTACGCACCGCCGACTACACCGCCGCCTGTGCCACCCTTTGTGTTCATGCCGCCCCCTCCTGCTGCTGCTCCAAGCCCGGAGGGTTCACATGCGCAGCCTGCAGCTTCAATGCCGTTGTTCGGGCCGGTGTATATGCAGATGCTTCCCCCAACCTCGATGACATCTGTGAACACGAGCCCGGGAATGGCTGGGCGAGGTGCAGGACTACAGCCTGCATATGGATATGGATACTCGCCCATGGTTGTGCCTGCTACTCCACCACATGTGTAGTTTCAGATACATGTTTCATGAAATCTGAGCTCTTGACTTTTACCATGTAGCACTAGTTCTTTCTAATTATGCCCAATACGATTGGACTTCGTTTTTTTATCCTTCCAGTTATGGCACAGCAAAGCCAAGCCCCTGGGTCGATCTACCGGACCGATTTTCCCGCATCACGTAAGGCCTATTTGTAAGTACCCGACTGTAGCTTTTTCCTCATTCGAACAGTCATGAACTCAGAGCTATCCTCGTCGTCATCGTCGCCCATAACGCCAACGCATCCCTTTGCCCATGCGAGAGGCCTCCTAGAAATTATCCCCAACAAGATTGATGTCGAGGAAGAATCGAGGCTGTACGATGAACTATGTACGGTAAGCTCCATTTGTTTTTGCGTTGCGGCGGACAGCGTATTCATCAGTCAGGATGATGATGCTCCCCTCCGACTCGGAGCGATAGCAGTCCGACCCCGGTCGCCGCAAGGCGCACCTTCAGTATTCTCGAGGGAAAGTATTTGGTTGGGGGATAACTGCGGGGAGAGTCTGGCATTTGCGAGAGACGTGAAGATAAGCGGATGGACGAATGTCGGTGATAAATTGGGCGGAGCATATGTCGGTGGGTAGTCTTTCCCGATCTTGTTTTGCTAATAATTAACTTTTTACTAGTGTATGACTGTGTGATTAAAACGAAAGAAGTGCGCAGCATCTTGCATGGGATTTTTACATCTCATTTAATTTCTTGCAGGGAACTGTTATACATTGCCACAAGCGATACAGCTCGTTCGTTCAATTGGAATCGGCTCTACGCGGAACCTTGCCTGTATGTCACACGGCAATTTTGTTTCCGCAGGCGTTTCTCATATCACATTTCCAGCGTCATCAACAACATTTTATTCCTCGACTTCCGCCAAAAGCGCCTCTTGCGAGATATCGGCCCGCATTCCTAGACCAGCGGCGACGGATGCTACAATATTGGCTGTCTTCAATATTGCTGCATCCCGATATCGGCGGATGCAAAGCAGTTCGTCTATGGGTCATGGACTGACCCTGTTTAATCATTTCTCTCTTAGGGTCCTTTTTCGCCGGTACTACGCTAGAGTGCCCTGTTGCCTTTTGTATTATTATATATGCTCAGATACCCGCAATCCTTTTTCCCCTGAAAGCACTCGCCGGTGGGGCGTCGCGACCTGAGGGCCTGTCTTAATTTGGGTCCGAACTCGGACGCTACAACGACGTCCTAGACATTTTCAGAATGAAGACCGGACTTAGCGGTTTGGCCGCTGTCTCCAGTGTCCTATAACAGATGAATGAGTGCCCCTCACTTTTGGCCAATCTTTCTTGCGCACATAACTGCAAGCCACTTGCTACTCATTGTCTTACTCTGCTCTCGCGCATACTGACAGACACATCCCATCCACCAATACTCTTATAACACATCATCCTTCTTCTCCTATAACATCCGTCCCTTACAAGAATGAAGTGGGCAAACTCAGAGGCATCACAGGCGTGGATGGGGATCGTTTTGATACTGGGAATTATTGTCAATGAGTATTCGCATGAAGAACCACCATCGAAAGAGGAGGATGAATGGGAAGGCATCTTCGAGCTCGGATGGTCGTGCATGTGAAACTAGAATTCGAGGGGGTCGAGGAGGAATACCTAGGCTGGTCATTGAAGTTATTGAGGCTTGAAGAAGAGGCGGATTTTGAGTTGGAATCCTTTTAGAACATCTCATACATGTTATTTGGGGGGCCTTTCGGTTGCTTTTTGGAATGTTATCCGTACTATACGCTATTAATTTGTCGATCCTTATCGCTACTCCACGCTAAACTGTCAGGGTCGCAAAGAATGAGCGCGCAGGTGTGAAGCAACTTCGCATTTGAAGACGTTGAATTCATCTGTCGAAGGCGGTTTCGAGAAAGCAAAGGACTCGAGATGACAAGTCTTACGCGGTGAAAGGCTAATGAATATACTCATTGGGCAGAAAAGGTCTCCACATGCTTCGAATCAATGTCCTTCTTGATTTGATATGCGTGCCGAAGACGAGGTTTTAGCTGTTCCATTCTTGGATGTGGCGGACTGGCCATGATAGACTCTGCTGCATTTGCAGCGGCGATTAGTTCTTCATCTGAAATTATTTCAGTAAGGAGTTGAAGGTAGAGACCTGGTAGCTTACATGTTGTGATATTATACGACTTGAGCTTTGTCCGTTGTTCATCGCTCAGTATATGATCCCAGAAATAGGTGTTATAACCTGGACGAAGAATCGTGAGCACCCGCTAAATGGATACGCAGCAGCTGACCGTTCATGAAGCCATCCGATCCAAACATGAATAACGGGTTGGTCGACGAGTCTGCATCCTTGTCCAAAGGATATGTTCTAATTTGCAGACCATCTTTTTCTTCCCTGTCACGCCTCTCCTTGGCGGCCTCGAACTTTTTCTCCAGAATCTATGGCATTCTCTCTCGTACAGCGTTTTGAATAGATTAACTGAATCTAGCGCACTTTCAAATATCGATCGTATCTTGCCGCTGCAGTTTTGCTGCCAGAGGCTTTGAGTCGGAACGTCCGGTGGTGGCAGGTGATAACGCGTGGCGCCGCTGAACGCGTAATAAATGGAATAGATTGGAGGCCATGGCGGAGTAGTGAGAGCGTTATCGTCGTCGACGCTGGTGAGAACATGACTGTAAGGAAGCAAAAGTTTGGCAGCCTCAGGAGACCGGACCGAACAGCCCGACCTTCTTGTTCATCATGTCTGACGAGGAGCTCACCGTCGTCGCGTCCGCCGCTTTGCAGCATCTGCTGAGCAAAGGCTCTGTCACTGCTCCAATCTCTTCCATTGACCTCCTTATTCGCGTTATCACCTACAAGCCACCTCAAAGTCTCATCGTGAACAAGCCCAAGGCCCCCAGGTTCCGCCTCACCGACCTGACACGTTTCGAGGCAATCTTGGAGTCACTTTCCCATTCGTGGGACCAGGGAAGCATCACAATTACTAGGGAGAATGGTGAATTCATCATCCTCGACTTGAGGCTGGCGTCGTCTTCGTCAAACGTCGGATCTACCCTCTCACAAAAACGCAAGCGGGTGATAGACGAAGAGGCGGATTCTGCGGCTGGCGATGACGAGTCTGAGGATTCCTCGGCTGAGGACGTAGTGAACCAGCCTTTCTCTGCACTCGCTAGTCTCAACAAGGAACAACGCCAGGTGCTAGCCATCATACAGAAGAGTACCGCCAAGGGACGTCTCCTGGCAGAGCAGGTACGAGGGACAATTCAATGAGGAAAAGCTTATTCATTTGATCTCTAGTTCCGGTCTGTCGAGGAAAGTTTCGAGCCAATATGTCCCCACATCACAAAAGACGACTGTGCCAAGGCTCGTCGAAACGATCCGTCAATACCCTTCAACCCAGATGTCCCCGTCGGTATCTGTGACCTCATCCATTTCCGACCTCTTATTCGTCCTCACACCGACCCATCTCTGGGACATTGCTCATACCTCAATACATGCTATTCTGAGCCGACGTATGCACAATCACCGTCAATACCGCCGTTTCCCGGTTCTCAGCACGGTTTCACGCCTGGAATGCGCGGTCCGGCGTCTCTACCGTCGGGCCTTGGTGCTGGTGGAAGGGGGAAGGAAAAGGCCCCATGCAGGTATTTGCATTACGAGGTTGACTGGGATGCCACCGACGGCGACGGCTCCGACCATAGAGAGAAGACCACAGTGAAGAATACGCATAAACTAGGAATCGGGCTGGGACCTACCAGGAAGGTGGCGAAACTTGTAAGTTTCTAGTCCGGGTGAAATGATGATCTTACTGGTACAACTTATCCATAGACACCACCGCAATGGATTAACTGTGATTTGCGCCGCTTCGACTACAGCGTGCTGGGAAAGTTCCATGTGATTATGGCCGATCCTCCTTGGGATATTCATATGAGCGTACGTCGTGAAATAGATGAGCCTTTCTTCGATTGATATTCCACCATCTAGCTGCCTTATGGGACAATGACGGATGATGAGATGCGAGCTATGCCTATACCGGCACTCCAAGACGAAGGTCTTCTGTTTTTGTGGGTGACGGGCCGTGCGATGGAGGTGGGTAGAGAATGTATGCGAGTCTGGGGTTACACCCGTGTTGATGAAGTAGTTTGGGTCAAAACCAACCAGGCAAGTTTCTGTGAGTATTGTTGTAACCATGTATCTAACGTGTATACAGTTACAACGCGTCATTCGCACAGGACGAACAGGGCACTGGCTTAACCACACGAAGGAACACATGCTCGTTGGTGTCAAGACCGTGACCGATGAAAATGGAGCTTTGAAATTCCCATCTTGGGTGAACCGTGGTTTGGACACCGACGTTATCGTGTCCGAAGTGAGAGAGACGAGTAGGAAGCCTGATGAAGCGTATGGGATTATCGAGAGGATGTGTCCTGGGGGAAGAAAGGTTGAAATCTTTGGGAGGAAGCATAATACGCGTCCTGGGTCGGCATTTTTCTCTTCCTCGTTAAGGACTCGCTCTTACCTCTGGCTGTAATAGATGGCTGACACTAGGAAACCAGTTGGGACCTGATCAGATCTACGAGGAAGACCTTGCTGCTAGAATAAAGGCAAAGTACGGTGATCTGTTTTGTTTGCATGAGATCATAGCGCTAATGAACCACCGACAGATATCCGGATCGTCCTATCAACATTGTGACTTCTTGAACATCGAATTGTAGATCAAAGATAATCTCTTCCTTGCCCGCCGCGGACTGTTCACATATCGTGCTATTCTTGATATTAAGGACATGAAATATACCTTTGATCGAAGCACTTCAGCCTCTTCGGATAGATACATCCACAAAGAGCCCACTTCTGAACTTCGTTCCTTGGAGCCAATAAGGTCTCCCATCCTCCTTTCGCCCATACTTCCTCTCCTGAGCAACATAATTCATAAACACCCGCAATTTGAATAGGCAGGCACATATCATATACCAAAAATTCCATGAGATAGGCGAAAGAAAAGCCACGAATAAAGAACACCGGAGATAAAAGCGGTGCTATGGGCACTCAAGTACTCGGAAATTTCTTACGGGTATTGCACATTGCATGTTGCCTCTCTCTGATACCCTTATATCTCCTCCGAAACCAGGCTGGAGGATCAGCACCACTTGTAGAGGCATAAGAGAAGAAGTTGCATGCAATCGAAAGAGCTCAGTGACCAGGTCGACTCTTACTAATGGGGAAGTAGCAAGGTCAACCGCATCCTGAATGTCCTTATCACGCGAATATAGCATCGCGGCGCTTCTCGCAAAGGTAATCAATGACTAGTTCCTCCCCATCCTCTCTATTTCCTTGTACCAAGGAAGGGGGTGTAGCGGCGTGCAGACTGAAAGCGGCGCCTGGAAGTAAACAGTATTGGGGGCTTCGATACCACCATCACTGTCAGTATTTCCTTCTATCTGAGGCTAGAGACAATACAAGGCATCTCAGTAATGCATGGGTGCCTTCACCATCGACATCAAAAACTTGGTAGTTGCTCAAAATATCCGCCATGACCTTCAACGGTTCTCGGTTCCTTCGCGACTCCTACGCCCGATAACAAAAACGCACAACACAGCTACACCCAATGCTCACATGTTCGTACCTAGCAACATCTCCCCTGTGCTGAAGATGAATCTCGAGTGGGCTTGGGGCCTCGACCCACAACGAGTGGTCATTAGCATGGTCACCATCTCCTGTACAGCTTTGAATGAGCATACTTTTTCAGACCGTTCAGACATACTTCGAAAATATATCAATGGAGACTTCGCCCTCATCCCAAGATTCCCAACCATGACAACTCTGAACAGGATGTTTGCTTATTTCTTGCTTCCTTATGACACCGCTAGAGTCTATTATACTCGCACTTTGGGCGCAGAATTCATTAAGCATCGCTAGGTTACGTTCAAAGAGGTGTGTATCTTTGTGATAAAGTTCCTCGAGTCTATGATAAAGCCAGACTCACCAGGCTACTCCTGCCCTAGTTATTCAAAACCTCGGGGGAGCAAGGACAGTTATTAGTTCACCATACAATAACGCTACAAAGTATACGATAGACGAAGCAAAGCAGTGCCACGTATCAGAAATAAAGCAAGCAATTTACCTCAATGAACTTTCAGCAAACATCCCGTCTTCCTCGTTCCATCCAAGCGTCTCAGGAGCAATTCCAAATTGTCTAAGCATCAAGCCCAAGGTGTTCTCCGGCTTATCGTCCTCCTCGTTTCTGGCATTATCATTCTCGCCATGCGACTCTACACCTTGCATCTCGTCTTCATCTTCTTCACCCTCTTTCCTTTGAGGCTCGTTCCATCCCCAGAAGTTTTCAGTCTTGAGTCGCTTCTTATCTCCCTTGTCTTCCCATTCCCAACTATCTTCAAACCCTCGTTTCTTTTTCATTCCGTCCAAAGTATCGCCCCAGCTACCATGTTCGTTTGCTCCATTGTCCTTCACCAAGTCCCACAGTTCCCATGCAACTTCTCTTGCGGCTTCTGTCCATCGCTTAGCTAATGACTCCAATAGCTCCTCCTCGCCCTCTTTCTTAACCTTTACGGCCCTCCTGAGAATCTGGACTCGGCGTTCAAGCGATTGGATGGCTGGAGTCATCCGAACTGACAGCATGACGTTTGAAGAAGCTGCGGCTGAGAGTGGAGACTTGAACTGAGCAGCTGCACGAACAGTTCGGTGCTTCTTCTTCGGATCGTTCAGTGCCGTATGTTTGAGTTCAACTGGCTTGACTTCGGAGTGCATGATCGTCTTGGCTGCGGAAACAGGAGACTTCGTAACGGCTGGGAGGGAGTTGACGGGTTGATCATTCTCCTTCTTGATCAACGGAGAGCGGAAGGGTATTGAAAGTTTCTTGTGTTGTCGCAGGTGTGACATAACTGTTGATCTCTTCGGACCTAGCACTAGGAGCGCATGGCTCTTCGCTTGAGACGAGACTTCTGGTAGCTGAGGTGCGAGTGGGATGTCATCAATGCTGTGTGTTTCTTGTGTTGGGACTTTTGGGGCCGTACCCGACTCTTGAGGTACTTCGGGTATCGCCTAGAGACTCATTAAAACTATCAAGGTGGACGTTAACATAAACCAACATGAGAAGTAGGAATATCCTGGAAAGCCGGGATATTCTTGGTCTCAGACCCCGTATGAACGTGAAAAAGTTGGTCAGGCTTTTGAACAAAGAGCGATTGCTGATCAGAAGGAAAAGTTAAGCAAGGAAGAAACGACATACTTTCGTGTTCATTCCAAAACTTTTCAAGGGACTTGAAGACCGAAAAGGAGAAGAAACAAGACGAAGTGGAGATGAGGAGGGAGGCAATACGTCGTAATTATCCTCAGTGTTCTAAGATAAATTGCGCTAAACATCAGGTACATCCAATTCAAAATTGCTTACTTCGACCCATACCTGCTCACTGGAACTGAAAGAAATGAGTTGGGGCTGATCATCATGGTCATAGCCGATCTCCAGCTGTAGTTGGGTGCATCAATATTATTTCAAGATACTCTGCAGTTACTTACTGGTCGTTTACTCAATTCTGGTTCATCGGGATATGGCTCAGTGATTATGGAAGACTGAGAGGATAAAGGCGGTGAAGATGAAAAGATTTTATTAGGACTGGAGCGGGGTGGAGATGAATAAAGAACTTCAGGCTGAGAAAAATGGATGAGATCCACATCGCAATCAGTTCTCTCGGGAAGAATCAGACTTGAGCCAAGTGAGTCTGAGTTTTCATGAGCTATAGCAAGTCCGGGTTTATCAGTGCAGTGAAAATTGTAACAGGAGTTTTGGGGGACATTCCGGGTAGTCTCTCCAACGAGTTCTTCATCGGAGCTACGGTGAAGTTCAATGTAATTAGACTGCAGAGATTCGTCCTGTACAGATGCAGATGAGTTGTCAGGATGGGTATCTGGCTGTATCTGTCCGTTATTCATGTCCGGATCCAGTATATTGAGGTCTGGTATATCGCCCGCAGAAAGTACCACCCGAGGCTCAGCATCAAAAGGCGCGTCGTAAGAATGACTATATGCACCATGTCTGTCTTCAGTGAGACTGTCATCTTGAATAGAAACAATAGTAGAGATGTAAGCGTTTTGAGTGTTAGAAGCACTATCAGGAGGAAGATGTTCGAGGTCGTCTTCAGCAGCCATGGATGAAATATCGCCATCCAAGTCATGTCCGGAGCTGGAGAACTCATCGAGACTATCAAAACAGTTCGTGCTTGAAGGAAAATGTGATGTATTGTGGTGTACCGCCTGAGTAGAACTGGGCCTGAGCATACGGGGACGGTAACAGCGAAGCAACTTACAGGTGGGGTTACGTCGCACTCAATGACACGGTCGCCACATCCCGGCGTAACATTCTCATTCGGAATATCCGGCAGCGTCGCGGCAAGCGTGCTTGAAGATGATTCCTGGGTAAATGCGCATTAAAAGTAGAGCATGGTACACAAAAATATAGGTCTTTTGCCTGCGAGGGGCTAATGTCGCCAAAGCAGAGTCCAGAGAAGAGGGATGAAGACATTTAGAGGGCAACAGTAGGCGATGAGCGCACGATGGTGGCCGTTGCAGTCAGAGTTGTGACGCCCGGGTCAAATATTTGACAGGTCCGCAAATGAATTCGCAGGTCTCCTATATCCTTTCTTTCGACACCATCGTAGCCGCCGTTCACTATGATAACGAGCTGGCCTCGAAAATCTCACGACCATGGCAATCCAGGCCAGGGCTCGCCGTTGACGACGGTCGGGGAATCCCGCAGCAATGACAGCGAGGGTAATAACCGAGGCTCCTCGCCGGACCCAACGCGTCGACGGTCATCGAGTGATTCCGCAACACCAACGCAGACGCCAGTACCGCCGAGTCTGCGCATTTTATCATCATCTGGAGGTCAGCCGGAATCAGGCCGGAGCCATCTTTTCTCGCTGTCGGACGCGCCGAGCTCGGTATCCTCGTCGTCGCGGAAGCTTGGTTTGTTCACAGATAAACTGTCGCATTTGGCTGGGCATCATCACCACGGACATGGTTCTGGTCATTCGGTGATGCCGAAGCCTAGTTCCCTGAATCCAGCCCTTCTACTACACCCTCACGGTCGAAATCCCGAACCAGTGGGGTCTCCGACTTCACCTACCTTTCCTCCGTCACCCACGATGTCGAATCCGAACAAGGTTCATACATCGCCTTCAAAGGTGATCATCACACTTCTAAGTTGGGAAGCCAACAATTGATACCTTGTGCTTCCAGGCTTCCTACGGGCGCACTTACGACTCTAAACTTGTTACTCGCGAAATGCATCGTCTAGGAAATCTTGCTCACCTTCCCTCCGGTATACCTACTCTCTCGCAGGCACCTTCCGTCAGCTCTCTCGCTCTACCAGCACCGGGTGCAATGTCACAGGCCAACATGGCCTCTACATCAGGCTCAGATCCGTGGGGTACATTACATGTGCATATTCTGCCACTCTTTAACGGTGAACCATTGAGGATACCTATGTGAGTCGTCTTGTACTTACCTCGTTCGTCCAACCTGATCAAGTTAGAGAGAATCTGAATATGCTCGTGAAAGCTCACATAGCGACGGCTGCATCGTCACCTTCGAAGGCGCTTGCCACACTGGAATACGACACTTCAGAGCTTATTGGATCCGGAATGCGAACACTAAACGCGAAACTGGCTGAGAAAGAAGACGATAAACTCGTCGGACGCATTGTCGAAATATGGGGATTCTTCTGGGACCAGGTCTTGCCCTACGTCGAAGGGGTATGTCCGACCAGATCGGTTTACTCATTGTCAGCTAATGTGCCTACAGGCATTGCTCCCTCTGCAGACAGACCCTCTTCTCTCTTCACTCTATCGCACCCCCAAGCGTCCGTCGTCACCAAGTCGTCAGAATAATAAAGGCTCAATGTCAACATCTCTTGGCACCTCTTTGCAACTCTCTACGCAGCACATAGACGTCCGCACCGTCGCTCTTCGATCGTTTCGTGATAAGGTCATCCTGCCACTAGCTCCGCGGCTCAAAGCACGGCTTTCTATGGCAAATAGGCAGGATAATTTTCAAGAAACCGCCGGATATCAACAACCTCGACTACAGCAAATGTTCGTTGCTATATTGATTGGATGCTTCCATCTTAGCTGATCAGATCATGGCTGAAGGCTGCTCGTGCTTACATCGCAGAGCCGGTATCGAACGCCCACGTTCTCCCTTACAGCGCAACCTCCCCAACCGTCCACTGGAGAAGCTGCAGTATTAGAACTCCTCAGGATTCTTCGCTCCCCAAGCCCTCAGTTTGATGGCCGCCAAACCGTGAAGGCTTCTACCGGTCGAGCTAGAGCGCCTAGTTTCCTATCTGGTGGTCTCCCGCGTGATCGGCGAGGCCGGATAGCTCAGAAGCAAAGAGGTGCAAGCGCCCCCAACTTAGTCAGCAACATGCTTATGGCTGGAGACGATGGCGATCCTTATGGAGGCGAAACACTTCGAGTAGGAACCGGAGGGACGTTGGTTGATACTGAGCGGGAAAGGGAACGAGAGAAGGAACGAGAATTCCTGGAAGCGTTAAGGTTGTGCAGTCGTCGTTATGGTGATCACTTGTGCTAACATTTGATGTCTGTAGAAGCCCAGATCCTGAGAGCAGTAATCCAAGAGCAAGCGTTGGAGGATGGGGACTTGGTATGGGACATGAAGATAGTGGAAAGATTGAAGAGGAGGAGGACGAGCCGTTGGACTGGGACCAGGCGCAGGTACGTTGAATGTTCTCTCTCTTCGCCAAACTTGAATGCTCATGTCAATCCAGGCTGTTGTGGAACGTATGGTTGGTATGAATTCGTCAGCGCCAGAATCGACTGCAAAGAAACGAGGGACATGAGCAGAAACGAAGTAATTCCTTGAATTTATATGTAATAGTATTGTCATGATCGGCGTGTTCAGTTGTACAATATATCATCCATGATTTCCAGATCCTCCACTCGAGAGATTACAAGAAGGTCGCTACTAGGCAGTATTTGGCACCGTCGTTTCGTCTTGCCAGGAAATAGTTATATATACTAGCGGACGATAAGGTGGACCGCTTGTCAGCCTTTCTCTACTAGACGTTCATGGTCTCATTCATTACCGACGCAAACCAGATTGGTAGATCGGATAGATCTCGAAATAGGTCGAAACGCTAGAAGTAAAGGTCTTCGCGCAGTCGTTTGATCATGACTCGCATTCCGCATCAGACTGGAGCCACCAGCAGCGAAAGCGCATTATCAGCCGGCTATAAAACTCTTATGTAGAGGTTGCCTTGGATGAGAAGAGTGCCAATTAAGGGTCCCAATCAAGCGCGGCAACAGACACACCATCGAAGAATGTATATGGACACTGCTACCATCATGTTTGCACTGGCAGAAGAGGATAAGAAGGAAGAAATTATCAAGCGCTTCGGAGCGAATTCTTCCATTTAATTGTCTCTCCGTTCCTTCACAAAGGCAAGGTCATGGGAAAACCAGAAGTGTTTAGCATGTATATCCAGAAGGGCTATATGGACGAATGAACAAGGAACGGGATCCACAAGACGCTGAAGATAAAAGCAAGGAGACACAGAATACGGAGGATAGCAGGGATGCCCGTAAAGAATGGTCGCTTTGATAGGTGACTATACCAAGAAGTTCACTACCAGACAACAATCGCTGGTAGTCACGGAAATAATGTTTAGCTTGAAAAACCAGCCTGTGCGAGATATATGCGTCATGGCGTTTGTTGTTGAACATAAAAAAGAGTATGCACAATGCTTTGTCATAGGTAGACGGTGCCACTCAACCTCTTCCGGAAACGCAGGCATGGGCCCCGGATTATCCAGAGAGAAAGCTGGGCACGTCACAGTATTTGTCTGAGCTCTGCTGCGACGAGACAAGTCTGGTCATTCATAGTAGGCGTCAGCTCAGAGAGCGGAGTGCCTCTGAGCTTCTGCTCGATAATGTACGTGCACGGTGGTACTTCGGAGTGGTCGACAATGATAGCGTACGCTCTGGGCACTGGAATGGAGGCTTTGGTGTGAACGAACAGCGCAGCGTGACCTTCTCGCTCGCCTCGGTGACGAGGTCATCGCCGACGTCCACCACTATGGCCCGGTTGGTGGAACGGAGAGTGTCATAAGTTGGGATCCTTTTTGAATCCTCTGTCCGACATAATCAAGAGTCCAGCATAATGTTGGGCTGTTGGATGGCGGAACTGCAGGTGCATGAGGTAGAAAACTTCAAAGCAACTTGCCGGAATATACAATTTCAACGAACATGTTCTCGCAAATCCCACCATAGTCATGGTAGTTCTATACTACCGCGGGCTGTAACCAGCCGTAACAGCTTCCTCTATGGCAAGCCGACAATAGAAACCAACTCTTATGTACCTATTCCCGTTGAATGATTCTTCAACCTTCAGTCAAGGCAGGTTAAGAGATACAGTTGTTCAGTAATATATCCAGAGAGCACGTTACATGTCGAGGCGTTAAGCAGAACAAGAAAGAAAAGGGATAACTTATACAGAAACATGTCAAGGTAATGCAAATGAAGGAAAATCAACAGTGAAAAATCAATGCAAATAATGTCAAAATAAACAAGGTGGATAGTATGGACATGATACTACAGACCGTTAATATTTGCGAGTCGCCAACGTCCGAATATCATATAGGAATGAGCGGTCCGGCTCAGTGAAGGCATCCTGTCGCGACAAAGCACTCTTCCAACACTTTATTTCGGCGCGATGGCGTGCTTCTGCCTCACGGCACTTTTGTACAAAGTGTTCGTCGATACCACACACCATCGACGCTCCTGAAAAGCGCTCGCTATCGGCTTCGGATGCAGTTCGTGTGCGACAGCACCCAGCGGTTGGCACTGAAGCTACTGAAGATCCATTAGCACTTGACGCTGCCATGGAGGCATCCGACGTAGCAAGAACGGCTTTGATGGTACCACCCTTGGTCTCCCATCCGTCACCGTCTTCCTCGTCGTCGGCCAAATTGGCGAACACATCCGGCTCCTCGTCTTCAGGCGGTAAGGTTGATATCCAGCACAGGCGCGCCGGATCGAATATCATGTTTCCCACTATCCGCGCACCTGACGCGAACGAAGGGGCGGGAGACCCAAGGGATGACCCCGTAAGATGTGTAATGAGAGCTGGTCGGGTGGAAGCAACGTCAAAGTCTTTCAGGACTTGCTCGTTTCCCTCCCACCGAAGAGTTTGAGGGTTCCATTTCATGTCGCCAACAACTGAATTTACTTTAGAGACGAAGGGCAACACAAAATCCCGAAAACCAACGAACCTTTAGACGCTTTCGTGCCGCCCAAATTCCGTATTAGGGTAGGCTTCTTGAGTTCAGTTGGAGATGTCAAGTTCTTCCGTTTTTTCTTAGGAGACTGGGGCTTCTGAGTAACTAATTCGGATCTGCTTCGGCGTTTCGACAGTGAAGCAAACGCAGAAGATGCAGGAGAATCTGATGAAGAAAAAGAAAGAGCTAAGCAAAATGCGCCGGACCAAGAAACGTACAACTTACCTGACGGTTCACAACGTCCTTGTTTACGGACGACACTCTTATCTGCAAGCTTCGACGGTGAAAAGCTGGCGGCAGGAATGCGATTTCCGTAACCTTTAGGTTGAACACGAAAACGACTCTCTTTATCCCGGTCCGTGGGTAGGTCTGCAATCGCGTCAAGCTCGGTGCCATCTCCATAAATGCATTGGCGCTTTGGTTTGCGGAGTACCTTAGGGATTGACTGTGGTGGTAATGTCCGAGTTAACTTAGACAGACTGGATGGAGGTCGCGCAGGTGCGGGTGATGACGTCCGGAACGGTGACTGTGCCCTCGGAGACGATGAGCGACCAAATAACGCAGAAAGGGCAGGACGTGACTTGAGGCGCCCTATAGTGGGTATAGTCAGACGGAGCGCGGCAGTGTTAGAGGAAGGTGTGGAAGGGCGCGTGGGTGGCACTTCATAATTCTGATGCTGACTCGTGGAAGCCTTATGTGACTTGGCACGCGACGCAGCAGTCGATTCCCCATAGCGCGCACCTTTACATGCTGGTGATGAGGATGCTGACGCTTGGGCGCCTGATTCCATCAGAGAAGACAGCGATGCTTTCCTCGTCAACCTTTTCGCCGGTATGGCGGCAGCAGGGGCAAGGCCTGTGTGGGACTTCTGACCTCGTAGACTACCGGGTTTCAAAGATGAAGATGAGTCAGAGGGATATGGCTGGAAACTCTGCACTTTTGCCGCGGGTTGCAGTGACGGTGATGGGGAGAACCTGAGCTTCTGAAGTTGCCGGGCAGAGGAAACTGGAGGATGATTGACGGGGGACTTGGCACGATTCACCCGCGATGGCAGCCTCCATACCTTCTGAAGGGACAAGCTGTTGCTTCGGTTGGCAGACCGCAATAACGGCGAGCGCTGAGGTTTCAGCAGACGACTGGGGCTGAAGTCGACATCATCGTTAATGACTAGTCCCATTTCAAAATCATCATCTGGATCAGGACTAGCCACCTTGAGTTGGTTATCCATCGTGACCGCCGCCTTCTTCTTGTTCAGAATCGAGGTGAGGTGGCGTTGGCCCAAATCCGCAGGAATAATTAGGCCTTCTAGGACCCCTTCATCATCGTCATCCTCTTCTGTCTCCGTCCCTGGAGTGGACACTGAAGACGTAGAGTTGGACGACGGAGAAGTATCAGCGAAGCCTAACGTGGAGTAGGCATCCGAGGACTGCGAAGACGTAGTTTGGTCTTTGTCTCCCCATTCCAGCGAAGTCTTGGAGGCACGATGGTTGAGAGTCAAAGGGACCAATGAAAGCCGGGTGACACCAGAAGGCAATGAAAATGCGTCTTCGAAGTCATCTTCGTCGGATGTTCGCATAGTTGGGACAACGGACTTTGGTTTGGGTAGAGCAGCAAATTTGATTGTCGATGCACCCTCGTCATCGTCATCATCATCTCCGATGTCCTGTAGGGATGACAGAGGGCGAATGATATGCATCTGCGCGGAAGTAGCAGACGGAAAAGGATCATAAATTTGAGCGCCTCCAGTATGTCCAAGATCCATTTCTATGTCCCAATCCTCATCTTCTTCATCTTTGTTGATAGTATGTATTGATTGACCTTCCGGAAGATCAAAGTCTGCGTCAGGCCATTCTTCTCGAGCGGCGGCGGCGGTTGGAGCAGGGATGGTGGTCATGGCGGAAGGGAAGGGAGATAGATATGTGTCGCGCGATACGCTACAGAGATACAACAAGCGAAATGAGGGCAGTAAAATGAGTCGTCGAGGGAATGGAAGAGGTCAATGGTGCATGGGAAAATGGAAACAAAGGGTCGCAGGAGGCGGATGGGATAGGATTAGGGCGCCAAAGAAGAAATTGAAGATTCTACCGGCAGACAATCGTAGGCTTTTGATGAAGGATGAAATGTGAGCACAGGATACTAGCAAAAGTATCGAGCCCGTAGTGAAAGGCGATGAAGAATGATGTGTGACGAAGATAACAAGTGTTACGATGGGTCACGGCGCAATTTCAACTTACGTCAGCGCCACATCTAGAGTTGAAGCTCCGAATATTGAAATATTCAGTCCCAGACGGCCCGAATCGGGTCTAGCCGTTTGCTAATTCCTAACTCCGAGTCGTCGGGGCCATTGGAATGTAATTCCATCTCCCCACGCGTCGTGGTCCGTGGAAGCATCGTGGTCAAGGTCTTGGGCGTGGTTACCCTCAATTAGGTCCGGCCTCAATATTTCCTAGCTTACATTGCTATCCATGCCTTTGGAGCTGAAATAGTATGGGTTACAGGCGATATCGATATCTTCGTTATATGTCTCCGCACCAACAATCCACAAGTCACACGGCCTGTGCTTACTGTCTTCTGAGCTTCTCCGCTTCACTTAACTTACTACTTCTGTGGGCCACGCTGTCAGTATCATAACTGTGGGCATTTTCGATTACTATTTTTCCGACGTATCTCAGCCATCGAACTGACACGGATGTCATTCTTACAAACTAATGTCGACCCTATGAAAAAGAGTACTTCCATTTTCACGTTCCCCTCCGTGTATCATGGCATGCCATTGCTGGCCCATTCGATTAGACAAACCACATCGCCTTCAGAGATGCAGTGCCGTAGCCACAATAACATGGATTCCCTTCAGTCAAGAAATAGCTCGAGAGTTGCCGTTCACGACTACGCAGTGTGAGTGATATTCTCTCTTACCTCTGAATGGAAGAAATATCACCTCATCTTGGAGCAGAATCCAGCATTCCGGACTTGTGCGGTACAAATCTTCTTGGTCTTACCGTCACACACGTTAGTCCTTGTTATGTTCACGTTGAGATTCATAGCGATAGCACCTGGTTCCACACGGGAACGTGCTCATCTTCCGATTCTTCCCCATCAGTGCTTCAACATTTGATTACGTGCTGCGCCACAGTTGTTAATGTCTTATTTTTATCCCTTAGCTACCGACTACCATACGATAAACACGACACCGGGGATCCTTAAAAGCCATGTATTCTCTCATCAAGGAGACAACGTTCCCAGAGAACACTCGGTCATCCACCAATGGCTCTCACCTTCTTTTGGATCCTTGCTGTGCCCCCTCTCTTGTGCAGCGCGCTCCCGTCTACTACACCTCATGTAGGCATTAGCATCCCTTTGTCGAAACGTACACCGCAGCTTTCCGTCAATGGAGTCGTCGACCGTGATTTCCTCAATGCACAGGTCAACAAGGTTCATAAGTAGGTCACTTTGCTATATAACTACCCCACATTGACTAATCACATATTTTGCAGTAAAATCGCGCGGGGTTTCGCAGCATACAAGAAGAACACAGGAAAAGTGCACCCCAGTAACACCAAGCATATTACTCGACGGAGCACTGGAGCCGATGCACTGCAAGATGATTCTCAAGTTCTTTGGCAAGGCACCGTTCAAGTTGGAACCCCAGCTGTGAATTTCACTGGTAAGAACCAAGATACGAGTGCGCCACAGGCATGTTAACTTCGTGATGGATATCAGTGGACTTTGATACCGGTAAGCCAACAGCTTCGTATTTGTCGCCATACGGCATCAGCTATATTTTTTGAAAAGGCAGCAGTGATTTCTTCCTTCCTGGTCCTGATTGCGACTCAAGCTGTGACGGGCATACGATCTACAATACATCCAGCAGCTCTTCAGCCGAGGATCAGGACCAGAAGTTCAGCTTGGCTTATGGTGATGGTTCAACTGTGGAAGGGAACATCTTTACAGACACATTCACTATCGCAGGGCTGACCGTCAGTAACCCCGACCTTCGTTCCCCTCTTGAATCATTCTAGTTTACATACTTGGCAGGGAACCAATCAATCCATTGGAGCAGCAACAACATACTCCTCCGGATTCTCCATCGACAATTTCCAACCAGATGGTCTCGTCGGAATGGCCTTCAAAGAAATATCCGACTTCGGCGACGACCCCGTATTCCAAACTCTTGTCAGTCAAGGCGTAGTGACTGCGCCAGAATTTGCGTTTGAGCTCAGCACCTCCGGCGCGGAGTTGTTCTTGGGTGGCGTCAACACGAACAAGTTTACTGGTTCTTTCACCACGAGTCAAGTCTCCAATACTGTATGTTCTCTTCTATTCAATTCAGTGCTTGACATCAAGATTGACACGCGACGGTAGGGATTTTGGCAGATCAGTATGGATTCCGCAAATGTTGACGGAGAAGCCGTGGTCGGGAATTTGTCTGCTATCATTGATACCGGAACCACATTGATTATCGGAGACACAAAGAGCGTCTCTGAACTCTATGATTCGATCAGTGGTTCCAAAGATGCTTCGCAGACAGTAGGCGATGGTTACTTCACCGGTAATTACCTATTTTCGTTATTACTGTGCCATCTGACCCATTTGCATGTTTTAGTTCCTTGCGATAGCATTCCCAATATTAGTTTAACTTTCGGTGGAAAGGCATTCTCGATTAGTGCAGATACTTTCAATGTAGGTCAAGCTGAGCAAGGATCGTCTGATTGCATTGGCGGCATTGTCGGTGAAGACGTCGGAGGTAAGCGATTTTCATCATTTTGGGTTTCCAGTGTGCTGAAGGAACCGTTCCAGATGCATGGGTCGTGGGGGACGTCTTCCTTCAGAACGTGTACACCTGTAAGTTGTCTGGTTCTCATTGTAACGCCCCTCCTGATGATGCTGAAGCATTCAATGTCGAGAACGAAACAGTAGGATTTGCGAGTCTCGCGTAACTTGTTAGAATGAGAAATATCTGGTAGTATCTGTGAGATATATAGTACAGCTCTGTATCAAGTTCGAATATTCGAAGGCTATCCATTTTCTGGGATATGGAAAACGCGCCGTGATGACGAAGATGGCGACAAGCGGATACAGAGTCCGTCCCCATCATTCGCGGCGGAACGATAGAACCGACTCCTGTCACCTTCTACTTCCTTTGAGTACGTACACGAGGATCACCACGCTCGCTCCTTTTTTTCAATTTTTCTTGTCGTTTACTGATTGCAGGTTCTTTCTCCGGGACATCATTTGCGCCGGCCGCCGCTGCTCTTCCCAGAAGTAGTGGAGAAATGGCGGATGTCCACAGTTTGAATACAGCGTATAACGGAATCTGAATTAAATAGTCAAAGAACAAGAAGACATACATTACGATATGAAACGCACCACCATATATAACCACCAAAACCATTCACCAAAAGCGCCGCTTCCGACCTGGCATGCCCCTACCGTACTACGTTAAACCACGTATCGTAGGAAGGATATGAGAATCAAAGACTTGCATGTTATATATACCACATCAAAACACCACTCGATTACGCCAGGTTGACCGAGATCTTCACCATACGACATGAGTGTGCCGGTCGTTGGATCGCGCCTGGTCGTCCCGATTTTTATCAGGTAGTTGGAAAGAAAGAATCCTGGGAAGAATGTTGCGATATATATACCCAGCGAAGTTTTGGACGGAGGCAAAGAATTCCTTCTGAACAGGAAACGCAAAACGAGAGAGAGGATGGTTGGAAGGAATAGGCCTAGTCGTAACTGCTTGACTATGGTTTCATTCTGGTTGGCTTAACATGCAATAAGTACATAGATGAAAGGTTGAAGGTAAGAAAAGGATACCGATTCGTTTTGCGGAGGCATTGGCCATGGTGCACGAAGAAGGAAGGAAAGAAGCCGAGTGTGATCGAGTCGGCGTTGGCCGATTGTTGCCTTGGATCCATCACATTCGGTGAAGACTCTAAAAAAGCATGGTCCAATGCATTGTACTGGCAAGCAGATATACTTGAACAGCAGAAGGAATCCACAGTACATACCCGAAGCAATAAAACGTAGGAATATTATTCACACATGTATATTATGATTCGCCTTGTCTCACTAGCCGCATTCGGGGCATCCGTAACGTACTTAAAAAAGTTCATTGAGCGGGTGTGTAGGTCCCGGCATTTCCCTTGCTTGGAGACACGACGCGAAGGTCGGTTGCAAGTAACGCAACATAAATATTTAGCCACCGAAACAATCATCCTGTCGAGCCTAGCTCTTTGGTCTCGGACTCGTTAATTACCTGTCGAAAATGCTCTCTCGACGCGAATGAATAATATTGGATATGTCACGACTCAATAAATGAATCCCGACCACTGATATGGCCGCCGCAAGTATTGCCATCGTTCCACTTGTTCCGATACATAATATCCGGGGCGAAGAATCCTCCCCTTTTATCCCCCACATCTTTCTGTTATGGCATTTACAAGTTTTAAATGCATAAAAGATATTATTAAATACGCTGCGCTCCTCGAATCGCAGTCACCCCTTCCGATAACTCGGCATTTAGCTACGTACCATAGGGCAGAGTGAATGGATACGGCAGCGAGGTGAGACAAACAGACAAAGAGAAAAAAGAGGAAGTAGCACCCGGGCGAGAGGAACAATGGAATTACGCGACTGTTATTGTTCCCACGTGGGATTCCTAATGGAGAAGCCGACTAAAAGGGATCTCGCATGCTTGAGGCCGAGCACTAGACCTAACCTTCACGACCTGCGACGATTTCTTTGTTTCTCTACTTTATCTTCTGACGAGCCGACTGGGTTTTTTTGCGATGAAGTCTATCAGGAAGTCCCTCAACGGGCACAAGGACTCGGTTCGCAATCACATTTCGACTCCCATACCACTGCCTTCAGTGTCCAAGCCCCCTACATCCATTATGCCACCCCAGAAGGTCATCAGGGCCATCTCGCCGTACCGGCCACAGGCACCCCAGGAGCTGCCTTTCAAGAAGGGGGACTTCTTCTATGTGCTTGGCGATGTTGAGCACCAGGGGTCTTGGTACGAGGCGCACAACCCAGTTACTGGTGCTCGTGGTCTCGTCCCAAAGGCAATGTTTGAGGAATTTAACAGAACTTCTTCAATGTATGTTTGTCTCTTCCCCCATAATGTATATCTCATATCGGGCTTAGACATTCCAGTTACTCGACTCTTGCTCCTGAGGTCGCTCCATCTTCTAGCACTTTGTCAACACCCGGCAAGATAAAACCGTCAAAAACATTCTATGCCGTCGTTTTACATGACTTTGAAGCCGAGCGTGCTGATGAGCTTGATGCTAAGCAAGGTGACAACATCACCGTCGTCGCACAGTCTAATCGCGAATGGTTTGTGGCCAAACCAATCGGTCGCCTGGGCCGCCCAGGCCTTATACCCGTTTCCTTTGTCCAGATCCATGATCCAACCACTGGAATTCCAGTTCCCGATGTCGATGCACTCATGGATGGTGGAGAACTGCCCAAGGTCGAAGACTGGAAGCGCGCCATGTTTAATTACAAACAAAACAGCATCTCTCTCGGTGTCATCGATTCGCCCAACAACCGTGAATCCGTTCCTAACAGTCCATTTGTCACCCATGCTCAGTCGCCTCGACCCAACGAACCCGATAACGTCCAAGGCCCTTCGCCTCACAAGCACTACCCCGACATACAGTCACAGGAACCGGAATGCCTCCCTGAAGGCATTCTCCTTTCTGCGGATGTGGTCTCGTTTCACTTTGAAATGGAGGAGTATTGGTTCCGGATCGATGCCATCTTCCAACCTTACCCTCCTTTAGGCGAGAAGCATCTTCCACCGGCAAAACACTTGATTCTATTTCGGATATACAACGACTTTTATGACTTCCAAGTTTCTTTGCTCAACTCGTTTCCACAAGAGGCAGGTCGCGAAGAACCTAACTCGCGTATATTGCCCTTCATGCCCGGGCCAGCCTCAAGTGTCGATGATACTCTCACGGCGACTCGAAGAGCTGAGCTGGATGACTACTTGCACCGCCTTTGCAATTTGAGCAATGATGGCGCAAAATATATCCTGGAACACCGTGTTGTCAGGGAGTTCCTGGCACTTAAGCCTGGTGACGTCGAACAACCAGCGGAAGCGAGAATTGGGGAGGTTGATGCGTTGATAAACGACGATTTGTCGAGGGAAATCGAAGAATACGGAAGCGAAGTCCGTGATACACTTGGTCGGATGCGGATAGATGAATATGGCGACAAAAGTGACGGATCAGATTATGAGGATGAGGGGTATGCTCCCTCTCCGCAGCGCCAGGCTCAGGAGCAGTATTCATATGAGCGACATCCGTATGGTCCCAACAACGGACACCGACCGGCCGACGAAATGAATCTGCGCCTACATGCCCATGCCCAGAATCACCACCAACAGACCCAATCCACATCCTCGTTGAATCGTGCACCGTCCCCTTATGCGTCCAACTCGCGGTCAAACTCCCCCATTCCCGAACGGAGTCACTCGCCTCAATACAGTCAACCGCGGTGGAATTCGACTGCATCGCATCATGCTTCTGCGTCGACATCTTCCTTGCGGAATTCCCAGGCGGGCACCGGTACACGCTCGAGATCACACTCTACGTCGACGACTCCGGCAATCTCGCACACGAATCCTCAGACTGCGTTCGTGAAGATCAAGATTTACGACGAGCATTCAGAGGATCTGATTGCGATACGGGTGCATCCCAAGGTGACCCGAGCGGAGTTGATGGAAAAGGTAAAGACTCGGCTGGGTCCAAACGTCGCGGATCTGCGATACCGAGACAGTATGACGAACCAGTTTGTGGGTTTGCAGGACGATGGACAGCTGAGGGCTTGGATAGAAGGGACGGACAAGCATGTTCTATACGCTGCTTCGCCGGCGCTGGAATGAACTGTTACAAGACTTTGTATGTTTCCTCATTTTGCTTCTTCTCTCCAAGTTCTTTGTCTTTTTGCTCCTTTTTATTTCCTTCGATTTCTTGTATTTCTCTTGAACCATAGGTATATGTAATATGGCTACATTGACTACGGCTATTAGTTTGTTCTCTTTTATGATTTAGTCACATTATTGTGAATTACACAGCGATGTAGGATGTTTTCATGTAACCATTCAAGCTAAGAAATAATTAGTGGTGGATGATGTCATAAGTGGCATGTGACTTCTGAGAGGCCCGGAGTCGGTCGCCCCCGTATTTGGCCTTGACATCGAACAGCAATGGTCTCGTTACTCCGAACTCTGCGCAGTGCGCGCCGGGTAGGCCTGAAGGAATGGTGGAGGCAGATGCAGTACATTGGTGACGCCAAATCTGGTACATACGTCGGCAAGGACCAGTAAGCTGCCGCTCAGTTAGAGACCAGGAAGGGCGCTGACGATGCATTCAGGTTCGGAAACAGATACTACGAGAACAGGAATGCAGAGGAAGAAATTCCTGGTGTGCTGTGCTTATTTTCGGGAATGTGAATGCATGCTGACACGAGGAATAGGTCGTCATCGATGGGTAGACTACGCTCAAGTATGCCCGCCCTTATTTCCGGTTAACAGGTCGCTGATTGTCTGCAGCACTATTACCAAGCGTCGCAAGTACCTCCAGAATGGCATTCATGGATCCAGCACATCCGGAAGGATCCTCCGACTCAGGATCTCATTATGCAGAGCTCGAGGCAACCATGGCAGCAGGTGTGTCCAGCTGGCAGGCGGCATATTGGTGCTTTAACAATGAACTTCACTAGGAATGGTCCGAAACCCTGACTGGCACCCGCGGCGCGTACAAGCCATACAACACCGCTGCTCCCAAGATAAATGCTTGGGAACCCAAAGTGACGTCTCGTGGTTAAATCCGCTTTGTATCAAGAAAACAATTTACATTTCACTTTTTGAGCAAATCTTCTACCACGTATTCTGCCAATGCCATGCAGCTGGTCAATCCGGGGCTTTCAATACCCAGAAGACTAATCATAGGGTTTTTCACACTCCCATCTGACCTGATCACAAAGTCCTGAAAACCGCTGTTCGGCGGGGCTATTTTAGGCCTGATTCCAACGTAGTCTGTTTGCATTCCCTCGAGAGATACCGCCGGTAGGTAGCTAGTGACGGCGCTATGCATCTCTGGCAGCCTTGAGCTATCTGGGATGAGATGTAGTCTCCAAAAATCAACTTTTTCCTCAGATCCAGGAGAAAGCCATTCAAGGTCTGGTCCAAAGCGTACTTTTCCTTGTAAATCTATAGTAAGATGAGTGCCTAAGGAGTGGAAGGCATGTGCGTTGGGGCCTGTTTCTGGACATGGATAGATTAGGTGAGAAATCCCAGCGATGCCAGGGCCATTATACGACGCGTATGACCCTCGTGCAAAGTACATTGATATATGCTGTTGGGGAGGGAGTATGGAGTTGAGGATAAATGGAGCCGACAGGCCTGCTGCGTTGACAAGGGTATGTGCCAGAATGGCATCGGGTTCTTGGGCATCACCAGTTAGCGTCTGTACGACCCAGCCATTTTTTGCTGGGTCGACACGAAGGACTTGGGTGGAATAGACGGCATCTGTGATATCCGACTCGAAGCTCTCCATGAGGGTGTGAGAGTCTATTATTCCAGTCTCGGGACACCAGAGCACGGCCGCTATGTCAGGAGATAGATTGGGTTCCATAGCACGCGCTGCATCACCGCTGATGAGTTCGGTGGGCAGGACAGGTTCATGTTCATCGAAATACGGAGGTCGCTTGAGGTTCCGAGCTTTGGCATGAAGGCTTTCAATGTAGGGTCGTTGATCGTCGTAGGCAACGACTATCTTTCCAGTCTTGCGATGAGGTATGCTGTGAGAGTTGCAGTGCTTGTAGAGTAGCTGTCTGCCGCGCAGACAAAAGCGCGTCTTGAGGGAGTCGGGGGGATAGTAGAGACCTGGCATACTTTAGAGGCATCCCGGGCAGATTCTGCTGTAATTATTCACCAGAATGAATCACTTCCGAGTTTCGAGAACTGCAGCAAGGCCGTCAGTGCCGCGACAGTGCATTGCAGCATAATACTTGCCTGGTTTCTTCGCCTGGATGGCCATGCCTCTCTACGAGGTAAGTTGACTTCGAAGGAAAGCTGCGGCAGAGATGGCGCGCTATTGCTAAGCCCACGACGCCTGGGTTTCCTTCAGCGTTCGTACCGCTGACAACTGGTCATATATCTTGCCTCCCCCTACTACTAGGTGATCCACAGAAAATTCAGGGGCCTGGTATGAGATAAGAATGGATACTTGTACGATCAGTAAAGCATACCTTGAACTTGAATCTTGCATGCGTATTTAGTGCCACGGTGAGCCCTCGTACTGAACTCATCACTGATCAGGATATACTCGGATTTCAAATACTGCCTCCCACATTCGGAAGCAATGCCGGTCTTCCGATCTGTGCCGATTGACTTGTCGAAGATTCTCATGCTACAAGGCAAGTGTAAGTAAATGGCGTGGCTGATGTAAAGCTGCAAAAATTTGCTACAGCTGTACGCAGAACATCTAGACGTAGAAGGGAAGAATTAGCACCCAAGCCCCTAACCCAAAGCGAATGACAAACAAAGCGCAACACCGAATTTTCTGAACTCGTCACGTCCATTCTCGCGCGTCAAATTCCGAGTATGGCCATGGCGGTACGTTGCGGTTTTTTCTTTTCTTCTTTGCTGACTTGATAATTTCTGTAGTCATCGTGTTCCCGTGTTATTCGCCTTTCCCTGCCCCGCTCCCGGTGCGCTCAGTTCACTTTTCTCCATGTCTTGCTTGCCTCATACCTTCGTTGCCAGATATTCAATACTCTTCCCCTCACGAAGATGTTTGGCAACAGCTGCGGAACCAGCCAAGTCTACCCCATCACCACCACCCCCTCCAGCGTCGACCTCCAAAGATCCAACGATAAACCGCATCGTTGACGATATTTCCGGTTTGACTCTCCTCCAGGCTGCTGATCTTGTCACACTCCTCAAGGTGCGTCGGAATACTGCATTCAACACCCACTGGTATTCACGATAGATATAGTCGCGCCTCAATATCCAAGAAATCGCCATGCCGGCCGCCGCGCCTGTCGCAGCAGCACCCGTGGCTGCCGCTGAAGAACCTGAAGCAGAGAAACCCAAGGAGAAGACCGTGTTCAACGTCAAGCTCGAGTCTTTCGATGCTGGGTCTAAACCAAAGGTCATTCGGGAGGTCAAAGCACTGGTGCCAAATCTTACTCTCATAGACGTGCGTTCTCGAACACCTTATCCTTATCCGAATACTTACCGACGCGTCTCATTCAGGCCAAGAAATTCGTGGAATCACTACCCAAGGTACTCAAGGAGAACTTGCCGAAGGAGGAGGCAGAAAAACTCAAAGCCACTTTCGAGGCTCTGGGCTCAGTTGTCACGTTGGACTAAAACCATTGTCCTGCTCAGGAGATTTATACACCGATATAAAATCACAAAATCGCGCGTCCGTCTCATTTGTTGTGAGATACAATGAGGTTGATATATATGTCAAACATGAATAAAGCACCTTGGCCTAAAAGGTCAAGAAAAGTGAAGAATCGCGATCACTCTTCTGAGAGATAGCGGTACTCGAAGCGGAAGTCGCTCTTCTTCCTTTGACACCATGACCCTTCCCAGTCAAAGTAAACGTACACCCCTTGCTCGTACTCCTCCGTTATGGCCTGGGGCTCTGAGTGTCGCTGGAACCATGTCAGATATTTCACGTGGAATCGCCAGGACTGGCGCTTCAGCTCTTTTGCCGCAAGATACCTCGCCACGATGTTAATAACGGATACGATACGTAGGAAGGAACTTCAACTCACTGATGATATGTCCCCGGGAGGAAGTAGAACACATAGAACAACGTTTCTACATCCAACTGCGAAAATATTGCAGGGGTACTCAATAGAGGATGCGGTGTCTGAGGGTAATACGACGCTGTCTGGTAAGGCGTTCTCGGGACATAGTATTTGGGCCTGGAAAATAATACTCAGAAACCCAGTGAGACTTAAGATCATCATAGCATACTTCTCAGTATCTTGTGGTTGCGGCATGCTCGAATATCCACCCTCGAGCATTTTATGCACGTTATCATTGTTCGGCACCCGTAGAGCTGCGAGCGACATGAGCCGACATGGGGGACAGAAGGTACGACGGCTTCACGCACCTTTCTGCTTTACACTCTCAAACGACACCACTAGATCTGAGAGGGAGCCAGGGAACGCGCCCGGAGCGGCCGATGGCCTGTGTTGCTGTTGCACAGAGATTGTCTCTGCTGGTACTTTGACGCCAGGAGGGAACTGCGGTACTTGCGCTTGTGAAGGCAAAGGTGACGAGCCAGACGTTGAGGGACCTGCTGCTTGCTGCACCTGCTGCGGCAGGGGCGAGGGTTGTGGTTGCGTCTGCGCTGAACCGTTGGCGGTCTGATCAGATGAGATGGCTAGCACATGCTATAGAGATGTCAATATTGAAGAATGAATAAAAAAAAGTTAGGCCTTCACCGATGCGCTGGGTGACTGGGCAGCCACCTTGAGTTCAGACACCGAATCTACCGACAACGTTAGATATTCACACCTGACAAACAACCTAAACACACCTATTCGTGTTGCCAACATCCTTTGGGGCGAAGACGTCGCTGCAGGGCCGTCAAGTGAACTTGGTACGGCTTCTGACACCACCGGTGATTCCTGACTGGAATAGAACGAACCATCGGGCTGTTGGGAAGCAGCAGATGATAGCATAGGGCTCGTTACAGATGGATGCGTCAAGCTTGGCGACGATAGAGTAGCTTGTTCTGATTGATATGATATTGGAGGAACGGCCGACAACGGAGGGGCATTTGACGTTGGAGGTGACACTATTGTAGTCGCTGAAGCCGGCGCCGGCGGCGCTACTGCAGCAGCAGCAGCAGTTGCATACCGTATTGGCGGCAGTGTAGCTACCGACCGAGGTGTAGGCAAGCCCGCCTTCACTATGCTGGACATAGGCTGCTGAGCAAAATTCGGATTTGGGGGTGAGGGCTTCGCTACTGGAAAAATTCAGACGATGAAAGTGCGGATCCACAATGTATGCATACTATCCACAGAATGTTCTGAGAACAGAACGTTTCAGCTGACATGCTAATGAAGCATTGTAAAACAACTTACTCCGTAGCTGTAGTGTCGACTTCTTTAATATTGGACTTTCGTGTTGTTTGCTGCTGGCAACACTTTCCTCGTCATGTTTCTTCGGCGTTCTTGGTGGTAGGTCGACTGGGACGCTTTCAAAGCTAGGCACATGCAGATGTTGACTGGCGACATTACCTTCGCTGTGTCCATCTGATTCGTCACTGTCATCATCATCACCTGCAGGCAGACCGAATTTCTCTTCTTCCTCATCCAGATTGAGGTCGTCGTATATACCCTCATCTTCGTCGAAGTCTTCTTCCTGTATCCATTGTTCCATTTCAACTGACAAAGGCAGACACAACCCAACGAACCGTATTGCTCTCCACAAAATATGACACATCCTCATGAAGCCCTGTGACTTTCTCTGTTGTCAAGGAACCGTTCTGCAGGAGCCGTAAAACAAGCTCCAGCCGGCTGACGTGCCATTTCCGTCGCTCATTCAGATGCTCGAGGTCCTCCAAGCGACCAGCTGTCGACGACGCCTTCCCTCTCTTTTTACCCGTGCCTTGTAGAGCCTCGATCTCTGCCTCCGCCTGCTCGATTTGCATCTGAAGCTCTTCAACTTTGCTTTGCAGCCATAAGGTCTCTTCTTCTTTCTCCTGCTCTTTGGGATCCAGTTTCGCGGCTTGTATGAGACCGATTGTAGAAAACGCTTTCGTCTTCATTTCTTTCTCGCAGGCTTTGAACTTCTCCATTTGCTAAATAGGCAAATTGGCATCAGCACGGTGAAGTGCTGAGATCAAGCGACGCGTGTATCCTCGTTTCCATTGTATGGACGAAGAGAAATACATGGCAAAAATGAATGGAATGGAAAAATTGCTCACCGTTTCGATCAACTTCCGGTTGTCTAACAGCTGTGACTTGTCCTTAATGTCATTGCTGGCCACCCACGTCTTGATCTGGTCCCGTAGTCGCTGTAATTTCTTGATCTGTGTCTTGAGATCCATTTCGAGCTTCTCCTTCTGCGTTTGGTTAGTCGAAGACTGCATCTTTTCATATATACTCTCGAAGAGGTCGACACCTTCGGCAACCTTTTTCAAGGTGCGGTCGATTTCGGCTAAGCGGACATCATGATGCATTCTCTGGTATAACAGAAATCGACCGACTTTGAAGTTTCCGTGCCGCCATGGCGAACACAAGAGAATATCCTGAGCTGTACGAACTGTTCGGTGGTTAAGCTGGTGGAAGAGATCAATGCCAAATACAAGTAAACTGTCGCGAAATAACGGCCTGAAACGACTGATTATGTAAGACATTCCGAATCAGACATGAGCTATGGGTTGCATTGGATGCTGTCGAGGCAGAGCATCAGTCCACCCAGAACGCATCTTCGTCAAGGAGATAAAGTGCTTCAGCACGAGCAGATTTCGAGCTGTGGTCAGTTTCCTGTTTACGCCCCGCCGTCTCCCAGTCATGAATGTTGTTATAGATGGCCTCTTTCTCATCATAATATCATACAAATCTTCCAGAAGAATATGCACTTAGTATGAAGTGCGCTCGAGAGGTCACCGATGCGGTATCTGCATTAATGGTTTTCCGTTAGGATCACGGTAGGAATGGCTGTTAGACAAACTCAGTATGGACTCTATTTAGGCGAGTCGCATGCAGCGTATCTCCTGTTTACTTGTCAGTGTGGCTCTAGTGCTTACGGTGGCGTTTTTGGATAGATCCACGTCGCTTCTTGAGGACAAGTCGGAAAGGGTGTCTTTCTGTCGATGTTTTCTTCTTGTCCACATTTTCATATCCCAGTTGGTGAGAACTCATATGAGTAACGGCGTAATAAATGACATCGTGCTGATATGCTTCTGTATCGAAGGTCAGCAGCTGCAAGTGACTTCATACTGCAAAGTATTCCTTTTACACAAGCTTGCTTCCCAGCGAAGGCCCATTTCTTTATCTTGTTACCGCAATACCAGAGCAGCCCATTCCTGTATTCTCTACTCCGTCGGACATCATCTGTCTACCAAAGTTATGATAACCCCGTGCGTGTGCGCCTTCCTCTGACGACCAAAGATTCACCGTGACGCATGCTCAAAGGTCGGAGAAGCCCATGTAGTTCTTCTCAATTTCCGATGGATTTGGGAAGTTAATAATCTGGCAAGCCGCAGTGGGTTAGGCCAATAAACTTGGGAGCCGCACCTTGAGTTTGCGCCTCCCGATTCCAGATCTTCAGTTGGCGCGTGCCTACCATCGTCACGAGCTTCTCGTTCGAAGGAAATAATTCTTTTTGGATTGAAATTTCGTGCTCCGTCTGCTGCAACCTGAAGGGCTTTAGCTTGAATCGCGACATGTTTTTTTTTCTATGGATGAATAGATGGGATAACAGTCTGCAGCTGCCCACGGTGATGCATTTATTCTGTGCATGGTTTTTTGAACCGTGCCTCGATTTTCTATTGAGAAGGCGCATGTCTTCGGAACCAACAGCTTTGTACGTACGCGTGCCACTTGTATCTTCGCATGTACACTTAGCTTCTTTACATCAGGTCCTCAAATCCGGGCGACGCTCAGCTCAACCCACGCAAAATATTCTCTTCTGTTGTACAATCCATCCGACGGGATCGAAGCCCCAAGCTCTCCTCGTTTTCCTGCATTCCAGGCTGCTGCCGTGGAGGGGAATAAAGCGTTCCTCCTGGTTCTGGTGCTTCGATTACCACTTTTTTGTAATGGATTCTCGTGCGCTTCCTGCCGACGACCCGTGTTATTAAAGCCGGCAATCCAGAGTGCATACTGAATCGTGATAACCTTTTCCTCCATCTGCTTTCATCCGTTCCTCTACGCTATAAGTACCGCATCATCTCAAGCAGAAATGTCGGACGTGCAGGCCCATCTGGTTGTGGACAACACGTAGGTGCTAGAAGCTGTTCATTGGTCAAAGCTCATGTGCTTTCAGAATGGGTGCCGCTTTCATCGGTGTCATTATTGCTGCTTGGTATGTCAATCTGTGACCGTAACATTGAAAACTCAATGCTAGTATTTTTCAGCCTGTACGGAGGTAGGGAGATAAATTTTCAATCCTTTGGACGTCGACTAATCGATGACGCAGTGTCTTGCGTCCAGACGTGGTACTACTTCAATCAGTATCAGACTGTAAGTATATGATTTTCCTATGTTCAAACGGTTTTCCAATTGAAGTTGTCCCGATCAGGATGTGTGGTACATCAAGTCTCTGGTGAGCCTAGGCCCTCCTCCTTTCGCCTTGTAATACCAAGGGACCGTTCTCCAGGTCGCGATAGTTTGGCTGTTCGACTCAGTTCATCAAGCCTTGATATCCCATACAGGTAGGGTGTATCTTGACAAATAACATGCGGGGCGTTAAACGAACCCGCAGTCTACTACTATGTTGTTACCAACTTCAGTAATCCGACAGAGCAGGAAAATCTAGTTTGGTGAATGCTGATCTCTTTCCTAGCCATTCGGTATTGATCCCTTTTGCAGGAGCATTTTGGTACGAACCATCTTATTTTAAGAAACGTCAAGATTGATACTTGACCTGACTGGTCATTTTCTAGTTGGAGGTTTTGTTTAATGTGAGTTTATTGAGCATTCAGGGCACCGCCTTCATCTAACAGTTCCGGTCTAGGGATTCATCGGCTTCTTGGTCCAAAGGCCTGTTTCCGTCTATTCTCCTGTTCCCCTTTGCTTATATGTCTGCAGTTTCTTGACCATGCGCGTTTGGCGTCGTATGTCTAGTAATTCAATGAAAATCTTTGTTCAACTGAAAACGATTATAGTAGGCAACGAAAATGTCGCACTGACTGCCGTGATCGCAAGTATAATTTCTGGTGGACTTTAACTTCACGCTGAAAATTCGTAATCCTTTTCAGACTTGTCTGGTGTTGACAGAGTTTGGTGAGTCCCTTTGTTTTATGTGTCCACATCTCTGTTGATTTCCGATTCCCAGGCTGTTCCGTTGGTATGTCCTATCTGCATTGTTATCTCGTCTTCTGACGCTGAATTTCATGTGCAGCGTTCACAATTCAGTCGTTGGTATCTATCCGCTAAATCACAGCCCATATACTAATGGCGTTCCTAGCATGAAGCTCTCAACCTGGGCTGATCTGACTCATATGAGAGTGCGTTCGTTCGTCGCTTCTTACTTTGCACCATATCTAAGAATCGTGTCAGGGTTTGTCGATGACCGTCAACGTCGTCGGTGCCATATCGGACGTCCTCATAGCCGCGAGTCTCTTTTACTTCTTGCATCGTTCCCGGACAGGCTTCAAACAGTACGCTTTGAGTTTTCGATTCATTATCAAGGCTGATCCTCCACCTGCCACAGATCGGACACTATGATCAGCAAACTGGTGGGTGCTGTCAACATTGCCTAAAATATACTCCTCGTATTGATCATCTGTGTAGATATTGTTCAGTGTGAGCACCGGCTTGATGACCAGTGTCTGTGCTGTAGCGTCACTTATTTCCGTTTGTATCCTTTGTTTTCGAGGGCAATCCTTTCAACTGACCTCTCTACTAGATCCTAATCTGGGGAAAGACTCTTATCTATGTCGCCTTTTACTTCAGTCTGGGAAGACGTAAGCATCCGCGTTTTTATGCCATAAATTCTCCCTCATGAATTTGGTGCCAGTCTATTCCAATTCCGTCCTTGCTACTCTCAACGCTCGCAAGAGCATCAGAGGTCTTTCTGAAGCCGGCGATATGGGTGACTTGACGCTTTCTCTTAACACCTTTAAGACCGGATTGCCACGGTTTGCTACCACAGTGGTAATTCATTTCTTTGCGTGGAACTTGTTCAGGCTCAATCCCTTGTTGCCAGCCGCGCCAGACAAACATTTCTATCAAGATTGATACCACGCAAGAGTGCGTGCGAGACGATATCGGAGGAGGGTTGGATGTACGTCGTTCTTTACTGCGTCATATCCTGTTGAGTTGACCATGCTTCTCTGTACAGTCGGCCTTAACGGAAAAATCGGAAAAGTCATTCAAAGACTCGGAGGAGGGCGTCCATGCGATTTGTGTGAACACTGCCGTATAATGCTACCTGCCTACCACCGGACCGGTAAATACTCAATTCTTGAGAATTTGGAGGGATCGAGGAGGGATTTTGGTATCTCAGTGCTGGTCCTATATATATAGCGGATTCAGATTGGACAGTTTTCTTTCGCACCTGCTGGCGTCTTGATTTTCTGTACTTGTACTTCACTAGTCAGGAAGTTGTATTGAACTCGAACATTGTGTCAACAAACAAATATCGCCGCTTCTTTCGGACTTGCCATCACTGCAGAGCAACTTGTGTTCCCGCCCGTTCGGCATGGTTTTTGCAACCGAATGCTAGTGCCATGAGGCCAGCGTTTTCCTTCTTAAAACATCGCAGATCCATAAAAATTCGCGAGTCCGCCTCGTGTCCGAGACGTCCGCCAACCTAACAACAAGATTTTCATTAAATAATACTTCTGTTTCTGACTCGCAGCGCACGAACATATATATCGACGAGGGTCCTTTTTGACCATGTTCGGATCTTGATTCACCAAAGGAACAGGAACCCACCGTTGTCATCAGCCCCGTGCTGGCGACCGTTTTCTCTTCAGAAAAAGAGGCAAATTACACACATAGGCTGCAGGGACAAGTCAGTGAGCAAGCTTCAGTGCCATCTGTTCACTGGTGGCATCATACACATGACTTATAATTGGTTCATCAACACGGGGCAAAGGACGCCAGAAGCCGTGGTAGTGTCGTAACCACACGGCCTTCCTCTCTCAGATAAGGTAGGCCGACTAACGATTACCGCGGGCTTCTGGACGCCCGTATCAGGATTTAGGAAGTTTCATAAGACTCAGTGCCATCAACCGTGCATCCAGAATGGTGTTGTCCAATTCAATACCCGCTCCAGTCCAGACGCGTCGCACTTTTTTTTCTTCCTATAAATTCGCCAAGTTCGCACCCAACATTCCATCTTGTTCACGCACTTTTTTCGGATTTCTCATATTCTATTTCGCGATGGCCTTTCCTTACGTTCTTCTTCTGGATGTTTTCTCTGCTATTACCGCTCTTCTCATCGTTCGACGCATTCTTCAACCCAGGCCCTCCGCTCCTCTCCCCCCGGGTCCAACTGGCCTGCCACTTGTGGGAAATATCCTTGATATGCCTGCGGACAAGGAGTGGCTAACTTTCGCCAAGTGGGGGGAAATATACGGTCGGGCCATTTTCGGGTTTCTGATATCGGATGCTCATATAAACTCTTTGCAGGTGATATTTGCTCTGTTACTGTTCTAGGCCAGACCATTATCATCTTGAACTCTGCCCGTGCAGCAGTAGATATGCTTGACAAGAAGAGTGCGATCTACTCTGACCGGCCTACCCTACAAATGGGAGGCGAACTTGTTGGTTGGAAGAATACTCTTGTTCTGTTGCCTTACGGCGACCGGTTCCGCCGCTACCGCAAAATCTTTTACAGCCTCATTGGCTCTCAGGCAACAATGAAGCAATATCATCCGCCTCAAGAACTGGAGACGCGCCGTTTTCTTCGTCGGGTCCTTTTCAAGCCTGAAGAACTTGCCGCTCATGTTCGCAAGTAAGTGACAATTTATTTCTCCTCAAACTCTGTATTCAGAGGCGTATTCAACCTTGTTTCAGAACTGCAGGAGCTGTCGTTTTACGCATCTCTCACGGATATGAAGTCAAAGAAACTGATGATCCGTTCGTCCGACTTGCAGATCAAGCCACTGAGCAGTTTTCGGCTACTACCAAAGCTGGCGCCTTCATTGTGGACCTGGTTCCTGCTTGTAAGACCGTACTTCAATCATATACGGATCTCCAAACTAATTAGCGGTGCTTCTTCTGCAGTTCGGCATGTGCCTGATTGGTTCCCTGGAACGGGATTCAAACAGAAAGCCAAGGCTTGGGCCGCCACACTTCAGGAAATGGTTGAACAGCCGCACAATTTTGTCAAGCAACAAATTGTCGGTGTCTTGCATTCTCTCCCGTTCTTCTGTGCTCATGCTTCTTTATCTGATCCTAGGCCGCTGGAACGGCAGCGCTCTCCTTTACTTCTTCGATGCTGGAGAGTAAATCTCTAAGCGTCGAGGAGGAATTCGATCTTAAATGGTCTTCTGCGTCTCTGTATAGCGGTGAATTGTCCAACTTTTCTGATGATTACACATGAGGCTTATTTAAACATAGGTGCAGCCGACACTGTAAGTGTCAAATCTTATCATCGACGGAATTGTATTATAATCAGGACCACAGACTGTGTCTGCGATATACGCGTTATTCTTAGCGATGGCGTTGTTTCCTGATGTTGCCAAAAAAGCTCAAGCGGAAATTGATGCCGTCGTAGGCAATGACAGGTTACCTACATTTGCCGACCGCGAACATCTTCCTTACGTCGATGCTCTCGCCAAGGAGGTTTTACGATGGAACACCGTCGTCCCTACAGGTATGAAATTCACATCCTGTGCAAATCATTGTCTAAATTTTTATTTTTGCAGCTGTCCCGCATCGTGTAATGCAAGATGACGTCCACACGCACAGCAACGGAAACACGTATTTTATACCCAAAGGCGCTCTCGTCGTGCCAAATATCTGGTTAGTCTGTGTCCAGTGGCTCTTTATCTCAACGACTGATTTACGCGTCCGTTCCTGGTAGGAAACTCGCTCACGATTCAAGGACGTACACGAACCCAATGGAATTCAACCCAGACCGGTTCATTCCCTCGGGGGGCAGGAAAACGGAGCCTGATCCTCGCGAGCTATGTTTTGGTTTCGGTAGACGGTTCGTCCCCTGCTTCTGTTTCTTTTCATCCAATATACTTATACTCCTCTCGTAGCATCTGTCCAGGTACCTTTTAGTCATCGCCGGGGTGAGAATATGTCACTTATTCTTTATCTAATAGGATTACACCTTGCCGATGCCTCAGTCTTCATATCATGTGCGATGTCTCTGGCAGTTTTTGATATATCCAAATGCGTCGAAAATGGCGTCGTCGTCGAACCTCTTCATGAACAGACGTCGGGGACGATAAGGTACGTCGCTAAAAGTCCTCCTTTCGGAGCAGAACTGACTTGCAATGGTTAGCCACCCGAAACCCTTCAAATGCGACATCAAACCGCGTTCCCATAAAGCAGTTTCTCTCATTCAAGCCGACGAGATGATGTAGTTCATCTCTTGACTGTCGTTGATATTTATCTTGGAAGAACGATGTGTAACTGACTTATTTCGTATCTTGTCCCATGTTTGATGACATTCATTATTGTTCGGTACCTTATGTATTTATTGGCCCATTTTTCCAATGGGCGTTAATTGACAATGTATTACTGTCATTCTCGATCAATGCAGCTAGCGAATGGAAGTTCTATTTGGTGAAGGTAAGTGTACAGTTTCCCAGGTATCAGTGCGGTTGGCGGATTTCTCCCTTGTATTTAAAAGTCAGAGTCAAAGTCGGCATGGTGGTGTATATCGATGCCTTTGACGAAATGCTAAAGTCACAGCCAAGGCAAAACTTAACAGTCAAGATTCATTAACATCTCATCCGGTCATGGGTGCACAAAAGAAAGACTGCAGATCGTATTCACGAGTCCGAAAAGGGTACGTGTATGTAAAGCGCGGGACTTGTCGGTTCTAAGCCGTGTCCGATCCTCCAGCGCCATTCAAGACCTTATTTTCACCTCCAGTTGTAGGCATGGAAACCTCATTCTCCGGAAGCGGGGTGGCAATAGCATTCACCTTCCCGTCTTCTACTACCACCTTGTCCCCAGCCTTGCGGTTAGAAGACGGGACCGTCGAAGGGCGGCCTTCAAACGTAGCTGATACGGGAGAAGCTCGTCGTTCTGGATATCTAGCAGAAGAGAGTTCGGGCAAAAAATGACCATACTCGACGCGATCATGGGCTGAAGGTGTCCCAATTGGGGTGGGCCGAATCGAGCTAGCGGCGATGCTATCTGGATGCATGGGGGATTCAACAGGCTTCAGTCCTCTGTCTTCGAGGAGTAGCCGGTTAGCTATTGTCTGAATATTGGATAGGAAAGTGGGGTCTGAAAAAACGGCCATATCCGTGGCTGCCCGCTCGACAGTAGGATATCTGATAGAAGAATCGGTACCTGGTCGCGGTAACAGGACGGTCGAAAACTTGCCTGTCAACTTCAAGCATTAGCTCGCGTTGTACGGTCTCCTGGGGCAGGTACTTGAGTTTCTCATCGGACACCAAGCGGTTCTTGATGTAGGATTCTATCTTGGATTTGAATTCATTGATGTCGACACCATTCTACAGTGGAAATAGGGATGAATAATCAGTAATTATTACAGTGAAGCTAGACACTCACACCTTGCTGGAACTCACTAAGGAGCTCACGTCTCAGCCGATCAAATTCGCCGGATTTTTTGAAACTAGAGGCTGTCAGTTTCTTGGAAAATGGCGTATTGACAAGGCTTACGCATCAACTAGTTGAGCAGGATTAGCTATTGGCATGAAGAAAGTACGCAGCACAGATTTACGGCATGCAGTAGTGGTGGTTAAAAGGTGAGAAATGCGCGAGATAAGATAAGATGAATGATCTCCATCGAGATAAGATAAACCCCCAAATCAGCTCTCACAAATTACCCAGGTGTCCCTTCTGCTCTTTCCACGTCACAGCTTTGCAGCAGTTCATCTATGGCGCCTCTACAGTTTCCTTCCTTGAAAAATGACCTTTTACTGCGTGCAGCTCGCGGTAGGATGCCTTGAAATCTTGCTCAACATCAGTCCTAACCCATTTTCAAGGCGAACAAACCGAACGAGCCCCAGTATGGATTATGCGACAAGCAGGGCGCCACCTTCCAGGTTTATTTCATCCGTGAATCCGCTTGCCCAGACTGTGACACGGATCCTTGTTAGAATTTCTAAAAATTCGTGAATCGCATGGATTCTTCGAGATTTGCCAGACCCCCGAGCTCGCATGTCAAGTAACCCTCCAGCCCATTCGCCACTATACTCCTCTCTTGGATGCTGCGATTATATTCAGTGATATCCTTGTCGTGCCTCAAGCGATGGGTATGGAAGTGCTCATGCAACCAGGCCCTCACTTCACGCATCCATTGTCTGTCCCGCAGGACGTCGAAAAGCTGAACAAGGTGGTGGATGTGAACAAGATGCTCAAGTATGTATTCGATGCCATCACGTTAACGAGGAAGGAACTCGATGGCGAGGTGCCTCTCATTGGATTCTGCGGCGGTCCATGGACGTTGTTCGCGTACATGATTGAAGGAGGAGGATCGAAATCATATACGAAAGCAAAGTCGTGGCTCTTCAGGTACCCAGAGGAATCGAAGGCACTGCTACAAAGGATCGCTGACGTTTGCGTTGACTTCCTTGTTGGTCAAGTCCACGCCGGAGCCCAGGTGCGACTCCACATTTGAATCCTTTCGTGTCAGCTACTGAACATTATTTCAGCTTGTGCAAGTGTTCGACACCAATGTCGGAGAGCTATCACCTTACGACTTCCACACATTCGCATTCCCTGTCCTCCAGCATATTTCCAAGAATGTTCGCCAACGATTAAATGCCGATGGTTATGGGAACACCCCGTTGACTCTCTTTGCTAAAAGCGCAAATCATGCCATCGCTCATACGGCCGAGCACGGAGGCTACGATGTTATAGGACTTGACTGGTGCATCGACCCCGCAGAAGCAAGACGCCTAACAGGAGGCAAGGTTGCTTTGCAGGGTAATATGGACCCCGATTTGTTGTACGGCGGTAAAGACGCCATCGAGGCGTACGTGAAGCGGATGTGTGAAGCTTTCGGAGGTCCCAAAGGGTGGATTGCGAACCTTGGACATGGCATTACACCTGGTGTTGATCCCAAGGACGTTCAATGGTTCTTTGAGTGCGTCCACAAGTACTCTGCAGGCAAAACGTCGTGATGGCAAATCTTTAAATGTATTCGTTTACGCTCCAGCTCTAATTTGCGTGTATAACAGGTCTAGTCCCTGCATCCATTCCAAAATCGAAGTTTAGTATATATACAATTATGCAGGTATGTAAAAGGACCAGAAGCAGCCCAGATGGATGTATCATATGTATGAAATAACATGTCATAAATGTCGTAAAAATGCAGACAAGTGCATGGAAACCCTTTATCATTGGGATTTCTTCGATTGAGGTGACGACAGTAGTATTGAATCACCACTGAGGGTAGACTCGTCGGGGGGTAAGGATGCATTCGATGAGAGCACGGGTGTAGTGTCGGATGAAGATGAGGCGTCATCATCCTCACTTGACGCACGGCATACACTGGTTGGACTCGATCGACCAGATCTAGCTGTCGTCTCTGCCAATTCCTTCCGTAGGGCTTCAAGCTCCCGCTCGAATCTATAGAATATGGAAGGTCATCAGTGCATGGACAGACTGCAAGGGCAACAGGACCTTACTTCCGCCCGAAAACCTCAATGTAAAATCCGCCACCATTCCATACGCTGACTGAAAAAATGAGGATAAGGTATATGCCACTCCAGAACGAGCTATCGTAAAGGAGAAATACGGCGGGTACTTCTGTCAGAACGGTGTAGACTAGTAGATCATCAATATGCAATTTACAAAGGTATCACATGAAAGTGACCTACCGAGCTGCCCACCCATAAACACCGCTTCGCGGTATCCTTGGGGAATTGAAGATAAGGCACGACCAATAACACCGCGTTTCTCGTTCAACAGGAAGGAGAACGACGTTGTTCGCTGGCCGGATTCAATCTTGTCTCTGCGATCTACCAAAACAAACTTGTATCCGTTATTAGGATGCTATCCAAGAAGGTTTGGGAGCCATTTACCTTCCAGTATAAAAGTTGCCAGATGACATCTGCACTGAACGTGAGCAGCGACAATGGAGCATGGACGATGTCACGCACAAAGTCCACCACTGAACAGAATGGCCTTCATCCGATCAAGATGCGGCAATTCAGCAAGAGCTGGGAAACGTTCTTCCGCGTTGGGGTAATAATGTCTACATCATTTCGTTGGTGGGTAGGATCAAGCATATTGCTAAAATGAGACACACCGTATAACGGTAAATGTAAAAGGAGCATAGATGTGGATGAAGAGTGATGTTACCTTGTCCTGGTCATGGAACACGAGACTATTTCTCCATGTAACGACGGCACTTCCGAGTGTACCTTGAGAGATACAATAGCATGCCACAAAAAGGGCAGGATTCGAGGGAAAGAACCATATAAAGATGAGGTTAAGAATGGTGGCGTAATAGCAAAAGTCGAAAAGGAAGTAGTGCCACGCGCGTTTCTTGTACGTGTAGGCGCGCCAGGGTAGAAGATAACAGCATTGGAGGGTGTACGCAATGTGCACCCATCTATGAATAAGATAAGATAGGGATACGTGTACGCCACAAAACCACGCACTGGGGAGCAAGACCAAACATAAGGGCCGAAAATAGCAGCGACATGACACCGAAGAAGAATGATACTTTTTCACGAGTCCGAACGACTTTTGCCGACTGCCATGAGTTCGACAACGATGCCATGCGGGTTGATATCTGGGGTCCTGTGTCAAGCTCCACACGTACTGGCAACGGAAAATAGGGTGGCGCACCTTGAGCTTGAAGTTCTTGAACTCGCGTTCAAAATTCTCTGCCAACATGTCGCCCGAAATGTCGCGCATTTTAAATGTCACTTCCGCCTTGAGCTTGAGCCTATCGCCGTGTTTCTGTAGCTTGCGTTGAAGGAGATCGACATGGGAGTCGAAATACGTTTCCATGGTGTCTGATGCCGTGCAATCGAGTAAGTACTCATATTGAGCAATCAAGAAAAGATGCACCTAAAAGCGTAAACGCGCTTGACCAGTCCGACATCTCGTCGCGTACCACTTGAAGACGTTCCAAAGAGTTGGTAAGATACTTTTTACCCAATGGCGGTGAAGGCGGCCTTGAAGACATGACGACAGAGTATAATGGCTGGCTTTGGCCAGGACACAATGCGTTGCCACAGGGGTCACCAAAATAAAGGCCATTGGCAACTACAGACAAATATGATATGACTCGGATGCCGGTCCGAAGTTCCAGTAAGGGTTTGAACAACGTGGTCGCTGGCTTGTCTATCGCCCTTTCCCCAGTAAAGCAGATATTACTCCGTGAAGTATCAAAAATGCTAGGAAAATTGGGTATGAAGAATCTGTACAGACAATCTCATTCAGCTAATGTATACCCAGTTCACCTTGGGATCGACGCCATCATCATCAGTGCCTTTTTAGCAGGAGTGAAACGCACAACAGGCCTGACGTATGTTTGCTCCTCATTCAACTCATATTTCTCATAGAATTGAACCTTTCAAGGCCTGCTTTAGGACAAGTTCCCAACAAAGACATACGACGTATGCTGCATGCCAATTTATGCACTACTTATTACATGCTGAACCCTTTCACAGAGCTGTTGCGTTCATATCTTGAAATGGGTGCGTAATGAGCCACCGGGCCACTACCTATACCGTTTCGCTGACACATCGATGTGGTGTAGGCGAGTACACCTTCGATTTTGCGGTTGTCATGTTTGGAGTACGAGTGTTATTTTTGTTTCTTTCGTGAGCAAGAGACTCATGGCATACCTTAGCGATCTTCGTCCTTTGAGAGGACACGCTGATATCATTCGGCCTCATACATGTTCGCATCTTGTTACTGTTGTACCTTGTACGTCTTTCACTACACGCGACGAAGCTCAATCCCAACTGACTTGTTCCCATCTCAGTTACTCGCAGTTGTATGTCTCTTGTAACACACGGCATCAGACTATATTTATATTATCTATACTCTGTCCTCTCATCAAAGGGAGTATAAGAATTGGGGTGCACCCTCACTCGCATGCCAGTATCCTTATAGCATCGGCATAGGTTCAATCGGGCTACGGAAGTGCTCACGACCCAAGAAGGTCCAGACGGCCGATCTGAATCATAGTTGATTTGCATTCAGACATGAAGCTTATCCATTTTATGCGCGCAACTTCATCCCAGGAAGTTGAAAACAAAGAAATGCAACACTATAGAACCCAAGGCAAAATCCGCGAATGCCCTGAGAGTAACCATGAACAGCGAGTGGCAGCACGAAAGGTAGTAGCGCACCGTTCGGGAGATACGTTTTTGAATTCGTCTTTATTCTCAGGGTTGACTTGGGAGCGCAGCGAAGCAGCCAGCACAAATTGTCCCACAGTGCTTGAGAACCTGTCGCTGTAGATGAGAAAGCACGATACAATGGAATGCAAATGACACAAACCCAGCTAGAAATGCATTGAAAGGAAAGTTGGTGACGAGGACGCAGTATATGAACTGCGCAATGCCAGTGAGCATCAGGAAGAAGAGGAAGGCATCGATGAAGCGGAGTCTGTCAGAGGTCTGCTCGTTGTATGATTTCCAAAGTGAAAGAACGACATTTGAAGAAGCCTTGGGAGGCGCAGGACTGGCTTTGGGGACCATGATGGTATTGACTAGAAATGCGCGACGTGGAATTAGCAAGTCGAGATGTGATCAAGAGGTCATTGCCAAACATGCGCATCTCGGAACGGAAAGGTTACCAAAAAAATTCGGTTCACTGCCGTTCAGTGCCTTCACGGTGACCTCGTCGTTGTTTCTTTTCCTTTAGGGCAGCCGCTCGTCCACTATGAGCACATTACGGCTGTGTGTTAACGCGTTAAGGTCATCTTGTAGTCGCCCCAGAAGATTACAATACGCCTGCCTCACCGCACGGAATGCCCACACGCGCGTTCCACTTAGGTATCCTATCGAGGCCGGCTTAGGAGAGTTCCTACCTCCAGTGGCGCTCAAGGTCGTTGCTGTCGACTATCAGGATGGGCTATTGAGGCAGTTGAATGAGGAGACTCGAGGTGAGTATTACATTCGTGTGAGTGATGATCATTCAGCTAACTGGCAGTGTACAGGCTCACAATATGAGGGAATGTCCGTGGTGACTACCCTAACGACGTCTCTTGAGGACCCATTTGACATACTGATATCCAATCTCGCGAGTCTGGCTGTTAACAATCACTTCTTCCTTGACCATCTTGTACGTTCATTCTTTAATTCATCCTGATTTAAATTCACTGTATGTATAGAAGCCTCCACCGACAAAGGGTTTGACACATCAGGATGAGATGTCTTCAACCTTGCGTACAAATATAAAAGAACAGTATGGCAGCATAGCCCAGCTGAAATCCACTTTTTCTGCGGCAACACTGGGGATGTTTTCCTCGGGGTATGTCTGGCTCGTCACGGACAGCGCAGGAAGAATGGCAATTATCCCTACGTTTGGCGCGGGTACACTTCTGGTCCGGTCTCGCCAATACAAAGCTCCTATGGACGATCTCAAAGATCTGGACTTGAGGCGCGACGGACTCGTATCAGGCGAACCATTCTATGACGAGTATGTGAAGGAAGTGGACGAAGAATGGGACAGATTGAAGAAGGAGGTCGAATTGACCGAAGAAGGAGCAGAACCTTCACAAGAGGAGCTAGAAGAAATGTACAAGCCCACGCCAAGCGAGCAGCCTGAGGTGTTCACTCCGGTTTCGACATTCAAGCCTCCATACAAGAAGCCTTGGCAACCTGGTGAACGTGGATATCATACCAGTGCCAGGACATTAGCCATCACGGATCCCTCCACTCGGCAATCCGCCAACTCAGAGGGTTTCTCAGATCGGTTCGACCCCGGAAAAGATGATGTTAATAATCTCGGAGACGTGCTGTACCCGCTTTTCTGTGTATCGGTTCACGAACATGCTTGGATGAGCGCCGGGTATGGCGTGTGGGGAAAAGAGGAATGGATGAAAGAGTTCTGGTCGGTCTTGGACTGGGCCAAAATTAGCAACACGTACGCTAGTGTTGCGAGTGGCATAGGTGACAAATCCGCTAAAAGGCCATTGCCCTAATATCTCAATACAGCATCATTTGTTCTGTAGACGGAGGACATATTCTACTCACTTATTAAGTCCTAGATTTTCGGACCGAGATCCGATTGTTTGGTTTCATGTTTGAGGTACGATCACGTGTCCGACTTCAACTTCAACTGTTACCCTTGACTTCAACGTCAACAAACGCGATGGAGGACGCTGGCCGCTACGGAACGGTTTCGCTACTCAATGCATCAAATGGCAGCCCTATCACAGCTTTCGGAATTGAAACCTCCCCGGTAACTTTCGGTTCTGATCCCAACTGCACCGTCCGACTATTCTACCCATCGATCAGCGCGTCTCATGCCCACATTACCTTTCATGACCTCAAGGCTTTCCTCGTTGTCTCAGGACCCACTGGAATTGAGGTGGATGGCTGCAAAGTATACCCACCGAGCACGATACCTTTGCCGAACCACACAGAATTTAAACTCGCGGGGAAGCGATTCATGTTTTCATACCCACCAAAGGAAATGAGGAGGGTGCTGATAGAGAGCCCACTCAAGCCAAGAGCAATTAGGATGTCGATGGTGGCAAGGGCAGTGATAGATTCGCCGGAGCCGCCGAAAGGTCTCGTCAAGGATTTGGGCGGAGGAGAGTGCGTGCTGCTTGAGGACATCCCTCGACCCTCGTCGCCTTCCAAAGGGCCACCAAGCTTGCACAAAAGAGTCTTGATGAAGAACGCGAAGCAGGCCGAAGATGAAATGGAGGAACTCGAGGTCGCGGGTAGGCTGGTTGCTGCCAGTGACAGCGAGAGCGAAATAAGTGTCTGCGAAGGCGGTGATCAATCAGAAAGCGACGAGGAGGTGGTGGCACAGAGTGAGCCTATGGGGAACGTACCGTCCTCCGAAGCAGAACCGATGGAAGGGGAGATGAGCGAAGAAGACGAGCCCATCATGTCTACTACACCTAAATTCCCTCCGACTGCCCGTTTCTCTTTTGCCTCACGTCCGTCGCTTGGGGGTGGTCCACCTCAGAGGCGGCAGCTCCCCACACAATCGCTAAACTTCGCTACCCCAGTTGCAGTTCCTGTCACACCACAGACCAGCACGATCAAGAGAGAGCCGGCCTGGACGACTCCCAAGCGCAAGGTTGTTTTGACTGCAGAGGAGAAGAAGGTGTGTATATCATCTCACTACTTTGTTCTATAATTGATATTCTGCGGCATAGGCAATCTCAGAACGTCGTCGCTCTGCCCTTTTAGCGCCTGATCTTTTCTTCGCTGGACGCGTTCCTGGTTTGTCACCCCCCAAAAACGCGTCTAGGAATAACCCCTTTGCCTCTCCTACTAAAAACCGCCATCCGTCTACTCTATCCGGAGTGATGGAAGAAGTGGAGGAGGATTCTAGGGTACTTCTTGAAAAGATGCGGCATGCTGTCGAAGACATGAAGATGCGTAAGGCAGCGAAGGCAGAAGTAGAAGAAAGAAAGGTAGATTTGCGCTATCTCAGGGATCGAACCGTCGAGGCGATTGACGCTGACGCGGATGATTTAACGACAGCAAAGACGCCGGTGCGAGCCGTGTCTCCCGCCAAATTATCGACGATACCACTCGTCGCTTCGCCTCCCAAATCGGTGTTAGTAACCCCTAGTGTGGCTTCTCCTGCCAAAAGTCTCTGGCCGAGAGCAACTTCACCGACCAAGGTGGTCGTGACTCCGCGGGTCTATCCTGAGCTTTCCTCGCTTGTTCCTTCATCACCGATAAAGGCCATTCCCAGGTCACCGTCGAAGACCACAGTCAGAGTTGGTTCTCCCATTAAGGACACCTTCAACACCCCAATCCGAGCCGCGTATCCGCTAAAGAGGACTTTGTCCACTCCTCTTGCTCTAAAGACTCTCAAATGTGCTCCCATCATCGAAGCGAAGTCGCCGTTGAAGATCACTTGGCCCTTCAATCGAAGCACTGAGGATCAAGAACAGGAACAGCCTATGGAGGATGTAGAGTCTATTGACGTTCCCGCTGTCTTCCCTGTGAAGGAACCTATGACCGTCGATGCCAGATATGATGAGCCGATGGAAGAGGAGCCAACGACCGACAGGGATGTTGTTTCGGATGTCTGCGAGGTCCACGACGAGCAGCTGGAGTTAACGGACGAATGTACGAAAGCACCAAGTCCACCACCGCCATCGGACGCAGAGACAGAACAGGAACGGGAACGAGAACGGGAACAGGAACAGGAACTAGACGAGCCTGCACCCAAGAGAATCACGCGCGGCAAAAAGGCGCGTACCGCTAGCCCCGAGGCTGACGCTGACATTGAAAAGGTTGCACCGCCCAAGAAGACTATTAGGGGGAGGAGAACGGCTACCCCGACAGTTGAAGCAAAGCCGACACGTTCGCGTACCCGAACAAGGACAAATACGGAGCCGGACGACGAGAAAGAGAAGGTGAAACCTACTCGAACGCGTACCAGGACGAAAACGGAGGAATCAGAAGACGAGGTTCCTAAGAAGACGAGAGGCCAAGCAAAAAAAGCGGCTGCTGAGGTAGAGGCGTCTCATGACGAAGAGGAAGAGGAAGTTGAGCATACCGAGATTGCTCCAAAGAAAGGTCGGGGACGCCCCAAGAAGATTGTTGAAGAGGCTACAGAAGATGAAGGGGCTGTTGTACCGCTGAAACGATCGACGAGGGGACGTAAGATGACACCGGTAGTCGAGGATAAGCCGGCGACGAGGGGGAAGAAGCCGTCATCGATTGTTTCAAGTTCCACCTCTGATGTGGAGGTTGTCGGGGAGACGAAGTCTGCGCGAAAGGGGAGGAAGAAGGTGAATAGCCAGGAGAAGGAGAATCCACCGCTTGCTGGGGTTAAGGAGGAAGAGGAAGATGCTGTGCCGGGTAAGGGGGCGAGGACGTGTACTAGAACTAGGACCAGAACGCGTACGTGAGTAGGAATGGATAATGGCTGCATATGCTCCTTATTTTTCTGCTAGAACTGTACTTATTGTGATACTGATTTATTCTATTTGCCGGGTTGCCGAGGGATCAATACGAGTAAATAACACGTACGGGCCGCAAGAACTGATAATGGTATCAGCTATGCTCTTTGGTTGTATATCAATGCTGATATTGTCTTGCTGTTTTCCGCAGGTCAACGTCCAGGGCTTGCACTTCTTTAGGCCATACAGGTAAGTAATCATGTGTTGATGTCTTTTTTCTAGATCAACCATACACCTACTGTTGGTTGAGTGTTTTCAGATAAGGGTCCTATGGTTACTTGGATCATCAATGCAACCTTTTCGGAGGACATATTGACCCTGGCAAGCTGCTCCGTTGCTCGGACCACCTGCTACACCTTGCACTTTCTTCAGGCTCCTGGGTGTATTGGGAAAAATGAAACAGGATAGAGGGTAATTGCATGACAATAGTCGGTGCCAGCCGCAGTTCGCGTGCTGCAGCTCCACTGGCTAAACAAGAAGATCGTCATAGTTCGATCTGATCTGGAACAGGGATGACGACTTGACTACCGCTTTAGTGCATATTCCCCAAGCAACCGCACCTTCCATAACAACGGCGATTTCTACAACTAGCTGGCATTAGAGGTGTACTGTACGGTCACATAGCAAGGCAAGGAAAGTATTGCAGTAGAAAAATGGTGCAGTGTTTGCCTGGAACTTTATTTAACGTCAAATGGGGGGGAGGGGGGGTGGGAAGGAAAATTTGAAAATGTAGACAAGGGGTGAGTGGAAAGAAATTTAACGATGAAGGCACTTGTTTAGCCCACGCCATCACGGTTTGAGAGGCCATGTCCAATCGCTTCTCTTCCCAGGACGATCTTACTGCTGCCTCGCCTCCATACAAGCCTCAGGCGAGCACCTCCAATCTCGAGTCGACCCTCTTCGTCTCCAACGACGTCTACTCGTACCCACCAAGTCCTGCTTATCGCTCCCAGGTAAATATGGCAGAGGACATCGAATCCGCCCCAAGACATCCGAAGGAAAAGCCCTCGGTGCATTACCCAGAGCATGTCCAGGCTCCAACGACCATGTACAAGCAGAGCGATGTGCCCCGTCCTATATCGCTTGCGCCAACCCTCACCGACGACGATTATGACGACGATAATTATGATTGGAGTGGAGAGGAGGATCTTGTTGATGAGGAAGCCAGGTTGGAGGAGCAGATGGGTCTCAGGCGGAAAGATAAGCGCTGGACGTTTAAGCGGTGAGTCTGCCTCTGGGGGATTTGACGATTTCATTCAATTTCGACAGTGTCTTTACTCTTCTCTTTTCGTCTCTCATTGGATCCACCTTCCTGGCTGGTGTCATTGTCACCCCCGGCATTCTCATTCACTACTTCTGGTATCAGAACAATCCTTCTCAACACCGTCTCTACATAAAACAAAACGTACAAGCATGGCTCTTCTGGGCTGCTGCAAATCTCGTCATTTCATGGTATCTCGCGCTCGCTGTCGATATCATTCCGACCATCTTTCGCTTCATGGTCATCGCAGCGTGGGGTCACGTCTCCGAGCGCATAAAATCCCGGATAGAGCTCTACTGCTCCGTCAAGAACACTTTCAAGCCTGTACTCTATGTCGCCAGTGGCTGGGCCAGCTGGGTTATCATCTTTGACCACATCTTCAATCTCTACGACACAGCGGATGCTACACAAAGTCGTGCTCATTACACCGAAAGGGTGTGTGCTCGTTTGTATAGTAGCTTTACTAGTACTGAATGGGTTTACTCTAGCTTTACCAAGTTGTCGAATTCCTCTTCTTCTTTGGTGTAGTTTTATGCGCACAGAAGATGTTGTCGCATGCCATCGCATTTGCCTTCCATCGCACCGCTTTTAAGGATCGTGTCGATGCCATAACAGAAGCTCTTCCAGTCATAGAGAAGCTTCGGGAATATAAACCCAAACCACCGTCCCGCACTGGTTTCCGAACTGGCTTCCGTACACCATTGTTTGGTCAACTTGGTGAAAAAGACCGTTTCAGCTGGGGAGGACCACTCAATGATGACGGAGTCGATGGCGATACCGAAGGAGATGGTGATCGCACCGTCGTCGGGACAACCAGCAGGAAAGGAACTATGATGAGTAGCAAGGGCAAGCAACGAAAGCATTCTTCCTGGTTCAGCAGGTCCCGGAATAACACGGATGTAGTGAATCGGGTTCAATCTCCATCCCTCGAAAGGGTCCATGAGATGGGTGCTATAGGTTCTCCCGCGGACTCACGTCCTATGACGCCTTCCGGTCTACATCGGTATCCTCCTGTGACAGGTACTCCAAGCCCGCGACACAGCACTGATGGAGCAGATATGAACGCTGGAGAAACCATTGCGCAGGCCGCCAAGGCACTGAAGAACGCAGTCTTGCATGATGCGCGGAATATCAAGGGTGATGATTCCACGTCAAGTGGAGGTCTTCTATCTACCGGTGGAGTCGGCAGCGTGGATGAGGCCAAGGTAAGTAGACGTCATTGACATTGTTGATATGCTCCAATCTTCCGCCTACAGCATCTTGCACGGAGTATTTATACGCGGTTTAGGCCGCATCATGTCTCGAGGACGTACTTGTTGCCCGAGGATTTCTATCCTGCGTTTTCCACGCGCGAACAAGCGGAGAAGGCGTTCCGGCTATTCGACAAGGATAACAACGGAGATATCTCAAGAGGAGAGATCAAGTCGACCTTGGTGAAGGTTTACAAGGAGCGACGGTTCCTTGCCCGATCTATGCGGGATGTCGGCGCTGCACTGAAAACCCTCGATCATATCCTATTGTTTTTCGCCATGGTGGTCCTGTTTTTCATAAGTTTGAGTGTCTTTGGCGTCAACGTTGGTGACAGTCTGACCAGTGTGTATACGCTTGGTATTGCCGCAAGCTTCATCTTCAAGACTTCGGCAAGCAATGCATTCGATGCGATCATGTTCCTTTTCGTTACTCAGTATGTGAATTTACTCGTGTTGCTTCGTTGTTAGCTATTAACGGCTCATCCATCAGTCCCTATGACACCGGAGACCGCTGTTTCATTGATGGTCAGTATGAACGTCGATGACTATTATTCATTCTAATGAGATTGACAGATGAAATTTTGGTTGTTAAGAAGATAAATCTTTTTGCTGTATGTATAACCTTAACAATCGATTTGCTATCAATATCAAGCTCACGTACTGTTCTTAGACTGTGTTTACCCGCGTTGATGGTACAGAAACATATTACTTCAACAGTCAGCTCTTCTCGAAATTCATGTAAGCCTCTTTGCCTCACATTTGCGCTTTGAATTTACATACCTACCGCCGCAGCACGAATGTACGACGGAGCGATGCACGTGAACTTCATACTATGACCTGCCCATAACTCACAGCCTTAATCTAGAAAATGTTTGAGAATCTTACGATGCAAGTGGCTTGGCGTACGCCTCTAGAGGCGCTTGATGAGCTAGAAGAATGCTTGAATGCATGGTTATCGACAGAAGAGCACCGATGGTATGACCCGAGTACTTCAATCGTCTTGCAAAACATCGAGTACCAGCGGTATCTGGAAATCACTATTGGTATCGGTCACAACGGGTAAGTTTCAAGGGCCAATATCAAGACCCATATTATTGAGCTTTCTTCACAGTACATGGCAAGACTGGGGTCTCCGATGTGCACGTAAAACGGCTTTCCACGCCGCTGTCCAGTACTATTGCCGGCAGCTTGGTATCGTAGGATACGAGGCGCCACTGCCTATCGTATATGGCGACCCCAACACCCAAACGTACAACCCACCACCTTCGCCTGGGGTTGACAGCCATTATGATGGTGCAGATATCGGTACATCGACAGACAAGCTTCCTGAGACGGTGCACGTCCAAAGCTCATCACCGGTGCCGAAACGGATGAATCCGACTCTTGGGTTTATACCACCTGTGGCGACGAGAACGGGTGTGAATATCCGCCAGAGGAAGAGTAAGAGCCGGAAGGCTAATATGAGGGGTATGGGAGATGGCTAATGATTTTTCTATGGTGGTGAAATGTGGTCTTGCTTTTATATCTGATGGACTTTGCACTGCTGAACTCCTGATTGATTCTCCCGAGGAGTAGCCAGACTTTCTTTGGTGAACTGGATTCATATAGGCTTGCTTTCATTATTGTCACTTGTTCCTTTTGAAACTCCTCGATTTTTGTAGATTACACCTTTCAAGTTCATACGTCGCATCTTTTAACCTGCATAGCATCGGACGGCTTGGACCATACTTTTCGAAATTTATCTTACAAATGTATACATACATACGAAGTGATTACTACACCGTTTAAGGTTGTCCAGTGAAACATATCTTACAATCAGGTCGTGCGAAAGGAATAGCATAGAGTTCAAAACTTAACGGAGCGGAACAGACGTTCATGAAAATCCGAACTACGATTATGTAATCTGTCATTCGGCAACTTTCGGGCAAAGGAGGAGTTGGCCATCCTTCATAGAACTCCCTCTACTTGATTCCTTAAAAGTGAGTGTGGTCACCTTGTTGTCCTGATTTTCCTAATATCACCAACTATCTAGGCCATGGCCTCGAAAGCAGCCACTGCAGCCGTGGTAGGTCGTGAAAAAAATACGACGAGCCATACGGCGCTGACCATGCTCTCCCCAGGACTTTGCCCGTGTCTACACATCTTTAGGTCTCGGAAAGGGTTCGTCGCTCGCGCGTTCACAGTCAGAATCAGTTTAACAATGCGACAGAGACCATTGCTTCTCTCCAAGCTTTCCGGAAAAGACACAGCGAAGCACAACGCATCAACACCCAATACGCATCCCAGCCCACCACGGTCGATATTGCCTACTACCGCTCTGTGTTGAAGAACCAGGCTGTTGTTGATGAAGCCGAGAAGATCCTGAAGTCGTTCAACCCCGTAACGTACGATGTTGGCACGCACATCAATGCTATTGAGTCATTCGAAGCCAAGGCGGTGGGTGACACTTCTGCAGGAGCGGCTTAACAGGGATTGACTATGGCTTTAGGTTGAAAAGGCCCAGGAAACTGAGGCCAAGATTGACGCTGAGCTGAAGGAATTACAGGCTACGCTTGCTAACATCGAGGAGGCACGTCCATTCGACCAGCTCACTGTAAGTGCTACCTGCAGTTGTATCTTCTCACAAGTGCTATATATTCAACAGGTCAGCGACGTTGGAGAAGCCCACCCTCGTTTGCAAGAAGTTGTGGAGACTATGGTCAAGAAGGGCAAATGGACGGTGCCAGGTACGGATGCTCAATACCCTACTGCTTTCCATGCGTACTGAAGGCATTCATTTCCAGGATACAAGGAGAAGTTCGGTGATCTCAACCTCATGTAACGTACAGTAAATTGTCGCATGGGTGTGATACCGCTATCAAATTGAATTTCACCATTTAGCTTCCAATTGTTTTAAGCAACCACTTGTGCACAACATCCCGAGCAATTTGCTTCCTGTTTCTCTCCATGAACATCATATGTCCGTTACCATATATACCCACACCAGGGAGATTGATATGCTCAACAGCGACGCCCGCTTGCAAGAGGTATTGAGCAGTGCAGTTATCATACAGAGTGTGATAGCCGGACTCAGACGTGACCATGAGGGTGGGTATGCCGATGAGGTTCACCAATTGCCTCGCTGGAGAGGCCTGGTGATAACAGAAAACGTTTACAGATGTATCGTGATAGACCAGATCTCGTACTAGTTCGTCCGAAGAATTGATTGGTGGCAAGTACTGGAGGGGTGTTTCGGTGACACCATAAGGTCGGGCAGCAGTTAAAGGTGGAAACACGGCGTTCATGAAGGGAGGACCGATTGGTTCCAATGCAATCAGGGCCTTGACAAGAGATGGACGAGCGTCGGCCAGTATCCAGCCAAAAGAGCCAGCTTGGGAGTGCACCATGATGATTGCAGGCTAGTGCATTGTCAGCTTCGATCCGGAAGACTATGATCCATGAAGAGCATACTCCAATCTGATCCAAAAGCGCAGTCCCTGCGACCTTAATCTTCTCAGAGGATTCGAGTTCTGATACGAGACTCGGAACTGTGGCCGCATAGAAATTATCAAAAATGGGGTCTCCAACGCTGCCGGTGCCAGGCCACTGTGTATGAAGGGCCGCTTGCGGCCAGATATTATAGCGTTCTGTTGCCGTGAAACGACTCTCGATATAGGTGGTATCAAGTATGGACTGGGGGCCGTCTATGCTCTGTTGCCAGGCGGAGCGTCCTCTAGCAGGCGCATCTACGAGGTATAGCTATGACTTGGTAAGTAGCCTTGACTTTAACGGAGCTTTCTGAAGCGTACTCACTTGATAACCTTCTCCCAGAAAGTAATCCGCCCAACTAGGTTCACCATCGATAGTTTCGAGCAGGTTGGTTCCCGTCATATCACGACCATGAATGAAGACAAGTGGGAAGGGCTGTGTGACTCTGGCTGGGACAAGGTGCTCGACGTACATGGCTCCGTGCGCAACTGTCGACCCATTCTGTGTATCGTAGGATTGGCCGACGTAAAAGTAGGAGCGATAGTGCAAAACCCCCAGGCCCTTGACGCAGAGGCCGAGGAAAAGGACGGTGAATATGGATAGCATAGAACCACCTTACGTCCCTTCGTCCCTTAGCGCCCTCCTTCCTCGAAAGCAGCTGACCAGAGGCAGTTTATCCGGTTCCTTGCGCGAGACGCGCCAGATCGGTCCGAATGTTCATGTCTGCTACATCGAACGGCGACGAGTTCTGTGGCAACGCAAGTCAGTGACAGTCGTCATTGGCGGGATGGTCGTTTGCAGTCTGGAAACTGGCTGGATGGTGGTGGTAGTAAGACGAGAAAGAACGGGGACCTTTTCATTTCATCATTTACTTGACATGTAAATACCGCCATTCCGTTCTCCTATCATTCTTCCTCACTTACCACCATCTCCCTCTGCCATATCCAACGATGGCCTCGACCTCCTGCCATTTCTTTCGCGACCCTCAAGCCGTCCTGGAAGATATACACTACCAGTTTCAGCTCCAGCCCAGTGCTCTAATAAGTCTCGCTAAGACTTTCCTCGAGGAATTCAGACTTGGTCTCTCAAATTATGGGCAACCGATGGCGATGATGTGCGTCGTGTCAATCCATTGCATTCTATACCTGACTGATGTATCAGTCCTACCTTTGTCACCGGCGTCCCAGATGGAACAGAAACAGGGTAAGCGTCGTCCTTGCTCGCCCCGTCATTTATCTGAAAACAAACTCGGCAGGACCTTTCTCGCTCTTGACCTTGGAGGGACAAATTTGTCGGTATTTTTATTTATGCTGGTGATGTGTTGCGATAGCTGAAGGCTGGAACAGACGCGTCTGTGAAGTCGTTTTGAACGGCGACAAGACATTTTCGCTCAGACAGCAGAAATACAAGGTATCAGACACCCTGAAAACTGGAGAAGCTTCGGTGTTATTTGGTCCGTTATCTGCCAACCGAATCGAGTCATCTCTCATCCATCACCAGACTATCTTGCTGATTCCGTCGACGCCTTTCTGACCAGCCATTCCGACGACACTGTCTCATCATCCGCGGATTCCCCAGATGTACTTCCACTTGGATTGACCTTCTCCTTCCCCGTTGAGCAAACCGCGCTGAATTCTGGGAAGATTCTTACCTGGACCAAAGGCTTTTCGGCCAAACACGCCATCGGCAAAGATGTCGTGCAGCTCTTGCAAAACGCATTTGACCGAAAGCATATGCACGTCAAATGTGTCGCGCTAGTAAATGACGTGAGTTTTCACTATTATAATACGTCGTACGTTTAATTGAATACTCTAAAGACTGTTGGTGCTCTTCTCTCACGTTCATATACTTCCGGTGGCTGCATGCTTGGAAGTATTTTTGGAACGGGAACCAATGGTGCATATGTTGAGAAGGTCAGCAGTCTCACCAAGCTAGGTAACTCTCCTGCGGTTGCCAAAGGCGGCGTAATGGTCGTGAACACGGAATGGGGCGCTTTCAACAATTCGCGGAGCCGCCTTCCTTCCACTCCCTATGACAATATTCTCGATCGACAATCGATTAATCCCAGCTTCCAAGCCTTTGAAAAGTTCATTTCGGGCATGTATCTTGGAGAAATCACGCGTAACGTCCTTTTATCATTGATCGACGCGGCGCCGAAACCCATCTTGTTTGGTGGCAAGTCGACGGCGTCGCTGAACAAACAATGGGGAATCGACACGAGCGTAATGAGCGATGTGGAGACCGCTTTTGAAAACTCAAAGCACACGACCGAGAACCCGATCCCCAAATTCTCCGACTTTCAGGATTCCGAATTGGACGAAAAGACAAAGGCCAAGCTTCAGGCAATACGCTCTGTCATCATTAATCGATTGGGCTACGAAGAGACAGATGTTTGCCTTCGAGATGCAGCGGTACGGCCTCTACTTAGTACTTGAAGTCATGTTTAAAGTGTTGTGTTAGATTGTGAAATGGGTTTGCACACTAGTCGCTCGACGTGCGGCTCTACTGAGTGGCGTCGCCGTTGCTGCTGTCCTTTTACAAACCGAGCGAGCGACATTTGCTGATGCCCAAACAAACGGGGTTTATACTGACTCAGACGAACGCTTCAAAGTTGGTGTGGATGGAAGGTGCGTTAGCTGTCTTTCCACCAGTCTGTCAGTTTTCTTCAGGATATATTCTTAGTTTGGTTGAATTTTATCCTCATTTCGAGGGGATCATGCGCGAGTCGATTCGATTCATTGTTGGGGTTGATGTAGAAAAACGAGTGGAAATTGGCATGGCTAAGGATGGCAGTGGCGTTGGTGGTGCGTACCTTTTCTTCCCGTGTAGACCTTACCTCATGTTTTCCCGTTAGCCGCTCTGTGCGCTCTACAGGCTATTAAGCAGCAATAAATTTAACTACCGTACTTGTCGGAATGTTGTACACAATATGTACCCTTGTTAAGAGATGTACATGTAAGTCCATTATTGTACTATAACCTTTTGGATCTTCTAGATGGATCATTCTGTTTGAGGGAGCTCAACTACACCAATGCTTGAAAGGCAGACTGTCTACTTTGAACCCAGCAATGTCTAGTTTTGATGGGGCTACAGATGTTCGGGATTTGATAAAAGCAACACTATTTTCTATTTCAAGGCGCCAAGGCGAGTTCTTAGCACACAAATCTAGCACTTGTGGTGTACATCCCGCTGCTAAGTCTAAGGTCTGTCAGAATTATCTTAAATTACAGGCCTCCATGCTTTCTGTCCTTTGCGCTACCGAATTTCTAACCCTGCATTGTCATCTATCGCAGGGCCTACTATTAAATCCAACTTTCCTGACTCAGCCGTCATTCGAGTTGACGGGGTGTGGTAGGCCTTCTCAACGAACGGCGGTGGCTTGAACATCCCTGTGGCCATCTTCAGCGATTCTAATACGTGGAATGTTAGAAGAGAAGATGCACTGCCTACCATGGGGTATGGAGCAGTGGTCGAGACGTGCGGGCTTCAGACGTGACTCAACTAGTCAGTTCACATTTGAATAAATTTACAACATGCATTAAAATGACCTGACATATGGTTGTATGCATTGTGTAGCTGTGCTACATCAGACGGTGTTACTGGGCCATATACATCGCAGGCTGATGCTAGCTTATGCATGCAAGGTAGCATATATTTTTCGCCACACAAGCCAGGATATGCTGACTCTATTCTCTAGTGAAGGTGTTATAGATGCTGGATACACAGATGTAGATGGATGCTTGTACGTTGTCTACAAAGTCGACACGGTCATGGCTGTTCTCGACCGCGGACAGTACGATGGAACGTCCTCGTCCATTCAGCCGAAGGCATCTATGACTTTTTTTCTCATCGAATTGATCTGCGGGAAGGCTGTACATCTTATCCTACAGCTCGAACGTACCGGGCCCATACACCAAGTCCTCGAGACAACAATCATACTCCATCTCATTTTATCATTACACGGCACGGCACCCCGTAAGTGAACGGGCATTAGACGGATGCTGACACTGGTGAGAATGGGAGCTTCGGGCAGAGTGGGAGGGGTATTTGGATGACATCACTAAGAGGGTAGTCAAAGATTGCGTTAGATATAAGAACGAGAGGGGGATCCGCCTTGGTGTCTCACTGTAATAATTTCAGTCGTGCAAAGCGGCCTGGACGATCGCGGAAAGCCGGTGTGTAGCGGAGCCGAGCCTTCTTTTTGGAGGCAGCGTTCTTCCGATCCTCGTCAATGTCGGCGCAGGTCATGGTAGAATATGAAAGTAGAGCTAGCAGCTTTACCGCTTCTTGGATTTTTGAGGGCGGAAGGAGGATTACAAGGTCCAGCTTCTCATAGAACATGATTGGGGCGCCAAAGCTAAATTGTACTGCGTCCTGACCCCGGATGACGTGGGGAATAGGAGCGCGGACGAATAACATAGATGGCTGGAACCTTCGGTATGTGAAATCGTTTGGTCGTCTATGGTGAATGCTAGAGGGAGGAAGGTTACTCACTCACCTTGTAAGAATCTCGTAAAAGCAAGTATTGGCCGATCCAAGTTCTAAGCCATCGTCGGTAAACCAGAACGACAATCCCAGTGAAAATAATGGCTTGTAGTAATCAGTAATCAGTAATTTTCGCCCTCATCAGTAACGAGCCCAAATAATTCCGTAAGGGGAGTCGGCAGCACAATGCAGATGAGCGATATAAGAGCACAGGTATCAAATAACGAACGAAGATAATAAATAAGAAATGAACGAATAGAACTATATACTATGACCGTTGATGGAATGGTTCCACTGCCTGTTCATAATTGGGAGGCAGTACACCCTCGGTCGTCAACGCAGGCCCAAAGTCCTGCTCCCTGCCTTCAACGAACATACGTGTGGACCGAAGCACCTCAGCGGGAAGATGTTGAATAGACTGATTTGCAGAGGCCAGGGGAACAGTAGGCTGATCTCTCCTTGGACGTGGCTCTGATTGTGACGTCGATGGCGTAGAATGGGACGATGTTGGAAGCTGTGAGTCATCGCCGACGGAAGATACGAGCATGAGTGGAGCCGCCATTGGGTTGCGATGTCCAGCTCTGTAAAATGAAGAGGGATCCTATAGGCCTGTCAGTAACATGAATAGAGCGGATGGAGAAAGACGCACAGAAGACCACGGATTCGTCAGAGACGTGGAATTTTTTCGCGCGCTGGACATAGCAAGACCTTCTGGGTTGGGACCTGTAGCAGACATGCTTGGACGGCTTATGAATGGCTCCACCACGGCCGGATGGATACCAAGAGGACTAGACAAATCCAGCGACACTTGATGGTTCCTTTCGCTATCATCGGCATTCTTTCCCCGTCGCCAGAAGAAGATGATCAAGGCAACAGCGGCTAGGCCGACAACCGCGCCAACAACTACACCCACGATGGCTCCGCTGCTTAAACTGAACGGACAATAAATTGTTGAATATCACGCCAGAAGAAGGATCTCTCACCCTGATGTACCAGAAGACGTATCCTTCGTATTATCTGTGACCACCGCGTAGTCTATGGAGAGGTTTTGTGCCATGTCATTAGGTTTGTTCATGAGGGTCACTGTATGCTGTCCAGGCCCGAGATCTGAAGTTTCGTACAGCATGACACCAGTGAACAAATCCGACCTGGTGCCGTTGAAAGTTCCGACGGTACCGTTGTCCACCTTCACGAGAAAGGGTGATGCACTGGGTCCGATGGAGCCATATATCTGTACTTCTTCTCCATTAAATGTCAGTGTGACCGAAGCATTTGCTTGAGTGGTTTGACTAGGTAAGGCTTAAGTCTTGGTAATCTGTAGAACGCTTAGAAGGAGGGACTCACTGGCCACTCTGATTTTCGAATCCAAGCAGATTGGTCTGTGTAGACCAGGCATCGGATGGTTCATAAGAGAAACTCGGATCACCATCTTGGTATGTTGTTGTGGGAGGGGCGAAGTCTTCTCCAATGGAGACGGTCCATATGACCTGTAAAGAGGGAGATGAGTCGCGAGGCGTACCGAAGTAGGGAAGCATTCACATAGTCGACATCGAGGTAATTGGAGTCATTGGAAGTTTCCGTGTTGGTAAGAATCGGAGTATGGGGACCATCTTGAAGCGAAGAGGCTTCGAACAATGACTGGTTGTAAATACTATTCGGAGAGTGACCGTCAAACAGATTTATAACACCGTCCAGTGTTGCGGAATAAAATCCTGTCAGTGTTTATTCATATATGAGCATATCCATTAGGGAAAGCACCAACCATGGTTTGATCGCTTCGCCCCATAGATTGCTACCCCCGTTCCATTAAAATTGAACGTGGCCGTCGCGCCATTTTGTTGGCAAACGGTAAATGTGCCATTATTCGAATAGCTGCTCAGATAGAGGTCAGTATGGCGATATAACAACATGGAATTTGACTTACTTTGATGCCTCCGGGTCTGCAGTCTTATTCCCGGGTAGCCACGCCGAAGAAGGCTCATAGGAAATCATGGGGTTAACATCGTCAACAGTGTACTTGACATTAGGCATCAGGGGAATTGTGAGGATGGGAGGAGGAGGGTAAGGATAAGAAAACCTCTGAGTAATAGGTGCTAAGTTTCCATCGATTTGAAACGACAGTGATTCGTTTCAGCATTTGTTCGCAACAATCCCGCTCCAAAAGCAATCTGGTGCCTGCGCCATGCTAAACAGCAGAAGTTGGCCATTTTTAGAACAAAGAGTTCCTCAAGATAGCCTCTGATTCATGAAAGAGTGCACTACTAGTCTAATCGTTCTTTTTGGGAGGGAAACAAGTGATTGCAGAACAAGATCAGTCCAAGTTTCACGTTTTATTGCAGGCACGTGCAGGGGATGGCCTAAAATTCAAATTTCGAGTTCTTTCAAGTTGACGCGATGATTGGCCTTAAGAGCACTCTCAATGTTCGTCTTTTCTTTGTCTACTATCATTCTACTAACAAATGAATACTAGGTGATAGACAACTCGGGAGCTCTCATTGTTGAATGCATCAATGTCCTGAAAAACAAAGTCAACAACGGATGGGGGTCCGTCGGTGACGAGATCGTATGCGTCGTCCAGAGTGCCAGGCCAATCACTGCAGCGGCGCAGGCCTCTTTGACTGCTATCAAGGTCCGAAGAGGAGATGTGCGGCGTGCTGTTATTGTACGCACAAGAAAACCAGTACGACGACCAGACGGCCGAATCGTTCGCTTCGACGACAATGCCGCAGTGCTGCTAAACAACAAGAAGGAAATGCTGGGGACACGTGTCGGTGGCATCGTGAGTGCGGATCTACGGATGAAGGGGTGGGGTAAAATCGTCAGTCTGGCACCCAGAGTACGTACGTCTTTGGCCTTCATATGTGCTGTTTTTCTCATTTTTTTCGCAGGTTGTGTAGCGTTCTTGTAATATGTCAGTTTATCTTTGGCAGCGGCGGACTGGATTGATCTCAGATTGCCGCTTCTCTGGGTGGTCCGGTTCGAAACAATGTTAATGGGACCCTAGCTCTATATTTTCATTCTCCTACAGGTCCTAGCAGTCGTCAGAATGGATACTTTCTCATTGGATCCTCTACTATTCCCTTCTCTTCCTGCTCTTGTGCGCATCTGTCCAAATACTCCAACAGAATATCACCATATATCGATCCTGCTTTGTATGCCCTCACGCTCTCAGGCCATCCCCTCACAGCGCTGGCCATCCTCCCAGGAACTGCAGGCTCTTTAGCCAAAGTCTCTACTGCGATGACATATGTCCGAATACCAAAGATTATTGCACCAGACAATGGCAGCCTTCGAAGAGTCTGCCGCTCTGTCCTTAATCTAAGAGTTTCGGGTGTTACCAGCGGAGGCTCGGTCTGCCTACCATGCCTGTGTTCAAATTCTGTCTCCGGTCCATTTAAAACCGAGGACCAAGCCAGTTCCTCTGGATCTACGAGGCCGTCTCCATTATATGTCGGCGGTACGATTTGGATGGAATAATTGTTACGAATGACAGGCTTGTCGACAGGAAGGCGACGGAAAAATCGTGTGAGACTGACATGTAGTTTTTCGCGATCTACTCCGTTGTCAGGCTGGCTTGGATCAGTGAAAAGAACAAGACCCCTTACACTGAGGAACGGTGACATGTATGTCTTCCATCGCTAGGCCTATCTTGTCTCGCAAGCGCCAATTCCCTATACGCCGGTATTGGCTATGCAATAGTATGGCAGTAGTGGGAATGTACAAACCTGCAACGCAAATGGCCCCTCCTTGGAAATAGTACCGATCGTCAGAGCCTGCTGAGGCGTTCCGTCAGGCTGCGCAGAAATCGTATTGGCGAAATCTGACCTTCTACCATGATAGCTAGATCATCTTGTACCAACGAAGCAGCGATTTTCATAGCATTTTCGGCTTCCTCCATTTCTACACTGCGAATAACCAGCGGGCTTTCCTTGCTGTCTAAGAGCAGGGGAGGCGGGAGGTCATAGTTTATGTCAACCGGAACAACGTAAATAGTTTTAATGGGACTCTGGGAGGATTCCGTCATCCGTGTAACATGGAAGGCCGTTGGGTATCTCTTATGCAGGTACTCGGCTAGTTCGTGAACGAGTTCGATCGCTGAGGAGCATGGTCAGAAACAGGCAAATATCAATAAGGGGAAACGCTTGCCTGCATCGTACCCAGATTTTACGCCAGGACTCGCAGGAAGGAGGCGCAGAACATCGCCGTCTTTCGTGTTCATTCGATGCTCCCTGATACGCTGGTACCTGGCGTATGTGTTATCGATCTACATGATGGGGAGGACCTTAGCTCCAGAACAACTGAATGAGTATTCTATGAACCTCGATCCAATCTTCCCAAGGCATGCTGCGTGTGCCCATTGTGACGCTTGTATAAGTATTTCGTAAGATTATTATAGTTAAAAGCAATGCCATGGACGTACTGATATTGACCCCATCTGAATGGCCTATATAGAATCGGTTTGATGTCAGGCAGATCAAGAGGACACGGCGGAACAGGTGGATATTGGAAGACTCTTGGTGTCCACTCTGCACAGAAAGTTAATGAAACGTTTCCCTTTGTGATCACAGATTCACAGCAACGCACCTCCAGGAACACGTTCTTCGTTGATATCCACGGCATTGGAGCTCGTTTTCGTAGAACCCACTACTGAAGAAGGCTTTCGTTTTTCGGATCTCAAAGCCAAAGACGTGACCACAGTGAGGAGAAGAATCACGATCCCGGACTTTGGAGTGAGGAACTCTGATAATTTGTCGCCTAGTAAGGAGAAATAACGGTCACCCATAACGACGGTATCCTTTATGAGCAGGCTGATTCCTCGAGGGTCAAAGAGTGTATATATGCCTTCCTGGAGTCCCGTAGGAGTTCCCGCCGAAATTCCGGACTAGTGGCCGTAGGCAAAGATCCGGGATATAGATGAGAAGATTGACGATGACATGGATCCGATAAGATCTATCCGCTATACCGATACCCTCTGATCCAGATCAGAATCAAACATTATGCAAGCTGAAAAAAGCCGAACACTGTTGAACAGTGACGGACCAATAGCAATCATAGTACCAATAATACAGAAATCGCACAAGACATGAATGTTAAGTGCGAAATAAGAATGAACTTGGATTCTCATGCGTTGGGCTTGCGTGAATGCCTTCCGTTTGTCTGCCCATTGTGGCATGGAGATTGCATGCCCCGGCCTTTGCAATGCTGGCCGCGGTTCTTTTTTCATTTTCTTAACCATAGTGAGAGCTTCCGGAAGTTAGCGATTGGGAATATGTAACAAGCTTTTTGTAGAAGCCAGCATCTTCAGCATTTGGGAAACCAGCAAAACTCACCTACGAGGTATTCTAAGTCGTCCGTCCTAAGAGCTCTCTCGCCTCTTGCCATCCCATCCTCGTCCTCTCTTTTCCAAGTGATTCGCCTCTACTAATCTCCTCTTGGTCTATCTTCTTCCAATCTTCATAACCCACCACACTTCCGGCTGCAGCATCAATCTCAGGGGGTGGATTTGTCGGATGGGGGTTTGGGTTCATCAAAGACACTCCTTCACTGGCATCCCCGTGGTCTAGATCACTCAAAATTGTATCAGCGACGGCATAAGCGTCCATCATGGTGGCTGCCAAGACGCCTTTGGCTCCCATCGATGCCCAACCAGACGCGTACATGTTCTTCAAAACGCTCCCACTAACCAGATCTTTGCCTCCGGGTAGGTCTGGGACGATAACGCGTCCAGCCTCGGTGCGCAGGTGCCCGAGAGACGAATCGTGGAAAGGAGATGAAGAATCATCCGCGTGGAAACCCAGGGAGGTAATTACAAGGTCTGTAGATAACCTGGATGTCTCCCCCGTTGGAATAGCACGACGCGGATTAGCTGGATCGATAGTGGTATGCGCCAGTGATAATTCAGCGGGCCCAAGTGGGTCTTCGGACGCTAAGCCGACTGGAGACCGGAAGAACTCGAGGGACCAGGTCTTCTTGGTCGATCCATACGGATTTTTGGAGCCCTTCTGCATAAGTTGTATGCTTCTGCTTTGCGCTCGAGAAACCTCCTTTCCCGTGGGGACCACAAGAAGCTCTGGAGGTATGGGTGCCATAGACGCGTCTCGGATATTCATCATCTCGCGGAGCTCCTTAGTAGTGAAGGCAGCATCAAAAGGCCCTCTGCGCGCGACAATAGATACGTGCTCGATGGTTGAACGTTCGAGGACCGACATGACGCTCTCGGGCACGTCATACGGTCGTAACATATCTGGAGGCGTGAGCAACATCCGTGCAACATCTAGTGACACGTTGCCGTTTCCTATGAGAGTCACATGCTTCAAACGTTCCAGGGGAGGTACAGCAGGTAAGGATGGATGTTGTGTGTACCAGTGTACGACGTTAAGAGCTGGGATGCAGTGCGAGGACGGTGGTAGAGCAGGGTGAAGAGTAGGGAGTGGGCATCCAGAGGCGAAGAGAAGGTGAGTGTAGTTAGCGTACAGTGACGACAACGGAAGCTGGACAGCATGTTGAATGACGTTCATTTGCTCTGACTGGTGCTGGATATTCACGTTTCCAAAGAAACGAAAACGTGGATCAGTGGCCGTGTGGTCGAACTTGTGAGTGCAATTCTATTGGACATGTAAATAATTGGTTCGGAAAGCAAGAAATATACAAACTTTGACTTCCGGATGATCTGGAGCTACGCCGTATCTGACCAATCCATGAGGTGCCCAAAGACGGTCGAATACATGGATTCTGTGCGCGTCCTGCGGCAGACGAGAGAGCAGCCTTGAGGCGACATAAAAGGCAGACGCGCCGCCCCCAACTATAGCAAGTTTCATGGTACAGCGTAAATTCACCTCAACATTTTCGGACAACACGACTCAGTAAAAAGTGATGATGATAGTGGGTGGGAGTATGAGTCATCAAGATCGGGGTTGATTCCCTTTCTAAGTCTCTGTTTATTTATAAACGGAACATAAAGCTAAAATAATGTTTTCCCTACAAATACTTTAATGGCCGCATACGTGGTCATCATGTCGATGCCGGACAATGAAACTTGCTCGAGATTTACGAAAGACTCTATGACGGCGGACAGTGTGTCGTCAACGGATATCCACGGCGATTCTGACTCTGGGAATCTCTGGGGAGAGGGTCCGACTAGGCGCAGCTTGTACACCAGAGGAATGATATCTGGCGATGCCTACGTCAAGGACAGGAATCTACTAGACGATAGATTTAGTCCCAATTCCACTCGAGATCGCTGAAGAAAACAACGCCCAGCAAGCGCACAAGATTTCAAGGCCTTTGGTTCATCCTTGAGATAATCGATGAAGAGGTCGACAATGTCCTGCACCACGGTGGTGGCGGTCATCGTGACAGACATAAAAGAAAGTCCCATGTGTTGCAAGCAGTTCTGTATCAAAAACGGCATAGATTCCCAACAGCACCGACTCTGAAATGAAGGGCCTGAACGTGTTATTTAAAAGGCGTCGCATATGTAGCATCTACTGTGCTTCGCTACACACCATACGATAACTATAGCCGATCACCATAGCCTTTAAATATGAGATGGCCGGAATTTGTTGAATATGCCTCGAAACGAAGGCTTTTTGAGGGGCGCCGACCATGAGCGGGACCGTAGCAAAAAACTGAACATATGAGATGCAAATGACAAGAACTCGGTCAGCTATTGGACCCTTTCCTGGAACGCATATGTTTCACTAGTCACTTGGCATAAGAAAATACGATATACACTAGCATGTTCCGTTCCGTTATAGGAGAAAGTGGTGTGTGTGTGTGTTATTAACATCGAATCAGTATAGATATCTGAAAGATTGGACCCTCTCCCGTTCGTCTTGTGCTGTTACATTCACCAAGCTATTAAGAAAGGCCCGTCAATACACTGGGGTATCACGCAATCACTCGGATAAAACGTACTCTGCACTTTGCTCAATGACTTTGGCACTCGCATCGAAAGCTTCTGCCTCTCCTTTCTCGATCTTTTTATTCAGTGAGATCAAGTATTGGCGGTACACTGTCAATGTCTAAGTAACCTTGGATTGGATGTTCATAAACAGGCACACTCACCAAATCCAATGGACAAACTCAATACGAGAAGACATATCTCGGTGGTAAACGATTGCCAGTACTTAGAGCCCCACTTGGAAGGCCATAGATAAGACGTGGGAATCTAGACATCCAACACCTTAGGATGACGTTATAGAAGATGAAGTTTCTCAGTGTACTTGACCGATGTTGGCAAATCCGTTGACAAAAGCGATAGATGCTGCCCTCTTCACAGGCGGTCGGGGGATGGATGTACTAATCCAACCGAGCAAAATGATACCACCTTCAAAGAATGGGTCTGTGACAATGCGGACGCTTGACGGCGAATTGTACTTGCCACTGAAACCCATGCACATCCCAAAAAGAGAGACATATCTTCCGGCCACCGTTTTCGCTGTTTGCAAGCCTCAGCACCACCAACTGACGTGAAACACAATGCATCCACGAACCTGAAAGGGCGACAATATATCCCAGAAGCGCAAACCCATAACTGAGCGCAATGTGTCCGAACTTCTCGCCCGTCCGGTCCGAGTGCCATGAATTTGCAAGCGCAAATAAAGTGGCGAAAGCCCAAGGAGGAAAGGTGAGCAACAACGTGATGGTAGTGGAAAACCCGAGTGTAGCGGTGATGGTTGGGAGGTACTGACTGAACGACAGGCCCATGATATATGTGAAATACATAAATCTGAAAAGATTCACATCAGCACATTGTACAACGGCGGGCGGAGGAAATCTACGCACGCCAGTCCCCAAACTTTGACGTCGGTTATGGCCTGCAGGAGACCATGGAAAACGCCAGAGCCGGAGCGTTCTTCCTCATCGGGATTATCCACGATCCCAACGTCCTTTACGAGACGGCCCTGTGCGATCAAGCGCTCTCGCTCAGAGAGGGACTTGGTCCTGGAACATTGTCAGCAATGAAAATTTCTCCCTGGAAACCAACAAGGAGGTCACGTTGAGGGGTAGTCGGCCAAGACGAAGGGAATCAGGCAACCGAACGCGACGGTAATGGTCCCTTCGATAATAAAGAGCTGCGAACACCGTCAGCCGAACCAAGCGCAGTAGGTTTTTGCTGGAGGTTAACGTACCCATCGCCATCCCCGAATACCCCTGGTACCTTCCATTCCACCAAGAATTCCTGCGGCAAGTAGTCCACCTAGACCTTGGGCCAGCATGTTCCCGGCGTTCAGACTAAACGATCATTTTTTAGTAACTGAAAAAAGATACGGTGAACCACGCGACTGACAAAGCAATTCTAAACCCGATCTCTTTGCGAGTGTACCATCTCGAGAGGTAGTATACAGACGCGGGATAGAAAGCAGCCTCTGGAATCCCTATTAATAGAACCGACGGGTCCAAAGACGCGATACGCACCGACAAATCCGAGAAAGAACCGACAAACGACAAGGTGCGAGAAGTCGTGGCAGAGCTGGAAAGAAGGTACATAAATCCGGCCTGCTCTAGAGCCATGTACGCACGGATGTCAAGGCAGAGATTCCTCCCCAAAGAATGACAACCGCCGAGATGAAGAGACGAGGATATGGGATGGTGTTCATAACTAGATTCGAGGGAACTTGCATCTGGAATGACCGTTAGGTTAGGGCAGGGTGATCCCGTGGCAACAAGAGGATTGTGAACGTACAAAAATGTATCCCGCGAATAAGACGGAAAGGGTTGTCGCGTATTGAGTATCATTAAGATGGAGATCACTCTGCAGGCCTTTCAGACGAGCATTAGCTAGATTCCCTCGCTATAAAAGGTTGTCAGGAGTGCATCCTCGCTTTCGACAAAACCTCACGTCCTAAGCACTCCATTAACGGACATTCACGAAGTTACCACCCTGTACTACTCACAATGAAGTTTAGAATGAAGAGCTAAATAGCCGTTGCACGGAAAAGGTCAGTTTCACGACTGCGGGCCGAAAAAGGGGGACGTACGATGACCAGCGCAGGCTAGAAGAAGCAACTGGTGAGTTCAGATTGAACAACAGTAACGCTGCCTTACCATGCACCGAAAATCTATCTTTCGTACGAGCCTTCGTTCCTCAGCTTCAGTCCATTGTTGAGCTCTTCGTTCGGCCACATCGGAGTCACCGCCCGTAATCTTGGAGTCTTTGGTATCAGAGTGAATTGACATGGTAGACGGAGGCAAAAATACCTGGCCTAGTCGATCATTTATCTCTCAGGCGTGGTAACTTGATTTGGAGCCCTGTCCGGCACAAAGCATGTGCCTTTGAAATTTTTGCGATCGACCGTCATTCTTGATCGGGCCTGATAAGATATGGGAAGTCACGGAAGGATCTCGCGTTAAACCGGGTCCTTCTTCCGCGGATACTGTCAATGCTTCTTGCCGGTCTGGCTTTTATTTAAAGACAGGATGTGGGGAATCACTGTACGCTACGGAACATGTCGTACTCATCGATTCCTGCCCCATCTGTCGCCACCGCGAAAGATGAGCGTTTGGGACTACATAAAGTCATGGCAGATGCCGCGCAAAGCAACCCTCGGAAACCTGTCGTAGGCAAGTGCTCTCCCACAGAAGTTTTTTTATTCCTTATCGGATAATTATTGTAGGATCATGGCTAATGCTTCCCGGAGCCTCTCTCGCACGAATGACTGCTCAGATGGGCTATGATGCAAGTCAAGAACCCTCTTGGCTGTAGTGCAATATCTCTGACGGTGACTATAGTTCGTATTGGTCGACTGCGAGCACGGGGACATAGCAGATGCTGCGATGCATGCGTCGGTTGGTGCCATTGCAGCCCAGGGAGTCTCTCCCATTGTCCGCATACCGGCTCCTGAAAATTGGCTCGTGAAACGCACGTTGGACACTGGGGGTGAGCCTATCGCTTCTTGTCTATTATTTCTTGCCAATAATAACATTTGTTTGTGTAGCACATGGAATACTCTGTCCCATGATGTCCACCGTTGAAGATGCGCGCGCTCTAGTATCTTACGCAAAATTCCCAGCTCTCAAGGACAAACGGACAGCGGAAATGGTATCGGGCGTGAGAGGTGTAGGCTCACCGTTCGCTCCGGCTGTTTTTGGAATGGGCATGGGCGAGTATGTTGCCACCGCTAACAGGAACACATTCATTGCCGTCCAAATAGAGACAGTAGAAGGCCTAAACAACTGTGAAGAAATAGCCAAAGTTGATGGCGTAGGTTGGTGGCTCTTGCGAATTTAGAATGTCCTTACATTCTGACTGGCGAGAACTTCCGATTAGATATGCTTTTCATTGGGTATGCTTCCCATCACCCTGAGAGACTGACTGACTGACGCCGCCCATTTTCAGGCCTAATGATCTTGCTTCATCAATGGGATACCCACCACTAGAGCATCCGAATATACCTGAGGTTCAAGAAGCCATCAAGCGTGTTTTGGGTGCTGCTAAGGCAGCCGGGAAGTATGCTGGTATGTTCTGTACAGCGGCGGAACAAGTGCAGGCCAGATTTGAACAAGGCTGTAAGCGGCATCAAATGACTGATTCTCAATTAGAGAAAAGCATCAATCTGACTTGTTTTGCACAGTTGATTTAATGAATTTGGGCGCTGATGTTATTGCGCTAGGCGTGTGGAATGCCGTTGAATTAGGAAAGCTGAAGAATATTCGATCGTAGACTCCAATAATACCATTCGCATATGCATAGAATCCCCTCTCCTCTGCCAAAATCAAGCATATGAGGAAATCTCCCTCCTAGTAAATATACTTGGTGAGCAGGAGCAACTGAAACTACGTAGGAAAGAGAGGCATTCCGAATTTTTTTCTTTGATGCTGAATGAGCCCTACTTGCAAAACAGCTGTGCAAATACACTGTTGCGTGACGAGATTCTCATTTATGCCATTAGTATTTCTATAGGATATCCTTTTCTACGTAGATCTTCCAGTGGTGGTGAGATGTAGCTTTGGTTAATAAAGGGAAGGTACATGCAAAATATGTCCAGCCACAAAGATACGGTCCCTTGAGCCCACCAGATGCGGTCTGCGGAATTATGACAAGAATAACGTCCGTGATTCTACTAAGGCACTGACACAATCGATCACCTGGGACATCCATAGTGCCTAACATGGGTATTTCTAGATATCTGTATACCTGTAGACGAATTCATTTTCAAATGTACTCATAACAGAACCGGCAGTTCCGCCTGCAGGCAATTACTTGAATAGTAAGGCCGCGTCTAAGACGAACAATACCCACCGACATACGACCCGAACCGACCGTTCGTGAGACAGTCTCAAGAATCGTAGAGTCGACTGGTTCCTGGTGAGTAGACGTGAGTATCTGAAGGGAATATATACGGTCATCGGGCAACTCACACAAGGACGAAATTCTCCCGAAAAGCGCGGCCAGTCTGTTGTCTCACGGGCAATCAGAAGTCTGACCAGATAACTGAATAGTACCAGTGCTTGACTCACGGTAGTTGCGTGGATGAGTGAGTTAATTGCGAATCGAAGCATATACTCACGAGAACGATATCACCGGTACTGGGATACTCTTGACAGCCTTGCTAGTTGAAACCTGGTGTATTTTTTTTCCTGTACCAAACGTCGGGTTCAGTCCATCAAAATAGATCACTCAATGTTAATGACATATTCCCTACCTTCTGTCAAAGAACTACAACATACGGAGCGGATCTCTAACTGCGAAGGAGGGTGCTTATGGAACATACCGGGGCTTCGTTCGAGTCAGCCATTCGTGGAAGGGACTCGGAAGGTGATAGGTGTCGCGCCGCACTAGAAATTCCAAGAGGATACAGACAAGACATGATCTTTGCAGATAGCCTTCAAAAGGCCGAAAGGACTTGCAGGATAGCGGACTGACGGAAGAGTGTGTAATCATGATGAGAGTAAACGAGTTCATAGGGCTGGCCCGTGACAGAGGACCTGCCCTTCAAGCCGCTCAATGGCAACATTCCAAGAATACTCCTTCCTCAACCAACGGCTGACTGGTATTCAGGCATACTCTCCCCTTGATATTAGTTGGCAAAGACGGCGGGCAGGAACGCACAAGTGAACAGAAAGGAAACCGTGACAACTTGCGTTTTCGCCACGCAATAGTCACATGATGTGTCGGCCGCACCATATCAAGCCAAGGCCGCGGATGAGCCGCGGCCGAGTACCGCTTCCCACCAAGATGCAGAACGCGTTTGTATCCTATCAAGAGTTAGATCGTGTACTTTGTACTTAAGAGCAGGCGATAGTTATGGGACGCTCACTCCATTGCTTCGATCCGTGGAATATTTCTAATGGCCTCTTCCTTGAACCCCAACTTCAAGCAGCTCCATATTGCGGTTGTTGGCGGCGGCTTGGCCGGTCTTTCCGCTGCTGTCGCGCTCCGTCGTGCCGGTCACTTGGGTGAGTATTTACCTGTCTTGTGAACGTGTTTAGTCTCATATTAAGCAACAGTTAACATTTACGAACGGCGCGACTTTAACGTTGAAGTCGGAGCTTCCATCTCCTGTGCCGCTAATGGCACTCAATGGCTACGGGAATGGGACGTCGATATTGCTGACATGAAACCTGTTGTCCTGGTAAATAAACGTCTCCATCACCATCTCTCTGTGAGAGTTACTGTCTAATTTTCCAGATGAAACTCGTCATGCACGACTGGGATACCGGTAAGATCCTCAATCAGTACAACCTTGACAACTACGAGAAAGAATGGGGCAACGTCTATAACATGTTTCATCGTCAGGACATGCACGCCACCCTCCTCAAGACCGCCACTTCCTCCGAAGGAAAAGGCACTCCTGCCACCGTTGTCATCGACCACATGTGAGTACTCTTTTCTAGAGTTGCTTTCAAAATATTAATATATTACGTAGTTGTCAGTCCGTTGATCCAGAGAAGGGTACTGTTACTTTCACCAATGGCCGGACCATCTCTGCAGACCTTATTATTGGGGCTGATGGTATCAGGGTATGTCTAACTGATCTCTCCCTATCGATGCTTATCCCTCCAACGAAAAGTCGGTTGTACGCGGGCAAATTGGCATTGTTCCCCAGATGAAATCTGGACCTCAAACCTGTTATCGCTGCAATGTCTTGACGTCTGATGTCAAGAAGTTTGGCTTGGTCGATTACTCATATGAGCCTGCCATGTAAGCCGACCTTCTGATATTTGCGGCAACTCGGCCTTATTTTATTGCCCCTCCAGCCACTACTGGGGCGGAATGGAGGGCAAAAACCGGCGTTCCAAGTTCTACAAGATTGTCATGTCACCCTGCTCCGGCTATGAAATCGTCTCGTTTTACTGTGAGATCTCCAAAAGTTTTCAAGTTGTTATTCATTGTCAATCTCTCCAGGTTTCATGCCAACCGAAATGACCAAGCACTTCGAGGAGGGATTCCTGTTCGAAGAAGCTCCCATTGAAGATATCCTCATCGGACGATATGATGAGTTGGATCCGGACTGCGTTGCACTTCTCAAGCACTCTATTGACCGGATGCCTTGGCGACTGTATAAACACGAGCCCTACCCCGTGCGTTCCCTCTTTATCCTCCTGTCACGCCTTGCCCACTCGATGTCGACAGAACTGGTATAAGCACCGCGCCTGCATTCTCGGTGACGCCGCCCATCCCATGATGCCCCACCAATCTCAAGGTGCCTGCATGGCCATCGAGGATGCCGCCTCCCTGGGTATTATTTTCTCCGACAAGTACGACTTTACCAACGACATCGAGGCTGGCTTGGCTATGTACCAGACTATCCGCAAGCCTCGCGGCACCCGTGTCCAGGATGCCTCGTGGCGAGCGACCTTGAACATCAACGAGCGTATCGGATTTACCAGTCTCACCGCACCAGAAGCCGAGTTGGCTGCTGCCGCTGACAAGCTGACTAGTGAGCTTCAATCTTTCTTCCTAACGAGCATTCCTGACCTGGGTTAGTTAATGAAATGAACAGTTACAAGATGCACGATCACGTCGCAGCGGAAGTGACCAAACTATCTGCGCCTGCTCAAGTTTAATGAATCCAGTTTTAGAATTATTTACATTAGATAGCGCATGACACTGTATATACAATAGACCAAAGGTAACTAACTATTCTGTTATGTATTATCCTTCGCGGGTACACCACTATAAAATCCTGAATTCGTACCCCCACTAAAAGGCCAGTCCTGCTGTTCATGGAAAGCCTGCCATAGCACTTGGGCGTTTTCCTCAAACATTTGAGCGCTTGGTTGCGCCGAAGGCTTTATCACATTCCCCACTAAAGCAAGAAGATCATCTCCGAGAAATTCGTTAGAAAAAGGAAGCCCGTCAACATGTTGTCCAGCATATATAGCATTGATATCCAGAGATAGTTGTGGCGGCGTTGGGTTGGAAGGAGAGTAGACATGTGGTGGAGGTGGTGGACCCATCTGATGAGTAGGAGATTGAGGTATTCGCGAATGGCCGGACACAGGGTTATGTTGCGACGGAGAATAGGAGTGTTGTCCAGGATAAGGGCCGTTCGGTTCTGCGACCGGTTCCATCGAAGTACGAAGATTGGATAGTCGCTGGTGTGATCGCCCTTCCGCGAGACCGGGATCCATCATTCCGAGGCCGCTAGAATGATGCGAACTGTTATTAAGAGTCTTGTGTCCCTCAGAAACGTGGGAGGACGACGGTATGCCGTTCTCCCATGCGTGCCCATTGACACGATTTCGTTGTGAGGAAGCAACTTCGGCATCAGATCTCTTCCGCTTTCCTCGCGACGCCGACGCCGTTGAGCTGGTTTGAGAGGTTACCAGTCAATGACTGCGCTATCAACGCATAACAAGAGCAGCTGACCTGAGCGGTTCGGGTCGTTCCTGATTCTTAGATGAAAGTGACTGGGCTTGTTGTTGGGCGGCTTGTAAATCCTCGATTGCAGACGAACCACCATACAATCTCGTCTTTACCATTACCAGCAGATCAGAAACGATTTCCCCACAGCGCTTAGATGCAGGCCATATTTCCTGCATTTTTTCCAGAATTTTGACGCATTTCTCGGCATCATTTATGATGGCAGTAACAAGTTCTTGGTGATTCAGGTAATAGACGCAACGAAGAAGAGTTATACCACTCAGCTAGACAGGCTTAGTGTTCAAATTCGTATCGCCTGAATTTAGGTGCAGATGCTTACTGTAATGAATTGGACCGCGAACGCCAAATGGTGCGAAGTTGGAAGCATCTGTCAATATGGAATAAGTAAGAAGGGATAGCCGATCACCGACACTTGCCTCTTGCGTTATTTCACCTATCCTGATACCTGATAGAACATTGTGATCGATGAGAGGTAATAAACATATGGCAGGGGGCCTGACTCACAGGATCGTGCGGCGCTCATGCACTGACCCAACGAAGTCAGATCAGGAGATAAAGAGGTTCCGTCAGGGATGAATGGTCGATCTGGAGAGGAGATTGGTTAAGACGACGGATAAAAGAGAAAGCCGTGATACGAACGCAAGTCGATGACAGCGGAATAATACACAAAGAAGGTAATGAGACATAGCGTTAGCATCTTGCGATTTTGTCGGTTGTTTGCGGCAAATCGAACGCTTGGAGGTAAACGGTTCAACCAATGCTCTAACTCGGCATCAATAGCAGAAACTGTTTTTCGTGTTTGTTCGCTTAGAGGGTCATTAATTTGCAGGGAGTGCACGAAGCGCATAACTTTGCCCGCTATGATATATATTTCAAGGAGCCTGAAATGAGGGTTTTAGCGGCCTCTGATAGAACCGACCACCATACGTACGCAACAAAGCCTGTCATGAATGATTCCCCGGTCTTCGAGATATTAACACCTTCGACAGACGCAAGGAGCTGAGCATCATCAAGCTCGGCCGCTACCAGAAAGCTTAAACATCTGTAAGTGGAGGGAGTGCAATGACTGCTCACGCATTTCGACATTACAGTCATCATCATGGGCGCCGCTTGGCCTCCCCAGTGCGATAGAAAGAACACGATCAATACCATAGACACACCACCACACTCGCCTGCGCATCTCTTTCTCAAAAGGAGGCAAAGACGATCGGCGCGATGAGCGCTATAATAATATAAGCAGGGCAGTCCAAGCAGTCGAATATTGGACGCACGTGGAGCCCCAGATCCTGCGCTCTACGGACGGCCTGACCGGCGTTGATCCAACTTTGGGCAAGAGCTATAAGAAGTGAGCAAAAGTTACATGTTGTGGGTATAACATTCCTCACTATTCCAATTCGCGTTACAGATGGCTAGAATGGCGACGCATTGCACCCTGGATGAATCCAATAAGACCATTATTCACAGATCTACCGCGAACGTACAATTCAATTTGAGATAATCCAGCACTCGTCCAAAACAGAAGCTGAGCCTTTTCATAGAACCTAATGTGTGCAAAAATTATGAAAGTGAATCGATCGACAGGTAACGGACATACTCCATGCCGCCAAACCGCCGCATTTGGGGATCAGTGCTTTTCCCCTTCTTCGATATACATGCTCCACAAGCAAATACCGCGAATAAGGACGCTAGAAAAGCACTGTCCTTGGATGGTTTGCCGGCCGACTTGGCCGTCATAGTTTTCGTGTAACGTTCCAGGAATACGTGTTGGTGGAGTATTGGAAAAGTATAATGTATGTGGGTGAAATAGAGGGATACGAGTTCATCTGCTCGTTCAGATGAAGGATAATCGATATCTTCCGGGCGCGGTCTAGAATGATCTAATATTCATGGGCACTGGTTTAGCATATAAACAGTACTCACAAAGCCTCTTGTACTTTGAAACGGCCGGAAGGATCAAAAAATGGAAGAGTAATATCTGCGCTTTTATTGGAGTTTTGGGAGTCCGGAGAAGCGTCGCTGGCAGAATCTTGTAATGTGGTTAATGCTTCAACGAGCATGAATGTAGATGTTCCTCCCGTATACCTGAGATGCCGACCTTAAGCTAGAACGAGGTGCAGAGTAGGAATGTGCTCACCGCAGATTTCCATAACTATCTTTCGTGAGATGCGAGAATCTGTCCGACCATTGCTCCGGGCCCTCGTTTTCATCCCCATCCATTATCTCGGATGCGGCGGTGGGACTCAAAACGGAGCCACTTGGATATCGAGAGAGATGCTGAATGGTTGCAGATGGGCGATACGGTACGCGGGGGTGCGATAGCTCGGGTGTGGACTTGTGGGAATTCTGCGAAGGCTGGGAAGGACCAGAATCACTGTTGGGAATGCTAAAGCTGTAGGAGGTCAACTACAGCTCAACTACGAGCGACAAAACGCACGGAAATTGCTGGGGATTCTGCCGCATCCATGCCTCGAAAGCCTTCGTAATTGGTAGCAACTTCTCTAGATTCTCCTCCACCTTTGCTAGTCTTGAATCGACGGTGTTTGCTTGTCTGCAAAGTAAATGATGGTGAGGAAGGCGATGACTGCAATAAATCGTAATTCATACTGTCGGGCGACCGCAGCATTGTCATTGATATCCTTGACTTGATATACCCGTTAAGCTCCGGCGCAAGCAACAAAGTGAAGAACATACAGCTGCATATCTTGCCTGAAGACACGCAGTAGGCACACGGCTCCTGGAATAGAGGTCGGGACTGCATGGATAGCAACGAAAGAGGCCAGGCTCACCTGACCGTTACATTTGACCTAGACGAAGGTCAGAGTCAGACGTCGGCGCCATCTGGATGCTGCTGGGCAGGCGCACCTTCCGTTTCCTACAGACCTCGCATGCCCGCCAAACTCGCGCTCTCACGTTCAGTTTCCTGATCAAAGTCGAATACACGGGTGAATTTCTGTTCGCAATTTGTATAATTTCCAATTGCCAACTCACCGCTCGCTATTTTGAGGACCGCCATTGTTCTCGTTAGACCCCTCAGCCTTGTCCGACATCCAGTGATACAGGAGAAATGGACGAAATACGGTCTACACGACGCCAAAGATAGGAATACTCAGGCAGCAGTGACCCTCGACGGTGACTGTGACTGCCGGATGTTATTTGTCAGGTGAATCAATATATTATAGATCAAATCTCTCTCGACAGTCAAGCATGAATATAAATTCAACGAATTCAAGGTCATTATACCTGCTGGTTCATGATAACCACCTTCAAGTCGTCGCCCTTTCTCACTGCCTCCAATGCCTCTTTGCTGCGCGACAGCGGGAATACTGCAGTAATCATCGGCTGCAGGTCTATCTTGCCGCTCTCCATTAAATCGATAGCCGTCTTGAAGCATCCTGCAGTGTACCTTACGCTTCCGATGACATCCAACTCCTTCGCCACGATCTGGAAAGTCGGGAACGAATTTATCGCTCGCCCAAGGCCCGCTTGTACGTCTGCAATCACTGCAGCTTAGCGTTGATCTATAAAGGGAAGAAATACCCACATGTTCCCCCAGAATGTACAAAGGTAATACCAGCCTGCATACATGCCTCGGCGCCTGACGCCTCTACGCTGATATCAACACCCCACGAATCCACCCCGGCTTCTTTCAATACGGATGCTTTAAATCCTTCTGCCCATTCAGAATAGTCCTGTCCCTGTGCTATCTTCGGTGATAGAACGGCATAGTCTGCCCATAGCTTCTTGGCGAAGTCAATCCGTTTCTGTGATATGTCGAAGGCCAGGATTTTAGATACACCGTAGGCTCGGGCAGTGGCCATGACTAGGCAGCCGAGAGGCCCGCACCCGCTACACAAAGATCAGACGAGGCATCAGTCGATTTGTCGAGCACTCACAATACAGCGATGATTTGGCCTGCAGCAAATTTAGCACGTTTGGCGAGCTGTACAGTGTGTTAACGCTGATAAGCTTAGTTGATTATAATAAGCACCTGGATGGCGACGGCTAGTGGCTGAATACAACCTGCCTGCTCCCACGATATAGACGCTGGGATTTTGACAGCGAAGTCGGCATCGCATACATAGTATTGGCAAAGCGCTTTAGCGAAAGCATGGTCAGTGTTCTCTTTGATCGCGAACAAACCGTACTCACTGCCTTGTGTAGGCGATAGTGAAGCCTGTCGGAAGTTTCTGCACACATTGGTCTTTCCCGTCTTACAGTTATGGCACCTGGGCGCTTGTCAGGTGCTCACGCAATTTTCATCGGTGCTGGCGTTTTACTCACTTCCTGCAAAACATTGTGGGCTCAATGGCTACCCGGTCACCCACCGCCAAATCTGTAACGGAAGAACCAACTTCTACGATGATACCTGCTGATTCATGACCAAGGATTAATGGCTCCTTGATCAAGTCCTTGCCTACACCACCGTGGCTGTAATTGTGGAGCTATAAATCGGGAGAGATTAGCTGACCCACGAAGAAAGGTTCTCTGTACTCAAACATACGTCACTACCACAAATACCTGTCGCCTCAATCCTGATGAGAACGTCGTCCTTGCCGACTTGGGCAATGGGTGCGTCGCGTATCTCGACGGTGTTAGCCTTCAGAAGCATGCAGGCCTTGTTGGGCGTTTCTGGGGTCATAACGAAAGATGGATGCAAGCAAAGGTGGGGGATTATGTGATACAGTCATTGACCAAGCCCTTCAGACTTTATTTTAACGGAATTCACCTGAGGGTAGCCTCTTGCGGAAGGAAGGACCTATCCCGTTCGGTCGGGAAATACCGCGGTACTGTTCCACGGAACAGATAAGATTAGATCGCTTCGTAGGTACATTGTTCTTCCTCCGACCATGCGAACATCGTTCGCTGAAATAGAACATCACGCGTACGGTACTCTCGCGTCGTCCGCTTGCGGACATTACGCGAAACAAACTTGGATGTTCTCGTGCGTTCTCTCGCGTTCCTGGCTGTGTATTATGTCGTCATTCAGCCACGTTCTAGTTGTATTACGATCAACACCCGCAGTCGTTGCAAAAGGATATAAAAGAGGTGCGGGCTGTCGGATTCGGGACAAAAAAACTCCCTCTTAACGACCGACATAAACTCATTATTCGCTTGGAACATTAGTCTCTATGGGCGGTTGCCTTAGCGGAAGATTTGCTGGTCCTCCTCCTAACGGTGGATTTGGAATGGGTGGAATGGGTGGAATGGGTGGAATGGGCGGAATGGGCGGCCCAGGCGGTATGGGTGGCGGCATGGGAGGTGTCATAGGAGGCCTTATGCAGGGCCATAATGGTGGTGGATTTGGTATGGGAGGTCCTGGTGGTATGGGCGGGCCTGGTGGTGGCTTTGGCGGACCCGGAGGCGGAGGGCCGGGCGGAGGATGGGGCGGGCCGGGCGGAGGAGGCTTTGGAGGCGGCGGTTTTGGAGGCGGCGGACCGGGTGGTGGACCCGGAGGTGACTTTGGCGGACCCGGAGGTGGAGGGCGACCAGGTGGATGGTAAACGGTGCGAACTCGCCCGTTCTATCTCTTCCCATTCCTCTAATGACATTCCACAGGCACATGCCAGACCTGACGTTTGACATATATAACCAGGATACTTACTGGATTCGTTCGTCATTTATAATACTCAACTCGACATCTCTGTCAAAGACGTCCACAGTTGGACTTGGTATTGTATCTATACACGACTGTAGCTCTATTAATCACATTCCCCTTGGATAAACACTATTTGATATATGGTTATATAGAAACTGCGTAGAAAAGAACCAGACCAAACGGTCATTACCTTGCGCAATAGAACTTGTATCAGAAAATTATTTCGAAGACGAAGAAAACACCCTCAAATAGTGGCCCGCGTACATACAAATACCATGTTAGCCTCGGTATAAGTATCTCATATCAATTCTACGCGGTGGCGTTGTGGAAAACCCCTGGATCTTCTGATGGTTTACGGTTCCCCCTGTCCCTGCTTGCAGATCTGCGATTTTGGCCTCCTGCGCTTCCCGTGTTATAGTAGGCAATGGCCATTCCATTAGACCAACATTTGTAACATACATTATGTGCCTTCTGAGCATTAGTCGCAAGCATCGTCAGCAATAGGGTATTCTAACTTTCAAATCATTTTACGCGTCAGCAGCTTTGGCGATTGCCATGTTGTGCTGATGTGTCGCCTTGTTGAGGGCCTTGACAGCTGAAAGTTCCTCTTTTTCACGTTTCGCAAGCGTTTTCCTGGCTTTTCCAAGTCCCTGATATAGCATTAACTAGAAGTTATGAGACGAAATGCATATATACACCTTGTCGACCTTCTTGACTCTATTTTCTGTACTCGCCAAGTCCTTCACTGAATGTTTTACTGTCGAATCTTTCAATTTTGCCTCCTTTTGAATTTGCTTGTCAAGTTTGCGGAGAGCGGCATCTGAAGCAGGAAGATAAGACTTATTCATTGCGTTGTGATGGCAGTTTGAACGAAGGACGCCAATGGGTGGGGAGCTGGAACGATGACGGGCGGGAATGACGTATCAGAGCGCGAACTTGGAAGATCCTTCCACATATGGCGCCAACTCGATCACGTTTTGATCAGACCTCCGGTTGAACGCATTTCTTGCCAAGATGTGGTGAGCTTTGTATTTTGGATCACGAGAGTAAATTAATAATATAGGTGCATATACTTATCTGAGAATTTATCTCTTCCCGGCTCAACGGCCATCCTGAGTCCAATGATGTTTATTCAATTAGAACGCCCATGATACCGTGCGTCTTCACATTCTTGCATTGATCCATATGTAGCTTCCACATGACCCTGATCAGCGCGTGTTAAGGTACTCTGAATATCTTCGAATGGTCTGTTGACGTTAGGGCACAAGAACAACTCCGAGAAGTTGTTCGGTCGAAATGGAAGTTCTAAAGCCAGGTCACGACGGGATTTCTTGTGTTATGCATACCTTGCCATATATACAAAACAAATTTTGGTGGAGCTAGTTCACCCTGATAAATGTGGATGAGGATACAGAACGAACAATTGTGCCCAGAATACTTGTATAATGTCCATTCGCAGATATAACGTTTCAAGATTTAGATCATGGTGAAATCTAGCGAGATCTGAAAACAAACACGTTGAGAGTACCACAGAAAACGGGAGCAGAACGCAAAATACCGAAAATCAAAAACGTTTTGATTGTCCTGTCCTTCTAGATCCGTCTTATTGTAGATTATCAAGGGAGTGATGACGAGCCGTCTGCATCAGAAAACCGGCATGATAACACTTGAAAGACCAAAATGCAGGGCTATACCTGGTTACCAGAATCCACGACAAACCGTTCATTTAAGCATTCATTCTCTGACGGTTGATGACTCCACGCACCAGTGGAATATCCATAGAAAATATCACTGCTCGACCGTATACAGAGGTGATGTAACTATAAGTTTGTACATATACCTTACGAGTTACGAAGTAACAACTAAGTATTTTCATATTACGATAAGAAGAAACGATATGCCTCAACGAGATTGTCGATAGCAAGTCCTCGGACAGCACTGAGTCAGCCGTAATCGGTTATTAGGACCGGACTGAAGTGGCTTTCATATCATGGTGCGTACCCCACAATGCCGATCTATAGAACAGGGTCATGGTTCAGTCAGTTCCGAGTCGGATACTTCCCTGGCAGTGGTTGGAAGGGACAATCACAGATCACCTGGCCGTCATCTGTCAGAAGGACTGTTATCATATCTGCAGACTGGTTTTAGCCTTTCGTTTAAAAGTGATTACCCATCGGGAGATAGCTTGCCGGTAACCCGGGTCTTCAGGTGACAAGGTCTTCCTTAAGTTTCTCAAGCTACCAGCGCTAGAAGTATAAAAAAGGCATGCCCTAGCTCAGGATTAGGCGTGATTGCGAACCAATTATCAAGTTCGAACAATTATGTCGTGGTGAGGGAATCAGGAAGTCCAGTGAGAGTGTATAAGACAGAGTGCCAAGGGCTACATTTCTCTATGCTGTAGATAAAGGATGAATATCGAGGAACACAAAGCAAGCAACTCCGATCGGGCGCAAATGCCGGGCCGGCAATTGCCGCAGCGGACAAGCAGAATCCCGATTGGGTCTTCGTGTCGAAACTTACGCTCAAGTTAGGACCTACGGCGGATCATCCTTAATCAGTGCAGGGATAGACAGACTGAGGTCATATATGTCTCCGCCTCGGAAGAAATATCGATCCTACGAAGAGCTAAGCTTCAATCTGTTTTTTTTTTGGCTTTCTTCTTCCTGGCACGATCTGGTTGCACGAGATGGTCTACCTTTGGTCCGACGACTACCAGTTGCGGGAAAGCATCGTGCAAACGCCTCAGACACGCAGGTCTAGCGATCTTCCTCGTTTGGTCCAGGCTCTGACTCTCTTAACTTCAACTCTATTAATGCATGTTCAAAACCTGCCATGATTTTTTCTGACGGTGTTCTCTTGGCATCTGCTGTGACGGGCGCTGCGATTCTCCCTCTACGCTAACTTGCCTCACTGATCTGCCAGCAATTTCGGGGAACTCTTCACCTCCAGTGCTTCTCACAGGGCGTATGCTACCCTCAAGGCGGCCGCCAATTGTGCACCTCTAGCGGATCAGGCTCTTCATTTCCGAACCTCTTCACAGTCGTCGGGTGACCAGGATATATATGGCTCTACAAATTCCGACGCTGTCTCTTCCAAGGCTGCGAGTATGTGTCATCACCACTATTTTTCGTTTACGAGGGTCAAAACGAAAATAACTATAGGACAAAAATGTCGTAGCCAAAGTGGTGGGATTTTTACAAGCGCTCTCCCTTTATCGCCCCAAGTGGCATTTTGGCGCCTGGATGGCTTTGTTCCATCATACATCGATCTTGAGCCCTTGTTGGACAGTAACTCTGAGCTTATGTTGTTCGAGGGAAGCAATCATACCTCGAGGCTGACTACGGACACACCCCTCCTCATTGTTTCCTGTCTGCCACATACATGCGCCCACACAGACCCACGTATATAAGCATGACACAGTTGTGAACACATAGTTGCCTTTTTTCCATCCCTCACAGTGGCCCAAGTACTTCCATAGCCATGGCATACCCCCCCTACGACCCTCAGTCAGTCGCTCGGCGGCCATCCATGTCCTACGGCACCCCGATGTACCAGCCTCACCAGCTGCCCATGGATCAAGCGGTAGAGCGGCAGCCTGCCATTATGCCACCGAAAAACGCTGACGTTCACGTTTTAGTATCCGCACCCTTCGTATGATATTTACGCGAATCCACACGCCGTACCCATGTCGCGTCGCATGTCAAGTCATTGTGAGTGTCCCTTCACTCTAATATGCCATTTATGTAGGTCCTGATCATAAATTCAGCTGCCTACGACGATCATGGCTACTATCGCGCTCATCAACGACTGCCGTCCAACTATACTCCACGCCCTATCGTGGTCAGCATGCCCCGTCAGCGAAGGCATTCCACGGTTTCGTTCACAACCAGTGGGCATAACAATATGGAAGCATACCTTCGACCGAGCTCCCTGCGTGTCAAGTTTAAACGAAAGGGCGCTTTCATGAACGGCGTCAGTTTGGTGGATGCCCAGTCTCACAATATCCGGCTCTCGGGAAACGACTCGTACCATGTGCGCGACATGCACCCAGACAGGCGAGATAACATTTATCTGTTGATCAAGGTGAGGTCGATGTATGCCTCATTGTTCAATTTTACGTGCTCATCTGATCTTTCAGTGGTCGGGATATCAAGCGCTCCAGTATGAAATCCCGCTGGAGTCGTACAGTAGCCGGGTAAACTTGCAGACTTTGGCCCGTCGGGTCGCGCGGTCTTGTGTCCATTATTTCTCAGTAAGGAAGATCTCATTTCTGGGTCCCCGCTGTCGCTGAGGAATATTTTCAGACAAACAGAATTCCCCTGGCATGGGATCGTCTCGATCTGCACCATTTGGAAGAGACGTCGTACGGTGTCTGGCAGCCCATGCTGGCTGTGCATTAATAATTGCATAGGCTCCTTGTCACATCTCCTAGCTTTGAACTGGACTAATGATTTATCAATGTCCCTTACTTAATTTTTCATGATACGACCTCAAGGCCTCAAGCCTTGCGGGTTACGACCTTCATACATTTCTTTCTGTCTTCCTCGTTGTATTTTTACAGTGGAATAATCATTGTAATCCTGATGTCTCATATCAACACTTGTACAATATCCTAGTACGCATACGTAAATAATCCATTCATGATCATCACCTATCAATACTATTATCAGAGCTTCACCAAGTGCAAACCGAAGAGAAATATCACCTCAGAATCGCAAGATACCACGTTCATAGAGCAGTGGAAATGCCTGCCTCACCCTACCTCGGATGCCTTCGTCTTCGCAACCATCAGACTGTAAATACTCATCACTGAGAATAACGTCCCGGAGACGAAGAGTCGGCGAAAGAGCTGCGTCAAGCTGATTCCAGCTGGACATTTCCAGAAGGCACTGATCATGATCGTGCTCGGAAACCCCAGACTTTTTATGAAAAGTCACTGTAATGGTCCGAAGGAAGCTGTCTGAGACTTGGCGGAAGTATGTCGCCCACCAGAGTGGTACCTCCAATGGGGCGTACATGCCATACGATTTGGAGGATAGTGGGAAGGGTTGGAAATGTATATGGGGAAGACGTCCGAGTTGTATGGGATTCAGGGTAGGCGTGAGGTCGCCGTCGGCTCCTGTGAATGGTTAATATAAGAAGAGAAGGGCCGGAGAACAAATAGACACATACGAAAACTCTGAGTGTCCCAATGCAGCGCTAGGGTATCAAGAGAGAGGTTTCCTGCTATCTTAGACACGGCTAAAACTTCGTCCCAAGATTCTACAAGCACAGATAACTCCCGAAGAGCCGAAAAAGTGATCTCCCGAAGAGAGTCTAGTACGTGTAGACTCCCTAGGCATACCAACGAAAGGGACTCGACGGATGGTAAGCGAATCTTAGGCGAATCTGGACTCCGATTTGGTGATTCACGGCTGACATAAATATTCCGAAGGCTAATGGCCTTGACGAGCGACCCTTCAAATAGTGTGAGAGCCCAAACGGAAGTAAATGTTTCCCGTATACCGTCCAATGTGGCGTGTACGAGATTTGGCATGCGGAATGCCTGGCGCAAAACATCTTCCATTCGGGCCACCTCTCGCCAAGGCATAGTGTTGAAGTCGAATATGATGCTGTTTAAATTGGAGAGTAGGGGTAACAAGACAGATAGCTGGTTGGAAGAAGATATGATCCATTGCTGAGATCGCCGTGTCGCCGTGTCGACTACCTCGAGGTGCTTCGTGAAATTGGCAAGACGTAGTGAGGATGAGATGACCTGCTGGAATAGTACTAGCAGGTTCCGGTTAGTGAGCCTGACATGTCGAAATAATGAGCGCTGGCTGGCTGAGGTCCACGATTGGCGAACGACTGCACACGCTTGGAGAGTCTCTTGATCATCTCCAATGCTGTCGATGATGTGATCGACGAGTTCCTGTGGAAGAACGCACATTACATCCATGGCCATGGCTATAAAAGCAGCTGAGAACCTTTCGAGGAGAATAATGAGCCAGAAGACCTAGTAATGCCAGGCCACTTACGAAGATGCGTAGAAGGGATGAAACGGTGGTAGAAGAGCAAAACGAAGGGCCTATTTATGAGCGTCCCGTGGCTTTAAGCTTTACGTTTGAGTGTGGGTTGGACTGTCGGAAAGCTTGGTGCCGAAATAGCAACGCGACACCCCGGACAAGGCCGTGCGGATGTGGCGAGAGGAAGCACGGTGAGGGACAAGCGCTGACTTGCACTAAGGATAGATCTGATTATAAGTAAATCAGTACTCCTTACCTTGTTCGTCGAAGTATATATTTCTCGGTGATTTCCTTTGATGTGAGGGTTTCAACAGCGATGGTCGTATATAGACGCTCGCTACCCACGACTGCAGTTGCACACAGTAGAGAAATATTGAAATGGCGTGTTCTTCCATCAAAAAATGTCGAGCACTTTGTGCGCCTGTTTGAATGAACGAGTCCAAATTTGATAAAAATGACATGATATGTAAGAAAAAAAGAGGAAGCCAGACCTTTGTGTTCGAATTTGGTGACATACGCCCGACTCATGGATGCAAGACGGCGAAAAACCTCAATTATGCAGGAGATATGCCGGTGGTAGTGCACATGTAATGGTGGTAGAAAGGAAACCGGCTGAAAATGGGATATACATTTCCGGTGTTTATCCAGGTTGCCGCCATAACTTGTAAGTACTGTACTACTAGCCTCATCAATGACATCAATGGTACACGGCCGTTTCCTCTGCGCCTCCTGCTTTTTTCTCTTTTAACGTTAAAAATCTGTCTCCTGTCGCGCCCAGTCAATAATACTGGCAACAGATGAGCGTCGTTACCCCATGACGCGTCAGATGTGCTGATCTTGGGCTGGTTCTTGACTGACGCGTTGACAGATTATGCTAGGGTATATTTCAACTTTGCCCCATGTTTCTATAAGTACAGAAAGAATTCTGCCAGCAGACCCTTGCTGCTACCCTGCGCCGCTGTGCCATTCGTCTCGTATCTCCATCCCGGGCCTCGCGGTGTACCCGAATCTCCCTTATTGCGGTCGGAAACATCTTGAATCAGCGTCTGCGGTCCTGGCGCCCAATGGCATTGAATGTTGCTCAACTTTGATCTTCCTGCGGTGTTCTAGCCTTCGTCCAACGATGGTAAGTAACATTTTATATCGCGGCTTTTCGTCTCGTCCTTGGCACGTAAGGAACGGTTTGCCCGATCTTTGAATGAAGAGCGCTTTGGCCGATGTGTCGCCCATCCCTTGAGAACTTTGATCGTTTCTCGACGAAAATTTCACGACTTCGAGGCAGGTACGACCCCGCCTTGCTGCCGCAAGGACCATGCACTCAGACCGATTGAGGTACGTCCCATATAATAGACCCTTGAAGAGTCCTTCGGATACCCTGATCATTTTTCTGATGTTCTTACGCTAGTCGTCGCTTGGGTTTTCTTCCTGGACTAATGCAAGCATCGTGCAAGTCTGCGGTCCACGGCTGCTTGTAAGACATTGAGCCCGAAAGGCTTGTCCGTTTATCTTTCAAGTTGACCGACCAGCGTATCTCCCTCCACGTACAACCTGGTTGAGGTGTGCACCCTCTTTCTGCCTTGCCGCAACAGGCTCTCTTGATATCACATTATGGATAATAATACCGTCCGTCCTCAAAATATTCGGTGCGTTGCCATGCTGTTTTGCCATTGGAATGCGCCATCGTAAAGAAACGGATTACAAAGTAACCAAGTAACCACCAAACTTTGTGGACCAGCACTACGATGTCTTGGTCTCGGGATCTAGTGTATACATGCTGCACGGTTGACGGCGACCTCACCCAATGGAAATGCAGCGGCGGCACGACTTCAAGCCAAAGTCCACGCGATACAGATGCAAGTTCCGCGAGTATCTAATAAATGGCTTGCCAGGCTAACGCAACTATCCGATATTCCGGATCGGACATTGATAAACGGATACTTAGTCCTCCTCCGTGTGCTTCTGTCCTGCTGTGTGTCGCATTCGTAAACACTGGAGGCCAGAATGGCACTGAAGATCTGGGACCTGGAATGGTGCTTAATTGTCAGAATCCGGGTTTCTTTGAGGTCTGTCGCCATCGCGATACATTTTCTTAGGCTCACATCAGATCCGGTGTTTGAGGATCATGGGTTATCCCTTTCAATTCTTCTTTTCGTATACTAAAGAAACTAACTTGCCTGTCGATAGGTACCTACACTAATTCCCATGTATGTGCTCCATTCATAATATCAACCGTAAAAGCCTTGATGTTTCATGAAGTTTTTTTAGCACCGAAAATGCCCAAATCGAAAGTCCTAGAGAGCATTGTAGTATCAGCTTCGGAAACTGAACAAAGGTGAAACCGAAACTAGCCTTTGCCCAACTGCTGCACTGAATCACTGGCTGGCGTAAATATCATCGGCTGGCGGATAATCAACACCAACGTTTCATGCTTGCTAGATAGACCTTACTCACAAGAGTGATAGGGTGATATCCCCACGTATCTTCGCCTTTATCGTCATATCTATCTCCAGATGGAGCTCTATTCTCAGCTTCACTACTTTCGGCTTTCTGCTAACTCTTCTGCCCCCAGGTCTTTCCGAACATATTTCCTCACGACCTCTTGGGATAGGCACCGGTGCTTCTTCGACCTCTGACTCAGATTGATCACTGTGCCCAGAGTCCGAAGAGGCTGCACTTGATATAGAGATTGCCCGCAATGCATCAGCCCCGACGACACCCGCACGGCGCCGCCGTCGACGAAAACTTGAAGAAGATGATGACACCGATGAAGCGTCAGAATTGTAGTCGTGATTCTTAGGTGCAGGAGAAGGGTCGCGAGAAGGAAATTGGATAGTGGACGCCTGTGACATGATCCTGGGGGTTTTGACGTGGGTCCTGGGCCTTATAAACAGCCATCGAACGTCACGAGAGATTTGGAACTAAGTTCACAGTAATTTGTGCGACGATTTGATCTTAACCGGCTGCCTGGGAGTCGTAACTTAACCAATTCGGGAGAATTTTACCACCCGAATCGTCACGTTCCAGCTTGAATTTGAACATGATGTATGGAAATGGACTGGAACTTCGGAGAGTCGAGTAATCCAGGCCTGAAGTATTCCTAGACCGGTCTTTATATGGCTGCGAACTTGCTGATTTGGGGTGACGGTAACGGCAATCGAAGTTATTCAAAAAATGGAAACGTAATATTGCGTATCCATAATGTCGTCGATTTGCGCTTTGGCGACTACAATTGACGATATTGCTAGTGGAGATTATTGATTTTGAATGTCCTAGGCGTATTTCTTTGACCAGGTCCTTCAACAGAAGAAACTGTATAGGCAAGTCTGATGCCTCGAGGCAATTCATTCCGATCAGCTTCCGGTCGCACACTGGCAGAACTGCGTTGGAAGGTGCTGGAAGATGCTGGAAGGCGCTACGTTTTCTGCGACGGTTTCCGTTGTCAGCATTATTGTCAGAGGCGACGCTGACAACCACCGAAGCAACGAGCGTTCTGAACCGCCTCGCTCTCACGATACGGTTCCACGGACCCACATCCACTGATTAATGAAGCGCTGGTAATCACTGACACCTTGCCAAACCCGTGCTACTGTCTTGGTCTCCGCTGTGCTTTGTTCGACTTTCAGAACAACGTAATGGGGGGTGGCGGATTGATGGATGATGGTATCAGATTCATTGCGCTTAATTCCTGGGCTTAAAAACGCTGCGTACTGGCATGATGATTGATCTTCTGGTGGATAGCAGTGGGAAAAGCAACGCACGTCTATGATTGGTGATCGGAGTAGCGTTAATCAGGGTTCGTCGGAAGCTCTCTTCCATCAGGAAATCGTTCGTTCTACGAACTGCGAATGAATATGGATGGTGTACCATCGATCGAAAAGGGCTAATGAAATTTAAGGATTTTGCGTAGCTTGGGTGGATTACGATGTAAATGGATTACAGTGGCAGACAGCTCCTCTTACAGCAAAACTCATTATACTCCCAACCGCAAGCCCTAGGATCAGGCAGAAATTCGCCACCGTAGCCGCCACATCTATATCCTCCCTCGTCTTCAATCTATCGTTGTTCTCGAGAGAAGGTGCAGACATCATGCACATACTTGACACGTAGCCATTCGAAAGTGCGAAAAGGAATAATATCAGCATAAAGATAAAGTCCGAATTTATTATTGGGGTATAAGCGGACGACGATGGACGCTGGACGTTGCACATGAGGAACAGAGGCACAAACAGAGTGCGGGCGAAAGAAAACGTAAGAAGTCGTTTGGCGGACCAGGTCAGTAGTCGGGGGAAAGAGCAGACATATCGTCCACAGAAGTCACCTACGCCGAAGACGAAAAAGTGGATTGCGCTAAAAAGAAGAGGATGCATTGACGGATTGGTGGGTGCGACGGACGTAGTTATGGGAGGGAAAACAGCCTAGTGCGCAGAGCATAATCAATAACATCCGAACATGACGGTGATTTTACTCACGAGAGTGACGACAAAAACATAAGCAACGGCCACTTCATAAATCATATTTGCCTTTGCGATTCTGAGTATCTTTCGATTCCCCTCCGACGCGTCTTGACGTCCTCGGGATACTAGACCCTGTGCCTCCTCACCATCTATTTCGTCGGCATCCGTCTTGGCGCGTGCCTCTAGTGAGCCGGCAACCGTCTTGTAAACAGGCATGTTCGTTAGCCAAACTTGGGCGCAGACACTTGCAAGAAGGAACAATGTTGACAGGCCAAAGAATACAAATGCGGATCGTTCCTCTGCTTCTCCGTGACCTCCAGTGGGCACACTCGACACCTTAGCCTCCGAGTCTCTTCGGACTGAAGCAAGTGCACTCAATACCTGCACACCGCTAACCACCACGGCGACACCAGCCTGCCCCGACATCATAGGCTGCACGGCGGTAGGGCCAAAAAGTGACGCAATCGCTATACATGAAGTTTGCAGGTATGAACCAAAGGCCGCTTGAGCAATGCCGTTGAGCAACACAAAGGCGAAGAAAAAGCCAGCAGTTGTATGTATATACGTGCTGAATGTGAGGAGAGATGTCAGGGTTGATAGGCACAGAAGCGATACCATGATTTGACGCGAAGGGGCGTTCTGAGGTGTGCGATTAAGAGGCAGATCCTGTGACCTTATGGATATACGCACCTTCTTTGATGTTGCCGTAGCATGAGCCAGGAAGATTGAGTTGGATGCGGTGAACGATGTGGAGAGGTATGAGCTGAATGTGGCCTTGATTGATGACGTAGACAGCCTCGCCATGAAATAAGGCGTGGCAGTTATCATTACTACCCAGTCCTCAGGTCAACCAATCACTCGAAATGCTCGCTAACGCACCATTCCAAGGCAGCAGCACCGCGCAGCCCAGAATGAAAAATATCCAGCGCACGCGGGCATCCACATGTGTGAAATGAGGATGTGCTAACTCGTGTGCAGCATCTGGGTCTCCTTCGTCCTCCATTTCAAAGCCTGACTCTGCAGGCAGTACTGGATGCGACGCCAGCGGTACTTGAGGGATAGCGTGGTACAATGCTTCGGGGCTGCGAGAGCGAAGGGAGGACATGGTGGTACGGCGTGAAGGATTAGGACTTCACAGAGACTGCAGATATCTGAATTTCCATTTCGGGCCGCCTGCAGGAGACAGACAGAATGGTAAAATCTCTACAGTGTTCTATTATGGATACAGTAAGATGTGAGCCTGTTCAAGTATCCTTCGATTCTTGCCAGAACAATATTTCTATTGAAAAAAACTAGAGATATCGCTCAAGCATCGACTCCCCCGGGGACAATCTGGTTGACTGCATCCGACAAAACCATATCCGTAAGACGCTGCCTTATCTTCATGTCTTTCCTGGCTTTTCTCTTGGCCTTCCTCTCTTGCTTCAAGTTTGCGAACGACTGCCGCATTGCCACCTTGTCTTTCCTCTCCAGCTCTAGGCGCTCTTTCCACTTGAATGTCGCATCAGCCCTTGCTTGCTCTTTAGTTCGGCCAAAGAGATGCTTCTGCTCCCTCTGTACCATCTCCGCAAGCAGTGTCTTCTTATACGCCTGATATGCTTTCCAGCGTTCGTGGCGTTTGGCGAACGAATGGGGATTTGTGAGCTCTTTCTCCAAGAAGAGCTCCGCGGGTGGTTGAGTATCCCCATACGTCGTAGATAGGCCAGCATTGAACATTGCAAAGAGATACTCGCTTTCCGATGGGGCCGGAGGGAGATAAGATCGATGGGAGGTGTTAAAGGGTGGGGGTTGATATGTCACTTTCATGACTTCGTCTTTTGGAGTGTCGTAGTACGCGCTCGCTAAACAGACCCCTCAGATGAATCATAATGCAGAGAGAAAGTTGCTCACGTTCAGCATATTTTGGCTGTTCTCGGACTGGCCAGGGTATGGGAACCCTTTTCCCGCGAAGCTGAGGAACTGAGGGGGTTGTTTTCACTGCATAACGATTCCAATGGAACCGTTTGAGGTATGTGCTCCAGACGGGCTCAGAGGTACCAATGCGCTGCGCAAATACACTGAATGACGTTAAATACTAAGCGCACCCGGACAGAAAGTAACGTACCGACGCGTCTGTGCCTCTATTGTGCCTGGTTCTGGAGGGAATTCATAGTCGCCGACAAAGAGCTGACATCTTGAGTAATGGTAATTTTTGCCGCGTGTTCCTCCTTCTTGCTGGAGAGCGGCCACGGTTAGTACATGCAAAAATGTCGAATAGAGGACAAGAACTCACGTCACCCTCAGTAGGCTTGAGAAAGACCTGATTGCTCAGCTTGTTAATAGCATGGACAGAATGCAAGGTGTCATTCCTGTCGCCACGTATACGAATCTGGTCACCGGGCACAATGTTCCAATACTTGATTCTGTCAGCGGAGTGGACGACCTTGGCTCTTCGTTGGTCCGCTTCAGCAGCTTTGCGTTTCAGCCAGGACCTGTCGACTTGAATCAAATGCCGAAAATTTGTTGTCCAAGGATTATTAGTTGTCGCCTTGGTTACTTCTTGCCATCGAAGGCGAGGCATAGCGAGGAGGGAAACGAACAGACGCGCCGGAAAAGGAAAAGGGCAAAATCGAAAGTTTGGCTTTGTCGTCTAAAAGGCTCCAGAATATTAATTTAAGAAATCTGGCTCTTCGACCCTACTCACCGCGACTCGTTCAGGATGCCATTTTCTTCGAATGTCGATCCAAGTTCTCCCGTTGACCAGCAGCCCACCATAGGAATCATTGGTATGGGATTAATGGGCTCTATGTATACCAATAGGCTTTCGGCAGCGGGCTGGAAAAAGTTCGTCTCTTGATACGCTATATATACCATCGCTCATTAATCTTATGAACAGAATCCATGTATGTGACCAACGACAGAACTACGAATCTCTACAAGAAAGGTATCACGGTGCGTAGCATGGTGCTAGGTATCCAACAACCTCTGATACAGTTTCCCAGACATTCCTGGAGTAACTGTTTATCAAGATGGCCATGGCGTCTCGCGTTCATCCGACTTTATAATGTACTCTGTCGAAGCAGAGTTTGTTGACCGTGTCGTTGCTGAGTACGGGCCTTGTGAGTCTGGGAAGACCCCTACGTCTCGGACCGCAGAACCGAATCACCGCTGATGCAAGCAAATTAGCAACGAAACTCAATGCTATCGTCGCTGGCCAGACCTCAGTGAAGGCCCCGGAAAAAGCAGCTTTTGAAAAGTATTTACCCCCTGACACCTCAATTGTGTCCTGTCATTCATTACACGGCCCAACCGTTAATCCTGTCGGACAGCCCTTGGTGAGCCTGTCTTTCTAATAAGTGTACAACGATGGCTGACCCCATATTAGGTTCTCATCAAACATCGAGCACCCGATTCTGCACTTTTGCTCGTCGAGAATATCCTTCGATGTTTCGGATCTCGTTATGTGTATCTATCTTATGATGAACACGATATCGTTACTGCGAATACGCAAGCTGTTACTCATATGGCCTTTTTGAGGTAAGCTGGATTGCTATGCTGAGTTCGAGGCCAATGAACTCAGTACACCAACAGTATGGGAACGGCATGGGCTTGCAGCGCTGCCTATCCTTGGGAACAAGGTCTTTATGTTGGTGGAATAGAGACCGTCAAGGTCAACCTCGCTCTTCGGATTTTTAGCAATGCATGGCATGTCTATGCGGGGCTAGCCATCATGAATCCACAAGCCAGAGAACAGATAAACCAGTATGCTCAAAGTGCGACCGAGCTATTTAAGATGATGGTGGAAGCTGGAACTGCCGGCACGAATGGAGGCGAATCAGCCGCAGAACGAGAGAGAAAGCTCAGAGACAGGGTAGAGTGGGGCCGTAGGATCGTCTTTGGGATCGAAGGAAACGGCGAGGGTACGCAGAAGAAAAGACGTCACCCTATACTCCTCTCCGAAGCATTGCTAGATCGCTTTAGTCTTGGCCGGATACCTGTGAATGAAGACTCCAGCGGATCAGCATACAAAACTGGGTACCGGCCTAACTCCCATCTTTCTCTGCTTGCCATGGTTGACTGCTGGGCTCATTTAAATATCAAACCCTTCCTCCATTTATCACTTGCGGCGACACCTTTATTTAGGCTGTTTTTGGGTGTCGCGGAGCATTTATTCCTCTCTTCGTCCTTACTGGAAGCCGCCATTCATTCGGCCATTTATGACACATGGCACCGCTCCGACGATCTTGAATTCGTGGTCGCCGCGCGGGGGTGGAGTCAGTGTGTCCGCTTTGGTAGTTTTGAGGTTTACAGGCAGCGGTTTGACGAGACAAGACAGTTTTTCGAAGGGAGGTTTGCAGAAGCCGGCGTGCTAGGAAGCGAAATGATTAAAACGGTCATGGAGAGCAAGGTTGAAGAAGACGAGAACTGACAGTGATGAGAGTCTTAGCGCAACTCACAGTGATATAGTATTGACTCTGACTTCAGTACTGCATCAATTTCTCTCTTTACAACTTCGTGCCATGAGCTCCGACACTAGTCCGACATCGATATGCGCACCGCTCTCTATGGCGCACTCGACCAAATTTTTGCCCAAGCTGTTGACCAGAACCTCGATGAAAAGTTGTTGAGGCTTTCGGTGTCGCAGTTCGCAAATGTCTACCCAATGCTCATAACGTGCATGCCAAGAAAGGCCCAGCTATACCTTCGAATGGCTTTTATGGTCTTCTTGCTCAGCGTCGACCCTCTTATCGACTCCATCCCGGCCAGTTTGCCGATGGTCCCCAGTGGATCAACGCAGCTTAGTGCCAGCGGGGAGCCGATTCAATTATTTAATAAAAACTGCCAGGAACCTCGCACTTGCTAATTTTGGTGCCCGTCGTCCATCAGAAGATCCGTCTTTAGGAGGTGCGTTACAGTTGGACATAACGTACGACATTCTAAATACGATCTTTCAGATTTCACGAAATCCTGTACTATTCCAACCATAGATAACGACAAGAACGAACAGTAATATCAAGAGACTCGAGCTGAAGCTAGTGAGGTATGCGAGAGAGCATGAGAATTTCAAACATAACTCCGAAGTCCAAAAATGGAGTGGCCAGCAGGGTTTCTTCCTCCTTTGCCATCATTGTCGCATCCCGTTCGTGCTCTCCTCAGCGTGATAGTTCTCTAAGCGCTGCGTCTTCATGACTACACAGCAAGAGATGTATTATAGGAGGATTTGGTTGAGAGGCCTCATATATCATCGACTGGCAAGGTGCAAGGATATTGGTACGCCAGAGGTTTCTCGTTGCTAGGCCTTCAAGAGGACGTTCCAATCGTCTCTGGCAGGCATTATCGAACTTAAATGGCCCTGCAGCCTACGACGAATGGATTTTCTCCGTGAGCCTGAAACGTTGTACGACCACGATAATTCCGCTATTTAGTGGACCGCTTGAGTGCCTGCAACGGTTCCTTAGAAGCCACAGGCTTCGATTCGAGGATGAAGAAGGACTTCTGTGCTCAAAGTTGACGCATAACTTCCTTGCGGTGCAGAGTCAGAAAATCGCTTTTTGATATATCCGGCAAGAAGAGTTCATCCAGAGTATAGTCTACACCGTAAGAACATTGGAATTTTGTGTGTCTGAACCGCTTATGAACTACTACCTCATTACAGGACGGACTTCCTCAAGTTTCTACGATACCCCGGTATACGACGCCTACTGATCACCTGTATCCATAGATGTTCGTGCAGGTACTGAGGATCGAAGAGCCATGTCGCCTTTAATATTGGCTACCGCTAGCGGATTCTCCTAAGAGGGTTGTTATTGTACCAGATAGTGAGTTTCTCCTTTCTAAGGTTTTCTGTTTCTTTCACATGTTATTGATGCGGACTTATGTACGCCATGCCCTGCAAATGAGATCACTAATAATCTGGACACTCTGTGGACGTTTCAGTTGATATCATGGCAAAGGTCGAAAGGGTACTCTGATAAGATTTATTTCACTGATGTACCTATATTTGACGCGTCATTCACGATCTACTTTGTGGGTTCAGACGCGTCTTCCATTATAAAGCTCTCCTACTGATCATCTGTAGTATAGGATGTGCGATTGATGCGTGCTGAACCGAAAACGAACGCGTGAATTCGACACTCCGCCGTGACATATCCAACTCTGGCTCATAGCGGGTGCCGTTTTACGGGAGCCACGTTTTATGTGAGATTCGGGTCATTAGCACACTTTCTGGCACGAACCTGAACGTGATAAATAGCGAAGATTCTTTCGGCGAATCAAAACTGAAAGGATATCCACTATGTTCTCAGTCCAGTGGGTCCTCTACGTGACGGACGCGTTTGCTCTTCATAAATTGCGATCGTCGATAGCCGTTGCGCTTACGGGGCGGCTCTAACTGAAGACTCATGAGATAGCTCTGTGGTTGGATTTCATTCCTGAAGTCGTTTGCACCACAGCTTTCACCTCTATGTGTTTTTCCATAATTTCCATAATCACAGACGATTCCCCGATGAAGAAGAATTTCCTAATGCAGGAGGTATAATCTCGACAAGAAGTCACCTTGTTTGCTTTGATGCCGTGATCGCGCATGGGGTATTCTATAGTTCAATCCATGTGAATAGGCCACAACAAAGCGACGGATTCGAAGTTTCTTCTCGTCATTGGCCATTGTCCCTGCGTACACCAAAGCTTGCTGGACCTCGTCCACCCTCCCTATTAAAGCGTTCTCATGAATCTCTAAATACGGCCACTGCATGATACCCTCTCCCCCCTCGCTCCTTTCCTCGGACAATACCGTATTTGCTCCGTTATCTTCTACGCCAGTCATGGATTCTAACAGCGCCTGGAGTGAGGAAGACGTTCAGTGCGTTCGACACTGCTCATCCAGTTGCCATCGACTAATCTACCAATGTCTAGTTCGTCTAATCTAACCTCTGGTGAATTTGATTGGGACATCACGAGGACATGGTAGGCAATCTTATATCCAGACCCGCCAATCTGTGATGTGTGCTGAATGTCCCACTTAGGTTAACTGACGACGACATAAATTTGCTCAATTATGCCATGTACAGTTCCTACGATTTTCCTCCTTTCAAAGGTGCTAATATTTCCACCAGTGATGAATCTCTCGTTCCTAGGAATCTTTTTCAAGAGTTCGAGAGCGCGTAAGCAATCTTCGTGTTCTTACCACGCATCAGCATTCATCCATTTCTCAGACTCGACGCGTTATCGTCGATGCCACCATTCGATCCTCAAGTCATTGAGCCATCATCAAGTCTATCTGAGAATAAGGTTCCCGAACTCCGACAGACATGTAACCTAGAGACGGATGACGAGAACATTATAAACACGGATCTGGTATTACCATCTTGTACAGGAAATCGCATCGGTCATCGAGGAGGAGCTGCTCAGATGTCCGGCCCACAAAGCTAGTACGCGTTCAGGAATGTCCTTCAATACTGTAGGAAGGCTCATCACGCTTTAGCTTCTATTCGAACCAGCTTCCACACGATGATAGCTCCGCATCACTGGTTGAGCATCCTAGGTTCGTATTCATCCGTACTCCAAATACAGAAGTACTGATGGGAATAACGCAGCGCGCACTGCGTGGCATGGATTAACAACTCTGACGAACGCAGACCTTCTCTAGACTCCAAAGCTGCTCACTTTGACAACAGAGGTGATATCTCTCTATGCTACGACCCAGCAAGATTCCAGACGGGCATGAAGAACCCACAGTATGCCTTTATTTCGAATTCAGGAGACCAAGATTATTGACTAGAATGTTAGTCCCTACTCAAGTTATTCGTTCCATGGTACCAATCAGACGACCTTCTACGATATTCACGGCTATCCGCCGTCACTGCCACATTACGCTGTGCCAAACCCCGTCGGATCGTCCGCTTCGTGAGTCCTTAAGTCTTAGATGATATGAGGACAGGCTGTCTAATTCTGATGCTTAGGTTCTTTCGAGATCAGAGATTTCTTCATCCGATTAGGTACGTGCTCAACACTGCAACCCGTGCAGCACTTCATGCCCTTGTCAGTGTTCGCTATCATCCGTACGATAGCGGTCGTGCCTCTCAGCAAGCGTCACATACTCTCGGAGATATCGAAACGAAACCAGAACATCCTCTGTAAGTCATATCAACTCTCGTTTGATCGGGTAGTGCTTAAATGATAGCCGTACAGCTCTTCGTCCTCCTCTTCGAGATCTGACGACGACGCTTATGCTTCGGCGGCATCATCCTCTGTTTCTCCCTCTTCCGAGTATTCCGTAGACAATGATCAGTTGATCCAACCGTGGTAGGCTTCCATTCCACCTTGATTAGTTCCACATTAATCACTACTTTGATCAGTCCTGCAGGCTTTCATAGAGCCGAATTCGACCCAAGACATCAAGAGGATTTGGCGGAAAAACTGAACCTTCCAATCAATAAAGTCTTCTACTACGAAAATTTCCAGGACGAGACCATTCACAAATGCCCTCTTGGGTGCGGCACCGAATTCCCTGGATATACGATCCGTGAACATATAAAGAACTTTCACAAAGGAATGTACAATGGCCCACAAGTTCAGTGCGACCGAAGCCTTCTACCAGAAGAGTCCGATATAAAATGCTCGGGGGAGAAGATGTCAGCCCAGTCTTTTGCGCACCACTTTGAAGACGTGCATTGCCGTCGTTCAGCGCTGTGCGTGTACTGTTTGGTGCTACAGACCCGCAGGTGCAACCTGCCCCGTCACTTCCGGCGGTGCAGCGCTTTGCATCCCGAGCGTAATACTAGAAGGGTACAACCTGTGATACGTCGATCTACACCAAAAACTTCGTCTAAGAAGCGTCGTTAAGCATCTCAGCAGCATGATACGGCCACGTCTAGCTTCACTATAAAAATAATGACATACACTACGATCAATATAATAATCATGATTCCTTTCACCTTACAGATTGCAATCGAACTTTTCGGTCAAACCAATCTGAGCAATATTTATTTCATTAATTATTTTACACCATGTTCCACTGTTTGATGTCAAGAAACCTCCCGTCTCGGGTGTCAATATTGACAGTTTCAGTGAAGCCTGACGCGTGCGATATATAACACTGGTGTTCATGCCTTCTTTATTGTTCTGCTTCCTCCCTACACTTAATCCTCAAATGTCGGGGAAGTGCACACAGATCATGCCACGTGGGAAAAGTTCTTCGCAGATCTAATGAATGATTTTCGCAGGATTTGCGGCATGTCAAATTCGACGGTGAGTCCACAGCTCGCGGAGGCCGTCGCCTACCTTGTATGTATCTCTTGCAGCAACCGTGACCCGGACATGCAAGGGTATGCAGTCAGGCATTCTAGAGAGTTTTCATCGGTTACAGTGTACTCAAAATTGACTTGGAATGAATGTAGCTTTCGTTTGTTGCGAGGGTTATGCTAGGTGTGTAGCTGTTTAGGTTGTGTGCTCGGCTTGATTCGTCCTATAGCTATCCTAGTCAGGTAGTCTGATGAAGTGACTGAATATGTGGGCGTAGTGCTTCTACAAGTGTACAACGTCCTGACATTTATTGGTATGTGGCGAGAGAACCCCTCCATGGTCGGTGCGCATTTCGCTATCTCTATCACCCCCTCTCCATCTATTACTTCTGTGTGTGTTTGCCCTTCTTGCAATCTTTCTCGAATTGCTTTCTTATGAGCCACGCATCAATTATGATCTCCTCGGTTTCATCCACGTGAGTATTTTTGTAGGCTGTATTCATTTACTAATTGTATTTATGTGACCAAGTATCTTGTTGCCGCTACGGTCATCGAACCTATTTATGTAGTGTGCGTACTCACTTGGAAAACAAGAGCTGACATAGGAGGGCACCTACGACAACTTCCTTCCTCGATATGGAATGGCATTGTCTTCATCGTTACGGGACATAGAAACTCATGGAGGACCATGAGTGAACCATCGTTGGATTACTCCATGGTATACAATGTACTCTTGGAGGGAAAGCATGGAAAGTTTGCATCGGCTGATTCATACGCCCATTCGGATACGACGAATAGCCCAAGGGGCATGCCGATGGTGACTCCATATCCTTTGTATTCTCCCAGTCAAGCGTCGCCAGGGGGTAGGCATGGGAGACATCACAGTTGTAATGCAACCTAAGTCTCAGTCCTTGCTTGGTGGGACGCCCCCCAGTCCTGATCCTGTTCCTCAGATGCCCAGACCCTATCGTTCTCTTCCTTCTCCTCGTCAGACTCCCGAAGAACAGTACATATAATATAGCAGTAGCAGCTACTTCCCCGCCGCTGACTTTGCATCCGCTCTGTTTGATATTGTCTGCCAGAAATAGGCATTCATCTCGCCTTGCTGGCGAGAAATATGGCAGAAGAACAGCATAGATGAGGAAGCCATAGTGCGGAAGCTTTGTGACAACTTCATGATATAAGTCAATGTGGGGGATGTCCTTGTAAGAAAAGAAACATCGCAACCCTTTTTTTCCGCTCGGGCGTCATCTAAATGTTTTGCGCACCCTGAACAACCTACGATGCGAAGACAGCGGATCACCATCATGCTAAATCTGGGTGGCACCGACCTAACTCCCACCTTTCTCTACCGTACCTTTCCACTGTTGATTGTTGGGTTCATTTGAATATTAAACCCTTCCTCCATTTATCACTCGCTGCGACACCTCTATTTAGGCTGCTTTGGGGGCATTGCGGGACATTTATCCCCCTTTTCGTACTTAGTGGAGGCCTCCATTCATTCAGCCATTTATAACACATGGCATACCTCCGATGACCCTGAGTTGCGAGTGGTCGCCAGTGTATAGTTTTGAGGTAGCGGTATAACGAGACAAGACGACTTTTTGAAAGAAAACTTGGAGAGAACTGTGCGCTTAAAAAAGTCCTTGTGAAGGGCCAAGTACGTACTCCCTTATGTATGTGATGACCAGTGGTCACGACGCGACGCGTCGAGGCAAACGATCAAGATCTGACTGTCCGAATAAGGCAAGTCGGTCGCGACTTTGTTTATGTTTGGCATTGCCAGTTTCAACCGCCTCGGTGCAGCGTGTTGGAACACGCCATTCACTCTCTTCTACCTCCTCGTCTATCTCCGGTCCATTTCGGAGAAATTTTCTTAAGAAATGGGACTAAATTGCGATTTACTCTGCCAGTTTGGAGACAGGTCTGCCTCAGTTCTATTTTTCGTCCGTGAACCTAGGTTATGTTGAACTTGCGATAAATATACCCAGGCTCTATTTTACAACATTTCCACAATCTGCACCGAATCCTGCAGTCTTGAACAAACACTGCAATGAAGATGACAACCGGCCGCGTATACGAACGCGTAATCGTGCAGAGCCATCGTCTGCGTTGGACGACATGGCGTCCTATTACTTTTTTACCATTGATGACCAGCTGCTTTACCTGTCATTCTTCCAAGACTGGGGTCCACTCAATATTGCGATGGTCTACAAGGCTTGTATACTCATTCACGAGCTTTTGGAGGTATGGACGCGCCTTGGTGTTGCTGTTCTGCCACTCACGTGTAGCGTTGCGGCTCGATGACAGGATCCCAATCTCGCGCAGTACAGGCTCGTTCTTTACTCTTCCGATGACCCCAGACGGAAGGCCAATGCAGCTCTTCTGATGGCGCTCTATGTAGTGCGTGCTACACCCTCTCAACAAGTCACTCCGCTAACGTCGCAGCCGCAGATGATCGTCCAGCGGCGAGCTCCATGGGAGGCCTTCCACCCCATTGCAGAAGTGGAGTTTATGCCATTCCGTGATGCCGGCCGGGGCCCCTCAGATTTCAATCTCAATATACAGGACTGTCTCTGGGGGATCTGGAAAGCCATGCAGAATGGTCTATGTGATATGAACGAGTTCGACATTGAGGATTATGAGTTTTATGAAAAGGTAGAAAATGGTGACTGGAACTGGATAACACCCAATTTCATCGCGTTCGCCTCACCTGTCGACTCGGCTTGGATAAAGAAGGAGAAGGAGTCGAAGGAGTCGGCGGAATCTGGCACATCATTGTATTCCGCTGCATCTTCCACAAAAAACCTCGCATTGCAGCGCAAGCTCCCCACACCATTCCTTAACTGTCTCGATTACTTCGAGAAGCGAAACATCAAGCTCGTCGTGCGCCTTAATACCAAACTTTATGATCGAGACACATTTTTGGATCGTGGGGTTGATCATATGGAACTCTATTTTGATGATGGTACCAATCCGACAGATGAGATTGTGCGGACCTTCATCGACACCGCAGATAGGATAATCGAATCCGGTGGCGTGGTCGCCGTTCACGTAAGTTACCATCTTGCTGCATAGATCCTCTCTCTTGACGATTACTTTCGACCTAGTGTAAAGCTGGCTTGGGACGAACGGGTACACTAATAGGTGCATACCTCATATGGAAGTATGGTTTTACAGCGAATGAAGTGATTGCGTTCATGCGTATTGTTCGACCGGGTAGCGTTGTTGGCCCCCAGCAACAATTCATGTATTTGAAACAGCTGGAGTGGTCCAAGTGGGCAGCGGTTGATGAAATACAGAGGCAGCAAAGAGCGAACGCGATACCACCAGAACCTGCACCTATGGTTACTCCTGCGACACCTCCGGCTGATACAGACGAAGAGATCGGACGCATTGAGATGACCACCCCCCCGCCAACTGGCCCAGCGTATCCCCCTGTAACTCCGAGTAGGCATGTTGCAGCGGCGGCTGCTCATGCCAAATCCATTGCTACACCTGGCCAGCCCCGGAAGACGCCATCAGGCAAAAGAATCGCGCGTGAAGCTATTGACGAGAGCGAATCAGACGAAGACACAGATGATGTTCTTCCCCTCCCCGCTATGCCGATGACGCGCAACAAGAGCAAAACCGCTCTGGTGACGAAGATCACAGCGTCGGAAAGACGGCCCACTCGAGTGACTAGATCGACAGCTGGTGCAGCAGCTATTCGAAAGGCGGGCACGGGCATCAAGCCCCCCGTATCACCCGTTAAATCCACAGGCCAACAACCTCCGAACAAAATACCTAGACTCGCTACGACCAAGACAACGACTGCTGCGAAAGCTGCCGCTGCGCGTCAGAAACCTGTTCCTGTTCCCGCCGCCATAACACGGCGACCTCTACCCTCTCCCGCACCCTCACGTCTCCCTACGTTGATTCCCTCTAAGCGACCTCACCACGCGTCAACACTCACCGAGGTTGCCAATGCTACCACGAAAAAGGCTGGTCCTACTTCTGATGCATGGATGACAACCAATGCCGCCGCCGTTGTGGTTCCTGGGAGCAAGACTGCACGACCGGGGTTGAGGAGTATACGGCGTCGACGGAGCAGCTTTAGCTCTGCTGACGTTGTTGCATGACGTGTTGCGTTTTCTCTTCTCTCGTGCTTAGCTCGTACAGTGTGGATCCTGGCTATTTAGTTATTACCATCTCGTCGTTGATATCTCGCACGCTTTGTCTGCACGCGCAATAACCCCCATTCCCCTGCCGCCATTATTTTTTTAGTATATTATGTTAGTTTGTTTTCATCGTTATAGTGTCAAGATATCGACGAACATGATTTCACGGTTGATTAAATATCATCTGAGGGAATTCATGCTGGTACCGTCAGGCCAAAGGTTCCACTCCAAGTTAAGTGGGTGGGTCATTTTGTTAGAGTTTGTGAATTATTTTAGCGTGATGCCGTAGCACGAGTCTCAGCGTAATGCCCCAAAAGCTCTCATTCTCTAGCAACACATTGCTACAATAATTGACATCCAGCTAGACAATTTGACCTAGCAGAGCTGTAAACTAGATCATTCATTTCGCCTGTGTGCTATCCTCGGAGACATCTGACGCTGATCCTTCTGACGCATATGTTTCGCTTGTGAAAAACAATACTTATTTAACCTAATTACCAAGAAGGTAGAAGAGCTCGCTCGTTCAGATGGGTTTGTGATTCGTGATGGCTTGAAAGAGCTCTCAGATAGATCTTGTACAAATTACAAGTTGAGAATCGAGTTCTGGCTGCTAATTAAGAACATTACGAGAAAGCGCGCTATTATCGAAAGGAACAGTTTGTTCAATTTGAACATCGGTTCAATGATGGGAAACGGCTTGTTCAATTCAGATATAGGAATATGGAAGTACGTACTGACATGCTATGTTTAGAGTATTGATATCTTGCTCATTCAGGTCATATGCCAACCCACGATGGTTTCGGTGGTTTCATCATCGAACGCACTCGTTGGTGGCGACTACCTACCTTGAAGAGCGCAGGTACTAATGCAATCATGCGTTCGCGTGCGGGACCTCAGTACAAATGATTAGCGAAGTATCAAAGCGAGATGATTTGAAGGGAACGCGGCTGGGATGAGAATCATGGACAGCTTCGCTTTTTCCCGATACGATTCATGATATCCCGCGTCAATGAGGGTATAGACTCGACATCAAGGTGGCACCTTCATTTCATATGTATTCTATCGTGGTCATCACAGATCGTCAACAAGACTATGGATAGACAGCAGGCTTCGTCGATTCCATCATTCGCCTTGTCCAGTTTTCTAATTCGGTAGAAGGCAGTTCTTGCCATTTGTCCAAAACCTTTCAAGATATATGAGTAAGCAGCAGTTAAGGAAAGCATGAACCTACTTCATCAAGTTCCTTGAGAAGTCGTAGTGCCTTCTCCTCGGAATCAGCAGTCCCTTCAGCTCTCTCCTGTAACTGAGAAGTTAATGTACTGTTCTCTGCTTCAATCTAAGTTCGATCTATTAGAGATGCGTGGATTATGGGTAAGCTGCCACACCTGGGATAACATCTCTCGCAGTCGAATATTTTCCTCCTCGAGTTTTGGAATAGTCCGTGCAGAAATAGCTGCTCGAGGTTCCAGTTCCTCTCGCCACTGGTCCTTGGCTTCTATATTCCGTTGTTTCCTTTCTTTGGATTCCTCAACGATGCGATGAAGAGTATCGATATTTTCTTGGACATTCAAACGCTGAAATAGTTTGTCCAAGTCTCGCTACTTGCAACGTCAGACCGCGTCATTCGAAGATCAAAGCTAGCTATGTACGAAGGATTGTGATTCGATGTAATCAGATATTTGGTTGAAAATTGCTGTCGAGCCATCTTTATCCTCGGTAGTATAAGTAGGAAAACATTCGGCAAAATCTTCATATCTACGACCATTGTGAGCTGTTACTGTGAGGTTGGCAAACGAATAGGACAGCTTACGTCCACTTCCTAGAAGACCGTCGTACAGCAAGCTGAAGAGCTGACTGAAAGTAAGACCAGCGTATAGTGGTGCCCTGGGAGTTCATCGTCAACAAGCATTTAAAGCTAAAGTTCAGACATGCGCGTCGCGTGACGTGACGTGTTGATCATGTGAGTGTGTGCGATACCCAAAGGGTCCGGAAGATCCGATCTGCATTTGACGATGCGATCCAAGGATTGAGTTAGGATTCGCGACAGCCTGAACTCGTTACTTATATTCTCGAACGGAAATGATCCCTCCATGTGACTTGAGCACTTGAGCAACCAAAAAGTTCTTCATCCCAACTTCATCTCTCTTCCAGACCAACTTGAAGAGATTTCAAGGAGCGGATTTCAGCATAGCAGATACAGTGATTTTCCGAGGATCTGCTTATTCGCAGCTAATCCCACATGATATGGGATAATATGCGAACTTTCATTCCGATCCAACGGTTTTATCTGAAGGAGCATCTCTTACTTCAAGAATTCCATATCTATGATACGAACCCACCCACTTTATGTCTGACCAAAATTTAGGACACTAGACTGGCTAGCACTCATAAGCGCGGGTGCAAAATCTTTACTATATGTGACTGACTCAAAACGTTATTATATGAAAGGAAGACCAACTCCAAACAAACCCTCATGCAGAGAGGAACGCGTTTTTGATCTAGCATGGCTATAATAAAGGCTGATCGTTGACGTGCGCCGGCCCCCTTCAGACAGCGTTTATGGCCGAATCTGGTGTGCCTAGGTCCACTGTCAACTGTGTTTGCCTCATTTAAACTTCCCTGCAAGCATTTAGATAACATGTGTTGTGAGAGGCAACCGGCCCCGGGAAACTCAGATGGCATGTTGGTACCGTCTTTACATCAACATCATCCGTTGAAGATGAGAGTATCATGTTCTAGCTAACAAAGCTGTTCCCGTAAAAAAGACATGGACGGAGAGAGCAAAGCGCCTGAACCGTATACCACGACGAGTATTCAATTATATATCCTTCGATTTCCTATGTCAACCGCCATGACTGCGGTTCCCAAATGTTCGGACGCAGGTGATACCGTAGACATGGGATGATATTGATCCAGATTCTGGGTGGGCTGCGGTTACGAAACGATACGATCGGAAATGGGGGGGTGCATAGATTCTCCTTGAAGAAGGTCATCCGGATAATGAGAGGATGCGACGCAATGTAGAGACCTGCGGTCATGAAATTCGTTACCACCTTCGTGACGAAAGCCCTGGCGATACAATATCTCTGACATAAGAAATGATAGAATACTCGGGACGAGGCAGGAAAGAACAAGATGTATGTCACGAAAGTGAGAAGAATCGCCCTCATCATATTCAAAAAATACTGAAGAACCCATTGGGTACACCCTCCACGTTCCTGAAGGAGATTTGTGGGCCTGGAGTTCGCGAGAATGTTCTTCGCAGACGAATATTCTCCCAAATCCCCCGGCGACACGGATTTTGCTTAACATTGGTCATTGCTGCGTACCGCGAAGACGACGGGTTCCAATCAAGCAGCGAACCCGCTCAAGATGAGATACTATATTCGTTGCTTCATGTTTTAATGCAAATTCAATGTTAACCAGTGCTTCATCTGCTATTTTCAGCATGTTGCATGAAAGATTGAGATTGATCTGCTCTGCCTTAGTGGGAGGTCTTTTGCGAGCCGCAGATGAAGTCTTTGGACAAGGAAGAACTCCTCAGCCAACCTGCCAACGGTCCGCCGTTACCCATCAATCGGTCTTTAGCGTCTTGATACTCTGCAACGGAGCATTTTACATCATTATATATTTTCTGTCTGCATAGTGTTTAAAAACCAACGGGGCTATTAGTGAAACGACTCACGACTGATCAGAGAGCCCCAAAGCCTTGCAAACCTGATGGTATAGTAAGAACATTGACATCTGGCATAACAGTGGTCTATTCAAAGGTACAATGGGCTTCGATTAATCTAAAGAAAAGGGAAGAAGATGCACCTGGATTTTTCGCGTAACCGGTGCTTTGGGGATACACCTCGCTTGAAACCATTGATGAGGACTTCATATGTCTTGTGCGAGTCAGCAATCCAACAAAGAGCTATCTATCGCAATAAGTTGGAAAATTCTTATACAACCACACAAGACTAACAATCGTTGCAGGAGCCAGAAGCTGCCCTGAGAACGTCGCGAGAATGGATGAACGGCACGCTAGTGAGGCTTATGGATGGCTTCTGGAGACAATAATTTCCCGCAGGATCTACAAAACCCGTAAGAAATATGATCGAGGAAGTTGGCGACTAGATGCACCTAAGCATCCCAACCGATCCCACAAGGCTCGATTGCAATCTTCCAGAACGATATCGTACATATTGGGAGGTACCTCACCGACGATTATGTTCGATATATAAAGAGGTGACAAAAACGACGATGCCAGAGCCCCTTGCATACCCAGAAAGCTCCATGAAGCAATCTTGTCGCTACAAGACATGGATTGGGTAGGAGGGGAGTCCGCTCGGCCGGGCTTCGTTCGAAGGACGGCATAGAGCGAGTACCCGTCGCGTCCTCGTGCAGCTGCTGCAGGATCTGCAGGATCTCTGACAGTAGAGTCCTTGAGGAGTGCCATCTCTTCATCTTGGAAGACGGCGAGAAATCTGGTTGATGCGTCTCCGCCTGATGTAGCGTTAGCGATACCGTTGGTAAGTTGGCGATATAAAGTCAAGCGACTCACACGGAACGGTGGAGATGTAGAAATTGAGTGCTACACCATCTCCCAACGCGTACTTTCCACTCGTCCGACGAACGATCCAGTGAGATGGCGTTTGGCGAAGAATTTCTTCCATAAACCACCGGATGGCGCCGCGTCGGGCGAGCACCTCAGCATGACTGTCGTGTAAAGCTTCTCCCTGGATTGGCAGTCGAACAGTAGGCAAACATTTTGTCCCCGTCGCAATGGAGATGACCTTGATGCGCCTTTCATCATCGGTCAGGAAGAATGACGCGAGGATAGTGAATTTTCCATCTGGTGGAGAAATTTTTAGAGCAGTGTAGATTTCGTGAATGTGGCAGATTATCGGGTCGAAAGAAACATCGTCAGGCATGGGGCATGTGATGGGAACAAAGCAACTTGACAGAGGGTCGGCTTTCTCCGTAGCCATTCCCAGGATGGAGTGCCTCCAGACAGAAAAACGTTTACACTTATCTCATTAGAACTACTGGTTGCTGTGGCGTCGACATCTTTTCTCATGGCTATGGATACAATCCTACGAGACAGCGCAAAAGATGTCCTTCTCATGCAACGGGAGAAAGTACAACCGGAATTTTTATGACAACTTCCTTCGTTCACTTCATTTATGTATGAACATTACCTTCGCCCACCAATCAGACATCAAGGCGGCCCTTCACAGTTTTGTCCCCCTTGTATCCAATCGTGAACCCGAAGTTGAGGTTTTGTAATGCCATCATGGGCTTTGGATGCCAACGGCAATTGCTGTAATTTCATTAGGCTTCTTCGTGCCGCTTCTGTCTTACAGTTTGATGGACTGCAATTGCTTCTGCCCACCGTAGTTCTGATGATCAAGGCCTGCGCTTGACCAACTTCCGTCATTCAATTTAGACAGCCACGTACCCTGAAAGGGCCACAGAACGGGCAAGAGCTAGACCCTGCAGAGGATCTTGACAGCGTGGTTATCATGATCAGAGGTCACTTTTCCCGGTACCGTCAGCTGGGCCGAGAACGGTATTTAGTGCGATCTCTACCATGAAGGCAATGGCAGTTCACCGCTACCATGTGTATGCCCCCTTGGCAGTCATCTGTGAGGGACATGAAGTACTTTCAAAGCTAGTAAACTCAGCTGGCTATACGTGCTCAGTATCATAGTAGTGATGTAAAGTTGTACCCACTCAAATTTGCCTTACTCGTAAGCAATGACGTCACAACTGAGTTTTCTTAGCCTACAGTCATGCCACCTAGCTTGGCATTGCTCTCATCCCTCCATATACCCCACGAATTCTCCGGCTACGAGAAATTAGAAGACGAACAGATCATACAAAGGCTACAGAGATGGAAATGTGACGCGTCTCAGGTCCTTTTTGAGCTCAAAACATTGCTCAACCAACGTGATGAAAATCTTTCTCTGGAGGATCAGGCTGAAATTGTCGTGTCCATTGTACCTTTCGGCCGCGAGGATCCATGGGTTGTGCCAACGGCGCGTGAGACTTCGACGGGTGAGCAACAACTCACGCCTTCTCGTTGTACTTTGATCTTAGTGAAATTCAGATATCCTACAACGTTTTCGAGAGCCAGATATACATTTACTGAAGCGAATCCTGACGTACAATGTGAAACCACTCTTCCTATCGACACCTCACCCGTCCTTGAACCTTTCTACTGGTCGTAGACTGCCTCGTCTTGCAGGGGGTTCTATGGCTTCTCAGGACTATTACGAAGAGCAAACATGGAAAGAACATCCCGAGACGGCGAGCCTTGTATCTTTCGTAGTAACGAATATCAGGGTCAGTCTCAACTTTCGCCTACATCTCAGAATTCTATGTCGACATGCGTTCAACAGAGCGAGGATTATGAGGACTTATGGCATCTTGTCATACCCTCGGTGATGTCCCTCCTCGATGACTATGAAGTTCGCTACAAGATCAAAGGGGTGCGAATAGTCTCCGAAATGTTACAAAAAGTCCCAAAGGCGCTGTTAAAGCGCACTGGAATCGATGGGCTATTACTGTCGGTGAGTCTAGAATTTCCCCGCCTTAAGTTCACCACACATGTTCAGCCTTCCATTCAGTCTCTGAACAATTGCTTGGGGCACTTGAAAGATCCAGAGTCTCCCGAACTTGTACGGGCCGCTATTTCCGCGACCTTGTCGTTGATATTGCTCACTACCGAACATGGGACTGCGCAGCGGTTTGATCAGTTGTGTGCATTGTTGGGTGATGGCATAATCGGAACAGCCTGGTTATACGCGTCTGACAGCTGTGAGGTGATCTTAGCTACGATTGAAGCACTTCCACCTTTGTTGAAGGCATTAGGCATCGGCATCGCACGTTATCTAAAGGTTCTCGATTTCCTTTATCTTGAAGCGGCTCGGCTGACTTGCCGTAGGCTCTTATCCCACAACTTGTACACCCTCTTTACCCGAATTCTGTGAGACCGACCCCCGTTGTATTGCAGAAGCATTCGTTGATTGCTCTTGTGACTGTCATTAACGAATGTTCCCCGAGAATCGGCAGATGGAAAGGAACGATCTTAGATGGTGTTGGAAGATGTTGGGTGGCGCTTCAAGATGTTGATCCCAACAGAAATGATGAAGGTAATGTCATATGGAGTTTGTTACTTGCTTGAGACTTATGTGGTTACCAATTCAGGTGCTTGTGAAGAGTTGAAGGAGCAGCTCCGTAGCACATGTCTGCAGCTCGCGAATGCGTGTCCTTCGATCATCCAGGTGGGTGGAGGCCACGCGTTTTTTGTTCGGTGTAGCTGAGTGCATCAATCAGGGCGAATACGAACGGTTCCTCGCTGTTAATCACGAGATGTTTTCTGACCTGTTGAAACCCGCTTTTGAAGGAGACCGGAAGGAGGGTAAGTCTCCCCAGAGTGCTTCATGAATGATTCAGATTGACGTTTGTTGCTAGACAAGGAAAGGGCTGTACAATCACATGGAATATCATAGCACTACCATCGTACACATGTATGCAACATTGAAACTGTGTGTTGTACGGGGAAAACGAGATCATCGATCTTGGGGGGATCCGCTGACGAGATTCATCTTTGGTATGTATCTAATTTAGCGAAAGCCTTCTCGGTTGAGTAGTGTGGGAGAGACCAGAGAGAAAAGAGAGATACTAGCTTTCGAGAGAATGGGCTGGCAAAGGGCATCGTGGTCTACGCATGTAGAAGCTCTAGATCTGATCTGAGACTACGAAGGACGACGAGGAGCCTCGGAGTGGACCGGAAGAATAAAGTGAGGTCCCGGACCGGTGTCATTCAGGCGGACTTGTGAGATCTCGGCGTCTTCACGTGCTCGCTATCTTTTCCTTTTCATTCCTCCATTATGTCCGTCCCTTTCATTTAAGCCCATACTTACCTTCACCCCCACGACTGCTTTTTTCTCTTTATTCAATCATGAGCTTCACTGTTGAGGACCTTGTTTCCTCCTTTTCCTCTAGCCATATCGGCCAGGAAGCAATGGATCTCGCCGCGCTTCAGGTCAGGAGCCTTTGTCGTCGTGGTAGCTGTCTATCTATTGACCTTATTCTTCTTCCAAAGGCTCAGCTAGCACAGGCCTTGTTCGTGCAGGACATGCCGCGAGAGAATCATTGCCGCCGGCCGTGTAGCACCCCTACGTTGCGGACGCCGTCGTCGAGTTTTAGCTGGGGCCCGGCTATAGGACAGTCGTCGTCGAGGCGCCAGACCGACGAGGTTATGCGTGACTCGGACGAGCTGGAAGACGAGAGAATGGTCGAGGACCTGTTGCTCCCTGAGCCGCCCATTTCCGTGGCGCACTTTGCTGTGCCTTCCCAGTCCCGGCCCCAGCACAAAAGCCAAAAGTCCACGGGAACGGGATTCACTGCAATCTCATCAGAATCTAATTTCACGACAACAGACCCTTTCTATATGGCGCAGCTGCAGGCTATGCAGTACAATAGCCCACCGCCCTCCGTTTTCTCCCAGCTTGGCCGCCCTGCCCAGCAGTCGCCCTTTGTGCAGCCGCAACAGCCTTATCCGTTACCCTCGCACAGGGATGGGTTCCTTGGTTCACCATCAGCATCATCTATTTCCATAGACCCCTCATCATATCTTGTCACCTCCTCACCATTTGAGTGCTGACCGGGCTTTCGAGCGCGGCCTTATCTCGTTATTCAGGCTGTCGGGCCATTATTGACAGCAAATGGCCTCCCGTCATCGTCCCGCCGCTCATTCCAAACTCTTATTCGGTCATCTTCCGATCGGGCCAACAGCGCCCGGACCGGCGTATACCCTCAGGAAATGCCAAACTCCGCCGCTCCCTCCCAATCTATCTTCCAGTACTCATAATTATTAGATCTCTTATTTTCTGTAATGTAGATTCACACGCAGTGTTACTGTTGTTGTAAGATAGGTTAGGCCTGATCTCGATATTGTTGACGATGCTCTTCATTTCTTCCGCGAGTGCTGCGATGGCTTATCGAAAATGATATCGAAGTGGATACCGGTACCCTGATTGCCCGAGTCGAGACCGTACGGAAGTAATTTCATTGTAGCAGCGGCTCACTGCCGTTCCAGGGAAGTTTTTGGTGGCGCACATAATCGAGACCCTTCTCGCCCAGCCCATACCTTGAGGTAGTGACGTATGTGTAATTTGAGCTCGACGACCGCGAAGATGGATGAATTGTATCACAGTCTTGTGGGGTAAAATTGTCTGTTAATATTCATTGAGTTGCCTTGGAAATCAAGAGCTGATGGCTGGGAGTCTCATGAAAGGATACAGTGCCCGCTGATCGTGTTTCTTGATAAAAGAAAGGCTTGGTAGAGTACCGGAAACAATATTGTACATCTAGGCCCAGTTCGAAACTGAGAGCTTAGGCGTACATCAAAGGAGGCGTCTGTCAGAAAAAGCGGGGATTGGGGCCACAGTACGTTTTGTGGCCAGACCAGAAACAGTTGCCACTAGCAATCCCGAATGATGCGAGGATGGAAATACATCTGAAACTTAGAGTTTGATGTCCTTGGACGGGATAGACAAGCAGCTGTGCGCCAATCTGCCGAAACTTGCTGCCTAGGATCCTCATCGAACCCTATTGGACGCTTCCAAGTATATGGCTCATATATTGAATTTCCTTTTTAAAAGGTTTGCGAGGATCTTTAGGAAAGCCAAGCTGAGCGCGTTAGGATGCTCAGCAGTTTCGCACAACACAAGTCTTCGCCGTATAGTTTATTCGGTCTCATCCTGATTAAACGCGGCATAGCCCTTTGTTCCTCTATGTCTCGTCCGCATGCATGAAGTAACACCGTAGATTGAAGTCGGCGGTGCGGTAAAGAAAAAGCCAAGTTGAACATGTTCCAGAGCTGTTTCTATACATCTAGACACCACACATGATATGATACCTGACCAGCAATTGAAAAATCCGAGCAGGGGGGGGGGAGGGTGGAACTGACAGGGCAGTGGTGGAAGGCAAAGCGCAGATTCACGTTACCTGACCGTTTAGTGGCATTGGACAAGAGAAAAAAATGCAGAGGCCATCGGTAAGTACTGAAAAAGGAGAATGAGCAGAATGCTGTGGATAGCAAGACCTTCCTGTTTCAAGAAGATTGGTACTGGTAAAACATACACGTCCAGTAGCCAGAAGCCCCTGTATCATTAGCTGGTGTTTGTTCGTGTTGACTCACGCGTTGAAAGTACCGTACGCTTCCTTGCTCCAGCCAGCACCAAGGCTCTCATTTCTTCGCTATCTGCGCATCTAGATTCTTCTTTATTGCCTGCTGGCCTCGTGATAGTCGCGTTTTTGCAGCAGGAAAGATGCCCGAGACAACGATATTCAAGGTGAGTCGGCCAGGTCAGAACACATCATTTTCACACCAAGCTCATTTTGCTGCAGGCGACGTACAGCGGGATCCCCGTGTACGAGATGTGCGTCCAAATTAACACCATTTTACACGATTTCTCACTGCGTAACACGTCCAGGATGTGCAAGAGTGTCGCCGTGATGCGAAGGCGCTCCGATTCGTGGCTGAATGCGACACAGATCCTCAAAGTTGCCGGCTTCGACAAACCCCAGCGAACTCGTGTCTTGGAACGGGAAGTGCAAAAGGGTGAGCATGAAAAGGTCCAAGGCGGCTATGGTAAATACCAGGGTATGACGCTGTTCTTTGCTATCGCGAGCAACCGGTAACACTCCTTCAGGAACCTGGATTCCTTTGGAACGTGGCTTGGCCCTAGCGAAGCAGTACAACTGCGACGGCCTCCTCAAGCCAATCATCGAATTCCAACCAGCCGCTAAAAGCCCACCGTTGGCTCCGAAACACCTCATCACCAACTCCAGCGCCCGCCCTTCGCGTCGAGGAGGTGCCCCTGAATCCAGCACCGCAAGCTTGTCTGTTAGCACCCGCTCATCCAGACGCCAGGTCGTCGATGTTCCCGAGGAATCAGAACACGAAACACTTTCAGTGCGGGGTTCCGAAGATGGGTCGATGACGCCTTCGCCTTCTGAGGCTTCGTCAAGCTCACATACACCCTCTCCCATCAGAAGTCCAAAGGCATATCATAATGGTGTTTCTGGCGCTCGCTCCAACACTAGACGGAGCAGGTATGATAGCGAATTTGCTTCCATGGCAGATCCAGAGGCCGCTAGGCTCAACGGCAAGACCGATGCCCGTGCTTATGGGGACCAGATATTGGAATACTTTATCTCAGATACCAACCAGGTGCCACAGGTTCTCATCTCTCCGCCTCCTGACTTTGACCCCAACATGGCCATTGACGACGACGGACATACCGCGTTGCATTGGGCTTGTGCTATGGGTCGCATACGCATCGTCAAGCTGCTGCTCACCGCTGGTGCTGATATTTTCAAGGTCAACAAATCAGGCCAAACCGCGCTCATGCGTAGTGTCATGTTCGCGAACAACTATGACGTTCGCAAGTTTCCCGAGTTGTACGAATTGCTGCACCGCTCAACTCTGAATATTGACAATTACAATCGGACTGTCTTTCATCACGTTGTTGATGTTGCTATGGCCAAGGGAAAGACTCATGCCGCGCGTTATTACATGGAGATCATTCTAACACGGCTCGCGGATTACCCCAAAGAACTTGCAGATGTTATCAATTTTCAGGACGAAGATGGGGAGACAGCGCTGACTATGGCAGCTCGGTGTAGAAGCAAGCGATTGGTGAAAATCCTCATTGACCATGGCGCTGACCCCAAGATTGTTAACCACGATGGCAAGAGCACAGAGGACTACATCTTAGAGGATGAACGGTTCAGGTCATCACCTGCGCCTCCCTCTCGTGTTATGCCTATGTCTTTCCGGAATATCCAGGCTGCTTACCCTCCCCCTCACGCACCGCCGGATTACTCATTCGCGCCGGCGAACGGAGATCGGCCTCCCCTCCATCATTCTATTGCGGCACAACGCGCTAGTACGCGTTGTGTCAATGACATCACGAGTATGATGGACAGCTTGGCTGCCTCGTTTGATAAAGAGCTTAGAGACAAAGAGCGCGACACGGTCCAGGCCCACGCGCTCCTGGGAAACATACAGGCAGAAATTCTTGAAAGCCAGCGCGCCGTGGGACATCTACGGTCGCAGGCCGAGGGGTTGGCGCATACAAACGACACTCTAAAGACTATGGAGAATGAGCTCAATACCAAGATGGGTCGTAGATATAGGCTGGGCTGGGAGAAATGGGTCAAGGACGAGGAGGCACGTGAGAAGGCCATCAGGGATTCAGCCAATGGGGAGTTAATGTTAACACCTGCTACAGCTTCTCACCTAGCGAGCATCGGAATGGACGGCGAGTCAGCCGCCGAGCTAGGGAAGGGTAAAGGAAAGCGGAAAGCATCTTCGGATCCGGAGGATATTTCGGATCTGATTGCCTTGCATTCGGGAATACCGACGGATCCTGAGGCACTGAGACAAGCCTGTGGGACGTTGCGGGAAGAGATTATCCAGGCGCGAAAACGGAGAAAGACAATGTTTGAAGAGTTGGTGACGTTCCAGGCCGAGGCTGGGACGAATGGTAGGATGAGTGAATATAGACGCTTGATTGGAGCTGGCTGTGGAGGGATCCCCCCCTCGGAAGTCGACAGCGTCTTGGGAGTGTTGTTGGAGGTGAGAGTACTTAATATTCTAATCTTAGTGTGCGTTATTGATTTTTCCCCCTCGCAGACTCTGGAATCAGAAGAGCCGAGTTCATCGTCTCTTGGCTGGAATGGATCAAGACCCATGAATGCTGAAAACATGCGATGATCTCTTCTCGGACTACTGGACATTATGATTTGTTCCTTCGTTGTTGAAAGCAATGTCTCTCTTATTTGTATAGCATTGTATGTATTTCGTTCTGTCGTGGTGAAAATTATTCATCTAAATATCAATCTATTTTGGAGGATAACATTTGCAGTAGTATCCACGGTACTTATTTAAACCAGGTGACATATAAGCTCTACAAGGTAAACGACGCGTTATTCACCGCGTCAAAGCTGGGGGATCCAGGATCAACGGGAGCTCTAGAGTTTCGTTTAGATACAGTCTTTAGTGGGATCAGCTTGTTTAATCGAAGGGACGTACCATTATGTTCTTTCCATGCTTGCAATACAGCCCGTCTCGTCACAAAAAATGTTGGTTGGAGGTCTCGTTCTTCAAGATAGCAAGGAAATGAAGTGTTTGCAAGCTGGGACCGTCGTCTAGACAAGGCATGAGTGTTATCCTCAGAATTAGTAGGGAACCTACATAATCCTCAGGTGTGTTTATCTGGACAAGTCGTGATATTGGAGTAGCGAGTGCAACTTCCACAAGTCCACCAATAGCGCGAAAAGTCTGTTGCGGTTTGAGTGTTAGCCGGGCATCCGCATGGAAATCACCTTCGTCCTCAACTTTCGTGACCACACTGGGAGCACACCAATAACAGTGAGTTCAATGTCCGGAATATCCACTCCACAATCAGTGACTTTTTGCTTCCATTGGCTGACCTGCTCTGAATCAGTCAGTACTTGGACATCTAAGATAAGATTATTTTGGACTCAGGGAAATCGACTAAAAAAATTCCTGGTGAGACAGACAGAAATGACAAGAAAACAAGAGACGTACGATTCCGAATCGGCAATCCAGGAACTCCTCAGATGGATGATTGAACACCGGCAGCTGAAGTTGACGCGAGTGTAAAAGTGGCAATGGTAAATTGGCCTGGAATGATAGAAGGATCAGATTCTCCGATTTTAGGGAAAAAGAAATGCTAGTTGTTGCAACGGCCTAGTAGTGACTATTGGACTGCCGGCGCCCGAACTTGAACTCGCACCGGCGACTGAAGTGACTACGGAGACGGTAGAAACGGCGGTCCTGATGGCGGTCGTGAGGAGATATGTCCTGTAGGGACAGACGCGGTTTGTAATGGCGTGCTATCGATGCTGTTGATTTTTGGCGGCAGTACCCCACTTCGACGATACTCGACTTTCTCCATATAATCGGGTTGCCGTCTTTCTCAGTAGCGTTGTCGCGATTGGCAATACACATTTCAATATTCGGGCTTGAGAAGCATGCGATCGATTGCTGCACGGCAATATTGTTGTCGTCCCTGTACCCGGTCCCCCAATAACGACTTGAACGACTGCATTGCTTAATGCGTCAGATGCACTTCTTTGGTAAGGGCAAAGCCAGGTGACCTAAGCTCTAAACCTGTTCAACACCTCGCAACGACCGACAATTGGCAACGTATGACGCAGATCTTGAATTGTCTGAGGCCCGAATTGCTCTTGCCGGGTTGTACGGGAAAGAAGCATCGACCCTGCACTCCATATACACTGCACGTATTCAACAAAGACTAGAGCGGCAAGGCTCAGGTCTCACTTTGTGACTACTTAGCTACTGCCAGTAAGAAGTAGATCTAGCAAGAGCAGCATCGAGAATAACTTCGCGGTAGAACGCGCGCGGATGCATTGCGGTAATATATACTTTATACTAGAACCTTTTTTTTTAGAAACGATGTCGCACATATTAAACACCATTCACCTAAGCATCAGCTGCTGACGGAGCCTCGCGCAGCGCTTCATTCCACAGCTCCACAAAGTTCAGGTTTTCTTTGTTAAATAATTCTTCAATGGACTTGATACCTTCGGGAGTCAAGAAGTGATCCGGCGAATCAGCATGTTCCTTAAGCACGGTCCGGAACTTTTCCGCTAGGTCCTTCTTGCTCATCGCTTCCAACTTCCCCTGAATCAGAGGTGAGAGAGATACATATCTTAGAAACTGCTGACATACCATGAATATCTGCAGCGTTTTAGTCCATCCACCGCCATCTGCGCTATTAAACTTGGCAGCCTGCCAGACTTTCCATCCCGTACTGTCCCTTTAATAGATGCTTACATCCCAGTATTCAAGATCAACTATGCCATCTTCAACAAGGCTGTAGGCCGACATTGGGGCTTCGTACTCAACTGACCAGAATCCGATACGCGTATTGTAACCCACATTCGTTTTAAGGAAGTTGGGATCAATAGCTTGGAATATGGACTGCGTATACGCAAGTTGGAACTCATCCGGTGGCAGCTTATTTAGTGACCCACGACGAAGTCCGGTCGGTTTCCGGAAAACGATTTCTATGGGTCGAAACCCCCAACGGATACGGAGCCATAAGTGACCTAAGACGAACTTCTTGACGACGGGAAACATGAACTGATAGACGAAAATGTCTATGAGGATGTTGATACAGAACCAGAACCAAGAGGAAGGGGGTTCAGCTTTGTGTTTAGGCATCAACTCTCCAACAAAAAGAAAGGCGGTGATATGGTAGCGAGTGGAAGCTGAAATGGCCCTCCAAGCGATGAGGGTGGCCATGATGGTATTGAATGTAAACGGGATTAGGAATATGCCACTTTCCTACAGTCAGCATTGGACATGCTACAAGATATGTAGAAGCTCACACTTTCATCGATATAGGCATTCTATCCAAATGCGTTATGAATGAACCATGACCGGTATCGTACTTGCATAAGAGACTGTACACAGGAGAACCAATGGGAACATCACGAAAGTTTGAGGGCTGCGCCATGGGAAGTGAAAGCAACCACAAATCCGTACTATTTGAATGTCATTTCGATGATGGACCTGTGGGGTGAAACAGGTGGATTGACATTTGATGCATGGAGTTATTATAAGGCACGGACGCTTTCTTTCGTCCTGGATTAAAGGATTTGGATGTGCAGCCGCCTACAGAGGAAGTTAAGATGAGGAGTTGCGCGTACTATACCCAATGTTGTTAGATAGCTTTTATGCATCAAGAGAGAATGAGGACCTTTGCTTATCGTGCTCTGAGATAAGGAACAAAACGTGCTGATTTATACCACAGGCACCAGCCTAGTCATAGGAATCGGAAGCAGATGTCTAAATTTAAAGAATATGGAAGCTCACTTCCCCCTTCTGTGCTTCGTCAGGAAGAAAGCGGTTTAAGTAAAAGTATCAAAACTCTCTATATGCACGCGGCTTAGGCCGTATCGTTTGCTGAGATCAAAACTCCCACCGGAGTCAACACTTGGTGTTTCAACAACATCATATACACTATATGACTGGAGCGATGAGCCACATCCTCAGGGCAAGCCTCAGGTTCTTCCTATCAAAAGAAAATGTGGGTGTTTTTACATGGGTTGCATTTTGGTGCTTACAAAAGAGTAGCACAGTACGAGCAAACTATTTTCCAATACAGAAATCTCGGAAAACCGAATCCAAGATGTCTTCCACATCTATAAGACCTGACACCTTTCCAATGGCTTGAGCGGCGTAGCGTAGCTCTTCGGCTCCTAACACGACCTCCTCTGAAGCTGAACCACTGCGTTGAAGGCGGGAAATATAAAGCAGATAGTCCACTCACGTGTCTCCAAAAAAGCCTTCAAAAAATCAAGGGCTGTTTCGAGATGAGCACGATGTCGTGCATGGGTAATCAGTGGGGCCTGTGAGTTATTCGCGTCGCCTAAGTCGTAGTTGGAACGCAAGGCTTCTGAGAACTGGGCTAGGAACTCCGTGGTGCCTTGGCCAGTGTTCAGACTCGTTACCCAAGCCTTACGTACTTGTACGAGCTGCGCGTGCTCAGGAGGAACTAGATCAGCTTTGTTGAACAGGTAAAACGTGTTTTCGTTGACCAGCCCATCTAACGATGAAGGAAGGACCATTTTTTTGCCACTGAAAACTATATCTGATAGTGAAAGCACACAGAGGGATATGTCAGCACCCTGGACACTGTTGTTTCTGTAAGCCAGGTACTCAAATGAAGAAAGGGAGGCCATACGCGTTTCTCGCACGTTCGATACCAATACTCTCTACAAGATCAGTCGTTGCTCGGAGACCAGCAGTGTCAGATATTATGACAGGCAAACCGCCGATGTCTAGCGACAGCTCTAGAATATCACGCGTCGTTCCTGGAACTGGAGTGACGATCGCTGCTTCTCTTTGAGCTAAATGAAGTCATCAATAGTGGTGCAATATCGACAGACGCGATCGTACCCAGAAAATTAAGCAAGCTGCTCTTCCCAGCGTTGGGGGGACCGAATATAGCGAGACGTATGCCCGAACGCATGATTTCTCCTCGGCGTTTGTCATGCAAGTGACCTTGGATCGTAGTACACAGATCCAAAACGCGCTGCCTGGCTTCGTAGTAGAACTTTCGGTCAGCATTCACATTGAGTGAGACCACAGAAGAAAGACCGCAGATTGTACGGCTCCGAAAGCATAAGGGTCATGTTTTGCGGCATAATAGGCCATAAACGTGTACAGGGCAGGGTTAGACGTTAGAAATCGCAATATTTCCCTGCATGCACTGGCACAGCGCGTTTAAGGCTAGTTAGGAACGTTTTGGCGTCCCCGGCGCCGAACTGTGTTCCACAGGAATAGGAATTCAACGTACCTTGCTCATATACTCCGTCTTCAATATCCTCACCTTCTCCAAAGTCGATCAGGGCTTCCATGAATGCAAGACACTTGATGATTTCTTGCCTGATGTTATCGTACCGTTCTCGCATGGAACCCTGACGAAGATGTGTCAACATGAAGCAGTACGAGCGAACAAAACAGCCCTCACCCACCCCGACGGCATTCAACGCGATTCGACGTTGACTCTCCGTATCTGCATCAATGAGGTCCTTCAATCCTTCGACTTGGGTGAGGTCGAGACGACCACCCATGAAAGCTCTGCGAGTGAATTCGCCGGGCTCTGCAGGGCGACAGAATGGAAGCTCCCCTAGAGCGCGCAAGACAGAAGAGATAATGGCGTGTCCAGAGTGTATATGTAGTTCTAGTACGTCTTCTGTTGTAAAGGACCTGGGTGCTGATACATTTTCAGCCGGCGTTTGGTGAGATTCGGTGGTGCCCACCTCGGAACAGGACAGCCATTCCATTATCGAGGAGATCCCCTTTCCCAGGGTTTACGATATCACAACGGTGCATCTTCCAAGGCTCCGGTAGCTGATCCTGACCTATTTTCTTCCCCCTCTTCACCATCTGTCTCCATACCTCTACCACGTCGGGACCCGAGACTCGCACTACCCCGACTCCAGCCTTTCCGTGCGGCGTCGAGAGCGCATATATGGTCGCCCGCTGGGCATCTGAGCGTACTACTGACGCAATGTTCCGGTGTAAAGGGACAGGGCAGTGCACGGAAGCCGCACAGCGGTGCAGAGATAGAATTCCGGAAGGAAAGGGAAGTATTGCGGTGGTTGGACGTGCTTTTATGCTCCTGATACCGAGCTGCATACACACTGTGACTGTGCTAATGCACAAATCGTCGTCTGCTCCGCTCGAGATGGAAAGAAAAGGACCAAATCGCTCGCGTGGTACCCCGGAGCACGTGGCCGGCGCTATGCTCATTGTCGGCGTCACGGTCGCCCTTTGGATCTGACTTGATTTTTTGCCTGTCTTCTCCCAACTGCCTTTGCCGTGTCCCTGCTGTTGTTCTCCGAACTCGACCTAACAACTTCAACATTTATCTCTCATCTTCGCTATGGGTCAATCACGTTAGTCCCCCCCCCTTACTACCTCTCGCCCAGCGTCTTTTAATATCTCTATTACTGTCTAGCATCTCAATTTATGGAGGACATGCAAAAACGGTCCAACTGTGAGTTGCTATGCGGATTATACGGTGTTTCCTATCTGACAATCCCAATTTCGATGCAGTCACACAACCCGAACTCGAACGGTTGAAAAAGCGGTTCATGAAGCTGGATAGGTCGGTCGCCGTCAACCATATCATGCTGTTGAGACTGAGTCAGTATATAGTGATGGCTCAGGATCGATAGACCGTGCAGAGTTCCTCCAGATACCCCAGATTGCGACAAACCCACTGGCGTCCAGAATGATTGCTATCTTTGATGAGGAGTGTGTGCCGATTCTTCTACCACTCCGTCTGTGGCTAATATCACTTCCATTCGCCCAGTGGTGGTGGAACTGTAGATTTCCAGGAGTTTGTGGGAGGACTTAGTGCATTCAGTAGCAGAGGTGGTAGAGAAGAGAAGCTAAAGTGTTAGTTTGCTGTCATCTAATCACCATATCCGCTTATCAGTGGCCAGTCGCTTTCAAGGTGTACGACGTTGATCGGGATGGTTATATCTCAAATGGCGAATTGTTCCTTGTCTTGAAGATGATGGTAGGAAACAATCTGAAAGTGCGTATCAGTCTTGGTCTACTGTGAACGTTTCTATATCTGTTTTCTTAGGATCGAGAGCTACAGCAGATCGTTGACAAGACAATAATGGAGGCTGATAAGGACGGCGATGGTAAACTCAACTTCGAAGAGTTCGCGTTGATGGTGTCAAACACAGTCAGTAACTGCACTCTCGTCTTCATTCAATCTGATTCGTCTTCAGGATATTGTGAAACAAATGACGCTAGAGGATCTTTTCTAGGCCGTTTCTCTTCTTTTGACGACAACTCACGCACACATTCCCTCGTTTTCGTTGTCAACGCTATTATGCTGATGATTCTCTAATCTTTGTCTTGTATTCTGAAGCTGATTTGTATCGAGGGAAAATGGCTGATAACATGAATTTTTACTGCTTAGGACCGACTACGGACTACTTTATTCTAGATGAATGAACGAGTTTCGCGCTGTCGAGCTTCGAGGATGTATGGAATTGTATACTTAGCAAGTTCAGAAGACTGTCTAGTCGCTCAGCCAGAATCGCAGTAGGCGTACCCATATTCAAGCCTAGGCATATATGCTCCTTATAGTGGCTAGCTTGAAAGATGAATCCGAAGGCGACATATAGCGGATAGCATGACACTGGATTGGACCGTTAACAATTAAGATCTGCATAGCTATCGTGTAGTGCACTGTTGACAAGGTCGGTAGCCGCGATGCAATAAAACAATGCGGAAGGGCGGTTAAAATCGTTGACCAATATGCTTGTTCTAGATGAAAGATTGCAGGCATGGAATTAAAGCTTCATGTTCGTTGCAGGAGCTGGACTAAATCGGACGATGTATTTGCACTGACTCTTTGGATACGACTTTATGAGGATTTATACACGCTTTGATAGCTGACAACTCTTAATATGTTCTAAATCGTTTGCCCTCCTATGGAACATGTCATCTCAGATATGGTTGAAAAGTGAAAACCGAATCGTACCTCACGGTCATCTTCCCAATCCATGTTTCGTTTGCGCGGCGACGTGTCAATGTCCATGCCATCTTCTGAAGCAGATCTCAATGACCAAGAATTAATCTTTCCATCTTCTCCGCCCGTGAGAAGCACTTGGTTCTAGGAAAAGACGTGAGATAATGTGTCAAGTGCTAGATCGGACTACCAACATTCTCATCCCATAGTAGTGATCGCACTACACCTGCGTGGCCGTTGCTCCATATTTTGTGTAGCAACCATGGCGAATTTTGCGTGGATAGGTCAGAATTTGACAAAAGTGCAATGTCTCCTCTACAGCATGGTTAATAATAGAAGAATGCAGCAGTAACGTAAATACTCTCACTCATTAGAACCAGTGAACACAGCAAGGTCGCCGTTAGGCTGGCTTGTACAGGTGACGAGGTAGTCCGTCACCCAGGTGCAATTTCGATTATGTACAGACGGAGCGCGTATGTCCACGCTCTGAAGGGGATCCAGCTGTAAAAGGCGTGATTAGCAGCTTCATTACTTAATGTAGACAATGCAGACCTCATTTGACCAGGTACTGAATGTTTCCATATCACTAGATGCCCAAATCTGCGGGGACATACTAGAAGATGCCATAAATCCGGCTTGTGAAACGCTGCAGCCCCAATTCGCTACCTGTTGTACTGCTTCATCTTCATCATCCTCGGCAGCATCGGATAGACATAAGAGCCCGTCGGCTGAAGCGGAGAGTAGTACATTATTTGGAGCGAATTGCAGGACAGTGACGTCGTCTGAGTGCGTCGATCCATGGGTACGCAGTGGAGTAGCTGGTTGCCGCAGGTCCCTGTAAATGTGAAATCAAGTTGACGAGCTTGACGTATAGATGCCGTACCAGAATAAAATATTCGCGTCATCACCCTGAAGGTCCGTTCCAGCGGCTACAGTAAATCCATCTGGAGAGATATCACAGCAAAGTAGCGCATTGCTTTTGCCGAGGTTGGTCACTGGATAAAGTCTTTTGGGTGGTCAATTATTCCAGTAAAAGTACCCATCAAACCACTCACTTTTGATGCTATGTGAATTGGAACGATCATCCCAGACTTTAACTGATCCATCGTGCCCCGAGGAAACCAAGGACTGCCGGCTGAACCCTGCAATGGATTCAACTGTTTTAAGGGAGGTGATGGCCGTTTCGTGACCACCTAGACTCTGTATGTGCAGCAGTGAGGCCTTGTCATAAATTTCTATTGTATTCGATGGTGTAGACGATGCAGTTGCATAATGAGCGGGAAGCGAAGCGATAGCAAGCACGTAAGGCTGCGATGCCAATGATAGAGATCGTGTCGGCCATGGGTAAGACAGAAAATGTGGCGATTCCAGAAGGACAGGGTTCTGCATAACGTCCAATACCCGTCGAGTCGAATCAATATTGTTACAATCGACGAATTGAAAGCAAATTTGAAATGGCACTTGGCCGTGTTTGGCAGGAGCTCTCAGGCCCAATTTGGTTCTGATCCTGGTTGGAGTTTTCTCGTCCACGAACCACCATCTCCAGTTCCTCTATCCTCTCAGAGGCTGCGAGGTTGCTCGAGAACCCGCACATTCCTTTCCTTACCACTCTCCTAGCAAGGAATTTTCGTTCTTTTTACATTCAGAAAACGCCAAAAAAAGAAATTCCGCTCCAGTTATCATGCAAGTTGACGGCAACAAACCTGAAGATGTTGAAGCGCAGATTCGCGTATGTCCATACATCTGGTTATTTCTGCATATACTCAATGATATTTTTAGTTAGACTCTTTCAAACTAGGAAAACCCCGGCCAACGCATTCTCATGCCCGTTCTCATTCACGTAACGCTTCAATGTCATCTTTTTCTTTTGGTACTTCAAAATCGCAGCCCACAAACTTGAACGAACTCTCTACCCAGTCCACGAAGCGCAACTCTCACCACCGTCGCCGTTCCTCTGTCTCTACTCGTCATGAGTCAGCGGAAATGATGGGTGTGGCTGTTCCAGACCTACCCCAGTCCAACTCGGATGATAACATGACTTTTGGCGACAAAGATTCCATTCGTCGCCGAGCACTCTGGGCTCTAGAGGGAAAGCAAGATGTTTCCTATTCCAAAGTTGAAATCCCAGAATTAGGATCATCGAATAATGACATTGGCTTTGAATTTCGTACGTACACCCCAACGGCCTGGTTCCTTTTTTTCTTACCGAATGCCACAACGCAGCCTCGATGCCATCGTTTCCCCCAGGTTCAGGTGCGGGATCCAGCCTGAGCAGTCTTATGTCCAGCAAACGAGACTCTTTCAAATTGCTGACAGCCAACTCCTCATCCAAGGATCAATTGCATACGTTGGTTGAGGAGGACGAAGATGAGGAAGACAGTCCAGGTTCCATCCCTGCTTCGTCCACGTCACCGCTGCCCAATGAGCCTCCTGTGTCCTCAATCAAGCCCCTTACGTCGAAACCGCGTCCGGCAAGTCTCAACCTTCGCCCGCTTTCACTCACGCCCGATAATCTAAACAGCCATAATTTTGGGCTCCCAAGTCCCGTCCCAACTCCTAGCCCTATCCAGCCTCGTTCCGGTCTTCGATCTCTGTCATTGGCATCTGCTCCTTCAGTGAGTGTTACCCACCGCCGGCCCCCATTGAACCTACAAATAGCCTCCGATGGGTCGCTCGTCAAAGCTGGCGATTCGAAAGCCCCAGACAATAGAGCTCTACCTCGACGAAGTAGTATCTCTTACAGGTCTTCGTCAACGTCCTCTACTTCATCGAATCCCGGTTTGCCAACACCCGAAATGACCCCAACCTTTGCCCTCGAACACAGATTCTCACTGAATAGCAACGATGACGATGACAGCTTTCCGATGTCCATTTCTTCGTCGTCCTCATCCTCTAGTCGGAGCCAAAGCCAAACACGGCCGCTAAGTGTTAGTGAGCAGCATTTTTTATACAAAAGCCACAATGCTCTCTTGGCCAGAATCATGGATTTGGAGAAGGCCCTGACAACGCGGAAACGTGACGACGGGTCCAGGCCTATTTCCGTGCAGTCTGATGCGTCGTCACCGTCTGTTGGCAGTGATGACGAGATGTTCCGTCTTATTTCAGATTTGAAAGCCGAGAGAGATGAACTAAAACGTGATGTCGACGGATGGAGGGTCAGAGTGGCTGATATGGACAAGCAGTTGATCACCTTTGCCAAACGTGTTGAAAGTGAACGACGAGATGCTTGGGTAGCCAGGACAAAATGCGGCATGATCGAGGTAGAGCGTGCAGGATTGGAGAAGAAAGTTGAGCTCCTCAATGATCAGCTTCTTTCGTTCAAGGATGAAGCGAAGACGCTGGTGGCACAGGTTGACAAGCTATCGATCGAGAAAAAGGACCTGGAAGAAGAAGTGAGGCGACTGAAGGAAACCGAGGTTGATATGTTGGCCACTCCTACCACGCAATCATTCACTCCCTTCATTCGCAAGCGGGACGCTGGGATTTCCTCCCTCGACTCTGCCAATAGTTCTGTCACAGACGTCGACGGCGATTCTGATTTTTCTTCTACCTTTGGCTTCAGGTTGAAGGCCGTCGCTGAGGAGCCTGATGACATCTTATCCGATGAAGACAATGGACTTGCTGGGTACGAGGATGAAGAAGAGGATGACATTGACGTGTCAAATAGTCCCATCTCGGACGATGATTTTGGTTCTGATGACGGCTTCCCCAGATCTGTCGTGACTGTGAAAGAAGTGACCCCAGCTGTCAATGTTATACCCCCCTCGAGGTCTTGCTCTCCAGGACTACCAACCCCCTTGCGTACGCCGCCTTCTCATCAATCTCGTGCATCTCTGTCGAAAACCTGGACATTCCCACGTGGCATCCCAGTCTCTCAACCCGTTAATAACAAAGAAATCGAGGAAATTGATCGGTTCTTTGGTTGCTTGGAAGAACCAGATGACGTATCTGACGGAGTTTCCGAAGGGGATACGACAGAGGACATGTATACATTTGAGCGAAGCAAGAGTTTGTTCGCGAGCGGCTTTAAGTACCAAGATGATATGCCGCCTTGGCTCCTCAGCGGCGCCGAAGAAGTTGTGGACAAATCTCTCGATGTGGTTATTGAGGAAGACGAGGAAGAGAATGGCAGCGACATGACTCGCGTAGAAGACGACGAGCTCTTTGGTGATGCTGGAGGTATCAAAATCACGTTCACTCCTCCCATCGAAGATACTGCATCTGAGCCCTCGGTTCCCGAAACGCCCAGTCCAAAGGCTTCTGTGAAGCCCATTCCTTTACTGGCTGACTTTGAGGATGACCATGAGGATGATGTTGTCCGTACATCTCCTCTAGACTCCTCTCGGCCTGCCTTCGCACAAATGGTCACCCCCCCTTCTTCGATACCCCGCCTGGCAGCGACACCTTCGGGCATTCCTCGCGCTGTTTCCAGAGAGCAGCCATCCCCATGCCTTTCCCGTTCTCCCCCGACATACGCGACCCCTCCAAACAAGCGTGGTGGTTCCATGCCCTCTTTTATTCCCCAACCGGTTTCGCCTTGTTCACCAAAACAACCACGGGCATCTACGACATTCATTCGCCAACCATCGCGCACACCTCTGCTGCCCTCCAAAACGAGTAATGGTAATAAGATATCCTCAAATGGTTCGACCTCCAAACTCCAATCATCCACCATGAGTAGGTGTACTGATTTACCTTTATCTACAGTGAACGGCAGAATAAACATGCTCCCTAGATTCTCCGATGACTTATCGGCGTCCACAGGAAGCGCCTCATCGCGGGCAGGTCCCAATCCGCAGATGATGAGCGTGGATTTGGGCAATCGCGATGTCCCACCTTGTGATGAAAGCCCGAAGCCTGCGTCGTTTTCCGGACTGATGACGTCTCCTCTTACACGATTCACCTCGCTGACGAGTTTGATACCATTGCCGTGGTCGCCACGGTCTAATGCGACGGAGAGTTTTGTGGATAGTAAAGCTGAAGTTGTGTCCTCGTCTCTTGTTCAGGAGAGGAGGATGTTTGTTTCAAAGGAACGACAGTTGGAGAAGTTGAAGGTTCGGTTTAAGACGGAAGGTGCGGTCAAGTCGTATGGTGGTGATATTTGCAAGAAATGCCACGATGACGAGCCGGTGTTTCTTTGAGGGTGCGTTTGCTTTGTCGTGTGATGATTCTTCGATTGACGTTTATTTGGTAGATGTCTGGACATTCAAATGTGTATATACTGCATGACCGCGATTCGGACGGGGTTTTTTCTTCTTTTTTATAATGTTTCTATTCTTAAATGTACATTTTGCTACCTTTTTCTTCCATTCTTCATCTTCCACACGTTCGTAGCTAGATGCTACAGGGGTAACGAAATACCTTTGTACTTTCTTGTACCACTACCTAACATTACAATGACTTCTCAACACTTGTAAGTGTTTAGCTACTATTTGTCTATGTCGCACCGTACTGTCACAAAATTTACGGAGTCCGTCGAGAACATGTGGTCACCTCTCCGAGTATGACTGTACAACACTACTGCTGGATGTTCTTCAAAGTACTTGGGTGCATTCAAAACTTGGGTATTTTGGACTGTTTTTTTAAACTGGTGGCCAGAAACGAGCGACTGCCGCTGCACCACCTTGCAAACCGTCTTACCTTAACTTTCTATATATCGGACTGGCAACCCCTCGAATGCGGATAATGAATCTCGTAGTTTACCACACACATGCTCAATCGAGACTTCCCATGGGGAATGACATTACTAAATCACCTATCCGACTCGCAGATAACATGTCCATAAAATCTATCCTAACTTTTGTGTTCCAAGCTACAAATCTGGGGCTTTACATCACATCATACAGAGACTTTCGTTCATCAAAAAGAGTGCCTGACTCTCTTGAAGCCGCGACGGCGTTCAACGACATCAGCAGACGCTGTCGCCTCAGAGGCGGCAGCAGCAGTAGACTCTCCTGCTGCTACCGACCCCGTCATAGATCCACTGCTACCAGCAGCAGCAGACCCTTCATCATCTCCGGTTGAAGAGGGTGAAGCATTACCGGCAGATCCACTGTCGTCCCCACCAGACAGAGATCCTTCACCACCGGTGGAAGACGGGAAAGAACCATCAGCAGATGCAGTAGCCGACCCACTGACTTCGCCTCCTCCACCAAATCCACCTTGGTCACCACCTTGACCTTCTCCAAAACCAGAAGCACCTCCACCAAAATCTCCTCCAGCTCCGCCAAATCCGCTGCTAGACGCGTTGCTCGGGAACGAGCCATCGGCGCTGGCGGAAGCGGAAGGGAAAGAACCTGAACCTTCACCCGTCCCCTCGTCACCACCGGATACATCAGTGGGAGAGGAAACGGAGGCACTGTCAGTAGTAGTAGCTCCAGCGGGGACATCGGTAGGAAAAATGTCCGCGCTTCCACTGGCACTTGCTCCCTCCTCATCGCCAGACGAGTTCGAGTACGCTGTTGCAGAAGCGGTGGCAGTGACAGTCGAGAAGTCATTAGACTCGGAGGTGGCAGACGAAGCACCACTAGAGGCCCGCCGGTTCAACCTCTTCCAAATACCACGTCGGGCGGCGCGCCGAACTTCTGACGATGAAGAAGCTGTGGAAGTGGCTCCGCTAGCAGTCATGGCGACAGAACCAGACGCAGTGATACTAACTTGACCCGAGTTGCCAGACTCGCCGGTAGGGAGGGCGCTGTCCGTGGGGAATGCAGCACCACTACCACCAGGGAACGAACTTTCACCTCCAAAACCAGAAGCGCCACCACACTCACACCCGCCCAAAGCACCGTCACCACTGGAAGAGGGTCCCTGAGCGCTGTCGGAACCACTCGCCACTGCTGAGACAGTTGAAAGAACATCGATATCACTGAGAAAGGCGCTATCCGTAGGGAACGAAGCAGCACTTCCAAATACACTTGTCGGGAAAGCGCTTCCGCTAGCACCACCAAAGTTGTCATCACCACCGAAACCCCCGCCGCACGCACATCCGTCGGCGCTACCACTTGGGAAGGAGCCACCAGAGCTGAAAGAACTACTAGGAACATCCGTCGGAAACGAGCCTACACTCTGGCTGGCAGATTCTCCAGACACGCCAGTTTGCGTTGAATTTGTCCCCGAGATTGAAGCACTAGCAGTGGATACAGATGCGGTGGAAGACGCAACGACGGAAACACTTGAAGTGCTGTTATCGTCAGATGAGTCGGTCGCTGTGGATGTTGCAGCACTCTCGGACTGACGCTTGAACCGGAAGGCGCGCTTCCCGAATTCAGGATCCGAAGATATGGATGATGTTGCCGAGAACGCAGAACCTGATGCGGCAGCGGTGGCATCGACACTTCCCGCATCATCGGTAGGGAAAGCACCGGAAGCCTCGTTCGTAGATGAACCTTCACCTGAACCACCGAAGCTGCCATTCCCGTCACCAAATCCACCTTCTCCGGCTTCGCCACTTGGAAGCAAGCCTTCGGCGCTAGAAGATGCTGTGGGGAAAGAGAAACCTTGACTTTCAAATGTTCCACTAGGGTAAGAGCCGGAGGCTTCGCCAGAAGATTGATCGCCTCCCGACAAATCAGTCGGCTGCGACGCAGCACTACCTTCGCTGCCACTGAATGAAGGGGCAGAAGACTCGGCAGGAATGGAGGAAACGTCGATACTTGCCGATCCTCCGGTTACCGTAGCAGAAGCGGAACTTGCACGAGCCGTTGCGGTAGAAGTCCTGCTCGACGTAGTGCTGACAGCCGCATTTCGCGTCGACGTATCACTCGTGGACTTGGACGAAGATGAGGAGCTGTCGGAAACCATAGCAGGAATGGTGATACTGTCAATGGTCCAAGTCTTCCCATCATCGGAGGTGACCATGTCGGAAGCCTCGACACCATCTCCCATGGACAAAGTCGATGAAAAATCAGCGTCTGCTTCAAGAAGGGTAATGGTAGTGTTCGTATAGTACTGAATAAGGCTAAATGAGGAGAGGAAATACGACTGCGATTAAGCTACACACCTGAGGAGAGGTAGTACCAGTACAATCTTGTTGACACTCGGTACCAGTTCCCCAGCCTCCGTTGTAGAGCGGACCATCAGCTAGTCGATAATTAACACCAAACTTTTCTCCAAAGGAAAGGGACACATACAGCTGTTGAGAGTCGAAATGACTTCGCCATTGAGAGTGACGGTTTGTTCCCAAGTGATATCATCATCGGCGAGCTGTATGTATGTATCGGCATGAGAAATGATCTTGGCATAGAAGGAAAACTGACCTTGTAGTGAATAGTGATAGACGCAGTTGCGTCGATGGGCACCATGTCGCCGTTCAGCTGTGTGGTGGCACCGTCTACAACGCTACAAAAGAGGAGAATCAGTGCCTCACGCCTCAGCATCAGAAGAGCACTAGGAAGCGCACCCATAGTAACTCGCCATAGCACACCATTGATCCTGAGAAGCGCCACAGCTAATATGTAAATGAGCAACAGAGCGGGGATGACAGAAAATGTCACTTACTAGCTGTTTTGATCCGCGGTTTGATCTGTGCCAGCCTGAATCAAACCACTGGTGCTATTACTGATACCTACAAAACGGTAAGAAATGGGTTGTGCAAGCTAATATGATGGATCTGCTTCACCTGGCCAAAGAAAGAGATAACTGGCATCTAGTTAGCACATATATAATAACAGCGCTGCTTGGGACCCACTTTTCGGCATCGGAAGGAGGTGTTCCGGGAGTGAAGGTCGTTATGGCCTCAATGATAGCTGAGCTCGTGGGTCCTAATGAATAGGCAGGACCCCATGAGTCGCCTTTGGCAGTCAAGGCCAGCGCCAAAGGAAGGAGGGCCAAAGAAAACATGTTGACAGTTAAGTAATCACGAATAATGTCGTCAAGTATCAGGGAAAGTGAACAGAAAAGAAGGGAAAGAACCAAGAGTGAGGAGAGGAGGGAGTGTGAGTAAGGATAGGATTGAAAAAGAACTTGTGAAGTACATACCTGCGGACAACTAAGCTTTATATATCTTGGATGAACTCCACAATGCTCACGCAAGGTGGCCGCCTTCACCCAATGAATTTCCGCGCGTCATGACGACACGCTTTACATAAATGCGGGTCCCGAGTCTCGCCCCGACGTCTAATAAACGGTGCTATGCCTCATGGATCTGACTGCAAGTTTGTTGAAAGGGCTAAAAAGCGGCAAGAAGTACCAGAGCTGGTTCTTAACATTAGAACGCGTATGACGCATACGTTTGGGAAGGCTACCGCCAGAGGACGGTTCGGAGAAACTGATTTCAATCGCAAAGCAGCGGACGAGCCTCGGCGGCCTTCAAGAGGTCACGATGAGCAAGGATGGATGAGGTTATCCTGGCGACGAGCCAACGCAGTTACTGCGCAGATCTCAGTTCGAAGGAAGAAAAGCAACGAGCAACATATATATATCAGCATCGCTGTGGTAGTCCATCAAGCGCATGTAGTGGTGGCCGTAAGCAAGTCGGATCCTTTTGTTTGTCCACATTTGCTTTTCATGTTTCCTGGCTCGTACTTGTCTCCGCTGCTGGAAGAATGGTAGACATATGACTTTGTTCTTCTTTACAGGATGTCCTATGTTGCTCCCAGTTTTCAGCGGACGCATTGGAAAGACTCGTTTCCGTCGAGAATTTACCACTCTTCATTCCCCAGAGATTGCGCAGCTAACTTTTGCGGAAGGTTGCTCCACATTTCTCCCAAGTCGTGTTTCGAGGGGCTGTGCCCTTGTTGATATAACCGTACTTTTCTCGGGGGAATATTCTCCCTTCGAGATGATGCGCTATATATCGTACATATGCCCTGTCCATTCAGATGTGTATTGATCATTTCTAATTGCGTACTTTGCTACTGCGTTAATGTCACTCATCCCTGATGCTGTCTCTTTTCTTGTATATGTTCGTAGCTAGATGTTACAATGACTTGTTTCTTCATTCTCCGCGTGTTCTAGGCCATTTGCAGTCCCGTTCCCGCATTTACCCGAACCATGTGCGATCAAAATAGGCGTCACTGTGTTCTTCTTCAAGTCCATCACTGAGCATCGTTGCATACCATGTCTTTCCGCAAGAATTTCACAAAGAACTGGCTGGCCATTGAGGTAACGTTTCTTGTTATTCTAGCATACACTGGCTTATGCTGGCAATGCAGGCTATTCCTATGTGAGCCGTAATCCATCATTCGCGGTATGCTGGCAGTAGCCGATACGCCATTTTTGCAGCTATGTCATTGTAGGAAGTGTCGTCGTCGGAGCCAGCTGGTATCTCACTCGTCTCGCCAGGGGACCCACTGGTAAGCATCAGCCTGTTCTCACTGCTGTTTTCGTTCTTACAACCTTTGCAGTGCAATGGACCTCTGCCAACCCCACCCCTTGGAACACCATTCAGCCCGACCAGGGCACTAAGCTCGTTGAGGTCAATCACAAGTTCGAGAAGCAGTACGTCGCCATCCTCCTCTTCCTACTATTTAATGGTCCGCTCAACGCCTTCGTCGCCCTCCAGCTGGACCCGGGACAAGCTCTAATTTGTGGGATGATAATCACACAAATCCTGTGTAGTTTTTGTTTGCTTGTTGAATGAACACAGACCTTTTAACACCTTGTGATTCGATGCGGTTCCTGTCCTCCGGTTAGGCCCGCTTATCGTGATTATTTGAGCTTATTACGGCTTTCTTTCGCTCCATCGTCAACAACATCTCGCAAATGTCGATAGAGCCAATACCTGACAACGCTGAGGATGCTCCCGTCATTGGATCTTCTATTGTGAGTCAAACGCGCCTTCGTTGTCGCCGTCGTTGATTCGAGTACTCCATCAAGACATCGATCAAGGGTCCTCTCGCGTTGCCGGCTTTGATTTTCGGCGCTGGGTCGTTCTCGAACCAGTACAATACAGATGATCATCTCGAGAGCTATGTTCCCCTGAGGGCCGTCCGGCTTGCTCTTCGGTGAGAGGCATATCCAGCTGTTTTACTCCCGACGGACAGCATGACCTGATTGTAGCTATGGCATACGCGCCTTTGATACTTCCATCTATTACGGCCCTTCAGAGATAGTACTTGGAAAGGCCTTGCAAGCTATCAAGCACGAGTTTCCTCGCTCGTCGTACAAATTGGTGCGTGGGCAAAGCTCTGAGGTGAACATGCAAAATAATGCCATTCCAGATGACAAAATGTGGTCGGATCAGCGTCAATGATTTTGATTATTCACCAAACCACATACGAAACAGCGTACAGCGCAGTCTTGAGCGCCTTCAAACGAATTATCTTGATACTGTTTACCTTCATGACACTGAATTTGTCTGCACACCCGTTATGCCGACAGAAACCGGGTATCATGCAGCAGCGTTGGGGGAAGCACGGGAAGCGTACGGTCTTGCAGAGGGACAGGAAAGCGTTGTCCGGGGTGAAGGCGATCAAAAGATTTTGGATGCATTCGCTGAACTGTCGAAGATGAAAGCAGAGGGCTTAGTCAAGCATATAGGAATAACGGGTATGTGTCTTGACTACAATTCGCGCATATGCTCAGTCTATTCTAGGCTATCCACTTCCCGTTCTCCTACGTCTGGCACTGTTGATTCTCTACACCCCACCCTACAAGCCTGTCGACGTGATCCTTTCATACTCCCATCTCACACTCCAGGATTCGACATTTCTCGAGTTCATACCGCATCTCCGAGAGCGTGCCAAAGTGGGACAATTGGTAGTCGCGTCGCCATTCAGCATGGGTCTTCTCGCCTCTCGTCTTCCTCCATCCTGGCATCCGTCGCCAGAGACGATGCGAAAGGTAACAGCTGATGTGCGGCAAGACGTCGGTGATTTATCAGATCTTGCGTTGCGCTATTCAATGCGCAAGTGTGGTATGGACTTCCCTCTTGTGGTTGGCTTTAGTAATCTACAAGAAGTGCACGCAAGTGCCAGAGTATGGCGCCAGGCAAGAGAGGAAACAGACGATAGTGATCGTTTAGAACGGGAGGAACGTGCTCGGAAAATATTTCAGCAGGCCGGATACTTAGATTGGTCTTGGGCTTCTCCTTAATGTTGGTTGCTAACAGATAGCAATCTATTAAGATCTAAAAATATGGTACATGCTACGTGATTAGAACATTTCAACGTCCTGGTTGCCCTCTTGACGGGGCGCACCTCGAACGACGGATGTAATCAACTCCCTGCGAATCTCCGGACCTATCTGCGCATGAGGCGTAGCACGCACGACATCCAAAAGTGCATCCTTCTGGTCCGGTGTCAAGTCCGACGCGTATCTAGAATTATATTTATCTCCATCGCAGTAAAGTCGGTGTATCACTTACCTCTGAGCAAAAACCAAAAGGCTCTGATGCCAGAGCACGGGGAGCTTATCGGAATCGCCGCGACTCGATGCTTTGTATGTATTGGATAGTCGGATAAAGTGGAAGACCAGAGCGTCAACAACTTTGTACGGCAGTTCAAACTTTTTGTCAATCAAGACTCGGATGAAAAGAGAGTTGGGACCTTGCAAAGACGTTAATAATGGTCAACTGAGCTGAGCTGTCATCACTTGCCTGTGTATTCCATCTCGGCTATTCTGAGTAAGGCTGCGGAAGCATGAAGTACCGGCATCTTTGTTCGAGCAAGGATGGATGCGACAATCGCTGCTTCTTTCAGCGTGCAGCCTTGCTAGGCGACCGTCAGTAAGGAGGCACCAAAACGGAGATACGATCCATGACTCACATCCAACATAGGGAAAATGATGCCCTTGAAAAAGGCACCGGGCTTGTATAAAGATCGTTTCAGTGCTTCGTAATAATGTACATTGAGCTTCTTGTTCTGCTGAATGTCCTCGCGGATGGCATCAAGAAGGACTACGCTCAGGAAAAGCTGTGCTTGAGGGGGTTTCATATTCGAAATGAAAATCTTGGTGGCGGCGCGACATGCATGCGGCGACCAGTTTTCGGGATGGGTGAGTGCAAGCATGCGTGCCCATGCTGGTAGGGAGGGTATCACTTTGAAGATCTTCGGAAGAGGGCCGGACTTGTATTTTTGAAGGAACAAGCCGAGTCTAATATCCACAGCTCAGATAATGAAATGGTTACGGGACTTCAACGAACTTTGTGTACACTTCCACTACGCGTGGATCTAAGCCCAGAGCAGGATCTGGGTTTTCTGGGTCTGCAAGAAAATAATGAGACTGGAGAGCCAGTCTTGACTCAATAATATTAGACCTTGTCGCGTTTTCTGTATGACGGCTGCGTTCGGAGCGCCAGCGCCATCAAGCTTGGCAAAAATCAGGTCGGCCAAGGTTTTTCGCTCGCCAGAATTTGCTAGTAAAAGGGCATCCAGTGTTTCCATGTCTCCGGCGTCGATTTTCTGTTCGGTTGAATGAGGTATCGAAACCATGAAGGCTTAATGTCACCCACGAGAACTTCCTCGACGTCTTCATCGTATCCTTGAAGGTCTTCCTCGTCTTCTTCTTCATCCTCGTCGTCAACATGCATTCGAGGACGTTGGAAAGCTGAAGGTGTATCGTCTGTACTCGTGTCATCTTCGTCGTCGTCACCTACGAGTCCCAGCTCTTCCTGCTGATCCCTGGCAAGCTCGAATATCCGCTTAGATGTTTTTGGGTCGAGGATTACCTGAAAACGAATGAGAAAAGACAGCAAAGGCAAAGGTATGTTGCACCTCGTCGTCATCGTCATCGTCTACCTCTGCTTTGCGTGATTTTGTCCTCTTTCCTGGCTTCGATACGTGACCATACTTCGCTTCTACTTCGTCTCCGTCGAGCTGCACATGCAGTGGATCGTGTCTCGACTTTCCCGTTGGTTTTTGCGCGCGCGGCATTTTAGGTAAAGATACAAATGTATCTTTCTGAATTTGTCGTCGGCGTGTGAACGTGCGAGAAATCTGGATCCGGACAACGGAAAAACACGCAAAGAAAAAAATTGGCGATGGTCAATTGACAGGAGTCGCAGACGGGCCTGAAGACGGAAGGAAACAGAGGCAAGCAGCCCCCCTTATTCCGCTGACCTTTAACAGGAGCACCCTTCCTTGTTTCCTTACCACCACCATGGCTCCTTCCGTACGTCGCGTCCATTGCTGAGCTCGGCGCTATCTTAACTTTCTTGTTTTTCAGAGCATCGTGACCTTGGACAAGCACGGCAAAGAGATCACTTCTGTCGGATTCAATCGATTTGGATTCGACAGCGAGGTCTCCATCGACGACCTTCGTGCTCTCTATTTGCGTCCTCATTATATCACGACGGCGGGCCAAAGTGTTGCGGCGACCGCGTCCGATGACGAGGAGACCGAGCATGCCAAGTTTTCCAAGGGGCACACTGAGTATCAGTCCAAGTCTATTTATCACTCGGATTCCAACTCTATCTCGTACACGACTCTCACTCGTTTCACCCCCGTTAGGCTCCTTGCTCCATCCAACCGCAAGCGCATCCTCGTTACCGGAGGCGCCGGCTTCGTTGGCTCTCATCTCGTTGACCGTTTGATGCTCCTTGGTCATGAAGTCACCGTCCTGGACAACTTCTTCACTGGCTCGAAAACCACTGTCAGCCACTGGATTGGCCATCCCAACTTTGAGATGGTTCGTCACGACGTCGTTGAGCCCTTCATGATTGAATGTGACCGTAAGTGATATTGTGCTTTTCGCGCGAGGGACCTGTCTGAGCGCTCTGCAGAAATTTACCATCTTGCGTGCCCTGCGTCTCCTCCCCATTATCAATTCAACGCGGTCAAGACTATCAAGACCTCGTTCATGGGAACCTTGAACATGCTCGGATTGGCGAAGCGTACCAAGGCTCGTTTCCTTATTAGTAGCACATCCGGTACGCCGCAGTTCCTGTTTTGACACTTCTTTTTTTCATTAAGCGCGCGCAGAAATTTACGGTGACCCTGAGGTCCACCCTCAGCCTGAGGATTAGTGTGTCCTCTTTTTCTATAAGCCCTGGCTTCAATGCTGACCTATTGCCAGCTGGGGACACGTCAACCCCATTGGTCCTCGTGCTTGCTACGATGAAGGCAAGCGTGTAGCAGAGACTTTAACTTATGGCTTCCAGCGCCAGGACGGTGTGGACGTCCGTGTTGCTCGTATCTTCAATACATACGGACCCCGCAGTACGTTATTCCGGTTACGTTGCTGGTCTCGAACTTGACCACTGTCACTTTTAGTGAACCCCTACGATGGACGTGTCGTTTCAAACTTCATCGTCCAGGCACTCAAGGGGGAAGACCTCACCGTCTACGGCGACGGCAAGCAGACTCGATCCTTCCAATACGTGCACGACCTCATCGATGGTTTAATTGCGCTCATGAACTCTGACGAGTCCCGCCCAGTCAACATCGGTAATGGTGATGAGTTCACCATTGGCGAGTTCGCCGAACTGGTTCGTGAGATCGTCGAGAAGGTGCAAAAGGAGGATGGAGAGTTGCCGACGCGTCGCCCTGAAATTGTGTACAAGCCGATTCCGACGGATGACCCCCAGAAGAGGAGGCCTGATACCACCCGTGCCAAAGAGAGCCTTCAGTGGCAACCTAGGTGGACCGTCCGTATGGGATTGGAGGAGATGGTGCGCTACTACAAGGCGAAAATGGCCGAAGGAAGCCTCTAGGCTTGTTAGGTTAAATACGGTATTTCCGAAGTTTACTAGATTTTCCCTTGTTATCGTCTCTGACCAGTGTCTTTCTTTCATTTCATTCCTTTACTTAATTGGTGGACGCGTCGAGTCTATGAGGGGTATATAAATGATACATAAGATACAGATAGGTATTATAAATGGTGTTAAGATCACATCTGGACATGGAAAATGACGCATAGATGATAAGGATAATTGTCCCATTGGATCCGTTCCGCCTATTTTAATAGGCGTCCTATTGATGTTGAATTGGTTCCGACAACCTTTGCCATCGAACCCTTGATAACATGTTTCTCTACCGAAGCCGCAGGTGTAATTGTGGCGCGTCGCAGTCGACCCTGTTGGACTTGATCATTAGATGCCGGCTCCGACGAGGGCGCAAGCGATTCCGAATCTGACTTGCCATGTTTCTGTAATATGAAACTCCCTAGGTGTTCGTTGTTTGTTTTGCTTAGAGATTCTCAAAGTGTAGGTAGGAGAGGATATGCACCTGCATACGAGTTTCCGTCCGTACCACCGCTAAACCAGTGCTCCTGCTCTTTCCTTTCGGAGTATCTAAGTGTGTCAGCGTTGCCAGTAAGACTAACGAATATGTTAAAGAAAGACCGACGGCTTACCTTCTGTAAGGCCGACCGTTAGGCCCAACCGGGGAATATGCATTTTCTAAATTTTCGGAATAAAGTGCTAGTGACTCTGTCTGGCTACGGACGATATCGGGAGTAAGGCAGCTGAAGGAGAGTGATGAAGTTGGATCTCGTGCACGAAAGGAAGAATCATTTGTGAACTCTGCGAGTTTATCGAGGGCCACACTCATTCGCTCCGCGATGCTCGTCACAGGAGGGATAATGTCGGACCTGAGGCGCGGTAGTTGTGACATGAATTTTGCAAAGACTTGGTTTGCTATGGAAGCGTTGCCTTGGATAGTACATAAAGAACCAGAGGCACCTACTCAAATTGGGTTAGAGATCACCGATATAACTAGTGGCGAGGATGATAGCCGACCTTTCAAAGGATATAGCCTCGCCCCTCCCTCTGAATTTGACAGCTCAGAATGAAGTCTTTCGGCATATTTGACTGGGGATACGTCGCACCGGTCTCCCTACACGTACATAGATCAGCACGAGGCAAACAGTAAATAAAAAGACACGACATGTATTATTAACACCGGTTGGGTGATTGCATTCAGCATTTCGGGCTTCATAGGTATGCGCTGATTTTGATGGTCAGAATACTTAACGAAAAAAAACAAAGGGCACCATACATTCAAAGCCACATTAGCCTGCTCCAAAACACGCACTCTTTTGCTGGGAGGTAAATGCATCTGCCAATACGCCATGATCTGCCAAGTCGGGGGTGAGCGAGGTCAACGAATCCCGAGACGTACACGACGTACTTCATCAAGGAGATCACTGTCGATGTCCTGAGAAGATGTCAGCATAACGGCAAGGTCGACAGTCGACAGGCATACTGGGCCGATGATTATCCTAGCGCCCTCTTTTCCAGCATGCTCGAAGCTCTCGAGGTCGGTTGCAAAACACCATGACTGCAGAAGCTCGTGAAACGCCGTCAAGACCCACTTTAACCTACACTCTGTTAGATCGGGGCCGAGCACGGAGCTTGTACATACTCAGTGGGCGCCGGTGCATTGCACAATGTGAGACTGGCGCACATATCCGGAAAACTAGAAAATAAGGGTATTACGGCGACGTGTAAGCACGAGTGGCATGACGGACATACAGAAAGGCGAAACGCAAGGCGCAGTTGACAGATATATTGTCGTGTGCCAGAACGTGGCAAAGAGGTAAATGAAGTATCTAGGCGCAGTCAGACGGGGAACAGAAGCAAGTACAGACGGGCAACGCACTTGGTGGCAGAACGCGAGATCCGCTGCCTCCACCCAGCTATCATGGCGCCCACTGTGCCGACAAGACGATCTCCCGCACACTCTCATGTCGAAGGCAATCATATTGTAGTTCTTGTACAGCCGAGGGTCGCCAAACTGATTGTCGAGCCATGTCGAGTCGAGGAAGAAAGGGTGCAGCAGAATGACAGTCGGCTTGTCAGGATCGAAGCTGCCGACATTGCCAAACGTCGTGTTCGTGAGGTAGTATATCGAGGCATAGTCGTCATCACTGTGCAAGTCCACGTAAGGCATTGTCCGTATACATGCAGGGGAAGAAGAAGGAAATAAGCGAAGGAGATTATCTTTGCAGGGAGAACATAATAAAATGAGAACAGGTGGCAACCCGGTAACGGCCTTGAACCCGTTCATTCTCATTTTTGGAAGGTAGTGACGATCTTCATTCAAGAAAATTATTTTAGCGTATCCTCACATCCAGTCAAGGATGCTGCTAGTACTCGGTAGCGTCGAGCAAGCCTTGCATTTCAAAATAATTTTATTCCGTAGAAAACATACAACCATACGGCTACTTCGGTTACACTCGTCCTGGCCCGATCAGTCCCTCCAGTACTTGGATGATACGCTGCTGCCGCTGCGAGCCCAGGTCACCAGGGAAAAAAAAAAGTTTCAAGACAGACTGCGGCTTACCTCCCGGTCCGCTCCCATTGCAGTCGCGTACATTGCGGGAACACCGGCCTGGCCAAGTCGTTCTTGCTGTTCGCGGACGAGATTGTCCCAGAGAGGCAGGGCTCGCTGCGTGTCAAATCGAAGCAGTTCTTTCCGATGCGCATCACATAACATCTGTAGGGTCCAAAGCATAAGTACAGACGCAGTCTCCGTGCGGGCAGGAGCTCACATCTGCTTCATGTTTCGAGATGTCGGAGCCTATGACATTTGCCCTGTCTTTCCGAGCTATCGCCGCCATCCATCATGTAAAGGTAGAGCGGTGACGGACCTAGTTCTGGCATTCTTCACTTTTTCGTCATACTTGCTTTGAATGTGACCTCTCTCTTCCCAGAGTTGCCTTTCAAGCACATCCTGTTCTTTTTTGATCTGCAGGAGCATCAGAACAAGACATCAGACATTGATCAGATTCCGCATAGAAAGCTTCAAGTTTACCTGCGCGATCTTCTCGATGAATTTGGAGTCTTGGGAAAGTTGTACAATGCGTGGAAGCGCCTGTTGGAAAGTAAATGATCGAGTATCTTCCGCGGGCGAGGAAAATGCCGAAGAACGGTTGTGTTTGGGGCTGACACGAGTACCGTCGAAAGTAGAAGGGTCCTTTGCCGGCGGCTGGGGACGTTGCAGTTGGGCCAATAGAGCCGCAACTGAACTTGAAGCAGATGAAGACGACGAGGGGGATTCTACAACAGCCTGCGGGGGAGCCTCCTTGTTCTCCGTTGAGGTCGCGATAGCCTGTTGCCAGGCCTGCGATGCTTGAAGAGTGTCAAGAAGAGCCTTTACTCCTGCAGCATCCTAGTAATCGTTAGTATCGTGTCAGCAGGAAAGAAATATACTCACATTTATGTTAGTGCTATTGAAATTCATAGTGATTTGCCTTGGGCTTTGACCTGCTTTAGCTCCAGGACCAAAGGTACTGAGGAACCGGCAGATTATTCGCGTCGGTGGTCGGTGTATTGTTCTAAAACAAGCATTCACCGCTATCTCCGGAAAACCCCGTGCTTGAGGAGTCAGATGGAAACGTGCAGGGCGGCATCAATTTTTTGCAATTCGAATGTCGATGGACGACAAGAGAAAGAGACTGCTATAACAGTGAGTGATACGGCTGTCAGAGTAAATTTTCCAGCTCCTGTTAGATTCGAATTGAACTATATGACGCCTAGTAATCTAGACACGCAGTTGTTAGAGAGAGTTCGGTGTTCCATTTGGGTATACGCATTGATAGGAGATAGTATTCGAGGGTCGATCAAAGCCTCTAGACCTGTCCTGCATGCGGAACAAGTGGCCAACGAACGCACTCGATACCGATAGGCAATATAGGAGCGATCAATGAAGGGGGAAGTGAGAGGGGGGGGAAGAGGAATGAAAAGAGAGCACTACATATTAGAAAACAACAACTTGCAGGAGGTTGCATTTCATGACGGTGCCGACACTCGTGGCCTTACGGTGTCAAATTAGATGCGTCACTTGCGACATGAGGCGGATAAACATTTAAGAATTACTGTATTTGCCCGTCGTACCTTTCTACCGGACGAGCGACTGAAGTATCGTTCCGCTCCACAAGAGTACGGACGCATCGCACCAATTTAGTTTTCGGTGAGTAAGCTGACCGAGCGAATGAATAAGTCCGTAGCCGACGGTCCACAAAAGAACATATTGTCGGTACGATGGCGTCAGGCCCTGACAGGGGGCTACATTATTATTATTTATCAATTATTTGCCTGTTTTGAATATTATCCCTTTTCCTTATCTGGACATCGCGCTGCAAACTCCACGAGGCAAGGCGTGGGAAGGTTTGTATAGCAACCAACCGAATATTCCCACATTGGTCCTCTGTCATTTCTTCCTTGCCATCACCCCTCTATCCCGCCGCCCTCCATACCCACTCCTCTTTCTCCTTTCCCCTGCGACTAATTCAGACATTTCTTTCTCTTTCAATTTCTTGCTTCGTCTCCTTCCTCTACCATGCCTGCCGATACCGATGCCCAGGCGACTTCATCGCATATGATGAAGACAACAAAACGCGGAAGGCCTTTTCTCAAGGTGCATATACTACCCTTCTGGCTGTCATTTTGACTATTGACGTCGGTTCTACCGCCCAGGATACCCTCGATCTGTTTGCAACACTTATCGTCTCGTTAGAGTTGACGCCGCACAAGCAGTTCTTTCGTACATTCCCCAACTCGTTCTCTACGTATGTCTTTGTCTCTCGTCTTGGCTTTGTTAGCCCTCTCATTCATTCTTACTAGAGATGAAGCCGCTCAGAATCTTGCGTCGCTCAAGTTCTCTCAGTCTAATCGAGGTCCGGATCCCAGAGAACCTTCGCGTGTGGTAACGACAACGACAACCACGACGTTTTCAATGACCCGTGATATGGCCAAGGCGATGAGCCAGCACTTTATGGACGCCCGCCTTATCGAGAACGCTGCCGACCCATCCTCGACCTTGTTCAAGGACAGGGGTGTCTATGTGCTCACGCCGAAGGGGTTGCACGTTTTGGAACGTTTCATCAGTAAAAATGGTATCAATTCAGACCATCTCCAGCAGGTTTTTGTGTCCCAGCCCATCTGCATCAAGCTTCTCCACCTCGAGCGACGATCAGCAGACGACGAAATCATAGTCACACAGTCCGTCATCACTGCCCTCTTCCGACGTTTCGTCGGCCGAAGCCCCAACTTCCCATCTGCAACCCCTTCCCCTGATCCCTTCCAACGGTACAACGAGCGATCCAAAGGTGTTGCTCTCATGGAAGTCACGGAGCGGGCGCAACCGCTTCTCGGCAAGGGTCAGCAAGTGCACAAATATTGTTTTGCGGCTGTCACTGCTCTTGAGTGGTTGTGTGACTTCACTTCGGTGGTTGGGCGTGAGGAGGCTGCAGAGATGGCCGCACAGTTCGTGCGATTCGGACTGATCACCCTGGTTAGCGATAAGCGGAAGAACAACGATTCTGCGATCATCTTTACGGTCCGAGGATCTGCCCCAGGAGGCAACTCTCCCGTCAGCGTGAGTCTGCAATGTTTTTTTTTTCTTTTTGCGTTGTCGTCAGCGTAGTAACAACATTTATTTAGCAACACGGAGAGTTCCGCTGCACCGCTAAGGCGATCTACAAGATCACGGAGGAAGGTCGACGCCTCGCGCACTGGGACAATCCAAAGCAAATCGGCTCCCATGACTCCCCGAACGCATCGTCTGCAACGCTCACCGAGCGCTCCTCTATGGACAAGTCTGCCGTAGACCATAACGAGAAGAAGGGCGGAGATGCCAAGATCCACCGTCGCATCTCGATGGCGGAGAAGATGAATGCCAGTTATGATGCTGCGGACAAGAAGAATAACCAGAAGGAGAGCAACGCAGAGCGTCTGCGGTACATTTTGGAGGAGCCCGGCCTTCGTTCGCTCTTCCGCGAGTTCCTTCGGAGCAACTTCTGCGAGGAGAACTTGTCGTTCTGGCTTGACGTCGAGGACTTCAAGCGCAAGTTCAACATCACCTCTAGTGCTGTCGCCGTTGCCCCTGCTGCTCCCCGTCCCGCTTCCAAGACTACGCCAGGCCAAGCAGCGATGGAACGGCACCATGAATCCCTCATCAACACCGCATTCGTGATATACAACACGTACCTCGCTCCTTCCAGTCAGTGCGAGCTCAACATCGACCACGGTCTCCGGAATGAGTTGTCCAAGTATTTGGAGGATGTTGTGACGAGCCTAACGGGCAAGGCATTCCAGGGGCGCGTCGAGCCTGAACAGGCAAATGCCTTCAATGCGACTCAGCTGCAGACCATGATCCGGTTGTATGAACGGATTCAGACTCACGTTTTCCGGTTGATGGCGACGGATTCTGTTCCTCGGGTATGTTTAATGTCTCTTACGTCCCCGGTTTCTAGCTTACCTGTTTTACATAGTTCATCAAGATACCTAAGTTCCTGGCGATGCGCAACTGGGTCGAGGACTTTGATCCTACCGACGATGATGTCCGCCTCTTGACCTCTGCTCCTTCTCAACCACCAGGCCTCGGTTCGTCAGAAGAGACGGGGGGCGCATACATAACAATATCACAACAAGGCAGTGAACGGGCACAGGGTCAAACTACTCCCGCGATCTCGACGCCGAACGCACCGTCCGCACCAGCATCGTCATAGACCGGTCGCATTGCGATTTGCATTTTCTTTCTTTGCATGGTCTTCACTGGACGCTTCGAGGGCTTTCACATTTTTTTTGGCAACCGCATGCTTTATTATCATCATTCATATGCGCATCTTTGCTTTCATTTTTGTTTCCTTTTTCATCATCGCAATCACGGCACGCTGACCCCAGGGGGTCATAATTTTGTACCTTCCCATTGTCCACCCATCGTGTTCCTACGTCTTACTCCCGGTCCTTGTTGTCAGGCCACAGACTACACTTTGGTGACTTTTTTGTCACCACGAAATCGCCGGTGTCTTTTACTGTAACTTTTTAGTACCCTACACGCTTCCTCTACTAGACGGATGGCATACCCCCACTAATTGAGCAAGAAATCGTTGTTCGTAATAATAGTTTACCTGCTTGTATGGCTGTAAAACCATTGCAGCTGATACCAAAGAATACTTTACGTCAGTCTTTGTTGGATAGGTTCGATACAGTGTGAGAATTTGACTAGAAGAGATGCCGCGGACCCTTTTAGCAGGTATTTCCCACATCGATCAGCAGCGACGTGTTGCAGTGCTCCAGGTCATCTTCCATTCAAGTTTCACGTAGAATCAACTGGTCTCGATAACCTCCAATATTCTATCTACATATCACGGCGAGAACCTTCAGTGCTATGTCGTGGCTAAAGGGACTTAATGGCGAGGCAGCTGAGCCATATTTCGAACCAGAATCTACGCCAAAGGTCGAAGACCCCTCGATTCCGAAGAGAATGGTCTCGACAAAGCAGGCCAACAAGCCTTTCCTTGCGTACGAAGCATGCCCTTGTCATTATGCTCGGCTGCTATAGTAACGGTGCACTCGTTTAGGTATAAAGAATACCGAGAGCATCAAACAGAGTTACACAATGCCTGGCTGGAGCGCAAAAAACTACGCGAGGAGAAGATTGCGCGAGGCGAAGACGGCGGGCGAGAAGAACCAGACCCTACCGCTGAAGTCGAAGTTGGCATCCTAGGGCTTCTGAAATTCTTGGTCTATACATTGATCATTATCGCTCTGGCTGGTAAATTCATCACGGGAAGTTATCTGTGGGAATACGAGGGTAAATGGGTCCAGCTGAAGACATACTGGCCGGTGCGTCCAGCTCTTTTGCTTTGCCTTGTTTTGCTTTTGCATTTATGTACCTCGAGTAGACGACACAGCGCCTGTTTTCTGAGAGACTTCTAGCCGAGTTTGATGGTTCGAAACCTGGTCGTCCTATTTACCTTGCCGTGCGTAGTCTGCAGCCATGTTCCGCTATATTTCCGATACACCTCATGAGGTAGATTGACGGAGACGTCTACGACGTCACCGAGGGTAAGGCATATCAGCCTGGAGGGTCTTATCATCATTTGTTCGTCCATCACATTCTTTTTCAATTAGACCACTCAGACCTGAAGTAATCTTCAGCGCTGGCGTGGACGGAGCTCGTGCGTTCGGTACCGGTTGTTTCCAAACGCATCGCACGCATGATTTGCGTGGCCTTACAGAAAGCGAATTAAGGGTGAGATCGACGGGTCCGTTTCATTGATTTGTATTGATTTGTTTGATAATTATAGGGCGTTCAGCATTGGAAAGAGTTTTATGCAAACCATAAGGATTACTTCAAGGTCGGCAGGGTGTCCCATCCGCCGATTGACCCTGCAAGTCCAATTCCCGAGCATTGCAATCCAAAGAAGGCGGCCAGAGACAACGCCAACCCTAAGAAGGATACCAAGGAACGGAAGAAGGACTCGAAGCCTAAGAAGAAAGAAGATGAGAAAAGCCACGAAGAACTCTAGTTGTTTGGTGCTCTCATATCTGTGTAATTTAAATAATGCTACTCGATTCTATATTGTCCTGAAATATATACACATGGACAGTCCCGGAATGAAATTAGGCAAGTCGTAAAACTTTTCTCGCTGTGAAAACTAAGAAGGCCTGAGGATCGCTTTGGACAATGTACTCTTTTGCTGGATTCAGGGTAGTAATGTCACGTTCCGTCGGGAAAAACGGAGCAATGTCAAAGACATACCTCAATGCTCGGATGGAGATCCATGTGTCAAAAGGTAATTTTTCAGGAGAGGAAAGTCCGCCATTGACGCATTCATCATGGAAGAGAACGGGTTGTCGCGGTACTTCGCGATAATAATGTTCCCCCGCCAAGCGACCTCGTCCTTGAAAGACCTCCCCTGAATTTGTCTAATGCTTTTGTTGATAGGAAAAGGCATGCCGTCGCGAGAGACAACGGGGTAGAAAATGATATAAGGGTTCGCGAACTTCCGGTTCATGCCGTCGAGGGCTTCTACGAGCTGAACAATTTTTTCAATCCAAGGTCGCCGTTGATAGGTTTGGGTAAAATTTACCTGATATTTCCATGCCCGGGGACCAATACCATCGGCGATCTGTTCCACGTTTCGGTGCCATCATCAGTGGGGATAAGACAGTCAGGAAAAAGTAACGTACGTAGTCCATATGAATTTCAGGGTGGGGCATGCGCGACGGGGAAGTGGTGTAGGAAGAATGATGAGTCGAGATTGTCATCGGGCTGTACAAATGAACAATGAATATTTCTTCCCGAAGAGATGGACAGGATAATGGTTTACCTAGTCATGAGCTGGACAAGAGTCGGCTGGTGTCCTAGATTACCCAAAAATGAGCAACAATGCAGAAAAATTCAGGTAAAATTTGAGCGGACCGTCGGAAGGGAAGAGAATGGCGTCGAAATGGATCATGTCCATGGCGTTTTGACAGTCTGGATTATGCTTGTTGGTCAGGTTTAATCATATTGACCAAACAATAACCTCACCGTTGGGTGGGGGTGTAAAATAGAGAGTAAAAGAGATGGACAAGAAAGTGGGTGAGCGTTGAGAATGATATTCTCAAGACCTCCTTTTATATACTTTTAGCGCTGGGAGAACAACGAGGCCATGGTGTGCTTCATCCGGTCGCACAAAGGCGACCTGGGAGGTAAAACCAAGCCCTCTCGTCAGTATCAACACGCGGTCGGATCATTTGCAATAGACATACAGATGTCATGAAGAATTGAGCGGAATCAGCAGTAATATTTATGAATGGAACGCCTCCTTGAAGCGGCGACGGAAGCAAATGAAAGCGAATGCCTAAATTGAATTCGATGTCGCATTACGGGCCGCCGTGTAATTCCACGAGTATGGTATCGAACGCCGAGCCTGGAAAGAGGGACAGCCAAAGAGTGATAGTGGACAAAGACATGGTACTAGCACTATAGAGAGAAGAGATAGGATTGCCAGGTACGACACTGGCCGCCAAAGATCCCATGGTTGATATAAGTGAAATTAGATCTAGAACGAATACGGATAGAACCTTGTCTGCGATGTGATACCGATTCATAGCTGGTATGTTTTCTATTCGTCTTTTGTCGAGAGGAGTACCAAAACAGATTTAGGGGACAACTATTTGAGCTTATTGACCGGTAATTTTTAGAGCGAACCCTCACCAAAGCAGTGATTCCCGAGCCTTTCGAAGATTAAATAAGTACATTCGACGAGCACCCCGTTGATAGTTCTACTCTTTCTATCCATCACACAGGATCAATGGCAATGATGTTGTGCAAATCCGCGCTTCCCCGACACTATTATTTGAACAATACTAATGCCTGTTGGGGTTTCCGGTATACGACTCCGAACCCGACTCTATTGAACGCCCTGTGTCATATGGGACGAGCCCATATAGGCCGTTATTTTGCAGTGCATCTGCCAGCCTAAGTGGATTGCACCCATTATAAACTTTGCCTTAGCCTTGATCGCAAACCGCGGAAATTACATTGCAATCCTGTGTTCCAAAGCACTGTCGGCGCAAGCCGCAGGCACCCTCGAATTTTTCTGGGAACATTCAGGTCTTCCGAAGCAACAAGATATCTGCAAGAGTCCACAAGTCACTATTTTCGCTTCCGACAAGTATCCCAGCCTACTCCGCGAATATGAGCCGCACCTCAGACGACACATTGCCATCTAACTGCTTTACCCGTCCATCGGTTGATGGGTGTGCCAGGTCTATGCTTCTATCCGTCTGAGATGTATCTTTGCAACCACACTTCGTCTATCCGGCTTTCATGGTTCTTTCATCTGGACATTTCATTGCTGTCTATCATCTAGTGCTCTCCATATGATGATACTACGGCTCTAATCACGATACCGACCAACTCAAGGTTTTTAACTTGGGGGTACATTGGTCTTCGGCCTTCAGGCTCCCGATATGACTGTTGTTGATGGCTCTTGGCCTCGAGGTTCTGGTAAAACACGATCTCAGTCGTCACCACATGCCTTCATGGCTACTTCTAGTTCCCGTTTTCCGTTTTGAAAGCAGGGTCCTTTCTTGATGCTTAATCGTGCCCCAAAATGACCATGCGATGATCCCCCTTCATCGCCTTGATATATTATGATTGCATTCCGAATGCATTCTCTTCCTACCGCGCTGTAAACGCGCCATGTCAATTTCTCTGCCGGATACGTCTGACCGTACAATCGAGCGGAACCCACGCTAGCTTGACAAAGTAATGCCCGTTCCGATTTCCGGGCAATGCTCCCCTTTCATCTTTGTCAAACTTGTTCGAGCGACGATTGAGTACTGAGTTCTGGGACCTCTTCAGTACCTCGGGCAGCCTGGACTCGGGGCCGTAGAAACTAAACCCGTGTCTTCTGTTCAGACCCTGCTTATTGCATTCAATTCGCATCTCGCACCCGAGAGAGGAAGAGCTCAAGCAAGTGGCGCGGCTATCTATGTATAAGATACTATGTACATCAGGAGCGAGTTGATTCCGATCACTCTCCTTTTCCCTTCTCTTCGATTGAGAACTTCTTGAATCAACATACCATGATTGCCATTGGTACGAATATCAAATAAGATGTTCTTCACTGCTCCAAGGATGTCGTTGCATATCCCAGATTCGGACTGATTCCTTCTCATCGTGTTCACTCTAACGACAAAGCTGCCTTTTACTACCACCGCATGGACTCTGCACAGTTCACGAGCGCTCGGAGTCGTATGCGGAATGAATCTGTTCTAAAAGGGTCTTTACGTTTCTCATCCTTGTCTTTTCGAATGGACCAGGACGGTGAGAAGTGTGCAATGCGTCGAAAAGCTTTTCGTTAATAAGTCTAGAAGCGAACCATCGTCAAGTTTCCCCGAGGAGACAGGTAAAATGGAAGCTTACAGTGACTGTATCGACATAAGGCTATTTCTGCTGCTTGGATTTCGAATTCTTTGACAAAGTTATCCACTTGTGGTTAGAGTCATGAGATCCTAAATGTTGTCACAAGATCGCGCCTTGCACGTGACCGACGAATTTCTTCCTCGAACGGTGAGCACCGACCAAGCCAAACGTCGACTTCATTTTTCAGACGGTCCCTCACTCGGGGAAGCACTACTATTCAAGGATCTGACGAGGTATATATCTGTTTAGTGCGTCCTCTCTCCACCAGAAAACTCTTATTTTGAGCGGGAAGCAGGCGCCATGGATGGCTCTATGCTAGTGGCAGCTCAATTATCGTCTCTGTATCCGTCTGTTCACGCCGTCGGCATTGCAATCCCAAACTGTGGCTCCCTCGACCCGCTATTTTCTTACACACCGGATCAGTCAAACCTCACCGAGCACTCGACATGTTCAACGGTGTTTCACTCAACAACAACCGGTACCATCTTGTTACGCGTACTCGAGGGTTCCTTGTTGGAGTTAGTGTCGCTATCCGTCGACACAGTAGCCGCTCGGTTCAATCTTCCGTCGCCCGTGCTGCCGTCACCCGGAATATTCCTGTGGGAAGAACAGGAACTGCACATAATAGCAGTGACGGTGTCTGGATGTGTGTATCGTCTGGTTTTACCCTTGCGTAATAGCAAGGATCTTTGGCGAGATGAAATCCATAACGTCTGGACGCGTGAATACGTCATTACACATCGAGTGGCTGGGATGAACGGTGTTGCTCATATCCACGGGACACATTGTGTGGCAATTGGGTTAGAGAATGGGTCTTTACTTAGACTGGATACAGAATATGTGGGATCTGAGGGCAGTGAAGGTTCCGTCGTTCTTCTCATTTATCGTTTCATCTGCTGATCTTTAGGTAGGGGAATGGACGGAAACGCTCTTCACACCAGGCTCGTTCTTGTCTTCTCTGACTTCTTTCTTGCCCGCACTTTCCACGGGGCCCTCTCATGCCGCAGAAATCATTTCCATTGCGACGCTCCCGTGGCCGACGGACATTGGCTCGGTGTGGTCAATTTCTCGCGATCGTGTCGTGAGATTTTGGAAACCCAAGGTTGGCTGCGTGGCATCGAAAGCTCTCCCTGCTTTACCCGGTAGAGATGTTACGCCGTCGCCAAGCCCTTCGGCGAACGGAGGAAATAGCAACGCTCTCCTGGAGTCCGGTCGTCAAAACTTCCTACGCGCCTTTTATGCCTCTTCGGATGACGATCGCGTCTACCTTCTTGCGTTCATTCCTACGCCAACGCTCCATTCATCTGGAGGTAACTTCTACCTTCTCCTCGCAGACTCAGACCGTCTGCAAGAAATTGGGTCGATACCTTGTTCGACAGCAAGCGCCCATTGCCATCTACAAGATTTTACAGTGATTGGGGAAATACTCTATGTTCTATGGGATCGTCAGGGCCAGTCCGTGGTCGACCGCGCTGTCATACCATTTAAAGATACCGACATTGAACCACAGTGGAAGTTGGCTTCTTATCCTCACGAAGTCGAACTGACACCTGCATACCTGGAAGAGGTTCTTCTTCCACCGGGATCATTGACGGGCAAGTTCTTCGAAGTGATAATGCGACCTGGGATGTTCTCTCCATTCACACTGCGCACGGCCATTGACGACTACACTAGTGGTTGCTTCTCCCTTCCTGGAACCCCCGCGCCGCAGTTACAAGTGAATTACGCCACTATTGGGGAACATATTGCTGCCGTAGTTGGTTGCACAGTCACCCTTCACCATGACCCGCAGACAGGCGCTCTGCTGCACACTGAGTACTGGAATGCGTTCAAGCGAGATTGGGAAGGTTTCATTGCTCTGTGCCGAGAGATTGAGCGCCGTTCACGGCGGCCTCTTGCATTGGGTGTCGGGGCCAATGGTGACGTCATGGTTGCTGAACGGGAACGGGTCGCCTCTCTTGTAAATGAAGATTTGGCCATTCGATTATACAATGCTCTCAGCTCTGAGACCCCGGAGCTTGAACCTCAATGGGATATTTTCGGTGCAATGGAGAATTTGCGTCGGGTCCTAGGTGTTCAGATGATGCTCAACTTGGAAAGCTGCTTGGTCGACATCATGCATCAGGAAATTGCCTTCTCTCTTGCTGATATCATACAGGATCAAGCCGTTCGTCTGAAATTTAACGAGACTCTGGATGAGGATGTTCGTAACTGGCTATTAGGCCGACTCAGAAGTTCGGCCAGCTTGTCTGATGAAGTTCGTGCTATGCTCGATTATGTGGGTGGGCTGGAAACAGGTGTCAAGAGAGAGGATGATATGTCAGCTTCTGTTCCCCCGCCTCGTTCGCAATGGACCAGAGCAATCACCTCGTCATATATTATCGCCACAACAAATGCTCGCTACGACCTGTGCCTTTCCATAGTCGCTCTTCTCTTCTTCCTGGCGCCAGAAATAGGCCAATGGGACCCCTCTTTGTTAGCAGAGGTTTTCGCTCTCTTTCGGGGGACTGCCATCATGAGATATGTGATCAGGCAGCCATCCGGTCTACCTGTCAAGCCTCTTGTTGAGGATGCCTCCGCAGCCGACGACGTTGTCTCCCTCATGCAGAATATGCATGTATCACGGAGTCGTGGTGATAGTACCCAATTGTTCTCTCTCATACATCGACTCCTAGATCATTTCGGCGACAGCCAGGTCGGGCTGCCTGGTGCTGCCCATGGTTTCCTGGATACGGCTGGGCTTTTGCAATCTGTTTCGCTTTCACATGCAACCAGTAACGAAGTTGTATTCTCCGAGAAGCTTAGGCAGCTGGGGTACTTCCAAGCTGCCTTGCAGGTACTTTCTTGGCTTCCGAGAACTGCAGGAGCCACATACGTTCTTGCTCGGTTGTATCTCAACATTGGCCGCGTAGATGATGCGGCGTTCCTACTAGAAAAACTTGCTGGATGTTTAGGTATGTTGGCTGATATACTCGGTTTGCAGTAAGTTCACTATCGTTTTAGGTGTGGATGGTGCGATGACCGTTGCAGATAAGATGGTATTGTCACTCGTCCTAACTGAACTTGAGCAGTTAGACGACTGTTACCACTTCTACATCCATGCGGCTGGCCTTTTCAAGTCAAAATCGTTGGTGTATCAGGAGACCGTCTTCACCCAGCTAGCGATATCCGTGGCCCCTTCGGAGATAGACACCACCGTCCTGTGGGCAACGGTGATCAAAGGGTATACAGAGCTTGCTTTGTACGATGATGCTTATGCGGCTTGGATTTCCACTCCGACTGAGAAACAGTGAGGAGTTTATTCGTTTCTTCTTATACTTTTGCTAATACTTTGCAGAAAACGGGAAAGTGTCAGTCAATTAGTGTATCGAATGTGCGAGGACAATGCTGCACAAAAACTGATGACGTTCAATTTTATGGGGTTCGCCGACGAAGTTGAAGATGCTGTCTCATTCAAAGTTCGCAACACGGATCCTCGAAGCCGGCCGAACTACTCAAAGATATTGTACGGTTGGTACACAAGTCGAAGCGACCACAAAAATGGTATGTCCTGATCTTCGACTACTAATCATCACTTAATGATTTTGCCAGCTGCTCTGACGATGTACCAACGTGCGCGGAAGCTTCGTGAGCTCCTAAACGCAGATTCGTCCACATCGTTGGCCGGCGACGCGTTGCAGTCGTATCTGCTTGCGATAAATTCGTTGTCTTTGGTGGACCCTAAAAATGCCTGGATTCTAATACCTGGATCCGTCGATAGTGAGCATGAGGTAAGTAATTACCTACTTTCCAATTTAATTGCCGTAATCACGTACACATCGAACTAGCCTAGGAAACGTCGAAAAGTTAAACGGATACCAGAGTCAAAATATACTCCGGGTAAGTATGAAAACGTAATCATCCATCTGGAGGATGTCCAGTATGAGTACGCGCTTCTATCTGCTCAGGTGGATATCGTACAGCGTCAACCTTCTGCAGGCCAGTTCACTAGTTCCCAATGCATCTACCATTTTTACTTACTTTCCTGAAGAGTTCCCTCTTCCACCCGCATCAATCGTTCTCCGACTCGTCCAATTAAATTGTTTCAACCTCGCCATGACTACTGCGCGTAGTCTCGACGTGGACATGTCCGAATTGTTCTCTCGTTTGACAACCCAATGCTTGAGACTCTCACGAGACCCAGACTCTTTAAGGTACGTCCCTTACGACAACTGCATCGCCTCACGGATCATAATTATCCGCTCAAACAGTCTGGAAGATCATTCCGAGTGGTTACTCACCGACAAGGTCTCTTCTTGGACTGGGACGCCGGCAGAGAAGGGATGGAGGTACCTCCGGCATTCTCTTGAATGTCACGACTGTCCCGAGACGGACTATCGGTATTCAAAGATCGTCCTGGAAACTATAATGCAGCATCAAAAGTCGTCACCTCCGCCGTGGCTCATCAGCTTTTTGGAGGTAAGTAAATCCGACTGGAAGCCTTCTCAAACGGTCGTAACACATAGATGTTTTAGGCTCATCACCACGAGTACCTCATTCGCATCAATTTGCGCTACGAAAACTTCGGTCGTGCTATCGACCATACCTTATCTTTGATACACAAGGTACGTATTGAATGGCATCGATTTGCATTTGTTGAACAATACGTGGCTTACAGGAAGACGCTCGTTTGGCGCTGGATCCTCCCAAGAACGCCTCCGCTACTTGGCTACCTTACGCGATCATTGATCAGGTTATCATCGCAGCAGCAGAGCAAGAAGTAGAACCTCCGCGCCTATCAGATCTCCGGTCTGAAGTTTCAAGCCGGATGAAGAGGATGCAGAAGCTCAGCACTTTCAATTAAATCTTGCTTGTATATATCCTCTTGTCGTACTACGCTGTCTTTTAGCTTTAATCTCTATCTAATTCATATACCTTCCGCCCGAGTTTGATAAGCGGTTAAATCGTATTTGACGAAGCAGTTATAAAGATCATCTGGTCGTACATACAGTTTACAATATCCCCGAAAAATAAGGCGTATATACCGTATGTCAAGCAAAAGGACAAGAAGAAGAATAAAGCAGAGCACGACTAACGACTATGCCGACTAGATTGCTGCACATTAGGTGCTGCGCCAGACATCCCCTCCAAGAACTGCGTCCACTCGCCCTGCCCGAACCCTACAGCCGCGCCCCACATTGACGCCTCGTCCACAGAATGTGTATACGAATTGCTGTACCTCGAGTTCTCCCCGTATATCTGCTGTTGCTGCATCAGTATATATGGGTCCGGTTGATATGTTGGCGGGGTCATGGTCGGCCCGCCCTGGCTGGACACCATCGAGGGGGACAAATGCAGCCCAGGGGATGAATGTATCGTACCCTGTATCGACCCTTGATATCCGGTCTGCGGCGTTCCTTGGAGGTTAGGCGTCTGAGCCTGCAGAGGGTCATACTGCCTCGGCGGCAGCGTGGTCACCATCTGCATAGGCGGGCTCACGGACGAACCAGCCGGAGAATCTGCAGAGCCTCGACCGCTAGAAACGGATTCACCATACCGCCGAGGTCCGTGTGAATCGTGATACGGGAATGCAAGTTTGCGGACCAAACTCAGGACGTGTCCTCGCTCCTTTTCCTTGTCTTCCGAGCTGAGATGCGTGAACTCGCCAGAGTACAGCGGTGAGATAGCTTGCAAGATGTCGTATGCCTTGTCTGCAACAGCACTTCCTCGAGCCTGTTCCAATGTCGACAGTGCCTTCCGAATACTGGCACGGAATAGTCCAGCCCCTGGTTGATCCGGATTAGCAATCAGTTGGAATGAGAAAAACATCGCTGCTGAGAAGCAATGGAAGGTGCCCCAGTTCATATGCCCCGGTACCGCAAGTGATGAATTTGCCAGGAAATCAGGGCGTGATTGGCCGACCATCGTGATCAGCTTGTCGGCTGCGCTGACGGAGATTTCTAAGCTTTCAGCCGCGTTTTGGGAATCGACGCTTGAATGGTGGGCGCGGGCGGCGTATGGGCGATGGAGGGTGAATCGAATATGATAATATGATGTTCGGATTATGACACTCTGGACGCCTTGCCTACGCATATCATTGTTTGTTGATGCTAAGTTTCGCGCGACCCGGTATTCGTCAAGATCGAGTTCCGACGGAAGGCTGTCCATCCATTGGGTCAAAGCGCGATCGTTGGCTTGTACGCTCTCGTACGGTACGGGGCGTATTGAGACGGCGTCGTCCATGATGTCACCTAATATGTAAGCGAGACGAAAGAGAGCAATATTCGGGAGATAGAGTCGACCCGTCTTGTCTATCGCAGGGTCGCAGTATGATGGTAGTTGGGTGTCAAAATGATGCGACGCAATGCAAATCGGCCGCCCAAACATAAAAGCATGCCATCTATGTGCATGAATGAGTCAGTTTAATGAAACATCAAGTAAGCTCAAATGCTTCTTACCGCTCGAGTAGAATAATATGCCACCATGCCCATCGCCGCCGCTCCGCGACGTCCCGATGCATTCGCCATTTACCAGGGTCTCTATGTAAGCCCAAGGCCGTACCTATTGACACCAATTCCCCTCGTATCTGCCAGACCTGCTCGCTTTCTGTCTTCTCCAATGTAAGATAATGACACTGGATTAGGAGCAACTCGACCAGTTCAATACTGTACTTTTTGCTTTCAGCGTGCCGTCGTTGTAATGCCATTTGAGAGACATCGAAAAACTTGTTCCCTTGTTCCTGAGGAGAGTCGGAAAATTGCTCCAAAAGCTGATGATCTGATGGAAGGTAGTGGGCCGCTACCCCCATGATGACACATGCGGTGGCAAGGACAATCCGGTCGGCAGACTTTCCGCTTTTAAAACGATCCCACTGGGACAAAAACGCCTTTTCATTGACGTGTCGATAGACCCAGTTGCAGCATTCAAAGTAGAAGATGATGAGTCCGTCGATGACGTCAAGGGAAGGCAGCATTGCAAGGAGGTCGCGGTCGTACTCAGGAGGGAGAGCTGTGAATTCCTCAATGGTCCTTTCCTGGCTGCCGTGTCGACTGTCCACCGAATCCGATTCAGCCTTTCCCTCCTGTAATAGGCAAATTCAAGGCGTAAGCATGTAACGGTACACCACAAGCAGCATTACTTGCCCCGAGAAGATGTGTAGCGGCACTCGTCGGACCCGCGTAGAGACCGCCCTGCCCTGAGCTAGCAAGCATGCCTGGAGCAGTATTGGAAGACCCCTCGCCCACATCGGGATCAGGCAGCTCCTTCTTAGGCATGAAATTGGACGGCTCGCCGTGTCGTCTGGGAGTGACAGTGGGGGGACGCGACGTCGGGAAAACATATGACTCGAGAAGATTGAGCGAATGTCGTACGCGAGCGAATTCCTGGGCAGGATCGACACGAGTAAAGGAGCTGTAGGGCAGAGAGCCATGTATCATTGGCATATTATGAGGCGGGAGTTGGTTGAGGGCAAGAGGAGGAATCGTACGTCAGAATGGGAATACATCGAAGACTGTAGCAAAGACGCACGGACGATCATCGGCGCGGAGGGCATCGCTGTTTCTCTCGTGACCTCGCGCATCCGCGTAGCATGAAGCAGCAGTCCCTGCAGCAGTCAGCACCGAACCCAGAACGAGTATCACCGGAACTTACCTCGCAGCACACAGGACGAGCATGGGCGGTTCCTTAAGTAGACAAATCAGCTTTTCTAGTGGATATATGCGCGAAAATCAAGCAGTAGAGACACACCTGTCGCATTTTAGTTTGCTATTCCGACATGGCTCGCAATTAATGGCCTTTCGAGCGCGTTTCTGCGGCCTCGAGTCCGCGTTCTGTTCCCCAGGTTGTGGAGATGACCGTTGACGTACAGCCCCCGTAGTCGAAGACCGAGAAGGTTTGGGCCGGGGAGGAGCAGGTATAGTCGTGGATAAGTCGTCAGGCATGGGTAAGGTATTTTCCAAGATTAGATGATCAGAGAATCCAGTTCGGCACGGCCGTAGCACTGGGCGTGTTCAATATCAGGTCTCGCGATGAGCAGCGGGTCGCGGGCGTCGGCAACAGCGACCACGAACGACGGGTAAAGAATGCACAGGTGTTGGTTGAAAAGTAAGCAAGGAACGGCAGGGCTAACGGGGTGTGTTAAGCTGAACGATCGCACCCTTTCCGTTTTTGATATTGAAATTATTTATATTTATTCCTATCACATTTCACAAACTATGCATTTCCTTCTGCAAATCAGTCCCTCGTTCTTACTCATGAAGTCTGCTTGACAACTGGGCATTCAGTCTTGATCTATACAAGCTTTACTGCCCCGTCTTCCAAGGTAAGGCCAGCATCCTCTTACTCTAAGGGTATCCGGGGGACCCAAACGTCAATTCAATCGAGATCTGTGAGCACCGGGGTGTTCTCGGTTTGCCGACCTTCCTCCGCCGGTCGCCGGTGATTACCTGAAACGCCGTACACTCGATCGAGTAGTTTTGCAGCATTTTTAGGTCGCTGCACCAGGTCGTCGCCGATTCCGTCGAAAATGTCGTTTTTTCAGTGCTGTATAAGACTGGGGGAGGGGGGGAACGTCCACTGATGATATAACCCGGGCGGAAGAGCGGAGAAGGACTAATATCCCATTCATAAGCATCCGAAGCACATTTCAGTGTAATTAACTACGAGTCCCAGACTTACCTTGAAAGCCCTGTGCCACTACGGCCTGTTGATATTTCTGATGATATAGTACCATTTAACGAGTGCGATTCAGTCCCCAAAGCGAGTGCGTGTCTCTGCAATGGCGACTCTGATCGTATAACAGGGTCACTAGCTGGGACAGGTCGGGTGGTTAGTAACTTTTGATTAGTCGTGCCAGAAGGTAATAGCAATGCGTCAACTGCGAGAATATCGTATCAAGATACACCTAGTGCGGATAGGATCCACTAGCAGCGGAATCAACGTAGTCGACAGTCTGAACGACAAGGCTTTAAGTGACTGATTGCGTTTTGAAGGGGGCTTTCGCCCACATTACTGGGGAGGGGTCCGAACCTTGACCGTGGTCTGATCCGTTTCGTACTTACCCAGCAAAAAAGCAACAATACGTAGGGGCGACCGGTATTCTGTCCGACTGCACTATACTGAACCCGGTGAAGTCGGAGCATGTATATGAGCGATAGAAACGTATTAGTTTCCAGAAAACCGTACGTTATCCGCAATTGTTCGCATGGTTCGAGAAGTAGCCGGAACGGTCAAACTAGCCGCAGTCCATCCGCGCATTCAATGAAGAGATACCCATATCAACATGGCGAGCTGCTGACCGCACAGAGCAGAGAAGCATGGGGTTTGATTCTCCCCGATATATCAAAGCGTATTTATTTAAAGGTTGCGGCTGGAGACCATATGCCGCAAGCGCCGTGTACTGAGAGTCTATTTGAAGGTATCATGATTACACAGACGACTTTGGAAGAACGCACCTGAATCAAGAAATGGAGAAGTCGGGAGCACTACAGACGAATGGGTTTGATATAAGACTTTGAAAATGGAAGGATGTCGGAAGACAATCCTCAAAAAGATGACCACAAGTAATAGAGTCAATGCAAGTTATTTAAGGCTATAGATGTAAGCCCTGCTATCGAGGGAGTACCGAAAAGAGGACACATACATAGATATTATTCACAAGAACCTGAAGGCATCACAGAACAGGCAGCGCCACAGAAGACACCTTAGACTGTTTAGAACCCCCCACGGGATCCCTCGCCATTTATCCCAAGACATACAAATATTCTGCAATCCCGAGGAGATCAGCATCAACAGATACCCAAATACAGGTCGCCTGGGTAGATTTGCGCCGGCACTCATTCGAAATACCGCAAGAACACTGATACGAAGCAGACGTCGCATAAGATGAAGGTCAGGGTTTAGCGGAGATGTAACCAGGAGGCTCAGCAATTCCAAAAGTTTACCGCTGGAGAAACATTGACATAATTATTTAACCCAGAATACCTAAAGGCTGGAGAGGTTCCGGTGAGCGTGCAGATGAGATTGGTACCACAAGTATGCTCTACTTACTATTCAAGCGTACTGGCTGTGCAGATGGCGGTTCCAGTTCGAGTCGTTGACGCGCTTGGGCCGGCAACGTGACCGAGAACGTGATCGTAAATTCTAGAAGGAACTCCCAGTGCCATTTATACAAGTCAGCCAGTTTCTTTTTTCCTTCCACCACCTTTACCATGGCTGACGTGCGTAGTACGTTTCTCGCTTCTCCGGATCATCCTCTATTAACTTCTTCATAGGCAAATGCTCTCAAAGACCTGGGCAATAAGGCCTTTTCCGCAAAGGAATACGATAAAGCAATCGATCTTTTTTCGCAGGCGATAACCATCGATCCTAAGAATCACGTTCTTTATTCTAATCGTAGTGCGGCGAAAGCTGGGAAAAAGCAGTGGGCTCAGGCCCTGGCTGATGCAGAACAGGTGTGGCGTTATTAGGGGTGATTATAATTCGATGAGTTACTAATGCTTGAACGTCTAGTGCATTGCCGTTAATCCCTCGTGGTCGAAAGGATATGCCAGGAAGGGTGCTGCCCTGCACGGCGCACGGAAATACGACGACGCTGTCGCTGCGTACGAGGCCGGCTTGAAGCTAGAAGATAGTCCTGCATTACGCAAGGGTTTGAAGGAAGTTCAGGATGCCAAGGGTACGTATGTTTCCTCATTATCTTGATGTTCCGTCCAGTGATGATGAAATATCAGCAGCGGATACATCCGAAGATGTACTAGGTCTTGGAAAACTGTTTTCAGACCCCAATCTTTTTGCCAAGTTGGCAGGAAATCCCAGGACGGCGAAGCATCTTGCAGACCCCAATTTTGCTCAGATGGTATGATTTAATCCCACGTTTCGTCGATGGATTTCTGAAAACTGGTGCTGTAGCTTCAAATGGTTCAGAAGAATCCCGCTTTAGCAAACGGGTATGTACCGACACGTTCGGCTGTATTGTCGTAGATTGATATGATGTTTTCAGCTTACTTTCAGGTGGCGATCCTCGAATGATTGATGTCCTGGGGGCTTTAATGGGTATCGACATGCAAGGGTTCAACAGGCCTGAAGGATCCGATGAACTGCCTGAGGGTTATTCTAAAGTCGATCCTTCAGCTTCCACATCATCTCCGTCACCCCCGCAGCCAGCGGCTTCTTCATTCCAGCCTTCTGCGTCGACGTCGGCGCCTCCTCCGCCCGCTTCTGAAGACGTGGAGATGGACGAGGAGGTTGCTGAGGAAGCTGTGGCGAAAAAAGAAGCTGAGGAGGCGAAGAGGATTGGGGGTGAAGCATACAAGAAGAGAAACTTTGATGAGGCCTTGCAGCAGTTCCAGAAAGCATGGGATTTGTGGCCGAAAGATATTACTTTCCTCACCAATTTGGCAGGTGAGTACTTTGTTTGTAGTGTTACATATGTGCCTAATACCCTTAATAGCTGTGTTTTTCGAACAAGGAAACTACGATAAGGCTATCGAAACCTGCGAGAAAGCAGTGGAAGAGGGTCGCTCAGTAAGCATACTTCTTCCTTTGTCTCTGTCGAGCCAACCCTCACCTATGTCGACATTCATCTAGCTTCGTGCAGACTACAAGCTCGTCGCCAAGGCGTACGGTCGTATAGGAACGTCATACTCAAAGAAGGGCGATCTTCCATCTGCGATCAAGTACTACGAAAAATCTTTAACGGAGCACCGTACCCCGGATATCTTAAACAAGCTCAGTGACGCTGAGCGGGCAAAGGCTGAAGGAGATCGTCAGGCTTACATTGACCCCGAGAAGAGTCACATTGCGAGAGAAGAGGGTAACGCTCAATTCAAATCTGGCGACTTTGCAGGTGCGGTGAAGTCGTATACCGAGAGTATCAAGAGAGATCCGACCGATGCACGAGGGTACAATAATCGGGCTGCTGCATATACAAAACTTGTTGCACTTCCGGAGGCCCTGAAAGATGCTAATGAAGCCATTAAGATAGACCCGTCATTCGGTGTGTGTTTTCGCTCCCGTTTCACGTCAAGGAGTGTTTGCTTAACTCGTTATTTGATATCGTATAGTTAAAGCATACATCCGGAAGTCCAACATCTTGTTCTCCATGCGCGAGTATACCAAGGCTCTGGAGGCCATTCAGGAGGCTACGGACCATGATACCGAGCGCAAGCATGCGGGGGAGATCTCACAGCAGGAGATGAAGATCCAGCAAGCCATTTGGAATCAACGGGGTAATGAGACCCAGGAGGAGACACTGGAGCGAGCGATGAGAGATCCCGAGGTTGCTGTAAGTTCTTTGTATCTGTTACTCCGTTAAATGCTCATATGATCCATCATACAGGGCATTATGAACGACCCTATCATGCAGCAAATTCTCCAGCAAGCACAGGGAGATCCACAAGCATTGCAGGATCACATGAAGAACCCCGTTGTGAGGAGCAAGATTCAAAAACTAGTTAATGCGGGGATCATTAGGATGAGATAGAAAATTAGGGATTTTCTTGGGTTTTTAAGCGTTAGTTGAATATTATCGTTTGTCATTGGTTGCTAACGCTTTAGTACTTACATAGTTTGTGAGAACCCGTACTAGCTTACAATCTGGGTTGGACAGACCTCAGCATGTTATGCATGACTTTATACTAAGCGACAGTATTGTTCCTTCAACCTCTGTCCTGATCTGAAATCTTGTTTACTTGTATAGCCATCTTCTACACACATGATTGAATCGAAGCCCGTCCTTAGCAGAACTTGGAGGGCACGCAGCGGAACTCGGTGAGACCTGATATCATGGAGTTGACTCTTAAGGAACTAGGAACCACCAAGATCACCATTACCGGATCCAATGTAGTAACTGAAAACCAAAATGACGAAGAGTCCCAGAGGTCATGACGGCCGTACCGTGAAATCACCGCCGTTCATACAAACCTCTGTGGCTGGCTCGCCCCAGTGACGGTGCTATTGATGTGTGGAGGCAGAGGTGGCACTTGAGCGGTCGGCCATCAACTTACCGAGCTTGCTCCAGAGCGTGGTAATTGAATCTCCCATCCTGCACGTTTCGAAATCATCATGACGGGGTTGCCAGTCCTCTAGACAGATCCACGAAGCGACTGAAATGTGTGGGTGCAACCCTGTCAGGCACGACAACAGCATGGTCGGCTCAGAATACGAGTCGACAATTCTGAACATGGAATTCATCGGCATCAGGGTTACAATACCATCGGACGCTGACAAAATCCGATCCCACTGGTTTTGACAATGTCGGCTCGACCCCAGATCCTTTGGTTCCTGAACCCGCCAAAGTAAGTTGTCGGATGCCGTTCTTTGCGAGGCTGCGAAAGACAGAACATGGTCACAGACCTACTATCCATACCAGAAAGGTCGTCCTGCAGACCGTGAAACGTGATCTTCAGAAGTGTGTAAAGCTGTGGTGTACATTCAGGTACCCGCTCTAACTATGCCACGAAACTCTGGAGGTATCAAAGGGGCTTGGAAGATCATATGCGCTGACCTTGAAAAACGGAAACGCGCAGACACCGACATAGACAGTAAAATGTAGTCACGCACGTCAAGAAAGACAAACTCACTAGAACCTCGCGGGGTTCGTAATTATGAACAAGCCGTGAAGGCGAATCTCCATTGTTACCATTCGGAAAGATGGGATGTCGACTGTTTCCGTAAGCAGCGTTGTCGTTTTGTGAGAAAAGTCCCCGGAGGTAATCTTTCTGGAGGATAGATGGAGATCATCTGGGGCTTGGTGGTGGACCTTCAACAGTCGGATGTTCCCGAAGTCGTTAGCAGATGGCATAAAGACAACGTTACTTTGTATTCGGTCTAAAAACTCGCAGCAAAAACAAACTTGCATCTATCTTCCTTGGGTTCCCTAGAGTGTGCCCTCTCCTACAATGCCTATACAAATGACTGATTGGACCCGCTACAGATGTGGCGTAGCACCATTTGATGGCCTATTAGACGCTGAAACTAAGGCTGCGCTTGCTTTATTAACCCCTCAGCCACGGTCCACTTCCAGAGGCAACATTCGACGAGGTCTGCGATATTAACACCGATGCTCTGATCAGAAGCCTTGACTTTCTCAATTAAAGTGTTCTTGGCCTGGAAGACGCCTTTCAGAAGTTGAAAAGAGTGCGTCATGACGCTGACCAGGCGCTGCATGCCCATAGAATCGCTGTTTCCCCCATCCGACGTCTTCCTCCCGAAATACTGTCAGAATTTTTCCTACGCGCGAGGAAGACGGACGAAGAAACCCTCTATGCGAAATACAGCATTACGAAGACGCGGTAGGTACCTGAGTTTCTAGCTACGTTTGTCGCTTATGGAGAACTATATCCCTGTTGGCGAGTTGCAGTACTGATTGTCATGTTCTTCCAAAGCCCATCAGTGTCCACATTCCAGTTGATGAGACATGGAAAAACATGTCTATTGTAGACGACGCCTCCATCTGTCATTCGGCCGCTTCGATTCTTTCGACGGCCATCAATCGTTGTCGTTATCGGACTACCCTACGGGGGTCTTACTCAAGACACTCTATTCAGAGTCCTTTTTTCACATTCACATCAATGGAGGGTATACCTTGAAGCGGATTGCAACGGGTCTTCTATGTGGGATATTCTTCGCGCGGTACGGTGGCGTCTTTCCATGCTGCGAAAGATATCCTTTCGCTACGGCGACTACAATCCCAGATCAGCTGTCAATATCTTCGAAATTGCTCCTCAATTGATGGACGTAACGCTGATACCAGAAAGTCCGTGCCTGGTGCCCTTCCGGCTTCCCTACTCACAACTTCATCGAATTCGATACTACGAAAGTGATACAAGGCACCAGCTCGATATCCTCCTGCAATACCATGGCCTTGAGGAATATATCGGAATGTACGCATGGTGCAGCCAAGTTTCACGGGAATCCAAAATGCTTGGTTTCCTACAACGATTCCATTTTGGATAATCTGACACTTCCACATTTGGAGCAGGTTCAATGCAAGCTGCAGAGACACTCTCCTCCTTACGTGAACTAATAAGGCACTCGAAGTGTCGCCTCTTGGATTTAAACCTTGGACCGAAACTGACGTTCCATCCCGACGGTCGTCTTCTAGATGTCTTACAGGTCACTCGGCACTCTCGAGACTTCGTTTGCGATGCGCTCCTGGTGCAGCACATTCGAGATCCATTTTTCTCCAGTTTGGCTGAAATCTCTAACTTAGATCAACGACACCGGCTTGTACCATCGCTGAAAGATCTGGGTGACAGTCCTATCCCCGAAATTCTCCTCACTGCGATCATAAATCGTTGGGCGATGGGGAATCTCAAGAAGGCGACATTGGAATGGCATAAACAGCCAATGATGGACTCAAACATTGTTGTAAACTTGAAGCTAAAAGCAGTTAAGCTGGCGGGTTTCGATGTATGTGCATTTTGTAGGTCAAGCGGACGTCGATGGCACGATTATGTATAAGGATCTTTCATGATCAATCATACTGGTTACCCGACCACTCTTTCCTTCCGAGTTGTAGTAGTACCTGCTTCGGCCATGCATAGCCCTGGAAAACCAAAGCTGTCCATCTGTATTTACATTGACAGTGATGCATGAGTTCAAGCCCTCGGATTTCTATCTTCAAAGCTCAGAGAAGGAAGGTAGGTTTGCTAGTCGAGATGTTTGTAGTATTGACGTCCGTACTACAAATGACGTACAACTGAATGATACCTACGTTCTACAAGAAATACCTCTTGGGCTGGTAAGTTACAAGATCACTCAGTACATGGGCCATGCCCTTCAGTTCAGAAAGTCCGTAATTTCCAGGGAATACATTTTTCTGGGAAGTCAAATTCTGTCCCTGTGATCACTTTTTTTCATGGGACCTTTCCTCTTCATTGGATTAACACTTCTCCGTGCCTCGAAACCCTTACAACATGTGACAAGCTTCTGCTGCCGACAGGGCGACGATTCTGCACATTTTTCGTCTAGGCTCCAGATGGTCAGGATCATGTCCGACCAACGCATTACTAAGAACGATAAGCGGCCGCCATGAAATCGAGCCGCAATCTATGACTCATAGCAGCAAAGTTTACAATACCCTAGTTATCATCATAAGTACAATATTATACCACTAAAGTATCAGCTCGAATTTTCATGCGCTTGTGGGTATAGTTTCCATTATTTGAGGACAGTACGAATTCTAAGAACTTACAAATGACAAGGATGAAGGGCGGAAAGTTTTCTACGGACTTGCCATTATCTCGTCTGGAGTCATCTTTCCAAAATGCCGATCTGGGGTCCGCTCACCGTCCTCACCCTTGGCAATATGTTCAGGTGTTTTTTCACCAGCCGCCGTGTCCATCTCGGTGTCTCCAGCATCATCTTGCGCACTGCAGATACTCCGTGAATCTTCCGACCCGACGGTCGAATGTGCTGGTCGTATTGTAGGTTCATCATCCGTCGTCCAGCCTCCATCAGTCTCGGTCTCAGTCTCAGTCTCTGCTTCCGTCTCGGTCTCGGGTTCCTCCTCCGACTCGGGTGCCCCATGTCGGTGATGGTAATACGACGTAGTTGCTTGTGGATGATCGTGTACGCGAGCACCGAATGCATCTATGGCACCCATGGCATGTGTCGGAACAGCAGTGGTTGAGGGGGATGAAGAGGATGACGGTGGCGAGGAATCGGAGGAAAAGAGGATGAGCTGCTCGGCGTAACGTTGCATTTCATCGCCAGGGATGACCAATCGAAAATCATTTAGCAAGAGGAATTGGAGTTCGAGTTGGTTAAGCTCAGCCAAGGGCAGACCTCCAACCTGCGAAGCAGTTGGTAAGTTGCATTAAGTTTTTTTGAAAAAAGTGCAGGGTCATGACTCACTTTGGCATACCGTGAGTTAGTGTAGAACACATCACTGAAGAATTTACTGGCTACAGTCACACCTGCAATAACTAGCCTGTGTATGTTGTAAGAATCAATGACGAAGGAGCGGCCGGTGGCATCTGCGCTCAATTTGGACATGCGATCAAAATAGACCAAGAGAGATAGAAAGACTTCGTTGGTCGTTGGACAGTATTTGAGAATGCGCAACAGATATGCTTCAAGGGTAATGGTAGGGATATTTCGTGCGTGGAAAGTGAGAGTCGATGAGGGCGTTGACAGTGCTGCCCGTGAAGCAGAGGTCAGCGTGTTCCATATCGGAAGATGGTCTACGGTTGCCGTTGGCGATGATGGCTGTGTAAGAAAAGGATCTGAGGATGACGAGGCATGATCAAGGTTGTCATTTGTAGCAGCAATCTGTGTGAGCAACGAAGCGAGAAGTCTGAGCAACTCAGGGGAGGGATAGGAATGGATATCGAACGACGATGGTGGGGTCTGTGGTGACGGCTGGGGTGGCAGCGGCTGGGGCGAGGGAGGCCGTGCTGCACGGGGCGGTGAAGGATGTCGTGAGGCTTGCCGACGCAGCGGTGGTGGTGGTGGCGGGGCATGAATATGCCGTGTGGAGGTCGAAATTGACGGTGGCAGATGCCTGGACGTCGAAAGAGACGTCGAGGAGGACGCTGATGTCAACGACAAAGACGACTGGTTCGAAGACGACGATTTTCGGTGAGTAGACGGGCGGGAGCGGGACGACGAGGAGGGGGTTCGGTGCGCCACGTCGGACGAGGGATTGAATGGGTGGACCAGAGCGAGCATGGCCCCGTTTTGGTGAGTGTCGTCTGAAATAGTCGGGTAAAAGCAGATATACAAATCTGCAACGAAAAACAGAAAATGAAGAAAATCGCGTAGTGAAGCGGCAGTAAACAACGATCAAGCTTAACGATAGCCGGGTGACACGGTCACATCAGTCACATTATGACCATTCCGGTCACGGTTTTATCCAGACTTCGTTTCTTGTTTTCTGTTTCACCCGCTTTCTGCAGAAATTAGTCTCAATTTCACCACGTATACAGCTGAACGTGCACAGAGGTCTTGGGTGCCTTTAATTTCTGCTTACACCATCGTTCTCCGTCGGTTCCTTTCTTCGGAAACCACTGGCAGTCAAATTATCAACCAGTAATATTGCCAACGTTGCAGCTATACTTGCTACTCAACATCTCGTTGATGAGAGCGGCGTACAGCCCTGTATGCGGCAATCTCCATTCTGCTGACTGCTGAATCACCACGCGTGGCTATCAGTTTGTTATTCCCCACTCATCGAGTTCTTCTGATGCCTTCGATTCGGACCCTTTCCAGAGAGCTACTCCGACAGATATCCAACTATACTTAACTTCGCAGGACAGTACTGTATATGAAACTTACAGCAGGCGACAACTTGTCGTTGACAATGACGTTACTTGCACTACAGTCCTACCGCTTTATCCCGCGTTTCATCTATATCCCGCACGTTTGTTCTTGACTCGTCTTTTGCCGCCACCACGTTCCTTCATATGCCGGTATATGTTGTCCCGCAGTGCTTAAATTACCATGGCCTGACGGTGGGGCCGGAACAGGGTGGGTACATGTGGGCCCACAAAGTCCTTTCAACATGCAATTACCCATGGTCCGTTCATGAAAGGAAAACAAGTCTGGACCACTGGCGCTCACGCTCTAGAACTGCGTGCGACGTATTACGAGTCCGGTCGTGGACGATCTGCTCGCATGCAAAAAGAATCATTCGTCTTTGTCGACATCTTCTCTTTCTCTGTCCCGAGCGCCAGGCTATCTCTGTACTTCATTTGTAACGTCAGGAGAAGTAGCATTTCCTGCGATCACTAATAAAGGTATAGCGTACGGAATGGTGATCCGTCAAACGGGTGGAGAGCTATAAACGATCGGTTCATTGTGATGAAGAAGATGGAGCATGTGTTCGCAGATATCGCTGGAGCGTTCTGACGTCGATGCGGTGCTCGGTCTGCTTATCGTGCGGTTATCTGACTCTCCGCTTCGTCTAGGATGGGGAATAAGAGTCTCTTTCTAGTGCATTCTAGTTTCCTTTTCTTCTTCCTGCTCTCATCATGACTATGACACGCCTAGGAGGTTCGAGGGAGAAGGTAGCCCTCAAAAGGGAATCAGCGGAGCTCTTCCCACGACCGGTAGGACATAGCAGCGTTGGTGGAAGAATACCTGGTCTTGTTATGTCCGTGTTGCGTTTTGTACGGCTTTAGCATTCTATCATCTGACGCACACATTGAAAACTACTCGTAAAAATTGACTTGATGACATCAACGGACATCGATTCGATTCCAAACCTGTCTTCAGCAAGGTGGCCGGATATTATTCAGCGACAAAAGACATACTCAAGTTAGAGGTGCTATTTACTGTAATATTAATACGCTACAAGTGCCTGTGCAAGATAGCACTATATTCAAGATCTCTCTACCAAGATCCCCCCAGGTCCAAGTCCTACATTTCCCCTGGGATGAACATGATGTGCCGAACACTATACAAGGGCTCGGGATCACGCTAGATGGTCATACTGTTGTTCAGTAAAGTCTTTATAAACTTTAGTGACAAGCCTTATATCCAAACCTGCCCTTTGGCATCTTTCAGATATCATCATCGCTGAATTTCGTTACGCATGCACTCCACGCTACCCACTCACAAGTCACTGACTTCAAGATCCCCTTTATCCAACGGGACATGATTATCTCCATAAAGAGATTGTTGGGAGAGATACTGTCCCCTTCTTCGGTGTGACTGAGATGTATGCAGAGCCCTTTCAGCAAAGGGACGAGACGGTGTGTCTGTGAGTTAGTAATTTTGGCCAACTCGATATAGTGAAGTCGGTGCCACCCCAAAGACGCACAGATAACTTCTCTAGTGCCGGCGTAAGTTCCAGTACGCTGATTACGTCGTTATCGTCGGCTGCTCTCTTGACAGGCAGTGTGAGGTTGCGGAAGAGCGAGCTCAAGCGGTCAGGAAGGTATAAATATCTCAGGGTCTCGTGGCAGATACGGTCCATGACAACACCATACAAGTCATCCATCATCGTAGTAGGGGAGAATGTTTCGAGAAGCGGACACTTTTGGAGAGCTTTTAAGCAGTTGCTGGCGCATGACCAGCACAGTTGGAGTCGAAGAACCTGGGAAAACGGGAGTGGGATTTGAGAAGACATAAGGATGAAAGGTATTGGGGATAAGGACTCGAGTGTTGCGTCTACTAGTCGCAGAGCACTTTCGAAGGCGTTGATAATCAATCTATCCACGGCATCGTCGGATATTGTTAGGTTTGTGAGCACAGGGAGGTAACCTCCTATGCTGTTCAGTATCGTGTAGAGTTCGGGCCAGGCAATGAGCTCATAAAACGCCACCTCTCCCCAGCAATTAGAACGTGAGGCAAGTACTCGGAAAAGACCTCGATGAGCTCAAGGTGCGATACCTTTTCGCTATCTCGACTACCCCCGATCCACTCAAAAGTGAGGTACTGGGAACGATTAACGGCGATGGAGAGGATGGATATGGGAGACCTGCAACGAAGGACCGCATCCAGGTCGATTGACGTGCTATGTGCCCATGAGGAGGCTGCTCACCATGACCGGCACAATGGCTGGAGAGCCACGGCATCTCCGTCATGTTTGTAACGTCGTAGACTTGGACGCGTCGATGCTTTTGTATCTGCACCCAGCAGAAAATCTCCGTCAGAATTTCTGAGGGAACGCGTCGAATAGGGGATAAACCGCCCCGTGAGCTCATATTGTCTCTTCGATGTCGTGGTGCTGCTTTTCAAGGACTCATTCCCCTCGTTAAACTCGGCGTCCTTGTCTAGGGAATTGAGTATATCAACTAGATGTTTGATGTTTATTTTCTGGAGGGTCTCAATAACGGCCTCAGGAAGGGGTTCGTTGCTGGAGCAGACGGTTTGGCGGAGTTGTGGGCTTATGACTGTGAGTGCTGCTTTGACTTCCGCATCGAGAATCAATGCGTGCACGTTAGGCATCCAAGTTTCTTGATGAGGATTGTGTTAATGATAGATTAGACATGATTGCAGGTATGAATTCAGGTATATGTACACTGGTATAGAGTCACTAAATACTAGATGATCGACTTGAGGTTGAATCAAACGTTCATATTGAATTTTGGGGCATGTTAGGATATGGAGCCAAGTTGCGATTAAGTAACGAAGAAATATACTGTATGCTGGACAACGATAGCAAAATCAAAGCTACTTGAAGGAGAAGCGAAACAGGTGAGGAACAAAAAAGGGTATTCCAAAAATATTTTCGCACCGGTCCGGATCAAGCCAACTTCCGCGATCAACATTGATGTTGAACACCAACCACCATCAACCCATTCGCCCTTGCCAGAACTGGCCAATTTCGAGAGCTCTGGATCTTAATTTTTTGGGGGCGTCTTCCATGGAACTAAGCCTCTTCAAGGCGGCCCACATCACTATGCCAAGCTGCATGCAATGTTCTAGCGGTGGTCGGTCACGGTCAACAGAATGCTTACCCCACTCCAGTTAACATGCTCGCCCATCCGTTTAATATCGGCAAGACAAATATCAAGCTCCCGAACTTCCTGTCTCAATGTCAGGCATGCGACGAAAATGCAAGAGATGGCTGACCTTTGGCTCCATCGCCCGCTTACCCTTGACCAATTTCTGGATAAGATGAATCTCGCGCTCGCTGAACCCATTTCTCTCCATGGTCTCAATGGTGTCATTTTTCTGCGTATCTGTATCCACGTCTGGGCTGTCTTGTTTGTTATTGACCAAAGCAGATGCTTCGACCGTAGCATATTTGTCGGTGTCGGGGCGTTTCCGCTTTCCCAAGTACATTCCTTCTCCGACTTCGTTTGGGGGGGTGTCTACCTCCATCGACATCTCCCGGGATCGTTGCGCCGATTTGGTGGATGCCTAAGCGTACAAGATTCAGTTACATAACATGCTAGAATCATCGTGGAACATACCTTTGGGAGCTTATGACCCATCGGCTTCACATCCTTTAATGCCTCCGGACCGAACCACTCTCCAACTCTCGAGAGATAATTTTCTGTCAGCGATTTCGGGTCATTCTCCCAACATTTTTTAGTCCGTTCTGGTGCGTCGTGACCAGTCTCGACTTGGCGCAAGGCTTCCAAAGTGACCTCGAGAAGGTCTTTGCTATTTGGGGTGCTAGGCACATGGACAGTTGCATAGTCAGTTTCCAGCCATTCTTCGATATCATTCAAGTCGAAGTGGACGTGTTTTTGGATTTTTGCGCGTGGTCTGACTGGTCTGTCCTGAGCTGGTGACACTAGGATGGTCTTGAGGGGTTTGTCTTTTGAGGGCGGAACGTCCTTTACCGTGGTCGTGAATGTGCTATTCACCTTGGCGTTCTGTGAAAATGCAGCTTGCAATGCGCTAACAAGAGATTCGTCATGATTAACGATAGGTTCCTCGAGAGTTGTTTGAGCGAGCGCGCGCACAGGATTGGTTTTAGCTGTGGTGGCATCTGATGCATCGTCACAAACAGTATTGGGAATGAATGTCTTCGTCGTCGAAGGTGCGTGTGGTGTGTATCTGTTTGGTGTAGAGTGCCCTGATTTCGGAATGACAACGCCAATGAATTTTGATGGTGATTTTGGAACGCGTGAAACGGAAGCAAGCTCCGGGGGTTTTGACAGTGTGGCGCTAGAGTCGGGCTCTGTGAAAAACTCGCTCGACGAATCGCGTTCTGAATCGACAAGAATTGTTGTTTCGTCAATCTGGGGTCGCTCCTGTTCCCTGAAGAACTCGCTATCGGCACTTCCATCTGTGTCAAGCTCATCACCTCCATCTTCACCCGGCAAGTGCAAACCATTGTCAGAAGGCTCTGACGACGCGACATGCAGTGTGTCCCATGATGGAAAATCTAAAGGATTGGTGATATTTTCCATAGCTCTGCCTTCTGACCTCGGGGAATTTCTGGTATCAGTGATATCATTTTGGACCACATTTGGTGCTTGATCTGTCATGATTACTAAATATAGAAAGACAAGAAAGCAGAGTGTGCATACCTGCATAAACTGGATATGTTGCCAACTTTGAGTTTACAAATGGTGACATGGCGAAAATGAGTTTGTTGGGTGAAGTTTCAGTTTGCATTTGAAGGCTTCTGTAGAAGATCAAAAAAAACTAGTCAGCATGTCTGTCAAATTGTAATAGTTGCTTATAACATCAAAATAGAATCTTGAAAAGAATCTAATGTAAGAAAGGGTTAGAAGTCTTCACAACATTATAAAAAGAGGAATGAGACATCACCACTGCATCTAATATAACAATAGTTCTGTGGAGGATGGCAAGTTCAACCTTTGGTTGTCGATCTGCTGCTCAGCACTGTCTATATGCTATTGACAGTCACAGTCAGCAGATTCACAGATAGACCTATTAGACATAACAACCCAGACAAGTCACACTCACTATAAGCTGATAAAGATCAAGGAAGTATGGCCATCCAAGGTACAAGATTCTCTCCCAAGTAAAAAGACAAAAGAAGACAGTATACTGTGATCACATAGCATAACAATGACATAGTGATGATCATCCTACAGAACAGAATAACTCACATGGTAAAAGGTGAAAGAGATGTCTTCTAAGTGAAATAGGAGACAGCAGTGTAAGTTGGATGAGCAATAGCCTGAATGGAGATGGTTGAAAAGTTGGAATGATAGTGTTTGAGTTTATTTACATCTTAACATGTGGCCCTATGACTAGTCAACATCATCAGAGAAGAGACTATGGCCATATCACTATGAATGTCACTTAAACTCTCTATTAATATTGATGGAAATGCATATGCTGAAATAACTAGTACTATTAGTACTATTACAGTGCACAGTGCACAGTGAATCCACTAAGGTATGCCTCAAGTGGAACCTAGGACATCATGTGATGTGACTGATCTGTGACTGTCCATGACTTATTAGCAGCCGACTTGGTGTATCCACTTTGTTTCTATTGTTGTTGTGTAGAATATATTCTATGGTACTCTATAGAATCCCTGCTTTATCCAGTTCTTCAAAAATATGCTCTGGAATGGTCCAGTGACTCTTATACTTCTTTGCTGCCCAAGCAGCCTGATTCCCACTTAATTTCTTCCAATAAGCACCCATGAATCAGATTGAACAGACTGAGAACCTATCAGAAGATAAGCTACCAGCTGCTTGAGGAAGAAAATGACACACTAGCACATTGTGAGAATATCAACTATTTCCAATGCCTTGTGCACATTCTTCTCTAAATTGGCTTTCTTTGATGATGGTGGATACATTTTATATTTCTGTTTTGCATAACCCCAGCACTGCTCAATAAAGTTAAGTTCATAGTGGAACTTGGACAGAAACAACAGATCAAATCCTTGAGCCTTAATCTCTGCTTCAAGCTTTGACTCCACATTTATGAAATCTGATTGGTTGAAGAGAATCCAGTGGCAGCAACAATAGGAATAGGAGGCATGCCCAAACAACATGTTCCAACTGAATACAACACATGAATATGTTGCATTGCAGTTGTGTCTTAATTTGTCTGCTGCCATCAAATCACAAATTTGCTATCTAATCTTGCTGAGCTTCAAAATCAGGAAATCAAAGCCTGAGCATTTATGCAAAATAACATTATCTACAATCCCTCGGAGCCAGTTTGGCATTTACTTCCATATGCAGGAGTAGATAGGTTTTTTTGTGAAAATGTCACGATTTGTAACATATTTGTCACGTGATATCCTTCGTTCCGCTTGAGGCATACCTTAGTAGGAGAGGATGGGGTATGACTTTCAGCATTAATGGGTCGCGGGTAAAAGCAGGCTATGTCATAATCTTATGCATGTTCTCTTCATGACAGCTGATGTGATATATCTGATATGCAATGAGTATGTCTAATGAAATGTTGCATGTGTCAGCTGTCTTGCCAAACAATATATCTTGAATAAATTGGAGCCTATTCTGCTTAGATTGATGTAGATGGCAGGTGGTCCTTTGCCTACCATTTTGTTCAAAAATGCTTGATGAATTACAATGAAAAAAAGGATGTGTTTCATCGAGGATCGAACTTTTGGGATTTGATGGAGGGAAATGGCCAAGTGGCATTCGTGAAAATTTAAATTCAGTGTTCGTGGATCGCGACGCGCTCTTTCTGTCTCTTGCCGTGACCACCATTTCCTTCAGTTCCTTCAGTTCTCTATGAACGAAACACTAATTAGTGAGTAATTTCCTCCCGTTGTTGAATGCATATCATTTATTCTTCAGATCCTTTTAATACTCTCACTCATCCTACGGCGGTACAAACATCGTTTTATGCAATCGCTTCTTTCGCACGCTTTGACCCGTCGGGAAGATATATTGGAGCTGGCAAATACGATGGTTCCGTATCCATTTGGGACCTCGAGACAAGAGCCCAGATACGGACGTTGGATGGACACGTCAAGGCTGTCACCAATCTAGAGTGCGTGCTTGCAACCTGAGTGTTCACTTCCTAATCTAACACTTGCTCAGCTGGTCAAGGAATTCTCGCTTCTTGCTTTCGTCGTCAAAGGACTGGAACGTAATTATCTGGGACCTCGCCGCAGACTGGGACCCCCCTCAGCGGTACAAAACTATCCGATTCGATTCACCAGTGTTGTCAGCTTCTTTCCATCCCAGAAATAGGTATCTCAAGCGTTCGTTCATATTATCAGGAGGAAATTATAACGTTGAAGGTTGCAGTAAAATCATCGTGGCGCTTATGGACACGGGTGATGTATATCTAGTGGATCTTCGTAAGGAACACCGTTCGCGGGTTGAGTTGGTCGAAGTTCAAGAGGAAGGAGAGGAGGATTCACGGCAGTGAGTACTTGTTTGCGGTTTTCCTCCTCTGGGATGTCTGATTAGAGGTAGATCTGATATGACAGTTGTCCGATTCGATCCTTCAGGGAGGTATATCTTTGTAGGTACGTCGGCGGGTACCATTTTGGTGTTCAATACGAGAACGAAAGTAGTGCGTACAACATTTTTGATGCGTGTTCGCTTGATGAACCTGAACTCCCGCAGATGATTGCGCGCCACAAAATATCTGGGGCGGGGGTCATTAAGGGTCTTGAGTTCTCGCGAACGGGAAGGTAGTGTCCTGCCCGAATTGTAGCAGCCTGACCTTCAATTGCTGCAGGCGTTTAGTGACAAACTCTTCGGATCGCACCCTGCGACAGTTCAACGTACCAACGTACCAGACGAGCAAAGACGGAGGGGCATGCCTCGAGCAAGAGTTGGAACCCACACACCGTTTCAATGACCCTATCAACAAGACTGCATGGCACTCCATGGCGTTCAGTCCGAATGGTGAATGGTTGGCAGGGGGTCGGTGTATGCTCATTATGTAGTGAGGAGGACTGACCTGTGAAACAGGAGCCGCCGATACCGCAACACATAAAATATATATCTGGGATATATCTAACGATGGCCAGTTTGCGAGCGCCTTGGACGGCGGGCGGGAGCCGCTTACCCATTTACATGTGAGCCCATCATTGAATCTTCACGTTGCGTAATTTGAGTTGGTCGGCAGTGGCATCCGTTCAAGTCGTGTATGGCATCTACTACGAGACATGGAAACATCTTGATATGGCACAGTCCAAGTCCGGAGCGATGGGGCGCGTTTGCGGGAGGGTTTGAGGAGGTAGACGAGAACGTTGAGTATGAGGAGAAGGAGAATGAATTTGACATCGTGAGTGGACATTACTGTTTTTATGTATCAGTCTCGTTTTGAATCCACCCAATAGGAGGATGAAGCAGAGATTCAGAGGCGCAAGATGAAAGCCGAGGAAGAGGAAGTTGATCTTGACGCCGTTCCCGATGATCCTGCTCAGTTCAGCACGAGACTATCGGTTCCGAGAGACGATGAGGATTTCACGTGGGCGGACAAGGAGCCGGATGACGACAGTCCGTGGAAGATGAGGATCATTATGGAGAACGATGATACTTAGTACGTCGTCTGGACTATAATTTCTGTATACACCTTCTCGTGAATATATGCCTGCCTGCATATATTTTTTGGGATTCCGATTGTAACCTGCTGGTGAGTATAGGGTTCGAATCCTACATATTTCGAGTCTGATCTAGATCCATATCATTAGTATTGTTCCTAGTTTTCGCATTCGTAGTCCAAGTCCGATGGTGTTTTTTTTTTTTTTTTGTCCTCAGCATTTGATTAACCGCAACAAGTAAGCTAACTACTAAGACGCGGTGGAGGTACAGGGCCTCAGGATCCTCTTTCCCTCTTGTTCCAGTCCCTCCGTTCTTCCTTCTGGGTTCCCCGGGTGTTTTGGCGTGTAGTGTGGAGTAGAGTAACGGACATGTATGGTATTTTGTGCCCTCGTGGTGGGCTAATTGGTTCGTTTGATCCTGCGGTTGGCTGAAGCCTGGGGTAGTCCGATGGTGTGTCAGGCTCTCAGCTTTGCACATCGTTGTCGGCCACACACAGGCAGGTTAGCGAAGCAAATTTTCTTCCAGTGGTCCCTGCTTGATCGGGGACCTGAAGAAAAATGCATTGCTGAATAACTCAAATTTCATACTTCAGATGAGAATTCACTCCTGCTCGCCGATATATCTCCAACCTCGCGGCATCAGCGCACATTTCCGCCTACGACATGATTTTGTAAGCGACCCTAGCGATGACCTCGGCTGACTTGGGGCATCGGAGTGAAGTTTTCAAGTGACTAGGTGATACCACCTTAAGAGCCTTATTGCAACGAAATTTTCAGGCTTCTTGATTTCCTGAGCCGATATGCTGGATGTTGATGCCTTTATGAAAGGCGTAAAGGTGCAAATAAGCGCAGTAAAGCTTTTGTTGCCTCTTCGCGTTTTGATTTGTGGGAAAGAACTCGAATGATCATATGCCTCAAGGTTTTAAAAAGTGTAATTTTCTCGCCATCATACCGAGTGGCCTAGATTTGCTAGAGTTTCCCCCAAGTTCAAGTTACCCCGGTTCTACGGTCCGCTATCATCGATGACAGAGCATCTATGATGTCATCGTTTCTTGTTTCCTCACCTCTTACCGTCACAGTCTGACACGACGTCGACCGACGTCGTCGTTGACAATGACGAAGCCCACCCTTGTTCAGTCCCTTCTTGGCCGGCCGTCGCAAACGTATTCGTTTCCTCAAGACAAGCACTACTACTCGAGCAAAGCAAAGCTGCTTCGTCTTGCCGAAGGCGATGGAGGCCGAGACAGGTATATCAAGGTACCTCATGATGAAGAAAAGCGGAAAAGGAAACGTAGTGCTGGCCACTCGCAGTCGATGGTGAGCAAAAGCAGCCGCATATTCTATTCTCCCACCTTATCATTACTATGACTTCATCCAGAATTTGATGAGAACAGAAGTCACACATAAATCTAATAACGATAACAACGCAAATCTTGACGTATCATCTTTACCAACTGCTACTTCACAGCAGCCGCCATCAGTCGTTGTGCTTAACGATACGACCAGCGACGAAGACGACGACGACGAGCACGACATCTTCTACACACCCAATTCCTCGCCTAACCCTTCCATGGCCTCAACAATTGTTGCTCCTGTTGTGCCGTTCCCTGCAAATGCCAAGGTGAGCCGTCCGGTGAAAACCGAAATTGCGATTGCTGTTCCGTCAACGAGAACACCAGCATCGCGATCAACGACATCCCTGTCGTCAACTGTGGCAACGTCACTTGACGGACACTCCCTCTTTTCTGCCGAGTCAAGTCCGGTGTCCGAATGCACACGTCTTACGACACCACTCAACTCTGATTCTGGACACGAACCGCCGCGCAGGCTGGTGCGCTCTAATTCCCCCCACACGAAACGCTCTTATACTTACACCGATGAAGACTGGGCAAAGGACGTGCGTTGGCTGGTCATGCCGGAAGGAGAATCATCCAGGTCGACCAAGACTCCATTACCTCGAACGAAGCCCAAAGTTTTCGAAATATCCCGCTCAGAACACTCCACTCCTTCACCTCGCAATCATTCTATCTCCCATGTAGCAAAAGTCACGCCCAGTATCATGATGAGCATGACCGCCCTTTTAGAGGAAGACGAGGATCGAGACGGCCGATTATCTAGACTGGTACATATGAACGAAAATCCTCGGAGCAGTGTCCTTATTTCCCATCCAAGGACAGAACGCGAAGGCTCTTCAAGCCGTCACAGAACGCGGCAGTCGGAATCCACTCCATATCGAGAATCTCCCCTGCGGACAAGTCATCAACGCCACTCATCACTGGACAACCAGCTGAAGCCAGCAACTAGATCTTCTCCCCTCCCTGAATCCATCTTTACTTCGCGTATGCCGTCTATGCCATCCCAAGGAACCCCGGGATTTACGTCGCTTACTCTTCCTCGTGCACCTCCACCACCGTTCGCCAGCGGAAGTGGAAGTGGAAACAGGGCTTCGATGTTCGGTGTCATCGGAGCAGGCGATGGTAAGGTTGATTTGACAAAAAGCGGCATAGCACAGACGACTATGGCTAGCATTGAGGTTGTCCGCGGTCTAAGCGGATCCAGAGGATTCGGAGGTATACTGGGGCGAAAAGAGTCCATCGCTTCCCGGGGGAGAGGAAAGCAGAGATCGACGGATGCTGTGTTAGGATTCACAAGTTATCGGGCTCCACCAACGTACGTACCTAGCGGCAGTGTGTTGGTGCAAGTCTGGAGCGTGGGCATCGATGCAATCGATGCCCGGCTAGTAGGAAGCGAAGATACCATCAAGGCGTCGAAGAGCAGCTCCAGCATGAGTAGGAGTGGTAGCATGACCGGACGAGATCGGCCAAGCTTGATGAGAACTGTTAGTTTGCGAACTAGACTCGCAAGGACGCCCAGTCATCAGCGAGGACGGAGTGAGGCTGGTGTTGATGACCGCTCGAGAGGTTCTGAGTCGTCGGTAGAGGTAGGCTTTGTCCCTGGGCGCAGTTTCGTAGGCCGTGTCCTGGAATGTGGCTGGGAGGTGAGGGAGGAAGTAGCGAGGAAGGGTGATTGGGTGATTGGCCTTTTGGATGTGAGAAAGGTGAGTTCTGTTCAACTCGGGTTTCCCTCTTCAGATACCAACGTAATGATGTTCGTAGTGTGGCGCCTTGCAAGAATTCGTTGTTGTCGATCGTCATCGGATTTACAAAGTCCCTCACCCGCGCATGAGGCCCTCATCCTCATCGGGTGACGACGATCGCGATGACCTCTCTTGCCCACCCTTCGCGCGACCATATTCTGATTCCAGAGACTCGTTTTCGTCACGTTCCGTAGTGTCAGGCCAATCACTTGCCGAATCCGTTTCCCACGAGAGCAGCTATCTATCGCCTAGCGAGCTTGCTTTGTTACCTTTATGCGGTGTAGCGGCTTATCGCGCAGTGCGCACATTTGTAGCGGTTTTTTCGTCAGCGACATTAACACCATCGGCAACTGCCCAAGGTCCGCTAGAGGGACTAGATTTGACTCCACGATCTCCGAGCAACCATGGAAATAGCGCTAGAAGGCGAGCACTGGTGCTTCGGGGACATGACGGCATTGGTGCGATGGCAGTACAGATGTTGGTAAGAAGAGGATGGCGCATCTCTGTACATGCTTCCATGCCTTCGTTTTCCGATCCCGAAGAAGAGGTCGAGTATATGAAGCAAGTGGAGAATCGAGTGAGATCCTGGGGAGGTGAAGAAGTCGTATTTGATGATGGTGATATTGGATCGCTGGGCGAGGAAGGCAGAAGAGGCGCTGTGGTGCGGGTCATTGAAAGACTTGTAGTTGATGGCGACGCATTTGATGCCGTGCTTGACACTGTAGGCGGCAAGGCGATTTGGGAGATGTCTGAACGGCTTCTCAGTGGCGTTGGTACCGTGCAGAACAGCCCTGCGAAGAAGGGGCCATTTGGTAGCTTGAGAAAACGTACCCCGCGCAGCAAGGGACAGTTCACGACTCTTGTAGGTGATGTGCCAGAGCGGACGATACCAAGTGCTGGGGATCATTTTAAAGCTGGGATTCGGTCTTTAAAGAACAGCCACAAGGACGAGGGGAGGAACAATGGAAAGGTTGGATATGCATGGGTAAGTGTTGCACAGGACATTGACTGGGATGGAGATGACGTTCGGGAAAGCATTGGTTCTGTTCTGCGCTTAGCACTGAAGGAAGGGATTCGGCCTAGAGTAGGTGGGGATGAGAGAATTGTCTCGTTTGAAAAGACGCCATCGGTATTTGTCGAAGGTGGCCCCCTGGAAGACGGCGGCACGATTGTGGTAAAAGTGGTGGACTGATGTGAAGATTCCTGATTTTCTCGGATTCCGTTCTTTGTTTTTCTAAGGACGCATAGTTATCTTATTCGGCTCATATTTACGGACATGTAATACATTCGACCTCTACCTATAAATAATAATACATAACATTAGTGGTTGTAACACTGGATACGCTTTTTAGATGTCGTCCGGTTCGGTTGAGTTGTGGAGAAGAGAGAAAGGTTGGGTGGATGTCGAGGAACAGTCACTGAAAAGTGTTTCCAATTCATTTTGTGTCGCAGAGCTACAAGAGCAAGAGCTTTGGCGAAATCAAGATTTCAGTCACGAACAATTCACGAAGGAAAGAACTTTTAAGCTTAAAGGCTTGATTGATATGGATGTACAAGGCTCCGCTCATTCGCATTTGTAGGAATGACAATTATACAGATATCTGTGCATGAAAATATCGATACAAATGGGGGTAAGACTCTACTTATCGTACACGGCGAAGATGTTGTCACGAAGGCACCTCTATAGTGACAGTCGGATTTCCAGATGGTGGTTTGAAGAAGGGGATAGTACGAAGACTATCAGGAGCCGGGCCTTCGGCCTCCAATCTCTTCCTTGCGCGCTCCGTCTGCATTGTAAGCAATGAGTATTAGTTTAGAAAACAGCCATGCAGCTAACTTACAATGCCAGAACTAGCCATTCCGCGCTCCAGACCTTCCAGAAGGGTACATGCCTTGCACAGTTCGTTACTGGACATGTAACCGCATCTCTTGCATGTTTCTGGGAACGATAAGAAGTCAATGAAAGTGCGAATGTCAGAAGAGACCACCAACGTTGTAATTTTTGCGTTGCCTTGACTTCCTCGCTCACCTCGAATGCCTCCCCAGAATGGATGATATCTATGATAGCGCTCGGCCGGGCTGCTTCAAGGCCTTTCAGGAAGGTCCGTGCATGACCCCGGTAGGCATCGGGTGAATAAATGCATTCTGTCGAAAAGTAGTCCAGTTTTTTGAAATAAGCATACCTAAAGACGGCTTTACATGGGAATGAAAATGTGGTTGTTGAGGTACATACATGACGATTTCTTTCTCGTAGGTATACTTGAAAGGTTTTGAGCGTCGTATAGTGTCTTCTCCTTGCGTACATATCAAGGTACACCGTCCGAGCCGCGCGATATCTCCTCGCATTACTGCGACGACGCATCAGCATATCCGTCCAACACAAAACGAAAGGATCCTTCCTCACTGTTCATGAGGACCGTCTCCGCGATATCATCTGCATTATGGCCCGTAACGATGTGGTCGACGTTAAGCATAGCAGCGCCCCGGTCCAGCGCCTGCCTCCGGAAAACACCACAAAAAGTGCAGTTGTTCTTCCGGCCGACCTCTGCTACGATGGCGTCCATAGTCCACCCATAGAGCTCGTCGTAAGACAGGATCTTGAGGGGCATATCATACTGCTCCTGGTTCCGTTTCACTGTCTGAAGCAGCGGCTTAGAATATTTTCCCCGCCAAGGTGAAGACACACCTCGAGTGAGTCATCCCGATAGCCTGTTATCCCTTCGTCGATTGACAGGAGAAATAGATTGAGGCCGTAATTGTATCGTTCGTTGAGTGTCTTCATGACATATGCCAGGACGGTAGAGTCTACGCCAATGAGCGTCACAACGCACAGTGAGCCAAGGAACTGCACCTTTCCCTCCAGACGCCCCAATCGCAACCCGATCTCCAGGCTGAAACAGCTTCGATTCAGTTATCGTATTGTGCACCTCCGTCTCGAAAACATAGAAAAAACATTCTTTGCAGATCTGCTGCCCAGTCTTGGGACGCTTGAGTATCGCCCGCGACTTTTTGCACAGTGCACAAGTCTTCGGCATGACCGTCAAAAGCAAGGGGAATCGGGAAGTATATCCGTCCAGGTTGTCACATTTTACCGTAATATATATGACTCCAGCTATAAAATAACACAGTATGCTACAGCGAAATTGAACAAACAGAACCAGGAAAACAAAATGAAATAGCAATGTACATGATATCTCACGCAGACGGTGTTGCCTCTCGATGTGTCTCCTCCTGTCGACAGCAGGACTGCCATGCAAACCACAACATCGATCCTAGTTGAAGTACATCCTCCTTCCACTGTTTATTGTGGTTCTGTTCACGGAACTCACGAGTCAACTGCTCACATCGATTGATGTTCTCCGGGCTCACATAATCGATTGCCACCTTGACACAGTCCGCCAAGTTGCAGACCTATGAAAAACCCCATGAGTAAAAAAAGCATCATGCTTACATTGACGGAGGGGAAGTTCACCTGGTGGGCACACCCAGCTGGGATGACGATGGCCTCTCCTGGTCGTTGATACACTCGGTAACTCTCTACGTGATATTGCCGCCAGAGCTCCCGACGCAAATCCTCCGTGAGATAGAACTGTTGGCTGTGGATTGGGTCCTGACCATTGAATCCAAACTTCTGTTTCAGGAACTGCCGTATCGCGTCGTTGTCCTCGCGCCGGTATAGATCCCAGGCAGCACAACCAGGACTACCATCAGGCGCGGAACATGAATAGGTCATGATATTCAACGCGTCCGCCATATCCATATGCAACCGTGTTGAGCCTTTGCTGCCTTCTTGCTGATTTGACGCCATCGCATTGTACATCTTGGGTCCTGAGAGAAGGATTAAAACAGCACACGACAGAAAGAACTGAAGACATACCCAAGTCAGGCGAAACCGTGTTCGACGGAAAATGCGACGAAATATTCATCACCCCATCCCGTCGTACATAATTGGGCATAGGAACTGCCCGGCAGAAGTCCTCGTAGAGCTCCGGGAACACAGACTGAAAATCTGAAGACGGTGGCCAATCTTTCAGCTTCCAACATTCATTTCTACCTTCGTACCGACCGAATTCTCCAAAATATTGCCCGACAGTGACTCGTTTAAGGACGTCAGTCTGACATTCCACAATCAGACACCCTTCGTCTCCGTGTTGTTGGATGAAATACTCCGGAGACCAGGATATCTTCAGCTTGTCTAGCAAGTCCTCAATCAAGAGTGGCTGACCGTTCGTCAGATGTACATGAAAGACATTAGCCGTGACCTCTTCATGCTTCAAGCGCTGAATCGGATGAAAAGGGACCAGGTCTGGTATATTGGTGGGGTTGTAATCATTCGGATACAATTGCGGTTCAGGGACAACAGGGATAAGTACCGACTTGGGTATGAGTGCGTGTGAGAGATCTTGGTCTTGATGATGCGAATAATTAGTGGGATATTTGATTGTTTGCAGGGTTGGCGATTGAACTTCAGACGATGTTCGGACTGCGCTTTTGTCTGTGTTGGAACCCGAGGCACATGCAGGCATCTCGGATGCATCACAGCCATTTGACTCTCTGTCTGCCTCCATATTGACAAGTTCCATCGCAACAATGGCGTCCTCCAATTCCTCCTTGCGAAACCGTGTTACTCGGAGGAAATCCTTGGCCTGGTGTTCGTGGCGCTTATTGCAGGCGAGAAAGAATGGATTTCGGTTCGAGTGTTGCTCCCGCCGCTGTTGCTGCTCTATGATCTCCACATGAGTAGCTTCAGGAAGGTTCATTGTGAGATCCTCAATTTGAGCAAAGCAATCGGCGCAGGCCTCGCGTCCGCATACCCGGCACATCCACGTATTGCAGAAGAGAGACGTCATGCAAGTATCTAATCGACTTGATTTAGTATACGGACCATGGTCTCGCTTTGAGATAACACACCACATGTTGCCCTAACTTCGCTTTCCCGAGTTCGATAGACGGTCTCCTTCCGAATGATGTGCTCGTTTTCTTGCTTAAGAATGGGTAACAATGCCCGAGCAGTAGTCCGCTAGAATTCAATGAGCACTTCGAAATACTTCAGAATCCTGATACCAACCTTTGTGATTCGTATATACTCGTCCGAAAGTGGGATATTCCATTCCGTAGGATACTTTATGGTGGGCATCGCACCGGGAGGTATTGTGACGAAGCTCACACCCATGACATTGCCTTTCTCATCCTTGAGAAAGTATCGAACACCCTGGAATCGACAAGTATCTCCAGCCCAGCGGCGGGTACATGAAACACAGCGAGAAAACTCCTCAGTCCTGTATCGAGTTGACATGCACCGGGCTAGCTGCAATTCTGGAATAACATGGCCACTAGTCTGGTTTGTCGGATCTTCGACAAGATACATATGCCCAGCGGCTGTATATATGGTGAGGGACATTAGTGAGACAGGTTCTCACGAGAACGGACATACCATCAACAGCCCTCTCTTTTCCTTTCCCGTTCGATTGATACGAAAGAGAGGAAGCAAGTTGGACTATGAAAGTTAATTATAAATTAGAGCGCCGAGCAAATACATGGGCGGACTAACTGTTCTGAGCGGTCATTTGAGCCGCTTCACTGCGTTTTTTAGCATTGTATCCGCGTTTCGATGGGTCTGCAGATGGTGAGATAATGATATGACCAACACAACAGATTCTTTACGCACGAGGACCGGGTTCTGAAGTGCGCTGTTTCTTCTGTTTTTTGGGCCTGAGAGAGTCGTCCGAATGGGGAGACGTCCGTTTTCCGTTGGACGTAGAGGGCTCGTACTGGGCATCAACTTGATAAGAGGATTGATGGGACATGTCATATCCTTGTTGATAGTACAAATCCGAATGCTGCTGTTCGGGCACGGATCGTTTAGTCGCCTGGCGAAGAGAGGGCCTGGCGCAATTCTGATATGCCTCGTATGAGTTAGAATCGGGATAAGTGGGTGGGCGGCGGCTGGCAGAAGTTACATCTGCGGAAGGCTCCGGTTCGCGGTATTCTGGCTGCTGATATGCAACGGTATCTGAGTTGCGAGTAAGCACCGAAAGCGTGCCTTTCATAAGGTGGCAACTAACTTTGTGCGGGAAAATCGCTCGTCAGCGCTGTACAACAGAGTTCAGTTCAATATTCAGGAAAAATACGACAAAACAGACGTGTCCGCTCGGCAGAGTACAATGTATACTGCTCGCTGCCACCATTCTGGCCGCCGGTGCTCCATGGGTTCGGCGTATATGCGCCTTCTTCGCTCATTCTTGCCGATCGTATGGTACGTGGGGCGTGAATGGCAAAGCGGTCATCACCATTCATCGTGGGTTGAGGATATTGCTGTGATGGAGCAATCGATTCGTTTGCTTTTCTGCTGTCGACAGAAGATGGAGAGCCCCACTCTCCTCTGGGAGAGTTGTACGGGGCGGGTACGTGTCCAAAGTAAACCTGTTGAATGTGTGGGTGACGCGACCCGACCGGTGGATAGTGGTGTTGCAGATCAGTTGCGGGGTAAGCAGAGGCGCCTTCATGCGGGGGATTCAGTAGTTGTCGGATATCGGTCTTTCGATGGGGATCCTGGATAGCGATTTCTATTGCCTCCATGGTAGGCAACGAAAGAAATGTAGGGTATACGGGCAGCGCCCACGAAGAAATAAGGCAAGGCAAAATACGAGTTCAACATGAAATTCCGTTCCTCCAGAAATCGGACGCGGAGGTAGTCGGAGCTTAAAAGATGCCGTCATGCCGCACTCTATCGTACAAAAAGTCCAATGTTTCTTTTTTGAGACTATCACACTTTTAATGTTTCTCTCCCCATTAAGGAAACGCCTCTGGTATTCACTGTTGGAGGATGCCGGCCACAGAAGCACAGTTCTTTCCCACTAGTCTCGTATGGTACAGAAATTTCTATAGTAGTCTCAATGTGGGAAATTTCTCTCTTCATTTGGCCGGAAGTATTTATCTGATAGATCGGTTCCTAGATAATAGATTTCCACAGAAGTTTTTTCCACTCTCCCTCCCCTGGCTAGACCTTGCACTGGAGTATTGACCCTTCAGGCATGCTTTTAGCGCAGGCTCGCGGGTAGCGACAGGGTTGATGTGACGCTCTGTGAGAACCGCTTGAGCATTTCGACCCAGTCTGCTTCCACAGAAGTCTTCGAAGCCCTGGCAGACGCCATTCGAAGTCTTCGAGCGCAGTTTCTGTGACTTTGCACATTGGCAGCGAATTTGGCGCCACACGTGCAACCCCATCGCACCCCTCACACCCCATGCTTGAACGATATCTCTGTGTATGAATATGCGCTAAGTGATACAGAAAACACGGAAAAGTCCCCATATGAAAGAAAAACCAATGATAAAACCACAAACCCCAAGATTGCCCTCTTGCGTTATATCGTCGAAAACCAAAAAGACCACTACATCGATTAAGGAATGGTCAAGGACGTGTCGGAACCAGACCAGACGTGAGAAAAAAAAAAGTCACGAATACTTGCGAATGTACTCGGCAACCTTCAGATAAATGGGACAGATGAACGGCAATCCCACCCATACCATAAGCCCAAAAGTTGCCCAAAGTTGTCATCGAGGAGACGAATGCGGAAAGCCGCGTTTTGTTCCTCCTTCACAGGAGGGTCACTCTTTCCAGAGTGTGAGATCCCTAATGAACCATTGCCTTTTTACAACCCTACCTATCAGCGACTGATGTCAAAGGCACCCAAAACAGAAAACATACTATGGATTCCACCGGAACTACCGTTCACAGAACCGTCCACAAGCGGGGGTCTACAAATTGTTAATTGTTGACATTGAGGTGAAGCCGCGACTGTATTAGCATAACAGAAACGAAGGGTCGGATTACGACTAACCGTTCACGGCATTGCTATCGCTCCCGTTAGGAGGCTGGTGACTAGACAACAGTGGAGAAGAATCTGCGCCAGAGATGAATGCTTCTACTCCAGAATGATGATGGAACGTTGTTGAGGAAGGCCCGGTAGCAGAGGTTATAGAGCTGCTCAAGGCCGAAGGAACATCTGACATCGGCTGGGTGGGGGGTGGTGGAGGATGGGGGGCCGTCGATACTCTTCTGGCGGAAGGTTGACCCGGCGAGGGTGTCCTTCGATGTTCAGGTACGGCCAACCGTTCTGCTACTGATCGAGCTTGCTCCGCCTGAGAGCTGCGAAAATCAGGCTCAGCCCATCGTTGCAATGCTTTGATTGAGCCCCATTCGATGACCTTGTTGTTCAGCCAAACTGTGGTGACCGGCTTTACTAAGAAGTCGTTACAACCGGCAGCTAACGCATCTACACGATCCCGTTCCATCGAACCGGCGGTAAGTGCGACAATGATAACACTGGAAGGATACGGCGTTGTCGCGGGAGTTTCTGTTGGTGTTTGGGCTAGCGGTGTCATATCGTCGCCACTGGGACCATGTAAACAACCATGGATGGCCCTCCATTTTTCTTCTCTGCGGATCTGTTTAGTTGCCTGGATGCCATCCATGATGGGCATTTGTATATCCATCTAGCGCGAAAGGATTAAGCAAATGAGTTTTAAGAACACCGAACAGACAAACCAATATAAGATGAAATTCCCCTGTACGCCATTTCTCAACCGCCGCCTGACCGTCAGATACAGCATCATATTTGACCTTCATCTTTTTAAGATTCCTGGCAATGAACCGCTGGTTTATGGGATTATCTAGACAAAAGATACATCACAAAAAGTGCGAAGACGATCGATAAATGCAAGGTACCATCGACAATGAGAACCTTGATGGGCGGTACAACATTGTTGTCAGGCGGTATCGTCGCAGCTGGTGGCATGCTGTCCAAAGAACGGCTGATGCTGTATTTTCGTGGAGGACGAAATGTCGGAGATCCGGGTGATTTACGAGAGCTGACTACTGGTAAGGCAGATAGTTGCTCTGGGGTCGCCTGTAAAATATTCAAGGACGTTACTTCAGGAAGCGTTTGACCAACTTCCAGCTTGGAAAACAAAGACAACCTCGAAGCCGCATTCGGAGTTGACGGTTTCGAACCTTTGGGACTGAAATAGAGGCCCTCGGATTCACCATTAGACCGTTCAATGACGACGCCACCCGAATATGTCGTCCCACACCTGACAACAGGAAAGTATTCGCCAGTCGACCTAACCAATGGCGAAGAGGAAATGTCCTTCGAGGACCTTATTGATCGCTCAGAATTTGACCGTGATCCAGATGGCCTGGTTGGCCCGGGCAGCGAAGCACTAGGCAAAGGAGTGTGAACCAAAGGACCGTTCGCCACAGCTACACCAGGCGTATTTGGTGATGTTGCTATCGGCGTGAAAGAGGGGTCCACAACAGGCTTGGTGATGACGGTGTGCAAAGCTGTTAAGAAACGGCGAGGACCTGCGGGTTTGGGCACCACGATAATCTCAGGAACGGGTGAGAAGGGGGAAAGGGTGGACTGAATCAGCTCTCGAACTAGTTTAAAATTTCCAAGGCTGGTGAAGTGTACTATTACCACCGGAGATGAGGAGATCGAGCCAGTGACGTTATGGCCACGGGTTATAGGGTTGGATGATGCGGGTCGACGATGGGATAGGGAAGGGCGCTTTGGGGGATTCAAAGGATACTGCTCATCTCGAAAAACCAGAAGTCGCGACTTGAGAACCTCAACGTCATCATCTATGAATATGAAAGAAAGTGGAGAGGATAGACCGTTCGGTGTCAACGAGTCAGCAGCTGCGCTCGGCGAAGCCTCCGCACCACCGTCCGCGGCATGGCTGACGTCCATCCCCCATTCAGTCAAATAACTCGTTAAGTAGTGAGCAAAGTAACCTTTAACGTTCGCATATAGGATGGCTTTTTTCGCTCTGAGTGTCTCGGCGAAGGCAGACAACTGCGCCAGGGTTGGTTCACCAGAGGGAAGAGGGCGGTCAGCCAGACCATGAACGACAATGGAAGCAGGGTCGGGAGCGGGCGGCGAACTCTGCCAAGCTTTGAACGAGAATTCCCAAGCCCAGTCTTCCGAACTCGAAAGTGGAACCGTTTGATTAGGAAGGGTCCGATTGGGAATGGTCCGATTGAAGGACGCTCCGACTTTGCTCAACAGTCGTTCGAGAAGGGTCGTTGAGAAATCAGGGGATGGTCGAGGGGTTACGGCACTATCACCGTGTAATGGATCCAGGGGAGCAAATTTGTGCATGATGCTTATCTTGCATCGCAATGGGCCGTCCGAATCCTCGGGTGTCGTAAGGACATCGACGGAGTATCGTGGATCGACAGTCGGAGGCTTGGTAACACCTGAGACAACATACAGCCCTAGCTCAACAGTGTCGCCAGCCTTCCCTGTGGCCAAGACCTGGCGAACGATCTAACGATAAGGTTAGCAAAGGTAGAAACTGTAGTAAGAGGATTGCCGTACGTGAGTTAGAACGTAGGAAAGGCCACTCTCGTTTCCTTTCACGTATACGTGCTTGAAACCCACGTCTCCATGAAAAATGACTAGTTCCGTTCCTACCTGTGCCGCCGCACCTCCTAGAGCATCACCGACACTTTGCAACAGCTCTCCTACATCAAACGTAGTCTCGCTGCCCAAAGTCAGAAATGGGAGAACATCTCCGGCACCCCGAAGATTCGATGTCTGAGAAAAGATGCTCGCCATATTCGCTGAGATGAAATTCAGGTTCCGCATAGCAGTGAACATGGAAGAGAGAGATGGTGTTGGAACTGCGACAGAACAGCTTGAAAACTGCTCTTTGGATGGGTCTAACACCTGCGACGGCGAAATTTGAAGCATTGTCTGAATGACTGTCTGCACCATATCTGCTAGCTCCAATGATAATTCTTGAAAATGAGCGAGTTCTGGTGGCAAAGTATTTGCTCGCAACGGTTGTGGCGATCCAGGCACGGTACGATGGGGATGCTGGAGATCCCCAAGCTGCGACGGCGACGGCATGGTCAGAGCGTGCAGCAGACGAGGTTGGGCCGACGACAAGTTCAAAACCGATGTGGACTTTGAAAACGGACGATGAGGGAGAGTCGACAGGTCCTCGGTGACGTCCAGTTTCTCAACCTGCTCTTTCTCCCATCCATATTCTTCATCCAACTGGGAGGTCCGCCCGGGAATAGGGATGGGACTGTCGGGGCCATTGAAGTCAAAGTCGGCTGGTAAGATGGGTAAGTCCGAGATGCTTGCATCCTGGATGAGGGTCGGTCCATTGCCGTTGACGCGAAATGCAGCTAACCCGTTCGCGGACATGGCCAGTGCGACGGTGGCCTGCGCCGACGACGAGGCTACGGAAGAAAGATTGCAATGGTAATGGTGGTACGAAGGAAGGAGATCAGCCGCCTTGTATAGGGTACCGGCAGACGGCGATGGCAGGCGACGGTGGTAATGAGTAGAATGTGGGCCAAGACCAGCCCTACCGCCAGGGACTTACCATTTCGGTCGTAAGCACGAGTTTCTAAGGCGCCTAAATGGCAATTCTACCAGTTTAGCTTCACCAAACACAGAAGTGAGAAAGGCTGTTTGATTTCAATCATCAACAAGTACAAATTAATAGAACAGACTGCGACAACAAGAAACCGTATTGTTTTTATCCTTCCAGGACCATATAATCAATAACTAAATCTAATACGATAATTCCACATCGCCCTACAATAAAAGCTATCACGAATCGATCCAAGGACGATAAACGATCACGTACCTCTGCAACCAGATCCATGTCATGATAGCTGACCCTCTTGCCAGCTGCGGCTCGGGGGTCCTCTTTCGCATCAGGAGGTGGTGGTGGTGGTGGCCCAGTCGCTGGCGCAGCACCACCCCTCCCTACCCTTCGAACGTTACCACTGCTAAGGGCAGTATCCAATGCAGACATAGGTTTAGGCGGGAGACCGGCACCAGCTGGAATGACAGATCCCTCCGTGGTCATTAGATTGCTCCCAATACGGTCACTAAGCCGACGTCCAGTAGAGTCATCACGGCGCTGCGGCGGAAAAGGGTACATTCCAGGTGCAGGATAGAATAAGTCTGGTCCACCTCCCCAATTTCCAGGGGGAGGCCCTTGATAGTACTGATTACCGCCACCATGTAAAGGGCCCTGTATGCCGAACGCCTGCGGAGGTGCCATCTGGTTAGTATGACCCATCTGGATCGGTGGGTGGGAAAAGGGCTGGATATGGTAAGGATCCAGGATGAAGTTGTTGAAGTAGGGCACCTATCGAGCAGAGGTAGTCATGAATTTGAGCGCCAACGGAAATGACAGCACCACTTACATCCTCGACTTCCTTAATTGATTCTGGATGCTTATTGGCAATGTGTTTCTCAACAAAAGGCGTAGCCTTGAATAACTTTAGGCACATCCTGCACCGAAACTTGCCTTCATCTTCTTGCTTGATGAAGGGATCGACGGCCCGGGCCAACACCCTACAACGTCTCAGGAGAATTTTCATCAGAGCGGACTACAACTTACTCGTCGTAGTTCTTTCCGCCATATTCACGAAGGTCGACACCATCCCGGTTAATGAGAAGTGCGATTTTGGAATCCAACCAGTCCAACCAGCGCTCGTCTAAAAATGGACAACTATTTTTAAAAACTATACTTTGCAAGGCAGATACGGCCGTGCTCACCATTACGCTTCCATCGGTCGTCTTTCTTGGTCTTCGCCTTTTTCTCATCTTGTCCGACTTTACCAAATGACTCATCCTCTTGCATCTTAGATTCCTTCTCTGCTTTTTCCGCTTCTACTGCCTTCACCATCTCCTCAAAATGCCCGCTTGATAAAGGCTTCCTTACGTGCTTGACACACTTACGATGCAATGCCTCAAGATGATCGCTAACAATGCAACAGTAGTAGCAAGTGTGGAATGCTGCTCGGAGATACTCAATATAAAGATCCAACGAAACTTGGGTCTGACGGACAAAGTTGAGCGCATAGAGTTATGACTACGGAATTTCACCTACCTTCTCTGCAGCCCAAAGCACCTCGTCATTTGAATCAATGACATTTTGCTCACGTATATCGGACATGATTTTTTCAATGCGCCGCTCAACTGCATCACTACCTCTTTCCATGGGCTCGTCTTCGTCATCATCCGTAGGATCTTGAGCTGCATCCCCTGCACCCGCTTGATCTTGGGTTGCTGAGTCACCGTCAACTTTCAAAGTATCCTCGAGCTTAATCTTCATGTGGCGTAGCTTATAAGCTTCCTCCTCCAGAATGGTAGCCAAGGTTTTTGCGTTATTAAGGTCCTTTTCAAGTCTATCAGGTCTGCTAGCGATTTCGGGTGCATATCGAACACGATTCATAAACGGCCGCATGTTGTGCGTAACATGTAACTTGAAACCTTCGATCTATGAGGAATACATACAGTAAGAACGCGTCTCAAAGCTGCTCAACTGAAACATACCTTTCTCTCCGACAGTTCATTCATGGCTAAGATCATATCGGCATCTTCATGGAAACGAACCCAGCCAGCACGATAATAGTTGCGTTTCTGCATAGGATCACCCAAGGCAAGATAGACAAAACCTGGAATTTTACGACAAGCCTATACGGACACGTCAGATCATTCTAAAGCGTTTGAAGTCAGAATAGCTTATACTTCTTCAAGTTTAATGCGTCCAATATCCGGTGGAATAGTCCGTATCATGATCTGGTTGCCCTCAGGAGCTACGGCAATCTCTTCACCACGATCCCAGTCTCGCTTGTTCGATCGCTTGTTGTCAGATCTGTCATTGAAAGCGAGATCGATGTCCAGGACAGGGTCAAAGTCAACATCGGCATTGAACTGCAATTCGTTGTCGCCGTCAACCTTGCTCTCAGATGCACTATTTGAATCCTTGGGTTCTCCGTTGGCCGGGACATCCTTCACCGGTGACTTGGGCTCATTCTCATTGAGATCAGGGTCGAACTTTCCCGATTCCAATTCATGTAAGAATGTCACAAGACGACCTCGCCAGCCCTCTTTCCTAATCCTGGCACGCAGCTTCTGATACGCAGGAGACGGGTCATACTTCTCAGCAAACCATGGCGAATTCCTGTGGTGTTCGAACATCGTCTTCAACTAGAGAAGGGAGTATTTAGATACGGTACACAAGAGAGGAATCAGGCTACAAGACTAACTTGATTTGACGCAAAATCCTTTTTATATTGTTCCCAATGACTTTTGATGCCGTTTCGAGGTTTCGAACCATCACCGGCTTCTTGCTCAGCAGCTTTGTCGGCGTTGTCTTCGTCGATGGCCTTTTGGGGGAAAAAGAACCGAAACCAGTCAGCATATTGCTTTAACGATGCCGGATAATCAAAGGTATGAGGATCCGGAGGGGCTCGTCTGGCCGCGTGGCCGCGTCTCGGGGGAGAGTGCCCACGAAAGTAAGGATCTGTGGAAGGCAAAATCAAAGTTAAAAAAAAAAAAAAGAAGAAATAAGAAAGTTGGATCAAACCATAGTCATCGCCGTATCTAGGACGAGGGTCATATCTGTCCCGTTCGTACGGAGACATAGATCGTCGCCGTTTCCTGCTGCCTGTTGCAAAGGTTGAGTAAGAATAAAGGGTGAATAAGCGAGCACTAACTTCCGTCCGGCGGTGGACTGCGACCCCTTCCGCGACGACCATAGTCGTACGATCCGACCCTATTGAACCCCAACACTTGATCCCTCTCGTCGGCGTTCCAAATGTCTAGGTCGTCCAACCGCTGCTGTTCGGTCTGGTAGTCGCTGCGACCCGGCGAACGGGAACGAGAACGACGGGGCGGAGGAGGGTACGAAGAAGGCCAGGACATCTTTCAAAGGAAAAGAACTGAGAGAGAAACAGAGACGAGAAGACGGCTGATCAGAGCCTGCGACGAAGAGAGGTCGAGCATAGTGAAGCACAGACCTCTTGGGATCACGTTCACAAGGTGGCAAGGCTGGCGTCACTCTTGAGCTCAACCGTGCTGAACCGCGCTCACTTGTGTCCGCAATGGAGCCTACGACGACGAATCGTTCAATCCCTTTACACATTTTAAATCGGAGTTTAAAATAAGGGTCTGTGCGCAGAAATTAGTTATTTATTTAATTCATAAGGGAGTCGGCAATGGGCGATCCACATCCATCCAGGAAACCAAGATAAATCAAAATATACTATCTAATACCTTGTCCATATCTTCTGATTTTTCACTCAGTTTCGTCTTTTTCCGCTGTTCAGTCGAACCCTCTGCAGTTCGTTTGCGAGGTCTCTCCTTCAACTGCAGCTCTTCCCCCTTTTCCCTCTTCTTTTCCGCACGTTTGTTTAAGACACGGGCAAGCTCTACATTCTTCAAGTAATCCTGCTGCTCTGCCCGAGACTGAGACAACTCTACGCGCAGTTTTGCTGTATGCAGCGCAGCTTCGTGAGCTAATACAGAACTTAGGCGAGTCGAACAATAAACGCTGGTACAAGAGACATACCGACTTGCTCCGTGAGCATGTTCCATTTGAATTTAGGCAAGTACTTCATCGTCCAGATGTCATCTCTCCACCTCGTACCCTTCTTGCCTCCAATAGTCTGGGCATTGAGCATTTCAGCGACACTACGGGCGACCTTTTTATCCTTAAATTCAACCCATCCTTCCGTGTAATGTGGCTTCTTGGTAGATGTGTATTTCCGTCGCAAGTAAGCCCTCCTGGGATCTGTTGCAGGTCAGCTAGTGTTGACGTTGAGAAGAAACGACGGACCTTCTTGTTGGAGGTAAACACGACCTACTTCACCGTAGGCACTCATAAGATGTCTGACTTTCGTTGGCCGCATTCCAGGGGGTATACGAGATATATAGATAACCCCAGCACGGTCCTGCGCCGCCTTGAAAGCAGCTAGAGCCTCCGGGGTCAATGGCTTGACCACTTTTGGTCCAGAAAGACCATCCGGATCCATGCCCTCTTCGAGATCTTGATTACCATCGGCACCTTCCTCGTTCTCATCGTCAGAGGTCCCTTCCTCCTGCAATGCTTCTCTCTCTCGTTCAGGGTCTGAGTTGGACCCAGAGGCCAGAGGGATCCAGCTAGTAGTCGCAGCTATGGTTGTATGAGCCATTTCTATCCAATACGTAGGACACGTCCAACAAGGCTTGTAAGATGACAGACGTAAAACAGACTGAGAGGGGAGCTTGAATTTGAAATTCGGTTGTTGACAGAAATTTCGTAATATACAACACTATACTACTTAACAGCGGTAAGAGAGGCAGCCAAATTTCCCACACCCCATATGTCACAGTAAATATACCACCTTCGCTGTATCCAACTCCTGACTCCCAATTTTTATATCCAGCCCACCAATCTTCATCTCCGTAAATCTATCATATTCTACCTGGCAGAACAAATCTTCAGCTTTCGCCGCAGATCCTATACTTTCCAATACCACGGACTTGAGGCGGTACTGGCGCGCCGTCCACCTGTTACAAATCATTTCTGTGAGACCCTTTCCAAACGGACGGTCGGTAGAAGGATGCGAAACTCGCATGGTCAATTCCTTCAGGCGAGGAAGAAGGACCATATCACCCTGCCCGTTCCTCTCCGCCATATGCGATATGAATTCGTTTTGAATCGGGCGATGATAGAAATCGAGTGTCAACGTCGCAAGATCAGGGATTGACTCAAGAAGGGGATAGATCCTGAGTGTAAACAGTTTGTCAGTAACTGTGAGATGTTGGAGGGGTGATTGAGATCCTGTCAACAAAACCCGCAGGTGGTCAGGGGCGTTTGGGTGGAATCCGTATATGCGGTCTGATTCAACACGCATGACGAATGTATCCAGACTTGGTAGCTCCAAACCTGTCAGGAAACGAAGGTCGTCACTTTCAGATACTGAAAGCTCTCGGAGGGATGTTTGCCTGATCTTCTGGAGGGCAGAGATTGAAGGTCCGAATGTAGCGGCGCGAAAGGCATGGAGGGAGGACATGGTAGGCGCGTTCTGGAGAACATGGACATAGTCGTCTTCGGAGGTAGGTAAAGTGCCGCCACTTTCTCGGTCGTCGGTGAATGATATTATCTGAGCCCAAGGTAAAGGCGTACTCGCTCCATGGACACCTGAGAAAGTCACCTCCTTCAGGTGAGGTGCGATTGTGAAGACTTTCGTCAAAGACAGCGGAGCCGGACCCAGATTGTTCAACAAAAGTCGAGACAACACTGGTATTCGCCCACGAAAAGAGAAATTATCAACGAAGTCGCCCGGAATCATGAAGCTGATGTCTTTCCAGCGATAAGAATGACTCTCCAACAAATAGAAGAGAATTCTGCCTATCTGCGAAGTCTCTGGGAGGTGAAATGTAACATTCAAGTCGTGGTGACCAGACCGGACGAGTGCGTTTTTGAGCATTGCGAAGGGGCTGTTGTTGGTCTGAGCATGTTTGTCCGAGTCACCAGAGCTGACAATCATGTCAGACCACAGGTGCGGAAACGACAGTGCCGCTGCCCTCCAAGCTCTGCACACCCGAGAAAAGACCCACAGGCCGGAGAATGAGTCCAGGACTGCATAGGGTGTCTCGTATTCGAATATTTCGGCGAGCAACTCCGGAGGTAGAATGACTGTCATATCCTACGCGATCTGAATTATCAGTACTTACACTGTCAGAAAGAAGTGAACCCTACTTACCGAAGAGAGAGATGATCCTGTGGATTGAATAGAGTCTATACAAGGAGGTCAGTGAGTCAAATACAGATAGATGGTAGATAACGATTCTCTATGTCTCGCAAGCGACGTGGTGGTAGTAGACTGAGGTTGTCCGGCCCGTACCCTCCCGAACCCGGATCCCGCGATCAAACAACAAGTGGACTGGCCTACCTAGAAGCGACTAGAACCGAACTTCGAAATTCGACCCAAAGTAGTTTGTACTCCATTAGAGCCTTCATAATACTAATGTACATCTGTCAATGTTAACCCTTGCTTTCTTTATGAAACTTAATATATAAATGCCACCTCAACATTTTCACTTGACTTCCTCACACCTACTATACGCTCAACTCGACGTTCACAGACTTTCGGATAGCATCTTGCAGATCTGCATCTGCTAGTGCAGGCTCGACCCACTCTTTCAGGAATGCATCGACCTGCTCGGGGGCGCGGCCAATAAAGCTCTTAGGGTCCATGAGAATATGCAGGTCGCCTTTGATAGGATCGAAGTATATGTCCGTCTTAATTCGCTCAATCAAATCATTCTCCAGGCCTAGCTGTTTGACTTGAATGGCAGCTTCGTGGGAAAGAACCTGATGGACATTGAGGCATAAGTCGGATGGGTCCAGAGGAAGAAAACGCACTCGGATTTTTTCATGCGCTTCCTGTCGATCGCCGCCTTTCTTGACGATGGCCATGATGACGTTTTCAGTAGCCATGAAGGGGAGCTCTTGGGCAATGCGTCTGGCGATGACTCTAGGGTAAACAACGAGGCCTTCGGAAATATTCTGAAGGGTAGAGATGACGATGTCCGCCGTGAGGAACGCTTCTGGGAGACTGATGCGACGATTGGCACTGAAGAATACTAAGTAAGGCGATTGCGAAAAATCCGCGTATTATTACCTGTCATCGAGAGTGCGCTCGAACCATTGAACACTGGAAGTCATCAGCGCATTTTGGTGGAGGACCATGAGATGCCGGGAAAGGCTGCAGACACGCTCAGAGCGCATCGGGTTTCGCTTGTACGCCATGGCAGAGGATCCAATTTGGGTGGATTCAAAAGGTTCTTCCACTTCCTGAGTAGTCGTAAGCACTGAGACAAAGTGAACATGACAATGCGATACCTTCAAATTTGCAAGAAGACGTAGATCCGTAGCGATCTTGTGCGCACTAGCACCAAGGGAAGCAAGCGGCGCGAGAACGTCGACATCAATCTTGCGTGAGTAGGTTTGGGAGGTCACCGGGTAAGCATAGCTGAACCCTGAGAGTGTGGTGACCAGTTTGTCAAGTTCTTCAACCTGGAAAGGTTTAAGCAAAAACGTAGAAGGTTATACGGGAATATGTGCCTTGGCATGATCCCCATCGAAGAGGGCCAAGAAGCTGGCTTGGGTTCCAGTCGTACCCTTCACACCCCGGAATCCAATATCGTCGCGCGCGCGTTTAATATTACGGAGATCCCAAAGGAGTTCCTGCAAGGATTTCTGAGCGACAAAGGTGTCGATCAAAAAAACCGTATCTACCTGGATCCACAATGTTGCGCGCTTGCCGACAGTAGTGAGCTGTGCGGGCTGGAAGTGCGTGAAACCAAGCGTAGGCAAATCACGGTATTGCCTGGCGAAAGAGGCCAATCGAGAGATCAGCACGGAAAGAGAGCGGATAAGATAGTCTAGACCGGTCCGGAGGAAAATTAGGTCGGCATTACTAGGGTCGAATCAGAAAGGATTGTGTGATAACGAAGAACTGAGGGAGAAGTACTCTGTGACATAGCAAGAAGTCGCGCCGAGACTATACAATGAACTGTCAGTGAAAGAGTGAAATGAGTGGATATAGTACGCACTGGATGATCCCCGCAGCTGCAGGTGCAACGGTACCGAAGGTGTAGACATGTGCCATAACATCGTGTCGGCGTTTCTTTTCCTCTTTAGCGGCAATGTCGAACTGCTCTGGGGTGAGTTCCTGTTTTTCCATATTAGTTCCCACAGCCAAAGTGAAAAAGTGAAAAAAACTGACAAGGTTGTTCTTCATTTGTTCAATGGCCTCTTCTGGGATAGGCAGCCCTAGTTCTCTTTCTGCGATGGCGAGATTGAGCCATAGTTTGCGCCAGGTATAGAACCGGTTCTATCAAATATTGTAGGCGCGATGTTGCATCGATCTTTTTAAGCGAGGCTAAAATAACTTACGGCTGGAGAGAAAAGATGAGCCATTTCTTTGCTCGCATAGCGGCTTCACAATAATCAGACAACAAGGAGACAATGATACGACGAATTCTTACCTAGAAAGAGGAGTCTGGTACGTGTTGAAGTTATCCATGGATGGAGTTGGATAACAGAATTCTAGAGCCAGAAAATTCGGCATTTTCATGTTGCGTAATACCCGCTGTGTCATGAGATCTAATCTGATCTCGAGCCACGTCGAACGAAATCTACACGTTACTCTCTTCATTTACAACCACCACCAGCTCTTCGCCTTTTCTTTCCCGCCGTCATGGCGACCTACAATTACGACGAGTCTGGCCAGATGGCTGCGTACTTTGTAATCACCTTCCTTGCTCTCATTCTCATTCCTCTCAGTCTGTCAACGCTCCCTTCAAGAAGTGTGTACCAATCCCTGCCCTGCCTCTTCGTTGTTCACGAACTTTCAGAAAATAAATCGGTCAATGGTTGCCAATGTAGTTCTTGTGCTCAGCAGCGGGCGTATTTGTCGAAAGTAGAGGGCCATAAGCCCACCACAAAGTGCGTACTGGCCATTCAAAGAGGTGTTGAAAGGTACTAATGAGCTGTCCAGAGCAGTATTTATCGTTGTCGGCTGGTCCATAGTTTTCTTCCTCCTCCATCGCGTCGCGAACACCAAATCCGACAACAAAGTCTATGACCCCTACGAAATCCTCGGAATCAAATTGGTGTGACCGCTTCGTCGTTCCATCTCGATTGCCTAACGCGCTACAATACAGGGAACACCAGAAAAGGAGATCAAGTCTCATTTCAAGAAGCTTTCTCGCATATATCACCCTGATAAAGTCAGGGCGACCGTGAATCAGACAATTGAGGAGATTCAGAACCGCTTCGTAGATATCACAAAGGCATATAAATCGTGAGCGCTTCCTTTCACTCCGCCTTTTCTCTTGCCGAATATCTCAAAAGTCTCACTGATGAAAACATTCGGCGCAACTGGGAGGAGTGGGGTGACCCAGACGGCAGACAGCAAATGTCTATGGGCATCGCCCTTCCCACTTGGATCATCGAAGGCAAAAACAACGTCTGGGTGCTTGGCTTCTATGGATTGATATTCGGCGGCGGTCTACCCGTACTCGTCGGGCGCTGGTGGTTTGGCTCTCGTCAAAAGACCAAAGATGGTGTTACTGCTCGCTCGGCTGCATCATTCTTCAAGTCTGTGACTGATAGCTCAGGGATGGACGATGTTCTTGGACTGATGGGGAGTGCATATCAGTGGGAATGCCAGCCCGTGGTGAAAGATCAGGACGAGCTCAGGCGTCTAGAGGGCGAAATCAAAGGGAAGGTCGAGCGCCAGTGGAGTTCCCTAGTTAGCGCCGTAAACGACGAAAACATCAAGCGTGCATTGGTATTGGTCTACGCTCATTTGCTAAGGCTGACTGTGGCAAGTTCGAATCTGCAAAAGGAGCAACGTCGCGTCTTACTTCATACTCCGACGCTATTGAACTCGCTACTGACCATGGCCACATCTCGAAACTGGCTCGTTCCCACGCTGGCGGTGATGCGACTACACGGTTATCTCACTCAGGCGTTGCTTCCGTGGCATAGCAGAGTTGCGCAGCTGCCGGGTGTGAAACCGGACGAGGGACTTGGTGAGAGTCTTGATCAGTTTGTCAAGACGCTCGAGGAGAAAGCAGACGCGCGTGTACCTGATATCAAGAAAGCAGTTGGGAAATGGGGAAAACTCGACATCGTGGATGCTAGCTTCAAGGGTACGTTCTGTACTTTACATTCCGCTCGTCCTGTACTCATGGCTGCAATTGCCAGTTATCGATGAGAAGACAGTCACGCCTTCGTCAATCGTATTCCTTGTTGTCAAACTAAGGCTAGGAGCAGTAGAGGGCGTTAAACTGGATATTGATACCAAAGAGAACGAAACTAAGGATTACGAATTCCTGAACCTTCGAAAGGATGCAGAGGATGTTGCTGTCATTCCTGGATGGGTGCATGCACCTTATTGGCCTGCAGTACGTATTCATTTATCATTTGCTAAAGTTGACTGACCTTGTTTGGTATAGAACCGCAAGCCTTCATGGTGGATCGTCCTCGCGGACCCCAAGTCCTTGCGATTAGCCATACCTCCCATTAAAATCACCGACATACCATATGCACGAGATCTCCCTGCATCACGGCCATTCCGGTCGTATAAGGTGCAGTTCCAGGCTCCTCCGAATACGAGTGTGAACCCATGGCGGGTATATATCGTGAGCGACACGTTTGTGGGTCCAGAGTCAGAGGGCAGTGTACCGGTGACCCTGGAGGTCGTGGAGAGGAAAGCGGATGAGGTTGATGGGGAGGATGACATTTCTGAACCGGACGAAGATACGCTAGCCGGGCAGATGGCGATAATGAAAGGACAGCGGGTTAAGAAGGTACAAGAAGAGGAGAGTGACGATGAGAGTGGCACTGATGATGATGACGACGGTGACGATAGCAGCAGTGATAGTGATTAGTGCATGTTGTGATCAATTTCGCATTTCCATCCTTTCTCGCACGTCACCAATTGCCATCTGTCCGACGAGCGAGGTTGAAAATTGAAATCTTTACGAGAGAATTCTGGTCTGCGATCTGCAGGATTCTATTCGTCAACCAAGTTCACAGACCAACATATGGCGTTATCCCTCAGAACATAATGTAGCAGGCAAGTACAGTGTGTGAAGCACTAAACCCTTTTAAGTTGCTCGCAGTGAAAATTCACCGGAAAGGAAGAACACCACCTACGGTTTTCAAAGCTACTTCCAAGTAGGTGAAACATGCGAGCAACATGTGACTGCAACTAATTGAAAAAGGATACAACGCGTACAAGCTGCTAAGCAGATTTTGAAGACATACATACCTTTTAATAAATAGCCACAAATGAACAGTGCTAATGATAAACAATGTATCAGTGCGCGCTAGGGAATCATAGCATTGACCAGTAGGCAATCAAGATTCAAATCAGAGTCAGGAGTCAGGAGTCAGGAGTCAAGTCTCAGGAGTCAATCCAAGAATTCGAAATTTCGAAATTATTCAGGAATCAAAAAATAAACCAATCATATTGGACACATTGGGACTTGAACCCAACACCTCCCGCATGCTAAGCGGGCGTGATAAACCATCTACACCATGTGCCCCTATGAAGTAAGGACTTAAATTAATAGCAGAAATAATGGCTCAGTCGAACATCTACCCCCTCAATTCTCCCCCTCTCCCAGTGTGCTTCAAGACAGTTACAGATGGGAATGAACGTGGCCAAATGAAGCCTTTCAAGCCTACCCAGTTCTACTATGTCCATTACAACCTTACAATTCAACTTTCTTCCATGGCATTCTATGTCCAATGCTCGCAAGGCCTTCGACAGCAGTATGTGCCGAAATAGAACATCATTCACTGGGTCCTCATCCCTGTCTCCCAGGTCGAACTTGAGGTTCAGACGTTCTAGCTCTGGTGTAGCATCGAGGATGTTGGTGACGTCGGCTGTGGAAAGGGGTAGGTAGTATAACTGGAGTTCCCGGATCACTGCTGAGCGAAGACATGAAAGAATAGAACGGCAGCCATTCCAATTCCGACCATTCAAGTCATCCATGCACTCGATGCGTAATGCCCTGAGCGCCACCATACTGAGTGAATCCAAAAAGTATGCGAAGCATGGCTCGGAGCCTGAAGTGGCTCTCAACGACAAGTTCAGCCGTTGGAGCTTCGTCATTGAGACGCGGGTCGGGTCAGCCTTTGGGGTGAAAGTGCAGGTTGCATTGAATGAGCAGGCCATGAGGTTCTCGCCTTCTGACAGGATGTCGAAGATTTCATCTAGCGTAGGAAGCTCTTCCGCCTTGCAATCTAAGCGAACGTGTAACTCTGAGAGCCGGCTCCACTGGATCCCTAATGAACACAAAGCCACACCATGTGATGGCCAAACGCCTCTCATATCAAGTGTCAACGTTTCGAGGGAATGAAGACCAGATGCCAGCGGCGGGTCTGTAAAGAGAGGAACGAGACTAGCACCGGGTGTCACGAACCTCACGTCTCGCCACCGAGAAGAGTGACAGAGCAGCGCTTTCACGACAGTGATGCTCCGGGGCTGGAAGACGCGGGACGTCGTGTGAGTGGGTGGGTCATAAATGACGTCAAAGGACAATGGTTGCTCTTTAGAAAGCTTGAGCCAAAACTCCAGCGCTTCTAGCCGCGGTGCGGCGTAACCATTGTGAAAATCAATTTCGAAGAAAGACCACAGTCGTGATACTGAAAGCGCGAGGGCCCTCCAGGACCTGCAGACGTGTGCAAGAAGTAAAGGGGCTACGTCTTTATGCAGGCTGGGGTAGGACTTGTCGGGGAGGCAGTGGAAAAATATGGTGATGATGAGCTCTGCAGGGAGCCGTGTGACTTGACGACGTCCATGGGACATTACGCGAAGCATGGCCTTCAAAGCAATAAGAATAGTACAGGTATAATGACTCGACAACCTACCTCTTGTTGAAGGTAATGGGATGAAAGGTTCATGATAAAGGATAGGAGGCACTCCATTTGTCTCTGGTCATTTATACTGTGGCTCACCAGTCATGATCGCAGGATCTTCGGTTGATCGAAACTAAGCAGTGCTAGACATGAGACGCCACTGTATGAGTTGGTATAGTAAAGTCAGGGTAGTCAGAGCGTTCGCGTAGCAACCTATAATTGAACATACTCAGAAGGAAGCTATAATCAACGGTACTCTTTTGGACCGACAAGATTATCCGGTACAGCGCCACCATTTTTGGGCTCAGTGGGTGCACAGAGCCTGCCAAGATCATGTATCGTATGGCTGCTGCGCCCATCGAATCCCCATCAGTATCAATAAGCGGGCTTTATGGTCAGGTCAAATCCGCCGGTTCTGTACATGATGGAAAATGAACATGGAAGAAAAATTGCAGGACGTACCTCGATGCGTCAAAACAGATTTCTCTCCGGTGCTTAAACCACACGCGAGGTACACAGCAATATATTGATAACGCGTAACAATAGCCCTAAAAGAATTTGCCAAAATCGTAAGCCTCGGTGCCGTCACTGTCCGACTTGGTCTTTGCAGGCTTGGATTTTGGGGCTTTGTTGGTTACCTTCCTCCCTAGCTTCTCTTCAGGCTTGGGCGCCGTAACCTTATCCTGTCGTTTGTGGTCAGTGTCTTCCTCGGTCCCTGAGAATGCGAGCTTTTTGCTAGGGGGAAGAGGATCTTCCTTTCCTCGCTTACGTTTTTGCTTGCTGGACAAGGGGGGAGATGGTGGCTCCTCTTCTTCCTCCTCCTCTTCCTCCTCGCTCATCTTGGTATCTTGGTATTCCTCCTCTTCGTCTTCCTCATCGCTCACCGTGGTGTCGTCGTCTTCTTCTCCGCCTTCACTGTCCACCAAATAAGGCTCCTCGAATGAAGGCAGACGGGTATCAATAACACCAGGGCTAAGCTTTAACAGCCCTCCATGTTTACGTAGTTCTCGACGAGTTGGTAAGGCAGTGAGAACGCCCTTATCGGTTTCTGAATCCACCGGTTGTTCCTTCGAAGCCGGCATTGTGTACCACCGCAGCTTTCCCAAGTTCCATTCACGCAGAATAATACGCGACGCTCCCACGAGATCTAATTTTCCCCGCTACATAGAATGAAACAAATGAATTTTCACGATCGGAGTGCGAATGAAGCAACAAACCTTCTTCACGAACTGATGTGACCGCGCCAAGCCGGGGAGGAATGCATCTACGTCGCCTTTGGAAAATGCTGGCAAACTATAGTGTAGCATTAAGTCCTCGTTATTGGCCCGCGACACGATGTGTACCACTGAATCGGGTCAGCGCTCATACCACGCGGAGTAGGGAAGGAAAAGCACACCTGCAGGTATTGGTTCTTTCAAACGATCAATCCTTCCCTTATTTCGCATCAATATGTCTCGGGTCCGGGACTCCTCAGTGAGCTCGCTGTCTGCCCACAGCAGGCCAGGTGTATCAACGAACTTGATCTTCTTTCCCCCTTCCTCAATAGTGATCTCCTGAGGAAGCACTGTCGTCGTGGGGCCTCGGGAAGAAGTCGCAAGGGTATACGTAGGCAGGACAGCTTTTTTGGCTACGGAGTTGATCACTGAGCTTTTTCCAGTCTAAGTTGTGAAGGTTTAGTAAGACATCACGGTGAATGCACGCCGGGAAACGAACATTTGTGAATCCAGCCACTGCAACAACCAGCGGTTCATCGTCACTCTTGCTTTTTGCCCAGGGAAGCAGTGTTTTCAACAGCGCATCGACACCAATAGCATTGTCAGCCGACAGCTTTCCCTTCCCCTTCTCTTGCTTATGACACTGTACTTCGTCTGGAATGAACGCCGAAGCTGAACGAAAGAGTATCGTAGCTTGCTGAAAGCGCAGTTGTGTGACCCACGCAGCAACGGCTTCTTTCGGGCAAGTATCTGACCAAGAAAAAAAGTTCAGTCCCACAGGAAGAACCGCCAAAGTAAACATCACCTGCCAATTTTATTCAGCAGAAACACCACCCGTCCTGACGGTGCAAGCTTTTCGAGCTCAGAGCTTCGGAACGCCAACGGATCCCTGCAATCCAGGACCTCTAACAGCACATCGGCGTGGTCCAGCACTGATTTTAAGGTTGGAAGGTCCCTGTTGACGAGTACCGGTACTTCTTCATCATCATCCTCGGCCTCTTCAGTTTGTCGAGGGGAGGCTGGCATTTTGGCGATCTTCGCATTCACTAGATGTTTTGCAGCGATGCTGGCGACGGGGTCGAACCCTTTAGGATCGCCTTCCTCAGTTGCAGGTTTGGCTTTCTTGGCATCTTTTCGTTGTTGTTTCTCCTCCAGAGCCTACATGCACGTTAGGCCGCAGTAGGATACACCGAACCCAGTCCACATACCAGCCGACGCTGCTCCTGCACTTCAGCTAATATTTGATCCTTGTATGGAAACTCATTCGGGATGCCAGGGTCCTTTTTTTGTTCTGCACAGATATAAGATATAGTCAATTGCGGTTGAGAGTAACGCACTTGATTTCCACTGAGGATTCTTTTCCGCAGCCTTGGCCTTCTTCTTCTTGCTCTCCCTAACCTTGGTCTGAAGTTTTCGACGGTCATTAGTCGAACTTCGATTGCTGGTCGCTGTTGAATATTAGAGGATAAAATGAATTCTGCAGCAACAAGACTTACTTTTCCTTATACGAGGCATTGTGGACAACGGTGATGGATGTTCAAAAAATGTCAAAAATTGGTTTCCGCTTTGGGATGATAAGATGGGAATTTAAATTCGCGTCATGTTCGGCGACCTCAGTCAGCCTAGTTGGGGCAGCAATTCACATCTCAGTGAATGGACGACAAAGAACACATATATTCCACAGTACATAAATTACATGAAGAGAGCGAATACTTATACCAACCTGAATCCCACGAAGGCACTGAAAAAGCCGTCAAAAAAACTCCATCAGCGGCGACATCAATCAGTGCTTCCATTAGGCGCCGCGACCGACAATCAAAGCACCGTCCTCGGTCCTGGAAACGCTATCCCTTGAGATTTATCCATTAGTGCCGTAACGCCGGCTATCACGCGTCCATTTTTCCTCAAGGGCAAGTAAGCGCCAGTCAGTGAGCACAGAGAGGGTCAAGAAAGTTTCTTGTACTTGCAAACATAATGTAGGCGAAGATAGCGAGAACGCAAACGATAACTAGACAACTTGAATGACGGTGATAACTTGACAACTTGATAATTTTTTTTGGCTATTGAAATGGGGTCCGAGGATCTTCGTAGAGAGAATGAAGAAACTTGAGGGAGCAATGGAACTCCAAACTTGAAACCACATTCTCCTTGGCACCCTTGACCTTCTGCCCTTGACCTTTGCTCTGTGCTTGACGAAGCACAAGCGAGAACGACTCCAAGGCTTACCATCGCGAATCATTCCCATTCGATGGAGCGTCATAGTCCCTAGCGCGTGAAGGGCTGCTACCACGCGGGGGGCTACGAGAATAGCTCCTGCGCCTTCTGTAGTCAGGAGAATATCCTCGTCGAGGCGGTGGACTACGCCTGTCGCGATCACGCCAGTCTCTGTTGTCCCGACCGTAAGGGTCACGGTCCCGGTCCCGGTCTCTGTCCCTATCACGACGGTCCCGGTCGCGATAGTCGCGATCACGGTCCCTGTCCCGACCACCGTAATGAGTATCACGATTCGTCCGTCGATGTCCCATGTACTCTCCGGGCGTCGGGGCATGAGGCCGGTCGGTAACCGAGTAGTCAACACGAATGCGGCGGCCATTGAGATCCTGGCACGGAGTATATGAGCGGGGGAGCTTGCACGGTAAGATGAAGACTCACCACGCCATTCAGCTCGGCGATGCAACGTGTGGCATCGTCCACTGTTGCCATTTTGATGAAACCAAATCCACGGGACCGGTCAGACTAAAAGTTTTGGAAAAAAAAAAAAAAAAAAGTCAGTGTGGCGCAGGGTCCAAGAGTAGGACCGAACATACCCTTTGATCGTAGACAATGGTAACCTTTTCGACACGTCCAAAGCGGCCAAACTCTTCGTCCAGATCTCGCTCTTGGGTGCGTATACTTAGACCAAAAACTCCGAGAACATTCGTCGGATTGGGCGCCTAATGAACGATGAGCATTGCAAAAAGGGCCAAGACAAAGATGTACGATAGGCGCATGCGCAGGACGCCTGGGTGGAACAGGTGACCGGTGACGGAAAGGACTGCGACTTCGTGAACGCGAGCGCCCTCGCGCCACTGGCGCAGAATCCCTCTCTCCTGGGACTTGGGCAGGAGGCGGCGCATTGTAAGCATCCGAGTACGGGTCGACTGGAGCAGTTGTCGTAGTTTCGCCGTACTACACATTGAAAAGAAACAGAGACAATCAGATTCGGCGCAAGGGCAGGAAGCCTAGGCTGCACGGACTCACCATGGTGGTTCAGCTTCAGGTTTTGTTGTCGTTTATTTACAGCACCGCCCTTGTTTCAAAATGACTCGGAGGCGCCGAAAAAAAAGCGCACCAAAAAAATTGAATTTTGCACAAATTCACAAGCATACAGCGAAGAGAATGGAGGAAGGAAAATAGCAAGGCGTCATCTTTCCCAACGGCTCTTGCCTTCCAGTATCGGACCTTCGGACGATGTTCTGCCGAATTTTTCGGCGCCCAAATTACGTCGGCGATTGAACTTTATTTGTGCAACTGTACAGCATATACCGAGCGCATCCCAAGGTAGAAAACAGATCCAAACACATTTTCGGGCAAGAACAAGATGGTGAGCTCGTCGCGGCTGGGAGTGTCGAGGGTATGATTTCTGATGCTGCGTTTTCGTAGGGTATCGACATTACTGCCCACCACGTCAAGAAGGGTAACCGGACCGCACCCAAGAGCAAGGACCCGTACCTCTTGCTCCTCGTGAAGGTACTGCACCAACCTTTGCGCCTGCTGTCGAACACAACTGACAGGCATTTCCAGCTTTACCGCTTCATGGCACGAAGGACAGACTCGGATTTCAACAAGGTCAGTCTCCTAGCGATTTTCCCAGTACGAAAACCAACGTCTCGCAGGTCATCCTCCACCGTCTGTTCCTTTCCAAAATCAACCGCCCTCCTCTCTCCTTGTCAAGAATCGTCAAGGAGACCTCCAACACCGCTGACCTCGCTTCAAAAACCATCGTCACCGTGGGCACCGTCACCGACGACATCCGTCTAACTGAGGTGCCAAAATTGTCTATCGCGGCTCTGCGATTCACCCGTGCGGCCAAGGAGCGCATCCTCAATGCTGGTGGTGAGGCTCTTACCCTTGACCAGCTTGCCCTACGTGCGCCTACTGGTACCAACACGGTGTTGTTGAGGGGAAAGAGGAATGTCCGGGAGGCTGTCAAGCACTTTGGTATGGGTCCCCACAAGCACAAGAAGCCCTACACGACGTCCAAGGGACGCAAGGTGTGTCATTTTCATTTTCTTTGTCGCTGTGTTGCTAAAGGCTTGCATCTAGTTCGAGCAAGGTCGTGGTCGCCGAAAGTCGCGTGGTTTCAAGGTGTAAGCGTTGCAAAACCAAACCATTGGATGCTGGAGTCGGTTTGTGGGCTGCTGTGAGGTGGTCGTTTGTGTATGCTATGTGTTATGACATTGATAATATTATGCACATGCTCTCACATCCTTCATGGTGCAAAGCTGAGAATGCCGTGTTTTCCTGCTTGCATTCCCTTGGTGTACCCCAACTACTGAACTGCACTGATATTCAGTATTCAGCTTCAAAATAAATTGTGCAAGTATCCAAAACATTTTATTCGTTCATGAACGATTTTTGCTGACGAGCGCAGCATAAATTCCTTCTTTCTAGGTATGTCCTTCTAAATATCCGTCTTTTACTTCCTGGGTGGCATGACGGAATCCAACGAAGGTGGCATCGTAAACGTCTTCTCACCAACAGGTGTAGTCGACCCGCTGCCATTCGGCGTAGCCTTGCCTGGCTCCTTCGCCTGCAATATCTTTGCCCCTCCCGCATAGAAAAACCCAAGGGAGGAGAAAATCAAGATGTGCCCATAAAACGCCAAACGGTACCAGGCAACCAGGGAATCTTTAATTGTGAGCAGCATAAACGGCACAGCGACGTAGTTGACCATCATCGCCGTGGCGATTGTACCAGCCAAATCGTACATGCGCTTTGCGAGCGTCGTAGATTGACCTTCAGCAGGCATGACGAGCGGCCGGATGTTTGCGCGAGCAAGACGTCCCGCGGTGGTAATGAAGCCACCCAAGATGAAAGTGAGGTAGTACCCACCGGCCACTCCATGCTGCACGAATACCGTCAGCCCAGCATGTCAATTCAGTACTGTTTTACACGTACCCAAAACGCGCTAGTCGCAAAAGTGATCATGCTGCTTGCAAAGCCGGGTTTCTTCCCCTTGGGCGTGACACGCTTATACACGCACTCGCGGAGCCAGACGTTGGTCTTCATGTTCCACGAGTCCAAGAGGACCTTGAAGTTGGAAGGGATCTCGATGGCCAGTGGTATAACATTCGCAGCACCAGTCCAGGTCGATGCGCCGGATGCATTGTAGCCCGTGAAACCTAACCCGGTCAAAATGCTAGCTCCCTAGAGCGCTTGTCAGTCCACAGGGTCGATATATGTGTCCATATTGACGTACTTCCGTAAGAGTCCACACAGCATAGTACTTGCACCTTTCGAGGATACCATATGGTTGGAAACAAAGCAGTCTGTGTTGTGTGTAATTAGCGCATACATGGACAACTTGAGAATACCCCACCTATACCACATCCTCTGCTCTGCGAACCAAGGCGTCAGAATTGTTGCAAAGTTATACTTGGAGCCCAACAAGACAAAAATTCCGAGATACACGAGGCCCTCGACCATCTTACGGTATGCGACGCGTTTGCGCCCGCCCGGAAGGTTGCGCTTGGCGTTCTCCTTGACATGACCCTCGTATAGTTTTTCGGTGATGAGCTCCATATAGTCGACGTATTCAAGGTAAGGTCCAACGAGGACACCAGGGAAGTAGAACCTATTTCACCGGTCAGCTGTGGCAAGAGAGGATGTCAGAGGGAATAGCTAACGCATAACCCAAGAACTCGACAAGGGACGGGTAGGTAGGGATGCGCTTCGAGGTCTGCCATTTATCGAGGTCCTATGCTTGTCGTTACTTTAGCCGCCGATTACCAGAGGAAGACCGCCACACCTGGACAGGCCTCCGACCGTCAAACACGTTCCACGCAAAGGTCGTCAGCTTCATGGTCAGCACCATCTGGGGCCCAGTGACATCCATCGTCTCGTAACTCTGCGCTCTGAGGTAGCGTATTGTGTGGCTGCACCGGACATCAGACACTGTTTCAAGGAGACAGGACAACGCTCACTTGACGGTCAAGTGCCCCATGGTAACTCTGGACCAGCTTCAGCTCGTCGTCGTGAGTAACAGCAACTGTACAACGCACACAAAGACGATCCAAGGCATATTTGGCCCTGTATGATACTTTGCAATGGCATATGTCGTCACCACACTACCCAATAGCTGGAGGAACGCATGTGGGATCTGAAGAACGGGCAAGAAGAAAAAGACGGTGACGGCGACGTTGTATAGGTGCTTCAGATGGGGTTTGCTCGAAGGAATACGAACGAACACGGAACCCAAAGGAAACGCGATTAAAAGACAGGAAATCAACTGAGTCGAGTCTAGGTCAGAGGGCCTGGCATGTGGGGAAGATCAGCAACCGGTACCTTTATCTGATCAACGGACGCGCCAGCTGCTTGAGCAAGAGGGACGAAGAACGCGTCCATGTTTTCTCCTGTCTCGTCGTTGTCGTAGATTTTTCAGCCCGTCTACTCCCCCTTACTGCCTACTTTAAGACCGGGCACTGCCGAAAACTTGACTTTGGATTTTATTAACTCGATTGGGTAACTACGGTATCGTACGACGACAGACAACTATATATTCAATTCATACCTGAGGATAAGGGCTCTGATGGTGCTGAATAGTATTTGTAGAGGGAGACTGAGGAGGATACTGAACGGCCGTGGGCTGCGCAGGCGCATAGCTGACCTTTTCGGGAGCAAGAGCACCTCCTGTAGCGAAAAAGTCGGTTGTAGTTGTAGAGGACGTCCAAACGGCAGCATTGCCTCGAGTGGCCGCAATGATAGCAAAAACAATCAAGGTAATTGTGTAGCCCATCACTGATAAATAAAAACTGTCAAGGAGATTGGATTTGATTTGACTGGACGGATCACTTACGAATAAGCCAGGTCAAAAAGTCAAACGCTTCAATAGCATTGAACTCTTTACAGGCCTGGTCAATCTCCGCTGAAATCGATATGAGACACAAATTGACGCGTAATTTATGGAAATATGTACGGTTGATATAGCCGCATCCAGCCACAAAGGTATTGGAATTGGCGTCCGCCGTCAGCGCCGCGCTCGTCAGCCAGAGGATCCAGAGGACACCTGGAAAACTTGAGTTACGCGTCAGACAATACTAGTGTGTCCTTACCCAGCCAGGACAGCTCCACCACCACCATCGAAGTAAACGCACCCTTCCTGGTGATATCGACCGCAATCCTGGGATGACTGTCAGTTCGAAGGGGGTCACCAGGGAACAAGCGACGCACATGACTGGCAGGGTGAGGATGGTGAGGCATGCCGTCGCGATGGACATGGCCGCAAATGTAAAGTAGGCGTTGAAGAACGTCGTGGTCAGGTAAGTGATATGCGCACTCACTCCCAGCACGATGACGGAAAACACCAACGTCGCGACTAGGAAAAACATGAGCAACATGGAGAGAAATGGGCTGGTATAACATATAACATACTAAGCACGGTCAGGCGAAGAATGGAGACTGCACTCATGGTGAGGGGATGCAAGAGGCGATCCTTTGACATCCGCCTTTATAGCTGATGATCATGTAGTGACCCCTAGCCACTGCCTTCAATATTTCTAACTAACCACCGCCGGCACTAGATCGCCCGTCCCTCGTACCCAACTTGACGACCAACAATCTCAAAAAATGACACAATTTGACAGATAGGTCCAAGCTGGCACAAAATTCGTTGGTAAACATCGCATACCACGCTGTACCAATACAATATAACATCTCTTATAAACGAGCTAAACTATTTGACAAGATCTTTACCACTATCACGTTACCTCGGGGTTGACAGCCACCCTCCAGAACGCGCTCGTGCAAAAAAGCTCAAAGTCGGCGTCTCCCAAGGAGTATAATGCCCCGACGGACCTACATCGTCCCCGTCCCCATGAACATCCATCGAAGGCGCAAACGCCAACGTGCTAGCCGTCGTCGTTGCAGACCCAGTCCGCTCGGGAGCAATAATCGACCAATCATCATCAATATCCGTAAACGGGTTCAAAAACCTCGAGCTGTGCCTACTAGTGTCCAATGCTGGCTCATACACGTCTCGGAATGACGGCTCTGGAAGTCTGTGCCAGCGTTGGAGTCTCTTCCTCCGGTATGCAGCGAAGAGGAAGAGTGTCACGACTAATACACAGCCAAATATCGACCCGAGGATAATCGGGATGATATGAGTGTGAGATCCATGACCTGTATCCCTGTAACGAGAATGTCAACATGAGACGAGGACAAATAGATATGGGGAGAACCACTCACCCGGAGGACACTCCCCTTCCTTCGCCAGCCCCCGGTACCCCACCCACACCTGTGATCCCATCTGTCGCATGTACAACAAATGTACGCGTTATACTCCCACTCGTGACCACCGTCACTGGGAGGCTATCGACAACTGGGTCTGTTGTGGGTTGCAGGGCCAAGTTGTTGATACGCTGGCTGGAATGAAGATTAGCCGTGGGTTCAGAGATACCCAAGTACGTTGCGTACCTGGATACCTCACTTGCTGACGGAGAGAGTGTGGGTGCTGTTTCCGATGATAGGTTCTTTGACAGACTAACGCGATCTCCAGGAACAGTCGCAGAGTCCTGGTATAAATCTTTTGCAGCGGTGGCAGTGGTAGTTACGGGAGAGCTGGAGATTATATGAGGTGGCCATATTGTGGGAGTAGATGAAATGACAGCAGTGGTGGTAGAAACTGATACAGGCAAGATGGGATAAACGAGGGTCGTCGTGGTTGATACAGGTACGATGGTGGGAGTAGACGGATCCGATACAGGCAGGATGGAATAAGCGAGCGTCGAGGACCCGGACGGTATGGTGGTCGGTGTGGAATCTGATACAGGCAAGAAGGAATATGCGAGTGTTGGGGACTCCGACAGTATGATGGTGGAAGCGGAGTCTAATACAGGCGAGATCGAGTAAGCGAGTGTCGGCAACTCGGACAGTATGGTACTGGGAGTGTACTCTGATACAGATAGGATTGAATGAATGAACGTCGAAGATTGGGATCCTGGCAGAAGAATTGAGGCGGGCAACGTCGTAGAATCTGATACAGGCAGGACAGAATAAATTGACGTCGAAGACTGTGAAGGTGAGGAAGTAGGAGTCGAGAATGTTGTAGAATCTAACACGGGTAGGATGGAATAAGCGAAAGTAACTGATGGTGAACTGGGGGAAGTCATTGAGGGTAAACTTGAGGAAGCGGGAGTAGCGGTTGACGTAGGATCCGCTATTGTGATGATCGAATAAATGAGCGTGGTAGATGAATGTGCATCTGCAGACGTGGAACCTTCCGCGGTAGGCGTCGAATGGGAATCCTGCGAAGTCGAGGCCCCGGGAGTATCAGAGAGAGTAGCACTAGTGGATGGAACGGGGGTAGAAAAACTGTGTGGTTCGGGAGGAGTCGAAGTCTCCACGACGACGTGTTCACGATCCGTTGATGAAGGAATGGGGATTGAAGATAGAGTTATGGAAGGATCTGGCCTGCTGGTAGTATAGACACTTGCAGGCGGTGGTGTAAACACATTTTCATCCGACCTGGTATCCGTCTGAGACGCAGAAGTCGACGAGAAAGAATCCGAGGGCTGCCCAGTCGAGGTAGAAGAGACTGTGGAGGCAGCATCGGATATGCTATCCCTAGGAAACATGGTTGGAGGGAGAACGAATAACGAAGCGTTGGTCTCCCCTTGTTACTTTATCATAGAAAAAGTTCACCATGGACAGCCGTTATGGTTTAAATCCCATAAAAAGAATGGAAGAACAGAATCCATCAGTAGGGTGGCGTGCCGACTATTTACCCACTCCTCGGGAGATGTAGCCGGTACCTCCTTGAGTGTTTAGTGCTGGGAGAAGAGTTCTTTTGCTTGGCAGTTGCTAGTGCGGCAAGTATAGCTGCTATGTTTTTGCCTTGCTGCAAAGGCGTGTTGAGCCATCTATGGTTCTAGTTCAGAACGTTTTTCACTATCCTAAAGAAAAAGTAAAACATAGCACACCTTACGGGACCATAGGCATTCAACAAGTGGATATGACATCACCGCCCTTGGGTTACTTACTCCCTATCAGACAGATTCAAAAATGAATACATATTCGCCGCCGGAGTACGAACAGAACTCTATAAAAATGTGAGGTCTGCCACCCCGAAAAAAGAGTGGCAGCTGCCAATCCACTTGGGCATTCCTCGGGGGAGATCAGCAGTTATGACTGATGCGAGAGGCCTTAAAAGAGATTACTCTGCAATGTTGGGCCTTTCGTCGGGCCATTATGGACAATGAAGAAGAAGCAAGGGGCAATACGGGGTCAAAGTCGACCCTTATCTAGGTTGATTCTTCTCCATACGCTCAACACGAGCATGTGGATCTGTCGAAAATCAGTTGGGTACGTTGTCAAGGAATGGAGTGCTCACCAATGTACAACAACTAGTAACCAGGCTTACCTTGAAACAGTTCTTACTTAAAAAGGACCGAAAGCACAAAACAACATTATAGCATAAACCGAGATTAACAGTTGACCTAGAAGGAAAAATGATATAAATATGAACCGCATAACTCCAAATACTAGCTCGGCATCGTCTCCGAAATGATGAAATTGCGTTTATCCTCCGGGATATCTGGGCCCCAGAACGACGGAACGTGATACCAACTAGTAGAGGTCTGCGCTTCGTGGAAGTCGAGATACGGTCTCCCCGCCGCCAGCCGGTGCGTGACCAGGTGGCAGACCAAAATGAAGAGGATGAAGAGGATGATGATGACGGTGCGGGCTTTGAGCGATAGGCGTTTTAGTATGGAAGGCTTTGATTCTGGTGCTAGGAACGCGATGGAGAAGTCGTGCGTGGAGACGGGAGATGATGGCGTGACGATGATGGCAGGAAGAGGTGATTTTTCGGTTAGAGATGGGAGAGAAAGGTCTGTCGAGAACTGTCAACGTCTTGAAGTATCATTCTCAGTAAGATTCGTACCCAAGGGTGCCGGTATTAAAGTGTAGTCGAGCCTTTGATTGAGAGGTAATCTGTGGGCGCGAGGAGCTGAATCGCTGTGTAAGATACCAGGTTGCTGTGCAGCTGAGGAACTCACAAGACATGGCAATGAAGTTAAGAAGATATCGTGACGAAGACAGCAATTAAAGGTGAATAACGAATGTGGTTAAAATGAACGTAGTTAGTGCAAGGGACCAGCAAAACTTTGGGTCCGGCGAGAGGAATCAAAAGGAAGCTTTTTGACCTCCTCCCCAGGCACATGGACCACATTTACCACGCGTGTTCCTGGACACACCCAGAGTAGCGTAACCCCTCTAACATAACAACATAAATGTTTTTTCGACAATCTAGAACGGGTACTTCTTCGTTGGATCCTCCTTTACACCTCTATCGGCCTGTTCTTGTGCGCATTTGTCCAAATATTCCACCAAGATACTCCCATATAGCTCTTTGCCCTTGTACGTCTGTACGCTCTCCGGCCAGCTTCTCACGGCGCTTGCCATCCTTGCCGGGACGCCCGGCTCTTTCGCCAACTGTTCAATTGGTATCACGTACGTCCGAATCGTAAATAGTACGGCACCAGACAGAGACAATCTTCGCAGCGTCTGGCGCTCTGTTCGTAATCTCAGAGTCTCCGGGGAGACCACCGGATGCTCAGGAGGACGCGCGGGGTGCCCATGTGCGAATTCCCTCTCTGGGCCATTCGTCGTCGTGGACCAAGCTAATTCTTCTGGGTCTACCAGATCATTTTCGATGCCTCTATCCTGACCTTGAAGTCGGACCACTTGTACAAAGTAATTGTTGCGGATGACAGGCTTGTCAACAGGAAGCCGACGGAAGAATCGCTCGAAACTCGTATGCAGCTTCTCACGATCTGATTTGTATCAGTTCTTTTTTTCAACAGAATAGAGATCGTAAGTTCTTACACTGAGGAACATTTCCAGAAAGGTGAATCTCGTCAAGTGGCAAGCCTATCTTGTCCCGCATACGCCAGAACCCTACATCCAAACGGTCAGTAATGAATTGTGTGACAGCGAGAGGACAGGACCTGGAACACATATTGCTCCTGCTTGGAAATAATAACGTCCATCAGATCCTAGCTTTGACAGTCAGTAACAGCGAACCCGTGGACATTGAATTCTGGTGTGACCTTCGACCATCAGTGCGAGATCATCCTGCACCAACAACGCCGCAATTTTCATCGCTTCCTCGGCTTCACCTACCTCTACTTTGCGAATATATGGCGGGGCACCTTTATTGCTTGATAGTAAACAAGGTGGGAGTTCATAGGTTACATCCAATGGTAGGATGCTAATAGTCTTGATAGCGCCTTCTGTTCGAGTAACATGGAAAACAGCTGGATATCTCTTGTGCAAGTACTCTGATAATTCATGGACTAATTCAATGGCTTCGAGGGAACATCAGAAATCTTTGGACATACACTATTAGAAAAAAATACACTTGCCTGCGGAAGCTCCTGAACCAACGATAGGCCTAGCTGGTAGAACACGCACAACGTTGTTACCCTGCGTGCGAATGCGGCGGTCGCGAATCTGATGATACGTGGCGAATTGGTTGTCGAGCTACAAAAGTCGACATTCACCATTTTAGCCAAGGCCGCACAGATTCTTACCTCAATCCAATCCTCCCAGGGCATATTACGAATACCCATTGTGACACTGTTAAAGACCGTATTGGAAACTAACGACTGGACACGGAGTACGACTACTCACTTGTACTGTCCCCATCGAAATGGTCTGTACGGGATCGGTTTGATGTCCGATAGGCTCAGAGAACACGAGGGAAATGCAGGATACTGAAACTGCTGTGGCGTCCATGCTATAGAACAAAGTTACAGAGCGATGCCATCACCCAAGCTCGGAAGCCAACCTCCAAAAGCGCGTTCTTCTTTGGAATCCGCAGCTGGCTGCGGTAAGGGTCCAGTATTGCGTCTCAAAGACAAAATCGCGGCTATCCCAAGAATGAGGACCACAGAAAGCAGTAGAAGGGCAGAATGCTCGGCTGCGAGGTCATGGCTAAAGATATCGATGCCCATGGTAATTCGAGTTGACGCTCAGCCAGGGGAAGGGTTGATAAGTGGAAAGCCTATCTAGAGATATCATGGTAGGAGTCCCGTGGGGTTGCCGTAGGGAGAATTCGAAGCTTCGTGTGAGATAAGAACAAGCTTAGAGTGACGTCAAACATCAAACCGGGTGGCGGCCCGTGCGTATCCGCCCATTCAGTTCGCCGAGTCCAAGTTTGAATTTGAAGAATTGTGGGTAGTAAATTTAAGGCGTGAAAGTTACATTGATTCGATTGGGTATGGTCCCTGCTCTGTTGTACCGTCCGTCCAATTTGCTGTTTTCAGCCTCAACGGATTCCAGATATATCATGGAACATGTGAATAATCTTGATATGGCAGCCTTGACTCGGAACTTCAGCCAGCAAGCCTTCAAAATTCTTGGCATGGAATTCCAATGCTCTGTATCGTGTGCAATGACTAAGTTGGCTTCCGAGTAACATTCCAATATCTCAAGGTCCCCGTACATCTATCTATTCGTTGCTTGGGACAAGCCCGCTGCGTACTACCTGTTCACGGCGACCATTGGTTCTGGTAGAAACCCGTCTGCGAATTATCGGTGATCTGTAAATTGGTCGTACACGTTGTAATTGCTATGCTACGACTTTTCACTATTGACGATATTTCTATTGGCTGTAGTTTAAAAATTAAAACGGTCGACTTTTGCCGCGATGGAATAGGTTTGAATACTGTTCAATTATAGTGTTTTTTGACATGGACGTCGTTTCCGATCGTTGTAAGGGATAGTTCGTATACGTACTCTTAATTCTCCGGGCCAGATCCACTTCATAGGTCCGACTAAACTATGAAGTACTTACTCCCATTGCTGAATTATAGAAGGCTCGACTTTGATGTGACTTATGAAACGGTGATGAATCAATCATGGTTGCCGCATGTTTCAAGAAACCTCACGGAGCCTGAGTACATGGATAGCAATGATATTAACCCTGCATATCGTATCCTAATAGATAATATTACTTATCCTATCGTGAAGACTAAATATAGTTTCTAGTATATAGCGTATTAGCGCCAGTATAAAGCTGCTAAAAGAGTAGTTACTACGAAATTTCATAAGACACTCGCCACAATGACAACATGACATCCTGCCAATCGTTCCGGCTTTTGCAGTCGTTCCGGGTCCCGCCCATCGATAGCGCATGCAATATGTAGCCAACACGTTGCATCCTCATGCTTTTGGAGCCACAAGGGCCTCCAGTCTATCCACTTCGGCGGTCAACGCCTCCACTCGTGAGCGCATAAGAATCACATCTAATAACACGCTCGAGTCCGGTAGGCGTCCGGAAATATACGCGGCATTGGTCAGGGGTGAACCCAAAGCCGTCAGCGCATATCGAAACCCACAAAGGGTACACTTCGCGCCAATGCAGGTCCAGTCAGCCTCGAGGATACGCGATGCGGAGACGTTCGAGATGAAAAACGTCTCATCGGATTTTGGATGAAAGGGTGCGGCAAACGTCGCTGTCTTTAAGGTCTGTTCGGCTGAATGAACGTGTGAGATGGACAAAGAAACCCGGGCGGACGCCAATCGGTAGGATAAATCATGTAATGGCAACAATTTCAAGTCTGCGATGGAAAAGCGAGGATACGGCAGAGGCACGAAAGCGTTGTGAGGGTAATTCTGAATTTCGGGATCATACTTCGAAAGAAGGCCGCGAAACGATGCTAAATTGGAGCAGTGTACTCTGAGTTCCAGATCCGCCGAATGCGCGTACACGGCCTGTAAAACAAATCAGCGACTGTGTGGCAAACATCCAAAGGAGAATTTTTGAAAACATACCTTCCATAACCACGCAACAAGAATATCGCCAGTGCTGACTCTGGGAGATGATTTTCCTTCCCGAGACAGAGCTTTCCTGACGTCCGCAACGAGGAAATCCACTATATCCTTTTTCAATATCACCAGATTGTTCTGTACGTCGTGGAAAATCCTTTTCCGTAACTGACTGAACACGAGTTTCATCGTACCCACAGTCCTGAGATCTGTGTAGCCTCCAAACTCTACCGGTTGGCTCGCCTCAGTCCTTTTCTGGTCATCAAGAACCTTGAGCACAATATTGGTGTTCGTACCCGGTTTGGGGACGGGTGGGATAGCCCAAGACAAGCCTTTGATTTCCGAGATGAGCGCGTTTACGATGCTCATAGCCCCAGTCCCATCGAAGACACCGTGAGGGCGAGCGAAGCCTATGGCTGTCAGTGGCTTTGCATCTCCCTCTCGACATAGCCGGGTGATATGCCAGCAAGTCAGAGGACGAGTTCCCCAGTCAATGCTAGAATGGGGCGTGTCTGGATGAAGGAAGAGGCTAGAGGGAAGCGAATGAATCATAGATGGTAAAACAGTGGGAAAGGAAATGGGTTTTATAGTCGGACATGTTGTGAGAGAGTACGTTTGATAGCTGGGTGGTAAGTCCCCTAGAGGAATAACGATGCGCCATGATTTCTTGCTCTACGAGGGCGCATATCAGTGAATAGCAATCATCAAATGACATCTTCACATACGGATTGATTATAGCTCTCTAATCGCCCAGCTAATAAGCGCCATTTAGCTGTAAGTCTATCCAATGCCCCCGAAAGGATATCGACGTCAATGACGCCTTCGACTAGCCATCCAGTTATGAAGATAGATGTCGAGTAACCGTCATCGAACGGGGTCAACGGATAGAGAGCATCAAGCTGAGTAGTTTTTTCGTTGACAGACATAGCGGTAAGATATCTTGAAGACGTGAACTAGTCCCATTTTAAAGAGCCAGGAGCATTGGAGTACGTCATGTAGTTCATATGACGAAAAGAGGTAATTGAGAATGGTGAACCGGAAATTGCCAATGTACCTTAAAAGACATGGTAAACTCATTGCACCGTTGCTGCCCCTCAATACATTCAGGGCCGGGCTGGGCGCCGGTAGGCAATTTGTCGGTTGGAGATATGTTGGGCCCACTCGCGTACATGACTTAGGGATCGGTGGGAACAAATTCTATCAGAGGCAAGGAAATGCGAGATTAGATTTTGCCGATCAAGAGATTTTGTATCATCTCCCTTGCGGTTACTCTGACGGTATTGTACAGAGTCGGAATATCTAGAGTAGATGTAAGCGCGTCCGCAAAACCGAATGGTAACATAAGCGGAATCCAGCCTAATCAAAGAAAGTTAGATGGGCATTCATATAAATGGAGCAGTGCGCACGAACCACGAGCATATTCCAACGCAAAGCAGCCTTTATGCATCTTGTATTGTTTAGCTGTACCTCTGGGGAGATAGTGGACGCTGCCTGCCGGATAACGCTCCATTTCTAATTCACCGGCCCTAAACGCCCACTGCTCTCCAACAAGGATATTAAAGTAATCGTCGGCAGTATGTAAGCCAGTGTGACCTTCGGTACCGAGGGGAGTACCAAATATAATCAGATACTCGGTGATGCTGGCATGAATGATGTACATGGCACCCATAGCACCGCCCGCGTTGTTGAAGACCCATTCACTAGAGTCTGTATTGATACGAATTTCCTTAGACGGGTATGTGGCGGTCAGATTAGCGATTATGTGATCTATCATTCCGGCGGTATTGTTTGGAGATGCATCAATCGCACTTTTCGCAAGTTCATGAAGCTCTGTTGGGTCCAGAACATACCACCGATCCTGAAACAATTGTGGATAGAAATTCAGTATCGGAGCTCATGACGCACACCTTGATGGTATCCAGCCAGCTACAAGTAGAAACAAAGATACTGAGAAGCAAAATCCGCGTTGTCCACTTGAGCATGCTGCTATTTCGCTTTTTCGGATGGTTTTTCTCTGCCTCGTGTTTAACAGCCATGATCCTGCAATATTCCATCGTGGATACCGTGAGGAAATGGAGAAATAACGGTATACCTTGGTTGGTAGTTGGAAGGAAATGAAATGAATGTGAAGTGGAGACAGTGACCCCCTTTTCGGTAGAATTTTGGATCGAACCATATTGCGATTTCACGATCATGTGAGCGCTTTCAGATCGGCCTTCTCCGAATCGGTCCGAACGTTCCGTGTCAATAATTTTTTCCCAAACCGTCACAGTCAAACAGCAGGGCACTACGATCCTGGTTTGTTTCCTCTTCCAGTTCTCAGTATTTACTGATTCAAGATGCAGAAAGTAATCACCGTATGAAATGCGGTTCTTCTTTCCCCACTTGTCTTGGGTCAGGTCAAATACGAACAGTCTACAGTGGACCTAGTCAACTCAAGGTTCTGTCTGATCCCACTCCCCTACATTACTCCGACCTATCGACCCCTGAAGCTGCGCGAGGCCGTAATGTTACCATTCGCTCTCTTCTTGCAAAGGGTGACTATCTCGCCGCCGAGAAAGTCATCAGTCGCTTCACTCATGCTGCCAGCCGCTTGGAGCAACCACAGCAAAACAATATCCTTAATTCCGCACGGAGACCAATTTCCACTCTCATACATGCATATGTCAGAGCTGAAATGCCCCAACATGCCGCTCGGCATGTATGTGTAATACTGGACAGAAAGGGACCGCTGAAGACCAGGACACTGGTCGCTGTCATCAACAGTCTATTATCATCGGTTTCTGAAGAGGTTGGAGAGAAGGATCCGAAACGCCATTTTTTCGCCAGTTATGTGCTATCGCTGCAGTCCGAGCGAGTGACAGATCCATACTTACGCAATGCTATGGAGCTCTGGATCAAGGTCGAGAAGGCTCGACTTCCCGCAGCGAGGGAGACCTTTCAGGGACTCCTGACGGCTTTGATCGCACAGGAAGAATGCGTGTCTGCAGGCGCGGTGTTTTCCCGAGTGTCGCGGCGGCATTGGGAATACATGGCCATGAGAGACATGCATTATCATCCTCGAGACGTTACTATGACGAATCAGCGATTCCCTATCAACCCCGCCGAAGCGCCCGCGTATCCATATCCCCAGTTATTTGAGAATGTCGTATCTCTTTGCATGTCAGTTCTCCGACGCACCGAAGCGACTCGTGGGCAGCAACAAATTCGCCGTTCTGCAGGCCATGGCTTAATCTTCCTTGCCAGCCTCCTTCATCATCGCCAAATACCTTTTCCAGAAGTGGGATCCCTCATTTCCGCCCTCTTTTACTGTATGCTACTTCCAGATAGTCTATGGGTTCCAGAGAACCCGTTCGGAGGAGCCCTACATTCGTTTCAACGTCAAACGTTGAGGCTCGGACAATACTCTCATGGCGTCATCAAGAGCCTTGCAAGACGACTTCCTAATCGAAGTCCACCGACTGCTTATCGATCGCAACGCTACAGCATCCTTCCTGTCCTCTCATATAATTCATATCGCGATCTGCTTATGGGCTTGATCGAGTCTTTCCACGACCCAGTCCTCACGCTCGAGGTATGGGAGTCGGCAGTGGAACAGCATAAGGGATCGCAGGACTCAGAGGAGTTTGCAAAAAACTTCATGGATGGCTTTCCAGAAGAAGGAGTTTTTCGGGAGAGATTTGACAAGATCTTGCGTCGATGGCGGCGATCACTAGGGAGAAAAGTAGTGATTCCTATCTTCACGCAGGAGGGTGAAACGAGAATGAATGAGCTCATGGAAGTATTGGCCCAGGCAGTTGCTGGTGAAAAGACGAAGACAAAAAACGCGGAGATGCCTACGATACCTCCTCCCGAATCTTAGATTCTTTACATGCCCACACGCTGCTTGCAAGATCGGTATATGGAAGTTATGTCCGGATCGCATATGTTGTAATATATTGGGTCTGTCAATCTCTGGAGCTATGCTTGAATTGTGTATCTCTGCACTGCATCACTAATGGTTATATTACTGTTTGCTGGATTACATGGTCATCGGGACGCTGCCTGCCGCATACGTATGTCGTTTGAGGTGAAAGACGCTAGGAACACACGATTCGTGATTACCTAGAATCCTCCACCATGTACATTGTACATTCAAGGGACGAGAAAGTGCTGCATCATTCGATTCTCGAGCGAGGGTGCTCGACTTTCTCCCTGACTTCTCTTAGGTCGGTCCGATTCCCGAAGGAATTTTGCTCCATGTGAACCTGTTCCTGCGCGTAGGCCCTTGACAACATCGACATTTGTTGCAGGGTGAAGGAGACAGGGCAGGTCTCAAATCGGTATTGTGCCAATGAAGGGAGAAGTCTAGAAAGGATCTAATGTATACAGTCGGATATTGATACAGAAAGGTTTATATTATAAACACGACTACGATGCATTAAAGTCCGGACATGAATCTCGCAAGGGCCGCGAGTCACTACCATTTGTCCTGTAAGATGGATGTCCTTCAAACCAGGCAAAAAGGTTTTTGAAGGTTTTTGAGATCCATCTGAGATTTACATTTCCGATCAAGCCTGTCGACGCTATTCCATTGAAGTCGGTCTTCGAGGAAGTCGCCACAGGGAGCTGTACCCGACCTCCAACTGTCTCACAGGCACCCCGTCGACGATGCATCGTCGTTACCGAGAAATAAAGGAACGATGCATGTGAGGCTCGCAAAAGCAGATTACGTTTAGTTCAATTATCCAAAGGCTAGAATGGACGCGTACTTTTATGGAACATACTTACTCGCCGAACTCGATAATAGGACCTGATCACGATCAAATCGTTACGGTAGCTCGCTAAATTCGCATCATACTGATTGTAAATTCGTAGGGTCGATGGTACGCATTCCCGCCGACTCCAAGCACCTGCGACTACAGCTCCAAAACTTGGCAAACATGAGGCTGAGGTGGAGTCTTGACGAAAGCAATGTCCCTGACACCCAATACATGGTTGGAAACGTTTCAATTCAGTTAAAGCTCCTCTCTATCCATGCTAGACTCCGTAACTGGTAGGCAAAGTGCCGGCGAGGTTCCTGTAAACTGATATTGGCATTTCTCCAGCTCGGCGACCGTCAACAAGGTATTCTCCGTTCCACAGGCCATCACCAGCTAAATTAAATCGGCAATCATTACGACGTATTCTGGCTCAAGGTAAGGAAACTCACTATCACACTCCTTTCTGGCCCGTTCCAGCATTTAGTACCTTTCTCATAATTTTGTTTTTGGTAATATGCGGGTTGTCCTGGTTCTGCATCCCGATTCCATGCCACGAATTTCCTAAAACGAGTTAGTGACCTATATCCAAAAGCTGCATATTACTCACCCCAAATTGAATGTAGAACCACCCTTGTTGGGCTTTTGCTTAGCGGTGCCGAATAAACACACCTCATACGTGTAGCTGTTGGGAGACATGAGTACACCCGCAGCATTTTGCACGGTAACCAGGTCACTGACTCTCCGGTATCTTTCTCTAAGCACGTTCCATCTAGCTTCTTCCATTCACCTTCAGTCCCAAAGCCAGCAGGATCAAAGAGCTCTGAAAAGTCTTTCTCGGCGTTTTCCTTATCTTTGCGGATCTTCTTCAGAGTGTTCTCTGCGTCGGTGAAGACTTGACGTGCGTGAGTAGATTCTAAGCTCAGTCAGTCGAACTGTTAAGCGAAACGGACCGGGGAAACGGACCTGCTGAGCTACCGATCTCAGGACGGATAATGCCGAAAGACTCGAGCCACGAAAGGATCGCATCTTTCAGGTCTTCATATTGAGGTACCAAAGAATCAGGGAGATAGTTGGCGATGTCGAAAAGCTCCGCTGACGACGGTATTAGGTATTCATATCGACTCTATAAAGCTAAAACACTCACACAGAGATCCCGGAGGCGGCGATCTGACATATTCATCGTGCTCCAGCAATAATTCAACGTGTTTCGTTTTCAAAAGCTTGTCGAGATCATTGTCGAGCTCCTCAACACTCCATTCGCCATCTTCAAGTATTTCTTCTGGCGGGGACTCATCCCCCTCCGCTTCATTGTTAGGTTCGTCCGTTTCTGATGAATCCTTTCCAACATCATTGATGTGCGGCAGCCCAGCGAGATACTCCCACCCGCGAACTGCATCGAGGACAGCCATGTCTTGATAATTGGGGTTATAATTCGTACGGAGTGTGTCTAAGATTTCGCTTAGGGTTTCCTCGCGTTCCAGATGTTTCTTGTATTCGCGCTGTAAAGATTTGAGAGCATTCGAATGGGTAATCAAGGAAGTGTAAAGAGCTTAAAATAACGTAGATTTTCATATTGAGCAGCGAACGCAGAACGACTGCTTACGAGATTGTTTCTTGAATTCGAGATCAGCGGCGGACAGCGACTCTGCATGTTCGGCGATTTCTGGCATTGTCATGGATGCAGGTCAGAATTACAGCAGAAAAGGACATAAAAAAACGTACCTTGCAACCTGGCTACCTCTTTCTCTTTGGCAGCAATTTCCTGCTCCGAAGTCTGAATGAGGTTCTCTAACCGTTTCTTCTCCTTGTGGGCAAAGGCGACGTATGATGACCGAATTTTGGCGCCCTGAACAATTGTCATGTCAGTGGTACAAAAGAATGATACGCAAAGATTACAGTCTTTTGTATCTTGAGTTCTTCAGCGCGTTTCTTTCGATGCTCGGCGCCAACTGTAGCACAAGTATTACTGCACACTCCCGGAAGTTCGTCAGATCCATCGCAGCATTCGGCCTCTATCAGTGGTTACAGGTCAGCTCGCTTTACTTCTAAGAGGCGACTCACCGCAGAGACCATCCCTAACACGCGAACTCGGAATGCTTGCACCGATGTGACCTTCATTCCGGCAATAGAACATTGTGTTTGCACAGGCCCCAGTACCTGAGCGAGGAATTAATTACACGTAGCCTGATGCATTTGACGCGTCGAACCTGGCTCATCGCTGCCGTCAGGACAGTCGCAGGAATCATCATTCACCCATTCCCAGGGTATCTGTTTTGAGCCATTCAAACACTCCCACGAGCCCGAATCCAGAGGGACGTAACGAGATAGCAAATATGGAGGGACTCCAAAAGATTTGTTTATGCCAGCAAGAACAGGTAGTGGCAGGGGAAGGAAGAGCAGCCAAGGAATCATTACAGGGAGGGAATAAGTACATTCGAAACCGTTAACGTGTCGGCCGTTACCTCATGAGATTACATCAGCAAACAAGGCCACACAGGGGACCCTCACGCAGCACAGCACACAGAGACGACCACTCATCGACGGTCGCAAAAATCAATGGTGAGTGCTATTTTCCTTCGAGGCTCTCAGAATCCATGCAGCGGATCTGTTCAACCCGTGTTATGGTCCCATTCGCAAGGGATCTGTATTATTGGGGCTGGATGCAACGGTTGCACTTTGGATAACGTTGGCTGACTTGACTTTCTTTATTTTCCTAGGCCAAGGCAAAAGCACCCCCTCCGTCGAGTGGCGGCAAAGCAGCGAAGAAAAAGAAGTGGTCTAAAGGAAAGGTCAAGGACAAGGCCCAGCACGCTGTCGCTCTTGACAAGGCCACATACGACCGCATCATCAAGGAAGTGCCGACCTTCCGATTCATCAGCCAGAGTATCCTCATCGAGCGGCTGAAGATCAATGGTAGTCTCGCCCGAGTTGCTATCAGACATCTAGAGAAGGATGGTCAGATCAAGCGGATTGTGCACCACTCGTCACAGCTGGTCTACAGTGAGCCTTTTCTTTCCTGATTTTGTTCCTGTTGCCAATTTTCATTTTACAGCACGATCAACGACAGCATCGGATTAGATTCGTTATTTGTTTTCGTATCATTCCCATGCCTCTATGTATTACACGCACAATCAAAATCCATGCTGCCTGACCTCCGTCGTCTGAGAGAGATTTACGTTTACATCTTAGAAACATTTATATTTACACTGAGGTTGGTCGCGGACCAGACGGAATCGCTGATCATATTAGCCTAGGTGTAAGGAGTACGTTGCGAGTTCGTTACTGCACTTGTGGTTAATAAAATGCAGGATCTTTGAAAAAAAAGTCCCGGAACAGTTTTTTCATCCGTTGGCAGAATGTCCGGGCCGAAATGACAGAACCGGGGATATACTCCACAAATTGTTCCCCCCATTCTTAGCAGCCGCGTCAGGTCATCTCTGCCAGCTACTATCATGTCCTTAGCAAACTACTACATTGGTGTCGATGTAGGTACTGGATCTGCTCGCGCATCGCTCGTCAAGGACGACGGCACTACCGTCGCGTCGTTTACCAAAGAAACCATCACTTACCGCGACCCCGAGAACCATCGCATTTTCGAACAGTCCACCAACAATATCTGGGACGCGATATCCACATGCATCAGAACTTGCTTAAACGATTCTGGTGTCTCGCCATCCTCTGTGAAGGGTATTGGATTTGACGCTACCTGCTCGCTCGCCGTCTCCGATTTCCAGGGGGAACCAGTCATTATCACGGGAGGCGACCAACTGGGTCAGAATGGAGACCGCAATGTCATCTTGTGGGCTGACCATCGCGCTGAGAAGGAAGCGGATCTAATTAACAGTACCGGCTCTGTCGTTCTCGATTATGTCGGTGGAACCATGAGTGTGCGTGCGTTTCATATAATTTCAAAATAGACTAACGCAAACTAATTATGATTCCAGTTGGAAATGGAGATTCCAAAAGTCCTCTGGTTGAAGAACCATATGGACGCAGCCCTTTTTTCTCGCTGTCAATTCTTTGACCTTCCCGACTTCCTTACATACCGTGCAACCACCGACAGCACACGATCATGCTGCTCAGTTACCTGCAAATGCTCTTTTGTCCCGAACAAAGGCTGGCAGGCAGATTTCTTTAAGAAAATTGGACTACAAGAACTAGTCGAGTGCGATTATAATCAAATCGGTGCCGCAAACATGAAAGTTCTTACTGCTGGTTTGCCAGTTGGCCAAGGCTTGTCAAAGCGCGCCGCCGAGGAGTTCGGACTTGTAGAAGGAACACCGGTTGGGAGCGGGGTCATTGACGCGTATGCTGGTTGGATGGGAACGGTGGCTGCAAGGACTACGGGTAACGATGGGCAACTGTCTACCGATCTGCCGTCGGTAGACGAATCTAGTCATCGCTTGGCTGCTGTTGCAGGAACAAGTACATGTCATCTTGTTCAGGTATGGAATGTTGTTCGCGTTTCACTTTAACAATCGGTTGACAATCTCCTTAGAGCCGCGAAGGCGTGTTTGTTAATGGCGTATGGGGTCCTTACAAGGTCAGCAATCTGCTGGGGGTCATATGTAACCTCCTGAACTCTTCTAGGACCCCCTATTCCGTGGTTGGTGGATGAATGAGGGCGGTCAGTCATCTACAGGACAGGTAGGCCATTCGACTTCTTAGAAATCCCCGTTCATCTTACATGCGGAACGTAGCTTATTGATTTTATGTTGATCACCCATCCCGCCTACAACAAGCTTGTGGAGCTTGGAAAGGAACAGAAAAAGAACATTCATGTCGGTAGGGCCGGCTTCCTAGCTATTCATCACTTTCATTCATCCTTTCCACAGTTCTTCAGGAGATGCTCGCCAGGCTCAAGACTGAGAGCAAAGTGGATAGTCTAACAGAGTTGACAAAAGACATCCATCTATACCCGGATCTTCATGGTACGTACCGTACCGTTTTCCTCTCGTCATCAAATGTCGATTTCTTCCTGATTCCCTTCTTTCCCATCAACAGGAAATAGGTCACCTATTGCTGATCCCCGCATGAAAGGATCGATTATGGGTATCGCACTGGTATGATCTTCACGTTCACACGCAACGATATCAATCAATACATTTTCTCTCTAGGATGATACCCTACACGACCTGGCGCGAAAGTACAATGTGACTTTGGAAGCCATTGCACTCCAAACACGACACATTGTCGACGAGATGAACGCTAAGGGACACAGGATCACGTCGATCTATATGAGTGGCGGCCAGGCGAAGAACATCCCGATGATGCAGCTCTTTGCTAATACCTGCGGAATGCCGATAATACTGCCTTTCGATCATGCGGGGGCGGTCGTGTTGGGCGCTGCGATGCTAGGGAGGTTCGCCGCGGAGGCGAATGGCAAGGGTGAGATGAGTAACCAAGAGCAGGGAGATGTGCTATGGAAGATTATGGTATTTAAGGTTCTTTTGTTTTATTGAGGTTGATGAGCTGACCGGTCTGCTAGGTGGAGATGACACTTCCGGGAACGATGGTTTCTCCGTTGGCATCACCCAAGGAAAAGCAGTTGCTTGAGGCCAAGTATAAGATTTTCAGAGAAACGATTTTGATTCAGAAACGTTGGAGGCAGGAAATGGAAGACGCGTGCAAGTGAAGGATGGGAATCTTCCAGTAGATATATATCCAAGATGTAATTTTAGATACCTTACCATCTAAAGAATTAAACATCCCAGCGCTGATAGTTGACCATGAACATCATTTATTGATCATCCAGCATTCATTTCTTATACAGACTTCATAGATCGGACATGATATGGCATACGTGATAGTGCACACAAATTTTGCGCATGGTGGGAGATATGCGAAGACAACAATGTAATAATAGTGTATCGACTTAAACATCCTTGACCTTGACTGTACCACGCAGGAGACCAGTCTATTGAAGATGCCATCAGGAACAAGAAGGGAAGTATACAAAGACTGAAAAGAGCGTACCCGACGAGCAGCAATAAGACCGACTTTCTGTCCAGGAACAGCGGAACGGGCGATCGTCGAGGCTTTTCCGATGTGCTGGTGATTACCACCACCATGAGGATGGTCCACAGGATTCATAGCAACACCACGAGTACGGGGCCAGCTAAAGAAGGTACAAAAAATGAGTAAATTATCTTCCAAAAAATGATGAGAGCGCACTTGTAACGCTTGGCCTTGTATTTGTGGTATGCCCGGCCGGCCTTGAGGAGAGGCTTGTCAATACGTCCACCACCAGCGACAATACCGACGGTGGCACGAGCACCCCCAGAGATCGTCTTCTTCGCACCACTCGGCAACCTTATACGGGTCTTGTTCTCATCAGGCTGGTGTCCAATGACGGTTGCGTAATTGCCGGATGTACGTGCGAGGGCACCACGGTCACCAACCTTCTCCTCGATGTTACAGACAATGGTACCTTCAGGACATTGTCCGATAGGGAGAATGTTTCCGACAGCCAGAGTGGCCTTTTTGCCGCAGTAGACGAAAGCACCAGTGTGGAGGCCTTCAGTGGCGATGAAGGTCTCTTTTTGGAGTTTGTAGCGGTAAGGGTCGCGGAAAACGACTCGGGCGAGGGGGGCACCGCTGTAAGAGAATGGGAATGTCAGCCTAGGAAAAATTTTAAAAGTAGGTTAACGCACCGGCCAGAGTCGTGGATGATCTCCTTTACGATTCCACGAACGTACCCATTACGTTCCGCAAAGTCGAGCGCACGAAGGCGGGCGGGAGCCTTGTTAAGACGAGTGTGCGCTTTGAACTGGCGACATAAATGTAAACGACACTCCGATAGAGTACAAATCGACGTACGATGGCGTGCGAGCGCCTCTGTGCCCTAATGACCCGACCCATGGTTTATTCTGCAAGAAAGAGATATGTAAGCGTCTGAAGAAGGGTATCGCAGAAGACGAAAAAATTCGATGTCGCGGGTCCGGTCCATCCAGTTTGAAGTGTTGCCATCCATCTCAAAATGGACGGTTTTCTGTGCTGATTTGGCACAGAAAGTACATATCGACATCGAGAAGGCTATTCGGAGAGGATTCAACATCTGGGGATCGTACTCACATTGTTCTTGAGGGGATTGGCGTTGAGCTCACACTTGGCCTATTGAAGGGACAAACACACAGACAAACAGAGCACTGCTTTACATAAGCAGCGCTCACAACTCGAAGTTCAAACGTTCAATCATGAGTGCGAATTTTGTCTTGTCGATATATCACATGCTCAACCAATGCCTATCTTCGCGTCGCTTTATTGGAGTTGACCTTAAAGTCGAGTGTTGAATTTTCAACATTCAACGTATGGTCTAATATAACTATAATCACAGCCGCTGAATAATATCTGGGCTCTTCTGATATATGAATTTATTGACCGGAATAAATTCCATGCAGATCTGCATTAACATTTTGCTAGCCCTGTGATTAAGCTCTACCAGTTTGAAAGTGATCTTCCCTAACGTGAATCAGAATGCGCAAGGAGTACACAACTCATGATCAGATGTAATCTCTCAATTCCACCAGCAACGATCACGTGCATGTAGTCTCCTTTCACATTTTCACCCATCTTCTTTTCACGAAGAAAAGGATACGGCTTCGAGATGTCCTACTATCTCACAGAAAAGACGAAGAACGACAAAGGATCTATCCATGCGATTTCCGAAATAAAAAAGTATTCGTGTCTTTCAATGAACTCCCGTTTGGGGGCGACTCGACGTCAAGGTATTATTTTCATCAAGGAGGGTCTCCCCGCCGCTGCCAGGATTGGTGTTACTCTGGGCAGATCGAATCTGTTAGGGCTCGCAGTCCATTCCTAATGCTAGTCGTCGAAGTCTTGTATACCGGCCAGTCAGAGCTACCCGTCATTCTGATTTTCCTCGAAGACCAGATTGACGTCGAGTCTCTTCAGCCAGGTCATACCATCGCTGTGCTGTATCCAGAGCGATCCTTCTGTCTAGGAGAGCACGTCATCATGCGTGTCCGTGAACCGGCAAAACTCAAGGTAACCACTGAGGCTGTGAGTCGCAAAGTCTAAGACGTATGCTATGTTACAGGTCTTACCATACGATCTCGATACACTGTTACAGAATCAGCGAAATCATGGAAGAACAGGCCTCGCTTGACGATTACGTGCGTTGTGCAAACTGCGGGAAGAAAGGGAGCAGGGACATGCCTCCTCTGCTGAGATACACGGGATGCCTTAGGATATCGTACTATAGAGAGGTCAGTTATCATCCACAAAGATAGATGATTTAGCTTACCGTTTCAAAGTTTTGCCAAAAGGAAAACTGGAAAACCCTGTGCAAAGACGGATGCGAGATTTTCAAAGATCTTGACTGGTTTAAAACACTCGATTGGGGATCTTACGTTGAGAAAACGACGTCTGATAGGGCCCATCCTGCACAGATCGTCTCTACGGATAAGGCGGGACAAAACGAAAACTATTTCTTCAACCCAGCCTGGTGCGACGCGGAACCGGTCTATGTTCGACCTCTAAAATCCAGCTTTTCCATAGTCTCAGGTATGTTGAACTGTTAATCGCAGAACGAACATCTCTAATCTGCTCTCTCCAAGTGAAATGCTCTGGGACGAACTTCCATGTATCGTAAGCGGAATGAAAAACGTGAAGCGCGACAACCCGGACGAGCTGCGCGCAAGCCAACGGGGTCGGCAACGATCGTCGGAGGGATGGATGTACCGAGTTGCAGCTCGACCTGGTGTCTGGAAGGTTGTATCATTAGCACCGTGACAAGTTCTCCATGCTCACCTTACCCCAAAAGATTGCGAAAGTTCATGTCCGTGGTAAACCCCGCTCACAAAGTGGCTGGATCGCCTACCATGAAAGCCAAGACCCGCTCACCCTAGTTGAGCACTCTCGGTACGTAGGCTACAGCTCCAAGTCTTCCTCGGTTTCTTTTGTCATCCGTTACGACTGGGGCTACCATATGCCAGACATTGGAAACATCCCACGCCCATGGGCAGATATTGACCCCGAGTCGGGCTGGAAGACATAGGCGCAAATCATCTCGACACAGCACGCACCAAAAGGCGAGAATATTACCAATCGAATAAGATTTTCCTTCTTGACGCAGATAAGGCATCGGGACTTGCAAAGTTTCTCGCGAGGTCAGTTACGAGTCAGCACTTGGGTTTTTGCTCAACCATCCACAGACCGAGTATCATGGACGACGCTGGTTAGGACAGACTTCCCGACGGTACTTGGAAGCATCCCTTGTCGTATTCCCTATTCCCGGGCGAATGGTGCAGGGGTTCCGAGTCCTGCTTTGGATACATACCGCTGACAGGTGCAGACTGGGACTATGGAAGGTTGATCATTTCAGATGACCTTTCTGCCAGATTCCAGGGAGATAGGGAGGATGATTGCATTCTGGTACGATGTTGATATGTATGGCGAGGGCGATGAGGATGAGCCTGCCTGTGAGCCATTGTAGGTTCTGTAATTGAATGAGTGTACGGAATGCTCCAAAATTCTCTACCGAGTATGCCTTTTCGATTCGCCAAGTTCGGATATCTCGGCAGAACATCGAGATTAGGTTTCTATGTGCTGCTAGGACATTGAATGTGGTATGATGCAGATACGTTTGTAAGATGAGGCACCATCTGTATCGACGGCATCCTTCTCGGGTACATTCGGACCCGCACTTTCAACCAACAAGGTACCGTGCTGCATCAAGATTTGGAATAAAGAGGCATTTCTGCTTGTCCCTGGCACATATATCATTATGTAGAAGAGATCTCCACGCCTCGCTGTCAGACTTGCACACTCGCGCTCCTGGCCTAGACTGTCTGCGGGATTCACTGAAACAATTGCACGTCAATCCATTCTACGACTCATATTGAAAAACGCGTCTGGACGTCAAACCGAACAACCTCAGGGAAGAACAAACACAAGGCGTCCTACTCGTCGCCACCGCCGCCGCTGAAAGAACGCACACTGAAAGAATACGCGGAGAGGTAATAAAGGGGGACAACAGGACGTGTTAACCTGTCTCGAACGAAATTGAATTAATCAATGATAGTGCATGTAGATTGTCAGGTGTTATAGCATTGGAACATACATAATAAGGAGGTGGCCGGCACGCGAAAATCTTGGGCAGGCTCTCAAACCCACGTTGTATCCATTGTCTATCAATAGTCCTACAAAAGCTTGACGTACGAGGCAGGGAACAACCCCGTCCTTCCATCTACTTCCCCCATCCACCTATCAGAAAACGAATCAAATCAGCGGCACATGCAGATTCGTGATCCATGCTCACCAGTCCGCAGAGCTCTTCTCGGTAACCAGGATCCGCTGGCTGGCACGTATCTTCAAGTCTCCCGTTTCCTGTGCGTGCAGGGATTAGCAATGAGCCAATATGCCGAGCGGGGTAGCCTACCGCAGAATCATAGTCATACAATGCCTCTGCCCATTCGCCTGATGGTGTCTCTGGTTCTGGTTCCGGTTCCGGCTCTGGCTCTGGCGGTGGTGCATGTCGCACAGGTGGCGGTGCAAAGGCGTTCTTCTTGGGTGCAAAGGCGGGCGGGGGAGGGGAAGCATAGGTCTTGGGAGGCGGCGCGAGCGATTTGGACTTGAGCGACGAGGAAAGCATGGATACCTTGGACGTGGTATCGACATTTCCAAACGTCTAACACGGATTCCAGTTGGAGATGGATGGATAACGAAGCGCAGCTTGACGCACCTTGCTCGACACGAGGCCTGCAAGCGCCCGGTCTGGCGGAGGACTTGCAGGCGACCGGTGCGGCGGAGCAGGCAGATTCGACCCAAAGGCATGTGCTGCAGCTGCTACTCGTCCTATCGAGGTGCTTGTACTGTCCTCCGATGCACCGTTGCCAGACAACGCAGAGGCAAGCTGCGGTCGAGACTGAAAGTACCTAGACGCCACTGGTCAGCATTCTCCTTATCCTCAGCGACCCGTCCTGGAATCGTACTCATCCAGCAGTGAAAAGAACGCATCCTTCTCGTGGTGAGGGAGATTCGAAAACACCATGTCGATTCTGGCAAGTATTTGACAAGAGCGATTACCATCAATCGTCGATCAACCCGTCGAACCCGGCTTTATCACAGTATGTTCTCTACACGCATTTACATTTATACGTACAGATCCGGACTACGCACAGCAGTAAACGATGACAAGTTTGAAAAAAAGGGAACAAGGATACCGTAGGTAAGAATAGAACACTCAAAAAGAGTGGGGATCATCTGAACAGGATAATAAAACGACAGACGTGATAAAAAACAGATAAAATCATGAACGAAGGGGGTAAAAAGCATAGCGTTACTGCGCCCAGTTGAACAAGTCGAGGTCAGTCGGGAGGGGAGGCTCCACAGTCGGTGTGTTATTTTGAGAATGCATCTGCTGAGGTATTGGTGTCGCTGACATATGTCGAGGGGTATGGGCCAGATCAGAATGGGATCCTGGTGATGGCGCAAAGGGGTATGACCCACCACCTCCCTGCTGCCAATTACCACCACCACCAGGTGGAGACGGCACACCAAATCCAGCGCTCGGTGGTCGCGACATCCCAAAGCCCTGGTTATGCCCTCCCATCTGCTGCTGCCAATGTGTCGGCTGTTGCTGCTGCATCTGCTGAGGGTTGAATCCCTGCTGCATCCCTCGCTGTTGATTCTGCTGCTGTTGCTGTTGCTGCTGCATCATCATCCTCTGGAAGTCTTCCTGTCCCACCGACACACCCCTCTGCGTTATCCGTGGCGTCATAGGTGAAGGGGCGCCATCCGAAGGGGACCTTGTACTCCGTGCGATCCCCGGTATCGTGGAATTTGAACGCAGCGCGGGAAAATTGTCATTGCCGCCACCGGGAAGAGTCAACGGAGAGCCTACATGTGGTGAATTGTTAATCTGCTGCTGCTGTGCCTGTAGCCTTTGTTGGCCCATCCGCTCTTGCTCCATCCGAAATCGCTCCTGTAACATGGCTTGCTGCTGCTGCATGTTAAGGCGTTGTTGCTGTTGCTGTTGTTGCTGCTGCTGCTGCTGTTGCTGCTGTTGCTGTTGCTGTTGCTGTTGCTGCTGCTGCTGCTGCTGCTGCATGAGCATGAACTGCCGCTGATGTAGATTCATATTATTCATATTCATCCCCCCCGGAATCTGCGGTGAATTCATCATTCCGGGGCCCATTCCCATAGGATTCACCATTTGAGATGCCTGTGCCTGAGGTGAAACTGGACTGGCCTGTCCCGGAAACGGTCCACCCGGCATCGGACCATTAGCTTGCATTGGATTTGGCATTCCAGTCATCTGCTGCTGCATCTGTCCAGCACTTCGCTGGTTCTGATGCTCCTGTTGCTTGGCTTGCATAGCATTCTACAGTAAATGAAACAGTGAGTTTGCACGACGAAATGGGGAGGATTACTGACCTGTGCTATGATCATCCGCTGCAACTGTTGCTGCATGGACATTTGCGTGAAGTTGGAGACATTGCGGATCATGTATTGCGTGAATGGGTGCTGAGGATTTTGGAGCATATTATAGGCTTGTTGGAATTGGGGCGGCATCGAGGCCAAGGGGTTGTTGCCGTTCGCGGAAAGATTCGAAGGTCCCGCGACGGCGTTTGGCATCATCTGCTGTGGTTGTTGCATAGGATTAGGTGGGACAGGCGTAGAGGAAGGCGGCGACATTTGTCGGGCTGCTTGCTGCTGCTGCTGTTGCTGCTGCTGCTGTTGTTGTTGTTGTTGCTGCTGTTGTTGCTGCAACTGAGCTGCCCGTATTTGCGCCTGTCGAACACGTTCCCGGTTCGCGGCAGCTACCTCGGAGGCATTAATATTTGCCAGACCAGGGGTCGTCGCAAGCGAAGGATCAGATAAGGGAAGGGAAGGGGTGGCTTGGAGTTGGGTACCGTTCGTCATAGGGAAGGGGTTCTGATTGACACTTGGCGGCCCTGATGGAGGTCGCATCATGCCCTTGCTCTCACCAGTATCCCTACGTTTGTTCATCATGTCCCCGAGTGCATCCTCTGATCGGTCTCGTTTTAAATTATTCGGAACTGATACCGCGTTCTGTTGCGCAAGCATCTGCTGTCTCCTTGCGATGTCTTTGGAAAATAAGGTGGGCAACTCTGCGTATATTTGTTGAATACGGGTAATGGGAACGAGATCATTTGCTGAAGGGGGATCCATTGTGGGTAATTGCATGCTATTTTGATTCTGTAAAAGGCCGTGAGAACGCATACACCTGGCTAAGAATGATGATGGCATACCCCTTGGCGGCTCTGATCTGCAGCTGCTGCCAACCACGTAAGGTTTGACTGAAGACGTGTGGAGTATCTGGGGTACATGAGATGCGACCTTATAAAGCAAAGGATGCAACGCACTGATGGTATCTGGCGTCGGTTATTGTAATACCTCGTCCTTGGAATTCCATGCAAACTCTACAAATTTCGGTGAGTATATGCGGATATAATAAGCAGAGAACTGACTTTAGGAGCTCAGTGTTGAGTTCCAGTATCGAGATGACCTTTATATCGCCAGAAAGAGAAGTGGAAAGAGAAGCAGAACCGGAGGGCGTCGGTATTGAATCAAAGGAGGGTGTGCTGCGACTGGTGGGTGAGGAGGCCAGGCCGTTCAGCTGCAAAGCTGCATCGGACGCTTGAGGCTCAGTGAGATCATTCTGGTTGGCAGCAGAAGAAGACCCTGCACCGTCCCCCTCCTCCTTCACTGCCGGTGCCGGTCCATCGGATGCCTCAAAGTCATCGGGCGGCGGCGAGAGCTCGCTCAATGGCGTTGACTGGCGCGAGGACTTGTCTTCTACGGTGACTTTGTCTTCCGGTGGCGACGATGCTGGTATCTTGGGCTCTGAGGGGAGGGAAGAGCTGTTGTCGTCCAGAGCCTCTGTGGAGGGCACGGTCGGTGGCGGCGGTGGTGGAGGTGGTGGAGGTGGTGGAGGTTGGTGGTCAAGAGTGGTGGCGTCGGGAATAAAGTCGTGAATGGGGGGATGGTCATCCGACCAGGCAAGTATTTTGTGGTCAGTAGGGAGGATAAGATTCTTTTGGTGGGGGGAAAGGGGAGACGGGTGGTGATTATGATCGAGATGTATCATTGGCTAGAATGGTTGGAAGGGATATACGCTCACGACTGTATCCAAATTGAAACCGGTACCAGAGGTCTGCTTCGCGGCTCGATTCTCGAGAAAAGATGGCGTTGCCAGCTCCTTGCCGGCGTTGCGCAGTGCTCCTATGTTGGCGCTGTCGTGCTCGTCGTGCTGCCCGTCGTAAAGGATTCCCGTCAGCTAATCCGCAGTCTTTCCTGAAATCTCCAAGCCAAGGGATCCCCCCGCGAGCCAGATATTCGAATCGTCCGTTGGTGGGTAAACAACACAAGGCCGTGTGATATTAAGACTCCGCTTCAGGCACAATGGCGGAGACTCCCGTAGGGGCTGTTCTCGTCGCCCACTACGATGCCAAGGGGCTCTCGCCATCGTCGCCAGCGGCGGACTCTACGTCGGTGCTCGTGGTCATGTCGACCGTTTAACTGCTTTTGCCGGAATCGAAGTTAGGATCGGATTTCCTTTCTTCTCGGCCATTTTCAGATCGTGTCAAGTCATCGTCTTCCGATTGCTTCAAATCAGTTATGTATCATAATTATCGTCCCATCATCCTCAGGGCAACAGCCCAATCCTCTGGAACGTCCATCAATTACCATCCATATATAAATCATTTCTCACTCATTCGTTCCCATCTACCCCCCTTTGTGTCGTGCTCATGTGTCAGTATTCCCTCCCATTCAGTCGACAATGCAATTTTGCTTTCCGTCCCTCGTCCCTGCCTTTTTTTTTCGTCTCGTCGGCCCCGAATTCAGTCATCCACGGAGACAATAGAATGATCGAGCGGTACTATTCAGAAAACATACCACCTTTTGCGGGTTGGCACCCCTCGCTATACATTCCAGGCTTCCTCTCTCCGTCTAACCGGTTTTTTAGGCCCAGCACAGACAAGGGTCCGAAGCAAAAGTCGACGCTTATTTTTGGACAGACTTATGTAACAGAAAGCAGGAAAGTCCACAGACGTCGTTCAGCAACAGCCCAGCCACGTAAGGTCCAGTCAAAGTAGTCGAAAAAGAGCATATATCATATAGGTTAGAACAAGTCATACGCCCCCTAGATCACAGTTGCCGAATCAACATGCAGAAACCAGTTTCTTGTTCTTCTGATATGCATATCTGGCTTTTGCACCATCCGGAACAGTACGACAGATTGCCTGCGTTGTTTCAGCGATGACAGTGGATTTTCCATTTGGACCAGATATTTTTTGAAAGAAAACCAGTACATACCTCTTCTTCGCACCGAATCTCCGGCATTACAACCTGGCGCCTAACAGACTGCGGAGACACGAGGCAAGGAGATCAACGGCTGTAAGGACCCATCGTCGAAATGAACTGTCACCCCAGCCTGTCGCCGCATTAGTCGTCATAGTAAGAAGTGAAGCAATAGACCAGTAGGCACTGTAAATGTCGAAAAGAAGCTCGCCCAACCACTAGAAGCTCCTGCCGTAATGAATCTCTTATATGTCAGCCTAAGACAGAACATTAACATCGCGCAAACTCGAACCTTATTGATCTCACCTTATGTCGGTTGCCCTAGTTCCGACATGTGTATCTCCCCTTGCACGTATGCGTCTCAATAGGACGCCGAAAGGAATACAGCCAACGATGTTCTTGTCATATCGTGATCTACCATTGTTACGCCACCATGCGTCGCGTCTTTAGGGTACAGGCCAAGTCTCCCAGATGTGGCCAGATCCTTCCCTTGTAAACCGGACGAGGACGTGAGAAGCAGGCCTAATTGTCCGGATCTACTTGAGGGAAGACGCTTAGGCGTCTGCGAGACAAAGCTCTGATCCGGTCAGAAATCTTGTGTTTCCACTGGCGAAGTCCTAGGCTAGGCTTGTCAAGGTTTTTTCAATACATCCCGAACATTTGCCGCTCACCGATCGCGAGTCTCAAGCGTGCTAGTGAGGTAAACAAAAAGTAGTCAGCACGAAGATTGATATAGTATGTTCTTGCTGCACACCTTCGACTGCCACCATCCAGGAGGCTCATGGAACGGCTGAAGCTCTCTTCTGGTCAGAAGTATTCTTCCTAAAACAATAATTTGCGAGCTGGAGGAATGATGCGAGAACTCTTGGGCGCTGATTGATTCTCTTCCAGCCCTTGTTATCAGGCATGTCCGTCCCGAATGCCGATTTTCGACAGGAACTAAAGGTTACGGAGGTAGGTCTGAAACAAGGGCGAGAAGGTCAAGCTCTTGCATTCCAGCCGCACAGTACAAATATGCGAAGCATTGCATCCGCCAACGGCAAACACCAGAAAGGTGATAGATGCGTCCAAGGAAGACGCAGAACATTTCGAGAACTTCTTCCAGGTGGTACGAACAGATAGATCGTAAGTGTGTGGACAAGCCAAACCGTGAAGATTATTCATCACCACTCCAGAGGGTGATCCTTATAAAGACAGCGAGACTGGGAAAAGATTGAATCAAGGCTTATCTCCAAGAGCCCCGCATGCTGGCATCCCGACATTCCGAATGGTACAGCGTGGCTATATTGTTAGAGCGCAGGAGCAAGAACAGTAGCAGCATCGTTAGCTTTCATTCGGACCGAACGAAACGGATGACAGGCCCATATGTGACAGTCCAAACGCCTCTTAGGCCAACGTATTACGTGTGAGGGCCCACGAAGGAAGAGAAAGCAGGAGATAGTGGGGGAAGGAAAGAAAGAGCATTTGGGTGATACACACGCCATTTATACACACCGGGAAGTATGTATATGCGTTGAGGCATACGTCACAGCATAGTCATAAAATGCGGTGATGGGAATAAGCCGAGAGGCGACCTGGATTGTGACTCCAATTTCAGGTTATCAAGTGAAAGAGGATTCTTAGCTGAGACGGCTCGCCAACCAGAGATAAAAGACGCCGAAAGGACACACCTCAAGAGCCATAGGAGAAGAGTCGATTCCGCAGCAGCGCATTCCTTCAGGTAGAAACTAGAATCTGAGATCTATGTCAGGGCGTTATATAAGTAAAGAGGAAGGCCGTGCGGGGTACGCTTACCATCAGTATAATGGATAGACGGTCACTCTGGCACAATCTGGCATTACTTGGGTTCATTGTACGCTCTATGGCTGACAGCTGCATGCCTGCATCGAAGGAAGTACTGTAAAGTTGATTGCCAAACGACCATCCGAACGTACCACCTTCTTGGGGATATTACCCGTCATGACTTTTCGGTAGTCTCACAGGAGTTCCGAGTCCACCGCCAACCCCGTGGAGGAACAGCCCAATGTTTCCCTCCTTCCTGTTACCACTGACATCACCGAGGAACTCCCCTCTCTGGACACTCCGCCCCCACCATATGGAGCCCCCAGCAGGCCCCGTACTCCAGACGATGTACGAACTGTTCCTGCCCCTGCAAACGTCTTCGTCAACCAACCCAGACCATCTACCACCGTCCCCCCTGACTCAGTGCTGTACTCCATCACTCGTCCCGTAAGAACGAACCCAGACGATTGGAGGCAATAAGGCGACTCCCCCACTATGTCAACTTTAATCGAAAGAATCTGTAACAGAATTGGACCGGGACAAAGCAACAGGGAAAACGAAACACGTTTTGGAGACGTGCTCGGGTCCCAATTTGGAGGCCTAGGTGTTATGGTATCCTCAACACAAAAGTGAATCCGCATATCACGGAAAGTCCTCTCAGGCAATATTTGTGATCTTTCAGTTTAGATCCATACGACGCTCCGAAAAACGTTCAGTCAATCAACAAATGAGCATACTTATGGTTATATCGTTGACTTCGGTGTCTGCAAGTATAATATCAGGTCCAAAGAAGGGAGTGGTACATTCTGAACTCATCGATTCAGCGGCATTTCTATCGGGGTTGAGCAAGGAGTGCTCGATCTAATTCGCATCAGCGTGCCGTCATCTCAACCCGTAAAATGGAAAGTCATATATGAGTCCGCGAGGGCACAATCCTCATTGGAACCGGCAGAAGTTGCATGGATGCTGTCAGGGTAACTGAACAGGGCGTGTTGTTTCGGAAGGAAACGTTTGATTAGCATCTCGTTTTTAAGGTGCAGACGAGTGTGAACAAATTTTCAAATCCTCGAGCTTGATCGCAAACATGAGGCGAAAATACGAACATTGTCATCCCTTCTTCCTGAAACTCTAAATGTTCATGCATCTTTCCACTGAATGACTCTGACGATAGTGCAGCTCTGACCGATGTAGCGCCATGCTGACGGTTGGCGGCATTCTGGTGGTCGTACGGCCAGAGATGTTGCCCGTACAAAGATGTAGCCTCGTCTCTTTACCATCGCCACTCGATCTTGCCTTCTGCACGTCCCCTCACACCTTTGTAGGGCATGTACTCTTCGCTCACAGAAAATTTTCCGACCCGTAATCCAGAGAAGGTCGAACCGTTCGCGACGTTCGCAATAATGAAGGAAGTGGTGAGTACATGCGTTAAGCGAACACTAGATCGCTCATGATGAGCATCGCACGGAATGCAAGACTGGAGATCGCACCTTTTATCCGCAGTAAAGGCCGCATTCAACACATATCTTGAATTTTTAGGTGGAGAATGGATGTCCCACTTAAGCCTGCGAGCTTGAGAGTCCCACGACCAAGGTGCACCAGTCGCACGCAGACCAGAAACGTTTCCAAGGGGAAGAGAGAGAAGAAGAGACTCGAGTGGAAGATGAGGTGTCAGGGTAATCTCCGCCTTGCCTTCCTCCATGTTGACGTGGATCTTGACGCTCAAGGGGAGCGCAGGCGGTGTAACGACTTCATAGTCCATAAGCACAAAGCGGCCATCAGGCGGTACGAATGAAAGTGAGCGGTTCGCTGACCAACGAGCGAGGCGGACGCATGGGTGAAAGGATGGCTGTGTTATCAGGTTAGGATTCGTGAAGGTCAACAAACAGTCTGGGGTGCCAGATAGTAGCGCATTCACTCGGAGCACGCCCGTCGTGATGAGTTTCGTTGCATGCCCTGAGCGGCTGATAACTCCGTCTAGTGACTCGACGAGGTCAAAATAAATCTCATTTGATGAATGTCGAACTGGCGGTGCGCGACGCCATGGAATTGGAGATGAAAATGGTTTCGGTAGGGTGGTAGATGTTGGAAGCAGAGAAGAAAGCAGGGAAGGTGGGATGACAATGTCCTTCAGCGCATTGGGGGAGGTTGTGAGCGGATGACCTGCGTCGAGAGCCTCAGCCAGGAGTTCGTAGACGATGTCAAAGTTGTCGCGTATCGTCGCCGCCGACGTGTTTGGTCCAAAATAACTCGTGAGCACGTCGATGAAGGCGCGAAGAAACGCGAATCCGACAAGAGGGTCTGTCGGCGGCGACAACGCACAGACCAGCCTCAGGTCGTTCCACCGTACGTGCGCAGCCGTTCCTGTTGGTGTGATACCCACAGGATCCTCATCACTTTCATCAATTTCCAACAACGGTCCGCTCCCCACTATTGGTCTTATAGGATCCAGAATAATGAGGGCATCAAGAGGCATCCCTGTCTCGCACTCAGCTGAGAAGATGGAAAAATAAAAATTGTTCACATACTCAGAACGTGAAACTGCAGCTGGTGAATGTGGTGGTATGAAAGGAAGCCGTCAACAGCCATCACCAAGCTGATACGATAAAATCAGGAGCTGAAACTGACGGCAAAATAGACGGACATATTGGGACTTGAACCCAACACCTCCCGCATGCTAAGCAGGCATGATAAACCATCTACACCACGTACCCTACATGGTATGGTTTACCTTAGTTGCCTATGAATAGTATTTAAATGAACTAGTAGTCACAACAAAAGACACTTTCACATCCAGACGCCTAGGAAAATCGCCAGGTAAATAAATCATTGATATGCTCTATGGATGAATGGTGAACTAAATGATGCACCTATTGAAAGGCACAGGTATGTGTTGACAAGAACTAATGAGACTGACACATCATGTATCACGGCTCGCGACAGACAGCATGAAGAGCTCGTACATCAAGGAAGCCAATTACAAAACGCGTGCATTGATGTCGATGATGGACGAAGACTTCCTTCGAAAGTGCCGAAACAAAGAAGGCGATTACTATACCAATGTTGGAAAACCACGCGGGAAAATCCAAGAACCGAGTGAAATCACTGGCCAGGCGTTGTAAGAAGGATCTCCTGAAAATTAACGGGTGAAAGACCACATCCGGTGTGACAAGGAATATGGGTGGGTGAGGAGGATGCGGTACTTGGCATTGAACTTTATTGAAAAGAGGATATTAAATTTCAAAACAATCCATGTACAAGGTTCACTCCATTTTGTGTCTGTAGAAATTATTGGCGACTAGGTGGGTTAAAGGGGACCACAGAGGTTTCTGTCCGAGACTGTGCAGGAAAGCATTAGGTCGTTCGGCACTGAGTCCTGGGAACGCCGGTATTCAGAAACGAGATTTATTGTTTCGCAGGAGAATTCGGGTCCTCAATTGCATCCAACAGGTCGCGATAAGCAGGTAGTATACGCGATTGGGGTGGATATGGTGGGATTTCCGGAGTAGGAATTCCGCTGATGACTGGTTGGTCTAGAGCGGGAGAAACAAACAGTGACACACAGATGGTATGATATAATAAATCAGGCTGAAACTACGTCAAGTTTCGTCATCTTCCCACCCCAACCCAGTGCGTCACCGCCCTTTGTCCCAGCATGTCGCCCGCCTCACAACCTCGCTCGGCCTCACCACGCCAAAAACGCGCCGATTTTGATCTGGAACCGAATCCCTTCGAGCAAAGCTTTTCAAGACCGTCGGCCTCAGCGTCAAGCGGTAGGCAGGGAAAGGAGACGTCGTCGGGCGAGTCTGACCCGCCATCAGCGGAATCGAGCGAGAAATCCGGGACAAACAAGTCGAGGAGCAAGTCGCCTCCGGTGGAAGAGAAGCCGGTTTTGCCGCCTCTTGCATCCATCTCGTCGCCGTCCGACCCGGCGGCGTACCAATGGGGAGGCTTCACACCTGCCATGGCCAACTCTTTGCGGGCCGGGCCTCTTTCTCCCGCTATGCTTGCCGGTCCACAGCCGCACCATCCGCCCAATGAGTTCGATCCCAACTCCTTCCGTACTGGCCTTACTCCTCGTACTGGCCTTACTCCCAGGACCGGTCTTACTCCTCTCGTCGGCGGCCCTGTCGCCTTCCCACAGACACCCGGCACTGCGGCTTTTATGCAGCTTGTCAATGGTCAAAATCCAACCATCACGCCTAACACCCTCAACGCCATTACAGGTGCCCTCAATGGTGCGCCATATAACCCCGCACAACAGAATTCCGAAACCGGCGGAGGCGAGTACTTGAATAGCGCGTCTACCGCTGCTACCACTGCCGCCAATGGTCTTTTCCTTCTCTCGCAGGCCCACCAGGAGCTTACGAAGCGCGAAGAGGCTCAAGCCCGCGGGTCGTCCCCTCCCAACCAAAACAGACGCAGCGCCAAAAGAAAAAATGCCAATGAGGGCAAAAGGAGGAACACCCGAGGCAGGAAGATAGATGACGATGACGACGAAGACGAGGAGGAGGAAGACGAGGACTTCTATGAGCCTCAAAAGAAGCAGCATTCCTTGCAGCCACCGCTGCAGAAAAAGCCCGAGACGGAGGAGGAAAAGCGCAAGAATTTCCTGGAGCGCAATCGCCAGGGTAGGTCGACAGCTTCTAGTCCCTGCGTCGCCTCTTACCTTGACATCAGCTGCACTAAAATGCCGACAACGCAAGAAAGCCTGGCTTGCTCAACTCCAAGCCAAGGTCGAGTTTCTTTCCCAGGAGAACGAGCGACTCACGTCCGCACTGGTGGCGTCAAGGGAAGAGATATCTCGACTTAGTGCTCTTGTCGGAGGTGTAGGTGTCGGTGCCGGTGTCACTGGTGGACCTGGCTCCGGTGTGCCAGTTAGCGTCGGTGTTGGCGTCATCGGGGGCAAAGAAGGTAGAGCAAGCGGTGGTGCGTATGGTTATTAGGATACTTGTTTTTGTCGTTATTTTTGCTTTCCCTTGGTTTTCTTGTGTCACTTCCTACGTCGTATGCATACTCACACTGCTAACCGCAAATAAAACGAAACACAAAAATGAAGTGTTGATGTATTACTATCTCTTGATATTTGGATGCAGAGCTGCGGTACCTTTGGGAGCAAGTCGCGTCCTTTGGTGATGCTTTATGACGTGTGTATGACGGGTGGTGATTAGGGGTATATAAGTTGAGACCCGTTCGATTCTACGCGTCATCTATTGACACAACGGCGCTCAGATTCGGGGCACATGGTGTAGATGGTTTATCACGCCCGCTTAGCATGCGGGAGGTGTTGGGTTCAAGTCCCAATGTGTCCACTTGTGACTGTGGTTATGGTTGGAAGTTTTTGACCTAGTTGGCCCGAGAGCCCGGACTCCAGGAGTCAGGACAGGAAGTAGGAAGTTGGAACCCAGATCGACCGATAGGCCGGAGTTTTGTCCCCTGGTCTGGGGCATAGGCCCATAAGCGCCTTATTGCACAATTTGAATGACTGACATAAAATTGAAATAAAAGATACTCCTCGGACTTCCGATTCTCGCTAGATTTTTTGACACCGACCCGCAATACTGTAAAAAGATAACTCTTGCTCCTTCGAACCTCAGACCTTGTTCCCACTCCACACCATCAACATGTACCTGAAGGCACGCACAAGCGTCTGGCACAGACCCGTGCTGCTGAGAACAGACATTTGCCGACGTCCTCGCTACCTTCGCTACTTCACTGATATACTCAATAGCAATTTATCTGGTCCCCAAGGCAGGCAAGTGGATGGAGGTGTTAATGGGAGTAAGTAAATAGATAGTTTTGTCACGAACAGGTGTAGAATCCAGAAATACACCTACCATGCAATGACAAGAACGAACATAATCTCATAGTGCCCATTGCCAATTCCAATCGATTATGTTGTTGCTACAAGACAAGAATGAATGGATAGCACGAAAGTGCAATTCATAGCCTCGCATCCTTCGGCATTTTCTTCATAACCTGGCGCACTCCTAAATCTGACAAGATGTCCTCTGTACCACCAAGAACTAGTATAAAGCGAGTCAACAACAAAGCGGAAGAACAAGCAAAAGGGGCCTTACTGGCGTCGTAACCAGACGTTCTGTGATACTGCGTGTGAGAAACATGTCAGTGGGTGGGGTATCCATGACACGTAAAGGAAGCACATACATTCTCAACAAGTTTGCCCATACCCGTCGTCGTAAGAGCGCGTCCACCAAAGACCATCGTCGCATCTATAAAAAGTAAGCATACAAAGATGTATCCAGCCGTATACAGGGAACGCACCCTCGGCCGTCTCCCGACCACATTTAGAGACAAACCTAAACACGGATATATGTGTCAAACGGTGAAGAGCTTGGGGAGAATGGAACACACTGTTTGAGCAACCCAATAGGCCCGGCGAGCTTGCTGGACATATCGTTATACGACATCTATAGAAAGCAAATTCCGTCAGTATGCACGAGCTGCGTCGGAATGGAAACAAACATTGTTCATCTGATATGTGATAGTCTCAACCCAATTCTGGCACGCTTCCACCCTTGAAATCATCCTTCCAAGCTTATTCCGGATGACAGCCTGGGAGTTGAGAGGCTTTCCAAAGACTTTGCGTTGTGTAGCCCATCTGCAATTTTGTCAGGCATAGCAGACCAAAGGAACGAGAAAAAACACACTTGAGACACTCCTCCACTATCAACCTCTGGGAAGCCAAACTGGACGCAGTAATCATCCAACGCTCGTGGTTAAAGTTACTGAGAATGACAGACATCCCATTACCGACTTTGCCAAGCGTGTTTCCAACGGGTACCCGAACCTTGTCAAAAGTTACGTACGCCGTTCCAGCGGCAGAAGAGTAAGCCGTCTTGATTGGTTTCGTAGAGACTCCTTCTCCGCGCTCGATAAGGATGACGGTGAAGCCGGTCTTGGTTTTACACCCTGTCGTAAAGTAGTCGGCAAATGTACCGTTTGTTATCCACTTTTTTGTGCCGGTGATGACCCAGTAATCTCCATCCCGTACAGCAGTCGTCTGCAAACCACTAACATCGCTGCCTGCGAAGGCCTCCGTAATGGCAAGGGCAATGTACTTTTTGCCTGCAAGAACATCAGGGACAACCTTTGCTTGGATTTCGGGGGACCCATAGTTGAGAACGGGGGGAAGACCGATAACATCACCATTCAAGAGACCATCAAGGAAACCACGCGTGCCGAAACGAGCGATTTCACCATTGAGAATGAGCTCGTGGAAATAATCAAATTCTTCGGGTTTTGTCACGCCGCCCATGAGTACAAGGCCCTTGAGATGTTTTCCGGGGCCCAGACGCATCGCAACAAAGTTGTTTTCGCTGTGGAATATGAGTACAGAGCGAATGACGAGCTCTTGGGAATACTGACCATAGCTGGTCAACCACAGCCTGAGATATCCGTTTTCCGTTCTCCTCACACCGAAGTGCTTCTGGCTGAACAACGTTGTGCATAAGGGTCCGAATGGCTTTGTGGAATGCACGGTGATTATCAGTATAATATGGAGTCTTGAAACCATCTGCCAGCCATGACGGTTCGCCATAAGGAACTTGAGAAATGGCTCCAGGCACTGGGGCTTTGATGGACTCCTCCTCGCCTGCGACGGTACCAATCTGTAGACGTGCATACTGAGGCCTCAGCAGGACTTCATGGCGGTGTAGACCAAAGAATGTTTCTGTAGAGTCTTGTCCGGCGATACCCTCCGCGAACAAGACATTGGAACCGCCCGGATGTAGGTCAGCGAACCGAGAGAGATTGTATACCTTGGCGTCGATAATGATCCACTGCGAAAGTCGGGGTAAAGCTCTATTATTACTGGCGACAGAACGAACTCACGAGATCCCCTTCCTTGTTGTGCTGTATCGGAACGTTAATCCTTTATTGCCCCACTCTGCAAGAGACGGTAACACACCTGAGCGACCTCTTCGACAGTATACTCCTTCAGTGTCTTGGTTGCCATTCCGATGATGGAGGTGGTGGTAGGAAGTGAAGGGATGTTATTTAATGGATGACTGGCTGGCTATTTCTGTTCTTCCGAGTCGGTGCCATGGGGCCTAATACTGGCTAACACAAAAGGAACGTGCCGATTGGTTGCCTGATTTTTCACATGTTACAGCGGACTCGAGTACATCCAAGGGCAGACATTCAAAGGAAATGTCCATCAAACGAAAGATATATCAAAAAAACGAGAAATTTGCGTACTTAGTTTGAAATAAAATATAGAGGCGGGCAGCACGTGCCTTTGCCCCTCTATTCTCTATTCTCTTCCCATGAGCACCGGTGAGAAGCGCGGTCGGAAACCACGAGGAGGATCAGCAATGGGCAACTCTCCAAGACCCGACACTCTTTCACCGCCCTTCTCTTCGACGCCTCAGTTTCACCAAGTTCATTGGGCACTGCCACCTCAGAACAGCGAACGATCCACTACTCCCGGCGTCCTTCAAGGAGACATCAGCAGCAACCGACGGGAATCTACCTCGACAGTTACCGTACCCCAGTCATCGTCTACTACATCAACAGATCATTACCAGCGCAGTTACAGTGCGGCGTCTGTACCGGTTCTTGACACAACAGGACTTATTGCTTTGCCGGGAGAGGATGAAGATTCCACTGCCAGTGTCGTCCCAGCACCCGTAATGCCAGCGGCCGCTAGTACAAGCACTATAACGACCGTCATCCAGCCGCAACCCATTCAGCCACCAGTAGTACCAGCTGCCAAGGCTCAGATAGATGAAGATGGAGAAGGAGAAGACGAGATGCTTCCCGCCATGGCAGATGATGATTACTCGGCGCACATGTCGTTCCAAAGTCAATCCAAGGATAATCTCAAGTGCGCCTTGTCCTGTAATGATGATGCTGGCTTTCCTCTGACCCATGCCTTTAGGGTGCTGATGGACAACTTTAGTCCTGATCAGTATGATCGTTTTGAGGCGTACAGACGACATGCCCTACCCAAACAGGCCGTTCGCAAGGTAAATTGAACATTCTATCTGTGCAGCCATATTCTCATATCACACTCTCAGGTCATTCAGCAGACCGTTGGACAGCAAGTTTCACAGCCGGTTGCTCAGATTGTCGCCGGTTTCGCCAAAGTGTTTGTTGGAGAGGTGGTTGAGAAAGGTTAGCACTCAGTGTCACCCTTTCTTCCATTCACTGATACGGCGCTTGACAGCGCGCGCAGTACAAGCACGTCGAGGAGAAACAGGACCACTCTCCCCCGACCATCTTCGTGAAGCGTATAGGTTATATCAAGAGGAAACAGGGCGTGTCGGTGCCGCACCGCCTCTTAGGTCTAAGAGATTATTCGTGAGATAAACCCAAGTCATCTAAACTTCGCTGTCGTATCGAGGGTCAGTAGTCTTCGCAAGTAATGGCACCGAGGCACGAGGAAAGAGGTTTGAAAGGATATCCCAACACATACGTGTCCAGAATCCATTTTCCAAGCCGGTGTAGAGCCGACATCCACATACAATGATCAGTAGCACTACTGTAGGTTTTTCGACCAGTCCTTTCAGCGACTTGTCATTTTTATACCTTTGCACCGTCTGCACGTCTGTTGTCGTTATTCAATAGTATACTGCCTCCATTCTGCTTATGTACAGTAGACATACTGTTTACATTTTCCCACCGACAGCAGGCAGTTTACTCTCCTTGATGACCTTGCTGAATGCTTTGAATCCTTCTACCTTTGCATCTCCAATCAGCTCAAACGCAGCGCTTTCGCTCGTGCTGACCACCACGCCTTCATGTCGCAGACGATCAAGTGCGACGTTCATTTCCATTGGATGACTAGATGCCACCCCGTCGGCTAGGACGTATACTTTGAGATTATGTCCACCGGTGGGGTCAAGGAGACCAAGAGCAGTTTGCAGGATGCATATGTGAGCCTGAAAAGCATATCACGTAAGATTTGGGGCATCAGACCTGGCGACGCACCTCGATGCCCATGAGGATGACGGTCTTGATGTGGGGCCGGGAAAGGAGTACGTCTTTCACCTCGGGGGTGAGCATAGAGAACAAGGTCTTGTCGGCTGTCCCGACGTGAAGGCCCCCTATAGATTCGAGATCGATGGCGGGGTCTGTTGGGCCGAGAGCTGCATAGCGTAAGACTCCTGTAAGCCATCACGATGCGACGGCAAACCTTTCGAATTTTGTGTCGTGACAAGTACTTCACAGCCAACAATCTAAATGATATTGTCAAGATTCGTTCTTGGATGAAAAACGAACTGTCTTCGTACCTTTGCAACCTTCAGCATTTTGTTGACGGTAGGTATGACTTGGTCATACCCATGTATCGCTGGTCCTGGGATTGCAAGCATTGGATTATAGTGCTACGGTTGAACTTTCGTTGAAATACTGACGAAATTTATTCTGCACATCGCAGAGGAATATAATGGTAGACTCTGGGCGGATAGACATCGTTCTTCGCGGTTGGTGGTGGATTGGAAAAGTCCATGATGACGGAGTTCCGGTAGCGATGGCTGGGATCCGAGTCTGTCACTGGATCATCGACTATTATTACGGTCCGGCCTACCGTTATTTAAATTAATAAACTAAGGTTTGTGGCACTTATTTCTTGCGCTTTTCTCAGTTCACTCTTTCCTGGATTTTTATGTTGGCACGGCCTGCTAGTCATCGAGGGAGGAATGGAGGAAAAGGCCCCAGACTGAGATCTAGCAACGTTCCATCTCCAGTCGAACTGATCTCCCTGATTCTCGCGCAACCCTGGGCCAGCCAATCTTCTACCGGGGAGCACGTTGAAAATATTTCTGAATTGCTCTCTTGTATGCAAAAAATTGTCTGCCGTCATTAAAGAGGTGAACTCTATGCACTGGTTCATCCCCTTCTCCTGTAATGGAGGACAATTGTATGCTATCAAGTCACTATCTAAGACTTCGATTTCTAGTCCATTGCTGTCGCACCATAAAGTTTAGGATAGAATATGTGACCCTGCCGAATCTCCTTCGTCTTACACAATGCACATCCACCATTGAGGCCAGCAGAGGAATCGACAACGTGCTTCGAAGGCTATTCCAACTAACCTAGTCATGCGACTCGTATCTTTGTCGACTACATCGACGACCCCAAGTCCGCATCCCCCGACAGATCACACATTTGACTTTCGTCTACCACTATCATCTCTGGATATCCTTCTAGTTCCAACGTCGGAATTTTTATCGTTGCGGATGTGAAAGATCACCTGTCGACCGACATGTCAGTCATCTTGCTGTCATGGGAGCCACGCCCGTCATAGTGGGGTGACTGATAGCCCCTCTCAACAAATGGCACAGCCTGGCTTCATTGACTACTGATGCCGATATCGGGCAAGGTGATATTCCAGTTTCTTTGCGGGATTCATTCACGCGGAGGAGATGCGATTTCCCAATACAGGACGTGGAGCCTGACTTCGTGCGCCTTGCTATGTTTGACGAACAATTCAGCAGAGCATATGGGTACCACCGGTACGTTGGTTTGTTGATATATATCTCTGCAGCCCCTTGGACTAACTACTCAGCTCATTGATAGAACGACGTGGCCATTGTTACATTTCAACGTTTGAACAAGTCATTCCACTGTGCTCTGTAGGATACATCAACCCATTAACCAGGAAGTTTGTTGTCTTGTTCAATGCCATCGATCCGGCGGCTTCCACCGGAATCGGGAATTCGCAACATTCCCTTCATTCCTTGAAGTCGGCGTAACAAAATTGGCCATAAACCCAGAGTATTCCTCCTCCCCATGGTGGGAATATGAACACAAATTCTCTGACATAACGCCCACCCTGGGTGCTTGGGCGGAGGGGACGAATTCATGTACCTTCATCTTCAGAAGCTTCTCTGCTGATGATGGAACCAGAGTGTATAGTCTTCCTGTGTGAGACGACGGCTTCTCGGTACTTTATATCACACTGGGCGAGCAGTTTCCTGAAATCTTGTACCTCGAAATTTAGTTACTAGAGCATAAAGAGACAATCAGAGATGTGTTCGGAAACGACCATCCCTATGTCCGAAAGCACTTGGACCTTAGTGAGGGAATCTTCGTGCTACGAACTCGAGTTTGGCTAGTTGGCATGCTACTCTCTACCAGTGATGACCACACCAGACTCTTCTCAGTATGCTTGGTTTGCCAATCTTGGGCATAAATCAACGGAGCCTCACACTTACGCAGGATATGTAAAATGCACAATCCACTCCTTTGACTACATCACCACTGATAAAACCACATTACAGCATCATTTTCGAGCCAGCCCTCAAGTGTCGAGCATTCCTGGAAGTCCGAGTTCAAAGTCCCGCAGTATTACTCTTCTCCTGCCCACGTTTCATACTCATGGAGCCATATATGCACTGTCGGTTATTCACCGATGACTGTAGAGATTCGTTGCCACTTGACACCGAAGAAAATCGACAGATATTTCCGGATTATACACTAGCTATGTAGCACTTAATTTAGTGCAAAGACAGACATTCGGGCGTAATAGTAGCTTCGTTCATTGTCTTCACTTGATGGTGAAGCGCTCTTCAGTTTCTCGCACCTGAGTGTATCAGTCCGTAACGCGGTATGAGGTTTCCACGGATCCGCTCTCTGCCAAATCCCTTGAAGAATCATCGTGTACAAATCGTGGAACTGCGCCCATACATTTTCTTTTCGTCGCATTTTCGTTGCTCGAAAGCACGATTTCTGCGCTCCCATTTTCTGTGGTGGCCTTTAAAATCTGCTCCATTTCATCCGCTATTGCACACATGTTAGTCTGAATGCACTGCCAGTGTCCGCTACAATCTTTGGTACCAGAAAAATAGATGGCGTCCACCGTGACTTCTACTAATGGGCGATGCAAGAAATTACAAAGACTTCCTTCTGAATGCCCAAACGTCGAACAGCAGGATCTACAATGGTTGACTTCTGTATAGATGATCATTGCATCGATGGAACGGAAGGCACTGCCGTACCGCCCATGAGACAAAAAGGGCCTAACGTCGGATAGCTTACTCACACAGCATTCATGCATCTAGTATCGAAGCAGGAAAAGCAGCAAAGCGTGCATTAATTGGCACAAGACGAGCCAAATGCCTGAACGACATCGATGTGATGCGTTTCATGGCTGGAGATAGACCAGAAGTACCTATGGCTTTTGATGCTGACGCCATCACTTCCGCTTCTTCTTGCCCTCTCCAGGGGCTGACCGAATGGCCTCCATGACCCGAGCATCTAGCACCCCTGTGTGCTTTTCATGCTTCGGTACGGCCTCTCCCTCAACAGGCCTCTCCAAAGCCCCCTTCTTCCGCGCCTTCTTGAACACCATCTCGATCTCATCTACCTCTTTGTCCTGCTCGTGCTTGCGTTTTCGTTTCGGCCTCTCGGCCTCCTTCTCTTCCTTAACCTCAGGTTGAATCACCTCCTTCGTCTTCGCCTTACCAATCATATCTCGCCATTCTTCTGGCCTTCTCTTCAACGTATACAGATTCAGCGCTTTAACGAAAAACTTGCCGTAGTACGATGCAGCAAGACTCTTCTCATGTTCCATTACGCTCCGCGCAATCTTTTCCTGTGGGTAACAAGATGAGACGCATTGAGACTAATTGGAATAGGCGGAAATACCTTCATGTATGTATCGGCCCATGACCAACACCTCTCTCCTACTCGGCTGCCGATTCTGTTGTCCACCAGTTCATGGAAATGTCCCAAGAATATCAGGACAAACTGCCGCTTCGCTTTGTGAGGAACTGTGGGAGAGTCAAGGAACGCGTCAAGGACTCGCGAGGAGACAGGATGCTGAGCAAGTGTTATAACGAATGCTACTGGAAGAGATAGGATGCTGGTATTTTTGATTTCAGCATAGGCCAAAAAGCAGACAAGACTGCTAACCTCTCTATGATGGTGGCGTTGTGTGGGTCCTTGAGACGCAACACGGACTGCAATAACAATGCCCCTTGGACGTTTGGCTCTGGAGGTGTGTTTGCTGACTTGTAATCCTATTTGACAGCATTTGTTAGTGATATTCAGTTGGTAGAAACAGACAAACCTCAAAAGTCTTCAGACTTATCACAGACTTGATCAAGCTTTCAGGATCCCGCTGGTCCTCGAATCCAAATGCATTCTGCAGTGCTTGCCAGATATCTTCTCCGCCTTCACCGACTTCCGCCGTCCGCTCTACAATGGCTTTCACGACACCTAGTCTGCCCATCTCCACAGCTCTTCCCCACCACTTCGTCCCCAAAACACCAAGCTGCTCCGTATTTGCCCTACTAACGGCTCGAGCAAGTACGTAATTGGAGACCGCATGTGTCGCGAGCCGTTCGATGCCATTGTTCGGGCACAGATATGTATTCCAGAGAATGTCAAACACTGGCTGTGGAGCTTGTGTGACGACGGTTTCGAGTAAATGGGATGAAGTTGCGTCACGAAGTAGAGTGTGAATGTAGTCTGACTCGGTGGTAAGCAGTGGGGTTGAAGAATCCGCTATCATGACGACGATAAAAGTATGTCCCAGATGCATTTGTAGGCACTCACATGTCTGACCGACCATACCGACCAATACGCGGTCCATCAGGCTGCTACGTTCGTTTGACAGGCCATGCTTGGCTTCAACTTCGATGAGAACCTACGGATGAAGATCAACATGTACCGAGAAATATGAAGTAATGACTTACATCAAGACCGGGACATGCAACTTTACTCCCTGCGCATGCGCGCACCTCATTATCGCTCATTCCATCTCTGAAAGCTCGAACGATTTTTTTCGCTGCCTTTTTGAAGCTCGATGGTCTAGCCATGTCTTCCTTCGACTTTTCTGATGAAAACAGGCTGCGCATCTCGCCCTGCTTGCCTTTCCAGCTTTTGCTGCGTTTGGATGTCTGAGAGTGGATGTTTGATGCAGGGGAAAGCAGAAGGGCGAGGGCGCGGACAATATGTGAGCCAAAAGAGTCGTGAAGAAGCTGCGGCAGAACCGGAAGAAGTTCCTGTATGCTATAAGATGAGTAAGACAGTAGTTTCGAGATACAAAAAAACGTACGTCGCAGGTGTCCAGTACAAGTTCGGTTATTTTGGGAAGATGTCCTGTTTTTGAGCTAGTTTGTGGTATTTCGGGTAGGATGCCTTTGGTCTGCGCAATCATTCAGACATTATTCTCGACAGAGACGAGTTGTGACTGGCCTCTCTTGAAACTGTTTCTTCAGCCACTTCGAGAAGTGTCTGACAGACATGCGATGCGAACCGATGGCGAGCAAGTATTTCATACCTTTATCAAGGTCCGTTCAGCGAATCAAGGAGAAATGAAATATTACTCACGAGCCAGCTAAGCTATCGGTGAACACTCTTCTGGAAAAGTCGTCCATCGAATGTAACATTCGCTCTAATATCACAGAGCAGTCTGGGTCGGTTGCAAGCTGTTTTTCCTTCCCAGTCATCTCGGTAAGGGCAGCAAGAAAGAAAGTGTGTTTTTCTGACACGCAAATTAGTCTCTTCTTCTCCTGTCCTGTACACTTGGACTCACCATCTTCATCTACCTCTACCTGCCCATCCTGCCACTGTCGTATTTGCACGTCTACTGTGCGGAAATATGCCTTGACGTCGGCGTCAAGATAGCCAAAGGGTGCCTCCGAGTCGACCTGGTCCTGTTGGGGATTTGCAACAATCCATGAAGGTCCGGCCTCAGGTTCTGGTTCGAATTTGCGTTCAGTGTGCTCTTGCTCGCCAAATTCTGCGTCCTGGGCAGGTTTTTTATGTTTCTTGCCTCTTTTCCTATTTTCCCGAGGCATAGTACTTCAAAAGGTAACTCAAATGAAAGTGTGTGGCTGTGCTATGTAGTTTTCCTTTGTGACTGTACGGTTGACAAACAGTAGGCCGTGATGGAATGACCGTGTATATTCATGAACGCAGCCAATATTTCTTTTGTATTCTGAGCTTAAAAGCAGGTGGCCGTGTAAATATTCCTATCATCTCCTCGACTACTACTGCATCCACTGGGAAATGTAGGTAAGTTATTAGTCATTTTAATCAGCAAAAATCTACAGATATGGCGTGTCTTTTCTTCCCATCTGACATCCCCTTTCGTTTCATTCCTTCAAGATGTCAATTACCATCACCTAAACTGGATCTTCTGTAGGGAGTTTTGAAGCTTTCCACGAGCCGTGGCGAGGTCTTAGAGATCTTCTATTGCAGTACATGCAAGCTTGTTATCGACGTCCGAACGCGTCTGTTCATTCTGCCTCTATGTATTCGTCGTCTGGAACAGGCAAGTTGCGCATCGCAGATATAACTGCCGAGCAACTCTTCTGTTTTCGTATGAACATAAGAGAAAAACTTTATGAGGATCCCTGCGATTATCGCCGTTCTCGCTTTATTACTATGTCTCAATGTCGACAGCTTATCCTCCCAGCCATACAATTTTATACAATTATCTCATTCCCTCCGGAGAGCTCGATAGGCCGTGCCTGATGTGCAAGTATGCCTCCTTGTCTTTCTTGTTCGCTCACCGCAGCAGGTTCCATTCGTTCTTGCTTCTACACCGAAGTGGTTCGAAGGTCGATGCAGTATCTGGATATCATGGTATGTGCCGAGCTGTCGCTGCGTCCCATCGCTGATGACTCGCCCTTGTTGACTGCCACCTTTCAGAAACAGATCGAGTACGTATACTGATCTTTTAGGACTATTTCTATTGTATTCATTTGCCTGTCTCTATTTAAGATGAAAGAGAAGCTCTAGATGGCTACGAGAGACCTGGTTGATGCTTCCAAGCAGAAAATCACACCTTCATACCATAGACCGTTGGAATTCTTCATTTATCTTGATGAGGCATACAATTTGTCGGAAGGAAAAGCCGGATCCTTTTGCACTCTTCCTTCCAACGCTTTCGACATTTTTAATAGTTCCATTCCTCACCATGTATCTCGTCGGGATCCCTTTAATACTCCATTTACCGAGCTCCCCCTTGGCTTTTTTTGCACGAGACGCCGTTGGATATCGTCGTGCTTTAGAAGAAGGGCGCATCTACCTTGAAGACATACCTATGGGAGTTCGGGTGGGCTTTGTAAGTGTTTACATTACTTTTTGAAACGCCCAATGCTGAAAAAATACCATGGCTCAATGAGATGGCAAAGTCATCTCAAAACCTCCGAAAATATCTACTGGGTCCGTGATGAGCTGGCTGCTGGGCGGATCACTACAGATAAGATTCTTCTATGCATGTCTTGGCCTTATGATCCAGTTTGACTTTGACCGTTCATCGCCTGCCGCTAGGGACATGGAGTCGAAACTTTTTCGATCTCACTTGAAGATTCCCCTTGTCATCCCTCAAGATAGGCAGTACATGACCGCTGCATACCCATCAGAGCCTATCCTTGTTGAAGCAGCATCCCAACTGCTGCCAGGAAGTCGACTGGATGTTCTTGTACCTTGCGCGCTTCGTGAGGCACAATCGGAAGGTCTCCTCTCCAAAGATAATCGACGACAACTAGTTGGTAAATGCATTGTCATCCTCGCGCAAAAACGCGCCGTTACCCGATTACTACCTTCCTCTCGATTGCCAGTGGGATATATGGTGGCCCATGATCATCCGGTTTCTGTTCTTGCACTTCTTGACGAGACGTTCAACGCCAAATGGTAAGACACCATCCTGAGCACCAGGCCTGTTGGTGATGAAAATGGGGCCTCTTTTTGAGAAGCGTTCAAGGATGTTTATGTGAATTTCTCTCATTTCGCTGAAGCTGGTGACAGCAAGATCATCAAGTCCCTGCCCATATGATGCTTCGGTTCCTAATTTTCAGTTTCTCTGTGAATGCTGTCGACTTCATCATTGTAATGCATAATGGCTCTCTCCAGAATCCTCTTAGTGACAGCTCGACGTCCCAGTTGGCTTTCCAGATCCAAAACTGCACCGAAGAGGTTTCGGTCTTGGTGGAACGCCAGACCATCACACCAGCTCGACAAGACCTTCCCATTCTGTCATTGTTTATACAGTTGGGGATCGAGGATAAGTCGAAGCATCGAGTCGAATCGTTCAATCTGATGGAGACAGGAAGAATTATCAGATCAATACGGTCGGATGTTCTTCCGATGTTTACGATGTGATTCCGGTGAAGCAGGAGTCCGTTTATCAGAGACTATTGTGTCCAACGTCCTTCATGGATAGCTTTACTAGAAAGCATACAGATGCGAATATTTCGAAGTTTCATACTCAGAAACCGGCTTTCTTCTCCGACAAGGTCGAATCATAGAACTGGCTGCAGGACGGGATGAAGAGCGAGGACGATATCAAGAAGGCCCTGGTGATGTAAACCTGAAGCTTGCATGATGTGCTATTTCCACGGCTCGGACTTGTATATGTAACAACATACTGTAACAGTAATGTGTCGCACTAATGATTAGGTCTTATATATATGCGCCGACCGCGATACAGAGGGGCTGAGTATTTCCAGCGCTAGCCCCTCGAAGGCTCGGCGAACGAAAAGTTGCTTTTCTTTGTCATGTCATCTCCAGCTCTCAACCGACCCTGTAGCACTGGTTTGATTCCTTCTCAGGGACAGACAACTAGAATAGATAACCTCCCTCCTTCTCCCTCCATTGCATCTGAGATGCTAATTGTTTTCTATGCACCGACAGCACAGCTTAATTTTGTACATCCTCTGGTTCCGAAACTTGTCTTCATCCTCCGACATGTGGTAAGTTTGCTCGGCGGTCCCAAATCTCGTTTCTTCTTCTCTGGAGTCCGGGGCTGATCGGGAAGCTGACAGATTCTCCGATGACTCGACATTCTTGAACATCAAATCAGCAAGCGCCGGAACGGTGATGTCGTCGAAGTGGAAACTATCATTGTCATCGCGGCAAACAGGCACCTCATTGTTCTCTTTGATAGCCTCTGCTGCTGATTATTGACGGTCTTGCCTGGCTGATGTAGCTATGTCCCGCTGCGGAATGCAGCTAGGATGATCTACTCAGTGTAACAATCTTTGCAATATTGGGAAGGACAGGGAATGAGCCGGATGGTAAGATTTCGTGGGTACTTGGAGACTCGTCTCTGCATAGAGAGTTCGAGAAAGACCGGAAGTGCCGTGAGAATATGGGGAGAGACAAGGGGATTGGAACCTGGGTGAGTTGGTACAGTCCCTTGGCGTAGTTGAATACATTCAATTTATATTTTTAAAGAGCGCCGACAGGGACGTCGAATATTGGTCCCCTACGAATTACCTGTCTTTAAATTACTTGTATAGAACAGGAGAAATTCAAGAGGAGCATATTTGCGCGTAGAATGGTGCTGTATAGTCTCCTCTCCGTCGAAATTGTGACGCCTAGTTTGAGAGTATAAAGAGGTAGTTTATAACGGGAGAGGATGCACGTTTAGCCTTAGGACTTCGAAAGCGTAAGACACCAATAGGTTTGCGAAAGCCAGAGTTCAAGATGGATGGAGCCGAAAATATAGTTTAGAAAACCGGCGTATGGTCAGGGAGCAGAAAAGATCCCGATGATCATCGTATAGTAGTGCCCGTCGATTTGATCAATTCCGAAAAAAATGGGGGGGGGGAGGGTTAGAATAGATTCTTATTGATAGCATTATTAGCGCTCCGATACCATTACAGTATTATACAGTAGACTTTTCCATTATGCCTTCCAACTTTTGAAATAAATAAGCGAGAATAACGATATCTTACTACTCCGAGTCCATGTCCGAAAAAAACCAGTTGCGTGAGGATACGAAAGGTGCCAATATGTACTCAGTCGCACATCTCAGGCGCATCATTCTAAGAGAAAAGAATAATGAATACGCTGCAATACTAAACTCAGTGGGGAAGGCTCACCTCTCGCATGAACGTCAGCATGTGGCATGTAATGTAACCCTTCGCGAAGCCAGCTCCAGCGTAAGCGAAAAGGTACATCCATTTCCGCTTGAATGCCTCGTAAGAGTGCTTGTCATTCAGACCGGGATAGTCCTTTGCCACCAATTCCTGAGTCAAATTCTTCTCCAGCCGCCTTCCCCACTCTCGGAGGGTCCGTGGATAGTGTGCAGCGTGGTTCTCGACCCCTTCCAGGTTAAAGTAGGGAGAGGCCGCCTGAATCAGGGCTGATGCCGAGGGAAGACATGAATTCGGCCACATGTACTTGCGCATGAAGTCTTCAGCTTGATATGAAGTGTACCGTGATTCGGGGAAAGTGGAAGCGGAAACTACAGCCGTCGCATTGTGCGGCTTCAGGGCGAACGAAACGAGTCGGAAATAGTTTCCGTAGTGCTTTGATCCAACGTGTTCAAGCATCTCTACGGACACAAAGGCGTCAAACGCATTTTCCCACTCCGATGGTATGTCCCGATAATCGAGGAGATGGACGCGTATTTTATCGGAAAGACCAGCAGCTGCGATCCTTTCCTCGGCGAGCGTCTTCTGCTCGATGGAGAGCGTGAGAGTATCTACTGCGCATCCAAATGTGCCAGCCGCCTGTATATTCCAGCGGTCAGACGGAAGGATGAAGTGAAAACATTGGAGAATCGCTGCTTACCTCGATGGCGAGCCCTCCCCATCCCGAACCGAATTCAAGGACACGGTGTCCTGGCTTTAGACGAGCTTGACGAAGGACATGGTGGATTTTTCTCCGCTGGGCGGCCTCGAGGTCACCAGGAGTAGGACCGATTTCAAGGTCGCCTCGGACACCGCCCTCAGACTCGTCCCAAAGCGCACATGAATACATCATTTCTGATGAAAGGAAGGCTTTGAAGAGCTCATTCGACTGATCGTATGATGCGATCACGTTGAGGCGTGCGTTACTTTTTGTCTGGCCAAGGAAGGAATTGTAGAAACTTGACAGGGTCGAGGTGATGCGTGTGTACGTAGATGATAAGGTGTCTTCCATTGCGGACTGGTTATCGAGCCATAACTGAGGATGAATACGTTTCAATCACTCTCAAAGTCTAATCTGAGAAAAGTACTTACGTTCATGGCTGCTCTTAGGTCGGGAAGTTCGATCTCGCCTATCATGTACGCTTCGCTGACTAAATAGGGTTAATTAACAACTGATTGCTGATTGGCGGTTACGCGGAACACATACAGCCTAGATCACCGGAGCTAGAAAAGGGAGGTGGTCAATCCATCAGCAAGCAAAATATCCAGATAACTACATACAGCATGAGGCGCAGCCAAAAGTTGTCGCTTATGACTTTAATGTGAACGAGGTTGCAACCTTTCTTGTTGGAACCATAAGTATGAGATCCTTCAGCATCATCAACGATGAGGTATCCAGACGAGATGGCGCTCGTAAGCGCTGACAGAATCGATTGGCGAGCAAATGAGGCGATCCACGATCGGGGGGAGGTGGCCATCATGAGAACACTGGTCGATGAGATAACACCTTTGGTGGAGAATTGAATGCTGGACTTCGAGGCCATTGCTGAGAGGAGAGGATGTTGATGATTTGAGTGGTGCAAGTCGAGGCGCCTTTATACGCCTCGGACCGCGAATAATTCATCACTGAGTTTTAAACGTAGTCCGAAAGACATCTAAGATGTATAATCAACATGTTCAGGGTGACCCTTAGGGTCGACAGCGTTTAACAACGACGTGTCAGATTTGTATCTGGAATTTCTAAGGGCTTTTTTCGACTAAGAGATGAGAAACCTGACTTATTTCGTTCAAGACGACGTGCCACAGGACGTGCTGAAGAAAACTGGCCTACTCACAGCAGTACAATAAATTTTAGCGACAGGCGCGGCCTTGACGCGTGAGTATCCGGCATATCCCATCAAGCATAACCAAACATGTCCTCGGTATCCGACTCCCCATCCACGACCGGTAGATAGTGATTATTCGGCCGGAAATTGAAGAGATGTGTTGCAGGTCAAGTTTTGGTTATATACTTTAAACCTCACTTGTTGGGCGATTTAGTACAACTTTGCCCATGGATCCTTTGGCGAAGGTCCCCCCTTCCCCCCTCACATGAATGCCATCGAGGACTGCCGCATTGCACGGCGGACAGGAAGTACGCCCAAATCCGTGGAAACATGATGACTGTCGGACTGCAGCACTACAGGTGCCCGTGGAATACAGTGTCCGCGGCGATGGACAGCTTGAACATATATGATCCGGAAGATTTTGTAATTGGTCCCTCAGTCGACGAGGAGGATTACTTAGCCATACGAGCGGGCAACAATCAGGGCGCTGTTCCAGGCAAAAATAGGCCGAAACTAATCCACAATCACAGTCACCGGGAAAAGAAAGATACGAGGCGTGAGAAAGCATTCGCATATCATGAATCTGATCTGTCGGAATCTGATCTTTGTGGACTCCGATCGAAACTGTAGGTGCTTGTGTACGCAGACCTAGCAGACCTGCGTCAGAGTAGCTAATGCTACTCGAGACTACATTAGCCTAGATGATTTCCCAGAAAAGTGAGTGTGGTATCGACATTGTGACTTAAAGTATTTAGGCTGTATTCTGCGTGCGTTATTCAGATGTATAGCTGAAAAGAATAAGAGGCCTCACATGCAAATCATTGTGAGATAAATGAGTCTCAAGTCCGCATTAATAATAAAACGCCTTCATACACAGCCCAAGCTATTGCCGAACTGAAGACCTTTCGGATAAGGCGCAAAGATGCGCCGTCGAAATATCCCGATACACCACGTTGCTAGAGAGAGCTTTCGGACCTCGTCCACCATGGAGCGAAATGACCTGCACGTACCTGCCATATCGTCGCAACCGTCCTCGCAAATCCATGGTACCTGTCCTCGGAACGCACTTGTATCTTCGTCTGTGAATATGGGTGAGTCCAGGGTAAAACATGATACAATTAGTCAATCAGGTTCCGACAGGTTGATAGTGTAACGCAAACAGAGGTCTTCATACCTTAATCACGTCAAAGGGGTGGGTCAACATAGTTGATATACCCCCTGCTAACGCAGCAGAAGCACTGTGTATGGCAGCGGACTGGCTGCTTGACGTCGGAGTGGCGACCAAAGCTGGATCATGGGTCAATAACCGTTCCGCCGCCGACGATCACATGTAAGAAAGGGTCGCACAGGCCTCGCGTTTAATTCCCTCATAGAAAACTACGAACAGGCCGGCATAAGGAGCATCTCGTAGTGAAGATGCGAAAAATCCTCGGAACAGCTCAGAAGGGCCTTGCCGGATGATGGAGGTCAATGCCTGTGCAACACTTTCATATGCGTAGATATTGCTCTAGTTGAGGATGACACGCGGAGCTGTGAACCGCACGTCCATGACAAGAAAACACATCATGCACACCTCGAACCGGGCCTTCAGCACAGAGAACGGGTTGAGAATGAAGCCAATTCCCACTCGCGCAGTAGCTCCTGCTATCAAATTTCCCTGGTTACTAAGTTTCGGAAGCACGGAAGCGTTCCTTGAACGGTCGTCCGAGGGTGCACGAATGCCGGAAAAATAGGGAGAAGTTGCCATGATGGTCCTGATTTGTGTCAAGCTGGTCATGTAAAGCGCTACACCGGGAACATTTCTGTCTCCCAATTGATGATGAAATTTACGCAGAGACGAGTAGGGCCTACCTTAAAAGGGTGGCAGATGTACCTCTCCACAGTCCCTGCAGACCATGAGTGGAGATAACTTCCTTGGTCGTCTGTAAAATAACCGACGTGTGTCTAGATTCATAAAGTTGTTTCAATAAAGAGACAGCAAAAATTCCGATGAGGTACCGGCGTCCTATTGCTCCGTCCCCTTGCTGTAGTCGTGTTTTGATGAGATCAACTTAGAATGGCATCAGTGCAATCGCCTAAGGAATCCGGGAATTCGTTACAGGGCTGAAGACATATTGTGGTCGCAAATCCGGAGAGACCACCTTGGTAAACATGATTACGAAGAAAGTTGAATACGACCTAAAGAGACTTACCCGACAAAAGATGAAGCTGCACATTGCTCATATGACGAAGAATCGACCCAGGTACACGCTGAAGAATTGCGAATGAGGGTACAGAAAGCGTCGCCGACTGTCGTAAGCGAGCGTAACGTGAGAGTGACCTATTCACGTGGTGTGTGACAAAACGCTGATCGGTGTCGTCGGCATCAGATTTTTCCCAGATTTCCTCTTTACTCAGACTCAGAGTGACAGCACATCTTGTTCTTGTCCACGGACTTCCCAATCACTTTTTCTACTTCCCCAGTCTCGCATTTGCAACTATGACCGCCGCTATACCTGCACCGAGAAGTCGGCAAATGCGGGCATGTCTGCTCTGTTCTGTTATTCAGACATCTGCCGATTTTCGTAAAGACGGTTGTCCCAACTGTGATTCGATTCTCCAGGTTAGTCGGACGGTAACGTTACTACCTTTGTTTAATTCTTTCACTTGGAACCTAGCTGCGAGACAATCCCGAACGCATCCAGAGCTGCACTACGCAGTACTTCGACGGCATTATAGCAGTGACCGACCCTGAGAAGAGCTGGGTAGCTAGGTGGCAACGAACATGTGCGTCTGAACCCTCTTCTCGTTTCTAGTCTCTTCTATAGTTTTTCAGCAAAATTTGTCCGTGGGATGTATGCAGCGCGAGTCAAAGGTCGAATATCAGAAGACATAGAAGCCGAGTTGGAAGCGGCGGGAATCAAGTATCGACCTCGAGATCAGACAGAGCAGGACTGAAACATTATACAGGTTCATATTATTATGTGGTGGCGTACATACGTTTGTAAAATTATTATGTGTAAAACGCTCACGTCTAAAGGGTTGATGGCAGAAATACAAGGCACAATACATGTGAACATCAGTCATAATAGGTCATGCAAAACATTGTCATACTTGTGTGGAAGGTGAGCACTGTTGAGGCAACAACTCAGCAATGTCCCAAAACAATGATGGTGCAGTCCCTACCTGAGCATATCCTTCGCGAATAATATCTGGGAAAAGGCCTTCTCCACGTCGAGAACTTCGAACAGTCTCAGTTTATCTGGGCCAGAACTCGACTCTTCTGAGCGATGTGCAGGATGCAAATCGCTGTCTCTCAAAGCCCAGAGAAGCCGCCCTGGCGGAAACATCTTCTTTGGTTGTTGCATATTGGCTTCGAGCGTCTTCCGCATAGCAATAAACTGGGGGGAAAACTCCAGGCCTCGTTGTATAGTAAATGCAAACATCAATACGCACCCAATCCGGATCATCCTGTGAGCCACTGCCGGCTTTCCACTTGCTGGCACGTTCTGTCACTGCTGCATAACCCGACTCTCGCAAGGCACCTCCTGCAACATTTGCATCACACAACCACATGGCTGCGTTTCTGAGGTCCTTGACCGTCCCTATAGACAGCCGAGATACGATATCATGCGAATACACAAAAGACACGATTAGATTTTCCGACAATTTGGCGAGAGGGACATCAGTAGTTGCCCTAATGATACGGATCAGTTTTATAGGATATTGATGTGCCAGATGTAAACGTACGGTGGAGCAAAGCAATAGACAGAAACCCGTCGTTTCACCGGAAGACCGCTTGAACGAACTGTCAAACAGGTTTTCAAATCTGCCCACATCTAGAAACACATAAATGACAAAGGTTATTATCGGTATTATATCTAAGGAACCTACCAGACCCAACACTGCCGCGACGCCCGCACCAAGACTGTGTCCACAAATAACCAGATCTACGATATTGGTAAGTAAGAACGGCCATGTACGAGAAACGGCGTACCATATCCCGGATTTCGATGTAATGCCTCTTGTACAGCAACTTGAACTGGTTTTCCGACATCTCCCATCGCCTTAGCCATGCGAAGAATTCCACTATGAACCTGGTACTTCAGTGACGGCAGCTCTGTTGGTGAGGCAGGAAAAGTAAACTGTCCAGGAATAGCAGTCTCGTCGTGCTCTAGGGTAGTCGTTTTCGATAGCTCAAATTCTTCCGGATCGCATGTCAAATCCACCGCGATCTCGTTGAGAGACATGGTGCCACGAATTACGAGAACAACTTGTTGTCGACCATAATCAGTCAATACCCAGAAACGAGGCATGAGGTGCTCCTGTCCGATCATTACGTCTGCTTGAATGAGTTCATTTGGAGACTTTGCAAACTGCGAGAAGATGTCTTGGTCGTGCTTTCCAAGCATTACATCCCACCATGAGTACGAATCTGGTATCGGCGATGGTACCTCTCGTTCGGACAAGTCTCCACTAGCTTCGGCTTCAGAAGCATTGATAGCACGCGCAAGCTGGGCCTCCTCCGAACGTGCTTGCGGGGAACCTGCAGGCATAGACCCAGACGGTGTCAAGGGTACGCCGAAGAACAACAACGTTGGTCCGCCGTAACCTGCGAGGACCATTTTCGAGAGCCTGCGCAAAGTCTCTTTCAAGGCAGCGTTTGAAAGTCTTTTGGGTTCGACAAAGACCTGTGGTGATAATTTGGTGCGTGCTGCCTTGTGACGGTGATGAACCACAGATTGGGCACGCGGAGGCGCCTCTCCAATATCGGCAGCGATGATCTGGGCCCGATTGCCAGGGAAAATAATATCTGACGTGACACGCACACGGGATCCCCTGAATACGGATGATAAATCCGTTTTCTTGACAGCATAGAAAGAAAGGCACATACTGGCGAGTGTGCAACAATTCGATGCCTCTCGGTGGGTCTCGAACATGGATTTCTCGGAGGGATTTGAAGAATCTTTTCTCTTGCCATTCCCGAGTGACACCTTGTAGAGAAACCCAAGCAATGACGCCTCTCGCAACTTGCGTCAACCCATACTGCTTTTCAGGAAGATTTCCCGCATAACCAAGCTCCTTCCACTCTCGTTTGAGTAGGGCAATAAAGGCGACCAAAGAAAAAGAGGTTTCACTGCTTCCGGGGAAGATGACGCTGAGAACATTGATGGAGCTATGAGCGGCGATTATAGATGTAGAGGTGATATATTCGCTAAGGAAAATAGGCGCCAGGGTAACCTGTTCGGCGAAGGAAATGACAGAGGACACGGCACCGCCTACGACTGGCTGTGTGACACCACTTCCGCCGAAGAGGGTGCTGTCCACAACTGAGGTCGTCGCTTTTACGGCTACCGATGCTACGTTTCGTGTAACCGAGAACTGCACTCGTGTATCATCAATAACCCGGGACCGTCGCTGCCAGGACTAAGCGAGACGTACCCCAAGTCTGGTACCTGCTTTGACGGCCGAAAATCCAACTGCAGCAGCAGAAGAGGCCAAATCTAGAGTATTTCTGCCATAAGAATCCCAGTTTTCCATGAAGGTCATGGATATAGCATATCCAGGCTTGCAGCCTTCATGCAGCTGCTTGGTGATGGGGAAACGTTTTAGTGGGGAAGTTACAGCACGTGAAATCTATCGGCATCGGACCGTGGTTCCGACTTTTAGGATACTTCTCAAGTACTTGCGGATAATATTGCAACTCAAAGGTAGTACAATGACAGTTATAATTGGACTCTGCTAAATACAAGCTCAAAGTACAATTTACTTCAGATTTCCAATTACCTAACATTGAACCGAGAAACATCATCCCCTTCCACATTCAAGTTGCTGATCTTCTATTCTCGAAGAGAAGTCGCAGAACTGGCAAAGAGACCCTCGAACATCTGATACGTCGGTTATCGGTGTGCAACGGAAGGAAGCAGCAACAGGATGGATATCATGCAGGTAGTTCTTCAGGGCATTGTCTGCATGTGTAAGGATACAGGTGCCTCTACCAACGAAAAAAATATAGATCAAGGTAGGGTCAAGTGGACAGCCATTGTTGCCATGGACTCTGAGATCAAGTTCTGATTGTCGAAAGAGCATAAATTGTGTTCCCCCGTTTTTGAAAATTGAACCGAAATGTGGAAGCCTTTCCCAGCCAGCATCTACAACTGGTTTCTTCATTGATTGAAATCTGAGCCACTGAGCCATCAAGCCAATGCCCCGATGATGAGTTGAACACAGCGGCATAATCTGGTGTGAATCTGCAAAAAACGCCAAAAGAAGACAGCAAAGAGGACAGCACCCTGACTGAATTGGGGTTCAACGTTCAAGTTCGCCGCAAGGCAAAGGGGTCCTCAATGTCCGAGTCGCGGCAACGCGCCGCCAGAGATAAATTCTGTCATTTGGTTGACGTCGGTATCGAGGATAGGGCGACGTTCCAACAGCCGTAGCTTTTAGCGAAGTCGAGGTAGACGGGCGCAAGAGATTTAATGAGCAGCAGAAGAAGTAAATCCTGAGAAAATACTAAACGTGAAGCTGAATGAACGATTGGCCGACACGAAATGCCTTCGTTAAATAAAGTCTACATCCGCGTGCGATAATTTATGCACAGCCACACAACGCCTGTTCACCACCAGCCACCCTCGACCTGTCTTTTCTTCTATTTACTTATCTTCTTCACCCTCTGTGCCTCTGCGTTTCGCTCTTGGAGCAACGCGCCTCCTATTTCTTAATATTATTTCGGAGGATTAGACATGGCAGAGGCTGGTGATGGAAACATCAAGGTCGTCGTGCGATGTAGACCCCTCAACTCTCGCGGTGTGTCTATCGTCCTCTAGCCTGTACTCCTTTCTCATTTTGCCGTCGCAGAACTCGCCCGGGGGGCGAAGCCACTCATTCGCATGCAAGGGAACCAGACGTTCCTCGACCCTCCAGAGCATGGCTCGCAACAGGACTCAAAGCGCGCGACGGAGAGGAAAACAATGGCGTTTAGTTTCGACAAGAGTTATTGGTCTGCAGGTCCGAGGGATGAGCCCGGTTATTGTTCTCAGCAAATGCTATATGATGATCTCGGCAAAGAGCTTTTGGACCACGGTTTTGCGGGTTTCAATGCATGTATTCTAGCCTGTGAGTGAGATGTTTCTCTTCAGGTGATTTGGAAGTACTGAATTTATGTTTTAAGATGGACAAACTGGTGCGTTATGGTGTCTGTATTAATATTAAAGCACTAATGAGTGGTGTGTATTAAGGCTCTGGAAAGTCCTACAGGTGAGTCGTTGTTCGTCACAACACATACAGTCTGCTAATTGTGTGGTACAGTATGATGGGATGTGCGTATATCCGGCTTACCCGTTTCTTTCCTAATATAAGACGTAATTTCAGATGGACCCGACAAAGGAATCACGCCCTTGACTTGTTCTGAACTCTTCGACCGTGTGGAGTCCAAAAAGCAAGCGGACCCTAACGTCCAGTTCACAGTCGAAGTCTCGTATATTGAGGTATATTACGGAAAGCAATTTCCAATGCGGTGCCGCTGACCTCATGGTACAGATTTACAACGAAAAAGTTCGGGACCTATTGAATCCCAAGAACTCTGGCAATCTTCGTGTACGAGAGCATCCAAGCTTGGGTCCGTATGTAGAGGACCTGTCAAAACTTATGGTTAACAGTTATGACGAAATGATGACACTGATGGACGAGGGAAATAAAGCGCGGACTGTAGCAGCAACTAACATGAACGAAACGTGTGGCAATTCTCTACCTCTCTGTGATGGGGTCCATTGACAACCATTAGGTCTTCTCGCTCACATGCTGTCTTCACCCTCCTCCTGACAATGAAGCGACACGATGTAGACACGAATATGGATACTGAGAAGGTGTCCCGAATCAACCTGGTCGATTTGGCCGGTTCAGAGAGAGCGAACTCCACCGGTGCTACCGGACAACGATTGAAGGAAGGTGCCAACATTAACAAGTCACTCACAACGCTCGGGAAAGTTATCTCGGCCCTCGCAGTTGCGAGTGCGGCATCGGATAACAAAAAGGGCAAAAAACATAAAGCAGACGAGTTTGTTCCCTATCGTGATTCGGCAAGTTCATATGACTGCAATGATCAAGGACTTTGAAGCTCATACTCCCTTAGGTGCTGACGTGGCTATTGAAAGATAGTTTGGGTGGTAACTCTAAGACTGCCATGATTGCGGCTATTTCTCCGGCTGATTACGAGGAGACCCTCAGCACTTTGCGATATGCTGACCAAGCCAAGAAAATTAAGAACAAGGCCGTGGTTAATGAGGATCCTAACGCGAAGCTTGTGCGTGAGCTCAAGGAGGAATTGGAACTGCTAAGAGGTGCGTGGTGGGTTTTATCGTCCGGTAGATATTGATGTCATGACTGGCTTCTACTAGCTCGCGTGATGGGTGCTTCTGGAGAAGATACTTTCGACCCCAAGGTACCTCCAGAGAAGCAGAAGGTCACCTATCAAACGAAGGACGGTCGGATCAAGACTGTCACGAAAGCTGAGCTCCAAGAACAGATGGAAACCAGTGAGAAATTGATGCAAAGTTTGAATGAGACCTGGGAGGAGAAGATGCAAAGAACCCAAGAGGTGCAGAAGGAGCGTGAGAAGGCCCTCGAGGAGCTGGGCATTACGGTGGAGAAGAACCTGGTGGGTGTGCATACACCCAAGAAGGTGCGCGAAGTTTTGTCTGGCGCATATGGCCGCTGACTCCTCGGTGGTAGATGCCTCATTTAGTCAATCTGGTACGTTTCCCTCAACGGATTCTCCTTTCGACCTTCTATGACTGACCCGTGGTATTAATCTCACATAGAATGAAGGTTTGCGCTGATCCCTCTTCGGGTCTTCTTTATAGCCTCATCATATCCCCAGATCCACTCATGAGTGAATGTTTGATTTACCAGATCAAACTTGGGAAAACAATGGTCAGTTATTCCTGCGTATTTCTATCCTCGTGATTGAATATTTTGATAGGTCGGAAGACTGGAGGGCAAAAAACCTGCTGCCATCCGACTCAGCGGAGACAATATTCTTGAGGAGCATTGCTATTTCGATAACAATGATGGCAAAGTTTTCATTAATTGTATGTCAGATAGCGCTACGGTTTGTGATTTCCTTCTGATTCCCATTACATTAAAATTCTAATATTTCATGTCCAGTTCTTAAACGGAAAGCAAATTACTCCTGGGCAGGTTCGTCTTCGTTATAATTTGAGAAGCATCCAATCCTCATTTTCCGAATGATCAGCCCTACAAGCTTCGTTCTGGCTTCAGAATCATACTCGGTAAGCTGGACATTTAAGCCACCGTTGTAATGACTTGACTGGGCGAAAGGTGATAATCACGTCTTTCGGTTCAATAATCCGGAGGAAGTTCGCAAGCAACGAAATAGGGCTACCATGAAGTCCAATTTGCAGCAAGGGTTTACCGCCGCTGATCTCGAAAATGGCGGGGAATCAACGCCTGTGACACGCGCGGAATCTACGGTGTCTTCAACTGAAGATAATATGGATTGGACTTTCGCTCAACGAGAGGCAGCGCTCGCCCGGCTAGGTCTCGACCCCACCTTGGATAGTCTGCCGGATGACGACTTGAACAAGCTGTTCGATAAAATTACCCAGGTTAAGACAATGCGAGACCATCATCTCAAACCTCGTCCAGAGAGCAGCCTTAGTCAAGCAGATGACCTCTGGAGCGAAACTGGGAGACAATTTGCCAGTGATTCTACAACTGATGATACCAGCGTGGATGCCTTGGGTAGCCCCGAAGCAGAGACGCCGTTGACTGATGTGCAGAATCAGCTGGAAAGCCGTCTTCATGCGATTGCAGAGTCATCTCCCGAGGCGGAAGATTTGAAAGTGGAGAAAGATCATATGGAGCATCAGCTACGCCTTGTGCGCGCCCAGATGAAACGCATTATAGACGCCAGGGCTCGTGGAGAAACTGAATTGGAGATGATGGATTTTGAACCTGTCATTTACTCGGCGCGGCAACTCAGGCTCATTCGAAAAGTCCTCGACAAATGGAGAGCACATCGGTCATTTTCGATGGCAGAGGTTGTTCTATCCAATGCAGTTGTTATCAAAGAGGCCAACATCATTAGGTAAATGCTTTTCTCTTCGTCGTTGAGTGCGTTCAATCTTCTTACTATATCTGTAGCAAGGAGCTTAATAAAGATGTATCTTACAATTTCACGATTGCGTCTGGTGGTTCGTTGGCAGCGCCTGTGTCTGCTGTGGATACAATTGCAGGGTTGGATCAATTTGGCGATGTCTCGGACCCGGTGTTGGCTTCAGCAACTCAACCATCAGTGGCTGTCAAAATACTTGATAAGCGTCATAGTGCTATCTATACGTGGTCGCTCGATCGCCTTCAACAGCAGCTACAACGCATGCGCAACCTAACAACATATATCGACCGGCCTTCGTACACGCAGCACTTTTCTTCCGATGAGCCCTTCTACCATTCCCCACCTCCAGAGTATTCATTCGTTGGTAATGCTCTGATATCTCTCGCGCCACTATCACGTCGGCTATCCTCTGTGTGCACCGTACCGATATTCTGTCGTTACACGTCGGAGGCTATGGGCTCATGTAGGATTGACATTAAGATTGTCAATGTTGCATCCAAATACCCCAATGGATCTATACCCTCTACTCGCGCACCCTCACCTGTTCCAGCGACTATATCTCCAGGCAGTAAACTCAGCTTCTTTGTCACTGTTGACACTGTAAAGGGTCTGTCGCCTCATGACTTTTCAGCTGTTCACCTCCAGGTTCGGTTATCCTCCTTCGCCGGGCCCACTTTATCGTCGGAAGAAGTATTCCCATCTAGTGCTGTGGATCTCGAATCTGGTTCTCTTTCAGAATTGAAGTTTCGCCGTAGCTTCAGCATTGTCGCTACATCCAAGGTGTTGACACACTTGCGTCAAGGATATGCGCCGATAGAGTTCTTCGCGTCCATCAGACCAACGTACCTCGAGCGCTTGGAGCGATGGGATGAGATGCGGGAAATCAAGCATGTTCCTCGCTCTGGGACCTCTAGCCCCGGGTCAGAAACCCGGGCCGCGAGTTTGCCGCACATGCGTCGGTCAGAAACTGACTTCGTTGTGCAGCAGACACATGACGTCGTGGCCTGGTTACAACTTTGTGAACTGGCACCTGATGGGCAGTACAATCCTGTCCCAGTCATCTCGCAGGGCGGCCATGATCCAGGCTCATTTTCGCTCCGCCAGGGTCTCCAACGCCGGATAGTAGTTTCTCTGGCGTCTAACTCTGGCCAACAGTTCCCTTGGATTGAGGTCACCAAGGTACGGATAGGCAATGTCCGGCTCCTTGATCCCAAAGGTCGCGTGCACAAGTCAACGTCAAAGGCTATGGTGACGCTTCCTTTACTTAAGGATCAGACGGTAGAATTTCGACCTGACGGAAGCGGCCTATTGTTAGCGGAAGTTCTTTGGGATTCCAGCGTCCATGATTCGGTTCTTTTGAACAGGGTGACAGCATCCAATCAACGGATTCTGTTGCAATTGAACTGGGCAGTAGCTGTCGAGACTTGCAGTGATCCTGTCCAGTTCAACGCGGATATTGCCATTACTATAGAGACTCGAGATGCAAGGCCACCTTCACGGTTCCTTACGTTTCTGGGATCGAGCAAAATACTAGCAAAGAGTAGTACTCTGTTCAGTGTGCGCTTGTCACCTCCTCTCACGAGATCCCCCAAAGATCTATGGCGTCTGGATACGTCAGAGAAATATGTACGGGGTGAAGAGGCCTTGGGTGTGTGGAAACCACGGGGCATATCCGTTGTGGAAGATTACTCCCGCTTGATCACAATGGAGAGACGAGCTGCGGACGTTCAAGCCATACGTGTCATACTTGCAGCGTCGCCACCCAAACCTATTCAGTCTGATGCACTCGCTTGGAGAGCTGACGGACTTATTAAGAAATCTCTAGAACTTTGGCAGAAGCGGTTTGGACTGATGGGCGATGTGAGTTCTTTGTTTTATTGTATTGCGGCCAGCGCAATATCTGATTCTCCTTTTGCTTAGATCGTTCTCAGTCAGGAGCCAAGTGACGAGGATAGCCGCTCATCGAAGCAGACCACTGATCTGGATTCCCTTGAAGGCATCAAGTTTGTTTCTGAGACAAAAGTCGTACCCAGAAGGTAAATGATTCGAGCACCGCTAATTCTAAAATTACTTATTAACATCATTACAGTGACGGCGCCACCAAAAAGGGCCATTTAATGATCTTGATAGATGCTGGGCAGAACATATGGGAAAAGCGGTGGTTCGTGCTGAAAAGGTGCGCATGACGTTCTGACTTTTTCTAATCTTCTGATGAAATATCAGACCCTATCTTCACATGTATGCACATTCAAATGAATTAGAGGAAGTCGGGGTGGTTAGCCTCACCGGTACTAACGTGGAAAGTGATCCACAGAAGGAAATATTGTTAGGGGTAGGTCATTTCTACCTTTGACTGAATTCAGTGTCTTCATCCGCATTGGCAGAAACCCTTTTCGTTCACTCTTTTTACGTCTTCGAATTCTCATGCATTTGCAGCACCCAGTAATAAAGAACTTTATTCATGGGTAATGAAGTTGGATCCCACTCGTTTGGTATCTTCATGATGATTGATTACGACTGATTTATGCCCCGCTCAGCTTATCATATCTGTCCTTCTAGCTAGATTACTTTACACCGTGATTCAGTTTTTGCCTTCTCACAAGTGGATTTCATGTATACATACATACTCATACCACTACGCTCGCTATCTGGTCATTGCCGCTCATTGTCTAATTTGTAGATGTTAAACCATTTGTACCATTCGATATCCGTAGTACTGTTATTACAATCTATTTGACCTGCGGGGACTACCGCATGTGTTACATCAAGAAACCAAGAATTATATGCTTGGTGGAAAACAATTCGACTTCCTAATTGCACCAGCATCTCGGCCGAAATCACCATCAAAGAAGTCAGCATGTGCTTTCCGTCAAACCTTGCAAGCTAGACGCAGCATGGTCGAGTCATATGGCTGTACGGAACAAATAGAGTAAGTGACCAACTTGACACACTCTCCTGCTAGAACATTCATTATACGGTCAGGGCCTGCGTCAGGGAACGTTCGAAGGAGAAGCCTGCGGTCTCAATACTGTGACTCTCTGTAGGCGTACCATACCACGTGTTCGTTCTGATCGTATGGCTGACGCTGGATCCTTGAGTTATCTTTGTATGACAGGCAGATATACTGACTGGTAATTACATTTTCAGTACTGGCTAGACTATACGGAGAGTCTTGATGCCCGCATGCATCTTCGAAAGACTCGGAAGGAGTAAATCCCTGAACCTGTAACCCATAATGGGTTGAAGTGCTTAATGATTCTAGCAGCGCGCGTTGTCGGATCCTATAGTAACGATTCCGTGGTCTTGCCGACGTGTCCTTGACATGAGAACATTTTCAAGGTCCTGTTCCCAGTGTAATCGTCCTTCAATGTCCTAAGAGAAACCAAGTGTGATTCAATACGCGGGTAGTTGGATACCGTGAGAGAATCCGGGCATCTCTGGACCCCGTGAATATTAAAGATCAGACCGAGATGAAGCCGGCGAACTTAAAAACTAGATGACTTGCAAGGAAACTCTAATAGTGCGAATGGACTTCTTGCAAGAAGACATTTTTATAGAGAGCGCCGTGACAGCTCGCTTCCAAGTGATCACACACCTGCGCTAGCATCTAACTTCCGAAGGCTTGTATCGGGGAGTGAATGTTATCAATTGTTTTTTATTTCGACATTTTGGGTGGTATGATATATATATATATATCATAGTAATGTATGCGATGTCTAGTAGATGTAATGTTATGCAAGATGACCATAATTTGCTATTCCAGAGTGTGACGAAGAGCGAATACTTGAATAATGACGGAGAATCAGAATCAGAGAATTGGAGAAGGAAAAGACTAAAGTGTGTGAATTCTGATACCGTTAATCTTGAATATGAGCGACCGATAATGATAGTGCTTGGAGATTCCTTTATCCAATGAAAAGGATGAGCTTAATCGCAAATTTCAGGCGCGTCGTTCTATGAAATAAAAACAATTTAGTAAAATTAATACATATACCGAAGCCGGAAACTCACCTCTCGAATGAACGTCAGCATGTGGCACGTAATGTAGCCTTTCGCGAAGCCAGCTCCAGCGTAAGCGAAAAGGTACATCCATTTCCGCTTGAATGCCTCGTAAGAGTGCTTGTCATTCAGACCGGGATAGTCCTT